CTGTATTAATTAGAATTCGAGATTTTTTTTTTCAGTCTCAAAAGCAACAGGAAAGTGAACGAGTGGCTCAGCGACAACAACGCGAAAAAACGCTGAGTTTCCAAATGCAAGCCCTGGACGAGAAATCGACCGACCTCGAAGGCGACGTTTCTAAGGTTCTCTTGCGAGACTATTATTTTCCTTCGTTTTGAAAATTTGTATCGTAAATTGATAAGCATTGGCCAAATTCACGTTTCTCTGTCAAAATTTCTGAAGGGAGTTTGTGATTCCGAAGCTTAGTTTTTTTTTTCTCAGCGTATCAAAATGGTTCAAGCCAGCCGAGACTGTATGATAAGTCTTTAGCGAAATGATTAATTTTTTTCAAAATGAAAATTTGTGAGAAACATTTCTGCCAAGTTCCCTCGAAATAATCTTGATTGAATGCCACCCTGGAAAAAAATTTGTGCATTTCTGTCTTTATTTCATTATTTTTTTAAAAACATTCTAATTTTTTTGAATTTTTACCTAAAGTTCATCACTAGAAAGTAGCAATTTTGTTTTCCTATAGTTTTTTGAAATCTAGTTGGGTTGTAACTATAAGTTACTCGATTTTCCCCCAAAGTATCAAAACTTCAATAAGGAAAAATATGAAGACAATAAATTGTGATCAAAGAGTTTCAGGCGCGAGAACGAATTGCTGAGATCACGAAAGAGATCGAAAATATGCGCGGAGATCGCGACGAGAAAGTTTCAAACGTCCAGAATCTTCAGAAAGAGAACCAGAAGGTTTCTTCGATCGTAGTGTTTTTTTTTTTAGTTGAACTCATTATCCGTTATATACATTCATAGAATTGAAAATTTCTTATCTTGATTGGAAATTTTTTTTTTTCAGCTTGCCATCGAGTCACAGGAAATGTCCCATCAACTTCTCCATTTCCAAAGCGCTCACAAAGTTTTTTCTGTTCAATTTTCAAGACTAAACTTGATTTTTTCTAGGAAACCAGCTCAAGAAAAACGGCCCTGGAGGAGTTGCGACAGCGGAAAGCCGCCATTATGAAACGAGTGGAGGAAGTGACAAAGTCTCTGGAAGAAGAGAAATCCAGAAAGGCCAAGATGCGGGAGGACTTGAATCAAGTTTGCATTTTTCTACAAAAACTCTGGGAAAAAGAAGATTTTCCAGAAGGAGGCAGCCTATCGCGAAACTGTCCACTCTAGGCTTTTAACTTTCCGTGAGGAGTATCGAAAAGCTTTGGAATTGCTATCACATGCACAGAAGCAGGTTCGATGTCTACTATTTTAATTATATAAGTTATATGCGTTTTTTTGAGTTCTGTATCACTTGGGTTTGAAATTGTAGATGAATAGTCGTGAAACGTCGAAGTCACGATTTGCGCAGAAATTTTGCTGATGGATAAGATCTGAGCTTTTTTTTTCTCTGTGCAGTTCTTCGTTTTCAGGATTTTCGATCAAGTTCTTGGTCTATTCGAAAGAGAAAGAGCCTTGCTGAAGCAAAAAAATGTTCAGAAACGAACTGGAACTGTAGTTTTTTTTTAGTTTTTCACCTCAAAAAAGATTCTGCGCTCAAAAAACGCCACTGATGTCTGTAGAAAAAGTTATCACCGTTGTTAGTTGACAAGAAAAATATCGTTGTTCTGATTTGTTTTTTGATAGATATGTCTCTTCCAGGTTTTGGCGACACTCAGTTATTTCGTTTCTCGAAATTTTGTCATCAAATTATAATTTTTTGACGATTTAGGGAAGTCGATTTTTTTTTCCTGACAGTCAAAACTTTCTCAATAGTTCTCCACGGCAATTTTAAAAGCCAGATTCAAAATCAGCGCCAAAATTTCATCTATTGATCATACTGTCATTCATAGTTCCATCCATATTTAAAGGAGTAATAGCCGCGAAACTCGAAGTTATCTCTGAATCTCCAAAATTCAACTATCTTTTTCAATTTCTGATGTGTTTTCTGAATTTCGCGATATAACTTTGAAAAAAAAATCTCTAAGAAATGGTACGCAAACCATTTTTCATCACAGAGCTCAGCAAATATCACTTTTTAGGCGCAAACCAAACTGGCTGAGCTTGACGCTGAGCAGCGACAAAAGAGGGAGGAAGAGGCTCGAAATATTGCTCTCCAAGCGGCAGCATCTGCTCCAGCTCCAGCTCCAGTTCCTCCGGTGGCCTCATTCCAGCAAAGTCATCTTTATGATGAACCTCCACAAGTGGCACCTGTCGCCACCTCCAACCCAGTCATTCCAACTTCCGAATCTCGCATATCAAGTTGAATACATTTAAGAAAATTATAGGAATTCTCTGATTTTCAGGCACCAGCTTGACGGAGATCAACACTCACGAGACTTCAAAATGTCGAGCGATCTTCCCCTTCGAGGCGAGAAGCGAGGACGAGCTGAGCTTCGAGCCCGGCGACGTCATCATCGTCTTCCAAGGACACGCCGCCGAGCCCGGCTGGGGTGCTGGACAGCTTCGCGATAAGGTTTAATTGGAGAAAATTCCTGTTTCGAAAAGCTAATTTAAAAAAGAAGTGTCTTTTCTGCAGTGGTATAGTTCTTTTATTGATTAGATCTATTTGGTTAGAAACGATTATAAAAAAACGGTTAACTTATTTTTTAAAATTTAAGTACACCTGAATGTTCTCAGTTCCAATTCCCGATTTTATCATAGAGTCTTGAATTTCAGGTCGGTTGGTTCCCGGAAGCCTTCGTGGAACCGATCGCGGCAATCCCTTCACATGGCAATGAGGTATCGAAAAATAAAAAGTTCGAATTAAATCATTTTCCTTTAGCCTCCCATTCAAAACATGCCTCCGAACGTGACGCCTTCTTGCTCTCTTGACCGAATCCCAGAAGAAGGCGTCATGCGCAAGCAGGACAGCGTCCTGTCCAACATCTCTAATAATGGTTCGTACGGAAAAAAGTATTTATCATGTTCTAGTTTGTGTGAAGCTTACGGGACTGGATATTAGTTTTGAAGTTTTATGTATTCACATATGGCCTTTTGAAATCTCTTCAGAGCCAAAAACTAATTTTTCACGAACACAAAAGTTTGTAAGCTGCTAGTGCTCGTTAAAATTAAAATATTATGATTTTTAAATTCATACAAATCCCACTGTTCATGAACCTCTGTACAATAGCAATTTTTTTAGATGCGTCGAAGAAAGTCATTTGCCGCTGCATTGCTCAGTTCCAATGGCGCGCAAGGAACGAAGATGATCTTTCCTTTTCCAAGGGCGATACTATCGATGTTAGTCGACATTTATACTCTTGGAGTTTCCATAGTCCACTTTCCGTCGGCTTGAAGCAGAATTATATGAGACTCCTTACACGGGAAAGAATATAGTCAAGGAAGTTTCAAAGACTCAAAATTGCTTTTCAGAAGTCAGAATAAGTTTTATTCCAACCAAGTAAGCAGAATCTTCTACAAGAGTCCTTCATAAAGGGTTATGAAATTCAAAATGATGCGCGATCTTGGGCCATTTCTGATGAAAGCTTGTCAATACATTTACCATTTCCTTGGATGCAGCAAACGAAAAAAAAGCTTCAGAACAAATTATTTGCGCGTCTCTGTATCATTTTTGTCTCAGGCCAGCGGTGAATAGATTTTCAACAATTTTACAATGTCGAAACTAATAATCTATCTGATAGGTCTTCGAACAACAAGATATGAAGTGGAATGGCCGGAAATCGAACGGAGAAAGCGGTTGGTTCCCCAAAAGCTACGTCAAAGTCATCTCACAGGTCGTTTTTTGAACGATTCCCGATTTGACAAAAAAGATGTTCAGAACGGCAGCGTCGATCTCGACGGAAGTGCTCACAACAGTATTGATCAAATCAGCGCAGATTTGAATAGCGCTCACATTAGTAATGCTGCTGCGCCAGGTTTATCTTTGACATTAAACAACAGTGGAAAATCGAAACATGGAAAAAAAAAACCATGATTTCTTGAAAAATGTGAAAAAAAGAACAAATATTCAACAGCAAGTATGAATTAACATATAATTTTGTTTATTTGAGATTATAATCCGTTTCCGTGACTATTTGGAGGTAATAGAAAAATTTCAAAAAGGAAAAAACAAAAATTTCTCAGGGTTGTTTCGGGTAGTTCAATTATCAACTCACAAGTGAAACAGTTTCAAAAAGCGTTAAGAAAAGCCCTTAACATAACGTTTTTAGAACTTGATCTCAACGAAATTGATTAAAAAATCAGTTCGGCCCTCGAAAAATGTATTCCATTTCAGGGCGCACCATAAAGAAACTTTTTATGAAACAAAATCAATTTTAACATATTTATTTCCTTCAGCCCCAACGCAAAGCGGTGAGTGGTACGTCGCCGTGTTCGACTTCGAACCTGTCGAGTCCACGGACCTCGGTCTGAAACATGGCGACAAAATTTTGGTCACTGAAAAGTTTCAGCCTCAACTTTTCAATTTTAAACATTTTTTTTGAAGGAATGATGCCTGGTGGAAGGGTGTCTGCAATGGAAAAGAAGGCATTTTCCCTGCCAACTACGTCGAACCTGCCGTTGGAAGTTTGTTTTTTTGGTTGTAGGATGTAAAAACCGGTAACTTTCCGATGAAGACTTTTTCAATTTTTGATATCGGTGGGGAACTTTTTGATTTTTTCCTTTCATTTTTCTAGTTTTTTCATCATTTCATCAGATTTCCTGTTTTTTGCGTTTTTCTCATGATCCTACTATTTGATCAGTATCAGGACATTCAAAATTTGGGCGTTATCAAAAAAAAATTAGGAAATTTCTCTAGCAATGTGAAAAATTCGGAAAAGACGCCATTGGAAAACTCACTGGTCTAAATTTTTTACCAGGTTGTCCAATAATTCTTGTCCAAAAATGTATATATTTAGCGTGGAACTCTGGAGAAACTTCTAGAAGGTTCTTTCATCTGCATAATATTATAACACTTCTAATGAAGATTATAGAAAAGAAAAAGGAACTATTGGACAGCCTGGTATTACCAGTTTTTTCCAAGTAATGAATCAGCTTCTTTCGATTGAAAAATTTCAACTTTTCTTGCAGGCCCAGTAGCAGCATCAAACGGACATCAGATCGTGCCGAATGGTTCTACATGTCAGGCAAGGGCAATTGTCGATTTCCAAGGAACGGCTCCCAATCAACTCACCATCAAATGTGGCGATGTCATCGAAGTAATTTTGCCCCATCGTTCTGTAATTGTTTTTTGAAAATTCTAGCTTTTTAGCCAAAAATCACAAAAATAATACTGAATCAATCAAACCAAAACATGAATTTTTGCACAGTCGAAGAGAATCGCTCAACTTATCAATAAATTGTGTCGTCAGGTCCGCGAAAAGAGCGCTTCTGGCTGGTGGGAAGGCGAAATCAAGCAGAACGGAACACCGAAACGCGCTGGATGGTTCCCCGGCGAATATGTCAAGGTTATCGAGGTGATTGATAAAAATATAACTTTTCGTTGGAAGATTATAAAGTTTTCAACTTTATTTTGCAGGGTAATCAGCCAACAACGATGGCCGAAAACCACGCCGTCGCCTTGTTCGATTACGAGGCCAGTCAACCGGATGAACTCTCTTTCAAAGTCGGCGATATCATTGTGGTGGGTTTTCTTTTCATTTGATAATTTATAACCTGAGAGAAAATTATATCGATTGATTAATTTTGATAACGGTTTGGAAACATGAAAAATAAAAGACGTGCTCAGAGTGAATTAGCAAAATTCAAACACATCTCTGACCGTAATTTTGAATTTCTCGAAGCTTCTTTACACGGGATAGGAGTTGAATTTTTGAAAAACAAAGGAATAATTGGAAGAATCATATTTTGAGGTCCAAATTATGCATTCAGAATGAAATTTTCACTTTTTGTCACATCTTTTTTTGTGATTTGATAAACCAAAAATAATATTTCCTTTCTAGCAATTCATTTTCTTTTTTTCAAAAAGAATTTCAAAAATCTTATCAAAACTTCCAAGAGGCTGAAATAAGGAGTTCGTTTTGGTCAGAAAAAAAAATTGATGAAATAAAATTATAGTGAAATGAAAATAAAGTGATTGATCAAAATACGAATATTTTAAAGGAAAATTAACATTATTAGGGCTCAGTTTAAAAAGATGGAAGAGAAACTGTTGAATTCATGCTCTTTATTATTTGTAAATCAATAAAATTTTCCATCTTCATTGAGAAAGCTTCATTCCTTGATGCCCTTCAGTGAAAAAAAAAACTGAAAAGTTTTAGGATTCTAGATTATTCGGCATTTTACTAGTTGAAAAAAAATTAATCGATGAAAATCACAATTTTTGTAGGTAGCAGAAAAATCTGACGTCGAGTGGTGGTCGGGGAACAAAATCCAAGACGTCGGGGCGACGCCGCAACTTTTCCCCGCTAATTATGTCAAGTTGCAATGAGGCCGCATTGCAAATTATTCAATTCAAGATTGTTAACCTACTGATGACGGCAAACTTGTTCACTTTGCAAATAACTCACTAACTTATAATTTATATGTTTGACATAATATTGTTAAAGTCATCTATCTGATGTGTTGTGCTGTAGATAAGTTCTTTAGCCAAAAAAAAAAAATGATTAATGAGATTTTGCCATATTCAATTGCATAGTCAGTGACGCATAATTTATTCGATAACTTTAAAAGCATGTTAGAAGTAATAAATTTCGAACTGATCCATGTTTGGCTGGGAAATCGAGTCGACTCAAGACAAGGCTTCCTTTCGCTTCTGACGCTTCCGAAGCGTGCTTTTTTTTCGGCCGATGACGTCACAGTTGTTCCTGTGCTGAAAGTTGACCGCATCCTTGTGAAGCTGCGAAAAGGCCTGAAAAAGATTTTTTTCAAGCTGAAAAATTATTCTTTTTTCTCACCAGAACGTTGAGAAGACACATGATGGTGAAGCCGTATAACACGCAAATCATGTTATACGTTTTGCTGAATTTTTCCACTTCAGATCTTTAGGCATAGTTGGAGAAATTCATATGTCAGAGTAGCTCTTTTTTCAATTTTTGAATGAAGATCTATAGATATTTTGAAATCAGAAGTTTCTCTCAAATTTCTTGACCTCTTTGAAGCTGCTGATAGCTACGTAATAAGAAAAAATAACTTCTTCTCATTAAATTTTATGTTGAAATTTTATAATAATCAGAAGGACTGTTTTGACTGTTAAAACTTCCAATTATACATGGAGCGCACTTCTCATAAATTTTATTTAGGCTATTTCTTCTATTCTAATTTTCTGATCAGAAACGGCCTTTTTCATTACAAGCTTTTCGAATTAGCGTATTCACCTGTGGAATTCAGCTTCTTTCGACTGAAGCCCGAAGGCTACAATCGCGCGAGCAGTTTCATCTGATTTGCACACGAGATAAATTCTGGAACAGCATAAACTTTATTTTTTTAAAAAGTTTTTCGAAATGAATAGATTCCCAGTTTATAGCTAATACCCTTTCCTAGGGCATTTCTCATTTTTTTTTTTTTTGGGATACCTAATGAAGCTGGAAAGCCGAGGAATATGCTTCCTGCAAGCGGTCAAATCGTACTTATCGCAAATCAAAACTTCCAACGCTCTGAAAACCTTCCTTGAACAAATCCTTTTTTTCTGAAACAAGCCTGAAATCCACGAAAAACTGGTAGTTTGGAATCGCGGAAGACTCCAGAGTGAACACGGAGCTGTCCAGATTGCTCACAGACATCAGTGGCGATTCTTCTGTGAATTAAAGATTCGGGGAGTTTCTACAAGGGGAACCAACTGAACGGCAGCCTGGCAACCTGGAAGTTGATTATTTCGAACACCTGATTAGGGCTCGACAATCTTTCCGCCTCCAGGACGACTTGAAAACGACTGTCGCATGTATCTGATGTTGTAAATTATTTCCTTTTTTGAGAAAAATAGTAATTTCACAGTTTTTTGGACCCTAATGTACTGTTAAGGTAATCCAAAATATTTTTTCCGGCAAAATAAAGGTTTGGACTTCCGAGATAGGAAATTCCAGGGGTCCCTTAAGAGTGTTGACACTACTTGAGTGGTCCCTAGAAAAGTCTAAAAAAGTCCGGGGCATGTCCGTTTCACGTAACCAATTTTCGAGTCCTTGTAAGAAATAACTACCTGGAAAATTCCTAGTACTACTGACAAAGGATCTTGAGACAACAGCTTTTTTTTTCTTTTTAGGGATTTTGATATTATTTCAAATTTAAAGCCTTATTGACCATCCCTATTGGTTTTCCCTACTTTTCAAAAGTCCACAAACCAGTTTTTAACGCAATTAAAGCTTCGATAGAAGTGACTCCAACCACTAACAGCAGCAATAGCATCCTAGAAATGAGAAGTGAAGTATATTCGAACTCACGCAAATTAGGATCATACCCGAAAGCTTCATTTCAAAAAGAATTCGATGGCGGAAGACGACAAGGATCCGTACGCGGTGAGAGCCTTGCGCGGCTACAAGGCCAAAAGAGCGCATCGTCGGGAATTCTTCGAAGCTCAAGTGAGTGTCGGGTTCTGCTCTCCTTCAGAAGGCCCGGGATTCCAGCCCGAGTTCCTCAACCAGACGACCGGAATCCATACGACGACCGGCGGACAGACGACCGTCGGAGCTCAAGAAACCATGCTCGTCATGGGAACTCAAAACGACTTTTACAGAAAGGTTCACACTAAACCATTGAAACAAAATTTGAAAAATTTGAAAAGGAAAAAATGAAAAATGAAGAAAGAGAAAAAAAAAAACGAAAATTGAAATTTCTAGTCCGACGGCGCTCTGCACGACGTCACACACGAGCACTACCAGAAAGTCCTGCAAAGTGCCAAGGTGACGAAAAGTTCGAACAATGAGAGGACCAGAAAACAAGCCCATCGGGAGAAAGAGTTCAAAGAAGTTGGTGTCTGGAGGGTTGGGAAGAAAAGAAATGGTCTTTTCAGTACCAGAAGCTGTGCAAAGACTACGGTCACGAATACCTCGAAATTCTCAACAACTCGACGGACATCGACAAATCAAACCTATGTGAGAATTGAAGAAGATGCTCTAAACTTGAGTTTGGACTACCGAACGAGACTGGAAGCCCTTAGAAGTTTAACGCTGCTTCAGAACTTGAGATAAGAACCTAGAGGACTGGAAAAAATTGCTCAAGAAGTTTTAAAAATGCACTTCATCTCTGCGATTTTCGGAAAGCCTTCAAAATATGGATTTGGAAAAATAAATTTTACACTCAAAAATTTTTTTAAAAAAAGCGTTATCTGTCAATAAGAAAAATAAGCTCGGTCAAAAAAATATTTTTCATAACTCTTTATCAATACAAATTTGAAAAAAATGAATGATTTCAGTCTTCTTCAACGCATGCCCTAGTCAGAACAAAGAAAATGAATAAAAATTCAAAATTTTCAGTTCCTCCACGTCCTAAACAACACGGTCACAAAGACAACTTCGACAAAAAGCGGATGTACGATCTCATTGCCTTGTCCAAGTGAAAACTTGCTATTTCAAAATTTGTTTTCCCAAAAATAAACCTGTTTTTTAAAGCACCAAAATAGTTTATTCACAATTGCGGTTAAATATCATGGAATTTTATAAATAATTGATCAATGGTTAGTTAATCGAGTTGAAGCTCACCGCGGTAGTTACCAGCTGGCAGGGTCGCCGTATCAACCTTTAAAAATAAGGATGAATAAAATTATGAATCATGGATTGGGCGTGAAAATCAAGAAAAAATCAACTTACATCCGAGAAATAAGGATGGGTGAGCGCTTTGCGGGAACTCATTCGAACCGAAGGGTCATAAATCAGGAACGCCTAGAAAAAAAGGGATATGTCAAATTATTGAAAAAAATCGCTATTAAAAAAACTTTGTTTATTGTGGAACTTTTTTTCTATCGTTTTCTTCAAATTTTTCAATCTCCTAAGTGAAACTTGTGAGAAAACGCCAAATAAAATAAATTATCACACATCGAAATGATCATTCAGCATAGAAAAAAAATACTAGTTCCAAAAATTTTAAAGTGTTGGAAATTCCTCATTACTAGTCTCTTTAAAAACCGATAGAACTTTTTCGAACATGATTTTTTTCAAAAGCAGTTAGTTCTTCGGAAAAAATGAAGTAAAAAGGCTATGAAGCCCCTAAAACCATCACTCAGCAATGAAATATTCAAATTTAAAAAAAAATTTTTGAATTTTTTTTTTTCAATCTTCTATAAAGCAAAAAATAAAAAAATCTACTTCTCAACGATCGATGATTGATAAAAAAAAACAGACCTGCAGTAGGTCCAGACCCTGATCGCCGATCAACGAGTTGCCCTTCTTGTCGTTGAACTTCTCGGCGAGGTTATTCTCGCGCCATTTCGGGAAACTCGGCTTGTAGTCGGGGAAGGACGTCACGCCGTTCCACTCGAGCTCCGTCGGCGTTCCGAGAACTCTTCAAATTTTAATTTATCGAAATATTTCACTAGATAGAAACCTGAAAATTCTGAAGAGCTCGTCGATCTCAGAATCGCCCTGGAAGAGCGGCTTTTTGGTGACCATTTCGGCAAAAATGCAACCGATCGACCACATGTCGACGCTCATCGAGTAGCGGTTGGCGCCCAGGAGAATTTCCGGAGCGCGGTACCAAAGTGTCACGACCTGGCAAGTCGATTTTAAACTCACATAACGCGTTCAAAGAAATTTTCAAGCGAAAAAAATGGAACAGTTTCTGATTCAGTGAGGTCAGATTTGACTGAAAATCCCACTTTCGCTGCCGTTTTTCTCTATATTTCTCTTTTACTTTTCATATTTTTGAAAAGACAAATAAAAAGCGCAAAAAAGGAAGTGAGGCCAACAAGAAAATAGTTCAAATGTTCTTTTTTATTCGAAAATCCCTTTTAAAGGGCCAATAATAAGATGCTAATATTTATCTGCGAAACTCAAGTTCAGAGCATTCATTTCAATATAATTGAACTTTAAACTTTTGAAAAAAAAGGCCGAAAACTTCTGAATCGAGTATCCAACTATATATTCCTTTTAAGCTTGCAGCTTTTCTTTTTAAAAACTGCAAAGTTATGTAGATTGAGACTTACGGAAAGTTCACCTTACGTTTTTTAAATTCTAGCCAATTTATTTATTCTTTCAACTTGACTTAGTCTTACCTATGAATAAACTTTTTGTATGGGTTATGCCAGGAATTTACTAAATTTTTCTCATTCAAAGATGGAAAGCACCTCGTGGGTGTAGACTCGAACGGGGATGCCGATGGCACGAGCGAGGCCGAAATCGGCGAGTTTGATCGCTCCGTTCGTGTCGACGAGCAGATTCTGCGGCTTCAAGTCTCGGTGGATCACGCGGCGCTGGTGGCAGAAACACATTGCTTGGCAGATCTGTAAAAATCGGCCCTTTTTGTTCTAAAATCCGATTCCAGACAGAGCCAACTTTAATAAAATTAAGGAGCTGAGACTTCATGCATAAACGTTTACGCAACGTAAATGTGATGGAATAGAATAATTAAAAAAATAAGCAAACTTGAATTTTTTAGCTGGAAGGGTGAAAATTCATGAATTAGACTCAGTTTCTACTAGTTAGTTCACTGAAAAATTCAAAATTGACCCTACTTTTTTTTTTGAAAATTCTAATTTCTTAACACCCTCAATTCCTAAAATTCTCGATTTTTATCTATTTTCGGACTAACAATGAGGTGAGTTCAAAAGGGATCTGTAAAAGAAGTCTGATTATACCTGGAACAAATAGCTTTTAACGACGGCCCTGTCCAAATATTCGCCGTTCTTCAGCTGATCCATGTACTTTTTCAGATCCATCGACAGGAATTCGAATACAAGGTAGAGGCGGCTTTCCTGAAATTCTTTCAATTCGTTGAAAACTACAAAAACTCGAAAAACCTGCATAATGACAGCTTGTAATCCGACAACGTTAGGGTGCTGCAATTCCTTCAAGAGGGAGATTTCTCGGACCGCCGTGGAAGGAACGCCCTGAAACCGGTAGATTTTATAAAGAGGTTAAAACAATTTAGGGCCTTTCAAGAGTTCCTATGTTTTTTTTTGCCGCAAATAACAACTTATTATGGTTTATGATTTATTGATGGAATATTGAATAAATCACACACTTCATCTTCGCTTTCCAGTCGAATCTTCTTCATGGCCACCATCGCGTTTGTCCTCTTATTTCTGCCTTTGTAAACAACTCCATATGTACCTAAAATAAATTATTATTTTTTTAAGTCAGAAAAATGGTTTAAAACCAAATAGACTTCATAGTGAAAAGCAACAATGAGACACTGACCCTCTCCAATTTTGTCAAGCTTCACAAAGTCATCCATTGTGTAAGGGACAAATTCCTGCTCTGGAGGAGGCGTCGGAGCCACGAGGCCAGCCATCATCTCCCTTCGAAAAATTTTTTTGAAAAGCCTGTGGACTATTGAATCAAAAAATCGACTTTCAGTTTTTATTCAAAAAATGCTAACAATTCAGCTATACACTTTCTAACATGTAAATGTAAAGACCAGTCAGAATATAAAATGAAACCCCTCAGAATATGAAATCTCCATTTCCATCGTCACGAACAATAAATGAAGATTAATTCACGGAAATATTTTAATATTTGAAATGACTTCAAATAAATCCATTCGTTCAAATGAGAAACTACCGGAAAAAAATTTGAATGCAAAAAAATTTTTTTATAGTTGTTTCACTGCTAGCTATAGAAAAAAAACTGTGACACGGCTAACAAAGAGCTTTAAAAAAACTTTATATTCCATTAGCTTCGGGTTTGCCAAAAATAAAAAAATGGAGTATAAAAATAAGGGTATTATACAAATTATAAATAGGCTAGCGAGCAAGTCAGAAAAATATAAGAAAGTAACGAACTGAATAGAAACAGTGAAACAATCTCTCAAGCGATTCATATTGAAACTATGAACGACTTGTCATAAAAAGAATCAAAAAAATTTCAAAAACAAAAGCCTGCCGCGGGTGGTTTCACTGAGCAAAATTTGAATCTACCAGCTTTCGCGCCATTTCGAATTTGCCGCTCGCTCTGTGACCCATTTGCCTTGGAGCGTCTTTTCTCGGGATGGAATCGTCTGATTGACCGATGATTTTCAATTCATTGAAAAAATAGCCGTTCTGGTCGATTTATGATTCACAATTCATAACTAGGTACATTATAATTATTTTCGACTCAACGAAAATTTTTCAAAAATATGACATAGTAAGTCTGAAAATCGGTTCTGAGAGGGCGTGAAAATCAGCAAGTTCGATGATTTTTTTTTTCTCGAAGCTTTAATCGTGTAATACAAGCGAGAAGATGATTTCAATTTTTATTGCAAAATAACTTATTCACTTTCAATACATTTTTTTTTATCAAACTTCATCCAAAAGGAACAAACAGTAACAGAAAATCTTGTACTGCGAGGAAATTGAAAGAAATCGACTCCTTTCCTCACAGCCAACAAAGTAGAGAACGAAACCATTGATCATAAAACACATTCTATGAATCGAAAATAGAAATAGTAGAATTAAACAGAAAGTTGCTGCTTTTTGTGAAAAGACATTCTTCCATAAGGCGAGTACTGTTAGACCGGAAATATGTTTTTTAGACGTAAAGGGAAAATTTTCACATAAAAGTTAAGAATAAATATAATAAAGGAATGAAAAATAAAAAAAACGTGATAACAGTGAAAATAAAAGACCATATTGAGATCTAAAAGCAACAACTAACAAAATTGAGAATGAACATGAAAATTGGCAGTTTCAGAGGAAGGAAGAGAATCGGAGCTGGACGGTGGTCAGCTCTTCGCCGACGTTCTGGAGTCGCTGCGAGGAGCTGACGTCACAGGCGCGACGGATGAACGGCATTATCTGGGCGTTGCATTCGTTCGCCACCACTTTCCTGCAGGAAACGATGATTGAGGACAATAAATCAATAGATCAATCAATCAATCAATAAATAAATCAAAATATCAATATTTTTCCAGTCACGGATGTAATCGACTATACTTTGACGGAGGAAGACTCGAAATTTTACTTCAGAATCAAGGTTCAAAACTCAGTCAGTTAAAAAGAGGGTTTTCTCACAAAATCATCAAAAAAAAACGATCGACAAACCTGAAGCTTTACCATACCAAAAAGTTTAAAAATTCTTTATTTGGATCTTATGAAGCCGATCAACTCCGAGAACACGAGAAAAATTCAAGAAACCTTTTCGGACCTAACAAAAATTTCTTCCAATGTTCTTAGACAGGTCCCATCATGGTTTTTACTCTGTCTCATACGGAACTTATTTCGGTCATGTTTTTAGACACCCTTTTTTCTCGTTGACAAGTACCCTTCCAGTGAAAAGCTTTGAGGAAGAGCTAGATTTTTCTGCTGAGAAACTTTCTGACCTGTAAATACAAAAAGAGAAAAACTTTTGCGAAAAAGAAAAATGAAAAAACCTTTTGGCTACAGAGAGCTTGTCCAGTTCAGCCAGAACGCATCTGGAGAGGTGGTGGACGATTTGTGTCAGGTAAAATTGTCCCTTTTCGTTTTGGGTCCACCAAGCGTCTCCTCTAAAAAGCTCTTTCTTGCCCAAAAGTGAGACGAATGGAGAAAAACCTGAAGATATTGGAAAAGAGCTCTAGAAGGGCCACATTAGAGATCTCGATGCGTTTCGAGAGGGCCGAGAAGAACTTGACAGGCAGATAATGGCGGTTGGACCCGTGCATGACGCCTCCAGCGCCGACTTCGAGAATTTTTTGGATGATCACAACTGAATGAGAAATTTCACTATGTGATGCTCCTGAATAGGACTCACCTTTGGGGAAATACCTGGTTTCGCGGTAAATGGAATAAAGTTCATAGATGGTGCTGAGAAGGTTCTCGCAGAGGGTCACCTCATCACTAGCCGCTTCGAAAACTGAAGAAAAGGTTTATGTGGCGACTTTATAATTAATGAAAACGCCGCGGTCGCGCATGGAATGGCTCAAAGCGTCGCGATCACGATGAGAGAAAGCCCTACTGACATCCATACACATTTTGGGCGATTTTCGATAACTTGTTGACATAAAAATTTCAAGTTGATATTCGTTGTCACAATTATTAGATTTAGATTGAAGGTATAGATAATACGAAACCACGCTCCTTTTCAAGGTTACGGTAGGAATTTTAAGGAAAATCCTAAATTTTTTTCTTATCTAGTTGAAGGATGGGCTCTAAATATTGAAAAAAAGAGTTTTCTCATGTCTCTCATTTTCAATCTGGGGCGAAATTCTTCAAATTATGAAAGAGGATGGAGAACTGCTTCCCAACTGCGCCATTCTCTTCGTAAAAAGGCCTCCAAAGACAACTATTTCGAAATTTCTTTTTCTTGCCACACATTTTTATGGACAAAAAAAAATGTCTTCGATATTAATCAGCCAATGAGAACCTTCTTGGATGATGGAATCCCAAGTCGCGAAGATGTGCTCCTCGATGTACATGTTGGCGCAGTGGAAGATGGCAAGCTTGATTTTGTACAACTTGTAAGGCATCTGACAGAAAAACCAATAGCCCTACTCAATAAAAATTAAAATGACATACCACATACTGAACGAGAAGGTCTTGAAGAGGCATTATTGGACCATCGAGTTTCTTGGAAACTTCCTCATATCGAGGCGCGTCCAGAGCATCTCTGAACGGAAAAATGTGTCAAAATTGGGGATTTCCTTGATTTTTCACCTGATGGTCGTCTGAATGTTGGCAATGTCGAGTCTGTCACGCAGATCTTCGATGCTGGCGGTGATATTGGGATCTTTGCTCGCCTGAGCGCACATGATCGCGTGAGAAAGGTAGGAGCAACGCTGGACCAGCGGAATGTCGAAACTGCAGCAATTTCAATCAGAACCATGGAAGAAAAGTTTCCGAACTAGGAACCATTGGAATGAAAGCACTCGTTTTGAACAAGATTATAATTATTTTCAAGATCAAGTTTCTTTTACAGGCGCACTAGGTGGTGCATTCAAACGAGATTTTTAAAAAACAGAAGCTTAATTTCTGAAATTTCAGGCAAGGCCAAATTTTGAGCTCAAACAAGCTTGAACTGCTCATTCTTATTATCTAGAAGCGGAAAATCGAGAAAAAAAATTTGAGTTCTCTAATGTTTCTGAAAATAACTAGATGCATCTAAATGATGCTCAAACATCTTTTTTTCACGAACTTGTCATTTTCCGCCAGTTTACTGAGAAGTCGAGCTGCCTTTTCGTAATTCCCGCTCTTCTCGTAGAACTTCCACAGCAGGTCGAAGTACTTCTGGCCTCTTCCCGAGTTGATTTCGTTGCAGAGGAAAGCCTCGATGTAGGGCGACTTGCTCTACAAAGAATGAATGAATATAGATGATGGGAAAATCTCAACCTCAAGAACAATGTTGGCTTTCCTCTTCTCCAAAAGCCAACGGAAAATGGCGAAATGAGCCAGTTCGTCGTCTGATCCCAGGACGGCGTTTATCATCACATCTCTGTTCAAGACCTAAAAATATGTTCGGATTGATAAATTAGCTTGATCTGATTTTACGTGTTCGTTGCTCACATCTCCGATTTGCGCAGCACTTTGCTCAAGTCGGTCCAATTCATCGGTTATCACTCTAAAATTGACAAAGTTCAAATGATAGTGAGCTGAATTCATGAGGAGAGTGCGAATAGTGAGAAAATTAAAATTCGACCAAAAAAAATATGAAATTTTGACGAAAAAAAACCGAAGTTCCCAAGCAATAAGATACAGTAGTCGGACACGCATTATACGCAAACTTTTTTTTTACGGTGAAGACAATTTTTCAAAATTAATTCCGAAAGTTCACTTTTTTTTTTGCAAACACCTCAAAACTCCCAGAACCCAGAACACATTTTTTTCCAGGAAAAATATTCTTTACCAGAAACTTTATAGCAATTATTTTAAAAAAATTTATGTGAGAAAAAGTCTAACTAACGTCCGCGAAAACGCTTGAAACAAGTACGGCGAATAAACTTATTCAGACTTTTTTTTCAAAGTATAGAAAAAATCTCATTTCATATTTCAAGTCCTATTTGAAGTCTACCTTAAAGAGGGGTACCACGAGTTGTTTTTTTTTTTCATGAAAATACACCGCGTCTTGAAATTTGAATCTTAAAGCTTACTTGTAACACTCGGATCTCTTGAGCTCAGCACTGCGGATTTCAGGATCTTCTCCGCATTTACCCTGTTTGAACGCCAACGTGGCCAGCTGTTTGGCGTCGTCTCTCCTCGCTCGCAACAAGCAAAGGTCGACCACTTCTTCGTAGGCGCCAACTGAAGTTTTCACTTCAGTGATAAACTGATGAATTTCAAAAAAGACCTTTCTCAGCGAGTTGCTGGCAGGTTTTGGCGAGGGCGACCTTCGTGATCGACTGCTTGAACATGTTCACCGCCGTCGCGACAAGTTTTCTCCTTGTGGCTCCAGGACCGGCGCGTTTTGCAGATTCGAGCTGCTCCATTCCGTTTGTAACGCATGCGTCGTCCTAAAAAAAAAATCATTTTTCGAAATTTTTGGGATTCTCACTACACAACACTAATTTTAAAGCAGGGTGAGTCAAAATCGATGTGATATCTAAATTTCGACAAAACCTTTTGAAAAAGGCACAATTTTTCTTTCACAAAAATTCAATAGTTCCACTAAACAGCAAAGGTGGTTGGAAAAAGATCTTTTAATCCCCCTTACTCTTTTTGAAAAACATCTGATAGGGTTCCTGAATCTCTCTTCTAAGACAAAAAGAGTCTATTTTGGTTATTTCGATTTTTGCTGACCTAGAAGCTTATGCTATTAGCTCATTTTTCGGTTATTCAATTTTCTGTCTTCTACTTCTCAAAAAATATTAATTTTCCGATTATTAACATACAAATTTCTTGAAAAATGTGATAATTCTTTTTGCTACAGATAGAAATTTCCTAAACAGAGAAGGTCAGACATGAAGGCTACCGTATCAAAATGCGGAATCTCGCGAAAAAATCAGAAGTTGACCAAAAAAGGCATACCGATAACTTTTAAAACCTTTTTCGGGTCTAGCTTTACTGATAAGATCAATATCGCCGATTCTATAAAATTTCTAACTACTCTTGACCGATTCGAAACAAGAATCTTTTCGAAACGAACCACAGAATAGAGAGTGGGGCAGAGAGACCGAAGACTCTCAGAAAGCATGCTGGTGCCGGCCTCGTCGCCGAGGAAGAACTTTATCATGGCTCTGATCAGCTCTCCGTTCAAGTTCTGATTTTCTGCGACTATTTGGGATGTTCTGAGAATCAAAAGTCTTTCAATTTGCATCAAAAATTGGGGTCACTTTCTCGCAGCAAAGGTCGGTAGAACACTTGGATCCATTCCTGAAGAGATTGCGGCCAAGTTGAAGTTTTTGGCCAAGAGCCAAAGGGAAAGGGTTTCCTAGGTTAGACTTTTTACTTGAGGTTAGTTTTTTTTTCTAACCACAGTGGCTTCGATGAGTTTTCGTAGTCCGATCAAAGAGAGTCGCTCCAAAGAAGAAGCCTCGGCTAAAACTTATCAATGAAGCTTCCAAAATGTATTTTTTTTCGAAGGAAATGTAGGATAAAAAATCCTAAAATCCTCAGAAGAGTTAACTACTGACCAGGACATGGTCAGAACTAAAAAAAAAAGATTTCTCCGTGATAAGAGGACAACTAGATGTAAGTTTTCACGGTGAATACAATTTGAGATCAACTACCCGAAAGCTTTTTAAAAATTTTTTTATGGCTCAAAATTGAAAAGATCACTTAGAACTTCAAAATTTGAAGCTTCACAATCTGGACAAGTTTGATCGGAAAGGTAGACCTCCTTTCATTATTTTTTGATTTATTATTTCTCTCTTATGTTTTTTATATTTCCCAAAGGAAGAAACCGTTGAGACGGTCGGTGGTCGAGGGATAGCCGTTGCACTCGACAGAAGGAACCAATCGGAAATCATCAACAATTTGGCCCAACTTTCGAATTTCTTCGGCGAGAAGTTGAACAGCTCCGATGTCGAATGTCATTTCTAGTTGCTGAAATCTCGGCTTTAAAAGCTGAACTTTCAGTTTTGGACCAACTTTTCCGGCGACGACCTTGCAGAGAGGATAGTTCCAGATGGGCATGACCAGACGAGAAAAGTAGTAGTAAAGAGCGTCGTGGCGCCGCGAAGGCAGCATTCTCATCGACGTCGGATCCCCGCCCGTCACAGATATGTTCACTGAAAAAAATAGAGAAAAAAATATGAAAGTTTCAGGGAGAAAAAAATTATTAGTTTTTATTACAATTTTTCCTCATCAGGAATTTTACTGCAACACTATACTTTCAAGGCTAACTTTCCAGGGTTCAGGCTGTCTCACACTTTTTATGGCTTTAAAAAAACTCACAAGAAGGTGAAAAAGGAGACATGTAGCCGTTGGCATAGGAAGTTTCACCCCGAGGAGTTGACGACAAAAGTGGAGCTGGAAAAATTATAAAAATATTCATTGAAAAAATCAAATCCAACATTTGATCTTCTGTTTCCAGTCGGCAAAGTCGCCTTCCACGGGCGACCAGGTCGAGGTTTCCAAAACTGAACGTTCGTCGACCAGCTCTGGAGCATCTTTCAAACTATGAAGGATCTGTTCCGCCTTAAGTCCCCTTTTTATGTGAATACATTTTTGACGATAACCTTGAGTTTGATTCTTTCGTCCAATGGAGAATCACTGGTAAGAACTCGCAACGATAGAATCAACATCTGGGAAAATATTTTTGATGAAGTCCTCAAGTTTTCGAAATCAAAATATTTATTATTTAGGTTGCTACAAAACAATATTTTTTTTTGAAGGCTAGCTTTTTCTACTTCCATTTTTTTTTACAAGTCGGGCTTCCAAGAATAGAAGCCGAAAAAGAGCTCAGTTTTTTTGAAAAAAATAAATTTTCTGCAAAAAAATTCCCTTCAACTCTTATAGACTTATTCACAACACTTTTTTAGCCTTCATAAGCCTGAGAAATCTGCAGGTTTGTTAAAGGATCCTTTGAGGGTTACTACTTTTTTTTAAAACATTTCTCTTTTTGCAACCTCCTCCTTTTTTGGCGTTTCAGACTTTTCCCGAGAAATCTGAATAGACTTTTTGATCAGAAACCTCAAAAGTGATCAGAAAAACGATTCATTTTTTTTTTTATTAAACCGATAAATTTCTTTGGAAAGCCTCTATATGTCTGGCAAATTGCAAAGCTCAATAATGGGATCATTTTTGCGATGTCTTACCTCAGTCGAACCGAGCTTCTGCCACAACTTCAACGTTGGCTTTCCTTCGACTCCACTCTCGTACAAGGCGTCACGGAACGCATCTACAGCACCGACTTGATCGAATTCGAAAACTCCCTCAAATTTCAAAATTTTTAGGCAAGTTCAAGTAAATTTCACTTCATTGGAACAAATAAGGAGACGAGTTTTTCCTTCGATTTGTTGCCTGTAGTAGGCATGAGGCTTGACTCGATCGACGGTTCCATTTCGTCCCGTTGAGATATCAACCTTCTGAAAATTTCTAGTGAGACTGCTTGAAAGGATGAGTTTTTTGAAGGAACTGGGAGCATCTAAACAGGTTTTCAGACAAAAAAAAACTTTTGAAGAATTTTTCAAGTAGCTTATAAACCTTAAAACACTTCTAGTGAAAAGAAAAAAATTCTGAATAGTTTATTAGAAAAACTCACGCTTCCAGTCAGAAGTGCGATTTCCCAAACGTGTCCAGGAACATTCATTTCAGTCTAAAAACATCTTAATTGAATAAAACTGTTGGCAAAAGTTCAAATCACCATAGATTCGCAGAAGATTCTGGCCGCCGGGTAGAAATAGTTGGACAGACCCCAGACGGTGTTTCTGTTGGCCGTTGCCATTGCGCAAATCGCTGAATGATATATTTAATCATGGTATTTATCGATAAATTCTGATAATTCCTACTTTGCCAGTCTGAAAAGCTTACATCTACCAAAAATCTTTCTAATATTTTGTTCTAAAAATTGAGTACGTTTCTAGTAAATAGCTTCGAAAAAATCTGATCGCTGCTGAACCTTTGATTTCTTCTATATCTTTTTCGGGCTTATTTGGCTTCAATGATATAAAAAAGGCCTAAAAGCTGAAAAATCTTTAAAAAGAAACTTTGAAAATCAGAAAATAATCCTACTTTCATTGACAAAGGCCACAGTGACGCCATTGGGAGCGTTGCCGTAGATACTCGTCGGAGTGATTCCCGGGGAAAATCTGACGTGGGCGACGCGAAGACATTGCGGCCTCACTTCATATTGGGTCAGACACTGAAAATCTTCGTTGAAAATGAATAAAAATAAGGATATTAACTCTGTTTCCGCTGGCAATATTATCCCCCATTACGCCTTGGTTGAGGGCTCTGGCAAGAACTGAAAAAGTACAACCGAACTCCTTTTACAGTAACCGCGACCTGAAATTTTTGAATTTCTATTTTGAACTGAAAATAAATATAGACCAAGTTGAATTGGCTGGACTGACTCGCTTCGAGTGCACAAATCGACGTGATATTTTTGAAAGTTGATTCATCGTGGCCGAATTGAGTGAGTAAATGGGATTCGTGCTGAAAAATTACCATTAAACATATTTTTTTCTGAAAAACAAAAAAAGTAGAAATTTGAACGGTTGTTTTTTTGATTTTTTTATTTAATTTTGATGTTTCAAATAAAATGATTGTATTCGAATGGCTTTCAAAGTTGCGAAAGTCATATCTGCTTGGAACAGAAGATTCAGTGGTTCTTGAACCGGATTTCATTTCAAAAAGTTCATGCAAAAAAACATGATTCTTGCGCAATACAAAAACAAAAAAATGTTATTTTTTTAGCTTTCAAATCCTTTAAAAAAATATTGAAAAAGGTGAAAAATTGAGCTGTAGAAACACGAAAAAAATGATGTAGAAAAAGACTATAAAAAAATTTACAAATCTTTTTAGAGAAATATTCTAATCAGTTTGAAGCCCTACCGCGATTTGTCCAGAGGAAACGCTACAAACTTTCCGGCATTCGTCGCCGTTTTCACCGAGATCGAAAACCTGAAAAATAGATTTTTTTTTAAATTTTCGAAGGGTGAACTATAGTAAAAAAACGCTTCTTCAATACTTTTTTAGTTCGTGCGAGAGCTCTGCGCCTTCAAAAACCTCATTTCAAAGTTTTAATTGGGATAGTTTTGATGAATAACTAGTCATGAGATATTAAAAAGCGCAGAGGTTAAACTTGACCTAAAATAGCACTTTCCTATACTAAAATTATATTTCCCAAAAAAAATCAACGCGAAAATTCTCAACAAAATCACCAGAATCGAGCCGCTCTTCCCAAGGCAATATAAAATGTTCCTCGATTTATCCAAAGTTATTTGGTCCAGGTCTTCTGTATACATTTCATTATATCTCAAACTCAGAAAAATCAGAACAACCTTTGGCGGAAGAAAAGAAGGGCAACTGAATCAAGGTCCCCAGTAACGTTGCCGATTGTTTGACTGAACGGCATTTGTGTCCGGATCCGAACCAACCCGTTTGACGCTGAAAAATAAACATGAAAAAAAGGGAAAATCAAGCGTTTCACCTCATAAACAAACTCATAAAGCTGATTTCCAGCAGTATAGAAAATTCTACCGAGATTGGTGCAGGCAATGTCTCCGATAGCTGCGCCTTCCAAGTTGATCTGAATTTTTATTATGAAGAATCCTCTGAAAATTGACAAACTTTGAAGAAATGGGTCGGATCTATGGCCAACTGGGGCGCCATGGGATCCTCTGATTCCACCACCGGGTATAAAGAAATATCCGTTATTGTTCCAATCACAAGGCCATAAGTTACACACGGCTGTAAAACTTTCTATTAAAATCAACAAAAAAAAATGTTTTTTTTTTACATCAAACACATTGGGTTTCATCGTGACTAGAGAAACTTTAATAATAGTTGTTTCAGAGGAGTCGAAAAACGCCAAGTCATCGCTGGAAAAACCTTATTTTTCAAGAATTTCTTTCTGAACAAACTTCGTCTCATAATTCCACATGTAGAGATTGTTATCGATAACAACCCAAACCCGATTTATAGCAGTGAAAAATCCCATACTAAACTGGCTGTGAACATCTGAACCGAAATATCATTGGATAAATGAAATATTGGTGATACTATTCATTTGCATCTGCAATTCGCCTGGGATCGGTACCCGCCTGTTTATCATGAATTCAGGAGCTCCTTTGGAGTAAAACTTGTCACCAAGACCGGAAAGAGGCGTTGTACCTGAAAAAAAGTATTAAGGTCGCAAACGAAAATTAAAACCATTTTGTGTCAACTTTTCATAAATGTCCGAGTTGTCGATGGTTGACTCTATGTGGTTTGCGACCTGAAAATATATGTGAAAGATAAATCCCAACATTTCGAGTACCTTCAGAGCAGCTGTTTCGATGGAGTCGGCGCCAGCGAGCTCCACAAATGAAGCACTCATCGCCAATTTCCCTCAACTTTATTCAATTGAACTAGAAAAATTAGAGATTACGACAACATATGGAACCGCGAAAGAATTTCAACGCTCTATTCTACCAGATTTCAGTGATTTTCTGTCCATTGTAGGATAATCTATCTAATTTTACTGGGAGTTATATAATTATATATAACGAAGAGTATAACTTCAAAACTTTCATAATCATCAAAATTTAGGAAAGTAATCTGAAGCAAGGTTGGATTAGACGTTGAAAATTCATATTCTAGACTATTATATTCGTACAAAATAAGGATAAACGTTATGAAATTTACAATAATTTTCAAATGTCGAACTTTTTTTCATTTTTTGAAAGGCGCGGGCGCCGAATGTTGAAGTTCGTGCTGATTGCATTCGCAATAAGCTCCGCCTCTCATTGCTTTAGGGCTCTCTCGAGGCAGTACTTGAGTAGTGAATACTCCTCAGTGGGGCAACTTTCAAAGTTTTTGTTTTTTTATTTTTCGTATTTAAAAATATTATCTCGTTATTATTGCAATTTTTCAATAAAATTATGTTCGAGGCATGTTCGAAGAGGCAATAAATTGCTCAAAGGGCTGGAAGGCTTTAGCCTGTATATTGTTTCGGAGTTTTTTTCTTACGCCTTCAAAGAAAACAAACGTGAATACGAAAATTGATCTTTTTGACGGCGCTTCAATTGAACTTTTCTGGTTTTTCGTGATTTTTATTTTTAATTTTCTCAGAATTGATTCGAAAAACGTTTTATTTTTTCAGAGATTGATGACAAGCACCTATTTTGACCCTTTCGAATGGAAATCTTATTACTATGGCTCTCTAAGCCGCGATGAAGCTACAAAGATTCTGTTAGGACCTTCTATAAAGGTCGGAACTTTTTTGCTGAGAGCGACGACACGCAATGCGGCTCATTCTTTAAGCGTCAGGTTTCAGTTTTTCTTTGTACTTCTTTGAACTATCCACTTTTAAAGAGAAGAAGATGAAGGTCCAAACATGGTCAGGCATTATTTGCTCGAAGAAGTTGTCCAAGACGATGGAAACGTCCACATCAAAGTTAATCCTGTTCAGATTTGAATAACTAATTGTTCAGTTCAGATTCACACTCAGTGTTTCCCGGATATGCCTGCTTTATTGAATTATTATAAGATGCGAATTCTTGACAAAACTTCTTTGTTTTATGCCTATAAAAAGCCGATAATTGGAGAGGTCAGTTGAGAATTAATCTCTTTGATAAGTATAGTTTTGAGGTGATGTGCACCCAAGAATATACAGCGACTAAAGATGGAGAGCTTTCTTTTGAAATGGGAGATCGTCTCGAAATATTAGGTTTAATCATGAGTTTTGAAACATTTAGGATAGTTCTGTTTTAGCTAAGCGTTGTGACAGCTGGTGGGAAGCACGAAACATGTCCGGAACCACTGGATTAGTTCCGGCCAACTGTTTTGTGAGTTTCAAGTTTCTTAAAAAAGATAAGAAGGGGATTTACAGAAGGTTATTTCATAAAAAGTACTGGAAAATATTTTTCAATTTTTTTCAGGAAGACGAGAAACATGAAACGACAAATGGAAGCTCAGCCGTCGTTAAACCGACGATTGCTGCGGATAGATCTTCCGACGCTTCTTCCAGCAGCGACCCTCTCTATTCAGAACCTCAGGTGACTGTTGGGTAAAATATGAATTTTTCAAATTTCGAAATGCCTCTTCGTTTCTATAAGAACCATACCACTTTTTTTCTAATTTCTCTGAACATAGTGACCATTTTTCTTTTTTTGTTCCAAATTTCAATCATTGGAATTATCAGATTTCCTGAATTTTTAACTCCACGACTATAATTTTCCTGGCTTCATTAGATTAAGTCTTGATTTTCTTTCATAGTGAAGGCTATATTTTACAAACTTGAAATTTCGAGTTTTTAATATTGAGAGCTCTCATATCATGTAAACCTAAATTTTTTAATTTCAGACAACAATTTTTCTCTTAAAATTGGTTCTCACTAATCTCAGGTCAGCCATATATATTCAACCATAATCCCAAGAAAAATAAGAATCAGTGCTAGAAAAAAAATTATTTAGCCTAATTCTGTTGCTTTTTTTCTAATTAATGTCGCGAGTCCGAAGATAAAAAAACCGAGAAAAAGCTCGTTTAAATTTTGAAATTTTGAAATCATATTCAGTGCATCTTTCGGATCATTATCGACCTTGCTTGAAATACAAAAAAATCCGTTTTAATTTTATTTCTTACATCAGGATGACAGCCCTCGAAGGCTTTTATCTTTTCAAATATCCTCTTTAAGATGGTCTTTCCAACAATGGTCGAAGTGGCTTTTGACCGACAGCCAAACGCCTATGATCCTACCCAGTTGTGCCTCAAGGTACCCCCTTAAAAAAAAATTATACTAAATTCTTGGTTTTCAGAAAGGCCAAATGGTGAAACTATTGAAAAAGCTGACAAACGGGATGTACGAAGGAGAATTAGACGGCCGCCAAGGCTTCGTCCCCTTCACTTACATCCGATTTTTACATTCCGACGATGATTCTTTAGTTGACGAGTCTCGAAGTATGTAGTTTTACCTGTCTGTATATATTTACTGAACTAGAAATCGCATTTTCCATCTTGTCATTCCTGTAAAAAGATTTTCTTGTACTATGTATAGTGTGTGGTAGCACAATAAATTAGTTCTAACTTTTTGTTTTGTGTTTTTTTTACACTTGAAAGCGTTTCATGCGCTTCGTTAGTATATTTGAGTTCATACCTCTTTCTCAAAGAAACAATTTTTTTCCATTTCTCTAATTTTAAACTTGGTTCAGAACACCCAACAGTAATTTTAAAAATTCGATATCTTTTTAAAGTTCAATCAAGATTCCTGAGTTTTATAACAACCAAGCAAGCTAACAATGAAATCTTCTAGGACCTTTGGAAACCTTAGAATAAGTTTCCCCAACAAGTCACTAAATTTTTATTGATAGATTTTTTTTCCTGGTATAGCTTATTATCACTAAATTTTAAACTTATAATCAAAGCTTCTTTTTCACACTTTTACGATTTTTCACAACTTCCTATTGTAGTATTCTCACTGAAGGCTGCTTGAAGTATCACTAGTCAAAAAAGCAGTTTAAATCAATGCTTACTTGAGTCTTTGGAAGGCTCTTTCGAACTTTCATCCTAAGTCTTCCAGAAGCGATCCCAAAACAGATCCTTGTTTTCCATTTCCATATGATATATAAAAAAGTTTAGAATGGATTTCGAATATATAGCTAGGACGATTCGCGGACCAGGAGTCAGCGAAGAAGAGTGGGAGGAAGAATTTCAAGGTTGCGACTGCGAGGTCGAGTGTACAGCTTCATCTGGATGCTCTTGCCTTCTGAGAGCACAGGTAAAGTTTAAAATAGTTTTTCGAGATTGAAAATCTTTATTAGGATAACTATGATTCTGAAGGTCGTCTGATCGATCCCGACGGTCCGCCGATTCTGGAGTGCCACGACGGCTGCAGTTGTCTTCTCGATGAAGAATCAACTTGCAGAAACGCCGTTTTGTATAAAGGCGTCGTGAAGAAACTCGAGGTCATTTTTTTGCATTTTTCAAGGTATTTTTATTTTGTGGTTTCGAAAAAAAAAATATCGAAGTTTACATCGGCAACAACTAGGTAATCTCGGTTTAGACTTTTTGGAAAAGTTTGCAGGAAATTTAAAACGCGCTAAAATTACTTTCCCTTTTCATCTGGTTTTTGAAAAGATATCGTTCGATTATTTTTCAATCAATCTCTAGGTTTTTCGGGCATCTGAAGGCAAAGGTTTCGGCGTCAAAACGAAGGAGCCGTTGACCTGCGGCGATTTTGTCTGCGAATACGCGGGGGAGTGTATCGGTAGGGATGAGGTAGAACGACGTCATCTTGAGCACATGAACGAGGACAACTTTACGCTCACCCTCAAAGAACATTTTGGCGGTTCGTGTGCGAGAAATGAGACTAGCTGATATTTCCTTCAGCTGAAACGATTGTCACTTTCATCGACCCGAGAAAGAAAGGCAACATTGGCAGATTCATGAACCACAGCTGCGAACCGAATCTTCAAGTGGTCGTTGTTCGGAAAGGAACGATGATTCCAGTCGCCGGGCTTTTTGCCAAAAGGTTTGTATTTTACTCGCGTGATCAAGAAGGCGTCAGAAATGTTTTTTGAAACTTGTTTTTTTGTAATAAGGCAATAGAGATCTTGAGTCACTGCGGCTACATCAAAAACAATCATTTTTATGGCTAAGTCGTGCGAAAGTTCGACAAACAAATCGAGTGTGATTCAATTTATGGTCTTTGTAGGAGGAGTTTTTTTTTTATTTTAGCCGTACGGAGCTCATAAAGTTCGGACTTCCCTAGTGAGCACTAGCCTACATCAGAAAGCTGTAGGCTAGTGCTCACTCTCCATTTTTAAGCTTTGAAAGGTTTAAATTTTACATCTTTTTGTACCTTTTTAATTTTTACTACTCTGTGACCTAAGCTATCAAGACAAGACCTGGTAGAGCCTTTACATTCCGAGATTGAAAAATCAAAGAAACTCGCTCCACCCAACTACGCTCTAAGTTGGTTCAACCCGCATCGAAAGAGAAAAAAAAAGGCAATTTTCCGTTTCAGAAATATCGCAGCCGGCGAAGAACTTTGCTACGATTATGGCGAGTCTCAAATCGATCCAGTAAATGCTAGAAAGTATGGAAAAATATCTGAAAACCTTCCTTATTCTGTTCAGATGCCTCTGTAGCACTCCATCGTGTCGCGGCTTCCTTCCAATGTCTCTTACTGCCTCTGAATGAACTCTATCAAAATAATAAACATTTTTTAATTATTCTTGATTGTTTTTATTTTCTTATAGAAAGTTAGAAGCTTTTGTACTTGTAAACTCTATAAATTGTAAATATTTAACATGTTTTGCTCAAAGAGATGGCTCTACACAGAAGGACTCCCAAACAGAACAGAAAGAAGCTGAAGTCGGTCGATCCGTTCAACAGAAAGGCCAGTTCTATCAAAGCTGAAAAGTTGAAGTACGCGGTTTTTAGTGAGCTTTTGAAATTTAATTTTTCAAGAGGAAAAAATTTCGAACCGAAGGCGAATACAGATGAGCAGCCCCTTTCGCGGTCTCAGAAGAAGTTGATCGAGGTAAGGACTATTTACAAGCTTAATATTGATAAGTATTTGATTTTTGAGGCGAAGAATGAACCAGTCACCAAGGAGACGATGAAAAAGAAGAAGACGCACAGAAATAGAATCCTCGGTCGAAATGAAAATTTTTTTTTTCTCAATATTATAACTTGGACGTATCTTCAGAGGAAGCTGAACGACATGGGCTGAAGAAGGGAAGATTTGAAAGTGTGGAAAAGTTTGTCCGACGTTGTGAGCGAACGATGAAGGCTGACGTCAATGATCACATTCTCATTGTAAACTTTTCTTTTTTCATATTATAACTTTCAAAAATTCAGGCCAAAAAAGGTCTCTCTGGACGAGCCGAGGCCGAAATCAACGCAGAATACAAGAAACTGGAAGACGCCGAGGAGAAGAAGAAGGAAGCCGAGAAAAAAGCCGTCCAGAGCCGAATCGAAAAGGCTCGAAAACAGCGCGAGAAGGAGGAAAACAAGCGAAATGTTAGTAGTCTTTATTCATTAACAACATGAAAAAAGAGGTAGGATACAATTGTTTTTACTGAAGGCATGTCACCGTGAATGATTCGATATCAGTAATTTGGGACCAGTTTGGGAAACGTAGCGGAAAGTAGATGGGACTAGAGATTCTCAACTTCAGTTTGGTTCTATGTTTAGGAGACAAGAATTGCGAAAGAGAAAAGGCGTGAGAAAAGACGTCAGAATGAGGCGACGGATAATGAAGAAAAAGAAGAAGAAGCAGCGGCAGAGCCTTCAATAAGCAAGGTTTTATTATTTTAAAAAAATGAAGTTATATAGTTTTTTTCTTCTCAGAAAAAGGAGAAAAATCCCGAATCGAAAGCCCCTGAGGTTGAAATGCCATGTTTCTTCAATAAAAAAAGGAAGCACCAGGAGAAAAATGACCCGGCCGATGCTTTGAACACCATTGGTAATCGAAATTTTGTGAAATATTTGGCAAGGAAATCAAAAATTTGTAGAAGTTGTACCTTTCGGCGCCAGATATGACGCTCCGCCCACTTTCTCCAAGGAATTCAAAAGAAAAATGGATCCTCTTATGGCAAAGGTATTGAGAGACTTTTTCCAAGAAAAAATGTGAATAATTTTCAGGCTGGATCGAAAACTCTGTTATTGCACTCATTGTTGTCTAAAAGCAACTAGAAATGATCCGTTATTGTTGTTTTTGTTGTTATAAATCTTTCAAAAATTGAATTTCGAATTTTAGAGATCATATATGTAAGATTTACTCGATTCGCCACAACTTTCAACGTTTTGGTTGCACGTAAAATGGCTGTAAAAGCTTCACGCCAAGCCATTCCAAATGCGACCAAAAATAGTCAAGTCATGGATAATGAACTATAGCGGTCCTCATTCTGTCTCCTGAGTTCTACTAGATTGAACCTAACTGCAAATTGCAGAGATGCAAAATAACTTAACTTAACAACTTGAAATTAAAAATGATAACTGTGAGTTCTAATCGCCGCGAGACTGATTATCCTAAGATACCCGCTTTGAAGATAAATTAGCACGAATGAAAGGCAAATGCAACAATGTGGCAATAGGTTATTTGTACAATGTGAGTGGAAGGGAAATGAATAACAGTGAAAAAGATGATTTTGAGATAGAAATTAAGAGAGAAAGACATCTTTGACGAGGGGATCGAAGGTCATCAGATTGAACAAGTCCGAGACTCTTGTCTGATTGTACACGGCCATGATCGAGCACTAAATTATTTCGACTTTTTAGAGAAATATTGACAAAAACTGACCCGAATACTCGCGGTGAACAAAATGACAGTGCCGACACGAACCGCCGCGTCTTTCTGATATTTCTTTTTGCAGTGGTCCGTCAGTTCCAGAATGCATCGGGATTCCAGTTGCTGCAGCATTTCTCGACTTTCCAGAAAGAAGTTTTTGTCTGAAATTTAGATATTGCAGATAGATCCGATTCTGTATTTCATAATTTCAGGGTGAAATTAATTTTTTTGAAATGAAAATGTAGACACCATTATTTCAACATTCTTTTAGGGTTTCGAGAACTTTGAAAAACTGAATCAAACATAACCATAAAGACAGATTGACCTCTCCTTTTTTTGAGCGATGCTTCGAAAAATAGTATAAAGACTGATTAAGAATTTTGATTCCACCTAAAAAAATATAGACAATACAAAAAATTAAAATGTGAAATTTTTAGCCACAACCAGATGGCTGTAAAATCTAGGCAATTTCAAAATGTTTTTGTTTTAAATCCTATTTTTGATCCTTTCTTCTCAGTTGAACGATACCGCAAATTTAATTTCTATTGGCCAGCTCTACTCTAAACACAGAAATTATGGAAAACATACGTCCAAAGAGCAGAATAGTTTTCAAAACGGCGCATTCAAAAGTATCGATGACCAAGGCCTTCATCGGTAAACCGACACTTTGCAATGCGTCTTTCACGAAATGCGGGTGCAATCTGAAATTTCTCATCTAAATCAGAAATTTTTTTTTTCCTACTTGGCCTTTGTGTGGACCATATCCAATCTTTTATCTGCCTCCGGTAATCCTTTGAAGTAATCACTGTGCATGTATGTGTTATTTTGAAGCATCCAGAGATCCTGAAAACTTAGCAGCGTGAATTTGAACACAAATATTTCACAAGGTGTAAAATGAAAAAGAGAGATAATTTCGATAAATTTGATTTATACGCAGGAGGTATTATTTGGCGTTACTTTTGATAGATTTCATAAGCATCGGATTTCATTGACTTCAATATCAACCTTTCTTTTTGAAAATTTCCTAAGGTACCAAGAAGTTTTCAGAAAACGCCATTATTCATAAAAAAAAAAGAATTTTCAAGAAAATAACGGCTTTTTGTAAGCTAAAAATCAGGAAATCCTTCCTGAATGGCATAATTTTTTGAAGGAATATCTAACCTACGAAGTTTAATGACTACCTTCCATTCGATGAAAAATCACCACAAAAATACTACAATAAAATAAACATTTTCTCACATCTTCTTCTCGTTGCGACGTCAAATATCCTTGATCGACAAGCATAAAGGCGAATGCGTATTCCGATAAAATGCTTTTCTTAAATCAATTTTTCAAGTTATGACCAAAAAAATGTGAAAAACCTTGTGATGATTGTGTAAAGACCGGAAAATCTCAAATTGGTTGGCCCATCGGACGGCGTCTACGATCCCCAACCGTATCATTGTGTTAACATCGCCTGAGCGAGCTCGCCGAAAGTTTTCGCCTTGGATCTGGAAAAAAAGAATCCGTATTGTGTGTTTTTAATCAATATAAATGAATTTACGATAATTGAATATCATGATAATCCAAATGAGTAGAAAAAAACTTTTTAACTCTCATCTTTTTGACTGTTCTCTGTTCGCGTTTACTTTGTCTAATTTAATAAAAATTACCCTTTTTAAGTTCGACAAGCTCTGGGAAAAAAATAATTTCTCATTAGAAAATGGATAAAATGTGTGAAACCTATGAAAAAACCCAAAACCCCTGTTTATCAAAGTAAATTTAGACATGAGGTGAAATTATTCTTTTTTATGGAAGAAAACCGCGTGATTTCACGTTTTTTTATATTATTGGACCTCTGTAACGCAAACCGGACGCGCTACGGAAAAATTCTAGAGTTAATTGAAGGTACTGACGCCGCTAAAGTTGCCATTAGAAATGCTCAGAAAAAGTCCGGCATATTTTTTACCGAGGTCCTCATTTCAAGAACACCATTTGACATAGGAATCGCAAAAATTCAAAAAAAAAAAACAATGAGAAAGATTACAGAAAAACTAAATTCATACTGAAAAGAGAAGAGAACAATTTTATTGATATCTTACTCGGAGTTTGATGTCGTCGAACATATCAGCACCCATGGAAAAATTCTCGCCCATGCAGAAATAAGAACGGTGGCAGGACCACTGGTGTTCTTGAAGTCTCATTAATTTGTCGATTAATCCTCCAGTTGAACTAATCGTTACTGAAAAAATTAAGATATATCGCAGAAAAAGAAGATATTAACTCAGACATCGAGAAATTACCAGCAAAAACGGTAAATTGAAAAAATACTGACCATTGGAAGAGGTTCCGCTGGTCGATGCGACCGGCGTACAAACTGGAGAAAATCTTTCTTCTTTGATTATTTGAGGCGCAGGCATGTTTTTCGACTTTCTTGGGCCCATCACATCTCTTCTTTGGATGGCTGAAAAAAAAACACTTTCTAGACTCAAAAACAATTTCATTTCAAATTTCACGCTATAAAGAATATTAAAAATTTTTCGTAAAAATGCAAAGTCCTTTCAAAACTAGAAAAAAGCCATTTAAAAGCTCCTTGTTTCAATGGTTTTTTGAATAACTAGTCTGACTTCTTTTTAAAAATTAGATCAATTTTTTTCTGAATCGACTACAGAATTCAGCCAGTGAATTATATCGCTTAATGAAACAACATAAAACAATCAGTTTCTTGAAAATTTGCCAGCTTTTTTAGAAAACAACAAAATCGTATGAAGATCTCCCAAAAATTCAAAAAAATCAACAATACCACTATTAATTTAGTGTTCCTTGAACGTGGAAAATGCCAAAACCTAACTCTGAGCTTCAAAAAAAGGTTTACACAAACCTGCTGCTTTCATACCAACAGTGAAGCATTTCTGAAGCCGACAAAACCGACATATACATCTGGATTCTGTAAAACACCTTCTGTAAAAGACCTTCAACATTCATATCTCCCAACCATTAGTGATGGGGCAGTTCTCGCCTTTGAGGCACTTGTAGTTGACGTCGTTGATGATGGCGCGCCGGAAGAAGACGATGCATCCGAGGCAGGCGGGGGCGCCGTAGCGACTGCCGTTCACCCGGTCTCCGCAAACCGCACAACCACTCATCCGCTTCCGTTGTTCCCTTATAGACACCTCTAAACGGCGCAAACTGTTCAACGCGTCTCGAGAAACATTCTTTTTCATTGTCATAGCTCCCGCGAATTCTGAATGGGATTCGGTGGGGGGAAAGACTGACGGAGCGAGATTTTTCAACGTTTTACACCAAGGAAATTCATTTCTAGATAACTGACCGTCGGAATAATTCTTTCGGTATTTTTTATGAGAGCCAATCTGGCCACTTCGATGATCAAAAATTATCAAACGCATAAAAAAGACATCCTATTTTCAAAACGCTTCAAAATGAGACGGGAAATTGAGGGATTCTAATGAAAAAAACTACTTTCAAAAAAATTCCAAAAACGATTTTCTCAGAAAAAAATCATTTTGGGACTTCAACGTTGTGTTTGAAGCACAGAGAGCAGTAAAATAGTTTATTTCCGGGGATTCCCTAAAAATGAATCAATTTATGTGGCATACAGAGCACTTTCTTTGTTGAACAACCAAGTTTATCAAAGTGTTGAGAAACAGAAAAATCATCCGCCAAGAGAGGAAATTTTATAAAAATCAGCACACTTTTTCTAATTTCGAAACGATTTTTTTATTTTGAAACATTTTTTTCCTCTTTACACACCATCAGTTTATTTTTTTGCTATGCATGAAAAAAATAAATTATTAGGGGGTCGGAAAATCACAAATATTTCAACAAAAAAAAAACCTTGGTGCGGAGAATAAAAAAAAATCAAAAGGTTCTTATTCAAAAAAAAACTGAAAAAAATGCCTTTTCAACTTAAAAAGCGAAAAAAATTAAGTAGTTGAGACTTTTGGTTTTTTTTCACAGAAAACAGAAAAGCAATTTTTAAAACACTTCAAAAAGAAAGCACTCCGGATGCCCTATTAATGAATAGGAAACTTTCATTCAAAAAGCGAGAGAGTGTGAAACAGTGGACGAAAAATCGATTCGATCAAAGAAAACGACCCGACGCTCTATTTTGTTCTTTTTTTCATCGGGTTTCAGTTGGTACGCTTATCTTTCACAACTCGTTTTTGTTTCCCTGTGCTGCGATTTATGATCTCTCACCCACCAACATCAAAATTGTTTCTTATCGCAAACTTGTAAAACCTCGTCTTCTTCTTCATCTTTTTCAAAGTACACGAATTATTTTTGGACCCAGAGAACGTTTTCGAATGAAAAATACACTAGAAATTGGTTTCTTAAAACTTACTTCACACCTTTTTCTGAATAAGTGTCAACAATACTTTTGAAAGTTGGTCTTATAACGACAATTATATACGCTAAGCATCTTTTTTATTTACTTCAAACCTTTTATTCTATATTAAATAACGGAAATAAAAAAAGACATTTCTCGAAGGCGAAAAAAACGGATTTATCAAAATCACACTGTAATAATCAATTTATTAAAAATTGACTTCGATAAATTCGTAAAATCATTCTTATATATTTATCAATAAAAAAATTTCCAACGTAAAAAAACTCTATGCATTCAAATTTGACACCTTTAAAGACACCGCAACTTCTATTATATATATTTCACAATGGACTTAACACTGACAGAGAATTAGCGCATTGATAAACAAAATATGAACTTCTCATATGTATATATACTAGGGCTCGTAATATAAGTAGTATTTTTATGAATTAAAATTTATTATTTCTTTAGATTCAAAACCAAATGAACTTACATGAACATAAAAATAATGAGAAAATCCTCCAAGAAAAAAAAAACCCGTGTAATTAGAAAAATTTAACACGCACAGCAAAATTTCATCAAATATAATGCCGTGTTCAAAGTAATTTCCGCGAAATGCAAAATGATCTCTGACTCTCCAAAATTTAGTGATCTTTTCCTTTCTCTAACGGGTATTTTGCATTTCGCGGAATCAAATTGAACACGGCATAAGAACTTTGCCAAAAAAACAAAATGTGAAAAATATAAATTAGGTGTCATTTTTGCTCTAATGCGAAAGCATCTCCCTGCGTTCTTTGCAATCTCCGCCCATATATATGTGCCACACGCTCCTCCTGCAAAAGTTGGCCCAAAAATTATTTTTTTAATTTTAATTTTTTTAAAGTATTTTAAAAGCTATTTTGTTAGAAATATTGTGAGAATCGACTTCGCATAAGTTACGTTTACAAGTTTACTTTAAATTTTGAATAACTTTGATCTCATGGAATCTTTTTTTCATCTCTTTATTCGATTTTTTTAATGTTTTTCTCAGTTTTCACATATTTTATACTGTTTCATTGCTGCTATTCTCCGTGCTAACCCGCAAGTAGGTGCCCTTAATTTTTTTGTTTGAAAAATGACAAAGTGGACGTGTGCTAGAGAAAAAAAATGTTTGAAAGTTTTTGAAAAGATATTCATCTTTTAAGCGAGCTCAGACCTGTTATTTGAAAAATTTCTAACTAGGAACTCTTCTCAATATTAGAAACTCGGAAGAAAATTTAGAAAGAGCTTTAAGAATCTATGGGCGTGTTCTTGGGAAAAAACGCAAAAAGTTGCTCCAAAACAAAAGTTAGTACAGTTTTGAAGCAACTTTGGCGCTCCGATGAACACGTTTTTCCGTTTTGAAGCATGTTCCGTTTATCCGATGAACACGCCATATTGGTGTGTTAATTGAAAACTTCTTTGAATTTTTTTTAAAACAAGTTATCGTTTTTCAGGTAATAAGACGAAATGGACAAGCTCACCCTTGCTCGCGTGAGTTTTATTTAATTCTTTTTTTAAAAATAATTTTTTTGATGAAACTTCGGTTATTTACCATTTTCAGGTTACCAAAGTCATTGGCAGAACTGGATCCCAGGGACAATGTACCCAAGTCCGTGTCGAGTTCATGAACGACCAGAACAATCGATCCATCATCAGAAACGTCAAGGTACGATAGAATATTGAATCATTTTGGTGCTACTTTGTCTTGAAAATTTAGTTTTAATCTTTGCTAGAGACCCGCTTTTTGTAAGGAACTTTTTTTTTGGTTATTTTACATACCATTTTCGATTAAATTAAAAATTGAAAGAAAAACTTCATCCTCTTCCGTTTTTATTTACTTTATTATTTGATTCGCTATGGAATGGAACTCGGTTTTTGGCGAATCAAACGTGGTACGAAAGAGTACTCCTATTTCGGTAACGAGAACCGGACGCTTCTGAGCGAATTTAGGGCTTAGAGTGCCAACGCTACTGAAGTGGTTACTGGAAATGCTCCGACATGTCCGTTTTGCGTTACCAAGGTCCGAGCATTTTTTCGCTATGCGATTATAGCACCATCTGGAAAAAATTCAGAATGTTCGAATTTTTTCTCAATAAGTTGAAAAAAAAGCGAAATAATTTTTTGCAATTCCTCTTCAAAATGCGATTTTGTAGGGACCCGTTCGTGAAGGAGACATCCTGACGCTTTTGGAAGCTGAGCGCGAAGCCCGACGACTCCGTTAATCATTTTATATGAAGTTATTGTTGTGTTTTGAATAAAATTTCATTTTTATCTGTTAATATCCTATGCATGGGAGAAAAAAAGTTTCAAGTACTTTGTAAAGCATATATTAAAGTTTTCAGTCTATTATTTTATCAATGAGTATTCAATATATCTATTAGGTAGTTTCAATTTTCGTTGTTGTGGTTCGGAAGTGTGAAAATCTGCTGGAAAGTCGATCTATATTTGGGGAGAATCAACAACTTGTAGTTCCACGTAAAATGGAGTTGCGAGCGAATGCGAGGAGATCAAAAGATAAAAGGTTTATTTTGGTGAAGTTTTCTGCTTCATTAGTCTTCGGTATGGAAATTTTTTTGAATCTGCTGTTCTTTTAAAACGAGACAGTCGCTCGGAAAACTAGTGTTGATTTCACAAGGTCAAAAGTAAGAACACGGTTCTTTCTTTATTTTTGTTAGGAGAAAAGGTCAAAATTTCAATCGTAGGCGGCAGACGATTTTCTTCAGATATATGTATTAATTTCAATGCTTACTTTTGGGGTTGCGTTCAGAACCGAGGGAGATCCTCCCGAAACAGTTGAAAGAACTGTCTTCTATAATATTGACGAGTTGTACAACGAGGAGCTCTACGATGACCTCGTTTACCTGTACGAAGTCGCCTCTCCAATCAAGTATAATCTCGAATTTTATTTTTGAAATAAATGTTTGACCTCAGCACAACGACTAAAGCCGGTCGAAGTGTGAAGAATCAGTTGAAATGTACGATACAAGTGGCGGACGCTTACTACGAGGTGGAAGAGTACGAAAAAAGTATCGAGGTTTTGAAAATTCCTAATTATTCTGTCATTGTAAGTAATTCCAGGCTTACCGAAAAGCTTTGATCCTTTTCGCAAATGTTTCCCTCAATCAGAAGGTCAGTTTTTTTTTTGAGGATGTGTTCTTGTAGTTTCAAAACCTTCTTTACAGCTTCAAAGGTTTTTTTGAGAATGTAGACTGCTTTTTCCAAGATCAACGAAAGGCTGTTTGAAATACTCCAAATGAAAAGTATTTGAATATTTGAACTTTAAATATTGACGGACCATAGTTTTTTTCTATGCCTAGAGTCTCTTTTTCGAACTTCTAACATCAAGAATTTGTTTTTCAGCGTTATTCCGAAGTTGAAGTGCGATATCGAATGCACAAAGCCTTTTTGAAGCACCGCAATCCTGATGAGGCTTACGGTTTCTCATAATTTATATTCTTGTAATTCAGTTATTTTTAGCGATTCTGAAGAGTATTCCGGAAGAAAATGCTCCGCTCAAAGTGAAAAGCGGCATGGCGAAATTACTGATGCTGCCGTTCGATTGGGACAATCCCCAAAAGGCCATCAATCAAAAGTCCTCCATCACCAAGATTCAACTGTTTGGTTCAATTTTGGATCACTAGTCGATTTTTTATTCAGAGATGTATACAACAAATGTCCCAGCGCTCTGCGGAACGTTTGTAACGTTTTGCATGAAGATGCGCGGCTCGGCGCTTCCTTGAAGGCTGAAACTGTCGCTAAAAATTATGAAGGTGAGGACAAAGTCATTTTTTCGATTGATAAACTGAAAATGATATTGAAAAAAAAATGAACACTAGCAATTTTCACAGCAAGAAAAAGTGAAGTAGATTAATTAATCACCGGAATTTGACAACCCTAATGAGTAGGATTCGACCCGGTATTTGACAAGAATAAGCCATTCTACTCCGGCTTATTGCGTTTTTTTTGTAAAAAAAGACCGTACACTGTATTAGGTCAAATTTAATTTCACTTCGCTTCAAGACCCTTTTTGCTGCTTTTTTGCACTTTGTAGAGCATATATTTCAATAAACAGGTTGGATCGTAAAAAGTGATAATTGAGATAAAATTGGGGGAACCGTTAAATCTTTAAAATTTTAGATTTTAAATTAGTTGACATGGTAACCGTTTCAAAGAGAAAAAACTCGTTCAAAATGTATTTTTTTACCGATAATAAATATTGAAGTTTAGGACCAGAAGCGGGTTGCTTAAAAGGTTGGCTTCTGTCGCAGGAATTGGCGAGGGAGAAACGTTATCCGGAAGCTGTTCAAGCATTGCAAATATTTTCTGATAATCCAAAGTATGGTTTCGATTCAAAACTTGGAAAGAAACTTGATTTTGAAGCGAATTTGTGAACATTAATCTCTTTTGACCTCAAAAAATTATATAAAGCCGAAAAGTCTGTGACTTGCCCGCATGAGTTTCACTTTTTGAAGATTTGAATATTCAAAATTTTCTGTAGTAACTTGGCAAAGGGTTGAACAAAAATACATATCACCAAGAAAAAGGTTTTCATTCACAAAATCTCCGAGATAATCGCTAGAAATTTTTCAGTCCTAGACAAAGATGGCCTTTTTAGTACACTAATAAAACTTTCGTCATCTACAATTTCCGCTGATAAAAATAATAGGAACACTTGAAAGTTTTTTTGTTTTGAAATTTCAAACCTTTAAAGCATTATAGCATTTTACACCACTCTTCTCGCAATTACAAGTCATTTCCGCTTCCAGAGCCCTGATCCAATCGGCTCTTCTATATTTCCGATTGGGAATGCGTTGCGAGGCCCGCAAAAAGCTGCACATTGTGGCGACTCGTTGGCCAGATAATTTCGAACAGATGGATCTTCTCGCCTATCTTTATAGCTTGGTGTGTCGATCTAGTTAGATATTTAACATTGGCTTTTTTCCAGGAGTATTTCCGTTTCATGTCCGACTTGGAAACTTTGACGAATAACCTTTCCTCGAGATCTCATCTCAGGCCAGAAACATTTATTGCCCTAGGTTACCTTGCCAAGGCCGGCATGTCGAAGGAAAGTAAACGAGGTGGATTTTTATTTGATAGAAGCTGAAAGTATTGAAAAAATAAGAGGAAAGTAAGGAAAACATTTTTTCTTTAAGAAAAGCAAGTTGAGATCTTTACCTCAAAAAAAAGGTTTGGTAGATAAAGTCGTTGAAAATGGCTTTGCCATAGGAACTGAAAAAGTAGCTTTCTTGAGGTCTTCAAGAGAATAATTTTGAGCTTTTCCGATAAATTTATATAGCCTCACAGAAAAAGAAATAACTCTGTAAAATTTGATTAAAAAAGACGCTAGAAAAATAGCCAACTATGAGCAAAATCATAGGCGTCAAAATAACTTCAGAAGATCAACGAAATAAAAAAGTGTCCATTTGAAAAGTTGCTCGAAGTAAAAGCATGAAATTTAAAATAAGATTCTTGAAAATTTCAAAACTTCTTAAGAATCAGCCCTTAAACTTATCGAAATTCTCACTGCTTTATCAAGTTTTATTCAAAATTTTCTTGAATATCAATAAAAAAATTATATTTAAGAGACCGAGTCGACGACCAAAGCTAAACGGGCCGTGTTCTTCGGAGGCCGAGCCACTGAGTTGGCCATCCGCGGAACTTCTCAGTATTCGCATGCTTTGATCCTGAAAGCCGCTGTCCTTGAGGATATGGGTCATTTTTCTTTTTGGAAAAATTGTCTATTTTTTTGTTTCCAGACAAGAAGCAAGACGCAATTGATCATTTGAAAGAAGGAATTAAGTTGGATCCGACGAATTTCGATTTGAACGACGCCTTGGTCGAGTGTCACTTGTCGAATAATGAGTTGGTCTTGTGTTCATAGACTAAAAAAACTCATATTCATGGTTTTAAATTTTTTCAAGAGAAGACTGAAAAGTCTTCATATAAAAAAAATTTGCGAAAAATAGAAGAAAGGACGAAAAAACTTATTTACGTTGCTTCTTTTTGATCTTATTCAGCGATGCGTTTTTTTTCGCCTTTTCGGTTTTCTATTTTTTCCTAGAGAAAAAAATCTAAAAAAATTTTTCTGACTTTGTTCTAGCTCCACGTTTTTTCTTCAGCTTCCGTGAAGCAAAGGCAGCTGCGGGAAGATTTTTGGATCTCGTACCGGATGATCCACAGGCCCGTCTGTTGAATGCTAGCGTTTCGATGAAAACTGCGAATGTCAATCAGCAGGTTTCCGTTTGAAACAAGTTGATTTGTTGAAATTTTTTGCAATTTTTTGCTTTAGCATGGAAAAAAATAATAATCTTTATCATTTCAGTCTTGAATTCAAATTTTTAGGAGCTCGTGGCTACCGTTGAGGGAATCGTCAGGAAGCATCCCTACTTGCTCGATTCCGTATACCTTTTGATGCAACTTTACGAGAAGAGCAATGAGCCGAAAAAGTCGGTTGCAATGGTCGAGCGCGTCGTGCAGGTTTTTTTGAATTTAAATTTTATTGGTCTATAAAGAGACCTGTAGAAAGGAATCGGACGTTTAGTATTTTTTTTTTTCTGATGAAAAATTGTTTCTTAGAAGGCTACTTATGAAAAAATAGAAACTTAGCAGATATTTTTCAAATAGTCAGTCGAGGAGCTAATCTCGTAAACAGAAAAGAAAACTTGTAAATTAACATTCAATCTTACCAGGAATCGTCAATCCCCCAAATGGCGATGGGAAAAATTCACGAGCTGTTGGGGAATCTCTACTCGCAGGCCAACGAGCCTCTCAGCGCCTACGACCATTTTCTGCGCTCCGAATCGGCCGGCAACGAAGTCGACCCCGCACAGGTACGTTCATGTTGTACAGGTGCTTTTTTGATGAGTGTCCAAGACTAGATGGAAAGAAATATTTTGAAGACCTAATTTTGGAGGATGTGTTGGTTGGCACAGTTAATTAACAGAGAAGTCGTTTGAGTATAGCTGAGAAAAATTCAAAATTTTTTTTCTGAACGGTCTTCCCTGAAATTCATGCGGTCAAGGCATCTTTGTTCTGTGATAAATGCAACTTAAAAACCGAAAAAAAAACATTAGTTCCTTCGCCAAAGTTGGATACGATTCTAAAAATCGCAAAAAAGGTCTGATTGACACATTTTAAATCTTGTATTGTTCTTTTCAGTGCTGAAAAGAAGTTTTCAAAAATTCAAAGCTTGCTTAAGAAATTCTGAGAAAAGGTTGACAAGAAAGCTTGCCACCGACGAGTTTGAAAGGACTACTTGTCTTCGTTCCGTCGTCGTCGAAGTCACCATCTCGGTCAATTCAGATGAACGAAGTGGAGACGCAGCTGCGGGCTCTGTCTCAGTCGATAGACGATGAGCCGATGACTCCGACAGGGAACCCCGACGCGCGGCCGCCGGACTCGTCCCTCTTCTGCCAACACGTCTTCTAGCGAGTCCAACGCGACCCTTGGACGCGCCGAAGAAGACATGGATTGATGATCTCAAAACTTTTCTTTCAAACCAACTTCTTGTACACATGTAATGACCACTTACGAATTAGTAAAACTGCTTTAAAAGTTTATCTTGCACATTTGAAATTTTTATGAGTCGAAAAAATGAGCATTTCTCTTTGTGAACTTTCTAGAGGATAGAGGATCGTAGCAAGTATAAAAGGAGATCAGATTTTTCAAAAAACAGGCATTTGTTAGATACAGAGAAAAAGTTAGATGTTGGCGTCGTAGTAGAGTTTCTCGAATGCGACTGCATGAACAGGTCTCCCCGAATGTCTGATTTTCCGAATGGCACGACTGAAGGCGACAGCCAAGGCCACCGCCCAGATCGCCAAGCTTCCAACTGAAAAATCTCGATTCTTTGCTCATAGGAGGTAAAAAAAATATTTAGACGGATTTTCACAAAGTTTGCTGATGGGGGATTTCCCTGTGAGAACCCAAGAAAACGCACCGATGCAGGTCAAAAGCAGAAAATGATCCCGCGACATTATCCTTTTCCAATGATTCTTCTACACGCGATATTATTATGAGTTTGTGGAATAACCAATTTGGCAAAGCTTTTATTTCACTGGAAAAGCCCCCAACGTCATAGGCGACATTGTTCAAAATTAAGAGGGCAGTTCTTGTCAAGCAAGCGAAACGCGGAAAAAAGACAATTCAACGCCTCCTGCGCTTGACATTTTGTGTTGTTTGATGAACGACAGTTTGAAAAATGTTTTCCTCTTTTTTGAAACGATTCCAATCTTCTTTCTTCCCTTCATTTTCACTCTGTTATTGAGACTCTGGTCGGTCTGAACTATTCGCCGTCCTGAGATCCTGCTTCTTCTACTTGCTTGAGCGGCGTCGACGTCCCAAGTCGATTAGCCGAGATCTTATCCTGATATCAGTGATAGTCAATGGATTGGCTCTAGCTCTAGTGGCCTATCCGTCCTTTTGTGTGACGGCGGTTTCGTAGTCTTGGTTTTCCACTACCAAAATTTCTCAGACCCTTTGGTTGAGTCGCGGCGCGGGTTGAACTTGTGACCCTGTTGACCGTAGACAGGCACACAACCTGTTGCGCTAGGCCTTTATTCTACGTCTCAAGCATCATTTTGAAAAGACTTCGGAGTGAATAGTTGAAGTTACCAATGGTAAATAATCATTCAAGTTGGCCAGAATGACAAGAGATCAGAGTTTATTGTAATGAACTCACTAAAAATGAGCTCAATCAGAGACATCTAATTTTTCGACTTTGAGAGCCCCTAACTTTTTCACAGGTCTCGAGGGCAGTTTTTGAGACCAGATTTGGAATCAGCGTGAAAAACTACATATAGTGGACTTAGTCTCATTCAGAAGAGGCCATAGTCAGTTAAATATTCTTTCTTTCAAATGGTAGATCAATAGATCTCTGCTCTTCTTTCTCACACCAAAAGCTCTGTTCAGCAAAACGCGGCGTTCCATTTTGATTTTTGGCGGTTAGTGTGTTTGAAACTAGAGCTTTTTTTTCTGCCCACATGCCTGTCTCTTTTTTCAACATTTCTGATTGACATGAAGGTCCGTTCACAACAGCGTGCTGAGGTGTTTAAAGACGCAGTAACCAGGCGTGGCCTGAATTAACACTGAAAAAAGCTATTCGCTCCTGAAACTTTCCACAAACCTAGACCTTCTTCCATCAAGTATCATAGGCATGAAAGGAAATTTTTATACGGAACCTTTTTTTTTGCCCGTAGGTAATCTTTTCACCATGCTTCATTTGACGCGAAATTCTCAGAGACCAACAATTTTCTTCAGAAGAGCGTTTATTTTACATTTATACTTCGTGTCTATAGTTTGAATAGTTCTTCGTTGATTATTGCAACAGTTGATAATACATTATCAAGGGGTAGTTTTACATTAACTAATGGGGCGGTTTGAAAACCGGCGAAAAGCTTTTTATATAGAAGATTAAGATCTTGAGAACCTGCATAATTTCCTTTTTTCAAAAACAGTAAGCTCTACGCGAAATCAAGACGACCTCGATTTTTAAGCGTCTTTTCTCGAAAATTAATGGACGATGGACGTTAAGAACATCTATTGAAGAGAATTCTGAAAAAAATTTTTCAGAAAAACTTTGAAGGCTAAAAAGTAAATTGACCTCCTCTATATAAAAGTTGGATTATGGTGATAAAATCCTTGAGGTCCCTCTTTCAGAATCTCACACTTCTGTACTTTACTTGTTTTATGAAGTAATTTGGTTTCAATACAACCCCGGACCTCCAAAAATATAAAAATAGCACTGCTGGATGTTTGGTGGCGGATCCTGGTTGAAAAGGCGCCTCGACGTTTCCATTTTCGTTTGGATTAATTTGCCACGAACCGAGCCCAGTTTTATCGCCGCTCTTTCATTTGTTAGAAAATCATTTTTGGAGAACGATCAAACTTTTTTTTTCTCTTTCTGTCATCTTTTTTCCGTATAACCAGCCTGATGAAAAACTGTTGTAGAGAAAAATAGGCTGACGTGAAAGGAACATTTTTTGAATGAAAGAAAGTTCTTTTTTCATATCCGAAATTGATTGTTCGCCGGAAGATTGATAGTTATGTTTCTTTTAAAAACAGATAAAGGGAAATATTTTTCAGAGAGAGCCTGTTTTGAAGAAAAGTTTCACTTTTTCTTTTTCTCATAAAGCTTACTTTATGCCTTTTTTTAACAAGACATGGCTCCATAAATGTTTCTGTCATTGACACCTTGTCGGAAACAGTCATTTTTATCCCTCTTTTTTGTTTCTCCTCAAAATGACCGCGTAGCCATTTCGGATTCAATTTTCGGCGATTGCAACAGATGGTTTTCGGCAAATCCGATTGAGGAGACGGATCCAGAAGCTCGCCCCCGTGTCGAAATGCATTTAGAACAATTTACGTGACTTCCGCTTTTTTGAATTTTTCGAAAAGCGCGTGTAACGGAATTTCTTTCTTGTACTTGGAACGGAAAGGTAGAGATGAGAATCGAAAGAGTCTTGTCGGGCCTGAGTCCTATGAATAAGCTGGAAAGAGAGGTAAGCTATGTTGAAACTTCAGAAGTTCTTGTTGGCTTTATTAATTTTGATCATTTCTTGATTTGATGAATGTTCCAATATCTAATGGTCAATTTCTAAAGTTGGTTGAGGGATTAGTTATCCCTAAAATCTTTCTGGAAAGTTCGAAAAAGAAATGGCTAAAATTGAAGTTTCTAAACTCTAAGAATCTTTTTCTCCATACTGTTAGAAGCCAATTTTTACTCCTAGTTAAAGACTTCTTCATAGAAAACTATTCTAAAATCCTCTCAAAGTTCAACTTTCTTTTCTTTTCTGTTCAGATTTCACCTCCGACTTGACATTTTTCTAACGACTCTCGTTCCTCATCGAGTCCTCATTCATTTTGCTCATAAATTGTGACAAAAAATAACAAATATTTCATGGGCGAGCTTTGAGTTTTCCGTGTCCTTTTCCGAATTCTTTCAAGATTGCTTTTTTTTTTGGCTTAGACTTTTTCTTTCGGGAAATTTGATAGTTGAAGGAGAAGTCTCCATTTATCCGTAGCTTTTTTTTTTGAATAAGAAGATTTCCAGTGGCGATCCGCTTCTGCAATTTTATACTCTTGAAATAATGGAAATGGTCTTGATTCTTCGGTTTCTTTTCAAATAATTATTTTAAACGGTTTTTGGAATGTCAATATTTCGTAGTTAGAGTGTCAAGAATTGAAGAAATTGAATTATGAATAATAGTTAAATTTCGCCAAAAAATGAAAATTAAATATTCTTTCCCATTTCCGTGAAATGAAAATAATTGAAAAACTCTTTGATTGAGTCATTTCTGGACCGTAGATACGGCATAAAAAAACACGTTTTTTTTGAAAAATATTTTGTCAAGCTCTGATTTTTTTGGAAGTTGATCGCATGCTCAAAGTATTCCGAAGGCTTTTTTTGCCTCTTTCGAAATTCGAGCATCATTTTTTTCTATAAAGTATAAATTTCAAGAAAAAGACTTATAATCAGCCTGAAAAAAATGTATTTGCTGAAACATCTATAATATTAAAAATCAGGCTGTTATTTTTCCTCAACGCATCATTTTTTTCTTTGCAGAACAATTTTATTGAAAAAAATCTGTTATTTTTTTCATTTTGCAGTTCTTGAGACGCATGATTGAAAGCTTTTTGGCCTACAAATGAGGTGTGGCCGCGAAGGAATTTGGTTATAAAACGAGGAGATTATGGTTTTTTTTTTCGGCCGCTGCCGCTTGATGGCTTTTGTTCCGACGGCGTGTATTTCAGAATGAGGAAGGGTGAATCCTCCAATTTTATCTAAAAAAAAAAGAATGTTCCTACTGAAAAATTGCGGTTTTCTGCTCTTTTTTGTGTCAGAGCCGAGAAAAGAAGGAGTTGCCGGAAATTTTATCACCTCGTCTTCTTCTTCTTCTTCTTCTTCTCGGACCAGCCATACTCCCACGAAGTTTCGCCGAGTTCTCACCGAATCTCATTTGGTTTACTCGGTCTATTTTGTCTTTTGACGTCTTTTCGCATCTGCCTTCTTCATTTTTCCACCCAAATTTGCTTTTTTTTTTCCTCTCTGGCAAATCCAAGGGCACACGTGCGATTTATATCGAAACTCTATTACACCTTTCGCCATTCATTCAGCAGCGCTCAAGTAATTGTTCTCGGAATATACGAGTTCGCTAAACACTCTGATTTTCGGGCAATAAACAAATTCGATTTGACGCTTTTTTTTCTCCAAGAAAATCAAGTTTTATTCATACTGTAGATATATTTTCTTGAAAAGACTTTTTTTGGAATGTTGATAGTTTAGGAAAGCTTTCATTTTCGGAGAATATTTATTTTGCGAAGCTGCTTATCTCGTAACTTCATATCAAATAACAATGGAGTTGATCTTAAAGGTTTGGCTTTTTTTTTTTGAGGAGCCTTTCTGTAATAGTCTTAGCTTTTCAGAAACTCCTATGGATGTATTATTATGAATAATTATCCTGCAAACTTTTCCTTTCAAAAGTTAATTTTGAAAGTTAAGTTTGAAGTTTCATTTTATTGAAAATGTGAGAAAAAAACGAGAAATTTGAGGCATATTTTTTTCAAAGACAGGGATTTCTTCCGTTTTGGAATTTTTTTCATTGATTTTTTTGTCTAGAAAAAAATAACTTAAAAGCTAATTTTGAGAAATTTTTTTAGAATCCAAAAGTACATTTTTTTGAGATCTTACGACCATATCTCTTCAAGGCAAAAGTTTAAAAGAAAAGCCGTCGCAAAAAGAATTTTTATTTTCCTCAAAAATTTCAAAATGTCATCGCGAATCACTCATCTTGTCTGAAGCTATGGAGAAAAATGAAAAAAGCCAGAATTTTTGTTCTTGTCTTCTTTTTGGAATCGCATTTTCTGAAGTATTTGCCTCTTCTACAACTAATCAGAGTTTTTTGCCGATTCCCAGAAATCTCATTTGTTTGAAAACTTTCCGACAATCCCTCAAACATAATGCTCTTTTCTTGTCCAACCAACCCATTTTCGCCCACATCATTTCCTAATAAACCTAATGCGATGGGCTCGGCCTTCTCACGTTTCTCCAGGCCTTTTCCTTATCGCTTTTTGTTTTTTTTAGACTTTTGTAAGTTTTGCTCTTAGAATAAGGACGATTTCAGTGCAATTGAATGAAAGGAGCCCACTTGTGATGCAGAAGCGGCTCTGGCGGATCAGCTTGTTTTCATTTTTCGTTTTTTTTATTTTGGTTTGAGGCAGTTTGGCAGGAAATTTTTTTTGAGTTAATTCACAGCAAAAAAGTCATCATTATCGATCGTGGTTAGTAAAATTCACAAATAGACGTCTAAATCTCTCACTTTTGCGCACTGTTTCGTTAATCATGTGAAGAATTGAAGAATGTCTTTCAAAACAGCGGTGAATGGACTGAAATGTACAGGATCATCACAAATTTAAAAACAAATAAACCAAAAACCTTGTCCATTTAAGAGAACCTTTCAATAGAATTTTTTTGGGTTAAGTTTTCCAAAAGAGGACAATTTATCTCTTTGGGTTCGGTTTTGAGAAAAGTTCTGGGGTTCAATTTGGAAACTGAGCCAAAACTAAAAGAAAAGATCCCTGAAATCCAGACCAAAAGCTTGAAAGTGCGCTGCTTGGAAAAAATCGTTCAAAAGTTCATTTTTTGGAAATACTCGGTTTGCTCTTTGTAGCTTTGAATTTTGAGCTAAGAACTTCAAGCTGCTTTTTCTGTGATCTCATATTTCATAAGCTCTTGTTTCGAAGATGAGCTTTGTGAACTTTTCGAAAAAAAAGTTTAAGAGAATCTCAAGTTTCGTGTTAATGACTTTTTGCTTTTGGCGGGTATCAAATAACTGAAAAATCTTTTTCGGATCAATTTTTTTCAAGTACAAAAAGCTGTAGTGTCATAAATATAAGAAGTAGAATTGCATCTCATTATTTTTGCAGTACAATCGATTGATTACTCTGGTGTAGAATTTTTAGATACAAATTATTGCTGTGAAACCAAAAAGTGAGATAATAGCCTGTTTTTAGCTCTCTTTCAATATGAATCTTACTTTATTTCTCATATTACAAAAATCGAATATCACTTCCTACTGTGCTGCAAAAGAAGCCGAATCTCTTTGATTACTTCATAAGAGGTTGTTATTTCACTCGCCTTTTATAAAACAGGAAAGCTCGCAGAATCTCATTTGTTCGAAATTGGGTTTTCGATTGAATCCGCATGTCTATTTTCCGTATTTTGCCTTTTTTGGAAGGGGAGGAAGAATAAATTGAGACTGCTCCTACACTAGGTCTATTCATTTCATTTCACAAGTCAATTGAGTGAAAAAGGGGATCTCTGGCTCTTCTAAATTACTGAGTTTTCTGGGAACTCATCATTAGCAAAAAGTGTATTTTGGAGCGAATTTGCAGCCTCAATCATAGCTTCGGCGCAAATTCTATTTTTTCCGTTTATTTTCATATTGGCTTGCGGCTCAAACAAGGACAAAAAAAAAGTGTTCTCCGACTTGCCTTTTTTCTGTTTCATTGCGGGCGGAGAGAATCGCATTTCCTTCGTTTCTCTTTATTCATCTCGATTTCATTTTCAAAAAAAGTTGTTCTTCTCCCAGAAGCCGTCGTTCAGAAATGACGTCACAAAATGAGACGACGTCGTTGTCGCCGACGGAATCCATCGAAGAACTGTGCTCGTATCCGCCGGCGCCGATGTTGGAAGTCCGATTTTGGCTGGTTTCTGTGTTCGGTTCGACGGTGTCGGTCATCTCCATCGTCGAGAACATCTTCCTCTTTCTTCTCTTCGCCACCAGGTTGGTCTTACAAAGAAGATCATTTTATTTTACAGTTGGAATTATCCTAAAAACTGGCAAGAACATTCTTTGACTTACCAGATGATTATTCTGCAAGTCTCGAACTGCCAAACTCTCTAGTTTAGTAAAATGAGAGCTCAAAGTCTCAAGATAGCTGATTTATCAGATTTTGATGGCTTTCTTCGACTTTTAGGAGTCCTTCCTCGAAAGCTAAAAGTAATCTGCAGGTTTAGACATCCAGGATCTCAATCTGGTACATGAAGAATTTCATGACCGATTTTTGAAAAAAATACGCAACCGCAAAGTAAAGATGAACCTCGGTTTCAGGAAGCGACACCGCAAGGAGAACGTCTACATGATGTTGTTGGCGTTCTTCGACATTTTCGTCAGCATCGCCTACGTCATGCTCATGTCGGTCAACATCCTGGCTGACTACCTGGAATCGCCGGTTCTTATTCAGATTTGGTGGGTCTGAGATTGTGAAATCTACCTTTTCTAACTTCTTTTTTTGCGTTGATTTTCAATTGCCCCTATATTTATACTTCATTCACCACGGTATTGAGCATTCTGACTTGTCTGTGCTCTCTTATCTCTCACTTTTAGGGTATTAGAAAAATTAATATAGTCTGAAAATGTATGTTCCAGAAAAGTCAAGAAAAAGTAGTTCATAATTCAAAAGAAGAGGCATTTTTTTCTTAATTAGGGATTTCATAAAAATAATTTTGAGGGTTTGAGATTGAAGATACTTGAAAAAAAGTCAAAAAGCTTTGGAATTGGTTCTATTTTTTCTGTTACACCGAAAAACTTCAAAATTAAAGCGAGAACGAGAAATTTTTCTGAATATTTTTTCTCATCATATTTTTCCATTTGGCGATTTCGTGAATAAAATAAAAAAATAAATTTTTTTTTCGAAAAGGCGTGGGTTCGAAGAAATCGATAGTGAATAATTAAAGGAGAATGTACGGAGAATTTCTTAAAAGTTGTAATAAAAACAACTTCTAGCGAAGTAGTAGCCTAAACGTGTAGTTGACGAGTTGAAGGCATGTTTTTCAAGATCTGGGACGTTGTTTTTGACGAGTTTCCGATGTAAAAAATGTTGGGAGAGAATGAATCGTCAAGTTTTTCGAAATCTCTCAATTGAAGTTACTAGAAATAAAATTAGAAAAATTCAGGTTCTCATACATGGTGCCGATGATCACGATATCGCACATCGCCATGTCTTCATCGTCTTTTCTCATCGTCGCCGCTTCTTTCGAGAGATATTGCCTGACTTTGAACAGTCGGTTTCTTAGAACTGCGCAGAAGTGAGCTTGAATTAAAGAAATCAATTTGAAACATATTGCCAAGGTTTTAAAGGAACATAGGCAAAATTATCGCAGAGAGCTTATTTTTCAGTAATCATTTGAGTTGTTCTTGGCTATTGGGCCTTGAAAAAAGGCGTAGGAAAAGTTAGGTAGGGTTTTGGAACGAAAAGTCTGTCGCTTTCGCTGTTTCGAGAAGACTATTGGTAAAAAAAAAACTTTAGTAACTTTTTTTCAGGCAACGTTTGCTGATAGCCTTGAGCGCAGTTTTCCTGGGCATTCTCAGTAAAGGAACGATGTGCCTTGAATTTCAGGTATTTTTTTAAAGTGTGATTATCCTACACAGAATAACCCGGACTCACACAAAATTGAATTTCAAAATTTTGAAAGCGGCTTGGGATTTATTTCAATTAATAACTTCATTTTTTCTAGAAATGGTACAAGAACAAAAAGGCCGCAAGGAATGGCAAAAATTTTTGAATTCCCGCGTAGAGTGGAGATCTACTTCAAAGTTGCTCAAATGACAAAAGGCCGCGTAAATTAAAAATTTTTCTCTTTTTTTCCCACTAAGAATAACTGCCGAAACGCGAGACGCTGGCGGTACATTCACGAGCTCGCAAACATCTCGCGTTTTTTCTCGCGCCGGTCTCGCATTTTTCTAGGCGTGAGCTCGCATTTCTCTCGCAATTTTAAAATTTCCGAAGTGCAAGATAAATGCGAGGTCGCGCCGAGAAAAATGCGAGACCGGCGCGAGAAAAAACGCGAGATGTTTGCGAGCTCGTCAATGTACCGCCAGCGTCTCGCGTTTATCTCGGCAGTTATTCTTAGTGCTTACATCAAATAGCCCCGATACACGGCGTTCCCAAACGGGGTGGCAAGACGTCAAAAAAATTTTGGCGCGAAATTTGAAATCTACAGTACTTCAGCCGAAGGCGATCGAACAAACAAGTTATTAACGTTGAATATTCCGTGTAATTGTGACGTAATTTTATCCGTAGCGCGCACTAAATTTTTTCTGTAAATTCAGAAACTTTGACGCCTCGCTCACTTTCCCTCACCCCCATTAGGAATGCCGTGCGATAATTGTACAGCTTGCCTCACGTAAATTGACAAGAGATTTATCGATGGGGCGCGCTTTTTCACACCCCTATGATAATTTTTTTGTCTTCCATAGCCCGATCACGGATGGCTTGGGACAGTTAACGGGCGGTTTAACTTACGCGGCGATGGTATAGCCTATTCCGCGCCAGCTTGTCACGTTTTTCTTTCCGCCAAAAAGACCGTTTACCAAATTAGATCAAATTTCTGCTTTTATAACGGCAAGAAACAAAGGTCTTGAAGCGAAAGTTAGTTAAATTTGACCTGGCCTTTTGGCGGAAAGAAAAACGTGACAAGCTAGCGCGGAATGGCCTATATAGTCTGTTCTGATTTTGAATGTCAAGTCGCTTCTAAAGCTCCGCCCCTAATGACCCGATATGCCAATCAGAGAGCGAGCCATCCACAGAGCGTTTTCGAATGACGTCATTTTAATTGACATTCAAAATATGAACAAACTATAGATCATGGCGGCATGCACCTTTTAAAAATGCTTTATTTTGAATTATTTCTGTTTCTTTTGAAATTATTTTTGTTTGAATTCACCTCATTGTTTTTTAAATCCACGAATTATAAGAGAAAAATGAATATAAGTCATAAAATGGAGCTTTTATTGAAGGCGCATGTATAGCCGCCTTGACCTACCTTCGCCGCGAAAATTAAACCGCCCATTCGCTGTCCCCAGCCAGCCGTGAACGGGCTATATCTTCTCGGACATTAGTAACGCGAAATTTTTCAAAGAGATTCTTTTGTGATTCTGCGAAATTCAAAATAGCGGTCAGACAGAGGAGCGATTTCAGCCATTTTGAATTTACTGTTATTTCTTTCCTTGCAATTTAACACAACAAAAAAAAACCCTCAGCTGCACGGCGTTCTTTTGACGACGCCCCTCCCACAATTTCCGTAATATTTGACGTCTTTTGTGCATACACAGAACGACGCTAACTCTCATACTCATTAAATTCAAAAAAATAATTTTTTTCCTCGAAAAAAATAGCGTTTTTTTCAAAAACTATAGACGTGGAAAAAAATCGATCCTTTCATAATTCCTTTTCTAGTTGACAAAAAAACATTTGGGTGAAAGTTTTTCTTATTTTCTGAACACTTTCATACCTTTCACCCTCAAAATTGGTTAAAGTCCTTTTTTTTGAGTGAAAAACGTGGAATTTTGTGGCGAAAATGACTTATTGTGGTTCTATGTGTCTTTCCCGACTTATTGAAAATTAAAAAAAAAGTTTTCTTTACAGATTTAGTTTAGTTCATCCACCTAGTGGTATTTTTTCTCCTCTGCAACATCGCCATACCATTCTGATGTTGCGAAAATGAAGAGATTGATTGATTCAAATAAAAAATTTAATTTGACACTGAGAATGTTGCTGAAAGGCTTTTTTTGCTTTAAAGGGAGAATTTGGTCAAAACACAGCAGTTAATATTGAAAATTGAAAAAAAAAGTTCCTTCGCATTTTGCTGTCGCAATAAAAAACAATTACCGTAAATCAGTACAAAACAGATAAAGATACAGCTGAAATAAACATGAAGAATCACGTGAAGCACTTGAGCAACAAGAAATTCAAATGTTCGCGCGCAAGCTGTCTACCGTAAATCTAGGTGGAGCAACCCTTCCAAGCCGCTCCACATTTTCAAAAATTTTACATTTTCTTCCACTGCGCAGAACGCCGTGCGCTGCTTTTAAGAGCATCAGGCTGGTACCTGGTATTGTTGAGCCGGCCTCCGTCCGCCATGGTCTATTTTGAAACCGTTGTCCCCACTTCCATAATGGAAGGCAGAGGTGGAGAATTGAGAAGGCAGCCCTTGGCTTGGCGGCCAAGCCAAGCCAAAAAGCCAAACGATAGAAATGAGCCATTAATTTACGTGGTCTTTGGCAACTAGGTCAAAATACGTGGCGATAACGCCCTGAACTAATCATTATCAATTTTGTAAATTTTGAATTGTTTTTTTTTTTCGCAACTTTGTGTTAACGTTTTTAATCTACTGTAATAGTTATTTCAGCAGGGAATTGTCACTGAAACGGGTCAAAAGGCTTCCTTTTCAATCTCACTAGAGAACTATTTCGACAAAAAAATTTTGAGATGCTATGAAATTGATGCAAAAGTATTTCTCTTGATTCATTTAGTTTCCAAAAAAGTCAAATGACTGAAAAATCCTATTACGCCAGGCCACCTCGTTAAGAGTGGAAGGCTTACAGTTCTCTACCTGGATTTTTCCGGTGGTATGAAAAAAAAACCAGCAAATTTTCGAAATGCGACTTTTTCCGATTTTGTTCAAATCGCTAAGGAACTTTCCGACGGCCACCTTTCCGGCGGACCACTTCCCGACTTTTTTCCCTTTTATTTTTCTGTTCCTAAAACATTTTTTTGTCTACTTTTTTGTGTTTTAATCATGAATCAACTACCTACTTTATATGGGAGGATTCAAAACGAAGAGTTTATTTAGCAAAAAAGTTGAAAAGGATTAGTCGGAAAGTTCTCCGTCGGAAAGCTCTCTAGCGATTTGAAAAAATCAGAAAAATCGCCGTTCGAGTTTTCGCTGATCTTTTTTTCATACCACCATTTTTTCGTGTTTTTGTGTTTTTGTAAAAAAGTTTCATACATCGCTCAAAACAAGCGCTTCTAGATGCTAGGGCGATATCGCCATACAAATGACCGTCGTGCCACGCTGACTTTTGAAAAAGTCATTTCTGCCTTTTGGGCGTTTATGGCTTGGCAGGCAGGGCGGCCAGAGGGCAGCCATCCTCCATCTCTGATGGAAGGCACATTTTTTGTCATCGCGTTAACTGAATTTTCAAAGATAAAAGGCTTTCGAATGCGGAAAAAAGGTTCTAAATATAGAGGCCGTATACAATAAAGTGGAAAATAGTTTTCCGCTATTTTCCTGAAACTCGTAAATGGCTACAATTAGTCTTTTTCGGACTGAAATGTTTTCTTCTCTATCATAATCTTCTTAAAAAGCCTTATTTCATCAGATTAAGTCGAAATCAATGGTATGCTGGCGAGTTTAAGGCCTTTTCAATTTTCAGCAAAAGGGGGAAAATCATTTTCCACTTTATTGCAAACGGCCTCAGAATTTGAATCAAAAAGAGCTGCTCGTAAAGTAAAATTATTTTTCCGCAGCCAAAGTGTCTGCGGCCTTGAATCATAATCGATTATTTATCGCGAACGCGACGAAATTTTGTACACACTAAGCCTTCTTTTTCTCAATATTTTCTCAATAAATTTCTCAAAAATTTTTTCGAAACCCAAACGTTCCAAACCTCACATCAATGGTTCCAGTAGTAGTCGATTGATTATTTTTTTCGTTTCCAATTTACGATCGTACGCTCGAGACATTCCTTCTAAAGGAAAATAATTAAAAAAAGAATTTTAAGATATCAAACTGTACTATTTGAAGCTGTCGTCAAATCTGCATGGACTGATCAGAGCAACTTCGTTGAAAGCTTCCTGCAATAATTTCACCATTGAAAAAAAAAAACAAGTCGATTGCATTATTCGAATTCTAATGTTCTGATTAGCTATGTCAAGTCGTCAAGTAAGTTAGAAAAGCTTTATGCAGTCAGAAAGAACTAACTAGGCGGTGCGCTAGAGCTCCGCTCGGCCTTGTCACAACTAAGAATCCTAGACGCCGAAGGCCGTGACGGCATTTTCCGCGGGGGTCCCATCATCGCTTTGTCAGCATCGCGCTGCCAACAGTTTGTGCCTTGGCCACCGGAATGGGCTTCGGCGTGACTTTGCGTATCCAATTTGCAAGCAAAAAGGATCGGCACTCCGGGAGTCCCACGGGCCTAATCTACTAGCGCTTACAGCTCAGAAACTTATATTGAAGTCAGAAGTTTTATGGAAATTCAAAACTCATCTTGACGTTGAATGTAGAAAGAAGCGAGACGAGTCGTGAGGAAAGCAGAAATGAGATTTTAAACCGGGTCGTACAATAAGAAATGCCACGTTGCCACGTGGTTTTTTGTAATTTGTATTTTTTTTCACGAGGTTCACGTGCAGTGAATAAAATTTTTGTGAAGTTTGAAGTTTTTATTTTATAAATAATCTGAATTACATTATTTTTTTGTTTTTTTTTTGATGGTTTTTCGAACTTAATCAAACATTCTGCCATACAGGTTTTTTTTTTAAATTTATGCTTTCTATTTATTAATTTTTTATCTGATGCATGAAGGATTAATCTCTTGTCAATTTACGTGAGGCAAGCTGTACAAATACCGGAGGCTACATAGATTTTTTTTTCCTTTTGATTTGATAGTTTTTTTTTGTCAAGGAAAGTAGTAGTATAAAAGAATCTTCAGGTTGTCGATCAGCCAGAATGTGCAGGCACAATGATGGCCAAGAAACTTTTCTTCCGTCCATTTGTCTTCAATACTCCCTATCATCTTGTCTTCCGATACTGGTATCTTTTCTGGATGATATCATTTAGACTGAATCTTTATTTTCTAGGTACCGCAATTTTGTGACAGTTTTCGCGCCTTTCTTCATCCTCTCCTACCTGAACTTCCGAATTGTGAAGGCGTTCACCCACCTGCCAAAAATGTCGATCGTCGATCTCTCGGCCTGCGATATGGCCAGAAGAAAGGTTTTTTTTCTTTGTAAGAGTAAATGCAATTTTTTCCCAATAGTATACAAGTTATACTTTTAGTCTGTTGAAATTCAATTTAAAGTATTAAATGAACAAGTGAGTTATTTTAATTGATTTTTCAAAACAAGGTCCAGTTTTACTGATGAATTTGAATGAGAGCAGGTGCACGGAATCGAGTTTTCTCAAAATTTTTCATAAAATCTCGCTTCAAAGTTAATTTCGACAGGAAAAAAAAAAGTCAGATTCTTGATCTTTTGGATCAGCTCTTTCTATAAAACTATGAGCTGGTGTAGAAAAATTTTTTTGAATCTCAACTTAAATATGATATTTGTGCCATTTACTCGAGCACAATCAACGGTATCTCAGATTTTTCTTCAAACAGTTTTAAATAAAATCTAATTCAATTCTTTTTCAGCTTGTTTTGAATTTTGAAGAAAGACTCAGGACTGACTAGAATGACTTTCTGAGTTTTCTGGAAGTTGATCATAATTTCTCCAATTATTTATAATGTAATCCAAGTTCTAAACTTTCTCGTGTTCCTATTTTTTTAGAAGAACGACTCAAATGTCGAGGCGATTTTTGTTAATTGGTTCGCGAAAAAAGTAATGAGACACGGGTCAGGACAAAATGGAGATTTTTAAAAAATCAACCAGAAAAAAAATTATTCGTATTTAAAGGCAAATGCCAGAGCGGCGACACGGACACTGGTCCTCGTCGCCTGCTGCTACCTCGTCAGCAATATCATCAACGTCGTAGTGACGACCTTCGAGCACACCAACAAGGAGCATCTGACGGAGAACTACCCGCGGCTCTACATGCTCGCCATAGACCTCGTCTCCCTGCTGACGACGATGGCCTGCGCCTGCCGACTGCCCATCTACATGTCCTGCCAGAAAGCCCTCCGTCAGGAGGTCCTCCAAGTCTTCCGACGCATCATCCCCGGTCGCAACTCCTATCTTGAGGTCGGTATTTTTGGACCTATCAGACGGATTTGTGAGAAGCATAATCTTCTTTCGGATTATCTATAGTCTTATTGGACTCTTGTCAATGGCGGAATGTAAGAAAGATCAAAGCATCATTGAGTTCTCAGAAAACAGAAGCCTTCTGGAAAAAAAAAACATAAAACAGAAGCCTTCTATCACCTTCCGAACACCTTTCTATGATTTCTTGAACTTTGAAAAAAAAAAATCTGATCTCCCCATATAAGAGGTTTGCAGGAGCAGACGCAGGAGACGATGCTGCCGATGTCGAAGTCGTTCGAAAGCGAGACACCGACTCCTTTGGCGGTGGGTTCGCCTTGCTGAAGCAGCGACAGCAGCGCCGAGTTCAGAGCCCAGCGCCGGATCCGACGGCGGCCTCCGAAGAGGAAGAAGAAGATCGGATCTATTGGATGTCGCCGCCGCCGAAGAGCGTCGGGTCGCCCTATGAGACCCTGCTTTGAAGAAGCCTCCCGGAGAAACGCAATATTGCCTGTTTCATCGAAGTAGAGATGTCCGAGTTCTAACATGAACGGTCATTTTACTTTTTAATCGGGAATTTTTAAAAGTTCCCCAGAACATTTCTTGAAGTACAGAAACTGGAGTTCTCAACTTGCGAAACTTCCTAGTTTTCGAGAATGAAAGGCTCAAATTTCAAACGGTTTTGGAGGTTTTCTTCTTGAAAAATAGGAGTTTCCGGCCAATTTCCAAGAAAATCCGAACCGCAAAGTAAAAGGACCTTCCTTGTCAGGAACCATATAGGAAAGACTTGGCAGATCCGGTCAAATATTCATATCATTTTTTTAAACCGGATCTGCTATTTTCTAAGAATTGATTAGTGAAGTTTTTGAGCTTTTCCTCGCCGCTATTGTCATATCCCATCATGTCTTCAGCAGTTTCCCTTTTTTCTAATAATCTTTTGCAACAGGTTGTTTCGAAACGTGTTTTTTGTGCGAGAATTTCTTTTCACTAAAAGTTTCTTTGTAAAACAATGCACGGAAATAGTTATTTTATCGACATTTGTGTACAATCTGTGGCAACTAAGTTGAAGTAGAAAGCGAAAAAATGAATAAATAAAAAAAGGGGCTTTCCTAACAACTATACTTTTCAAATCCGAAAAGCCCCTTCACGGCTGAAGCTTTTTTTGAGAATTTCTTGTTGAAAATTTTCTAATTCAAGGAAAAGTGACTTGAAAAAAGCTTCGGCCGTATTTTTGACTGGACTTAGAGTCGACCCAAAAGCAGAGAATAAATTCGATTCACCGCTAGCTTGTGACTTGAAAATTGGTCGCAAGGAGAATGGCTCAAAGTTGTGCGGTAATGTGAAAATGCACCAGACCGAGAAACAGCTTTCGCGAGGCTCAATAGTGATAGTGCGAAATTCAACTTTCAATTGGAACCGCAACGCGTTTAACATTTCTACTTGCGACCAGAAGTCGTAGAAAAATTGAGAATTTCTTTCCAAGCTAGCGGTGAATACACTATGAGAGACACATTTGGTAGAGATTAGTAACCGGGATGGAAAAGGATAGAGATCAATGGGGATGAAAAACTCGTTGTCGTCACTGGATACAACGTGTCGGATATGGTCGGCTAACAACAGCCCCGTGCGGGGATAACGATTCGACTTTTCACGGCTCGAACATCTTTTCTGAAAAAGAACGCCAGATTCAGAATTAAGATCCAGTCGAGGTCACCTTGTTCGCCGTGACTGGCGGCGAGTTGTCTCAGAGTCCGTTTGGCCTTTTCGAAGAGCTGAGTGTGGGAGAAAATGAAGTGCAGCGCGTAGAGAAGGCCGAACATTGGGAAAACCAAGAAAGTCGACTCCTGAAGCATATTTTTTGATCTAAACTTTTGATTTTTGAAAATAAATATTGATTGATTGAAACCTCATTCTTGTCTTTCTGGCGTTTCTGCGCTCTCTTCCTTATATTGCAGAGAAGAGACTCGGACTTTGGTAAAGCGATTAGGAAATTTCGGGACAGTTCTAGTGATCACTTTAGTAGCGTCAGCATTCTTAAGTGATCCCTAGTATTGCTCGAACCCGTCCGGTTTTCGTCCGAGGAGAAATATAAAGAGAGCACAGACAGGTCAGACAGCTTCAAGTCGCAGCAAACTTGATATATTCAGAAAGTTTTTGTGTATAATTTTTTGGCATTTATTGAATAAAGTTTCTCTTTCTGCATGGTTTTGGGCTCGAAAACTCTGTAGCCATTTAAAAAAGAGATGAATCTGAGTGACAAGGAAGAAGTGCGTTTTTTTCAAGAAATAAAACTGTTTTCCGCACATTACTGTTCTTGAAAGCCTTTTTGTTCGAAAATATACATTTTGACCCATTCCTGCCGGCGTTTTGAATAATCATAAGAAAAAAAAAATCGAAAAATTCCTCGTAAAGTTGTAAACCGGAAAAAAAAACTATCAATTGTGAACTTTATCGAAAATGAACTTTGGATACACTGATATTCTTCCGAAAAGTACAAAAAACGCCGAACCTTTCTCGTGAGGACGCTAGGCGAGTATTTGTCATCGTCCATGTCTGCAAAAAATGACCATTTTTTTTATTTGCATACCCTTGCAAAAGAAATGAGAAAAACATACCTTGATCAAACACGAAAAATAATAAGAAGGTGAGAAGGAATAAGAAGTTGAGAGAGACGAAGAAACGGCAAGTTTTGACGTTTTCGCGGATTTGGAAGCGGATCGAGATGGTCGAGTAGTGATTCGCCACGTAGTCCTCTTCGTTTCTTTTGTTTTGCTGAAAATTGGAGCTTTATCAAATGTAAAGTTGAAGCATGAGTTTGTCGATTTTTTCTACTATAAAAAATGAAATTTTATTTTGGTCGCACGGAGAATGGCTCGGCTACAATGGGAGAAGCTTTTAAAGTTAAAAAAAATTCCTTTTGAAATTCACAACTGTCTGACTCGATTTTTTTGAAGAAATTAGGACACGTCCCTGAAATAAATGCGATATATTTTGAAATGACGCCGAAACCGCGTCGCGACCGCTTTGCACGCACAGTTTGAAGGCCGTAATCTATTGTTTCAAGTCGAAAAAAATGATATCATACGCGCGAAAAAAAATTCGAACCTTTTCCAAGATCTTGAAAAGAATCATGTAAAGCAGAGAGAAAGCCGAAACGACGATGAACCAGAAGTTGCGCTGAAGGAACGTCTTCCGGAGCAGCAGGACTTGGCAGGCCGCCAGAGAAGTCGGCGTCGTCCAGCCAACCAACGTCCGCGCGTTTTGGCCCAGAGTTGGGAGCCACTGGAATAAAAAATGGTTTCAGGGAGGTCTAGTTTTTCGACTAGAGACCTTTAGGCCGAAAAAATTCTGTTAAATTTTTGAACTTCTTCACTAGTTCGCTGATCTGTTTTTCGAAAAAAAAAAATCGAGGAAAGCATATAATCGACTGCACTTTACACTCCTAAACCGAAGAAGCACCTCAAAAAAAAAAACAATTCACGACAGTATCGGCGTGATTTTTTTTTCTAAAACAACGTACCACAGCGAGGCAGACCAACATGACGACGGGCCGGAAGTTCTCGTACTCGTAGACCCAGAAGCGGCGTGTCGCATAGGTCCTTTCCGTGACCAGAAGCAGTGGGAAGACGAAGAACAGGACGCAGAGAGCCTGAGGGACGAGCTCGTCGAAGACGCAAAAGGCGTCCTTCTGGTCCGTCTCCTGGAAACGAGAATGACCAGGGTCTTCAGAAGGAGCTCGACGTACTGAGGTTGGCGTCCGGTGGTTGATCTGGTACAAGCCGAGAAGGCTTCTTAGAAGCAGATATCCCAGGCAGATTATCACGGCCGTCGTCAGGTTTATACAGATCACCGTCATGTGATAGTGGAACACTAAAAGTTAGCTTTTTTTAAACATCTGAATATAAAATAAGCTCTGTTGTACTTTGGATCTTATCCGGGAGCCCATAATTAAAACTTTAGGTTTTTTAGACTCTGGTAAATAAAAACATTCACAATGCCGAAATGGAAGTACAAAAACATTTTAGTCTTTGAATTATTTTTGATTTCGAACCGTCTAGCCTGTCTGCGCTCTCTTTATCTCTCATCGGTGTTAATTCTTGAAGAGATAGCCCCGACACCTCAGATTGTTTCAGATGGTGTTAAAGGAAAATCTTGTTTTCTATTAATGCTCATAATTCCAGTCGTCAGAGCATTACCGTTTTCAGAGCGATAGAAATATATTCAATTTTCTTTCAAATTACTTTAAGAAAGGGGTGAAATCAAAGACCTGTATATTTGTAAAGAAGGAAGAGGAGCAGAAAGTTGAAAAAAAGGGCGACGAGGCAGATGGCCACGTGCAGGGCGAACAGGGCGAGCAACGTCGGCGACTCGGCGACGTCGCCGCGGATGACGTCGACCGTCGGTTCGATCACTGACGTCATCTACTCATCCGTCGTATCTTCAATCAATTCCGGTAATTCCGGACCAGAACAAAAACGAAGTGAAAAAGAGTTCATCGAAATCTCGAAAATGCTAGAAAAATGGTCCGATTACTAGGTAGATTATAAATTAGATATCCGTAATTTTATTTCCTGACACTACAACTAAATCTCTGACGTCATCTACTCATACGTCGTTTATTTAATCCTTTCTGTACCAGCTAGATCAATGAATTTCAAAAAAAGCTTCAGGTTCAAATTGAGGAAAGAGAAAAAAATAGTAAGAAAAATGATCTGATTGATGAGAGAAATCAACGTTAAAATTCAATACTCTTGACTTTATTTCCTTGAAAGATAACTAAATCATTGACGATATCTGATTCGCCGTTGTCTCTGGGATAGAATTATGTACCATTTTCTGCTAAACGGCCATTGTGAAAATTGAAGAATAGTTGGAAGAAAAAAAATGCGGAATGAAAAAGAATGGGTCGAGAAAACTAGACTAGCTTTAAAAATTGGATATTCGTGATTTTATTCTCTTAACACAATCACTGACGTCTATCACAATTTATTGTCGTGGGCAACGGCTAAAATTATCCATTCGAAAAAAACTACAAGTAGCGTGACTGGCGGATTAATTTTTTTCGGCGAAAAAATATTAAGGTAGCAATTTTCTTCAATTCGAAAACATGTGGGCTTGGAGGTCGTAAATGAAAATTTGAGGTTTGCAAATGTAGATTCAGAGCTCGAAAATTTAAACACTGAAACGAAGAATTTATTTGTAAGAGTGTTGTTTTGACTGAGTCCTCCTGATTTGAAAATCAGGGGTCGCAAGTAGAATGGCTCAAAGCTTCGCGACTCGTTTTTTTAAATTTCCTATTGCCGTCAGAAAATTTTTCAGTAGCCAGTACTATATAACAAACTCTATCCGATTCTCTCAGCGCAAGTAGTTTTTAGTCGGGCGCATAAAACTATTCTAAGCGCTCCCTTGAGCTAAAAGCTGAAGAAAGCAGAAAAAGAGACTCTTCATTTTTATAAAAATTCAGCATCATACCATAAATTCTAATTAAGTCAAGAAGCTTTTTAAATATTAAATTCCACCTAGACAGTTTGAAAAATACTCTGGACACTTGAAAAAAAAAAAGAAAAACAGCCAAAAACTCTTTGACGGCGGCAGGAAATCAAAAAAAGTGCATTTGGGTAAACAGGGCGTCGATTGGATTCTCTCTATTTAGTACAAGAGGAAAAAACACTTGTCATTTTGTCGATTCAAATGCTTGTTTGGCGGCAATTCAATTAATTAACAACCTGCAATTATGGAATTACTTGGTGAGTAAATAGGCGAGAATTTAATTAACAAATGTTTTTTCCGCTTTCTTATTCTCAAAAAGAGGCTTTTGAAGGCAAAAACAGCGGAACGGAATAAAGAAGAAGAGGCCAAGATGAAGGGCAAGGAAGCATTTTGAACGGGGAAAAAAAAATAAAGGCTGCAAGGGATTTAGGAGATTTGAGGCGGTGAAATGAGCAGCCATAGGAGGATTGGCTGATGCCATCGAGCAAAGACGCAATTCCAGCCGGCTTTTCTGATTTACGTTTGGAAGGCTTGAATCTTGATGAGAGTCTTTGGAATGAATCGAATTTAAATTCCGATTTTAATTGAAATTTCAGGAAAAGCACAATAGCAAAAAGTCATTCTAGCGGAGACCGGAATGATTTCAAAGCGAATCAGAGCGCAAGTAGATTTTCGTCGGACGCAGTTACAAACCTAGCCATAACATGAGCTTTCAAGCTGAAAAAAATCAAAAAAAGATTTGGAAAAACTGCAGAAGACTCGAATAGTTAGTCTACCCCCGGATTTGAGAATAACCATGAAATAAATAATGGACTTCATAAATATAAATGAACATCATAAATAAATCTCACCTTTATAAGGCAAGTCAACGATAAATATGCTAAAACATAAAAATTAAAAAAATGTTACTTTTTTTCGAGAAAAATTTTGTTTTTTTGTTGATAAGAAGTTATAAATGCACAGTGATCACTATTGTTCCGTCCTTTGATCGTTTAAGGACCACATTTTTCAAAAATTAGAGAGTTCCGTGAATTTCGAGAAGCTAGAGGTGGACCAAAAAAAGCATAAAAATAAAGTTTTGAGCATGAAAAACTGTTTTTGTCTGACTTTGTAGCCGTATATTTATAAATATTCAAGCTCAGCGACTTGATATAATTTCTGGAATATCAATTCCTTCAAGAATCGTTTAAAAAAACCTGATAAAGTAAGGAAAGATCAAGGTGAAGCCAGGAATTGATGTTGAAAAACTTGTAAGAAGGCAATTCGAAGTTCAAATAAGGCATTTACTGAAATTCGAAAGCTTCTGGGCGGACAAAGTCGAACAAAAATTTATATTTAAAAAAATTATTCTTTTTAAGCTGGTCATAGAAAAAAACCTCTAGACTTGTCTCAAGACTTTTTTTTTGAAAATTAGTTTTTTCGAAAAAAAAACTCGTACGCAGCCTTGAGATTTTCCCGCTCAACAAAGCTCTTCGCGCAAAAAAACGGGCCAAACAACGAAATGAAGAAAAAAAAGGCCTTGCAGGACACATTGGGTCGGATTTTCAATTAGAGATATTGAAGGTGAGGGGAAGAAAATTTCGGAACGGAAGGCCAGGTCCTGGAATAAAAGGCAGGAAAAGTGCACGGCAAAAGTGGCTGGCCGCCGCGAAACCACGGGGTCGAGGAAATAGCGTGCAGACGGGTGGAGACGGCCGTGTCTGGCCTCCTAAAAGCTCTCGCCAGATGAAAGAGGAACACCTTGGTCTCGTGGGATCGATGAGCTGGAGCGACTCTCCGGACTCCCAACGGACCTGCCTCCAGCTCATCGATCCAGACGACGTCGCCGTTTTGACGTCGTCGAGTTCGCAAAAGAAAAAAAAAGAAGGGTTCCGAGTATGGGAGGTGAAGAAGCTTATCAAGTGGAGCAGAAGTAAAGACACAAAAAATTCAATTGTCTTATTTTCTTTTACCCGTAAATTTGAAAAATTTGAAGGACAACCTATGAAAATCCTTTTTTACTAACAGGGAAGGTGATTTTATTTTGCAGTTGGGAACTTCCTGAAAATTGACCAGAGAACTCCTTGACGTACCAAAAGAAGATTCTGAAAGTCTCGATCTGCAAAACTTCCTCGTTCATGAGAATTAAGAGTCTAAAGCCCCAAAATAGCTCATTTTGATGGATTTTGAGCGATTTCTTTGGACTTGCAGTGTTTTTTTTCTCGAAAAGTAGATAGTTGACCAGGTTGAGGCTTTCAGAATCTTCTCAAGGAGTGTTATAGCCAATTTTCAAGAAAATCCCAACCGCAAAGTAAAATTACCTCCCTTGTAAGGAACTTTTTGAACTCAACTTAGATCTTTTGAAAAAAAACTACTGCGGTTTTTGAAATTCATTCAATAATGTCTGCGTGCAACTTTTGTAGGAATCTGCAAAAAAAAAAAAATAAAGATCGCTCAAAGATAATGATCACCATTGATAACGGAGAGCGCGGGGTAAGTTCTAAAAAAATATATTTAAAAACAAAGAAACATATATTGTTATTTTTTTCTAATATAAAGGTTTAGAGAGCAACTTTTGTTTTGCAGTTTTTTTGCAATAAAAGTTTAGAAACAACGAAATTATAAGGAAAACTGTGGGCAGACCTAATAATGGCTTTGAAAAGTTGTTTTATTCTTTTTTTCATCCAAAAGACTACTCATATTGTAATCATCGCAGCAAGAGCTATAGAAATACTTTTTTGGGAAGTTATGAATAGGAATGTACGTATAGACTTGAAATGGAAAAACAAAATCACAAAAAAATTGAAAACCAAATGAGGCTGCTTTTTGGGGAGTAAAAAAGCCATAAAAATATATTTGGTTGTTTTTTCTTAAATTCTGATGGAGTTGTAGGTTCCTCCATTGCTTTATTGCTCTAATTTTGGAAAGCTTTTAGTTTTTTGAAAAATAATGAAATTGGAAAAAGTTATGAGGAATTTTGCGGTCTCTAATTTACGCTCAAGTTTTTGGTTGGCTTTTCATTTTTCATTTTTTTTTTTGCTTCAATTGTCGCTCAGCCTGTTAACAAGAAAATTAGCCTTAAAAACAAAAAGACAATAAAATTTCATAGTTTCCCAGTTGAGTTAGTCGATGTTTCTCTTCTTCTAGCAGCTTATGAGTTGCGAAAAAAGCGATTATTGCAAAAAAAAAACTATATCAAACCAACTCCATAATTTTGTTTCGAAGACATACTTTCAGCTGCCCCTATCTGAACAAGAAACGACACTGATATTCTCATTTTGTAAATCTTCATTCAAAAATAGACACGAAGTCAGACACGTACACCCTTGCCGGCGATGACGATGAAAAGCGACGTGTTGTCATCGACCAGGTCGAGGAAACGAAGTCGAGAATTTAGCGAGAGTTGCATCTGAATCCGTTTATCAAACCATTTTGTCGTTCTCATGTCCCGACCATATCAGACTTTGTCTTGGGACGTGAGGAGCTATAGTAGACGGCGGCGTCGGTGAGAACTCTCCTGAGGTGGATAGTTTTGAAAAAAAAAAATGCATAATTCCATCCTACTCGTGCTTGCTGAGTAGCTTGGGAAGGATCGAGACGCGGTCGGAAGAGGAGAGTTCAAACTCGAACTGCGTGCGAACCGTGTTGTGTCGCATCTGAAGAGAAGGACTATTTGGAAGCTTGGCTCAGTGACAGTGCGCTCGACGATCACTCGGAGGTGGCAGGTTCGATTCCCGCGACCCTATTTTTCTTTTGCAAAAACATCTATTCCTTCTTTACCATTTTCCAATCACTTGAAGATGTTAAAAAAAAAACCTTTTCTAACAGACTGACGTAAATGACGATTGTCTCACAAGGGGCACGAGTCTGAAAAGGAGATTTTCTCAAAAGAATCCTGGTAAGAATCACCGAAATGGCGCTCATACTGGACGACGAGGTGATGCCTCCATGAAGACTTCTGATCAAAAATATTTTCTGGTTTTTTTCCCAACAACTCACTCTCCGAGGTCCCTTGCTAGCTTCACACAAGCCTCATTGCAGCATCCAGGAGATCCTGAAAATTGTGATTTATAAATTATAAAACGGGATGAAAATCGTTAGAGCTGACTAGAAAAAGATTTTTATTTTAAACTAGGTTTACTGAATGCAGTTTTAAAGTTGATTTCAAATTTAAAAAAATGACGAAAAGGTTTGAAAACATTTTTTGCCGCTTATAGCCTATATAAGTTATAGGGCTCAATTCTGAATATTGGAAAGAGCTGACCCTGGTGAAAATATTTTCTGAAACTTTTTTCGGGTTGAAAAATAGAAACGATTTTTTTTTTCATCTATAACTTTTCTCACTGACTGCTACGATTGTTTTTAGCACAGAACTGCAACTGGCAAAAAAAAATTTACAAATATGATACCACTCTTTAACGGTCTGCCGTAACGCGACAGGTTATGTGCCTGCCTACGGTCTAAAGGGTCACAAGTTCGACTTTTTGAAGGGTTGGTAGGCTTGGGGCATTTCAAGCGGTACAAAGGCGTAGAAAGAAAACAATTCCGAGACAACTCTTTGATGAACAAACCGTCGAAATTGGGTACGCTCTTGTGGCTGGTGAGACAGGCGGTGCAGACGTTGTGGTCGCAGTTTCCGAACTGGATGATGTTGGTGAGCGGGACGACGCTGTTGCAGGGCCCATCGCAGACGACGGCTGGAGGAGGCGTCCGCACCTCGAGCGCGTCGACGGTCTTCTTCTCGACCGAACGCTTTCGCCAACGCTTTTCCGCGTCGCGACTCGAAGACGTCCACGTGATCGTGTAGATGTACTCAGGTCTGCAAGTTTGCATCGTGTTGTGACGAGGAAACTGTCTGAGGTGATCTGGTCCAAAATTCGGTGGCAGGAATTCCTAGTTATGACTAATTATAATCAAAACTAATTTTAAGCTGACAAGAAATATTGGCCAGAAAAGTTACAGATCAATATAGCCGATTCACGGCTATTTTGGGACGTTGAGGGGGCGTGGCGTGTCTGCGCTCTCCACCTACTTGACAATATCTCTCATTATCGTGTCAAGATCTTTTTTTGAATTTCTTAATACAAGAGCTTTCATTTCTTCATCTGACATACCCCGTCTCCTTCGACAGGTTATGGTAGAGCGAAATATTTTCAATGATATCTTTCCGGTTGGCGGCCACGAAGCCTGGAAGATAATCAGCCGCAGGTCTGAAAACATTTGGAGCATAAAGAGTAACATTTTAGAGTTTATTTTTTGCTGAAGAAAAAATGATGCTTCTGAAAAAAATAAATAAATACAAAAAGCTGTTCCCGACGCACCGCTCAATAGAAGACTTTATAAGATTGGATGAGTCGGACTGAGCGCTTCGAGACCGGAATAAAAAATCACATCGAACGGATTTTCATAATCACTCACTGCGAGAAGTTGCCACTGACATGGTGGCCCTCAGTCTTGTCGAAATTCTGTCTGAAAGGAAATCGAGTATTCCAAACTGGTGTCCATAAGCTCACACTAGCATGATTCCACTCGGTGGCGACAGCGTCGCTCGAAATACATATTTTCACGTCATTTTCGATTCACCGAGAATACGTAGCTGGACTGTTGTGTTTGGATTAACTTTGGCGGAATAAGAGGAATTCTAAAAAAAAACGCTTTTAAAATTTTGTCTCACTTCTGTCTGTCAAAGGATGCTGGAAGTTCTGCCATATAGCCGATTCATGGCTAGCTTGGGACGCTAAAAGGCGTGGCTTGTCTGCGCTCTTCATCAGCCAGACACTGTCTCTTTTCTTTTCGTCTCAGGACCCATTTTTCGATGGCTCAAGTCAACCCTGAATCTGCTATACTCGTCTGTTTTGCTTGCAGGAAGAATTAACATTGTACTGTGTGACTGTTTTCAACTTTCCCAGTCAAAAACACGACGGATGATAAGATGATAGCAAATCGGTAGACGTGCCGAGGCATGAAGTCTATCGTGGTTCTGTCGGCGGCGCTCTTTTTAAGCTGGAGGACCGAGGCTCTCACCTGCCGCTCCCTTCTCAAAGGCGTCGTCAACGGCTCCACCTGGAACTTCGACAACGAGCTCCGATGTCCGGAGAACACGAAATGGTGTGTCACGTGAGTGCTGCTTCTCATGTACCTTTTTTCAATCTGATTTTTATTCTCGCCATATCGAGAGGATATGGCGATGTTGCAATAGCACCTGGGGGTTTAACTGACACTTTTTTGAAGAAGAAAAAATTAGCAATTCGATGAGGAAAGAAGTTGAAGAAAATAAGGAAGGATTTGATTAATTTAATGAACCTTTTTTGGACGTTGCTTGATTATAAAGAAAATTTTTTTATTCTGCTTCCTCCAACATTTTCGCCCTTCTAGACTTCAAATTTAAGAATATTTTTCATGTTCAAAGATATTTTTATGCGCCAAGAACACAATGAATTTGAAAAACCTTGTTAACTCATGCAAAGAGAGCGTAAATCGTGAAGAATAAATTATTATGGAAAAGAAAGATTCAGAGTTTATGGCAAGTTCTACTCGAACGAGTTTGTCATCGACGGCGTTTTCGGCAACTGCGAAGGTTCTGGGCTTTTGGGTCCACTCATAACTCCTTTGCCGGATAACTTGAAGTGTCAGGTCCTTTTTTGTATTTTTAATGGTTCTTGAAATAATTTCGATATTAAAAAGTTTAGCCTTTTTGCAAGGCTTGCAAACAAAATCCAATTTTTTACGATTTTTTCGAGCACATCCCCCAGTTTAAAGTACCCTTTCTCACGCGATGACGTCACTCGTCACTCCGTGGTCAATGAACCTTTCGAATCAAAACAACAATTGCGCGATGTCCTCGTCTTTTTTTCTTTTTTCACGCTCAGGTGCAAGATTTTAAGCCTACCTGGTATCAATTTTCTGAAACTTGAGACAAACCATTGTTGCAGAAAAATGAGCCATTGAAAAAATCAACTGAAACCCTTTTCAATGATTAATCTTCAATTGAAGGTGACAATTTTTGATTTCGAATATTTCGGAATAGTTTCGAAACGGATTTGAGACAGTAATTTTTATGGATTACTTCAAAATAGGTGCAATTTTTGACGGCGTTTTTCTCGTTTGCCTCATTTCTCGCAGCCTAATTCCTTTGGCCTTTTTTCCTTTTGTTATTCTCAAACATTTTTTTTTATTTCTAATGATTTTCAGAATTTCTTCGTTCAATTTAAATTTTGAAGCTTTAAGAATTGATGTTCAATCGGAACCACGGAAATTTTCGACTTTTGAGAGTTCCTAACTTTTTTCATAGGCCTCCAGGGTAGTTTTTGAGACCAGATTCGGAATCAACGAAAAAAACTACATCTCGTGATTTTGTTCTCATTCAAAAGAGTCGACTTTTTGAACTTTAAAGGGGTCTCGAAAAACTTCGAAAAATAAAACTTCGTTTTATCCGTTGCCCGACCCACCCTTTTCCCGCATAAATTGCTTATCAGAGAACCTTTTCCAATTTTAGAAATTGTCCGTATTTCTTAAACATTTGCAGGAGACAGGCTGCACCTACGTCGAGGTGCTGAACGCGACGCGATGTTGTTGCGATTCGGAATTGTGCAACGCGCCGCCGCCTGGTTACCCGTCTGCCGTCAGAGCGTCGCCCCAGGCGATCCACCTTTCTTTTCTCTTCTTTTTCCTGTTCCTTTGTCTTTTATTCAAGAATTTTGTAGAGGTTTGAGCCTTATAAGGGCATTTATGAATTTAATAAACTTTTGAAAAAGCTCTTGAAAGTTCAAAATGATTTGAAAAATGTTCAGAGAGGCCCTTTAACCCCGAAAAAGATATAGAAAAGACAAAAAAAAAATCAAAAGTAGAAAAAAAAAGAAGTTCATAATTTTTCGTCGCATCTGACAAAAAAGGAACTTCAAGAAACTATTTCGAGAGAATGTTTCTGTCTTGAAATTAGCTATTAAGAAGGCGTTCCATTAGGTTAAAGCTAGAAAGAAACGCGTCGTCGACACAAAATACAGGCCCACCGCCAAACAGTTTGTTTGCGTTTGGCGCCCGTCACATCGATTTTGTTCACTCCAACTGCTTCAGTCCCTTTTGGCACCCTGTTTTGATTTCGAAACGCTTAATTTACTTCATTTTGAACTCTAATATTTGTGTGTCGAAAATCTAGAAGTTACTCTTATTGTGTTCCAGGAAGGAAGACCTTCAAGAAAGAAAAATCGTGATAATATAAAATTTTAAATTTACTTCATCAGTTACTTACTACTACTCTGATTTTTAAAAAAATTCATTATAAACTTTGAAAAACTTCATAATAAAAAAAGGTTTCCAAATGAAAAATTGTCTGTCATTGAGTATCCTTTTTTTCCCTTTCACGCCTTTTTTTTATTTTATTTTTTTCTTTTGAGCTTGATGCATTTTTTTGACGAAATCGTACTAAACAAGACCTTTTACCTTAGCAAAAAAAGCCTTTCAGCCAGATAAAAGAGATCAGGCCAATGTGAGAGAATGCCAGACGACATACCAAAGATCCCACGTCATCGTGGAAAGAAGAACCGACCGAAAGGTAATCAGAAAATTTTTCAGCCATCATTTTATTTCAAATATCACTTTTTACGACAAATATCTTTATGAACTACAATCCGATATATCGATAACTTATTTTCACTCTTGAAATCGTCCTCTTGAAAAAATATTTGAAGCCGAGTCGAGTAGGCCTTTTGATACAACCATAGGTCTTCAGAACTTTCCAATTTTTTTTTTCCAAAGTCAAAAATTTTCTTTTGAAGCCAAGAGCTTGGTTAATCAAGACCAAATTTTGAACTTGACGATCTTAAAAAAGTGCTGAGAGACTATGAACTTAGTTATCAAATGGTTCACTTATCTCTAGAAATCCCGAGTTTCAGCGAAAATTAGAATCTCTCGAGCTTTTCCACATTTTCCTAGCCATTTCGGATGAAAAGCACAGAGAAAGGTTCCAGGTAACTGTGACCGAATTTTTTGTGACGTTATTTTCGAGCCACTTGACGTCCAACTTCTTTCAAATGAACTCCTCAGACTCGGCCTGGCGTCAACAGACGCTTCCGTCGGTCCGAGCCCACGTCGACGTCGTCTCGGCGATTCCTTGTCTGCTGGTCGGCGGCGTCGCTCTTCTCGCCGTCGGGATCGCCCTTTACTTCGGCCACAACTCTTGTGAGTCCGACAGTCCGTCTATAAATATTTCTGGTCTTTGAAGCTTTCGAAGAAGAAATCACTTACACAAACTGTGCGCTGGAGAATGGGACGAGTGCTCATGACGTCATCAAAACGGACTTGCCGGATGGGACTTTTCAGTGCAGCTACACCATTCAGCTCGATAAAGATTACGAGGTACCCCAGGAAAATTCTCGGAGCTTTTTGGGTTTCGGAATTAAAACAAAATTCTGGTCGCACACGAGGGCTCAAGCGTTGCGAAAAATTAGAAGGTTTTCAAAAATATTTTACAACACCAGCACGTGAGAGTCATTCTGAGTAGTGTTTTAAAAAATCGAGCTTGACATCAAAACTAATTAAAATTACCATAATCGATCATTAACTTATTGATCATGAATACTTTGAAAGCCTGGAACACTGTATAAATTCATGATTTATCTTCTTTACGATCGCCCTGAAACGTATCATTTCTCAGCTTTATTTCACGTTTGCTACTGCTTGAATAAATATTTTTTCGAATTTCAGGGAGACGTCAAGTTTTACTACGGACTGACCAACTACTACCAGAACAATCGGCTGTACTTCACCTCTCGGAACGACATCCAGCTGACCGGGAAGCTGACGACGGTCGACGACTGCGACCCGCTGGCCTACGAGTTCCGCAACGGCTCCAAGATCCCAATCGCTCCGTGTGGCTTCATCGCCAACTCCATGTTCAATGGTTGGATTGAAAAGTGCTTGGAAAATCGATTTTGACTTCCAGACACCTTCCAACTCATCTACATCACCGACGCCAAGACAAACGCCGGTGTCAGAGTGCCATGGACTGCGCGAAACGTGCTTTCGAACACGGAAATCAAGCGAAAGTTCAGAAATCCAAAAAGGGTTAACAACCAGTCGTTGTGCGACGCTTTCAAGGTTTCGATTTGAGTAATATTCAACTGGAAACGTGAATTGAAGAACACGGCAAAGCCGCCAAGCTGGCAGCACCCAATCTGCGAGTTGGGCACCCGAGATCCTACCGAAGCAGGTCTGGGATTTGAGAACATTGACTTCATGGTTTGGATGAAACCAGCCGCGTTGCCAAAGTTCAGGAAACTATACCGCATCTTGGAAAGACAGGTTGACCTCTTTCTGAGTTCAAAATGATGGAGAAGGTTCAGGGAGATCAGTTCAAGGATGGTCTTCCCGCCGGCAACTACACCTTGGTCATTAATTACAGTGAGTTAACAAAAAAAAACTTCGTAACAATGTCCAAAATTATTTGTGTACAAATTCCGAAACGATACCACGAAATTTTTTCCTTCCCTTGCAAGTGGATGAGGCCTCGTTCAAAAGAATTTCCTTCAGACTATCCAGTCGACTCCTTCGGCGGAGAGAAGATGTTCGTGATAGCTCGCGAGTCTTGGGTCGGCCCGAGAAACATGTTCCTCCCGATAATCTACCTCGTCGTTGGCACCGCCATGCTGCTCCTCACGGCTCTCTTCATCCTCATCTATCTCAAACAAAGATTCTCACGAGTTCATCCATAACTTTGCCCTCACAATGCATTTCAGAAGTTCTAGTCATTATCTTCCTTTTACGTGTACTTTTCAACGAGTTAAAATCTGAAAAATTCACTTTGCATTTCGGAATTTACATACATACAATAAATCTATTCGAAACTAAAGGGTACTAGCGTAAAAATCTGCATTGAAATACTCGTGGGATCAGACTGAAAAAGGGAATAAAGAAGGAAAGCCCGCAACGACTGGGATCAGAATGGAAAATGAGATTCAGAAAAGAAGAGAAGGATTCTGAAGACAAAGGCGACGAAAGCGAAAAACAGAGCCCAATCGAGGTCAAACGGAATCGAGGGTTTCGGCGGGAGACTTGATCTGCCCTTGGATCTTCGGCAGCTGCACAAACTTCTTCTCGTCGTGTTCGGCTTGCAAATCCGTCTGGGCTTCAAGCTGAAAACCAAAATTTGAAAAGTTTCTAAATAGGACTTTTACATTTTGCGAGAAGGAATGGCCAGATGCGAAAGCCGGTTCCGGTCGCGACACTTTCTACATCTAGAGCACCTGAGCCGTCCCAATCTCGCGACATGAACTGGCTTCAGCTTCACGAGACCACCTGAGATTCGAGTTTTGAACGCATATTTTCGATGGAAATAACACCTTCAGAGTTTCTACGAGTACGGCAGTAGAAGTTAAATCTTTTCGGCTTGGTCTCGTCATGATGATCAAGAGGTCGTGCTGAAAAAAAAATCTGAGATCAGAGCGCGAAAGTAGTATTGAGTCGGATGCAGTTTCATAGTAAGTCCAGTCGTCGCGTTGAGCAGTTCTATTGACTATAAAATCTCAGGAAATCTTTCAGAGATACTAAAATATACACTTTCCATCACTATCCTACTTCAGCTCTAAGAAATAGTGATAAAACTGACCTGAATACTGAGAGAAAGCCATAGGCGGTACAGATCGAGAAGTGGAGGGCAGATGTCGGACCCACTGAGGACGATTCAGAAGACGTGGCTTGATCTTGGGCGTTTCGAAGCGTGATGACGTCATCGACATGTATGTAGACGTGGTCAGCGCGAATAAACACCTGAACAGAGCTTATAAACTGAGCTGTCGGTGGCTTGAAACAAAACCGAGGATCAAAACTGCTGGCGCGGCACTTTTTCCGCTGACGGCTTCTTTGGAGAAGCGACTTGGAATCTACGAAAGTGTTCCCGACGTCTTCACAAAGTCTTTCTCGAGATCCACAGGTCTCTCCCATCGTCTTACTGTAAAGGGACTCATCAGTTGTAGTAATAATTTGTGTTAGTTTACCTGCTGCAGGTGGCCGAGAAGCTCTTGCTCATAATTCCTGGGATTCGAGTTTTTCTTGGAGGCGTATAGGTGCAAGACGTCGAAAGCGATAGCGGATAGAGGCTGTTCCGAGGAGAGGATCTCCTGAAAATTAAGAACACATTAGTTTTTATAGATCAAAGCTGACTACTAATACACATCTATTCATTGGCCGTAACTTTGGAAGGCTTAAATTTTCATGTTTTCTAAAAAAAAACCTTGAAGCTTGACGGAAAGATCTGTCGAGATCATTGGAGAAATAAGAAGACGTCTCAAATCCAGAAACAGTTCCGCCGCTCTGAAAATATCAAAATAGTACTGAGGTTTCAGAAAAATTGATATTAATCAAAAATGTGTCCGAAACGCGGATATGAAAGCGAAAATTCCAGGTTTGGTAGCCCGAAGGTTTACGGTAAAAAGCTTCGAAAATCTATATCTCGGCATAAAATCAACGAATCTCGAACAAACAAAGCTTATTACAATGTGTAAAATAATTTTATCCAAATTTTTAAAAACTAACATCTCCTGCTTGCTCGTTATTGCTCATATTAGAGAAGTATATATAGTTTTAATGCGGCATTTTCTGTCATTTTCATCAAAATTTAAAAAAAAAACACTCTATCTATTAAGCTAAACTTGGATTAGGCGAATTTTCTATCTAAGACCCGCAAAATCCAAAAAATAAGTTATTTTGAGTCAAGTCTTCAAAAATTCGAAAACTGACTTTCCTTAAGTTTGAAAATCGTTACAGAAATGCTTCCAATGAGTCCAAATTAAAACCTTCCATGATAACTAGTACTTGTACAGTTTACTGTAAAAAATCGAACCTTGCTACCGTAATCCGCGCAAATTCCCTCGGAATCCGACGACTCCGTCAGGTCGCTTTTCTCAAACGTTGCATTTGTCTGAAAACTACTATTTTCTTCTCATTTCCAAGCTCAAAACCTTGAAAATAGTTGAGGTCACTGGTTTAGATGAATTATAAGTTATTTGCTCAATATTTCGTCGATGCCTTTGTGCACATAGTCGTTGCGGGCGAATCCGTTTTTTGACCGAGTTCTGGAATTTGAGAAGAGTTTCAGAAAAGGGAAAATCATTGCTGACAGGTCTCCGGAAGGCGAGCGAATCCTTGTGCTCAGTGAAGTCGCGGCGACTTTGGAGGCGTCGATCATCAGATTCTCTTCGGCGTCTCGAGACGTCTGGAAGATTCGGATGAACTTCAAGGAAGTTGATGATCAACGGACCGTCGAAGAAGAATCTGGATCCGAGGTGGAGACGTCGGGTTGGAATCTTTCCAGACCGCTGAAAACCACGACGTTCTCTCCGCAGAACCTGATGGTTTCTTCTGGGAGAATGGGTTCCACGAAAGCGCTAGTTCCTGAAAAATCCACAAACTGAATGTGAATAACTTTTACTTGAAAAAAAATGTTCAAAAAAACTTCTTTGTAAAAAAATATTTAAAGTTCTTATCGCGTCTTGAAGGAAATTCAATGATAGAGCCTCGGGCATAATTTTGAAAAAAATCGAGATTCCATGAAATTGATTTTTAAAAAGGTCGTTGAAAATGATCCAAAAATAAAAAAACGCAATCTTTTAATCAATTTTTTTCTATCAAATTTTGGTTTAAAAAAATTTTTTTATCGTCGCTGAAAGCTTTGGAATACAAAAACAAAACTTTGAAAAAAATGACTCTAAAATGAGTTTCAACAGAATTTAGCCAAAAAGAACTTGAAAAAAATTGAGCAGCCGACTAACAGAAGAATTTTTTTCACCTGGATATTCTCATTTGCAAGGAAAATCCTTTCAATAAAAATATTAGTTTCTACTGCCTCATTCCTCCTTTAAAATAATAATATCTGTGTCCAAGGCTTCTATAACTTGACTCAAGCATTCAAAAATCAAAAAATCAAATAAGAAACGCTGAACTCAGAACAAAACAAAATCGTTTGGCTAACACTTGACCTGCCTACGTCATGTATAACAGCCCGACTCTCCTAACGGGCCGACTGATTTTATCAGCACCTTGAAACTACTGGGCGAGGACTAGGATACTACCATCCAATGCACTGATAAAAACTATCCCAAATCCTTTGCCAAACGGACCGGAAATGGGCGGTCGACGCTCCCCACTGAGTTGCTGTCGGGCCTTCTCCACGTAGATCCTCTCGCACATGGAGATCGGCCGCCGAACTCCCGCCGTCGACGTCTTCAAAAAGGTTCCTTCGTGAAGGGAATATTTTCCATGGGATACCGGCCGCTTGTCGAGGTAGGAGGTGCTGGAACTGGTCGAATCGCCAACGGAAACGCCGGAGTCGGCGCCCGTCGAACGAGTCAGAACTCCGCCGTCTGCCTTTCCAACTAAAAAGAAAAAACATGGAAAGAGCTATGAATTGAAATTTAACGATGTTTGTTCCTACATATTTTAGATATTCTTCATGAAAAAACGAGACTGACTTGGCATGGATACTAATTTGTGCTCATTTTCATAATTTATGAGGATACGTGTGTTTTTCAAGAAACAAACGTTTAACCGAAAACTTTCGAACCCCAACAAAATTCAGAAAAGAAACGAGAAAAGGAAAACAGAAGTGCTTTAGAACATGTCAATAATGCCGCTTCACAATAAAGGCGCAAGGCAAATACCGGTGAATGGTCTCTTTTTTTGCAGGTGTACAAAAAAAGAAGGAGAATCTGGCTGTGCGAAGCTTTTCCCAACATTTCCAAAAAAAAAGTTTGGAAAGCATTTTAATGAAATTTGAAGCTTGTGAGCGAAAAAACTTTTTTTATACTTCTAGCGCGGAATTATAAGGAGACTTTGAACAGGCTTTCAAGTCATGGAAAACAAAACCTGACCAAATGGAAACTTTTTTTTTTTGATTGAGTCCTTCTTTGCAACCTTTTTAAGCGAAAATATGAATAAAGCCACATAGGAGAACCTGATTAAAAAAAAACCATGTAAAAAACTTTTCACACTAAAAAGCTACAGCAGAAAATGAAACTAATCGCAAACTTTATCAAATTGTTTATCAATGAACGTTTCGGGTGCCAGACGCAAGGGTTGAAACTAATATCATAAATAAACATGCAGTCTTCAGTGTCAAATTACGCTATTTAAAAAAAAAACGCTAAAGGCGCTATATTGAAAAGAGCAAAAAAAAAATCAATTCTCAAGACCGAAAATGGAATCAAATTTTAATGGAAATGACAGTAGAATAATTTTTAAATATTCAGAGGAAGCGATTTTTCGAAGCTTTGACTAAAAACATGCAAGGGAAAAATTTTTAGCGCTTTTTACCAATTAGCGGAAAAAAATAACGGGAAAAAGCTTTTTATCTTAAATAAGTATGCTGAAAACGCTTTTTTCTTAAAAATCGAATTTCAAAAAATTTCCGTTCAGAAATCAAAAAAATCGTGTTCATGATTTTTATATTTCAGACTCGAACAAGACCATTTTATTAAGTCTCCGGAAAAGTTTTTGGAACGATTTCTTTTCAGCTCAGAAGTGATAAAATAAAGTCTAGCTTGTCTGCACTCTCTTATCCCTAACAGTGATAAAAATATTTTTAAAAAAAACCGAGGGAAACACGAATTACATTCTCGAAGTGAAAGGAAAAAAAAAATGAAATTGTCCTTTTGTGTTGAATTTCCCACGGATCTTCCCTTACCTATGAGGCTACTGGAGGCGGAAAGACGAGTCGAGGAGGAAAGCGGGCGGACCCCGGGCACCTTCCAACAGGAGTCGTCCTCGCTCCAGACGGCCCTCTCTTTGATCCGCTCGCCGACCTCCGGAGGAATGAAGTTCTCGACGACGAGAAGCCTGAGAGAAACACATGTCCCTTCTCATAAAAATCCGGGTCGATTCACTTTAATTTGAGCTCCTTGCTGATTTCGCTGATGGACTGGTCGAGGTCTTGTCGCTCGTCGGAGAAAATCGCCGTAGAGTCTCGGATTTCGCTTCTCACCTAGGAATCTGAGTATTCTCGAGGGGATTGTGGCGGAAAATGGCAAAATTGGAGCATTGGAGTTCAAAGATTTGCTAGGAAGATTAGAATATTGCGAATTTAAAGAAATTGGGACATACGGCCATTTTTTTGAAATCCCTTAAAAAAAGTTGCAGAAAAAGATCTAAGCTGCTTCTTTTGTAGAGAAATATCATGATTTTTGATATTTGTAGTCTTTTTCGATTAAAACTGAGAAGTTCAGAATTTTCAAACTTCACATCTCAAACTCCTCATCGCTGAAAGTCGCATTGAAAGCTCATTTTTTTAAGAAAAGTCTAATTTTCCTTCCACCTGAACCGACAAGATTTCTATTCCTCATCAAGAATCGAACCTGGCGCAACTTGAAGATCAACTTCTTGAGCTTCTTGGTCTTCGCCTCGACCTCTTGGCGCAAGTCGGAAAAAGTCTGGCGCAGATCAAGGGCGTCTTCTTCTTGCCTCTCCAGCTGTTCAGCCATCTCCCGTTCTCGTTTCTGGGGACGACAAAATTAGCTTTGGATTTTTTAGGACTCAAACTTTCTGTTCAGAAAGTTCCCGTCGCTTGGTTTCCAGTTGTTCCTGTTGTTGCTGAGTCCGTTGCTGGAGTTGTTCATTTCCATGGCCTCCGATTATCCGACTTTCAATATTGGCGATCATTTCGGCGACGCGATTCTGGAGCAGGGCTTGATCTTTCAGAACAAATGACTTCAGTCGAAAAAAAAGCTGATTTTTTAAAATTTTTTCTTCAAAAAATGAGCTTCGAAAAGAATCGCAATAAAAGCCAAGACCTCCTTTACCAAAAACAAAAAAACCAAGGCTTATTTTTTTAAATATTGCTTTCTGTCAAAAACCGTCACAGCACGTTTAAAAGGGACAAAACGATGAATTCAGTTCATAAAAAAGATAAATTTTTGGCTTTTTTCCAAATTTTCACAAGCTTTTTTTTCTCATTTCTCACCTGTTCTTGCCGTTCTTTTTCCAACAAGGAAGATTTCCGTTCCAGCTCGGCCATGAGCCTTTCTTTCTCTTGTCGGACCAAACTTCCATTGGAAATGAGTCTTTCTCGGTCATTGGCCAGCTGTCGTTGCTGTTCGTCGTAGTCATGCATTTCTGAAGTCGCAAAATGGAAAATTCTCATCAGTTTTCGTCAAAACCTCCACGAGATTTGGTTTTTCGACGTTCGAGTTGAGATCGTAACCGTTGGATTTCTTCCTGGAATTCTCTGAGCAGGGCATCTTTGGGATCTTCGTTGATCTTCGGCTCGTTCTTGATGTTCTTTGCTCTATTCGCGTATCGTAGGGTACCTAGAATCTCCTTACTTTGTAAATTTTGAAAAGAGAAGCTTACAAGGACCGTATTTTTTGTTTTTTTTTTTCTGGACGGTTTTGAAAATCATCTCAATTGCTCCCTGACATGTTTTCTAGATCAACTACTTGCTCAAATGTAAAACCCCATAATCCTCTACTTGGACACTGTGAAGGAGATACAAATGCAAGAAGATTCCAGAAAAAAAACGGAAGATTTAGAAAATATTATTGTAGTGCGTCTAAAATTGAGTCGCCAACTTCTGAGAAATACCAAAGGATGAAGTAAAATGACCTTTAATTAATGAAAAAAATGTCCTATTTCTAGTTAGCCATGGATAAATCCTAGAAAGGCACCTTCAAATGCAATATTTTCTTGCTCTAAAGACAAAAGACCGGGCTTATCTGTAAAATGCTCTCGGAAACGCAAAAACTCAAAATTTGTAAATATTTGAAGATTTTGAACTTCGTAAATGCTTTTCCATGTTTGGTTGTACCTAAAGTCTCCTCATAGTTGTAGGAAGCGGGCCCGATGCAGGCGACCATGACAGTTTTGGAGTTTCCTCCAAGAGAGTCCTGTAGGAGACGGGTGAGTTTGCTGTCGCGGTAAGGCACATGGGAGGATTTGGAGTCGACGAGAGCCGAGATGACGTTTCCGAGGGCCGACAACGACAAGTTGATCTTGGTAGCCTCCTTGAACCGTTCGCCGGTGGCGCCAGTCTTGGCTTGTCGTTCGCTGCCAGCCAAATCGACGAGATTCAAGCGGCCGACGGTTATGTGCATTTCGCCGTCGATGCCCACCTGGCTGCACTCCACCGTAATGATGAAGATGGCGTGGGATCGACTCGAGTGCTCGTTCATGTTGGTTCTCCTGGAAAAAAATACTATCAAAATTTGAAAATTTATCATCAATTTGGTATTTATAACAATTTGGACTAACCTGTTAACCATTAAAGTCATTCTTGAGGGTGAATTAAAACCGGGTCACTACTTTTATTTATTCTTTCCACCTTGTGGGTAAGTAAAGAAGTACCTAACTATAAAAACAGAAACAGAAACGTGGTTCATAAACCAGGAAAAAGACAGAAAATGAAAAGAGACTTGAAGAGAATTAAAAATGAAACACTTGAGAAAAAAAAAATTGAAGAAAACTGGAAAAAATTTAGAGACTGAAAAACAAGAGAATCTTGCTAAATTTAAGAAAGAACTAGGAAATTTCGAAAAAAAAAACCGTGGATAAAATTTTTAAAAGCTTATGGATTCAATCAGAGTTCTTTCAAAGTGAGCAATGTTTTGAAAAAAATTGAAAAAAATACACCATAAGTAGTTTTTTTTCTCATTCATCTGTACGATTTTCAGAAAACTTATTTTTTTCTCTTATCTTTCCGGCTTCCTTTTGCCTTCTCCCGATATACTTATCATCTTTGAAACCCCGATGCTTTTTTTATACTCATTAAAAAAATAGCACAAAAAAATAATTAAGAACTGGAATAGAGCCCATTTAATCGGAACAAACTGAAAAGTACAAAAAAATAAGCAATCAAAAATATTTTTCAGTTTTCAGAAAGTACATCAATTGATCTCACTCATGAGAATTAATTGATGAAAAAAACAAGAATTTTTTTATTCTCCCAGGCGAAATTAATCATAAGAACATCTGGTCAGAGAAATTTCCCACACACTAAAAAAAGCTTGAGAATTCAGCTGTCAATGATAAAAAAAGCCGAGAAAAAGTTCAAAAAAAGTCCAAAGAAGAGTTTGAAACTTCAGCTGGCCCAAAAAATCGAGAAATTCCAAAGATGAGCTTTTAAAGACGAAATATATGCGCAAAAGGGGTGAAATTCCGATAAAATGAAGGAAAATATATGCTAAACAAAATTTTTAAGAATTTGCCATCAAAAAAGGGGGTCCAAATAAAGATTTTTCGCATGAAAGAAAATCTTAAAACTTTGAAAGAGAAAATTATAATTTGAGAGCACAGGATCATAAAAATGTCCAAAACACCACAGAAAGAAAGTACAAAAAACCCCTTTCCCCCAAAAATTCAAAAAAAAAAAAAACGAACCCAACAGATCGCTGAGCATTTCCCGTCGCCATGACTTTTTGGATCGATTCTGCAGATTCCGATACGAAAGCCTAGAGAAAAAATGATTTCTCTTTTTCGTATAAGACATTTTTTACCGATAGATCTTTGACGTAGACGCCGCCATCTGGCTTTTCCTTGATCTCAAGTTTCTTCGAACCTTCCGTATTTAACAAATCCCGGAGTTCTTCCTTTAAGAAAAATAACTTATATTCATTGAAAATCTTGGGAATCAACCTGATAAATTTCGAGATAACTGGCGCGAACCAAATATTTTTGGTTCCGAGAACTACCAATATGGTCGAAAATGTGGTCAATGCACCGGTAAATCACTCCTCGTTGTTCATCGAGATCGCATTTACCTAGAAAAATCTTTTATTCATTTTTAAAGTCTTGAATTATAACAGATTCTAAGAAAGTTTTACGGTTAAGTAACAATAAAGTATCCAATAATTCTTATAAATTTGACCCTATTGCCCATTCCTAAACTTTAATTTAATTAAATTCCTCAAAGTTGAGAATTTGAAAAACCATGAAAAAACTCCCACATGATATTTGAGAAATATTAAACTTTGAAATCTCAAAATTCATAAAAAAAAAACGCAACTTGGTTGAAATAATTCCGTTTGCAAAAGGCTGTGAGTTCTAAAAACTCGAAAAAAAACGAATCTATTAAACTTAAAATCATTATCACTTTGAAAAATACCAACTAAGATGCCCCTCTTACTAATAAGCGAGTAAAAAGTTTAGAAAAAAAAGAAAAAAGTCTTCAAATAATGGTGACAAATCTTTCTGAAAGGCTCTAAAATCTATCTGAGAATTGCAAATTATAGGAATAACTAACAGGATATAATGTTACTAGAAGTAATATTGAAAAAAAGAACTATGAAAATCTGAGAAAATTCCTTTTTTCGATCAACTTTTATGTTCAAAATGAACAAAATTGATGAAAAACTGAGAAGAAATGAAATAAGTGCTCTACTCACCCTCCATAGTGTGAGTTTTTCCGGTTCCGGTCTGTCCGTAGGCGAAAATCGTGGCATTGTAGCCACTGAGGACAGAATCGACGAGGTCGCGGAAAACTTCGTCGTACAGCTCGACTTGGGTTGATCTTGAAACATTAATGATATGTACTCGAGCTCAATTTTTTTTGGTTCATTCTTCCGCAAACACATGAGGATTGTGGAGATTTGGGGTAATCAACTAAAAAAAAAAACTAAAAAAAAATTTAAAAAACTGAATTTTTTCATCTGATTTCTCGGCAAATTTCTTCAGCTTACTTTTCGTCATAAATCGCGTCGAAGGTGAAATCTTTGGTGGGCTCTTCACGATCTTTCGCATTTTTCCAACTGTACGAGCCCCCGCTCACAGTGCATCTTGATGATACTGAAGAAAAACGTGTTTTTCATGGAAAGGATTTAAAAAAAACCTTTTGTGTCCATTTTCGATCTCTTTTTTGGACAGTGGACGACACCTAACGACAACCTGAAACGCAAAAAATAATGAAAAAAAGAAATTTTTCGAAAATTCACCTTCACCGACTCTTCCTTGACACTTTTCTTCAGCTCAACCATTTCGACCACTTCGCAGAAATCAATAACCTTTAAAAAAATAATAAAGAAAAAAATATCTTTAAATGGAAAGAAATGTATAATTTTGGGAAAAAAATATATCAGAAAAAGCCATGGGAAAAAGAAATAAAAAGACAAGATGTAAAAAAATTATTGAACTCAACTTTTCGAAACATTCATTATGCATTTCGAAACATAGCTTTAAAAAAAAACAATATCTATATAATCAAAAGTGCAAAAAGACTTTTCAACAGAAAATTATAGTGATGTGTGAAATGAAGCTTTGAAAGCCACAATTTTACTCTACTCTATTGAAAATTAAAGGGTTTGAAAATCGGTTCAGAATCCAACCAAAACTTCATTTTGAGGAAGAACGCTTCAAAAATTGTCATTTTTACTTGAAAAGTACAAAATGAGATCAGAAAATTGATTAAAAAGCCCAAATTCAAATAAAGTTTCTCTGAAAATTTTTGAAAGCTCGAAAATTCATTTTAATAAAGAAAGCTCAACTAAAATTGAAAATTTTTGTTGATGAGAAAAAAATTGAATGTTTGACCTTGGAAGTTGCTATTATCATTATCATAAAAATCTCTTTCGAGAATTCCTAACATGAATTTCAAAAAAAACCCTTTCACAGAAAAAAAAATTGAAAAAAAGTGAAAATTTTCATAAAGCTTCAGTTCAAATGAGAAAAGACGAGAAATGAAGGTAACGAATGAGTTTCCTTAGTTAGAGAGGCTCCTAAAAAAACAGGAAATCGATGTGAAAGACGCTCTCACCTGCTTTCTTTCATGTGTGGAGCAATTTGTAGTCGTATAGATACATTTGTTGAGAAGCCGAAGGTTGGGGGGACTTCCTTAGAAAGCGAACAACTGGCCGCGGGAGATGAATACGGCAATTTCTGCTACTGCTGGAAGAGCGCACAATATTGATTATTCGGTGGCACGAATGGCAGCGAGCAGTTGTTGTATTATTCTTGATGTCTCGCGCGCGCGCGCCGAAATTAAGTTCTGAGAATCGGATTGCCAATTAACAATAATCATTATTCTCATCAAAGAGCGAAGCACTACTCTATTCTCAAAATAATAATGCATGTGAAATTGGCCAAGCCCCGCCTCCCATTCCAGGGGTTCAATGCTCAAAAAGGAACATCGTTCGGAAACAAACAAGAATGCCCCAAAACAGAGGAAAAAATGTTGTTTTGGAGCAATCCAACAAACACTAAATTCGATTTCGAGACACTTTTCCGCAATTCATACGTCAGTGAAACATAATTCAGGCTATTCCAAAAGAAAAAAAAACGATTCGAAGAAAAATTAGTCATTGATAAAACAAAACTTTTCTTGAATTCAGGTCTAGCCAGCTGAAATTTTGTTCGAAATTCCCTCTTTCCATCTTACAATCGAAATTAAACTCGAACTTAAGCACAGCATTAATAAAAAAACCCAATAAAAATAATTTTTGGATCAAGGTTTGAAATCAAAAAAAAAAAAACAAAAATTTTAATTTTTTTTTAATTTTAAACTTTCTGTTTTTTTATTCAAGGCAACTGTTCTCGATATTATCGATAATTATTATATGAAAAAAAGTTTTGACTATGAGAAAAAAAGTCAAAAATACGATTAAACAAAAACAAAAAAACTTTGAAATTAACAAAGTGATTTTATTCATTTCTGATGCGCAAAAAAATAAGAACTTTTCAAAAAAATCCCTAACTATTGAACGTTAAGTCCTCATAACTTAGAAAAGAAAAAAATATAAAAAAAGATATGTTTTTTTAATAAAAAAACTTTTTTTCGTGTACACGGTGTCCGTGCCTGAGCCCCACCATCTCCGCCGTGCCCGTATACGGGTATATTTATATATCCGGTTATTTCACACAAAATGGGTACCCACTGGGATAAGTTTTAGGGGGCCCTATAGGGGGTCGCGATTTTAGGGGGCCCCTATAGGGGGTCTGCAAGTGGCCTTTTTAGGGGAAATCCCTAGGGCCCCCTATAGGGGGTCCTAAATCGCTCCCTAAAAATTGCAAGACCCTCAAGGGGTCGCGAAGACCCCTTGAAACGAACGTGGTTTTTTTTTTAATATCTTTCTCATTTTCTAAGTTTTGAGTTGACTCAGTCGACTCAGTTTTAGTTTAACTTTATAACTTGTATTTATATTTCATCAATTTCTGTGGTGCTTAAGGAAGTAATACGTTATTCACGAACGAGTTGTCAGTAGGATTTTTTCGTTATGGTTTCAAATTGTATTATAATGATTTGTGCTTTTTTTTTGTGCTTCATAAAAGTTAACACGGCAATCTGTACATTGGTTCAGTATTTTCAGTGTTTCGTTTATGTACAATTGATATATTGGTTTGTGTAAATATGTTCAGAGTATTTTTTTATTTTGGTATTTTCAGAGTTTCGTCTATGTATAATTGGTCTACTGGATTGTGTGAAACCGTTAGAAATTCACCGGTAGATGATGTTTGTTGGAGGTTTTTTTGATGTAAATGCGTGTTTATATATTCTATTTGATTATTGCTCGTTAAAGAAGACTTAATTTTTTTATTAAGATGCCGCGGAGTCGCGATTTTATTGATGCGCATTTGTTCTACAGCAGCGATGAAGATTCTGAAAGGTATATCGAAAAATGTTGATAATTATAAATGATCGTAGAAGCACGGAATCAGCCGACGGAAATTTTGAGCCGCCACATGAACCAGAATCAACGGAAGATTACCGCGGGCCGAGCAATTCAATAAGTTGCTTTCAAATGTCAACGTTGGTTGTTTTTTTGCTCACTGTTCAATTGTTCTTTTTTTATATGTGCCAAACTTTTTTTGCCCCTTATCTAAGTAGTTTCAACCGTTTCCGTGTCGGAAGTCCCAACGTTTTTTATTGAAAGTTGCCCAACCATTTGCCTTGACACAACGCGTTTTTCTTCTATTTTTTCGCAAGTAGCGCTTATATCAATATGCTTTAGGCGTATCTTTATTGTCTTGAAGAGCTTCTATTAGATTGATCAATACGGTTTCCGTTAGCAGTGATTTAGACGTGTCAAATATTTATATGGGTCTTTTACGGCCAAAAGTTTTTTTGCTTCCTCGAATACCCTGTTACGTATACATATCTTCAGTTCCTGATCCTGATCCTGATTGCTTTTAATGTTTTCGATTCGTTTCAATAAATTTGGAAACAGTTTCAAACGCGATGAGATGAGTTTACTGTGGATGTGTTAACGATTCGCATTCAATAAGGGTTTCTCTATTTCCTACCGGAGCTATTTCAGAAATTTTCCGTGCCCCCCCCCCCTAAAGGGACCCCTAAAAAAATTCGTAGGGGTCCCTATAGGGTTTCATTTAGGGACCCCTATAGGGCCCCCTCCAAGGGGCCCTAATTTACCCCCTATAGGGCCCCCTAAAACTTATCCCAGCACCCGGGTCTGATGACCGCACCATCGAATCCACGGCTACTGTAAACAACTTTCTGCATACACTGATCCAAAGAATATTTCAAAATAAAAGGCGGGAAAATAAAAACGCGTTTTTTTTTTCTCAATTACTCATATCTGTTCTTTTCTTAAGTGGACCGTTCGATTCGCAATGAAAAGCTCTACAAGGTACTGCTTCTACCTCAATCTCCGTTTTTAATGCCCATATGACTTTAAAGGCTTCTCCCGTTTTCCATTTTTTTTCACGTTTATGAATAAATATGTAAAAAAAAATTTTACTTTTGTATTTCTCGTTTTCGAAATCAGGTAATAAGTGGACGCCAAGGAGAGCGGCAGGCGATTTAACGGAATCACGCGTTTTTCACTTTTTTTTTTTCTCATTCAACTGATTGTTTTTCTCATTCAACTGATTGTTTTTTTTTCCAAAAAAATCTTAAGGTAAAAGAAAAGTTTGTTCCATGAAACGTGTTAGTTTAAATTAACTGCCGTTTTAGTTTTCCTTATTTATTCGGTATTCGCAACTTTGCAACGTTTTCGTAATTTTTTGAATGGGCGTGTTGGGTATGTGTATACGAAGGTTTTCATTTTTATTTTGACCTATTAGCGCTCCTCTGTCATTGTTGACATATTGATCTTTCCGTTAGCGGGAATCCTTGAGACTTCTCATTCAAAAAATAACTAGAATTTGGCTTGTTTGGACGTGGGAGGCTATTCTGAAATTTTCACCTCTATTCAGTTGTGAACAAGTTTCATCTCTTATTTTCAAATTATAAGTTTCTCCACTGGACCTTACTCTTCAATCTTGATTTATATTCAACTAGAGTTATGTCTAACATGAGTTTTTCAGCAATGACGCCAGGGGCGCTGAAGGTGGTTAAAACCTTATTTAATCACCTAATGAGTCCAGAGAGCAATGTCGAAACATTGCAGTGTTTTGCATTGTAAGTTTTTCGTCTTTTAACATATTTTTAATAATGAGATGCTCGTTTTTAAGATGATATATTCGTTTTTATTTTGCAGACAATGCCAAATATTCGCTGATCGCGGCGAATATTTTGTTGTTCGCGACAAAGCTTTCGCAGCTTTTCGCGAATGCTCGCATAGAGAAGGAATGAAAGAAAGTGATGGGCTACTGCATCTCTTGAAAGTCGTGGTGAGGAACAATTATTATTGGATAATAAGAAATAAAATTGTTTAAAGGCGAAAAACAGCCGATCTGGGTCCACGGGAGTTTACGAGACGTTGGACAGTCAAAGCCGCTTCTCAAATTCGCTACAGTTCCACCTCCAATGGGCTGAATTATACGGCCAAAAAAGAGACCTGGAAGGCTTCAAAAAGGTTTTGTTGCGATTTGAGGGTTAAAATTGTTTTTATAGGTATTGGAATTAGCTCGAGATCGCCTCGTCGGCAAACAATCGCTCGAAAATTTGGAATCCGGATTCAGGTCAGTTCCTTTATTCTTGATTGATAAATGGAGTTTTTGCAGGGATTTGGCCGACGAATACTTCCCCGGCGACGTCGACAAACTTTTCAGTCAAATGGACGACACGAACATTATTTTTAAGCCGCTGACACCGAACGGAAATCAAAGAAAAGGTTGGAAATTATTTGTTTACCTTGAAAATGTTTTTTTTTTCTCATCAGGTCGACGTCGATCCTCGGTGGCGATTCTCCAGAGGGCAGCTGCCTCTTCGAATCCGACGGCCGTCGTTTCTTCTTTCGGCCCAAAGAGTCAGTTTTCTTTTTTTTTTTCAGGACTTGGTTTGGGGTTTCTCGAGAACACTTGGACCAATAGATGAAGTTTCATGTTGATTATCGATCTAATATTGGAAATATGTGTGAAATGATCCCAACTCGATAATAAAAAAATCAATTTGTCCTAAGGCCTGCTCTCATTTAAGAATTTTTTTGCGAATCTTTATTAAATATTTTTTTGCGAATTTATTGAAGATTATTGAAGATTATCCCTCGAAAAAATTTCTAATGCGGAAAATTTGAACAAAAGACGTAGGCATATGAAGGTTTTTTTTTCAAATCCAATCCGTTTTTCTTAATATAATATTTTAACATAGTTTTGAGCCACGTCGTGAATTTTTATTTTCAGCGAGAACCTTGATCCGACCAGAGTTCATCTGCAGATCAGACGGCTATTTCGGAATTTCAGTGGAGGAGTTTCGAGCCGCACAGTTATCCGATGACCAGGTACCAGCAGAAATTTCATCTCAAAATAGATTTTTTTTTTCTCATATGCCATTTAGAATCCAATACCATTTTCCAGGGAGGAGATATGGACATTACTGAGATGGAAGAAGCTCATAATCCACAGAACGGCCAGACGAGACGCGATTCTGGAATCGTCAAGAATATTTTCGAGTATTATCTCTACTTTTTGGCCTTTTTATCCCTTTTTTCTCAGACCCCCAAAGACAAATAGCGATGCAGTCATCCAGAGAATGAACGAGATCGAAGTTTGTTTGTTTTTTTTTAACTATTTTCACTTTTTTTAAACGCTTGTCGTTGGCTTTTCCAAAGACGCGTGTGTTTTTCATGACCTAAAATATAATTAGAAGCGAATTTTCACCAAGAAACCTCTAATAAATTTATCTAAGCTTATCTAAAAAAAAAAATTTGCGAACAAATAATTAAAAATTGCTAAGAACGACGGAAATATATTATTTTCAGAAAGAAAACCGACGACGCAAGATGTCGCAAATCGAGGAAGAACAGAAATCGGAGAAAACTTTGGACGACTCTCTTCTGGACTGTACCGACGACAAAAGACCGCGTTTCCACTCGCCGTTGGCTCCTGCCAAAACAAAATCGAACGGTTTGAAAACAAAATTCATCTTTTGATCAGCATGGTCTTGCAGTTTCGAGCCTCAGGGATAAGACGATAGTGTTGTCCTCGGACTCGGCGAGATCTGGAACTGCTACGGACAGGACGCTGGGCGTCGATTCCAGTTTCACGCTCGAAAATGTTCATTCGGCTCAGAAGGGCGGTTTATCCACGAAAGAAGGTCGCAAAACGGATAGGACTTCGATATTTTTGTTCATTTTTTTAGGTCGAATCTCTTCGCAGAAGCCTGAGATTTCGTTCACTGAGACGGCCTACAACGAAGCGCGGGCCCTTTTCTCCGACACTGTTCATCTCAAAGGCACGATTCTTTCAAATTTTGTAGTGGCAGTAGAAAAAAAGTTCTTTTTTGGATTTCTTTTTCTTTTTTATATTATTATATAACTACCAGACGGGTTTTGATGCGAAAATTTGGAAAAAAAAAACCATTACAAGTCGTGTCATATAAGGTCTGACAATGACTATAAGGATTCACTTCAGACGGTTCGGGAGGTGAGGAGGATTTGACGACGGCCGTCAAGGGCAAATCGCCGCCCGTCGAGGAATCGTTCGACGTGCTCGACGATCCAGATCCAACGATGCTCGTCCATTCGGAGAAGCGTCAGTCCGATCTGTCAGTATCCTCTTAGTTCCTCCTCAATTTGACCAATCTCTAGGCCATCCTCTGGTTTGAACGTCGTCTTCGACCTCGAATCTTCTGAAGAGTCTCCTCGTCTGAAGAGCGACGAAATCGAACAAATCACCTCGCCAAATGAACACCATCCACGTCAGTTTTCGTTTCAAGATTTTTTTTTTTGGGAAATTCAGAATGTTTACTCCGAAGTGAAAGAAAAACGCTTCAACATTTTTGTTCACTTATTTTTCAGCCTTTGTAAAAAAAAACTTTCAGACGGCGCCGATGAGAGCATTATCATGGGAAATTTTTTCCGAAGGTCTGGAATCTCGGCTGTAACCTCAACGCCAATGGAATCTGGTGTGTTCGTTTCGGCAGAAGGTTATTTTTTTTCCTTCACTATGAACATCATCTCCCTTCGTTTCAGAGTTCTTCGGAAATTCGCATGCGAATGATGTTTTGAAAAGCAAGCATGAAGACGACGACGGCGTCTTCGCGATGCCAAAGATGCCCCCAGCCGGCTTCAGAGTTCGTTTTTTTTTCTTCTCAAAGTATTCAATCGCTTATCTTTGCTGTAAACTATCAAAAAAATATATATATAGTTACGTCCTGATGTTTAAGATTACTTTTTTTTTTGCCTACACTCCTTCCATGGGGCTGGAGTTTATTTTTATACCTATTTTGCACGATTTTCATGAGCCATTTTCTTCTTGCGATTTAATCTAGTACTTTACTTGCCGCTCTATTAAAAACCGTAAAAAAATAATACTTTTTTAAAAAAAGCTGCTTTCTTTCAGAGACAATCTTTGGCCAACACTACCAGAACGAACACCGCTCTCAGTGTCAAGAACGAATCGCAGAACAAGAGCAAAAGTTCGAGTGCACTGGAAAAGGACATTTCGGTCTCTGACGTCCTGGAAAGCGACATCCGGCGACTGAGCATCGGCGGCGTCGAAAATATCTCCCAGAAGACCGCCGAAGTCGATCTCAATGAAACGACCGGCGAATCGAAGCGTCGCAGAAGGTTTTCGAAAGGACCGGAGGGCGTTCTGAAATAACTTGATTGCAGTGAGGTCATCACCGGCATGAATCCCTGGGATCCGAGCATCCGGAAGAAGATCATGGCCTCCGTCCGACCGCCAACTCATCTCCATGAATTCGAAGTACGAAAACCGGGACTTTTTTTTTTGGGAAATGGTATTGACAACTCTCTAGTTGGCGCGGAAAATAGAAACGAGTTTTTTATTTGTTCAAGCCTCTTTCGGTATATGAGATAATCGATTAAATGCACACAAATGTGGAATAAAACTGTTTAGAATCATTAGCAGCTTTTATCACTAGCATTGTAATTGTAATAAATTGTTCAAGGGGATCTGTCCAAAAGTTCAAGCGATGCGCGATTTGACGGTCAGCGGAGAAAAAGTGCAGATTCTGACGTTGATCGGACAAGGCGGCTACGCCAAGGTGTACAAGGGAAAGCTGGAGGACGACACTTGCATCGCCGTCAAGGTAGCGCTCTAGGGAACTGATCGTCGAGACTTCTCTCGGTTTGCAGTACGAGGTTCCGTCGTGCGCCTGGGAGGTCTACGTCTGCGACCAGATACGTCATCGGCTCCTGAAGAACGCCAACGCCGACCTCGTCAACATCTCCAACAATGCCGTCATGCAGGTCCCTCTTGTCCATTGTCTCTCCTCTGGACGGGAAAATCTTTAGATCACGGACGCCTACATCTACAAAAACGCGTCGTTGATTTTCAACGCTTTCCATGAATATGGTACCTTGCTGGTGGGTTTCCAGCTTTTATATTTTGGTTTTCAAAAATTAATTCGTGTTTCAGCTAGGTGTTTTTTATTTAGAAGCTCTCAAAGTATTTATTTTACTGAGAAGATACATTTGAAACTTCAGCGCTTTTCAAATATTAAATCTATCAGTTTTCAATTTTTTTTTTTCCTTGCATAGCTTCCTGTTGTTTAGAGAGAATGATCGTGTTTAATTTTTTCCAACTTTTAGCGGATTTTTCAATCTAGCTATGTCAAAAATTAGGAGCTTGTGGTCAAACTAAGAAAAAAGAAGTTTTTTTCAAACTAACTGAAGTACTAAAGTAAAAAACTAAAGTTTACGAAGCACAGGACTTGACGAACTCTGTGCACGATCCTCATTGGATGCACGTTCTGTTCGTTGCGATCCAGATGGCGCGAATCGTGCGTTCCGTCCACGGCACTATGATTGTCCACGGCGACATCAAACCCGACAACTTCATGATCACCAAGAAGTTGTTCAGCTCCTCGAAGCCCCCGAATAACAGGGAGACTTGCTCAGGATCGACGCGGAGTTGTCGTCGGCGGACGTCCTGGACGACTACGTCATCAAGCTCATCGACTGGGGCAGATCCATCGACCTCGCCTCCTTCCGAGACAGCACTTTCAAGGGTCGCGCAGGCACGGAGTGTTTCGACTGTCCGGAGATGATTGTCAGTTTTTGATCAGAGCAAAGAAATTAAGTATAATTTGTCTAATTCCCGATTAGACAAAAGCGCAATTTTCTTCAAAAAGGCTAAAGAGCTTATGAAAAGTTATATCAATAATACTTATTGACAGATAAACGTAATCTTCGTATAATGGTAGATTGACCAGAAAATTTTCTGGTTTCAATCCGAAACTATTCAAATTACACAAGGTTTTTTCAAAACTCTCAGGCGGATATTTTGACTTTTGCGGAATCAATCTGGACACGGCATTATGAAAATAAATGTTGAACTTCGCACTTCGCTGAATTTGGAAAAGAAAATGTAAACTTTGACGAAAGCTCTCAAAAGATTCAAAAAGTTAGACCGAATAATCAAAATTATCGCTGAGAAATAGAAGAAGAATGATCCCTTTCAAAGAGAGAGGTCAAGATGATGCACATATCACTTTGAAAATCTTTCAAAAACCTCAAAATAATTGCAGGACGGACGCCCTTGGACATATCAACCGGACTATTTCGGCTACATCGCCAGTGTTGTTCTGATCGCGACCGGAAAGTATGAAAGCCTGAAGGTTGACGGCTTCAGTCTGGGCGAGTACAGACTTCCGGCCGTCATCAAAAGGTTATCCTGTTCTTTTTCGTCTCTAATAATGTCCTTTCAAGACGTTTGGTCATTCGGGACATGCTAACCGAAATGATTCATCAGTTCCTCAACATCCCATCCTGCAACGAGTTGCCCAGCTGGGATGCTGTCATCGAGGTAAACATTTTTAAAGGTGCTTATTCAGGCTGATTTGAAACGGAGAAACAGGCGTTTTCGAGTTTTATGATTTTTTTGAGATAAAAATGGACAGCAAGCACAAATTTTGAGGATACTGTGATTAGAAGGTCTAATCTAGAAGAAATTTCAAGATTCTCATCTCAGGCAAAAAATCTCTTTCAACCAAAGTTCCTCACAAAATATATAAAATTTATCTTTAGTTCCAAAAGAACCTCTGAGCCATTATTGCGCGCTCGTTGGACTAAAAAAAAATCAAAAAATCGAACATAATTTTTCGAAACGACTATTTCTTTGCATGCCGTCGGATTCTACTCGGTTTTTCAGAAGATGGAGAGTTTCTGGCACGCGAATTTTACGGCGGTCGAATGGCGAAGCGTCGTCGGCAGGTTCAACGGCGCGATCAGCAGTTTCGCGAGTCGCTGATCGCCTCAATCTTCAATTTGAAAATGGGTCCTATCCTCAAAGCGGGTTTTTGCCATTCGTAGCTCCCGATTCACAAATTGATTTTATTCATGTCAAATAAAATAAATTTTTCCTTTTTACAAATGTTTCCTGTGACAATTCGGGCTTTTAAACAATTTCGGTTTCATATTTTCGTACAATTCTAATTCTGGGATCGAAGTTTTGAAAAGGTTGCGTTCAATTATTCTAGAAGATAATTTAAAGCGCTTTGGTTGAAGTTTTTTTCTGAACCTTTTTAAAAATACCAAGAAACACATTTTTTTTTTTTTTTTGTTTACTAAGGAACGTTTTTAGCACCTCTTTGAAATTTAATGAAACTTTGCTTGAATGTATTTTAGGAGCATCATGGTTCAATGGAATCAGAGTACTAGAGAAAATGAAAAGCTCGAAAAAGGGAAACTTTTTTTGCTGCCTTTCTGCCGCCTTTTTTTTTGAGCCTCTCCCTTCAAGCGGCCATTATCCCCTATTCCGACTTTGCCCGAGTAGAAGCCTCGGAATGAGAGCGATCACTTCGAGTGAACACGGAATAGATCTCGTTTTTTGGTTAGGACGCTTCAAAGGCTTGAAATAGGGTTTTTCGTCATAACTCGCGTATCTTGCAAAGCTTTGGAATTTGGATTAGACAGTATATTGAACATTTGTCAAAAAAGCGGAGCAGTCCCATCACGCCGCGGGAACCCGCTGCGTTTGGCTCGAACCCGAAAAACTGTTTCGCTGCGAGCGCGTCAAGTTATCTTGAATGACTCTTTTTGCACTTTTTGCGAGGAAAAGGTTACTCGGAAGTTTTGCAAATAATGCCCCCATTAACTCAATATTTAAATATAAATATTTATAGGAAAGTCACGCTCACTCCTTAAAAAAATTTTTTTCGATGACCCAAATTAAATATGGGAGAATACTAGGGGAAGCGAGCAGGGTTACACGGAAGTGAAATTCTCGAAAAAGGAAGAAGGAACACGGATTAAGGAACAGAAACATTTTAGGGAGAAGAAAAGCGGTTTTCAGAAAAGATTTTTTTATTGTATTCATAACGAACTATGGTAACCTCTGAGTAAATTTTAGTGGAGTTCAACGTATCGAGGAAACTCTGCTGTACAATTAAACCGAAGCTATCGAAAAAAATTCACCAAAGAAAATTTTTAGTAGAGTAACGTGAAAATTTTTCAAACGAAAAATAACCAGTGAAATTTGAATTTCGTGGCCAACTGAAATTATAACGAACTATGCATAGGTAACCTCTGAGTGAATTTTAGTGGAATTCAACGTATCGAGGAGCTTCGAGTCTCTTTTACAAGGGCCAGGCTATCAGCCACGAGACAGAGAAGAGTCTCTCTGACTCGTTGAATGTCGATTCAAATTAAGATACTTTGATACTGGAACTGAGAGAATAGTTGGCTCTTCTACAGATATTGTCTGTTCAGACTTTGAATGTCAACCAGCTAACTCCGCCTCTGCTGAGACGGTACCTTTTCGCGTCGATGTTTCAGCGCGCGGGACGATTTTTGTTCTTTTTTGATCTAAAAGATAGAAAAAAAGTCAAAAAATGCAGCCTTATTGAAGGGTCGTCAACTGCACATATAAAATTGACGCGAAAGATATTGTACCCCTGGGGGTAGAGTTAGCTGCTTGACATTCAAAATCTGTCAACTACACGTTTCAATCAACTACACGTTTTGACTTCTTTTTCGCTAAAGGCGGTGTTAGTGCCGCTCAAAAGAGCAATTTTTCACCGTCTAGTCGATTCCATCTGACTAAAACAACTAATAGTGATGATGATAATCGATTATTCGATTAATCGAAACAAAAATTAAAAATTCTACGCGGCACGCATCATTTCCCGTCAAATAGGATGTTTTATATGAGACGATGTCTACGCAGTTTCGCATACTCCAAAAATTGAAAATTTCGTTTTTTTTTACACTAACACTAAGAATAACTGCCGAGATAAACGCGAGACACTGGCGGTACATTGACGAGCTCGCAAACATCTCGCATTTTTTCTCGCGCCGGTCTCGCGTTTTTCTGGGCGCGAGCTCGCATTTTTCTGGGCGCGAGCTCGCACTTTTCTAGACGCGAGCTCGCATTTCTCTCGCAATTTGAAAATTTCCGAAATGCAAGATAAATGCGAGATGGCGCCGAGAAAAATGCGAGGTCGCGTCGAGAGAAATGCGGGATCGCGCCTAGAAAAAAGCGACATTTTTGCGAGTTAGTCAATGTACCGCCACCGAGCTCGCGTTTATCTCGTCAGTTATTCTTATAGGTCATTCCGCGCCAGCTTGTCACGATTTTAAATTTCCTCGGAGCTAGAGAACCCATTTCGGCGCTTCGCTTCGATGCTCTCGGTGTGCCCCCTTGCGTGCGCCTTTAATAAAATATTATTTCTGATTAAGATATTGCTTCAATTTCCTCTATCTCTTTTAATAATTTACGAGGTTCTTTTTAATGGATTGATTTCATTTTTCGCTTTAACCATACACACTCAGATTCTGCGCTGGATTTGTAAAAAAAAAATAAAATCAAAAAGATTGAATTATTACTTTTTAATTGTTATTAAGGAAACCGACTGTTCGAGCTTTTCTTTCATATAGCTTTTGGGTTAGTTTGATATGAAATTTGATGTTACAACTGTTTTTGTGAAATAAGAAAATTCCAAAGTTCGGAAATAATGAGTTTTGTTAAAGGCGCACGCAAGGGGGCACACCGAGAGCATCGAAGCGAAGCGCCGAAATGGGTTCTCTAGCTCCGAGGAAATTTAAAATCGTGACAAGCTGGCGCGGAATGACCTATAGTGTATCTTGCATTTCAGAAATTTTCAAATTGCGAGAGAAATGCGAGCTCGCGCCTAGAAAAGTGCGAGACCGGCGCGAGAAAAAAAGCGAGATGTTTGCGAGCTCGTCAATGTACCGCCAGTGTCTCGCGTTTATCTCGGCAGTTATTCTTAGTGATAATGGCCTGTTCATCGGACAAAACGAAAATTGCTTCGAAACGCAAAAAAATTGCTTCAAAACAAAAATTAGTACTGTTTTGGAGCAACTTTGGCGCTCCGATGAACACGATTTTTTGTTTTGAAGCATGTTCCGTTTCTCCGATGAACACACCATAAATAATATTTCTTTCCTACTGATTTTATTTTTTTTAATTTATTTCAATTTTTTTGAATATTATTCAAGGAAAATCTTTTATAACTTTAGGTTTGGTTCGTCAATGTGCCTTCGTTACTTGAACAGCTTGCCCTACGTTAATCAGGCTTGTGCGATTCCTAGCGAATCCTACAGCGGCTTCAGCACTCGAAATTTTTACTAGCAGTTATAAAAAACGTCCGGGACGAGCCCGATTTGCGTTACAGAGGTACGAGTAATTGGAAGCCGAAGCAATGAAGCTTGCGCGGGCTCGGATCAATCCAGGCTTTGAAAAATTTCCATCCTAATTCAAAAGTATTACAAAAAATTAATTTTCACTAGTTTCATCAAAGTCTATCAAAAGATAGGATATGGACAGAGACCGATAGGACAATCTGGACCTCGCACAAGCCTGGCTAGCCTGTTTTGAACATGTGTCAATCAGCTTTGAATGGACGATAACTTCATTCTTTGTACTAGTGAGGAGCGATTTCAGCCATTGTGATGTTACTGTTATTTCTTTTCTCCTTTGCAATCTAACACAGAAAAAAAACCCTCAGCTGCTTTTAAGAGCATTGGGCTGGTACCTGGTGTTGTTGAGCCGGCCTCACAGTTGATCGAACTCCGTCCGCCATGAAATCTTTTTTGAAACTGTCGTCGCGAGTTTGATGGGAGGCGGATTTCTCGAGATTGACTGAATTTTCAAAAATGAAAGACTTTCGAATGCGGAAAAAGAGGATGTACAGTAGCGAAAATGGGTGAGTATTTTTTGGTTTTCTTCCGTAACTTTGTCAAAAAAAATCATTTTGACCTGAAATTTCAAACAATTTAGTAAAATGATGTTATTGACGACTTGAATTGGAAGTTCAAACAGTTTCCAAAAAAAAAAAACACCGAAAAAATTCTGTTTCGAATCCATCAAAAACGCAAAAAAATAATCAACAAATAAAAATTGAACAAAACCAGTAAACCGGTATAAAAGACTCTCAATTCGAACAATTAAGAAAAAAAGATGAAATACTCCGTAGCATAGCCTTTGGATTTGATGAAAGCCTTGCATCTTCGGGACATTGACTCGATAAGTTTTCCCAACACGCTCATAAGATCTTTTCCAAACTTCTTTGTTTTGCTTTTTCGAAATTTCAGGCCCGAAATATCGTTTTCAACAACAAACTTCTTCAAAATGTCAAGTCAAAACAATAGTTTTTGACAAAGTTAAGAACGAAAGTTCAAAAAAATACTCACACAAAGTTAATTTTTCCGCAACCTGCGCGAGATTTTATAACTTAAATTCATGGTTAATAAGGTCAAGTCTTCTTCATCTTGTTATAAATTTTTTCGAAACTAAAATATTCGAAACCTCACATCAATCTTTCCAGTAGTAGTAATCGATTGAATATTTTTTTTCCAATACGCTTTGTCGTTCCCAATTTTCGATCGTAGTTTCCGAACGTTCTTTCTAAAAAAAAAAGTGATTTAAAAAAAATTTCAGGTATCAAACTGCACTATTTGAAGTTGTCGTTGAACCTCCATGAACTTCGAGCGGAAACAAGTTCGCCGACAGCTTCTGCAATATTTTCAAGATTGAAAAAGGCAAGTCGATTTCATTATTCAAGTCCGAATGTTCTGATTAGCTATGTCAAGTCGTCAAGTAAGTTAGAAAAGCTTTATTCAGTCAGAAAGAACTAACTAGGCGGTGCGCTAGAGCTCCGCTCGGCCTTGTCACAACTAAGAATCCTAGACGCCGAAAGCCGTGACGGCATTTTCCGCGGGGGTCCCATCATCGCTTTGTCAGCATCGCGCTGCCAACAGTTTGTGCCTCGGCCACCGGAATGGGCTTCGGCGTGACTTTGCGTATCCAATTTGCAAGCAAAGAGGATCGGCACTCCGGGAGTCCCGCGGGCCTAATCTACTAGCGCTTACAGCTCAGAAACTTATATTGAAGTCAGAAGTTTTATGGAAATTCAAAACTCATCTTGACTTTGAATGTAGAAAGAAGCGAGACGAGTCGCGACGGAAGCAGGAATGAGATTTTAAGCCAGGTCATACAATAAGAAATGACACGTTGCCACGTGGTTTTTTGTAAGTGTGAATTTTTTCGATATCAGAAAAATGACGCCTAGCCACGGGGTTCACGTTTTTTTTTTGCAGGGAATGAAATTTTTTTATTTTTTTAATAAAATCTGCGTCACATGACGCAAAAAAAGTAGAGACTAGTGGAGACACGAAAAAAAAAAAAAACCTTTTTTTAAAGTTTTTTTAATTTTTGGGTTTTTCTGGCTTTTTTCGCGGTTTTGTATTTTTTTTTCGTCCATTTGTAGAAACATAATTTGCGTAAATTAAAGCTGAATTGAATTTGCTGAGGCAGTTTGAAAGTTTTATTATATAAATCATCTGAATTACGTTATTATTTTTTTTTTGTCAGACTATCTGGAGCAATTCTTCTGAGAAAGTGCGAAAAGAAGATGAAAAGGTCTACCCTTCGAAATGGGTTTGTGAATGGGGGATGGCCTTCCGGCCTCATTCGGTGTAGATGACGCGACTGTCGCCAGACGAAGAGGCCTCCCAGGCCTACCTGGACATCGACGTCGCTGCCGTCGGAGGCTTTTCCCTGGCTCTCTCGACGATCTTCGTGATTTCTGCCATTTATTTGGCCGCTCTGCCCCACGTCCTTGAGGAGGCTTATTTCACCAATAAAACAGAGTTCGTTGTGCATAATTATAAGGTAGGAATCGGTGATGTATTTGAAGATAATATGAAAAAAAGACAGACCTACTCAAACGGAACTCTCTACTTTGATTACGTCAACGAGAAAGGCAAGAAAGAGGGCGGGATTCTTGGTGATTGGTTCCTGAGATTTCTGGCCGGTGAGTACCGCTACTCTTTCGGAAACTCCTTTGCCAACTATTGTTGGGTAAGTTGATAGATTGGATATCGAGTTTCAACTTGTGAAAAAAGTATAGCCTCGTGTAGTTCCGACGGCTCAGTGGGCATCTTCGACTTATCGCGCCATGCAGCACAAAGCCTCCGTTCAAACTTTGCTTCGGTCTTCGGTCCTTTTTTCGATGTCCAACTCGCTTTTCCAGACTATTGTTCTGGCTCATGCTGCAATTCAATCATCGCCTTTGTTGGTGCTCAGCGGTTAGTGTAATTTTCATATCAGGCTTTGAAAAAATATTTTTTTTATAACTTGTTTGAAAGATCATGGGAACGCCAGAGTGGGCCCTATAGAGGCTTAGAAACCCTTGAAATTTACTCTGATAAGGACCACTTTAGCTCTCTCTATATGGGGAACTGAAGCTTGCAAAAATGGACTCTATAGGGATGTTCTTTTACCATATTTCCACGGAGTGGCCTAGAAGGTTCAAAATATTTTTGAAGAGAATACCCAAAAAATTTCTAATATATTATTTTCTCAAAATTTTGAACTTTCAAGAGTAAGTGTTCTCATTCTCAAAAAAAAAAGAGATAGAATTCCCAGCCCAAAATGGCCTTTTTTCGACCTTTCCGAAGGAATAATGGAGTGATGTCAAGGATACGGTTCGGTGGCGGTTGATGTGGCGCACAGTTTGTCGTCGTTTGCGTTGACCGCGATCCACGTCTGGCAGGACGAGAAAAGTGACCAAAATAGAGGAAAACTGCCTAACTTGCATAAATTGACAGTGGTTTTCATGGTCTACACAGCCGCCGACGTTGCCCTCTGTTCTCTTGTCGCCAAGCTGATTCTCAACGTCTTTCTGGATGTGAGTTTTCGGGGATTGAAACAGAAAAAAGGTCCTTGTGAAATAAATGGTTAGCTTGTCAAAAGAGGAGAAACTTAGGAATAAGAAAAAAATGATTTTGGCAAAAGAGGCGATCTTGAAGTTTGAGATGCCCACCACAATTCAGTAAAATTCTTTTCACACTTCTCGCTGGGTATTCAAAAAAAACCTCAACTTTTGAAGCTGTAAAAGTTGAATAGTATGTTGAAAACAGATTGCAGATAGCAATATATCAAAAAAAAAAAGTCCATCTTTATTTTCAATTCTTGGATTTCAAGTTACGCGAAAAGTGCAAAAATTGGCTCAAGATCATAAAGTTTTGAGTTTATTAAACTTTCAGTAGTGCTTTTTCAAGCATGTAAGGGAACTTTTTAGGCCGGTTAACAATTGAAAAAGGTTCTAGCTACATTTAAGAAAGTTTGAATCCTTTTCTGATAGCCTGTAAAATTACGACAATCCCTTTGTTCCTGTTTTGTCATATTTATTTTTTTTCGTCTTTTTCGTATACCCAGTTATACGAATACAAATCTAAAAAGCAGTAAGAAGAACTATACAAAGAAAAAATTTCAGAACACAGCCTTGCATCAACTTTTTCGAATCGCGTCAGCAATTACAGTATTCTTGGTCCGACCAATTATACTTTCAGACATTTCCACCTTCAACAAACGCACAGTTTGTGATTCAAACGGTTCGAGATTCAAAAGAAAACTTAAAAACTATTTTTTAAGTGTATCCTGCGGTATTCCTGGCCCAGTTGCTCGCTATATTGGTAATTTTTCTGAACTCCCTACTTCAAATACGACGTCTCCGTGGCATTCGGATGTATCTGAGCTCCACTCTTCGAGAGTACAAGTTTCAGCTTTCGATATAACTTTTTTCCGTATTATTGATTTATGAACTCATTGAAAATGTTCCGAATGTTGAAAATCACAAAAAGAAATGATTTTATGTTGGGTAAACACTGTTCAAATCGATTATTTCGGTGAGGACTTTGTCGGAATTCAAAAAGTCGAAGAGAGTGACGAGAACGAGGTTGTGGATCAGTTCCATGACTTCTTCCTGTAAAATCTCTTTCTTCAACTCTGACGAAAAAAAATCCGTGGTCGCACGTGGAATGGCTCAAAGCGGCGCGTTTTTGAAGTCAAAGTCGGCGTCTCAATTTTTAAGAGCTTATGAAGTATACTTTCATTAGACCTTGACCGATTTACTCCCATCCTTCGTTGAAAAATTAATCCTCCCGAAGTCTTTCTCGTTTCAAAAATTAAATGTTGCAAGCAATTCCTAGTACGACCATGAGCTTTGAAAAATGGTTGGATACTCACATGAATTACTGTAAGGAAAAGAACCAAGTTGCCTGCTCGTGTGGCGCCGTCTTCCCCGCAAGTTTCTTCACACAAGCTTCAAAATACTTTTCTTAATAGTTCACTGGGATTTGAATTTTTCACATGTCTGCACCCTCTTTTCTCTCATCGCATAGGTCGGGAAAATAGTTCCTGTTTTACCAGAGAGCCCATGAGGGATCAGACACGTTGTAAAAAATTTTTCTGTTCAAAAGCCCACTTCAACAAAGTTCTGAACAGCAGTTCTTGCTGTTGAGAAGATATTGCCCTGCCTGAGCCTTCCAGTTTAAAATATGCTGAAAAATCGGGTCATCAGTTGAATAAACTTGTCGACTAGCCCAACTTCCAGATCGACATCGCCTTTAGCAAGGTGAATTCTTCAAAGGTGAGGTTGTAGTCGTGGAATCGGGGAACGAAATCTCTCCAGAAGGCGTACCTCGGTTGGACAATGTTTCTGAGATTGACAAATAACTATTCGCATTTTTTTTTTCTGAAACTTGACTCGAAGTTTCTTTGATGCAATGGAAAAAGATCCTAATAATCGCAAGATGCACAACTTTTTAGTTTTCGAGAATGGGAGCTTTAAAATTTCCATTTTTTGGCAAATTCCACGGGCCTATTTCAACGGACTTCGAGACACCCTTTCCCAAAAACTAAAAATTCTTTTAAGAAGACCTTTTTTCGAAGATAAGTTGATAATTTGTTTGGCGAAAACTTCATAGAGTAAAGTGAAACGAACTTTCTTGTAAAAGATATTTCAGCAAAATCTTACTGGTATTTTTCGAGATCTTCCTTCTTAGGGAACAGGACGCCAGCGCCAGGTTCATCTCCAGTCAAAGGCTGTGGAACCATGAGAATATAACGGCCGTCCTGAGAGACGAGGAAGTTGTGTTCGATGCCCAACTGACAGGTGTAGAAGGCCGAGTTGAGAATGAAGTCCACTCCGCAGGCCATTCGGAAGAGAAAGTTCTCAAAAAGCTTCTTTCATCTCAAAAGTATATGAAGTCAGACTTGATCTGGCGAACAGAGCTTGTCAAAAGCCAACATCGATGCCGCGTAGTTGAACATTATGACGTATTCCTGTTTCTCGAAGCCCTGGAAAGTCCTGAAGTCGAAAGGACGCAGCTGGCTCTTCTCGAAAGGCTACAAAACGGGTTACTGTAGGATCTTCGGCTCTTACCATGATACACAGGCCACTGAAGATGTCGAGGATGCGAGATTCAGTGAAGAGAAGCTTTCGACTTCTGTTCAGAGTCGATTCCAGCTTGATATAATGTTCTCGGACTGCTCTGCACTCTTGGTCCTTCTGATCTGAAGAAGCTGGCAGTGTAAGTCGACTCATTAAGATTTGAAAAAGTTTGGTCGCATCGGAAATGGCTCAACGCGTAACGGCTACAAGGAGGTTCCTCATGAAAAATCTCTACTTGGCGAATTCAAAAAAAAAGCTTCGGAGTTTTTTCGAGAGCCGCAGCGCAACCGCAACGCGTTCAGCCATTTCACAAGCGACCAATAGATTTTTCGATTCAGTGAAAAATAAGAGTTCTTCAACCTTTCTCTATAGGGCTTTGGCTGGTGCTCGGCGACTGATAGTCTTGGACATTCTGAAGTTTAATTTCTGAAGGGTAGAAGTTGAAAAAACAAACCTCACTGATCTCCTTGGGTTCTGGGCCACGTTTTCCTTTCGATTGTACAACTAAAAATAAGATGATTACACTTTTTATTTTAATCCAATAAAAACTCTGTTTTCTTCTACCCCGTCATCCGATTAACAATTCCAGGTTTCGAATTTTTCTTTTCAGGCAAAGTTTTTTTCAAATTCACTTTTTTCAGGTTTACATCCATTTGGTTTTCCAGGTTTATACCCATCCAGCCTTTTAGGAAAATATTTTATTGGAAAATTTCAGGCTAGCGGATAAAACCTTTTGCCGAAAAACTAAATCTTTCATCTGATGGAACGAGATTTTTCTTCGCAATTTTTACGACTAAAAATAAACTTCCTTAATTTTCAAACTCAAAAAAATGAAACAGATTGAACCGTGATAGAGAAAATGAAATATTGCCTTTTTTTTTGAATGATTTTCACATTCACAAGCCCTGAACTTTCATAGCTACAGCTTCATTTACCATACACTAGAAGCAGAAACGAACAAAAAACGAACATTCCCGAAGCATGTTCGAGCGAAGGCATTTCTCGTAACGGCACTTCTTGCAGGCCATTCGCTTCGCTAAACGACCAAAACCATTCAAAGAAGACTTTATTTTCGAGCGGATACCATGATGTATTTCGCAGTCGTGCGTCCCTTCGATGCACTCGTACTCGATGTTCAACGCGACCGTTCTCCGGAAAAACGCGGCACAGGCCTGGAATTGGAAGCTTTTGACATAATTTTCCATGTAAAGGATCTTTTTTTGCTTTCTAAAACTTCTGAAAAATTCTTCAAGGTAATTTTGTACTTGAGGAAGATTTTGAAGGTCTCAACTTGCAGAAATTTCTATTCTTTGAGATGTCTTAAGGAAGGTCGCTTTTAGGGAAATTTTACAAAAAAACTAGAACTTAGAAGCGATCTTTCTCAAAAAAGAATTTGTTGGGAATTCCTTCTTTCATTTTTACAATGATAAACTGAAGAGAACTACGTACCAGAGAAGTCCGAAGTCCAAACTACACTAAACTTCATTTTGAATACCTTGCAGGAAGCGGCTCCGAAATGCAGCGATGTAGCTGTAGAGTTACAAATGGCGCAAATCAGCATTTGAAATAGGCAAATTGAGCTTTGAATAAAATAAAAAAAACTAGGAGAACGAGGTAAAAATTGTAAAGATTTTCGGAGTGAACTGGCTACAGTGTAGCCTTCTGCTGTCGCGGCAAAATTTTTGGCAAACGAATTTCCCTCATTTCGATAATTTTATTTAAAAAAACAAGATATAAAAATAAGGTGAATTCTCAGATCTTGAGCGAAATAAGTGAAAAATATACAAATTATTTTATTTCTTAATCTCGATTTATGAAAACGTCCATCATTTTTTTCCAATTTTGAGTGAATTTCTGAGGGATTTTGGAGGGCCCTTGTAAGTTTTTGTTGTTTTAGCAACCCCTATAGGGATCCCGATATTAGTGACCCCATACAGGGGTTCAAGGTCTGACCCCCTCAAAGTTTTAGTGGTCCCTTTAGGGCTCACATTTTTTTATTTTCAGAATGCAATGAGGGTAGTATAAATCGAATCTCGTCGAGACATTTAGTGATAAAACAATTGATAACAGGGCCCCTATTACACCCCTATAGGGACACCTCATAAATCGCAGTTATTTTAATACAAAGCGACGTGACTTCCGCTTTCAGTTCTTTTTTCAAAGAAACAGGAAATTGTCGGCTTTTCCAAGAAAGAGAAAAGCCGTACAGTCATTTTTCGGTAATCTCCTGACCTTGGCATTCAATTCTGGTCTGGTTTTAGGAAAAATATGGGGAGAGTTATACTTTTTGTTTTATAACTTATAAGCTGAAGACCAAGGTACGATAATTAGCAAATCATATTCTGTTCAGTATGGAACAAAAAAAAAGCTACAAAGATCTTCAAAGCTATGAGGAAACTTGTACTTTCTTTCTAACTTTCTTTATATTCTTGGTTCAGTTGCTCTGATTTTTCAATCAATAAAGACAGCTTCTCCGTACAAATTTTCGCTTGAAAATTCCCAAAATTGACAGGTCGGTTGACTGATTCGCGCCAATGTTTTTTGTTTCCTTCTCGTTTAGGAGAAAGACCTTGGGTGGGGGAAAGCAAAACCTTGAGAGAAATGGAAGATCTTGCGGTACTTTGATCATATCTGACGGGCTGAAAAAGTTCTGTAAACGCCGTGTAGTTCATTCGAGTTCTTCGAGGACCTATTTTTGTATAATTTATTTGAGTTTTCCGATAAATCGGGAGGTTTAGTAAAACACCAAACTTCGAAATCCGAATTTTTAATAATAAATGTTTTGTCCACTAATTCACATCAATTTTTCAAGAGCCTCAACTTCGTCTGCCGGAAATATTTTTGAAAATTCTCGCTTAATGTTTGAAGGAGCATAGGGTAATTTTTTTAATCCATCAAAACGAAGAGCCGTTTTTGTGATTTTATTGGGTCACGCAAGACTTCTGCGCCTTCAAATATACTCCACCTTTTTGAAAAAATTCCGGCGCCGAACTCTTGTTTTCCATCAGAAAATTGCCGTTTGCCGAAAACGGAAGTCTTTTTTCTGTGAAGGTCGCTTCGAAGCTAAGTCGCCTTATCATTTCGTGCATCGGCAGGGTGGCAACCTTGAGCGGCAGGGCGACGACGAAGGAAAAAAAAACCGAAGCAGCGGTCCGCTGTAAAAAATGCTATCCCATTTGGACGAAGAAATGAAAAGGCTGCACTACACAGGTAACGGCATACCCAATTTCCTCCTTTGAGGACAACAAAAGAACCATTCTGAAGGCTGTTTTTCCAAATTGCCGAAAGTACAAGTGTCGTTGGAAGTTGAAACAAGCAGAAAACAATTGGAATATTTTATACAAGGCTTGGAGGGGAGAAAGGAAAATGAAATGAAGGAACTTAAAAATAAACCTGAGAAGTTTTATCGAAATATGTGTTTGATAAGGAAGTTCATTTTACTCTGTGGTTGGGAATTTCCTCAGAATTGTCCAGGATATTCTTTGATGTACCAGATGAAGATCCTGAAAGTCGAATCCTGCAAAAAATCCTACTTTTCGAGAAGTGAGACCTCAAACAAAAATGGTCTATTTCAACGGATTTCGAGGCGTCCTTTCTCGAAAAACTAGAAAATTTCTGCAGGTTGAAACATTCGAGAACTTTATCTGGTACATCAAGGAGTTTCCTAGCCGATTGTGAAGGATTTTTCAATTAAAAAGTGAATTGACCTTCTTTGGGAGAAGTTTCTGAAGACCTGGATTTTTCTTTGGAAGCATTTTTCTCCTTATCCTTTTCAAGCACCCAGGATTCCTAGTTTTCTATTCATTGATTAGGAGTTTGTTTTTTTTTCCGCAAAGGAAAATCCCTAATAGATGATAAAAAGCCAAAAAGAAGCGCCGAACGCACTTTGGAGATTACGCGCCGCGCGATAATTACGGCTTCTCAGGCCGGTTCCAAACAAAATGTTGCATCCAAGAGGGTTCAATAGGTGCCTGAGATCAAGGTGGTTGCAGGATTTCTGCAAACGTTTTGTAAGATAGGAAATTATGGAATTTTCGAACGTTCTTTTCAATACAGGGAAAGGCAGATTTGAAAGGGACAATGGAGGTTTATTAGGTTGTGTAAACTTTCAAAATGAGCTTATTAAGATTTTTTTTTAAAAGTGCATTTCAGTGTAACTTGCGTCCTGAGACTGATTTTTGATTTTCAAAGTTACAAAACTTAAGCTCTTCTTGAAAATTTTAGATTGTCTGTTTCCTTGAGGCGGATGATAGTTTCTAGTTTGGACTGTTCGGAATGAATAAAAGAAGATACAAGGGAATTGATCTTGGGGCTTTTCTGACGACAGGTAGGACTCTCAGGAACTAAAAAAAGAATAGATAAATAAAAGTAAAAATTTGAAAAAATACATGGCTTTTTGGGCAAACTACAAGGAACAATGTCTTCAAAATTTTTTTTCAAAAAAAATTTCTGAAAAAGACATCTTTTTATAATTTTCATCAAAAAAGAAGTGACTCCTGATCTCCTAAAAAAAGCTATAAACAAATTTTTTTCTGTGAAGGGTGAGCAGAATCAAGTTTGAAAATTAATGATTCATTTTCAACGATAAAATCTGGCTTATGAAGAAAACTACACCTTGATCAACAATGATAATTCTTCTACCTATGAAATTCGGTCAATCGGTAGAATCTTAAAATGTTCACAAGAAGAAAGTTCTTACAATAGTTTATTCCCGATTCGGCAGTTTCAAGAGTTTTCAAAATACTAGACATTTTTTTGTAAACTGTCTTTTTCAGATTTTCCAACTGCAGCACTTTGAGCTGACACCGTTTCGAAAAACGATTCTTCATTAAAAAGAAGCTCAAAGGTTTCCTACTTTGCTTTCATTATGAACTGCTTTACACCATTTTTCTGGCTTTTCATCTGATTGGTAAAGCGTATTTGCTCTCATTTCTTACATAGGTTGCTCTTCAAGACCAGAGCTTCAAGGGGAAATCGACTTCCGCATTGCCATCAACGAGGATTGTTCTGAAAGGGCGAGAGATCCAGTTGTAGAGAGAGAGAGGGTTGCCAAGGCCGACAGAGGGGTTGGCGATACTGCGCAGGTGAAGAAGGGGGCGTCACGGTGACAGTATAAAGGCCCTTCGGGGAGTTCAAGCAGCAGTGCCAGCCATGGACCTCGAACACCGTATCAAGGCTTACCGCTTCGTCGCCTACTCGGCGGTCACCTTCTCCGTCGTCGCCGTCCTTTCGGTGTGCGTCACCTTGCCCATGGTGTACAACTACGTCCACCATGTCAAGCGCACCATGCACAACGAGATCAACTTCTGCAAGGCTTGTCGACTTTTCTTTATTCTTAAAGCTTCTAAAACATTTATATGCTTCTAACGACTAGGTCTAGTCTGTTTCGTAGTCCTTGCCGCAGTGTTTGTAGTTTGGACTGAAATTTAACTTTTGTAGGCTAAAAATAATTCAAGAACTTGCGGTCGTTTCCATTGCTATTTTAGATTATCCAAGAATCTGAAACTTCAGTAATTTTTTTAATTTCTCTCCAAATCGCAAGCTTTTTAAAAAAATTTCACTGAGACCATCAGAATCAAATGAAAAAGCTCTAAATTCGCTGATAAACAATTAAAACCTCATTTTTTTCAGGGATCCGCCAAGGACATCTGGTCTGAGGTCAACCACCTGAAGAACATCCCATCCGGAAACAGAACCGCCCGTCAAGCTGGATACGGAGACGCCGGAGTCACCGGAGGATCTGCTTCCGCCGGAGGCTGCGACGCTTGCTGCCTTCCAGGAGCCGCTGGACCAGCCGGTACCCCAGGAAAGGCTGGACGCCCAGGAAAGCCAGGAGCCCCCGGACTCCCCGGAAACCCAGGCCGCCCACCACAGCAGCCATGCGAGCCAGTCACCCCACCACCATGCAAGCCTTGCCCAGCTGGACCAGCCGGACCCCCAGGACCACCAGGACCAGCCGGAGACGCCGGATCCAACGGACGCCCAGGAGCCCCAGGAAACGACGGCGCCCCAGGAGCCCCAGGATCAAAGGGACCATCTGGACCCAACGGACAGCCAGGAGCCCCAGGAGCCCCAGGAGCCCCAGGACAGGACGCGCCAAACGAGCCAGTCACCCCAGGAGCACCAGGACCAGCTGGAGCCCCAGGACCACAAGGACCACCCGGAGCCCCAGGAGCCCCAGGAAACGACGGAGCCCCAGGATCTGCTGGACCAAAGGGACCCAACGGACACCCAGGACAGCCAGGAGCCGACGGAAACCCAGGAGCTCCAGGACAGGCTGGACCACCAGGAGGCTCTGGCGAGAAGGGTATCTGCCCCAAGTGCGTTGGTTTCTTCAGAACTTTCTCAAAAATTTTGAGAATTTTATCTAAAAATGGACTTTTTCCAGGTACTGCGCCATCGACGGAGGAGTCTTCTTCGAGGACGGAACCCGGCGTTAAGCGATGCGTCCAGGGATCATACTCTACACGCACTCTTTATAATCAAGCATATAGCTGGAATGAATATTTTCATTTCTCAAACTTGTCTTCGCTTTCCTTCACAAACAAGATAACTAAAGACACAAAGAAATCGAAAAAAAAAGTTGAAAAATATGAAAAAAAAAATCCATATCTATGAGAAAAAATGTCAGCTGGGTAACAGTGGCTGGTAGACTGAAATATCAGTTCTCAAAAAAATAATCCAGATCAATCCAAATGACGCCTTTTTAGCCTTTTAACTTCCTGAAACCTCGTTAGCTTCGGTCGAAATTTTCCCTTTTAAAAAATCGAGGAGTATTAAATGAAAATTTAAGCCAGACACGATTTTTGCGTCTTCAAATTTTCCAAAAAGCTTCTATGGCCTGACTATGCCAAAATTGGGCGAAATTGATTGGAAACTACTGGAGTAACTCTAAAGGATTAGCTTGACATTGTTCATTCTATTTCGAAGCTTTACTAGAGCAGATTTGGTTTTGAAAGACGTGTGAAAGTTTGGGCCTAAAAATTGATAGACCTTGTTTTATAAAAAAACATCTTTTTCAACTTCTCTTTAAAATCATTACCAAATTATCAGAAAATTTAAAAAATGAGCGAAAAGACTAGTAGAAAACATGGAATTCAAAAAAAAGTTTGGAGTGAAGTACACAAAAGTTTGTCTGTAAAGGAGCCACGAAAAGTATTTCCACCCTCGGAGTTTGTTAACGCAAACCGTTTGCGTATCGGACGTGTCGAGGCATTTCTAGTAACCATTTTAGTAGCGTCAGCACTCTTAATTGATCCCCAGAAGTGCTCAGAAAAATCCGAAGCACTTCCGGGTTTGTTACCGAGGTATGAGGTCAGTTCAAGCAAAAACCAAAGCTACGAATCATTTTGCGGAAAGTTTGAAGTGAGTCCAGTATACAAAAGTTTATCTCCAAAGAAACCATAAAACGTATTTTCTCAATAGAAAGCCGGCTCATCGAGAAGAATATTGCCTCTGACAACAGTCACGGCGCTTCCACCGAGGACCACACGACTAGCGTCTTCGTCGAGTTGGACTCGGAACTGCGCTCCTCGGCTCGGATAGCATTGTAGAGCTACAAAGAAATGGATTAGGAGTTTTCAGTGTTTTTCTTCGATTTATAAAGCTTCCTGTCTCTTCTTCAAGTAAAGTTTCATGCACCATAAGAAATTAGGAATCAGAGAATTAAGAAAACTTCAAATAAACCGTAGAATGATCATATCTGAACTCAGAAAGTGTACGGCTTGATTTGTCTAATTTTTGAACCCAGAAAGGATATTGAAATAATTAAATCCAAAAAGGGTTCTGAACTTTTTTTTTTCTGATTGAAGATAAGATTTATGTCAGCTCCAGCCTTCATTGGCGGAACTATAGCATGGTCGTCTTTGAAAAGCGCCAGGTAAGTATTTCTCAAGTGAAGAAGTTCAAAAATGTTAAAGTGAGACAACCAGAACGAATTTTTAGCCAAAAAAACCAGAACAAGCCGTGTTTCACTTGGGAAAACGTTAGAAAATGTTTTCCTACCAAAAAATAATGATTTGAATAAACTGAAAAGCTTATCAGGTTGTCAATCTTACCATAAAAGCTCTGCTGATTACGGAGTTTGGCCCAGAACGGAGCCAAAGCGCACTGTGCAGAGCCTGTCGCCGGATCTTCCAGAATTCCGACCCAAGGCGCGAAGTAACGACAGGCGTAGTCGTACTCCTCGCCGAGCTTGTCGACGAACCCCTGAAAACTCATGCTTCATTATTGTACATGGACCTGGAACAACTTGAGTCTGAGCGTTTTTAGGCGCGAAGGTGACGATTATGCCGCGGACAAAGTCTCCGTCGGGATGTACGGAGAGCATTTTCTGGGAGTCGCTTTCGAACTGCTCCATCTCGAACTTGCTCGTCATCTCGTCTATCACCACGATCAGCTTCTTTGCCTCCGATGCGTACGCCACGCTTTCGATGTTCACCTGGGAAGTTTTCAGTTTTTAAAAAGTTGGAAGAAAATTTTCCAGGTCATTCTTATGTCAATTTCTGAGGTTGAAAATGATCTATTACTTATGAAATTTGTTCTGAACTTCTTGATACTTGAAAAAGGGTTGAAAATGTTCATGAAGATTCAAATTTTTAGTTCATGAAGAGTCGAATTTCTGTGTTGTTCTAACCAAGTGGTAAGTTATCAAAAAAAGGAAAAACTTATGGAAAAAAACTTAATAAAAACTTTAAAAACTTGTTTTTGCACTATTTTACTCATTACGTCAACTTTGACCCGGGAAATTCTCACTTAACTTTGATCTTTCGGTTCAGAAAGACCAGGGGACATAAAACCCAGCTTTTTCGAAAAAATTATGCCACATAAAAAAATTTCAAGTTCAATTTCGAAAAAATTCCGGTTATAAAGAGTGAAATTTCATTATACGTCTTAAAATTTAATAAAAACTTTGCATTACAATTCAAGAATTTCTATGCGGTTCAAAGTTTTTTTGTATTCAAAAACATTCTTTAAAAAAATATTGAAGTTTGAAAAATTCCTACACTACTCGCCTACATAAGTCAGCTTCATAATGAAAAACAAAAATAGTAAAAAGTAAATTTTCACCTCTGCTGGAATGACGCATTTGATCAAGTCGTACAGGAAGTTGGGCGCATCAAACTGAACTTTTCTTCCTTTTTTTTTCAAGTTATTTCATTCCAAACCTCCGAAAAATACTCTCCCAAAGGATTCTCCACCTCTTTGAAGCGAACCGACGTGATTCCGTATTTCGGAAAGTTCATCGTGAGATTTTGGCTGGCTGCTTCGCGGCTGACCACCAATTCCCCGGACTTTGTGAAGAATATGATCTTCTCGCTTTTGTTACCTATTTTTCAGGATTTCTCGAATACTTTTTTAAGAAAGACTGACCAACTTCGTTGAAAAGAACGTAGGACGTGGCCATGGTGGCGTGGCCACAGAGTGGGACTTCCATTTTTGGCGTGAACCAGCGGAGGGAAAATCTGTTGGCTGTAATCCAGGTCCGTTTTTTTTCTGTCATTGAATTCAGTAGTTTTTGCTCAGAACTGCCGCAAAGAAAAATGTATTGAAAAAAATTGGGGAATTTTCCAAAAATTAGAGAGGCAATGAAGGGAGAGAGGTCCATAATTTTTGACTAGCTAATTATGAGCTCCAGCAAAAGCAATTGATGAAAAATAAAAAAGTAAATTTTTGAAGTTTTTGCAAGTCATGAGAGAACATCTACTTCTCGAAAAAAAAGAGAAAAAAAAATTCTTTTTTTGAGTTGGGTAAGTCCAAGCGTCTGAAATCGTTCTAATAATTTTTATTATTTTAGGAGATTAATAAGAAAATCAATAATAATAAGAATGAGGTTTTTTTGATCCCTTGCAAGTCGTGAAAAAAGCGCAAAAAGATTTTTACTCTTTAAAGTTGGCAAAAAAATTTTTTTCAGAGATTACTTACTTTACTGGACTGACAAAAACTGTTGGGGAACTTTAAAAATAACTGACAAAACTGAAAATGGTCCTAACTACCAATGTTTATTTCAAAACTCAAAACTTGATATTTTCGATAAAAACCCTTCAAAAGTCGCCTCAATTTTTCCTACCTTTTTTTAAATACTGCAACTCTATTTTCAGTAATAAAGTACCTTCTGTAAAGCTTTTCCCATCTTCTGGAATCGGGAATGCAGTTTCCGACAAGTTGAACTCGGCAGCGATTTTGAGGTATTCGTGATCTTCGAGTTTCTGCATTTCTTATTTTTTCGAAAGTCAATCGAACGAAAAATATTAATTTCACCGTTAACTTGCTCTCAAAAACCAATCAATTTCTGAGAGATTATAACTGAATCGAATTTTTTGACAAGCTAGCGTTGAATATACTATAGTTCATTCACCGCTGGCTTTACCAAGAGACGACATTTCTGCAATTTGCAAACAAGTGTGCAAAAATGAGAGGTTCCAGTGATAATTCGTCAAACTAGAGGTGAATGGACTATGACATTTTTCCAATATTTTACCCTAGGAATCAAGCAAACGGCGGCTGGATTTCCTGTGAATCTTTGGGTTGTGAACGCGTCGACGATGAAGGTCGGGAACGACTCCATAACTCTATCAAAAATTGATAATCGATGACTGACAATCGAACTAATTAGACGAAGGTGATAACAGAAAACATCGATAAACTCGGAAAAGTACAAAAGGTGTCGATACAGGTGCAGCGATGCGGCACGTCGTCGCCAGAAACCAACCCGACAAGGTCATGCGATTGTTTATCTTTTGGGTTTTTTGCGCTTCTCTCGTCGCAACTTTCTTTTGATCGAACCATTCTCAAAACAAGGAGTCTCAGAAACGCTTGCTGGAACTTTTAAAGGCGCAGACTAAAAATATCGTAGAGTTCGCCGTGGGACCTAGTGAAAATTCGTATCTTAATTATTTCATTCGAGATTTTCTATACATCCATTGCCTCAAGTAGTGCCTCCATCTTAGAACTAATCATCTTAAAACTATCTCGAAACGGGTAAAAAGTTTATTTGTGAATTTTCTCGAACGAATGACTTTTATAAACAAAAAATGGCTAAAACTCAATTTCCATCTAAAAATTCAAGAGAAAAAACCTTTCGATTTAAACAAATTTTTCTATCCTATAAATTTTAGTTTTTTGACCTAGAAAGAACATTGAGAACTGAATTGTACCTAACAAACCACCTAGAAAATTCTTACGAAACGCCCAATTTCAATAACTTCAAGGCAACTGATAAATCAATAAAAATACATTTATTTCGATGCAATAATCGCGACGTAGCTATTGTTAGTGACAAAGTGTTAATCACAGAATGACCAGTGTATATAGAAAAAAACTTCAGTTTTTCTTCGAATGTACAGGATTTTTTCACAAGGCGACAACTTCCTCTCGGTAGAACGTTGGCTGAAAATCCAAAACTGTTGAAATTTTTTTAAGATCGTAAGAGAAGAAGCAAAAATGGGTATCTTTGAAAATTGAGCCTAGAAAGTAAAATTTAGAAAATCGATAAATTTTTCAGAGACAAAAAAAAGATAAATTCTCACCCGACTATCAGTGGAAATATTGGCGCCATCAGAATCTCGATTTTCGCCGTCACTTTCCGAGGAACTATCTATGTGCGGTTCTTCTGCGGGATGATTGGACAGTGGAGACGAAGAAGATCCGCTCGAAGTGCGGGTCCGGGTCGTTCCCATCGAGGCGGAAAGACGATTGAAACACTGAATTTCACAAACTTTCGAAGGGGGAACAAATAAATCAATAAAAAAAGAGAACTTTATTTAGATTTCAAGGCACGCAAATTTGGGACGATTGCCAATATTCCAATCTTTCCTTTCCTAAAATGCAAATTTTTTTCTACTTTAACCTAGATAGCAATCTTTCATGGAAAAAAAACAGCTGATCCAGAAAAACTTTAAAAAATGACTTTTCGATGTCGATCGTATATATCGGAAGCGTAAAATCTCTTTCTACTTTGTTTATGGTCCAAGTAGTCACTAAAATAGAAAATTACCGCATCGCAGACGCGAACAGGCTTTTTATGGACGTTGTCCAGACGGAACGTATGTGAAGAGCAGGCCGCACAGACGACATGACCGCAGGAACGACAGTGATGCTGGAAACTTCTCATTTCTGTTTCAAAATATACCATAAGTGTGGCTCAGCTGTCAGGAGTTGATCCCTTTATAACATTAAAAAGTAAAATTGTCAGTTGAAAATAAAAAAAGAAGCCCTTCTTAGGTTTCAATGGAATCTACAGGAAAAGAGAGAAATCGAGAAAACCGAAACCTCAATAAAAGCTACCATATAGTTTGTTCAGATTTTGGAATTCAGTTACAATGACGTCATTCGAAAACGTCTGTAGAATTTTCGTTCTTTAATTTTCTAATAGCGATATTAGGGGAGGGGCTTGAGCTCAACTTCACATTCAAAATATGAACAGACTTTGACTCTTGATTACCGTGTACCAAGAGAAAATTTAAGACTTTCTATGTCTGAGCCCAGCTTTCAAGACAAAAAATAACTGAGAAAGGCAAGAAGGTATTTGAAGATAAATTAAAAATTTAAAGATACCCTTTAATAATCGAAAAATCTATGAAAATTGCTAATCTAGTGTTAAAACGAACCCGACGTTGAACAATGTTGAACTGAGTCCGGCCGCAAGCCATACAACGCGAAGCTTCTCCGTCAGGTACCCAAACGGCCGCATGAGCTTTCGCGGCCTTCTTATTGCCTGAAAACGACTTTTACTCTATGAATTTTGAGCTTCAAAACCTCGCTCAAGCAATTCACTGACGCAACGTTCGATGTGGATCATCCATTCCCGCTTTTCAGTCGTTGTGGCCGCGTAAACGGCGAAAGATTTGGCTGGCGTTTTGATGACCCAGCCGTTCTTCGCGTCTGACAGAAAAGAAGTCAAAATTGGTTTTCTTGAGAGGATAGATGATCTTTCAGTAAGTACTTTGACAGTCATCTTTTTTTTTCGAAAGCAAAATCACGATTTTTTTTTTGCGTTCAGGGGATACACAAAAAATCTTGTAAAATGAAAATGTTGGTTTATTCGCTCTAAAACAATGCATTCTCTCGTTTTTGAAGTCATTAGGTCAGTGAAAAAAAGTCAAAGAAAGAATTATAACTGTTGAAAGATAGTCTGGTGTATAAATTTAAAAAAAAAATAGACGTGAAACAGTTTTTTAATCCTTAAAATCAGCGAATTATACTATATCCGTTCATCCATACTTTATCAGATATGACAAAAAAATTAGCAAAAAAATTCCTATATTTTTTTCTAAAAAAATTTTTTTTGATGAATATTCGGGAATAATGAGTTTTAATTAGAAAAGCTGAAAAAAATTAATTAGAAAAAAATTAATTAAACTAACTTCCATCATCGGGCAAATCCTCTAACTGAACGCTCTCCAACCCAATAATCCTCTGCTTGTTGTAACTGAAAAATTTGTCAATTTTATTCAATTTTTCTGCCAATACTCTCATCGAAAAAGAGAAAAAAACTAACCGTTTTTTTAGATATGACAATATTGCCGTAGACCAAAAATATCATTGAACAAGAAGAATTGGCGTTGCTTGGGCTTCTTTCTGAAAAAGCAACATTTAAGACGTTTTTTTACTGAAAAGAAGAACTCATAAAATTGTAGTAATTGAAGAAAAAAATCCGAATCTTTAAAAAGTAAAAAAATACCTGCACATTTTTACAAGAACACCTTCGCCGACAAGCACACGTCCATACGTATTCAAAGCCTCGCCCATTTTTCCGAAACATTGCTCGACATTTGCGACTCTGCGCGCATTAACTTCACTGTTAACTAAAAAACATTTTAAAAGGAGAAATTAATATTCGAACCTACCAAGCCTGTCCACCATTTAGATAGATGAGGTTGTATGCGCCTTAAATTTTTAAAATTACTAAAATGATCTTTTGAGAGAAGAAAAACTGATGAGAACGGCATAGAACGAAATAAAACATCGCAGCTTGAAAAAATAATCTAATTAAGTTAGGCGAAAAAAAAATGTTAGAAAAGGTTCAGAGAATCGAAGCAATTTATCTTCATCAGTGTCATGTGATAAAAAAGAAAAACGAGAAATCGAAGCTACAATAGTGTTTCAACTAGATTTCAAGGAAAAATCGTTTCTCATAACGTGAGTCACGAAACAAATTACACAACGGCGGCTTAGTTCAAAAACCAATTTGAAAAGTGCGATTAAACTGGAATCAGCTGGAAAATTGACTATATTATAGTTTCCTCTCTTTCTTGAAGAGGAATCGAAGACCGAGAAAGGCGAATAAATGATTCGTCAGCGTCATACGCTCATCGAGTACACGAAAAAACCAAACAATGACCACTGTTTAATTAGAAAATTGGTCTTTACCGAGAGGAAAAAAAAATAGAGGTGAGTAAACTTATTTACGCACCTCAAACATCATGCATTCACAGGGCTCTTTCATTTGCGGCCGAAAAATATACAGTACCCGAAGGAGCCGAAAATGTGTTTTAAGAACTTCAAGACTTTGAAAAAAGGAAGGAAACTTCGAAGTTTAGAACTTTTTTTCAAAAAAAAAAAATTTATGAGACGTTGATTCTTAAAATCGCAAAAGTTTACCCAAGTTGTTAATAAATGAACCCAATCGTAACTCTGGTTTAGTCAGAAAGGGAAGGTGAAGGTTTCCATCTAATTTGAAGTCCAAAAAATCATTGAATCGAGAGATTTCGAAAAAAAAACTTTTCGAAATAATACACAGCCTGAAAGTTTGGTATACTTATGCAAATGACTCTTACCAGACGCAGCGTTTTTGACGTTTTCCAAACGATTTTTCCATTCGGAAACATGACGGGAAAACGTCTTTTTGGTCAAATTCTGGTTATTTCTTCTCTTGAGATTTCTTCCCTGGCTGTTTCAGCTTTTCAAAAATCACAACTTTTGTGTATTTATCGAAGGAGCTGATCTCTGATCAAAATGTATCTTCTTCTTTTCTTGAAGCAACAGGACGACGCTCCCAAAAGCAATGGAACGGTGGAACTCCTTGTGAACCGCGCCGTTAAAAGTTTAGATCAAATAAGTTGCCGAGTAAACAAAAATCAGAGGCAGCCCCCAAAAAGGTGATCACAACACTTTCTTCGAATTCGTTATATTTGCCCTATTTCTGTTCATTTCGCTCAGACCACGTGCAAATACGCTATCTAAGTATTTTTTTTCTTTTTCCGCTACTTATTTCCTTTTTCGTCATAACTGCTACTTTAGAGGGCATCTTATGTGAGTTATGTTCTCAAATTTCTGAAAAAAAAAAATTTTGGCTTTTGTTTCCTTGCAAATGATAAGAGTGTAAACCTTCCTAATTTGTTCAAAAAAGAAAGCGCAGCGCCTGTGAACTTGGAGTCCATTTTTGAGGTCGCGGGTTCGAACCTAACTTTTGTCAATTTTTCATCTTTTAGGAATCTTAATTTTTTCTAACCTTTGTTCTTTTCTTACTTTCAAAATTTCCTCTTCTTTCTTCGAAATTCTTCCTGTTTCTAAAAAACAAGCATTATTTCATGAAGTTCTCGATGTGGAATTCCATTTTTCAATGTTTTTTTGAGTCATCAAACGCGTGCTTTTAATTATTCAGAAAGAATCAAATTTGTAGCACAAAAATTTGATCGTCGGTGTTTGTCACTTTTCATCATAATTATTTTCCTTCGAAATTTTTCAAATCACTAAAAAAATAAGCTTAACAGTGGGGTGAAAAGTTTTCTCGGTTTTTTGGATTCTGATCCTTGCTTTTTGACCTTTCAAAGTTTACCTTTCACATGAAACTTGTAGGAATTTCATTTCTGTTATAAAAAAACCAATTTATTGAAAAGTTTGCTTCGAATTTCGCCATTGGAAAGAGGGAACTGTTAAACATATGATAAACCCAGGTTGGGAAACAAAACGATCTTTTTCCTTTATGTTTCCTGAATCGCAGCGACCATTACTTTCTCACGCATTTCCCTTCAACCACTTTCTCTCTACCTATTCGTTTATACCGTCATGTCATAAAAACTTTTTTCAACGGCTGTGAAATTCTGCCTTCTGCTTTTTTTTCGCCATGACAAAGATCACTTTGCAAATAATTTTTTTGAATCTCGAAGTTTCCCTTGAGAGGACGCTTTTCTAATTCCCTTGTTTCCAATACTCTTTGAAATTCTCAATTGATTTCCGTCGATTTTTCAACAAATTAACCGAATTTAAGAGAAAATGACGATCAATTATAACCTGGCGGTATCGACGTCGAAGCCCTGGACGTTGTTCAAGCTGCTGCTAAAGTGGCGAGGCAGCATCTGGAAGGCAGTAATTCTGGAGCTGGCGGTGTGGCTCATCCTATACGCCGTGCTCAGCATCATCTACCGCACCGCTCTCAATCCTGGGCAGCAAAGGTGAAGATATATTAGTTTTAATCACAAGAATTTTCATTAAAAAGCCAATTTTAAAGATCGGAAGAAAGGTTCAATTTAAGAAAGCATTTTTTTGTGCTGAGTCATGCCTTTTTTTAATTTCGCGCTTAAAAAAATCAAAAAAATTATGATGATATACAAAAATAAATATCAGCCATAATAATTATAAATAATGTTAAAAAAATAAACAAAAAAATTGCGATTGAAATTAATTTTTTTAATTTTTGCGACAGAACGACATGAAATCGCGGCCTTTACACTTCGCGACGCGCAAAAAGTAGCCACTGATTTTTCTATTTGAAACTTTCCTTTTTTCCTCTTACCGTTTGGTCAATGAAAACGCTCGAAATTCGTTACGAATTTGCAGTTTTTTTCTAATGTTTAATCTTCAGAAACTTAACTATATCATGAAAAGTTTCCGAACAGAACTTTCGAACGAGTGGTGCAGTACTGCGACCTGCGACTGAATTACATCCCGCTGAACTTCATGCTCGGCTTCTTCGTGACAGCCGTCGTCAACCGCTGGACTTATCTCTACCAGATCATCGGCTTTATTGATAAGTTCGTTGCTATTTGAAATTTTGATGGGAAGTCGATAATTTCAGTATCGGTCTGATGGCGGCCGAGTACGTACGAGGGAGGTCCGAGCAAGCGCGAATGTACCGGCGGAACATCGTTCGATATTGCGAGCTGGCACAGGTCCTGGTATTCCGCGACATCAGCATGAGGACGAGGCGAAGATTTCCCACTCTAGACACAGTTGTAGCCGCAGGTTTCTTTTTATATTTGCTTCCTTGTCAGCTTTTTTTTTTTTCTTTTGATTAGATTATCTTTATCTTAAATATAATAATTTCTGCAGGCTGAGGCTTTGAGAAGCTCAATCTGTAGTTTAGTAAACAGTATAAAGCTCATTTTTCAGAAAGTGATAAGTTTTTAGGTTATCGAAGAGAATAGTTTTTGGATTACCAGGTTTGAAAAAAATTCTACTCTACTAGATTTTTGTAAAAGTATGTCAACAGTGCACAGTTTTATAAATCTGCGAAATTTCTACTTTTCATCAAAAATTAACTTTTTCTTCATAATTAGAAAAAAACAAGGAAATGTATTAGGTCTGAAGAAAATTTTCGAAAAAAAAATGAGAATAAGTCGGTTAGCTCAATTCCATTTATTACGAAATGAATAAGTCTACTCCCACATGTTCCCAGTTCAATTAGACTTTTGAACCTGAGACTTGTATATTTACCCAACTTTTCATGGTTTGGTTTTGTGAACCAATATTGGCACGGCGTGACCTTAAAAATTCCTCTTGTAATTGCGAAATTAAGAGAGTTTGCTCAGGATTCATGATGCCACACGAAAAAGAGCGGTTTGACGAGATCCAGTACCGCTATTCAAAGTACTGGGTACCGTTTCAATGGGCTCTCGGCTTGACCTACGACGCCCGGAAGAAAGGCCTCATCGAGAGCGACTACTACCAAGTCGTCGTTCAAGATGTGAGGATTTTTTCCCCGTTTCGGAAAATTTCAAATGAAGCGGGTACAGGAAATTTGAAAAAAAAAGCAAGAAGAACTTGACAAAGTTTCACAGTAACCCAGCGTGTTGAGTACCGTAATCATTCCCTAGATTTGTTATGAAAGTTTATTATTTCGCAACTTGCTTAGAAAAAACTCATAATTTCTTAAATACGCAGGGGCCCTACCGTAGTCTGGCTACTGTGAGATAGAATGAGTCGAAACTTCAGCACTTAAAAACGCGAGAGTGATCACTATAGGGACAAACAAGGGCCCCTAGAAGGTCCCCTCCCCCCATTTGAGAGAAAGTTTAAAAGACCCTGTGATAAAATTTAAGCTTGAGTGGCCTAAGGGTAAACCCTCATGAGAAACATCGAAATTTTACTCCTATAAAGAGCAATTTTTCCCCTATAGCGACTGTTTTCCTCTAAACCCTGAAGGGACCGCTCTGGTGTTTCTAAGCATTTCTGATGAATATCACACTGGGTAAAGCTTCATCGAAATAAAACCAACATTTTATTTTACGGGAATTTCAGAGACAGCGTGTTGACAATTTAGAATTAACATCTCCTTTTTCAGGAGATCAAAAAGTTCCGAACCGGACTGGCTTGGATTTGTAACTACGATTGGGTCCCCATTCCGATAATGTACCCCCAGTTGGTGTGTCTAGCCGTTCACACCTATTTCCTGGTCTGTCTTTTGGCAAGACAATATGTTGTTTCTGAACATGCTGACAACAAGACAGAGGTCTGAAATTGAAATTTTAATACAAAAAAAGAAGATGTTTCAGGTGGATCTTTACTTCCCGATAATGTCGACATTACAGTTCATTTTCTACATGGGATGGATGAAGGTGGAAAATTTTTATTCATTATTCATTGATAAGAAATGTCTGTTATGTCTTCTCCCTCACTAAATCTATTGTTTACACGCTATTTTCTGAGTTTTATGATCTCACAGGGGAGAGAAAAGAGAGCGCAGAGAAGCCAGACTGCATCAAGACATGGTGAATGAGTTTTAGAAATAAATTTTGAGAAGGATATTCAAAATAAGCCTTGATGAGAATTTGATAGAGCTTGTGGAAATCTCATAAAGGTCTCGCAGCGAAAAGCTTTTTTTTGGGAGTTTCAAGGATAGTTTTTAGATAGACCTGTTGTCTGTACTTTGGAAAGAATCAAAAGGCTGATTTGAACTGGAAATAAAGGACTATTTTCAAGTTTCAAGGTAGCCGAAGTGATGCTGAACCCGTTCGGAGAAGACGACGACGACTTTGAATGCAACGCTCTGATTGACAGAAACATCACGGTTATCCATCCCCTTTCCTCCTATTTTTCAACGGAAATGGAATTCTCAGATGGTTCTGATGATGGTGGACCAGGGTTACGACCGGGCGCCAGCCTTGAAACGGGATCCGTTCTGGGACGAGGAGGTCGAACCGCTCTACTCGGAAGAAACAGCCAGGATTCCGAATAATCCTCTCAAGGGATCGGTCAGCGAAGTCAGGTAGGTGAAAAGTAATGAACTTGGCACTCTGAAAAAAATATGTATTGATTTTTAACGTTTTCAATCGTCTTTCTGGACTAACTAAAACTCAAAACGTGGACAGAACTCATAATTAAGCACATAATTTGTATAAAATAATCGTAGAAACCAGAACCATGGTATGGTATGTTGAAAAAATTTTTACAGGGCTGATTTGTGGGAAGTTGAAAAAAAGACCTGTTCGATTTTTAAAAAATCGAGTTTGGATTCAAGTTTCGAATATCTCTGAAAAAAGAGAGGTGAATAAAAGTTATAATAGCGAAGTTTTGTTCGGTGACATAGTCGTTCAGAAATCTTTCGAAAAAGTTAAATTCGAAGCTTTTTGAGTTTTTTCGTTGTGGGGGCATAACATTTTTCTCTAGTAAGTAAAAAGATAGTTGGGAATTTGGTTTTCTGAATGGTGTAGCGCTAAAATCGCGATAAACTTCTTTCTAAATCTCTTTTTCTATATAAAACTACTTCTGAGGGATCAATGAGCCGGATAAACATCTAGAAAACTCAAACAGATACCCTGAGAAACTCAAAAACCAAGTCTAAAAAGCTGAGCACCAACTACTTTTTTTAGACTCCCCGAAAGCGTCCATGAAATCAAGATGGTTCCTCACTACGACGACCGAGGTGGAGCTCCTTTCAGCAACGGAGGCTCTCTTCGTCGTCGTGTCTCCGTTGTTCCTGTCAAGTGGGCGAAAACCTTGAAAGAACAACTTGATCTTGTAAATTCAGACCAGAAGAGCAGCAACATCATCATCGGACGCGAGCTTCAGTGGGAAACATCGAAATGTTCAGGAGCTTCAAGCATAAGGTTGAACGGTGGGTTTCTAGAGGTTTTTTGAAAAGTTTCTGAAAACGTGATTAGATCATCAGAAAATTAAAAAAAAGATGAAAATATTGAAATCGCAGGTCCTTCTCGCGTCCTCACTTGCATGAGAACCTCGGCCGAAAGACCTTGTCCCATGGAACGCTGGAGAACATGGACGATGACGTCATGGCTCATCAGACCAAGAGGAGCGCGTTCAGCATCAGCGGCGCCAGTGGCGCCAGCACGCCCACTCACAACGTCTCCTTCAGTAACTCGGCTTTCGCGGATTCCAGTTAGTCATTTTCACAGATTCTTATCATCTCTGGATCATATTTTCTATTTCTATCGTTGGTCTGTTACTTAAAACTACAGATATCATCTAGATTAAAAATACTAACCGATTTATGAAGCTTGGGTTGAGTCTGAAAGGCCCTAAAATGGTCCCTTAAACAATTTCTTCGATTTTTCCAAAACTTTGAAGCTTCACTAGAGGGGTGGAAAAGTACAGAGATACATAAAAGCTCATATAATGCTTCAAAAAGGCAGCAGATCTTTTTTCAACCCTAAAAGGACAACTTTTAGAGAACTTCAAAGTATTCTACTTTCAGACGATGAGTTGAACTTGGAACCCTCGACGCCGACCTTCAAGGAGCCCGTTCGAAAATCAGCATCTAATGCAAACCTCCAGAAACGCGACTTCCCACACCATGTCCTCGATGACGTCATGGAGGAGAACGAAGAGGAGCAGGGAATGAGAAAGAAGAGCATCTTTGAGCCGTCGATCACCCTCGTCGAAAACCCCAAACACATTATCCCAGAGACGGAAGAAAGGGAGAGAGAAGAAGAGAAGCTAGAGAAAAAAGAGGACACCAGCAGCAAATCGTCCAGGTTGGTCTTTGGTCTTCGAAACCTCGATTGGGTTGAAAAATTATCGGAAAAATATGCATTTGGAAATGTGTAGCTTGTCTGCGCACTCTTCTCTCTCACCTTCGAGGTCATAGAAATAAGAAAAGAGTAAGTGAGTCTCTGCGCCCTCCTCGTCTCTCGGCAACCCTCTCTTCTTGACGTGCTGTCTTCTTGTGTCTCTGACCTTGTCCGTGAGGGAACAGAGAGACGCAGACACTCAAAATTGTCAAGTAACGGGCTATATAAAGCATTTTTCCAGCAAAAAGGACGAAATTTCGAAACGGAGCAGCGACTTTTTCATCGGGTCAAGGCAGGACAGCGAAGATCCAATTTAGACGGTTTTCCCTCTAATTTATCAACTCAACTCATTTCAGAAAGCTAATATTGTATATTTAATATAGGATATTCAATTTCGATCTGAGATTGTTCATTTTCTTGTGTCAACGTTTGTACAACTTCCCAAACCTTCGTCAGGAAGTAAGAAATGTCGATCTTGCCTCCAAAGGAAGTTCTGTTGCTCATGTTACTTATCTTGTTTGGAATTGGTCTTTGGACGTTGAACTGAGAAGTCGATTAATAAATATTTTCGCACGATAAAAAGTGGATTTTTTTTTTTTGAAAAGAAAGGCTTCGCAAAGCGGTTACCTTGAAGTAGAGCTATTTTTTAGACTTTTTTTTCAGCGTAAGCGACAACAAAAAAAAAACAGTAGATCATGTAGCAAAGATGGGAAGTCGCTCAAGGTCGGGCGCAGTCAAAGAGTGAGTCTTATCGAATGTTTACCTCACCGTCAATTGATGCGATTTCATGACGTCATTCGTAATGGTGTTCTAGCTTGTCTGCGCTCTCTCACCTCTCACTGAATCAAAGAATAAAACAAGCACGTAAAACATTAAATAAAAATAGAGAAAAGAGCGCGCAGACAAGCTAGACGGTTCAAAGTTGCGGGGAGTAAATTATGATTTTTTTTTTGATAGGCTTTATTTTTATTTTTGAAGATCAGAAGTAAGCAGAGCATTAGTTGGAGCCCCTTTCTGCACTTAGGAACGGAAGAGGGGTCCCTATAGAGGCAACTATGGTCCACTTGACCTCCTCCGTAAGGGGGGGGGGGCACTACAATTTGAAAAAAAATGGCCTCGAAGGAGTTTATAAACTATATGAAGAAGCATTTTGATGCGAAAAGTTTCTTGTTTGTTTTCCTGTAAGGGCTGTTTTTACCCTGACTCCTGTAGGGGCCACTTTGGAGTTCCTGAGCATTCTCTTCTCTCGACTGATGTTTTGCTCTTTTTTAAAGCTTTTCCATTGCTTTAGAAGCCCGTAGGTGAGACAGAAGAGAGCGCAGAGAGGCCAGACTTCTCAGGGAGTGCCCAATGAGGTATCGCTGAATGTTTATTTTCAACGTTTGTTTCCAAAGAAACAGTTTGCCCTGTCCTTGTCTTCAAAATACGCGTGGTTTTCCCGAAAAACAACTGCACCTCATGACTTTCCAGCGTGTATTTATGTACCGAGCAACCTGTGATGCTTCGTTTTTTTCTTTCTTTATTTGTTCGGTACGCACCGAACTGCTTCAAATACTATATTATTATTGCTCATTTCAAAATAAAGCCAATAAGTGACCAAGTTTGCGTCGACCTAGGGCACGGGAGGACGACATGAACTCCTTATCGGACACTCGTCCAGACAAATACTCTGGCTCCAGAGAATAATTTCCTGTCCCCGCTTCAGAACACTTTGATTAGATCTGGAGTGTTTTTTCTTGCTTCTTTCATAGTTGATGTTTCCTCTTTTACATACTTTTCAAAACCTTTCAAGGTCAAAAAATCAAGGATTTGCCGCCTTTGAAGAACAACTTTGTTTCCTGCTTCTGAACCCCTTGATTATTTTGAGCGTTTTGATTTTCTCAGAAAAATTACCAGATATCAGAAAATCACAAATCCTAATCTTCTCCGAGCACTTTCGATCTTTCTACGTTTTTCAAGAGAAACTGGGGCTATTTTAGATTCACAAAAAATGGTGAACTATGCGAATTTTGACCAATTTGGTCTACTGTACCTTTTGATGGCGCCGTTGGTTCTGCAGCCGTTTTTCTCGAGTCTTCTCTCGCCTCACATCAACGACGACTCCGTTCATGGATACGTCGACGAGGAGTTCCACGCAGTTCGAGACGCTTTTCAGTGAGGCTTTTTCGAAATTGAAATGGGAAATTTTCGGTTTTTCTGATACTTTTTTACGGTAAAAACAGCTTTCTTTATCTCGATTTGGGAAATTTATTGGAAACAAATCCTTTTTACAAAGTAATTTTGCTGTAAAAATTTTTCGAGCTGTCATAATTTCAATTAAAAATCTATCTATCTCTGATAATTCAATTTTTTTAGCAAGAAATAGAAAAAAAGTTTGTCTGCTCGCAACAAAGTCAAAAAAAGTCATAAAAAGATAAACCATTTTTTTTGGCTGAGTCTGAATTTCCCTTCTTATTTTTTTTTTGAGGTATCCTGAAGAGTTCATGTAAACCGATATTTTCTCACAGTAAAGTTTGATGCTCCCTTGTTTTGCACCGTTTGAGAAATAGTTCATTTTTTCAGTTTCCTTTGACCTTATCTGCAAAATAAGACTGACATCAAAACATACTATTTGACTTTCGGTGTGTATTTTGAGAGAGACCTTTGATATTTTGAAATTTCCCCGGCTGTAGTCTAACAAAACCTGTGAGCGAGTAGCTCTTGACTTTGAAGTAACCTAGAAGTTGTATATGTCTAGCAAAAGTCCGCTCGAAGAATAACTCCTTTTCAACTTTTTTAGAAGTCATAAAATACAAGAAAATGTCAACGACAGTTTTTTTTCGCATAGTTTCAGAGAAAAGATCAGGGAAACTCATAGAAAACTCCAGAAAACTTTTGTTAATTTCGAAATCCTCCAGACGAAACTTTGGCGAAGGCCTGGAACGCGAAGGGGCAGCTTTCGCCGTCTACAGACACGGCCGTCGTGTCGCACACTTGTGGGGCGGCTTCGCCGACGGCGAATCTAACCGAAAATGGAAGCCGACAACCCGATCGGTACTCTTCTCCGCCACCAAGGTTGGTTCCGAAAGATTGCTTTTGAATGATCAATAATCAGATGGAAACATGAAATCATAGGTGTTTTGCACCGACAGCTTGAAATTTGTTTGCTTCTCGGCACGCTTATTATTATTTTTTCTTCATTGAGGTGGTTCTGTTGGTTTTCTGCTTTTTTCATTTGATTGGTAATACTTTAAGAACCAAAAAAAGCTCAGAAAAGTTTCACCAAACAGAGGAAAAACGTTAATTTCCTCTGAAAAATATAACCTAGTTATACCTTTTTTTGACTAGTTTAAAGAAAAAGTTAGAAAAAAAAACACGCGAGAGAGCGCAGACAAGCTAGACGGTTTCAAGTCGGGGTGAATGAAGTATGAAATTTTTTCAGGCGATCGCTTCACTAGTTATCGCAACGTTAGTGGACCGAGGATTGATCGATTATGAAGATCGGGTTGTAACTCATTGGCCAGGCTACGGTCAGTACGGTAAAAACTCGACGACTATTGAAGACGTCCTCAGTCATAAGGTTTTTTTTAATTCGTTGAAACTTGAAAGCCGTGAAAGCTGGCAAAATGATCCAAAAAGTAGATTTTGAGCCTATTTTAGTTTTCATCCAGACCTTCTGGGTTTTTTTGAAGGACTTAATTATTAGGTTCCAAAACTCATACAAAATAGACCTCCCTTGTTAGCCATTCCACCTGCGACCACGGCGAGCTATTTTTCGAATAAATTTTCGATTAAGGCCGGAGTTCCTTATCTTGACGAAGACGTGCTCATGGATGATGTGATAGGAGGACTCTCTTTACTGGAAAAAGTGGAAAGAACGAAGCCTCTGTGGATGCCTGGTGAGTCTGATTTAAGATGCGCCCGACTCAAACCAACCTTCGCGCCTAGGCATATTAAAGCAACTCTCATTTTGACCAGGTCTTTCAACGGGTGTACCCGTGAGACCTTTTGAGTCTCAGTTATGTTGAAACGGGAGAAAAACGGGAGCAAAGAATATTAAGTGACCCAGCCGTGCTAAAACGGTGCTTCGGCGGGAGTAGAACACTAAAAAAATTGTCAAGTAGACCTCAAATTTTTGAGCCATTCCAAATGCGACCACGAATTTTCAAGCGAACTTTTCAGGTACTGCAAGTGGATACCACGCTGTAACTTTCGGCTTCATTGTCGATGGAATCGTCAGAAAAGTGGATCCGAAAGGACGAAGTCTCAAGACATACTTCCAGGAAGAAATCGCAGAACCTCATAGTTTGCCCAAAATTGACTTCTTTACAAAAAAAGCATTTTCTTGCAGATCTGGATATTTCAATAGGTGTCGAGAAAAAAGAGGCCCCATTTCTGGCTCGAATTACAATGCCCTCAATGTGGGAATATGTTAGAGACATCTTCAAGGTATCGTATTAGAAAAAAAGCCAGAACATATTTTATTTCCAGGATCCAAAAATCCTAGTAATGCTAGGTCTGATGCATTTTCGGTTCGACACAATCGTCCACAGGATCAAGGAAAATCCGAAATGGCTCATCGCTAATTATGTTGGTTTCTTTTTTTATTTGAGGTTTTTCAAAGTTTCTTCATGAAAGATAACTCAGGAAAAAAAGTTTGGAAAAAAATTTTTTTGAGGTTTTTATTTATTTACTAAAATGGATGGTTGGAATGGGTAGTCTCAGCCCATACTATGAAAAAAATTATATATATTTTTCTTTTTTTAATTTCTAGAAAAAAAGTTTTTAATATTCCCCATTCTTGTTCAATGCAAATTGACTAAAGAATGATTCAGAAATTCAGGATTTTTGTTGTTTGAATAAAACGAGTTTTTTAAATTTCGAATTATTTAAAAGAGCTTCAAATTCTATTTTGCTTTTGACATCACTTTCGCGTTTCTGATCCTCTTCAAACTCCAGGCGGTAATTAATTTTCATTGGGTCGTGTGCTAAGAGTAATTTATTAATAATCCATATATGCAAATCGAAGAAAGTTATCAAAAAATTTTCGAAAAAATTTGGGACTAGTAGAAGACGTAAGGTCACGGCGGGGATAGAACTTGTGACCATGTGCACCGTAGACAAGAACACAACCTGTTGCGCTACGGTGCGCCGCTTATAGTTGACGTAATGAATAATATCATTCTAATTTTTCTGTTCCTTGACGGTTTTTTTCTTGCCAGAGATTTGAACTTTCAGGACACGATGTCATTAAATGATCCGGACGTCGTTTCTCTGCCTCTGCCGGCTGTGACTGGAGTGTCTTCGGCCGACGACCTCGCCCGTCTTTTCTCCCTTGCCATTCACGGCGAAATTCTCTCGAACATGACCCTGACGACCTTGGCTGAGCCAACTTTGAACAGTTGGCACCTGGAGAAAGTCACAATTTGGCCTGTCATGAAGGGTCATGGCTTCTTCTACGAACGACACCCGCTCATTCCAGTGAGATCATTGATTTTTTGAAAGAAGAGAATGGAACTTTATTCTTCTTCCAGGCTTTTTTATCCTAAATATCTTGTCTGCAGCTATTTTTTCATAGTTATGTTCTTTTTTTTAATATAATCTCTTACTTTTCATCAATTTTTTTTTTCCAGGGAGCCTTCACGTTCGGTCATCCTGGCTATGGCTGTCAGTTCGTCCACGTCGATCCCAAGAGCGGAATTTCTTTGGCTTATGTGTCCAACGGACTTAAAACGGGTTCCGGCGAGTTGTGTGGTCCTTACACGAGGCTCCTCAGAGCCACTTACAACTCCATCCGGTATATTTGACTACGAGTTCCCCGAAAATTCTCATTTTTGTGTCATTTTGTTCAATTTCACGTGTTTTTTTCTACGGGTAAAGATTTTTTTCATTAGAAAAATTTTTATTAAATACTTTAAAATTACATATCTGTTGAGCAACTGAGATTTTAGAAATTCATTTGAGGAAAACCTTGATTTCGCTAACACCCGTGAGGTCCAGTCACTTGGTCGCTCAGGATGCCTGTCCCTGAAAGTAATTGTTTTGAAATATTTCGGGGTCATGGTCGCACTTGGAATGGCTCAAAGAGTCGCAGTTGATTTTTTTTTAGTGGTTTTTTTTTTCTTAGGCTTTTCGATGAAATCGCGCGCAAGTCGTTTTATTTCGGCTGCCTTATACGTACAGCCATTCCAAGAGCGACATAGATCACTTGTTTACAGGAGGAAAGATGTAGGAATAATGGGAAGGGTGATGTTTTGAGTAAAATGTAAACCTCAACAAGTTGATTGAGCCTCTCGGCGACACACTCGTTGAACCGAGTCGTGTGGTCTGGCGAAATAAATTGAAGAAGTTCACGGGCGTTTTGGTAGTAGTGAATGTGCAGGTCTACCTGGAATTACCAATTATAGGTTAAAAAAAAACTAATTAACAAAAAACAATTTTTCAGCTTTTTTGTAAAAGCTAGTTTGACTACTATTTCAAAACCCAAAGGGCTGAGTCTGAACATTTTTCACTCCAGTTTTTTTCTGATTTCCTTATTAAGTTTTTCTGAAACTTATTTTCTAGGCCAAGTATAGAGTTCTTGAAATCGATTTACACGGTTATAAGTTTACTGTTATTTATCTTCATCGGAAACTTGTTTAGCACTGAAAAAGTCTCGAAAAAAGCTCTGAATTGTTCAGAGAACCGTGTTAGAAAGCTTATGATCACCGTGAATCGGGAAGGTTCTATAGAAAGTATTTTGCTGATAATATTTTTTAAAGAACTTGTTTTCAAGTCAATGATGAATGAACTATACGCTTTTTTCTGAAAAACGACTCACTTTGGTGTAATCACCGTTCATGCAATCTGTATGCGATGAAGCGATTCTCCAGCCCTTCATTGTCAATTCCAAAGTGTACGGTTGTCCTAAATTTAATTTATCATCGTCTTTTTATTCATTCTAGAAAACTAAGTCTCTTATGAGCTTTACCATTTACAATATTAGGACAGAAAAAGCTTAAAAGACTGAAAAAAGGGAACCTTCTTGCGTTTTGACGTTGACGAAAATGAGATCGCTTGTCCTTGGTAGCATCTCAGATACACTGATATCCTATAATCCAGAAAATATTCTCAAAAATGAAGTTTCGCAAGAACCTCGACTTCGGTAGCGAGCTCGTGGACGGCGGCTATCGCCTCGAGCTCCAGAGGTCCGATGTCATCCTCAATAGGCGACAGAACTCCTCCTTCCTGTTGGAAAAAGTTCATTTTCAACTTCATAAAAATCCAACCATTTCATGCCGCCGTCGATTGACACTTCCGATGTCTTCCAGCGAAAGCGGAGTTCTGAAAATGCTTTCAATCGTGAGAACCAGAAAGGAAAGAAACCTGGTGCTGATGTGTCTTGAATGGCCGATTTTCTGAGGAATCGCTGGCTCTGCGCAAACGTGGATGGGTTCAAAGGAGAATTTCTCGTCCTGAGTCGGAGAGTGAGCACGAGAAGAACGGTAGGCTTGAGCTGCAGCAGACCAGCGGGCAGAACTGAAGTTTTGAGTTTTGGAAAGAGAAATCGCGCCTAGGGCTTTCAAAAGCTTGGGTGATGTATTATATTTCGCAGGTTTTAAACTTGATAGAAAAGAATTTTTGGCAAAAACTCAGAAAATTCTGAATGTATCGACCCCTAGTAGGTGTTGTAGTTCAGACAGATCCCAATATATGAAATTTTTGACTTCTATATTGGAGTGTGACCATGTGATGCAGGCAATATCAGAATTTTGACTTTCTTTTCCATCTTGAGTAGTCATGATTTTTCTTTCTGTGGTAATCTTTCGGTCCAGATCCAGAATCAGGAACCATTCAAATAGAAGACCGCTTCTGATATATTATTTCAACTTCAGCAGCCTTATTGCTCATTTCAAAAAAAAAAAGGAAAAGAAAAAGGAAAAACAGACTTACTCTTGCTGTTTGTAGAGCGGAGACACTTTGAGAGTGTCGGCTAAAGTGTTTGCCGAAAGCGATCCTAAATATGAGCAACTTAAAGTCAACTTCTTGAGGTCGAATCAAGTCTGACCGACAGGAAGAGATCCGCAAAGACATCCAGAAGTAGGCGATTGAAATCCGCTGGAGAATGGTCGACCAGAGTTATCAGGAGTATTCGGAGGCGAATCCGGATGCGGCTTCGACATTTCTGAACTGCCACTCGATTATTATCCACCAAGGAATTGCAAAAAGAAACGGCATAGCCACGGTCAAGCGCTATTTTCATTTGAAACATATTTTAAAAAAAGTCACAAAAAAATAATTGAAAAATAATAACGGCTTTTTTTTGAAAACCACTATCCAAATTTTATTTGTCAGAATCATTTTTCCGCTTTCAAATCCTTGGACAAACAAAGGCTTACTTGCAAAACAAACCTTAAATAAACAACAAGCTCAATTTCACTTGCAAAAATGGTCATAATAAATAATTGAAAATCAACTTGAGCGTGCAGAAATAACAGGGAAAGTTGGAAAAAGATAATATTACGGGAAGGTTACCCGAATGGACGGAAAAGAAGCTGAAAACGCAAGAGCGCAGCTGATGTCTGTATCGATTCGCAGCGGGGTCCACCCTTTGGACGGCCTCAAGACACGGATAAAAAAATAAAATTGCAACTTGGTTGATCTTTGGTTAGTTCGGGAAGACAAACCAAATTAAGAATTTCGAGGAAACATGAAAATCTGGAAATTTTTTTTACACTAAAAATACGAGTTAGTTTTCTGGAAGGCGACATTCCAAAAACAGTTTAAAGAATATCTTTATCCGAACGTTTAATAAATTTTTATTGTATTTCCCAGTTCAAAAAAAAAGTCAGCTTCCATCAGAATCAATGAGCTCCCTTGAAATTAGTTTCAATGGGTCAATATGAAATATGAAGTTGAATCAATTAATTAAATCTAGATTATCTTTCAGTTATGAAATTTTTTCATGTGTCGAAATAAGAGTTTGTCATGTAATCTACTTGTACCAAAGGTTCTACTAAGAAATCATTCTGGAAACGCAAGTCCAAAAGTTTTTGTAGTTTATTTGAAATCACAACTAAACTGAATATGTTTCGACATGAGCCCACACAAATAGCCACACAAACCACTCCCTTTTCACTTTTCCCAAAAAACAAGTTCTGCAATTTCCCATTTCAAGCCTGTCAAGAAGATTAGCCTCGCGGCTCTCAAAATTTTGCGAAATTCGGCCATTATTTTTTAATTTCTCGGCAGAATGCGATTTGCGTCGATAGTGTATACGGGCAAAGCAGCGCATCTGACGAAAAATATAACCGCAAGTTCAAAAATTTTTTTAAAAAACAAACATTAAAAATTCTTTTTTTATTTTTTTCTCTTTTTGGTCCTTTTTTTCAGGATGTATTCTGGTAAAGAAGTTTTTATATTGTTAGATGTTGGCGGAACTCATACATTTTGAGGCGTCATGGGGTCGTCACAGCTCGTCGTTTAGTGAAAAACTTGAATAACCATAATTTCAAAATATTTAATTCTTGGGAATTTCTCTTGAGTTTATCATCATAAAAAAATAGTTTCTTTCAGTTTTTTTAAAAATTTTTATTACGACTTAATTTCCAGAAATACTTTGTCACATTATTTCTAATGAAGTTTTTACAGTTTGTAGATGAGAAGAAGTTGGATGCGTTCTGAAAATTAGAAAGACTTTTCGGACGAATAATCTACAAGGCCAAAGATGCGATTATCCAAATATGCTATCGGTATTTTTAAATATCATTTAGAATTGAAAATAAATGTATTTTAGCACAGTACGATTTCGACAGTTCTTCTGTCGAAACGGAAGATTCAGATTTAAAGTCCTCGATTCTTTCTTTGTACGTAGGTGATCATCTGCTCATCTCCAAAGAGCTTGATGGTAAGTCTAAATTTTCAAATGTTTCCAAATTTTTTTTCAGGATGGGCTTACGGCCGAAAGATTAACTCAAAAGAAGAGAAGGGCATTTTTCCTCTGGATTTTGTGAAAATAATTGACGATTCTGCAAAAAGTGATGTTACCAATTACGAAGGCTATGACGTCGTCGGGGAAATTAACAACACTCTTTTCAAATGGTGGAGCAAAATCAAGGTGTTTTTTTCTCGGATTCCTGATTTTTAACTTCAATTTGAAGGAAATCTTCTCCAAGCATATTGAGTTTGTGTTTTTCGATAGACTTTTGGAGTCGATGAACGACATTTTGATGATTAAAAAGAAGATTGAAACAGGTAAAAAAAGGTTAATGTTTTAAAAATTTAGTTTGGGGCTTCAGGTAGCGTCCCTTTTTGATTCATTGAACGCCTTGCGTCTGGAAGTGGCTCGAAAGATTGATCGAGGAAATTTGTGAGTAATTATTTTCGAAATAAATCAGAACTCATCAAATTTTTTACAGTTTACTCGGTCTTGATATTGTGATTCGAGACAGCAATGGCGCTCCAATCGACGGCCGATCTTTATCCATTCTCGAGACTTATCACAGCCATGTGAAAGCTCAGAAACGCATCGAGAATGACTTGGTAAATGATGGTTTTTACAATTCCGGTGATATTTCATGTTAGAGAGCACCCAGCGACGTATCGATAGGCGGTCATTTTTCCTTCATGGTCTGCATTAAATCCGTGGAACTCAACGCGAAATACAATTCGGAAGTCGGAATTGCTCTTTATGACACGGAAAGGCGTCAATATATCACGTGAGGCTTGTATTTGAGCTTTTATTTGAAGATTTCATGAATACATTTGATTCAACGCTGGCTTGAAACGAATTTCATTAAGGGTCTTAACACGATTAGCGGAATTTTATGTGAAGAATGAGTGTTTTAGACGTTTCTGTAGTATCTTTCTTTTAGTCGACCGTGTATGAAGTATATTTTTTTGATTTTTCTTACCAATATTATTTAATTTTTTTATTTCAGAGAATCTTACGTTTTTCGTGTGGAAAAAAATGAAGGAAGCAAGACGGCGCCGAATGTTCGCATCATTTTCACGGTATTTGTTGATTTATGGACTTTTTCTTGAATATGAAAATGATTTTCTTAAGTTCTTTTTTTCAATTCGTTTTCTGGTTTTTTAAAGTTTCAAATTTCTGAAAATTTCTCTATTTTTTAAGCGAAAAATCTTGATTTGTCGAATCTGTTTGAAATTGGTAAATTGTATAACTTTTTCAGCCAGTCAAAGTTCAAAAGACTTTCTGAAAACCTTGAAAAGGGGACTGGAGTCAATTTTTGTGATATTTCAAAAGTAAAAGATTTTGTTTTCTACGAAAAAAAGGTACTCATTCGAGGTTTCGTCGCAAAAATCCCTTTCATGTTTCATCTTGCGTCTCTCAAAAGCTGTCCTCTGCAGAACTTCACCAGCGAAGACTCTGAACGGAAACTGGCGATGATCTTGCGCGTCGTACAAATCGCGCCCATCGACGCCTCCTCGGCAACGATGAAAAAAGCTTCTTCGAACCACGACCTTGTTCCGACCGCCTATCTTTGTCGTCAGGGTGATCCTTGCCCTCTTGATCACCTCCAACTTCAGTTTAGACTTTGCCTACGACGTCCTCGACCTCTCCAATATTCTCATCTCTCCAGTTTCTTCGAATGAAGAGAAAGAGAGGGTTATCATCCTCAATCGGTAAATTTTCGATTTTGGTCTGAGTTTTGAAGAAAATCCGCCGAAAAGTGTTCTAACCAAGATGCATATAGGCTCCAGATTTCAAATACCATTTCCAGAGGCCAAGAGTTCTCCTTGGCAATGAAATCCTTGCAAGTAACGGGTCGCGTACCGAAAAAGTTCGATTCGGAGCTAGGTGAGCGAAATTTCAGCCTCTTTGTAACAGTTTTTTTAGGGTAAAAAATGCGTAAAACTCGGCCATTTTCGGTTTATAGAAATTTACCTACTGATGCTTTCAGTTCTACTATCTTTTCTCATATTCCATAAGTTTTGGACAAATATACTAATGAAATGCCTAACGAAAACAATTCATTCATTTTATTCTGCGGTCGGGAATTTCCTAAAAATAAGTCACATTACTTTTTGAACCAACATATGAAAGTGAAAAAATTCCCAGCTTGCACTCATTTCCAGTTGTCGAGAAATAACCGTTCTAAGCCAAAAAACAGCTTATTTTAACAGATTTTGAGAGTTTTCTTCGATTTTTAGGTGTTTTTCCACGGAAAATAAACTTGTGCAGGTTGAAATTTTCAGAATATTCATGTACAGAGTTATCTGGCCAGTTTTCTTTACAGAGTTATCTGGCCAGTTTTCTTAACCACAAATCAAATAACCTACCTTTTTTCGCGTTTTTTCTTCAAACTCTTTTCAAACAACCTATTTTCTCACCTCCTTGGCGATTTTAATACTTGCAAACATTACTGAAAGCTTTTGTTGTTTTTTTTTTAATTTTTCAAGATTTATAATGCATGTTTTGAAGATTCCTCAAAGTTCCTCATCAGTACCACGATTTTGCCTGGTTCTAGCCAGGAATTGAAAGTTCGGCAGCCGCATCTGTTCACGAGAAACGCGGCGGTGACGCTGAAAAAAGCCGAAAAGTCGGCTTTGACTTGGGGTTATTCTTCTGAGGAAAAAGCTGAGTTACTTGAAAAATGCAGAAGAAACTCGAAACGATCTGTATATCACTCTGATTTCTGGGGAATTCGTTGGAAAATCCTCCGACAAAAATATCGAGGCACGCTTGAACGTTGTTGATGACAACGGGAACGTCGTTGAGAATGTCAGTTTTCTTTTTTTTTCGTGTTTATAGTGAAAAATTTGTTTTTGAAGGGTTTTTTTAACTTTGGCTTCGAATTTTTAGCTAGCCAATTTTGTCGATTTTTGAACTTTCCAGATAAAAATAAGGCCAGGCCAAAAAAATTTAAATACCTTTAGAAGATTTTTTTGCGTAAATTTCAGCTTAATATTGTCAAAGTAGGATTCATTTCTCTTTGTTTTTAAATTTTTTTCAGTTGTTTTTAATTATCTTTTTAGTAGCCACTTTTTTTAGTAGAAAAAAAGTGATACAATTTCGAAAAAAATCAAAATCGAAAAAAAGAGCTAAACATACGTTTCAAAGCTTTCTTATAAGATACTTTCATAAAATTTACTGATTTGACAATTTTTTTGTCAGAGATTATTCGGCGGGAAAAAAAGTTCCTTTGAAGCTTTCATCTAATCGTATTAAAAAATATTGATTTTTCTCAGGTTTTCGAGACGTTTTCTGTGACGGGCTCTCAATTGTCGACGGGTTACCGGAGTGTGGTCTTTTATCACGAAACTCAGCCCAACTGGTATGAACACATCAAGGTTTCCATCCCTCTTTTAGCTCCCAATAAGATTTTATTGTTTGAAGATCTGCCTGCCTGCTAATCCTTCAACGAACTATCATTTGAGAATTCTTTTCTATTCCCGAAAGGCTTATGAGAAGAATAAGTGCGAGAAGGTTTATTTTAAGGTTTTTATTCAAAAAAATAAGCTTTTCCAAGGGACCATTTGCAATCTCGCACATTCAATTGCTACAAAGTGCGAATTTGATCGAAGATGGAGATCACGAACTGGTCGTTTACAAGGTATTGAAAGGCTGGACTAGGTTTTTCAAAGTATAAAGTTTTTTTTTTAGATCGAATCGATGCATTTCAAAGACGAGAATAATTCCTATCTAGCTTTACCATCAACTAAAAGGTTTGTTTTCTAATTTGTTTTTTCTCGACAAGATTTTTTTAAATAGTGTTTATCATGAAAGGCAATTTTTCACCATGAATATGCTAAAATCGTGAAAAAAATTTTTCGAAGAAAAATGTTTTTATACTGTTTTTTTAGTATTTTTTTCATCTCTCAGTTGCTGAAAAACTCATGAAAAGATTGATGATCAGAGGAATATTTTAAATCGAAAAATTATTGAACCGAAATTAGGCTGGATTTTTCAATGTCTGTTTTTTTTTAAATTTTGCCCTTAGCGGAGGAAAGAAAAAAGCTACTATAAAGAAATTTTTTTGTTTTTTCCCACTGGTAAATCTCAATAAATGTATTTTTCAATCTAGTGGCGAACTTACTAAATTTTTTGACCATTTGTGAATGAGTGATTTTTCTCTCAGGATCCTGAAAGACCTGGGCGGCTCCGCGAAGCCTCATGCTCACGGGTTCTCTCTGAGCGAGAAGACGTCCCTTTCGATCTCTTCTTATTCTTGTTCCAACGTCTTAACTCAGAACAAACACCTTTTGAATGTTCTGCGATGGAGGTTTCGACAAAAAATAAATATTACAAGTGGCTAAAAAATTTTTCAGGATAAACTGTGCCAAATTGTACAATTCACTCTGTTCGTTGGCGGTGCCAGTAGGCGAAATGGAAAACGAGGTGGGAGTTTTGGTTTTTTGTGTCAGATTTTTGAAGATAAAAAAAAAGTAGCTTAAAAAATGAAATCGAGTTTCTTATTTTTTTTTTAATTATTTTCTCTTCTCCTCACTCGCTTTTTACGTTTTTCCAAAGTATTTCAAGTTTTTCAAAAATATTTAAACCATAGTCTTCAGTTCCTTTCTTTGATCTTTTCTCTCGTGAATCGGCTTAACTTCTTTTTTTCTGAGATTTTTTCTTCAATTTCTCTCTCTCTCTTTTTTTTTTTACCTCTGATCACCTCAAAGCCGATTTTCCGATCTTATCGAGGTCAAATACGCTGGAAATAGAGTTAATTACGAGAATTACAAAGAATAACATTTAAAAAAATGTTAATTTAAATAACAATGTGTCGAATTTTTTTTTCATGTTACGGCCTCTCCAATGAAATTTTCTTTCAGAAATTGAATTTTTCTTTCTTTTTTTATAGTTTGCCTCTCAGTTTTTTCAGTTACTTTTTCCTTCAGATCATTCGCTTCCTGCCGCACTTGTTAGACGCTCTTTTCGAAATTTGGTTTGAGCGTGAAAATCTCGAGTTGATTGTCTTCGATTCTATTGTCGCTATTTTGCGTCTATGTGGTTTGGAAAATTATTTTATCTTGAAAATATATAAGTTTTAGATGAACCAAGAAATATCAAAGTCACAAAACCGATCCTCGACACGTATTTGTCCCGGTTTCCTTATACCTCGGCATCAGCGTAAATCGTCTTTTTTTCCAATCTAATTCTTAATTCTAATTTAGGAAATTATTGAAATGTCTCAATCATTACATTGTCAGTGAAATGAAAGACAACAATGAGAGGGCGCGGAATTCTTTGAAGGAAATGGGCCTCATTTTCAAGTTTATCATCGCCTCCAGGAGGGCGCTTGATCGGTTCGTTTAATTTATAGTTATCATAATAATCGAAAATGATGATATTTTTTTAATCTGTGAAAAAAATCCTTATAAGGATTGCTTGATCTGAAAAATGCAAACTTTCGAAAAACAAATTTTTAAAAAAAGTTAAGTTGAAAAGGTTCAGAATAAGAAAAATAGAAAGTTTTTTTGAAGCTTTTTCGTTTAGAAAAATTACTACTACAGAAAGAAAAATTACGAATTCAGTTTGAAAAAAATTCGATCCTTAGTGAGCTTATCTGGATTAATAAAAAAGTCGAAGTTATAAATGAAAGATGAAACTAACAAAATCAACTTATTTATATTACCGATCAACCTTTTTCCATAGCAATTTTCGAGGTTTTCATGACTTTTAAACGATTTTCTGGCTCAAGACATTTTTGGAAATCATGAAATTCACATGGGAATTATTTTAGACGATTTGAAAAAAAAAAGTTAATTCAAGGTTTTCGGAGAAGCCAGAGTTTGCCCTGACCTATTCGAATTATTTACACCAACTTTTGAATTCTCTCGTCCGGTTGATGTCTGAGGAAAAGCCGAGAATGGCTGTTCAGGTGCCGAAATTTTATTTTCTGGAAAAAAAACGGATCTCTTTAGAATACGGCTTTAAAGAGCATCCCGGCGATTATTGATCAACTCAACGATAGCGGATCTTGCGATTCTAAGCAATTGTGGTTCGTACAATTTTACTTTTTTTAATGAAAAGAAGCCATTTAAATTTACGATAACATAGTAACTCAAGATCATTTTTTTCTATTAAGCGAGTTCATCGTCCTTTTGATCCACAACTTTGGACGGAATATCGTGGCTCGGGAACGACTCGGATTTGTGTCGCATTTAGTTGAAACTAATTTCTTTTTGGTTGGGATAATGTCAGCTTCTTCAATGTAATCAAGATCTTCAGATGAACGGATCTCGAGAACATTTGCTGGGTCCTTTGCTGAAACTGGTGATGGACCATTTGGAAGTCCCGCAGCACACAGAGAAGAATGACTACGCCGAGAGAGCCACCGAATGCGTCACAATTATTGCAATCGTCATTCGCCGTCTTTTCCCGTCTCACCTGTCTCAGGTTGACCGCCAAACCGCATTTGATATCAGAAGAATCTACAGTTTCTTAAGAATAAATAAATTACGAAAAAACGCTTTTTTGATAAAAACTTTCTTTAGTGGACTTTAATTTTTCTGGAACCTTCCGGAAGTGTGGTGACTGTTATTTGAAACACTCTGGTGGTTTTTCAGTTCGCAGAAGAAAAAAACGTAGCCTATGGAATTTCAGAAAGATTGAGCTTTATACAAGGAATCTGTGAGAAAAAAAATTTACGCATCTTTACTGACGGTACTGTTTGTTAAATACTCTCAAACTTTTTATTTCTCAAAACTTTTCTCCGCCAAAAAGAGAAACTTCTGAAGATTTTAAAAAGAAGCATTTATTGCAAATTTAATGTAAAAAATACATTTTCAATCGATATCTTCGACTGAATCAGGCGAAATGTGAAATTTGCTCGTGAAACGTCAGAATCAAGATTTTTTTATCAGAAAAAAACTAGAGAAATCAGGGTTCTACAGGAAAAAAATGAATTTAATAATTAAGTCTGGTATTTTTTTCCAAGAACAAAAAAATAAAAAAACAAGGAAACAGAAAAAAAGTTCCTTTGATTTTTGTTAAAATGGGTTTTTGAATTTTTTTCAATGAAGATTATGCTTGATATACTTGTGAATTTTCTTGTTCTCACTCTGTTTTTTTAGTTCAAGATTTCCAAACAGCCGATTGGAAGTATTTCCAGCCCCTTTTTCAAGAAATTAATATTTTTTTAGATCGAAATAGTAGGAGAGAAAGAATTTTTAGTAGAAAAATATTGATAACGCGAAAACTTGAATAAATTACTGCGAGAAGAAGTTTCATGCTCGATCAGCAAAAAAATAAGGAAAGATTAACTTTCTATAAAGCTGAAGCTCTCAGTAAACTGATTCACTGTTTCAACTGTTAAATAGATAAGATAAAATATGGACTTATATGATTACTCGAAAACTTCTTTGTTTTAAAATGCTGGAATCCAAAAACTTGTGCCTAGGTGAAGCCGGACGACAGTAGTTCTGCTCGCGAGAAGAAGGAATTGTCTTCTCTGATCGCCTCTTCGTACAGAACCGTCGTCAGAGCGATGGTCCACGTCACTCACGATAATCCTTTGGTTTTCCTGACCTTTCCCCTCAAAATCAACAGTTTCCACTAGGCTAATGACGTCCGACGCAACTTCTTCTCCGTCATTCTGGCTATTTTGGAGAAAATGACCCTGGAAATGTTCACCACTTATATAGATGAAAAGTGATCGAAGTTCTCGAAGCATTTAGTTTTGATCTGTGTTTCAGGCCTTTGGAAATGGACAAGTCCGACTTTCTGATGGAACTGCTCCAAATGATCGGAGATCTTCTACATCGATGTCCTTTCTCTCCCATGTGGCATGGGATGATGTTGCAACAGAACAAGTTCTCCGGATTTTGTGTCCCTTTTATCAAGTTTTGTTTGAAGAGTTGTCTACAAAACGCTTCGTTTTGTCAAGGCTTCCATCGAGACGCACTTTCCCAACGACAGCACTTGTTCGGAAGTGAGTTTCTAGAGCTTTTGTAGTTTTGATAGTTGTTTCTAAATTCAAGTTCAGATGGTGGTTTTTGTCTTGAAATTCAGTTTTTGAGCTATTTCATCACATTAGAATTTTTATAGCAAAATTAAAAAAAGGAAAGATCTTTAAGCGTTTTTTTTTCGAATCTTTTCCCAATTTTTTTTGTCTTTTTTTCCTTCTTGAAATTTTGTGACGGCTTTGGAAAATTACCGAATTTTCTAAGTTTTCTACTATTCAAATAAAATTATTTTCTTTAAAAAGTTTTTTTTAAATGTATGTGACAGAAATTTCTCTTGAAAAATCAATTAGGAAAAAGTTCTTTGCTTTTTAAATTTTTTTGAGAATTTATGATTTTGGAAGGTAGTGAATTTGGAAGAGAGGCATACTATATTTCCCGTTTCGTGAATAGTAGTTGACTTTCCATTTTTTTATAAATTTCGTTATTTCTATGTCAATTTTCGCAGCTTTTATTAAAAAAACAATAAAAAAACAGTTTTTTTCGTCTTTGAACTAGGATAAAATAATTTTATATTCATTTTCGAAACTTACAAACGTATCGAATTGAAAAAAAGAGTTTCTATGTTATTGACACTTAATAATAATATTTTTTTGCAAAAATCAGAAGTTTCAATAATTTTCAAAGAACGGCTAGTTGAAATAAACGATCAGAAAAATTCATAAAGCATAAAAAAATGTTTTTTTAAGGTATGGAGAGAGTACATGGTGACGATTTGCGCGTTCATCACCCAAGACGGTATGAAAGTGCCGGAGGAATGGCTGAGGGACGAGGCGGACGTGCGGGTGCAACTCCGGAAAGCCGCCGCCAAGGACCTCAGAAGCATGTGGTTCTGTATGAAACGTATGATTTCTGCCTTTTATCTTGAAAAAAAAGTGCAAATTTGGAAAGCTGCCGCCAAGGACCTCAAAATCATGTGGATCTGAAGGAAACTTGATAATTTCCTCTTTTATTTCTAAGAGAAAAATTATAGGTTAAAAGAAAGCCACAGTAAGGATATACTGTGAGAAAAAATGCTTCATTTAGGCCTAAAGTAGGAAAAAAAGAAAAAAAAACTATAATAGATCGTATGAGGAAAGGAGCAACCAGTTACAAAAATAATTGTCCAAATTAAAGAATAAGAAAAAATATCCTGGTTGATCGGGAGTTATTTTATTTCAAAACTCCTTCTCTCTTAATTATTCATGTTTTTTTTCTTTAGCCCTGAGCAAAATGTACTACATTCCCGGGCTCGTGGGACCTTTTCTGAAGGTTTCCCTGACCGAAGACGAAGAAATCTGCGCCATGACGATCCCCATTTTCTTCGATATGATGCAAACTGAAAGAAATATCGATGCGCGACACGAATTCAAACATGTATCTTTCCCTTTTTCTTAAGATAGGAATCGAAAAATTTCAGTTTCGAGAAGAGTTTTTGGTCCAACTCGATGTCCTCATCAGCCAGAATCGCGCTCCCGACGCTTTTCCCACCCAATTCCAAGAAATCACATTTTCTCTTTGCAAGTTGGTCTCCATGAAGTTATTTGATATGATTTTATTTCTCAGAGCTGATAAAGACCTTGTGGCGAGTGAAGGAATGCGATTTTTGCACTATGTCTGCCGGTTGCTGAGCCTTCTGGCGGAGTACCACGAGATCAAGGAGTACGACTCTGTCGATATTCGCATCTTCCTCACTGCCGAACTCATGGTTACTTTTTTTCTGAGGAAAATTGGTCGTAATCCCTGAAGACAAGTAAACCCTTAGTCAAACAATTTTTGTCAGTATCAAGGAAAAGTATTACATGTAGAGATAAGTAAAAGAAGGAAATATGATTCATGTTCAAAGGTCTCAAACAAAAAAGCTTAGCTCCTCTTTGAGTGTAGTTTTTGAAAAAGGAGGTCATTGAGGTGTAAAGAAAGTTATAGGAAATTTTGAAACATTTAAAATTGAAATTAAATTTTTTCATGAGCTTCAAGCTTCAATGAGGATGTAGAAGTGTTATGAAGGGAGAAAAAATCGTATTTAGTACTTTTGGAAAAATATTTAGGTACGTATGAGCGGTATAAAAATATAGAGTATCATGAAAACTTTAAAACTTTGAATGGTTAAGAAAAATGAAAATTCAACGACGTTATAAGATTCTCATAAAATGGGGAAAAACGGTTCTGATACTTTGAAAAAAAGCTGGGAAAAGCTTTATGCTTCACACAAAAAACCACCTAAAAATTATATTATCAAACTTTTTCAGAAGTTATACAAAGACCTACAAAGCAAGCAGTATGTGACCTATCTTTACCGCCTCTACGACCTCCATCTGGCCCGTGGTGACGTCATCGAAGCCGCCAAAGCTCTGATGTTCCACGCCGCCGATCTTTCGGTTTTTTTGGCTGAATTTTTTCAGAAAAACACAAAAAACAATAGTAAGAATGGTATAATAGGACAGATCTATCTGCGCAGTAGATTGACGAATGTCTCAAAGCATAATTTTCTATCGCATTCCGAAACAGTAATTTCTCGTTTCGAAGCTTTTAGGCATCTTATAAAAACGAGAATAGCTTGGAAAGGTTTTTCCTTGCAGGTGGCTCGAAGACACAAAATATTCAAAACCTCCAACTTTTTTTCATGGAAAAAAAGTCAATATCCGCTTTTTCGGTGAAGTAGCAGTAGTAAAATTAGAGGAAACTGCAATTTTCAAAGTTTTTGCTTTGAAAAAAAGTTATTCCGACTGGATTAATCACATCTTTCCTGTTTCAGATCACTGATCAGCCATTACCAGACTATTTGGTAGAGAAAAACCTGAATAGACATTTCGCGACGCAAAGACAACTCAAGGTAAAAATTGAACCTTGACAGCCGGGAAAAAATTTATTTACAGCTGGATTTATTGAATGAGGCTGCGAAATTGTTAACGAAGGCGGAAATGTGGGAAGATGCGATCAGTATTTTCAAGTTTCAATTATTTCCTCACCAATTCCTGTACATTTTTTTAAAGAGTTTTGCTCGAAGACCGGAAAAATGCTCTGGATTATGAGGCGACAGCGACTTTGCATGTGAGATTTTCCAGTTCAACTGGAAAATTTTCTGATTTTTAGAGAAATATGGCCGATCTCTACGAGAAGATCTCAAAGGAGGAGAGAATTTTCTGTTTCTATTATTTGGTCGGATTTTACGGCCGAGGATTCCCGTCTTTCCTCAATGGCCACAAGTTTTCATTTTTCAGAAATCATATTTAAAATTTTGATTTTGTAGATTTATTTTCCGCAGTAACTTGTTGGAACGTCATGGGGACTTTACTCATCGAATGCTTGAGGTTTTTTTTTTCGAAAAATTGAGTTTTGAATCGAAAATTACTATTTCAAGATGTACAAGGGCTCGAAATCCATCATGTCCACGGAAGATTCTTCCAGTTTGACTGACGATCCTGGAAGATACCTTCAAGTAAATTTCAGATTAACCAACTGAAAATAAGATTATCCTTCAGATCTTGAGCATTGAGCCCGTCGTGGACTCTGAAAATACGATTGTGAACGCCCAAAATGTCAATCCTTTCATCAAAATGTACTATCGTCACTATAATGTATCATTTATTCGTAATTACAGAGATATCAAACTTCTTTTCAGGTTAGAAAGTTTGAGTACACGAAGAGCATTGAGCGAAGGGATACTGAGTGGGCTCTGGCTTGTGAAAAATCAGAGGTGGGAAGTTTTGAACCATTAAAAGGGTTCAAGGAGTGAAAAGTTGGGAGAATGGTAGCATCTTATAGAGTTTCTCATGGTGCTTGAATTGGTATACTTAAACTGCACAAAAGTCGGTATTCAAAAGGAAGTTCAGATCCAAAAAAGGATTGGATATAAATTCTAACTTCTGTAAAAGATGGAAACCTGACGTCAAGCGGTACATTTCTTAATTTTGCTTTTCTCATTTTCATCGGATTCAAAAATTTTCTTTAGACATCATAATTTTCCACATTGTTTCACAAGTCAGCAGGGGAACAGACTGTGGAGGATGAAAGAAACGTGAAAAAAAAAAATCAATTTTCAAACTATGGGCTCGAAAAAGTAATTGTTGTACTCCCAAAACATTTTTCAGTTTATTTGGCCTTTTTTCGTAGTTGGAACGATTATGATTGAGAACATTTTGCGATTAACAAAGTTTTTTTTCAATTTTTTTTTTGTTTTTAATGATTTCATTGAACTTTGGATCCTTATGGTTGTACAAAAAAGTCTTTGTGCGATTTCTAGTGTAATCCTCACAAAATGTCAAGCTTTACAAGATACAGTAACCCATCACTTTCACTTGTCTTAACTCTGATTTCAACCCAAGTATGGATCGAAAAGGAATTTTACTTTAACAGTATATTTTTTAGTGTCTGCGAAGTTGGCTCCTTAAACGAACCGTTGAAACGGAGGAGAAGCTGCCGACTTTGCTCCGATTTTCACCGGTGATTCCTTTCAAACAAGTTTGACAATGTTACCTGGTTACAGGTGAAAGAAACGAAGGAGGACGTCTACCTCAATCCTATAGAACGGGCCATCGAGCAGATGACCGCCAAGAATAACGTCAGCGAAAACCACTGCCCTTTGAACTGAAACTTGAATTTTCAGCAACTTATGGAGACGGCGGAATGTCTGATGAGAAACCCGAACAAGGACCTGAAGACCCTCAGCGGAGCAATCATGGGTGTCGTCAGTGCCGCCGTCCAAGGAGGCGTCAAGAATTACGAGGTCTTCTTCGAAGGGAAGTGCGCTCACATCTGCGAGGAGCAGGCTCTGAAGGAGCTCAAGTATCTCATCATCAAGCAGGTTGGTATCAGACTCCTTTTTCGGCATGACCTTTAGGTCCTTGATTTTTTTGTTAAGGTCCATATTGAGGTGTTTCTGAAAACTTTGAACGGCTTTGTAAGTTCAAAACTTGAAATAGCGGTTTTTTAGTAGAGTAGTTAGAGAGTTTAAACTTGCTTTTCACGATTTTTCCTCTTAGGTCGAGATCCTGGAATACGGAATCTATGCACACGCTTGTCGAAGCACGACACCAGAGTCGAAGTCCTTCCAGGCGACGCTCATCGACGCCTTCGACGCCCATCGGCAGTACGTCGAAGAAGCCTTCGGCAAGGCGGTTTGCGTCCCAGAAAATCCTCCAATTCTCTCTTTCAACATTTCCAGGGAACCATTCTCCCCCAAGGCGTCAACATCCGCATGGTTGATTCGAAGCCCTACGAGCCGATGGCTTCTGAAGGGTTTTTTTGAATTTTTCATAGAAGTTTCTGGTGTAAACAGATTTTTGTGGCAGGTAGTTTTAGGGAAGAGCAATCGACAGAAAAATATTTATTTGCTGTAGGGTACCGCAAAAAAGCCGGTGAAAAATGTATGGAAAACACTGGTAAACTGCTTTTTCTGGCTTTTTTTCAAATTCTGAGCACAACTTATCTGAATGGTCTTATACTAAGAAACACAAGAAAAAACTATCCTTTCTTCAAAAAAAATCCATGAAACCGATAGAAAATTTAATGAAAACGTTTGGAAAATGCTCTGTCTAGGTTTTTTTTTGATCCTTTAAAACTTTTTTGAATGATTCTGATCTCACGTTTTCTGTACACTTTTGACCTGCTTTTTTGTTGGTACCCATATCAGGTCACCATTCATCGAGTGTTTACACATAGAAATAGAAATTCGGACCAGAAATGCAACCTCAGACACTTCCCTCGCTAGAAAAAGACTGAAGACTCAATGATTTTCAGCGGTACCATCAAGTCCATGAAAGGCCTTGGCAGTTTCACGAATCTCCTGAGCAAGCGGAGTAGTGCTGGCGGCACACAATTACAGCAACCAATGTATTCGTCCTCGCTAGTTTTCCAGATTATGTATTGAATCACACAGGTCGCGCTTCTTCGACAGCTTCTCGGCGGGATTGTCGCAAGCGAATTGGAGGGAACACCCGATTTATCATTCTTTCTCGCCTTCTTCGTCTTCTTCTTTGAATATCCACGGTAAGAATTTAGGGGAGTGAAATACATTAGAGCCGTGAACTGAAAGTTAAGGGGTGGGGGGAAGATCAAAGTGCGCTTCAAAAATCATCTAATAGAGCCGGAAGGTCTAGTGAATGGAATCTATGCGATTTTCTTGTTTTTCTCTACAAACGCAAAATGTGCCTTTCCACGTTAGAACATAAAACAAATCATAGGCAGAAGCCGCAAGATGAAGATAATAGGGGGATCGAAACTAGTAATGAATTTTAGTCGTCCTTTTTTCTAATTTTCATTAAACTATTCAATTTGTTCAATGTGTCATTACAAGTATCGTTTCACCGTTGAGAAGAAAAACTGACCATGAATAAATGTGAATAAAAAGTACTTAAAATTTTTCGGCGAAACCTCGAAAGTTTTATTAGTTCACGGAGCGCATCTACACGAGACAAGCTGAGATTTCGATTTTTCTCTTTCGGAATCGAGATAACTGGGGCTCAAACAGATTCATTATTTTATTGACTGAGCTTAATATTTTGCTCCGAATTCATCTTAACCTGTTTTTCTTGTTCTTAACTTTTTTTTTACATAACTAAAAAAAAATCGAAACCTTACTTTTAGCTGATTTAAAATTTTCAAAGCTTGTAACTTCATGAAATCACGCGTTTCTCACAAAAACTTGACAAAAGTTTTTTCTAATGTGTTCTCATGTTTCATCATTGGCTTTTGAGTTTTCTGCTCTCTGTGTTCATTTTCGGATCAAAGATTTTTTGATTGGCTTTTCCAGGAGTTCGGGTCCGAAACGATAGGAACGAAAGTTTCACTAGCCTCGGATCTTCTCACAACACTTCTATGCAGCCGCGCGATTCTTCGGATTCTTTGAACTCGAAATAGGATTCTTAACACTTTATTTGATTATTAGTTCACGAAAATTTACTACAGAGCCGTCTGAATCTCTGCTGTTTATGCAATATTATTGTTTTCGTGTTAATATCCTCATCGAATATTGTCTCAGGTCAGTGTTGATTGGACTATAGCCTCCACGTTTTCCTTTTGAGGAAACTTCAAATGTTCTCACATTTTTCCATTTCATGTTCAATATCACGTTTTTTCCCAGATGCTAATCAAATTTATCCATTTTTTCTTTGCAATTTCCATGTTTATGTCCAAGCCTTCTCGAGCTTCTATTGGAAATCACGTCTCAGTATGTTCATAGTCTCGCTCATGTGCCATCGCCTTTTTCATACCAGTTGAATTTCTTTCATAATACTCCCCATAATTTCACTTTGAACTACATTAGGGTAAGTTTGAAAAATGAATCGTGTAAAATTGTGAAATTGCCTTATAATTGTCTACGTTTTCAATAAAATGCATTCCATTTTTCGCTTTTTTTCGAAAATTAAAATGAGAATATTTAGTTTGGCTGATTCATTTCAATATAATGGCCGATCGGAGAGATATCAGTGAGCAAATCCTTCATACGTTGATCTTCGGTTTGAAAATTTTCAATTCCTGTTTTCTCTATAATTATGAAGGAAAAAAACTAACGTCCATATCTTTTTTCCGAAATCGGCAACCCTGTGACTCCGGCGGCTTTTGCAAGGGCGGCTTGTCTAGACGAAGATGAAGCTCATTTGTTCGTTTCCACTACACTTTCATAAAAAAAAACAATTTTTCTCAGGTTAATGCAAGAATTTTTCAAGAGAAACTACGGAGAAAACGGCCTTTGGGGGCTTTTTAAAGTCAGAGGCAAAAAACTCGACCGGAGTATGTTCAGCGCTTTTTTGAAAATTCTAGCCGATTCGCTCAGATGGAAATTGGAAGGACTGCTCCAAAATTTTCCGAGACATCAAGTTGAAGAAGAAGAAGATTCGCCAGAGCAGTGCCAGGATTGTCAGCTTGCAGACGTTTTGCTTCGAGAAGACGAAAAAGTTCTTGAAAAGATTGAATATTCGTGTTGAATGAAATTTTTGTTGTCGCATTTTTCACCAAACTTTTTTGTACCATACAAACTATTCATGTTTCACCAGAGGGAGTATACATCTCAAAAACACGTTGACTTCCGGTCTCCGCAAGTCTGAAATCGTCTTAGGGTGTGCAGTTCTGTCCCACTGTGTCTCACAACGGATGCGCTGAATCCGACGAGACTTCGTTCTTTGTTGAAAATTTTGAAAAATTTCAAAACTTTTTCAATTCATTATTTGTTTTTTCCTCATTATTTTTTACAATAACGTTTCTAAAGCTTGAATAGTTTTTAACCGTTTTCTTGGTATTATAGGCGAACCGCTATCTCATTAAGAAGCGGAGAAAAACACAGACCTAATTTCAACTTTTCGTGTCTTTATTTGCAAAATAATAGTTGAATCGCATTATTACAACAATCTTTCATACTTCTTATTTCATGAAAAATTGTATATTCAATATTAGATACTATGTGTTTATGTTCATCCGATCTTTTATTTTTGCAGACCTATTTCTATATTTTGAGGATTAAACTTATCTTATTCAAAATATTGTATTTATTGTTTTTGTTCGCCATTTATTTTGAAAATTCTTTTTACACTTGCTTTTAAATAAAATTTTATTGCGCGGTGAATCTTAGAATAGCTCTGGAAAAACTTTTTTCAGATAAAAATGGGGAAGGAGCAGTTCAGAGAAGCCGACATGGCTCTAAAAGTGTAAGTTTTAAGTTTCATTTAAGAAATATGTTTGAAATAGTGTCGGCGTCAAGTTTGCGCCCGGGGACTGCGAGTTCATGAGACAGACGGCGCACGTTCCAGTTTTCAATTTCAAGCTCTACGATGACTCGTCGGGAAAGTTGTTGCCTGCGACCTTCGGCCCGCTTGATAATAGAATGGTAGAAACTCCCCTTATTGAAGTTCTTCTCATCTAGAAAAATTTAAGGGAGTTTCAACAAAGACGGGTACCTGCTCTACATGTGGATTTGGCCTGACGGATTGTGTTGGTCACTTTGGATACATTGACTTGGATTTTCCGGTCTTTCACATTGGCTTTTTTAAGCTCGTGATTCAGCTCCTTCAATGTGTTTGCAAGGTTTTTTTTTATGATTTAAATCTTTTTCTCACTGGGAGAAAGAAGCAAAATTTGAGAAAATATGCTTTAAAGCACTCCACATCCAAAAAAAAAAATTTTTTTTTCGTTGTTTTTCGCCTTCTGGTCGAGTTCTGAAGTCCCAAAGTTTTTACTATCCCATGGATGTTGAGAAAATCAGGTTTTTAGTGCTTTAGAAGCGACCAAACTTAGAAAAGATTTAGGGAGTTTGAGAAATTGGTTTTATTCCGAATAAGGACTTTCCAATTTATTTTTCAGCTAATTTTCAAACTCTTTGCTTTTGAGTAGCCTTCTCCAAGTTTTATTTATCATTTTTCAGAACTGCTCTTCGATTCTGATGACAGCGGATCAGCATCGAAACTTTTCCAAGCAAGTTCAGAACCCAAATCTCGACTATTTGCACCGGAAAGCCTTGCACAAACGAATTGTGGCCACTTGCAAGAAGACCAACAATTGCCCGAAGTGCGGCATGAAAAATGGTTTTTTTCACTATGAGATTGAAAGAAAATGAAGAAAAAATACAGGAACCGTGAAAAAAGCTGTCGGAGCGGTTATGAAGATCGCGTTCCAGAGCACTGTCCCGCCGAGCGATGTAAAAATATTGTTTTTTTTTTTCTAAATATTCCGTTTGCTTGATTCAGATGGGCCTCTACTCGACAATGTGCTCGGCGAACGCCGAAATCAGCATGTTTATTGGAAAAATGAAGTTCACTCTTCTGAATCCGCTTTTCGTCCAGAAACTCTTTTGCAATATCAAGGAGAAAGTGAGTTTTTCGTGATTCATGTGCGTTTCATCTATTTTTTTTTAGTAGTTTAGGATTTTTTAGAGAAATTTTAAAATTTTTTAAAGAAATTTCCTTTTACAGAACTCAAGTTGCTTTTTTTCACGTATAATATTGTTCAGTTCATCTCTGGAGATGAAAAATATTAGAATTTCTCAAGAGACTTGTCATTTTTTTAGAGTGTAAGATTTCGAGAATTATAAATAAAACAGTATTTTTTTCTCTTTTTTTGAAAAAAATAATTCCATGTTTTTTAAACCCAAGGAGAATAGGTATCAACACAAAAATAGGCATTTCTTCTTAGGACTTCTCCGAATTCTTCTCAATTATTTCGATCACCTCAGAAAACTCTTCTTCTTTTGGACCTTTTTGATCGAATCAAGTTTTTTTTTTGCAGGACATCCCGATTTTGATGGTCAGATCAGACGAACAAAAGCATCCGAATGACTTGTTGCTAACTCGAATCCCAGTACCTCCGGTCTGCATCCGTCCTTCTGTCGTTTCGGGTTTTTTTTTTCATTTGAAGAAAGATTCTCAGAAAGTAACTTTCAGAAGTCAAATCCGGGACCACGGAAGACGACATAACGATGAAACTCATGGAGATCATGATCATCAACGACGTCCTCCGCAAACACAAAAGGGATGGAGCTCCGGCCAAGACTCTCTTCGAGACATGGGAACATCTTCAGGTAATAATAAGACATATTCACTTATTTATTTTTATTTTGGAAAATTGATCTAGTTGTACTTTTCAGATCCAATGTGCCCTTTATATCAACAGTGAGATGTCCGGTTTGCCGCCCGATATGCAACCGAAAAAGGTCCCTTTTTCCTAATATTTGAATCGAACAACAAATGAAATTCTAGACGATTCGAGGCTTCACCCAGCGATTGAAGGGAAAACAAGGCCGTTTCCGCGGAAATTTGTCCGGAAAACGTGTGGATTTCTCCGGAAGAACGGTTTGAGAATCATCTTATTATAAAGGAATGAATGTGGTTTCCAGGTCATTTCACCAGATCCGAACCTCCGAATCGACCAAGTCGGCGTCCCGATCCACGTCGCCATGACCCTGACTTTCCCGGAGATTGTGAACGCGACGAACATCGAGAGGATGAAGAAATTGGTCGTCAATGGCAGTGACGTGCATCCCGGAGCCAACTATCTTGTCGATAAGAAGACGGGGAACAAGAGATTACTCAAGTTTGTGCTTTCAAATGGGAAAAAAAGGGGACGTATGACTTTGCAAAAAAATCCTTACAGTGTTTTAGTAATGGAAAAATTGCATTATAAACGTGTCTTTGAGAAGAAAAATGAAGGATTGTCCCGGATTTTTTTAATCGTAATTTTTTTTTTCTAGTAGCTTTATAAACTGAAAAAAATATTTGATTTTTTGGTCCATTCAACAACGAATATGTTTATGAAACAGTTATAAAGCTCTAAGATATGATTTTTAGGACTTTTTTTAAAACTAAATTTGAGACTTTTGAAGAGACCGAAAAAAATTTTTTTTCAGTTTCTACATAATAGAGAAGTTTTTTTCAAGAACATTTTAAAAAAAGAAATCTTCTTTTGTTTTTCCAATTTTTTTAACTCAGAAAAATTTAATTAAAATATTACAATAACAAGTTTGAAGATGGAGCGCAAACTTTTTAAGCTTTAGATACATGATCATTTTACATTATTTCTTAGAAGTTAGGTTTTTTGAAATGGATTGGGACCCGAAAAAACCAAAAATCAGAAAAAAAAGCCAATGAAACTTCTTAAATTCAAAAAAGGTGTTGTATATGAATGCACAGTAGTCTTGCATTTTTTTGAAATAACATGGACAGCTACTTGAAATTTTTTTCAAATGCGATATGAAAAAATTCCGAAAATCTCAGCGACACCGTCTATATTTGACAACGGTAAACGTATAGGTATGGAAAACGGGAAGAACTTGCGGCAAACATGCGGATGGGCGATATCGTCGAGCGACATCTCGACGACAACGACGTCGTTCTTTTCAACCGACAGCCGTCCCTCCACAAGATTTCCATCATGAGCCATCGCGCCAAAGTCATGCCTGGCCGGACTTTTCGGTTAGTTTTGTTGAAAAATGGAGAAAGAATGATTTTTTTTTCAGGTTCAATGAGTGCGCCTGTACTCCGTATAACGCTGATTTTGACGGCGATGAGATGAATCTTCATCTGCCGCAGACTTATGAGGCCAAAGGTTTTCGGAACTTTATCTTCTGTGAAAAATGAGATTTTCCAGCCGAAGCTAGCGAATTGATGAACGTCAAGAATAACTTGATCACCCCTCGGTCCGGTGAACCCTTGATTGCCGCCATTCAGGTTGGTTTTCAAAATAAATTTTGAAAAAATCCCTTTCTTTCTAACCTTCCCTTGATATAAAAAAAAATAAGGATATGGTCATTTTTCCATGATTTGAAATAAAATAATAAAGAATCAATAAGTTTGATTTGAAGGAGAGCTTTTTATTTCCTTTTCTCATATGTTCCTCAAAAAGTTTAACATCCTTCTTTTTACACGTTCTCAACTACCTCACAACACAAGATTTTTGAAATTGACAGAGAAAAATCTCACAGAAATAGCTTTGAAAAAAGTGAAAAGGCTAAAAATTTCAATTTATGGTATCCAAGAAAACTTCGGATATTGGTACATTTTCAGAAGTTCCTTTTTTTTTCGTTGACTTTCCTCCTTTTTTGACCTTGAGAGAAGCTTCGCGATCATTTATAATCTGTTTTGAAAGCTTTCTGTGATTTTAAAAGAGCATGCAGGATTTAAAAAAAGAAATCGAGATAGGATCCGTTTCCTGTTTCATTTCCAGTTGTGAAAGACTTGGATTATAATATTTTCATTGAACACAGAAAGATGACCAAGAAGGATGATAGGATTGAAACATTTGAATTAAAAAACTCTCCTTCTGTGCAAAATAATCTTGACTTTCAGCTTACAGAACAAATAGAAACATTTAAACAATAGTGAGAGTTGATTTCAATTTTTAATGAAACTTTGAACCTGTAAAATAGTGAAGCTTTCATTTTCCCAGGACTTTATCACCGGCGGCTACTTGTTGACCCACAAGGACACATTTTTGCCCCGAAGCGAAGTTCACCGTTTCGCAGCCGCCTTGATAGACGCCTCGGCCCGCAAGCAAACTCGCATCAAAATCCCGCCCCCGGCCATACTGAAGCCAGTAGAACTGTGGACCGGGAAACAGCTCATCGAACTGATCATCCGACCGGACAGCGGCTCCAAAATCAACCTCAACCTGACGGCCAAAAACAAGAGCTATTCCGGGAACTTGGAACTGTGTGAAAAGGTTTCGGAGAGAGAATGGAATTTTTGTTGAGGTATTATTCTTTCTCAGGACTCATACGTGATCATTCGGAACAGCGTGCTCCTTTGCGGAGTTCTGGACAAGTCTTTGCTCGGCTCTTCCTCCAAGCAGAACATTTTCTACATGCTTCTGCGGGATTATGGAGAAGACGCCGCTGTGGATGCCATGTATTTTTTTCATTATTTTTTTCTTGATTGGAATATCTTCCTCATGAACCTTTCTCCATAAAATCCCCCTCCATTTGCAGAAAAAAATTTTTAAAAAAATTAATTTTTTTGGTCAAAAAAATTCAATAGTAACGCTTCAATAAAATTTAAATTTTAACTAACTTTTCAGTCAACAGCTCTTTCAGTTCCAAAATAGCTAGTTTTCTTTTTTTAAAAAGTCAAAAATTCTCACAAGCTTTATCTCATTTTTTTCAAGGTTCTTCTTATTTTTGTATTTTTTTGTTACTATTTGTCTCCCTAGTTTTTTTCAAAGCTTTTTGGCCGCCGAAAAAGACTGCAGTTTTCCAATTGAATTGATCCAATCTTTATTTCTTTTGCAGGTGGCGCCTTGCTCGTTTGGCTCCCGTTTTTCTGTCCAATCGCGGTTTTTCAATCGGCATCGGTGATGTACGGCCTAGCGAGCGTCTGCTGCAGGAGAAAGGGCAACTTGTTTCTACTGGTTTGTTTTGAAACTCGAACAATCTAGTCTATATTTTTCATTTTCGAGATTAATCTACAAAATTAATATATACAAAAAGCCAACAATTAGCGTGATTTAAGAATCTAAAAGCTTCGAAAACCGATTACCTACAACCCAAGAGGACTTGAGAGCCATCTCGAGATGTTATTTAAGGATTATTTGGCTGAAATAGCTGTAGGACACCTTCTAAAGACTACTCATCCAGGGCGTTGATTGATCTTTCGATAATGAGAATTTCGTGCTCAACAGGTTACGAAAAATGTGCGACTTTCATCGATCAACTGGAATCTGGAAAGCTGAAAGCACAGCCCGGCTGCACTGAAGAGGAAACTCTGGAAGCGCTCATTTTGCGCGAACTTTCGTCGATTCGAGACCACGCCGGACAAGTCTGCCTTCGGAATTTGAGCAAGTTAGTGACGAAAACCACATGAATTTGTCAATTTCTGAGAAGTTTTGAAAATTTTGCGATAGGTACTGGAAAAAATCACAGCAAAGACCCCACAAAAAAAGAAGAAAAAGGCCAAACTAATTTATTCATGTCCTTTTTTTTTTTAAATTTCGGAGACTTCCGGATTTCAAAGATTTAAGTTTTGAAAAAACTCAAGGCACAAATAAACTTGCCCCCTTGTCTCCAGGGTTTCCAAAAAAGGCTATAGGAAACATTTTTCTCAAAGTTTTCATCAGAAGTTTTTTTTTCCAGGTACAATGCTCCATTGACCATGGCCGTCTGTGGTTCAAAAGGCTCTTTCATCAATATTTCCCAAATGATCGCTTGTGTCGGTCAACAGGCCATTTCCGGCCATCGACCTCCCGACGGCTTCGAAGTTAGTTTTCCATGTTGAAGTCGGTTGCAAGTTTCATCCTAGGAGCGATCTTTACCGCATTTTGAACGAAAGAAAAAGACGCCAGAAGCCAAGGGATTCGTCGCCAATAGCTTTTATTCTGGTTTGACTCCAACCGAGTTCTTTTTCCACACCATGGGAGGTCTTGCTCATTTTCTGCTGTTTTTGAATATCTTCTTTTCATTTTAGGACGCGAAGGTCTTGTCGATACGGCTGTTAAAACGGCCGAAACTGGATATATGCAACGGAGATTGGTCAAATGCCTTGAAGTGAACTTTTCCCCCTTTTTTACGTCGTTAATCGATGGATTTTGAGGATTTGTGCGCGAGTTATGATGGAACCGTTAGATCTTCTGTTGGTGACGTCATCGAGTTCATTTTTGGGGAAGATGGATTAGGTATTTTTGAAGTTTCTGCTATAAAAGGGTGAATAAAAAGTTTGAGAATTTGATAAAACTTTTCTGAGATGTTTTCTAGATCGCCCTGAACCTAAATAAAGGAAAGATTTATTTCTTTGCGATTTTTAATCAAGTTGTGAGGCCTTAAGAACCCCAAAATTCCTTTTTTCTTCACGAAAACCGTAAAACTTGAAACTTGAGGCATTCTTGCTTGATTGAAAGAAGAAATAATGAAATTTCTATTTTTTCTAGATTCAAGGTGCTCTAAATAATGTTCTAGTAATGCTTTGAAAAGGCTTTTAAACGTTATTTTTTCTCTATTTTTTTCTCACTGAACTTCTCCAGATCCTTCCTTGATGGAAGCCAAAGACGGAAGTGTCGTTGACTTCGGCCATGTCATGGAGCACGCCACGAACACGGCTGCCCCTTCGGAACCTTTGGAACTTGAGGAATTTGAAGTTTGTGAAATATTTTGTTCGACCCGGACTTTTTTTGAACAAGCTTCAAAAATGTTTTTTTTTTTTACAAAAAAATGAAGTATTTTGAGCTCTCAATAAAATAACCCTTTTCCAGTCGATTGGATCAAAAACGGTCGCCGAAGTTTTCCACGGCGAGCATCAACATTTCGCGAAAACCGTCAAGAAATATTTGGAGAAGGAACTTCAGAAAAGCAAGCAACACATCCTTCTGCCGACTTCTTGCTCCGATCACAAAATGTAATTTTTTGGCGATCTTCCAAAAAAACTGATTTATTTCAGTGAAAACTTGAAGTGTTCGGCATGTAAAAGTGCGGTTTCCTATCGGTTTGCCTCATTTTTTAGGGTCCATTCAATTTCATTCTCAGAGATTTGTTCGTGAAAAATGTGTGTTTGACGCGGTCCAGAGTCGAGCTTTTCGTGAAATTGTGCGCCGAAAAAGTTCGAAGAGCAGTTACCGAGCCTGGAACTGCCGTTGGAGCTGTAGCGGCTACTAGTATTGGTGGGTTTTATTGAAAAAAAAACAGATTGAACCATTTTTTGGGGGTTTTTTTTTAGGAACATTTTCGGTTGCTGATAAATAGAGTCACTTTTTTTTGCATCTTTTTGAAGTTTTGGAGGTCCTTTTATTCAAATTTCTCGTTCTTAAAAGAAAATTCGGTTGAAAAAATATTAAGGTTAGTGAAATCTAGAAAATTTATGAAACTCTGCTATTCATTTATTCCTTTTTGAACCTGATAAGTTGAAACATTGGAATAGTTAAAATAGAGAATATACGAACCCAGATACTAGCTTTTTATGACTTTTTTGGTTCATAAGATAATTTTTAAAAGAAGAGTCGGAATCAATTGAAATTAAGGTTGATAAAATCGAAACTGAGCGATGAAAAAATTAGCAAAGTTCAACCATTTTTGGCACCGGAAGCTTAGAAAACTTTAAGAAACGAAAATTTCAAGGTTTGAGTTGAAAAATCAATCAAATTCACTCAACTGTTTCACCGGAACCATTTGGAAAAAAAGTCAACTTCCAAAGTTTCTTTAACATAAGATCAGCAACTTTAGTGAATAAATTGAATTTGTCTTACTAGGGAACGTTTTTTACCCCCCGGTTGAACTTTTGCTGAAACTTTGCCGAAGTTTACTTTAGGACCCCCTGATTCCAGAACAGGAAGAAAATTTCTCGCAATAGATCTCGTTTTCGAGTTAGGACACTTTAAAAGCCCGAAACAGCGCTTTTTTGGCCTAATTAGCGTATTTTGCACACTTTGAAGCTCCATAACTCGGAAACAAGATCTATTGCGAGAAATTTTCTTCTTGATCTGCAATCAGGGGGTCTCAAAGTACACTTCAGCAAAGTTTCAGCAAAAGTTCAACCGGGGGGTAAAAAACGTTCCCTGGTTAGTTTCTTGCCTATTCAGGAGAACCCTCAACGCAAATGACCCTGAAGACTTTCCATTTTGCCGGAGTCGCTTCCATGAACATCACCCAAGGAGTTCCCCGCATCAAGGAAATTATCAACGCCGTCAAAACTGTAAGACTAAACATGATTTTTGCAAAATAATTATCTTTTTTTTGACAGATTTCCACGCCGATCATCACTGCGACGCTCCTCGACCAAACAGATGAGAAATTGGCACGGAGAGTGAAGGCGAGGATCGAGAAAACGACCCTCGGTTTGTTTTGAACATACATGGGCTAACCAACTACTTTTTGTGACGTCATCACGTACCCCCCTTGAAAAAGTACGTACTCCCCTTGAAAAAGTACGTACCCCCCCGCGGATGACTATCAATGTGAAATGATTATTAAAGTTGATATAAAAAAATTGAATGAGACTATTATCTTGTTTCGCGGGCTTTCGGAAGTATATTCAGCTAGGTTTCAATACTCCAAAAACAGAAATATTTCAACTTTTAGCGTAGACCCCCAAAAATCCGAAAAATCGATCTGTTTTCATTGTTATCCTACATTATAAATTGAGTTTTATGATCTGGCCAAGTTTCAAGCCGTTGGGATGAGTTTTAAGAAAAAAATAATGTTTTGGGTCACCGGAAAATGATGTTTTGAAATTTTAATTTTTTTTGCTCAAAATCACTATCAACCTTGAGTTAACCCTGAATAAGGTATATGCTTCAAGTTTCCAGGCTTCCGGACGTTTTTTTGACCAAGTTACAGTGTTTCAAAGCGTTATCACTTGACGGTTTGCGTACCCCCCAAAAAATCCGAAAAATCGATCTGTTTTTCAATGTTATTTTTACATTATAAATTGAGTTTTATGATTTGGCAGAGTTTCAAGCCGTTGGGATGAGTTTTAAGAAAAATAATTTTTTGGGTCACCGGAAATTGATATTTTGAAATTTTGAATTATTTGGCCCCAAAACGTTATAAACCTTGAGTTAACCCTAAATAAGGTATATGCTACAAGTTTCCAGGCTTCCGGACGTTTTTTGACCAAGTTACAGTGGTTCCCGACCGCGGCGCATGGTGGCAAAATTTACGCTCCGCTTTCACTGTGTTAACGCCGTGAGGATGAGTTGAAAAAAAAAATGAGCGTTAGGGTGAAATTTTCTCTAAATCAAATATGTTGTAGAGCACGATTTTTGGAATTTTTAAAAAAAAAACTGAATATCATCACTCGAGCCGTTTTCGAGATACGGTGGCTCAAAGAAGTACGGTAGACCCCTTCGAAAATCTATATCTTGACCAAAATTCGACGAAACTCAACCAAAGTTTGTAATAAGGTGCAATATAATTTTATTCAATTTTTAAAAATCTATCACTTCATTATTGCTTATTATTGCTCATATTAGAGAGTTTTTCTCAAAAAAATCAAAACCAGTATATGACGTTGCGGTCCGGCGTTTTGTATTGTTGCTATCGAAACCACAAAAAAAAATACTCTATCTACTGAGCAAAACATGAATTAGGCGAGTTTTCCATCTACGACCCCAAAACTCCAGAAACCTGTAATTTTGGGTAAGATTACCGAATAACTTTTTTATCTCGTGTTTTTTTGGATTGAAACTAGCGAAATCGAGATCAGCATGCATTCTTACATCTACTAGGTCATTTCTCAAAACGAAACAAGGGAAAAAATCGAAATTTCAAAACATCATTTTCCGGTGACCCAAAACATTATTTTTCTTAAAACTCATCCCAACGGCTTGAAACTTGGCCAGATCATAAAACTCAATTTATAATGTAAAATAACATTGAAAAACAGATCGATTTTTCGGATTTTGGGGGGTACGCAAACCGTCAAGTGATAACGCTTTGAAACACTGTAACTTGGTCAAAAAACGTCCGGAAGCCTGGAAACTTGTAGCATATACCTTATTTAGTGTTAACTCAAGGTTGATAATGATTTTGAGCCAAAAAATTGTAGATTTCCAGAAATCATTTTCTTATGGGGTCAGAAGTTGATTATTTTTTTCAATTTTCCAAACGGCTTAAAATTTGATGAGCATGTATATATCATCCATTGGTACCATTTAAACTAGAATTCAGGTCGATTAATCAGCTCTGGAATTTTTTATAAGGCTATTTCTACGATTCCTCTCGATTTTTTCTACCGTTTGGAGCTAGGCAAAAAGATAGGCAACGAATTTCCCACTAAATGTACTTTAAAAAAGCTCGATAAATAATATGGATGCATTTTTCCGCGGCTTAGAAAGCCATCTGAATGAATAGGGGGGCCCGAAAGTGAAAAACAGCCTGTTAGCCCACGTATGGTTTTGAAACAGTATTCTAGGTTAAACTTTTTTTAAAAAAATAAAACTGCCAGTTTCTGATAGTTTTCCACATTTCCCTCTAGACTTGTACCATTTTTTGCAGACCCGCTTGTTAGATTTTAAAAAAAAGAGTTATCTTTGCAGGCGAAATCTGCGACTACATTGAGGAGGTCTACTTGCCCGACGATTATTTCCTTTTGGTAAAACTTAACGCCAAAAGAATCCGGCTTTTGCAACTAGAGGTATATCTTTTCATAGAGAATCGTGCAGAAAGTGTTTTCAATACTTTCGAATACTTATAGGAGAATTAGAATTTAGGTTTCAAAAAGATATATCGTTTTTTAAGCTTAGATTCAAGGTAGAAACCAAAAAAAAAAGGATAGCCTTCTGAAGGCCGAAAATTGGCTAAAATCAATTTTAGGAGCTTGAGAAGTGATAACCCGGAATGTTTGAAGTTTTCAATTTTTTTTTAAAGCACTTTGAAAAATCAAAGTAAGTGAGTAAAGTAAATCACTTTGAAAGCGCAAAAACATCTTGAGTTTTTCTCACAGTTTTCTGAAAATGTAGAGCGCCCAATAATCTTAACGCTTACTATGTTTGAAAAAAAAGAAATTTCGTTTTTCAGGTAACTTTGGAGTCGATCGCCTACGCTGTGCTCGCTTCAAAAGCGATTCCGGCGAAAAAAGGCGCCCATGTGAGATTCTCAAGCTGTTCCGACTGACAATAGTAATTTTTCAGGTGACCACTCACGGTAAGACAATGATGATCATCCGGCCGGGAAAAGTCAGCAAGTTGAGTCGAACGATGACCATGCAGGCGTTGAAATACGCCGTTGGAAACGTTGTTATCAAAGGTAAAAATTAGAAGTCACTCTGGGCTTAGGTCATTTTAGCGTAGAACTCGGAGTTTTTCGTGAATTCCTTCTGAAAGTCTAGGTCTAGGTCTATATTAAGGTTTCTAATAATCGCTATATCCCTTCCGCCGCTACTTGAATGTTTTTGAGTGTCTGTGTCGTGCTGTTCTCTTATCGGCGAGGTCCGAGAAACATGAAAATAGCAGGTCACCAATAGAGAGTCGTTTAGAGACAAGGAGGGCATAGAGAAGTCTCCCAACTCTGTAAACACGTAAAATAGACTGTACCTCCGAATCCATTTTCGAAACGGCCATTCATTGGTCTTATGCCTGATTTTGTTTAATGCAAGCTTTAAAAAATGCCATCAAAGCTTTGAAAAGTTTGCGCAGTTAGCAAATATTATGAATTTAAATCTAGAAAAGAGAATTTGAGACGAAAAACAGAGCCACAAAGTAAAAATCACTAGCCGTATGAGGAGAAAAAGAAAAAGTCTCATGAAGCTTCGTGAACGGCTCAAGATACGTTCTACTCAGTAAATAAGAACGAACTTTTGAAATTTTTATTGTTTTTGCAACTGCTTATTTCACAAATTTCTTTCGAATTATAGAAGTTCGAAAGGCTGATGGCATTATTTGCTAGAAAACTTCTAAATCCTAAAAAAAAACTGGAAAGTAAACTGGAAAAAAATTACCCTAACGCTCATTTTTTTTTTCCAGCACAGCCTAAACCCAAATGGCGCAGAACAAGTCTGCGCCTAAGCCTGATAGCGTTTGAAAAAAATCTCAGAGAAGTTTTTTTATAAGTTTTTGAAAGACAGGATCGGTGTTAGCGGATTTATATAAATGTTTATTAAAAAAATAACTAATCGGAAAAAAATTAATTTTTTTAAGGAAAGTTGGAAATGGAATTTAATGTTTTTTCTTCATTAATTTTGATTTTTTTCAGGTGTTTCATCGGTAAATCGTTGCGTGATCCATGCGGACGAGAAGAAAGGCGACAGTTATTCGTTGCTCGTCGAGGGGACTGATTTCCGTTCGGTTTTGTCTTCGGTAAGTCTTTTTTTTTTAATTTTATTTGTAAAAAAAAAATCAAAACTTTTCATTTTTCGAACACAAGCACTCGAGATAAATGTAGGGAAATGTAGAAAATACGATTTTAAAGAATTAAGAAAAGGTAGAAAAACTGTACTTATACCTTTTTCCCTCTTCTCTGATTTTTGTAATTTTTCTGCCTTTTAATTTTAGTGAAAGTTTCGAAAATTTCACGTTTTTCTCTCTGTCTTTGTTCTAAAATTTCAAGTAGAACAAGAAAATAGAAGTAAGATCGCCATTTTGTATTTCAGGTTGGTGTTGATCCAAGGAAAACTCACTTCAACAATGCGCTCACCGTCGCTGAGGTATTGAAAAGTCAGAGGACCATAACATATAGGATAATATTTCCAGGTTCTCGGCATTGAAGCTGCAAGAACCTGCATCATCAACGAGATCATCGCGACGATGGAAGCTCACGGAATCGGCCTCGATCGACGTCACGTCATGCTCCTCGCTGACGTCATGACCTACAGGTTTGAGCTCCTTTTTCAGAGATGAGAAGGGTTTTCTGGACCTTTTTTTGTGCAGAAAATATCAAATTTTGCAGATGTTTTGAAAGAGAATCCATGTATTCGGCTCTTGATGGAATGGAGAGGGTAAAATTGAAAATGCCGAAAGATAAGTACGGCCTGGAGAGACGGTAGAGAAATAGAGGCACATATATTTCTGGCGTCTCTTCAGATTTCGCTGCTCTCTTGTTTTTGCTTTTTTGAGCCCTATTCTTGAACTCATGAACTTTATCAAAAAGTTACAATTTATGCATGGCTTGAAAAAAATCTTGACTTTATACATTTTTCGAGCCCATGATCTTGAACTAGAATTTTTTCTGACGTCTCTCATGTCACCGTTGCTCTCTTCTTTCCAACATTTTTCAAAGTTTTTTTTTCAGAGGCGAAGTGCTGGGAATCACGCGAAACGGTCTGGTGAAAATGAAAGACTCGGTTCTCCTTTTGGCGTCTTTCGAAAGAACTATGGACCATTTGTTCGAGGCAGCCTTCTTCTCACAACGCGACGTGGTTCGTTTCCTTCTAAATCGCGTTTCAGACTCTTCGAAATTGAAAGAATTAAAGTTATAACGATTTTTTCCAGATCCACGGAGTTTCGGAATGCATCATTTTGGGCACCCCGATCACCATTGGAACCGGAATGTTCAAGCTCCTTCAAAAACACGAGGAAAAGTTGGTTTGCAAGCCTCGAGAGCCGATTTTCCTCACCCCGAAGTACGGCCTCTCACTGTGAGAAACTTTGCTCAAGCTTTTTCTTTTACTAAACGATGCGGGATTATTTAATTGTTATCAAGTTGTACCATGGTTGAGTTTATATTGTTGTTGATTCATAGTTGTTATAATGAATGATTTATTTCTTTATATAGCTATCTTAATGGTGGATTGGTTCGGGGCCGAGCTTTTGCCGACTGCGACCGTTGCATGTGACTTTTCTGCGCTCTTCTGAATTAAAAGTGTTGATTTTGAAAGGAAGGTAATTTGAGTAGCTCATCAGAAAACTGTGAAACCTGGCGAATTTAGATTTTTGCAACCCCACTTTCAGGCATCGAATATTTATTTTTCAAATCACCTTCTTTGAGCGGATCCAACGAATCGCCTTGGAACCGTATTGTTTGGGGGTATCCATGGAACTATAGGTCCTTCGAGTGGCTTCAATGTCGCTTCGATGTCTCTCTCGTGCATCTGTTGATAGAATTTTTTTGAAGGGACATTCGTTTTCTCAAGAATGAATATTGATGCTAAAACTAGGCTTATTACATATTTAATAATTTAAAAATACTATGTATATCCTGTTCTCAGGAAAAAAAATCGAATGATAAAAATAAACCGCATGAATCGAGTACTTTGAAAAATAACTAAAACTGGACTTACTTCATGAAAATTATCTGACTCCAGGTCTTTTTCTTTTCACTTCATGTTCTTCATAATCATTGATCAAAAATCTCTTTTTTTTCAAGTTCTTCTGCCAAATGCTTTCATCAAAATTCAACAAAAGCGCGCTCAGGTTTCGCTGGGAAAAAAATTCTTTGAGCATTTTCCTACGGAATCACGCGAAAATTCAGAGTTATTCTAGTTAATGAAATTTTCTCACCTTCATCTCCAGCCACGCTTCATAAGCCTCTTGTGCCATCATTTGACGGAAATCTTTGATTTTATCCTCTTCATCTTTCTTTTTCGGATCAGAACTGGCGGCCCGTTGTCCCTTCTTCTTTTTGGCTACCCTGAAGAGAGAAAATTTAATCCGAATTTTTTTTTGATGGAAAAACCATGCTCTGAAGGCCGCATCGGCCTCTTCTCTCCGCTGTTGCTTCTGCTTTTCCGCCTCTTCTTTCTTCTTTTTCTCTTTATCTACTTCTTTTCTATGGATCTCAGTCATCGATTTTGACCGCTCTCGCTTCCAGACTTCAAACATCTTAAGAAAAGCTTTAAAACTTTTTTCGAACTTTGTCACCTTCTGAGCTTCATCTTGTCGGCTTTTCTTTTCCTGACTTTCGCGCTGTTTTTTCTCCTTAAGGCGTTGTTTTTCGATTTGTAGCTTCCTTTTAGCCTCTTCGTCATGTTCGGCTTTCCATCTTTCGAAGAGTCTGGCCGCATTTTTTCGCCTTTCTTCCTGAAATTCAAATTTTCGCTTTAGTCAGGGATTCCATTTAGAATAGCTTGACTCTTAACGGCTGCGTAAGGTAAGTTTCAAGGAACTGAGAACCTAATTCAAACCGCGATGCTTCAAGCCATTTCAAACGCGACTGAACCGTTACAAGTTTCACATATTTATAAAAAACTACCTCTGCTTCTTTCTTGGCGGCTTCTGCTTTCCGCGCAGATTCCTTAACGGCCCGTTCCTTCTCCATTTTGTTCCTCAGCCAGGTCGTAATGGAAGATGAGGGCTCACTGGAAGACTTGAAAAATAATTTAAGATCAAAGTCAATCCGAAACCTTTTTCCAAAGATGGGAAGCAAAGACTTAGCAGGTCTGATCTCTTCAGCCTTGTCGATTATCCGAAAAGTTCTGTTGGAGGATCCTTCGGACGGCGCTTCGAGCAGTGGCGGCGGCTCTTTTTCAGCCTTGGTCATCGTCGGCTCATCGGCTTCCAGTGTAACTGGTAGGCGGACCGCTTCCGTTCTTTCTTTTGCGACGGGAACTCTGGGAATCGTTATGACAAGAGTATATGCTAAATGGTTTGAAAAAAAAACAAACATAGGTAATAAAAAAAGATCTGTATTCTCAAAAAATTTTATCTTTTTTTTAAACGAAAACTACGGTAAATCAAAATTTGAGCTGATAAAGAACTGCTATCAGGTTGAAAAAACCAACTTATTTGTAGAAAAAAATTCATTTTCTTTGCTCGACTTTTGTTGAAAATCACTCTCACTGGTGTGGGTAGACCAGGCCGGGCTAAAACAGGGTCTCCGTGGGTCCACCCGTATTAAAATCGTATAAGCACAGTTGAAAGAACTTTTGGCATGTTTTACCTTAGCTGAGGAACCTATTCATTACAGGTGGGTCTCATATTTTCGATATAAACACAGCTGGATCAATTTTTTTCTTACACTTGTTGTTTTTCCGTTTTTAGCACAATTGAAACTCAAAAGTTTACTCAAAAAACCACAGGTTCAACACGGGTCTACCGCTTAAGACACCTGGATGATTGATTCGCAACCATCGAACTTTTCAGAACAACTACTCAAGGAAAAAAAAACTCACATCGGAGATTCTCTAGGCTGAATGTTCATGGCAACCAGTGATCGACGACGCATATCGTTTCTTCAAATAAAATCACTTCTACAAAAATAAAATCCACGAAACTCACAGTTTTCTGTAAGAATTCGTCATCCGAATTGGACTTTGAGTGATTTTCTTCGGATGGCAATGGAAAAACCGTCATCGGGTCCTATAAATCTCCTTTCATTGGCTAATTAATGATAGTGATTAATTGATTTTGTAAAAGGGATAACGTAGGATCATTTATCAGAAGAAAAATCCCATGATATTCTTGAGCGAGAAAAATGATTTTATTTCTTTGATGTAATCTGAAAAAAAAATAAAATCTTGCCTTATTTTCCTCATTGCTGCTCGAAGACTCACGTCCATGCCTCGTAGGAGGTCGGATCGGCGAATTCAGGGCATTTTTTTCTCTGGATTCAGTTGGTTAGTTTGATAATTTCAATGATTATTTTAAACAAAGATGACTAATTTCGGGGGTATGAAAAACAAGATTAGCGAAATTTGCGTTGGCAAACTTATCGAAGACCGCAAAATCGCGGGCGGTGTATGCCACCGTGTATGCATACTGTTTGCGCAAAAATCAATAAACACCTTTCCGACGGAACTTTTTCCGACTTTTTTTTGCCTTTTTTTTTCAAATTTTTGGATTTCGTCACTCATTTTTTTTGGTTTTTTCTGTTATTTCATCTTTTCCATCGCATTATGATCCTTGTATCGGAAAAAAAGACCTCAATTTTTGTTTGAAGCAAAAAATATTTTTTTGGAATAATTTTCGTCGTGATGGCTGTTGGAACATTGTTTATAACAGTTTTTTCTGCGTTTCAATTACAGAATGAGTGAAGAAGAAAGAGCTATGAGAGAAACATTGGATGACATGCTTGATTACTTGAGTGACACTGATTCCTACAAATCTGTAAATTATTGTTTTCGTTTCGGGCAACATCAAAAATTTCCTATATCTTTCACATTCTTCTCGTGTCATTTCTTATTTTCCCAATTTCTTGTTTTATTTCATTTTATTTCACCATTGTCCATAAATTTGTTGTTTCCAAATCTTTTTTTTTTCATTGACATCGTTTCCTATCGGATAAATATATTTTTATCGAGAAAAATAGGAACAATACGTACCAGAGGATCATAATGCGATGGAAAAAGATGAAATAACAGAAAAACCAAAAATGAGTGACGAAATCCAAAAAAATTTGAAAAAAAGAGGCAAAAAAAGTCGGAAAAAAGTTCCGTCGGAAAGGTGTTTATTGATTTTTGCGCAAACAGTATGCATACACGGTGGCATACACCGCCCGCGATTTCGCGGTCTTCGATAAGTTCGCCAACGCAAATTTCGCTAATCTTGTTTTCATACCCCCTAATTTCAATGAGAAAAAAAGGCTCAAAGTTTGAATTTTTGCCCTATAAATTTTAAAAACTTAGTTACAAAACGACCGAAAAATTGAAAAATTTTGAAATTCGGAAATTCCTAGTTTATTTCGATTCGCTTTCAACGATTTTTTTAAGTTTTCAGATGTCGGAAAGAAAAGTTTGAATCAGGGCGATCCTCAGAATTTTCACTGCTTCGGTGCAGCCGACTTCAAACTACTTTCGCGTGTGAATATGCTCAGCGTTAGAAGCAAATATGAGGTTTTTATCCAAGATTGAATTTTTTTTTAATGAGATCTGTATTAGTGTAGATCTATGACCCGATGGTAATAGACTTGAAAATGAAAAATAACTTTTTTCAGGAATTTGAGAGAATTGCTCTGACGGCCCTGAAGTCAAAGACCATTTTATTTTTGAATAGTTGAAAATAATGTATAAGAACCAAGTGAAGTTGAGTGCTCTGTAATTTTTAAAAAATCCAAAATGACGAAAAATTTAAAAATTGACCGAATAAGTTGAATAGGAAAAACTCGAGATTGAGAAAATTCCATCAAAAAACGGAAAACCCGTGCAAAAAAGTAGCAAAACCTGAAGAAGAAGTGCTGGAATGAAACTCAAGGCCGAGAATCTCATCGAGAGTCTGACTGACGGTCAGATTCCGCGTCCTTTCCTCCATCTCTCACTATTCAAAACTAAAAAAGGAAACCTCCTTCAAAGTTATTTTAAAACTCGTACCTAAAAATAGACGGAGGCAGTAAAGTGGCGCAAATGGGGCGCTGTTGCCAAAGGTTGCGCGATTGCAAATCCTTGTCGTCATGGAGACCGATTCAGAAGCTTTTAGGGGGAAATAGCAGCAGTTATTGTTGGGTCCAGTTAATGGAAAGTTAGAAAAATATGAGGAGATTCGAACTTTATTTGGAATAACAAAAGAGGAAGAAGTTGACAGCTGGTTTTGGAGGAGAAAAAGATGTCAGGATTGAAAACAGTTTGAGAAAAAAAAATTGAAGGGAGCATTATTCTATTCACTGATTGTGTGAAAAAATTCTTCGAAAAGTTTAAAAAACTGAGAAATTTTTTTATTCAAACAGTATACCAGTACTAAAGAAATGCTACGAAAATTCTGAAATTTTGCCTTATAGTAAGTTATAAGTTAGAATTTTCGGTGTTTTTCAGCTTTTTCAGAAACTTGTTTAACAGAAAGGCCTTGGCTTTCTCCAAAGTTCAAGTCAGAAGCATGGTTTTAGTTAGTCCGACCTTTAAGAATTAGAAGACGCGCTTTTACTGATAAATGAAAGCGGGTTTATCGATTGATATGTGATTACTCTAGAGCACAGACTTGAGTAGGACTTTTAATCGCCGAAATCACTCTCTTGGATCAGTCTTTTCTCAAAATATTACATGGTTAAAAGAAATAACGCTCATTTCTACTCGGCCAACCTAATAGGTAAAACTGGAAGCCTCACTTCAGCTTGAACTTCAAATCGCATCGGCCGCACTTTGGCAGCGTGAAACCCGTCATGCATTCGGGAAGAGGCACTCAAGGTCGCTTGACTGCGAAGCAACTGTATGGCGACGGATGACGAAGAAGCAGGAATGCGGAGACTTCTTCGGGCGGGCCCTCGAGCCCTAATTGCGTGGCGTCTCACCGCCGCGGCCGCCGTCTTCCTTATAACTTGCCGTCGGATCGGTCGTCTACCAGAAGAAATGTTTGCGTCGGCCCAAAGTGCCGGCTTCGCCGCTTGCGCCTGTTCCGCGGGTGCCATCTTCGTCTGCCTTTTCTATGTTCCCGCTCTCGTCTTTAAAATCCAGAATATCAATGAGCAGGTTTGAATTGAATTCTGTTAAACTTTTGCATTTTCTGACGGTTTTTTGTATTACCCAATCAGGGAAAATTTTTATTTTTTGTCTTTTTTTGAAGATTGAAACTTGCTGGTTCAAAATTGACTTTCATGATTTTTTCTGTGAGTAAGGAATGATCATTCTTTGTACAGTGCTAGTCTCTAAACTGATTTTTCGAGTTTCTGAAAAATTTTTTTCTTCGTATTTTTTTAATTTTTTTCAAATTTTCGACAAAGCCAACAATAAATTTGAGCCATTTTTTTGAATGATAAAGGATTATTTTTGAATCAAAATTGATTAAAACCAGGAGTTTTTGTACATTGCATCAGTTTTCCGATCTGAAGCCTTGATCAGTAGAAGAAGCGAGAGAGAAAACGCAGCCTGAAGAGAGGCCAGAGAATTATAGAATCTTTCTTTCTCTGGCGTCTCTTCGTTATGCGCTGCTCTCTCCTTTTCGTTTTTAACTTTGGTGCATTTACAAATTCTCAATAAAATCAACTGTTCTGCAACTTTTATTTTTGTCCAGATGAAGGGATTCCTGATCGTCTAGATTAAAAATCAAACCATGAATTTTTGAGCTTATGGACTTTTTAAGAATGCTTTTTTCCCCAAATTCCTAAGACTTTTTTCAAAAATGAGCTTTCCAGCTCCGAGTTGACAGCGAGGAGTTCCGCGCGATGGCCGACATCACCTGGCAAGAGCTCATCGTGACGCGACGTGCTAAGAGACAGGTTTTTGCGATTTTCTTGTCTTTTTCCATCTCCTTGAAAAACATACCTCGATAATATTTTGTTTTGAGGCTTACGGAGAGACGCCAAAGAAGACGTACGCTCTGCACACTGCCTACGCGAAACCGGACGCTTTCGTCGAGGGCGGCGGATCCACTTGCAGTGAGTCGCGTATAATAGACTTTCCGAAAAAAGCTTTGAGAGGATTTCTTTGAGAATCTATAAGTGGAAAAAAAAATTGTTGATGAGTTGAAGGAGCACAGGAAACTTTTATAAAGTTCTCATAACCTGAAACTTCTTCAATCAGACTTCTGCGTCTTCAAACACCTAGACTGATCTGAATAGACTATTTTCTGACCTGATATTTCTTATAAGTGAACGTTTGATGGTATTTCGAATGAAAAAAAGAGTGAAGGATGTCTTTGAGATTTTATAAGTGGAAAAAATATTTGTTGATGAGTTGAAGGGGCACAGGAAACTTTTATAAAGGTCTCAAAGCCTGAAACTTCTTCAATCAGACATCTGCGTCTTCAAACACCTAGACTGATCTGAATAGTCTATTTTCTGATCTGATATTTCTTATAAGTGAACGCTTAATGGTATTTCGAATAAAAAAAAAGGAAAAGAGTGAAAAATATCTTTGAGATTTTATAAGTGAAAAAATGGTGAGTTTAAAGGAGTATAATGAAACTTTAATAAAGGTCTCAGAGCGTGAAAATTATTCAAAATTCAGACTTCTGCATCTTCAAACATCTGAAATGATCCGAATAGACTATCTTGTGACATCACCTAGCTATTATTAAACTTAAGCTTCTCACTTTTATACTCTTAAACCTTTTAGGTCGAATTTATGTGGCTTCACAAGCTTTTGAGCCTTTATAAAATTCATTGAGCTGTTATAAAAGAGCTCTCATCCAAATTTAACAAAATTCGGTATCCTCCTTCTAATTAAAACCATCGCAGGCTGCAACGGAAACAACAACTGCCCAGCTGGCCCACCAGGACAGCCAGGAAAGCCGGTAAGCCAAAAATTTCCTCTCAGAAGAAGATCTCAACGACTTCAGGGACTCGACGGCGACGCCGGAGAGCCAGGAAAAGCCGGACCACCAGGATTGGCCGGAATCGCGCCACCAGTCACTATTGATCCAGTTAGTCTTCTGATAACTTCAGAAAAATCAATGTATTCTTACAGAGCCGAGGCTGCCGCGTCTGTCCCAACGGACCTCGCGGACCTCCAGGACAGCCTGGAGAAGCTGGACCAGTCGGGCAAGAAGGACAGCCCGGTAACCCAGGACGCATCGGAGAAATGGGTCGTGAAGGATATCCAGGTCAGCTTACTCCTAAATTTCAACTATTTAAGCTTGAAAAAGTTCAAGAACCAAGTGGTCTCTCATAGAAATAGTTACAAAGGAAAGCAGACAGAAAGAGAAAGAATGGATCTTGAACTTCCAATTTTAGGTCAACAAGGAATCCCCGGAGAGCCTGGAAAGTCTGGAAAGCTCGGAGAGCCAGGACCACCAGGACGCGACGGAATTCGCGGAGCCAAGGGAGCCATGGGACCGAAGGGAGAGCCAGGACCAGCTGGTCAGAAGGGACCAACTGGATATCCTGGTCGCGACGGACAGCGAGGCAGCGACGGTAGGATGAAGGGCTTTAGTTCTCGCTCAAAAAGTAGTTTCCAGGAGAAGTCGGACCAGTTGGACCTACTGGACAAGTCGGCATGCCTGGAGAGACTGGACAACTGGGTCTGGTTGGAGCTCCTGGTCAACCTGGTTAGTGACTTTATTTCGTTAGTGAAATGACCGAAAATGACTACATCAAAATGCGTGTTTTTTCAGTCTCTTTTGAAAGTCCTACTTGAACCTAACCCTTTATCTTTTTACAACCGTGGCGAAAAATGTCTTAAGAAAGGAGAATGAAAGCAAATTCAAACGGTGATACTTCAGGTGCGGACGCCAACTACTGCAAATGCCCCGACCGCAGCGCCGGAGTGAACAAGTACGAGAACACCCCCTCCAAGAACTACGAGACTCCTTCGGCGGCCGTCGAAGCGCCAGCCTACGAGCCTCAGCCAGTGAGTAGAATATTTAGCTGTCAAGTAAAACTCCAGGATATCTTAGTCATTTATTAGTCAGTGAATTATAAAGAGCACAACCGAGGAAATGTTAAGATTGGCCGGTTAGGAATGATGGTCATTTATTCCCCTATGAAATATTATTTAACTTATTCAAAAAAATCGTTTTTTTGAATTGGATCTACGATGTCACCGTGAGAAGATTAGAAATATTGTTTGTCAATCAAATGCATATTACAAATAAAAAAATATAAAAAAATATTGATATTCAATCGATAAACCCAAATCATTTCTAACAGGCCCCCTTAATAAAAAAATAATGTTTTATCAGCCGGCGACGTACACACCAGCTCCCGACGCCGCCGTCGAACAACCGCGCAGCCCCTACCGAAAATGGAAGTGGCTCCAATGAGAAGCCTCACGGCCTGTTCGCCGCGAGGCCTTGTACCCCGAATAAATCATTTCGACACGACTCTTCTTCATACATTTAACGCTAGAATAAATTATGCGGTGAGAAAGAAGCCGAGGTCTTCAAATGTTTTGCTGGAATGGCTGCGGCTGAGGTTGCTGCTGCCGTCGGAGAACCTGCAAAAAATGAAAATATCAGTTTTGGAGCTGATATACCCAAAAGGGTTTTGAAAAGCTTCCAGCTTGACTATTTTTACAATGGAAAATTGACGTCTACCTTTATAATATACTGAATAAAAAATAATGTGGCAATTATTTCTATAAGACAATTTTTTTTGGAAATGTCCAGAAATAAAGATAAATTTTTCTTCGGATAGAGTTTCGATAGTTTGTTTTTCAGATTCGTATGTTATCACGATTTAAAAAAAAGACGTTCTCAAAATAAAATGAAGCGTGTTTGAAATGGGAAACTGACGTTTAGGAAAGCCCATTTGGAGAGATAACTCGTGAGTTGATTCGTGTCCGACCAGCGGCACCTCAAATAGCCGTACAAGTTGGCCAAGCTCATCGCGGCTCCCAATAACGCGACGATCATCCATTCAAACTGCAAAATCTTCCTTTCAGAGCGAATTTCTTATTAATCACTCAGTGAAATCCCTTTCCAAAGTTAAGACATAAAAACATGAAAGAAATCTCGACCTCCTTCTGGAGAAAAAACGAAAACGTTAAAGCTGTTAATCATAATTTTATACAGGATCTGAAAGCGGTTGGGTCAGCAGAATCTAATTAAATACATTTTCTGAAAACCAAACTTTAAGTTTATCATTCAACATAATTTTTTCATGCTCAAGAAAATTGTTTTAAAAAACGCTAGGTCCTTCTATTAAAACTGATATATTTTCAATCGAAAAAAAAAACTGAAGAGTCAGAATGAGTGAAAAAAGCAAACCTTGAAAGTGAGAAAGGCCGTAGTGACGAAAAAGGCCCAAGCGAGAGGTCCAACCACAAGTCCCAACCAGAAAACCCGACGATCCATGGCTGGGAAACGGTCGTTGTCCTGAAAAGATGATTCCTTTTTTTCTATATCTGACATTATAACCCTTTATTTCAAATTATTTCAAGCCAAGCTCCGACTTTTTCACGAAATTTAGCGAGAGTAGCAATTTTCTGGAAAAAAAATGGCGCAAAAAACCACCTTAGCGCTCTCGAACTTCCAATGATTGTTGCCCTCGGCATCGACGAAACTCCACCATCGGAGACCGACCAAAAGTCGTCCAGTTATGTTCTTCACTGTCCAGAAGTCCATTGATAGAAATATTAGCTGAATTTTCAAAGATTCAATACTCAAAAATACCCTTGATAACTCACAATTAGAAGAAATTGGACGATAAAAGAATCAGTTATAAAATTGGCAAAGAAGTAGAAGAAAAGAGCGGCCGCTTTGAAAGCAAGATGGGCGAGTACAATTGTCGGTTTACTGAAACAAATTTGTTCGAACTTGATTTTGAACGTCTTTCATTGATTTTAATTCGAATTTCCACTCACCCGAACATTTGCAAACTGAATCCTTGGCCACCGGCGGCTGGAGCACTGCTTCCGATGTTTAAATCGCTTTCGAATGCGGACATTCCTTCAAAAATGCATTTTAATTCACGTTCATTCCAGAAAGGACGTCAGAAATTAACGAAATTCCTTATTTTGATATTTAATTCACGCGTTCGTCTTTTTTATTGAAAGTATATTAGATATATGCAATATCATTATAAGGCACATCTTATACAACTATAAAAAGCTTAGAAAAGTGTTTATATTGCATAAAAAAGTAATAAACGTTTTTTGCGATCTAAAATTTTGCAACGTAAAAATCGCGATTATGTTGGTGTCTGCGTACTTTCATACGACTACAGTACTTTGGCTGCAAATATTAGTCACTTTTTCGGCATGCTTGCGAAAGTATTTTTGAAAGAGCCCTTGAAAACAGGCGGTTTTAATCAATTTGAAAAAGAACCTATCCGATGGTAAAAAAAGTAAAATGGCTAGCTGGATCAAAATTTCGATATTATTCATGTTAGAGGAAAGTTTTCTGAAGGATATTTTCATTTTATTAAATCATCCCACCTTGAACTACTAGCAGAGCTTCCGATTTTTCAAGAAGCAGAACCTTATAAATGCTTTTTTCTCGTTCAATAACTCTCGATTTTTTTTTGTTGTTTGTTTTTAGGAAAGCCAGAGTGGTCCCTAGAGCGGCAACCTTAAGGGCTCTTAGGATTCCCCTCTGAGCTCCCTATAAGAAAAATATCAACAAACGATTAATCAGTCAAAATTTTTTTCAATACGTTTTTCAAGCTTTCAAGCCATAAAAAATTTAATTACCACTAAAACTTCAGGGGCTTAGGAGTCATACCCTATTTTGATCCATATAGGGGTCACCTAAATTTTAGCGCTATAATGACCAGTATATTGTTTCCTAAAGGAGTTTTAATTCCCCCTCTAGGGACGCCTCTGGCATCCTAAATTTTGTTAAGCAGAAACCAGGAAGTTCACACTCACATTGCCGTATCAGGACCGTCAAGACTAACGGCTTGGAAAATTGTACGAAATCTTCTTTTTGGATTGGTTTCTCCTCGCACATCGTCCACCTCGCAGCCGTTTTTTTGTTTTTTTTTTCTCTCTCTCTACGAACATCACATTGCATAAATCTTGGTGCGACGCACCTGCTTGGTGGCCGATGAGAGGGTTGTCGGATCGGAAAATGGCCGAGCAGCGTCAGGATCAAAAAATGGTCGGAAAAATTGGGCAAATGAGTGTCTGCGGACATCTGGGCCCTCCAGGTTTCGTCCTCACATCGCCGACGCCAAGGCGACGTTCAGAGGCAACCAAAAAAACGTCTCTTTTGAATTATATCGTGTGCGCGGGGGCCAATTTCCTCAAAGTGCTACCCGCCAGAGTTACCGTAGCTCGGAAATGGTGGAAACCCTCATTGGAAATTTCTGAATTAATTGAGATTTTCTGAAAAAGCGGAATCGTTTTTATTTCAAACCAGATTGTTTTCTTGAAATGTGAGAAAGTTTCATTTGAAACTTTGGAAGGTTCTTTAAGTTTTTCAAAAGTTTGACTGTATTTTTCAGAAGCTTCTCCAAAGAACTAGATATCCGCGGAGAGGAAACTTCCAAATGCTGCAGCTTTTTGAGTTTGAAAATTATTTTCTTGGAAAACTGCAAGATTTGAAAGATGAAATTTGTGAGATATGCCTCTAGTTCATTTTAAATAGTTTTAGTCGGTACCTTTTTTTTAAGTATGAACTCCGCACCATGATAATGTACAGGATTGTTTCTCCATTTCCTCTTTGAATTAAAAAAATATATATATATATTCATAGTTTGACACGGTCGATGCTTGAATTTGATAATTATTCCCGAAACTTTAAAAAAGTTGAATAAGGAAGGGAATGTTTTCATGAGTTTTCCATAACTTATTTGCAAATTTCAGCCTTATTTTCTATCGAAAATTTGTAGAGGAAAGTTCAAGGCTACTGAAATCTTGCAAAAGAATATCTTAAAATTTTTCTCAATGACTCAAATTTGAAAAAAAGGTACTCCCTAATCCCCAAAATTATTTGCATTTTTGAGTTCTCGAGGTAATTTTTTTTTTCAGACCAAGATTTTTGAAAGTGTTCGGTTTTTCAAAATCCGAAGTCTCTCTGGAACTTTCAAAGATTCAAGAAGATTTTACAGCAAAAGCCTTTGATTGTTCAGTTCTATAGGCTTGAGAAACTGTCCTCGTAGGGAACGAGGCCGAAAATGTCGGCACCTCTCTGTTTTGTGTAAAAAAAAAAGCCGTTCAAAAGTGGCTAGCAGGTATTGATCCCATCGAACTTGAATGAATGAGCGATGGAAATCTGTTGGCAAGTTGCGAAGGAAAGTTTTTCCTAGTCGCCGATTTGAAGGACGAACGCCGAACGGACAGAACTTGGAAAGCGGCCAACGGCGAAGTGTGGGCGGCGCCTAACGTTTTGGCAGCACCGTTCGATTTATCCAGTCCTTGAGTCAGTCGTTCCTGTTGAATTTCGGGGGGCAAGACGCCGGCCAGACGGTTTGTCTCTGCGTCTCGCGCCGCGAAATGGGCGCCAATCCTGGCGCCGAATCTGCATAAACGAAGGGTGGCCCCTTCGGCCGCTCCTCCTGACCACAGCTCCATGGTACCGCCTATACTCCTCTCACACCTCCTCACTTCCAAAATATTCCTGGCTGCTGTTCTGAGCCCTCCGAAGAACTTCCTAATTTCCTTTTCTGTTTTGAAGAGTTGGTAAGTCTGAAATTCTTCCCAGAAGAATGCCAGTCTCTCCATGAGCGTGGAAATTTTTGATCTTATTGAAAAAAAATTGATCAATTTTCGGCACCAATAGCCCCCCTGAAAGAAATAAAAACGGCATGTTAGTTAAAACAGTCAGAACACTTTTTGAAAAATCCGTTCTTCCTAGATAAATTCCTTTGCATTCTAGAACTTACTGAAGCTCGCCCGAATACTCTCCGATCTACTAGATAAAGAACCTGAAAGTCTTAAACTGCAAAAATTCCTCTTTTTCAAGCTGATAATTCGGGTATGTTAATTTAGTTTAATTTATCATCATAAAACTTGTCGTCTAAAGATTTTATATGAGAGGCTTCCAGGAAATTTCTACAAATTCGACTAACTTTGTGAAAAAGTATCGAAAAAAAGGTTTTGTGTGTTTCGGGAAAGATGAAAAGTGTAAAATTTGTATTCTTCCAAGAAAAAGTGCTCTACTTCTCCCCCTTTTTACTATCCAAATCAGAAAAAAACTCATTCTCGATCAAAACAGTTACCCCCAGCCAATAAATGCGAGTTCGTCCTAACTTCGAAGCGGAACAGTGAATTGCTTTCGAATCGTTGCTTAGGATGTGTTCGAGTACGGCTCTTTTTCTCTACACTTGCTTCAGCCATTAAAAAAAAGGTCTTGAAATCATTTCAAAAATTGACAGTGCTCTGGTGGTGGGGAGCGCAGACAGGCCACGCCCCTTTGCCTTCCTAGATAAACGTGACGGCTTATTATTATGGAGAATTGTAGGATTTTTTTCTTTTAAATGACATATAAAAAAACGTTAAAGTGATTCCGAACGATCTTTTTTTATCTTCCACTGAGACGGTTCCAGTTCTCGATGAAATATTGGGAGCTGGCTCAAAAATATTTTTCCTAGAAAATTATTCAAAAATTTGAAGTCAAAGTCTTCAGCTGCGAACTCAAAATTATTTCAGAAAGAGGTGAAGATTTTCAGACTTACCTACAGTTTTTGAGCGTTCCCACCGTGACAAAAGAAGAAGTTGGATGACGTCACTCTCCCCAGCGTCTGACGAATCGAAATGACAATCCCATTGTCTGAAATACCTATTTGAACTGTGTGAAGAACCCTTTTGTATTAGAATAAAAATACAATCTATGTTTTTCAATTGTTTTTGGTTGATAAATGAAAGAATCGACTGCTAAATCAAATGAAGCGTCTTTAAAAAAGTTCTCAAAGTACCGAAAAAAAAACATCAGGATGAGTAACAAACAATTAAGATAATGTGCCAAAATCCGAAAAGAGACGGATAAAATAGCCTTTACAGTTGTAGAACTACAGAGAATGTGAGTTCCGTGGATAATCAAAAGAAAAGTGTATCGTCATTTCAAAATTCGACTTTTTGAAACTTTTCAATGTTCACTAAACTTCGCAGAGAATACAGTAACCTACGAGTTTTAATGGCGGGTAAAAACTTTCGAAACATGACGACTACAAGAATTCTAAATTAAATTTTTTGAAGTTTCCTAATAAACAAACACGGCATGCAGGACTCTTTCCGTTTCCCCCATCAACATGCCGATTAATATTTCTCATTCATCGCCAGTTTCGGACTAAATCTGGTCAGCAATTGCAGAACAGTCAAACCATCTTTTTCCTGCAAACTATATATTGCGACTATCGTGTGAAAATCTTGATGAAATTCCACATCACACTAGTGATGGATAAACGTTACTGGTATTTCCATTACAGGTTTTTCAAAACCGCGGTTTCGCGTTTTATTTCCCGCGGGTTGAATTGCTTGAAATGAGTGCCGTGGCGCAGATTTTCTTCAAAATTTTAACGTTTTTTACACTTTCATATTTTTATTTCTTGAATAGAAAACCTTTTTTTTTTCATTTCAGGGTTATTTAGTTGAACTTCTCGGATCTTCGTAATGCGTACCTGGACGCGCTCCGAACTAGTAGCGACCCCTTTAGTAGCGTCAACTGTCTTAAGTGACCCCTAGAATTGGACAGAAACGTCCGGAGCGCGTCCGGTTCGCGTTACCGACTTCTGAAACATATAGAGCCTGTGTAATTTTTGAGTTCTCGACAGCTAGCGCGAACATTTTTTATTATATGTTTTATCGTGATCAAAAGTGTTCCTTTTTGATCTAGATCACAGCGTCGAAATAATATTTTCAATTTATTTCAGCTTTCTCTTTTGGTTTTTCTTTTTTAGTTCAGAGAATCTGTTGTTTTATGTCAAATTTTCGTTGAATTAGCTTGAAGCTTCGCATTTTTAAATTTTCTACAAGGTTTTTCTTCAAATTCTGATTTTCTTTAAAACGAAAAGGAACTTCAAAAAGTTTGGTTTAGTTCGAGGAGAGTTTTCTTCGCGAATGTCAGGCGATGGGGTATTACGCCGATCAGAAAAAGGCCCATCGCCTTCTCGACTGGTCAGTTGATTATGTTGAGAAACGTATCATGGTCTAATTTTTAAGAGCAGTGTCTCGAACGAAACAACATACGAGGCGCCATGGGAATCGCTACCAGGATTTTCCGTTCAAGACCATGCTCCCCCTTCTTTTTTCCCAAATGGTTTATTTTTCATTTTTCAATCAATAGAAAAATTATTTTCGTCTAGCGCCCAATCAGATCGCCCTTCGGGAAGCTACTGAACCTCCTATCAAAAAAGCGCCACTAAATCAAGTAAATCTTGACAGAAAAATCGTTTAATTTTTATGACTTTCAGGGAAAAGAACAAATAAAGTCTCCACATTCAAAAAAGGGCAAAACTCCTAAAAAGAAGCGATCGAAAGGAAGACAATCTCTGGAATCGGTTTGTAAGAAGAGAAAAGCTGTAATGATTTTTGACCATTTTTTTCCGTGAGGTCCTTGAAAGCTTTGTAAAATTCCAAAAAAAAATTGATCTGGGTTTGACAGAACCAAAATTGTATCTGTTTTTGCAAAGTATTTTTCGTTTCAGATGGAGCCAGAGAGATCAAGGCCTAGAATTAATTTTGTAGAGCGAGCACGAAATTCGTTGCGACAAGCGAAACAGGTGAGCTTTTATATTGCGTTCCGCGCGAGACAGTTACGTTCAAAAGGATAACTCCTCTTTTGACAGAGAAGCTACTGTAAATACAAACTTTTGCTCTACAAAACTACTAAAAAGAGAGCAACAAACAAAGGTATTGAAGAGAAGCGAGATCGAACTTGATTTAATTTGGTATACGGTTTTTTGACAAGAAAAGCACGAAATAGGCTTTACCTCTCTGAGCTACTGTTTATTGAAACTTTGAGGATTTTTTCGAATGTTATAGTCGCTTTGAAACTTACATGAAGGGGCTTTTCTGACATTTCAAATCTTGGTTTCCTTTTTAATGACGTTTTCAAATTTATTTACGTGTTCAAAGTCATCTCTGACTCTCTAAAAATTTAGTTATCTTTTCACTTTCTTCTTTCAATTTTACGAAATCACTTTGAACACGGAATTTTTTTAAATCATTGTTTTCCTTGCTTTTAAAAATTCGCTCAATATTTTGAAAAGTGAACAGAATGTCTTTATAGGCTCTGAAAACTTCTTCACCAACTTCATCAACGGATATTCCTCTTTCTGGTGTAGCGATGTTTGACAAAGGCCAGTTCGAGAATAAAACTACCAAGAAAAGCGCCTCAATATCGCCTGAATCGAACAAAAGTCCTCTTGTCAAGGCGGTCAAGCGACTTGGGGCGACAAACTCCCCAGTCCCGATGCAAGCTGAGGACAAGGCCAAAAAGTTTGTTTGAGGATTGTCCGCTAATTTTAACATTTCTTTTTCATCGTTGTAGAACTCTATATAACTTTTTTAATTTGTAGAATATAATTAATTACGATAGAAATATAGTAAGAAAGCGCTGTAATATCAGTTGAACGCGGCGAAAAAAAATATTAAATCTATGAACTTCAAAAAACGTTTTCATGAGCGTGATGAGCTCAGTTTTATAGAAATAGAAAAAAATCTGATTTGAGACAGAATATCTTAGTTTGAGAGGAATATGTGAGTTTGAAAAAAAAACGAAAAAACAAAGGAAGAAATAAAAAGAAAGAAAAAATCTTTCATTGAATTAACCTTGCGAAAGAGAAAAAACTTCTTCGATCTTCGAAAACCAACTAATTTTTCAAGGTATCGGTCAATGGGCATGAAGTTCAAGCAGAGCTACCTGAGCATGACCGTGCAGCGAATGCATCAAGACCGTCAGAAACAGTTCTTGGTTGTTCCTCCAAGCGTTCGTTCTCCGGCAGGAACCGCCTGGGTCGGCCCGACCGTTTCTATCTCAAAGTTAGCTTTAATTTTTTTTTATAACGTGTTATAATTAACTTCGGTAATTTAAGAATTGACGTTTTAAAATGACTATATGAGTTACGAAGAATTGGAACTTCAAGAGTTGTTGGAATTATTAGGTCATACAATGAGGTGGCGAATTTGAAACTTGGGTCGAAAAATGGCCAATAATTTCAAAATTTGGAATTTCGCGCTCAGAAGACGCCATATCGTTTTAAAACCGAATTTTTATCTCCCGAACTTTCGATTTTGCGGAAACGTTTTCATCTCAAAAGCAAGTGAATTTCAAAGTCTTTAAAATTTGAAAAGTTTTATAAAAGCGTAGAGTTGTCCTCAGTGTGTTAATTCAGCTCAAGAGCTTCTAATAAGTCAAAAAATATTTTTCAAAAGACGATTTTCCTCTTTATTTAGCCACGTAACCCATTTTTTAAGCAATCCCAACGACGAAAAAACATCGTGTGAGCCGTCCTGTTCCACTCCGAAGGTAATTCTGAATACTAGAGTTTTACCTGAAACTCTTATTTATCAGACGACAAGGGCCCCGAAAAACATGTATTCGAGTCCTTCTTCCTCGAAATACGTCACTCCTCCGCGAGGATTCCGTATTCATTCCAATGACGTCACCATGCTCACCGCAGCTTCTCAAATCCATTCTCCATCGTTGAATGTTCCAAAATTAGGTTTGTTTTAAAGTAATTTGTGCGATTTGGGAGAAGTTACTGTATTTTGGGGTCCTCACAACGCCCACGCCCCCCACATTCTTCACCTAAGAGGGAAAAATAAGAAAATTTACTTCGAAAAGATCCCTAACCCGGCCTTGACTTTAGTGTCATTTTCATATTGACAATTTTTCAGAATTCCCGATTTCCATGCCCCAAGGAGAGGCCAAACCGAAAATCCACAGCGCTGCTCCGTCCAGTCTCTCGTTGTCTTCCAAAGAATCATTTTCAAACTCGACGAGAAGGACTTCTCCGGACTCTGGAATAGTGAAGACTGAGCCAGAAGATGACTTCTCGATCCATTCTTCTTCGCCTGAAAGATCTGTATCGACTGTTCCTTCGGATATCCTTTCTTCCCCACCCACAAGTAGAAAATTGGTATTTTTAAAAATCGAAAATGAAGTTACTGAAAAATATTAAGAGCGTCGTGTCGAGTTCCATCAATGATCTGCCTAACCTGGGCCCGAGAACACAGTCTTATCAGCCAAATGAGAAGGACATGGCGGTAAAAATTTGTTAAGAAGTCCTGAAAAATTATGGATTTTCAGGAACTTTGGGAACTTTCGGTTCAAGAGAAAAAACACGAGGAAATGGTCGCAGATCTGCGCCCTAAATTCATGCATGTTCGTCTTTTTTTAAACATAGGCAAAATGGGAAAGGTCGAAAAAGGCTCCATAGAAATGTTCCTTTTAGGGTGACAAAGGTTCCCGTTTGCTGCCTTTTTGGGCCATTTCATCGACTCTTATGCACCATTTTTGCTGCCTCTCCCTTCTTCCATTATTTCTTGAGCAAAATCTCAGAAAAAAATGGCTCGATAAAAGGACTCTTTTTGCTGCCTTTCTGCGGCCTTTTTCAAGCCTTTCCCCCTTCACGGCCATTATTCAAAATTCATATTCAAAGAAACAAAACTTTCTCCAGTTTGGTTCGACTTTGCGTGCGTTGGAAGCTCGAAAAGAGCAACTGATGAGCACGAAAAAAGAGAGAGATCAAGGTGGAAACAGCTCTAATCCTTCCGTTCAGGAGGTTTTTTATTACCAAAATAAAGAAATAAAGATTTTTTTCTTGACAGATGGCCGAACTCTGGAACATTTCTTCCCAAGAAGTTCAATTCAGAAGAGACTTCGTCACCGTCAGTCAACAACTGCAGAAGGTTCGTTTCGTTTGTGAAAGTTTATTGAAAAAAATATAAAAAAATATTCTCATTAACCTGAAAAATTTTCATCGTCTCCTTGTTAGTCTTTAAAAAAACTGTTTAGCGTTTTTTTATAATGTACTTTGTTTATGAAAGCTCATTCTCAAAGGTCAAAGTAAAAAAATAAAATTTAAAAAAAGAAACATTATTAACCTGAACTCGTAACCTTGTGTCTTGAGGAACTTTTTCAGCCCCTTTGTTTTAGTTTTCTTATGGAGATTGATTGGTATAATTATTCCATGTTCAAAGTGATCTCCGCGAAGTTTAAAAACGTCTCTGACTCTGGTTATCTTATTTACTCTCTCTGGAGGCTTGTTTGAATTTTCTGGTATCAATTGGAACACGGCATTAAAAAAGATTCGAAAAAAACTATTATTTATTTAAAAAAACATCTTTGTATAAATTTTAAGTTCAACCGTTTGCGTCGAAGGAAGTTTTTTTCAAAGCTTTTTGCGCTGTTTTATTTTTTTCCTCCAAATTAATCCATGAATCCCCAATAAATTTAGCGTCTTTGAAAACCTTTCTTCCAGCCTTCATAAAAATTTCCAGCTCTTTTTTTGCAATCACGTTATTTCATTTGAAAAATAATTAAATGAAAATACACGCCGAAAAAGGACTTTTTTTTTCGCTTTTTTCTTTTTTCTCAGTTCATTGAGTTTATTTCGAAAGATTGTATTAAGATCGCAATGAAAAATCCTCGAATGCTTGAAAATAGAGCAAACTTTTTTGCCTTTTTTCGACCAATTTTTTCTGTACTTGTTAGTCAATTCGGTTAAAAAAGGCTCAAAAGTAGAATAAAAGGCAAAGAAGACATTTTTCCTGATATTAGAGTTTTTTTTTTGAAGAACTACTAGGTATCCTTCAACGGCCAAAATCACTTTAAATAGCGCTAAATCTTTGATTTTATGAAAAAAGTAACCCCCTTCTTTATTTTTGTAGTAGAACCTAGCGAGAATAGATTTGAACTTCGAATTTCAGGTTGAAAACGAGTTCCAAAGAATCCGTACGAGAAAGGCAGAGCTCCTGAGAGCCGAGCCCTCGTCTTTCTTCTCTTCACAGTTGGCTCTAACTTCCCCTAGTCCGTATCAATGAAAAGAATTTCTATCCCCATCATTGGATTCATGATAAATAGCGTCCGTTTTATTTTTCATTTATCTTCTGTCTTTTTCTGTTTTCAAAAAGAAACCAGTTGAATTCAACTTCCCAATGCATCTCAGTAGTCAAATTCCCTTCAAAACTTCGATCTGTACCTTCTGTGAAAATTGTACCATTCTTTCCTTTCTTCAAAGGTTCCTTCATATATCACCTCACAAATTCGTTGTCATTGAACTCTTTCCTGATGATGCTCTGTTTCTTTTCCCCCTCCCTGTAATGTTTCGTGAAATCTACTTCATGTCCTGCCTTGGAGTTACGTGTTCCCCGTTTGGATTTTTATTTGTATTGCGACATAAATTTCAATTTTTTTTTTCGATGGGTAAAGTCGAAGATAATGTAGTGTTCAATCGATACTTGTTTGAAAAGATTTGAAGTGTGATGTGGATTTTCTTTTTTTCATGAGATTATAGCCTGTTTGAGTGTGGCGTGTTGACAGATTAAACAAATAATGGCATGGTACGATCTCCACAATAATCATTGTTCCTTGGCGAACGTCTACGCTCTAATACGATTAGAGTAGTTTGGCCTGACAAAGTTGGTACATTGTTGCGACCTTTGGAAGCTTCTCTTTAGCCTGGTTTTATCATATTTGAACTCAAAAAGTATGAACTTTTGACCTCTTTTTGAAAACGCTTTCTCTGTGAATTTCGTATTTTTGTTATTAGTATCTTCATTGAAGCTTTCTAGATGTTAAAAAAGTTGATTTTAACTTCGAGAAGAATTTTAAAAATGTTATTCGAGATTTTTCAAAATTTTGCCTTTGCTCTTCTGCTCTGCTCTAGCCTCTGCTCTAAAAACGCCAGACTTTAGGGCACCCACCGGGTGTTCCCTAGAGAGGCAACTTCAGGGCCTCTTGAAAATCTCCTCTCTAGGGGCCACTTTTCTCCCCCTGTAGGAAGCGGTAAAACTTTCAAAAGTGACCCCTATAGGGTGCCTGCTGGTCGGTCATCGTTACGAACCCATGAGAAGAAGAAAAATATCACCAGCGGATCCTAAACCCCTATAGGGAACACCTAAGTTTCACCCCTAAAAGGAGCAATTTTTTGGTCTCCACCGTTTTTCTCACCTAACTTCTTTAGGGACCACTCTGGAGTTCCTAGGTAAAGCTGTTAGAAATGGATTTAGTCTCAAAATCTTCATTGCGGAATTATTTTGAAGTATATTCACTAATTCTTACCGGAAAATTTCATTTTTTTTTTTTTGGAAGTCGACGGTTCAAATTCTTGGTCCTAAAGAGAAGAATTTGCAAAAAAAAATTCTACAAGTTAATTCTGAATGTACTATGATGACAAGTTGTTTCTTTATATTACCGTGAGCCTATGAAAGCTATGCTCTACTTCATCTCTGATTTGAGACCCAGATAAAAAAAGGTAATACGGTAGATTCTTATCTTTGCTCTTCATTTTGCTTTTCAAAAAACATACGGAAAGTTTCCATTTTCCTTTTAACAGTTACTAGAGTAAGATGTGAATTCTTCACACCTAAATCGTTCTTTTGAAGTGCCACTTGAACTTGAAGTACAGTGAAAGGTGTTAAGATGAACTATTTTTTTCTGAAAGTTTTCAAGAACTTTTTTCCCGAAATTGTCGCATGTGATACTCGATGATTTTCTTCCGGTTTTCAATTAGAAGTTGATTTTTTTCCCGTCGAAAGGAATAATAAAAGAAAATAATCAGCGAGGTACAAAGAACGCCGAATGTTTGTTGATGGTAACAAGATGTTTGTAGTTGTGTCGTGTTTTCCACCTTTTATTCACTTTTTTGGGTTTATTTTTCTTTCTTTTTAGTAGCTCTACATTTAATGTTCTTCTTTGCTCCTTCATTGATTAAATTCTGAAATAAAAGCTGTTTTTTGAGCTCATTTCGAAGTATCGCCGATAATTAAATTTAAAGGCGCGTTAAATAAGAGAAAAGAAACATTTTTTCCAACTGGAAAAAAACTTCAAAACGAGAAAAGTATACTGCTTCTTCAAATTCATAAAAAGTCTGAGACTTTGAATTTTCAATTAAACGTGCCATTAAAAAGAAGAAGTGAAAATTTTTTAGTCGGTTTGGTACTTTTCATAAATACTTTCTTCCAGGGAGCATTTTTGAGACCTCATTTTTTTCATGACACTAAATCTTTAAACCTTCCTTTGAACTTTGTCCTTTTCAACGGTTTTCTGGGTATTCATTTCGGGTTTCTCGATTTTTCGCTTACCGTCCCCGCCCATCCATTTCTTCGGTTCTAACCTTTCCAACCACAATAACTTTTATCTCGTTTTTCGATCTTTCTACGCCTTCGCATTTCTCTCCCCATAGTTTCTTCTTTTCACAGAACACTTGGCGGATCTGAGCCGTCAGAAGAAGGGCTTCTCTTCTCGTCCGACATCATGTCTTTCGTCCATCCCAGAGGTAGGCATTCCCATTGGCATGCTCTTTCCCTTTAATTACCTTCTCCGGCAGTTAACCTTTCCAATCACTTATCAGTGCCATTTATGCAAACAATAAATACACATAGTTTGCGAGCTGTTAAAAAGATTTCTTCTGATTATATCCTCTTTTTACTGGGACATGGGGTGGTGATAGTTTCCATTGATTTGCTCAGTAAATTCAGCTTTTCATGCCTTCTATGCTAATAAGTTATCCATTGTTGTTATTTTTTTCTTTTTTTTTTTTTTATTTTCCGGTCGACCCGCGAACACGCTAAAAAGCTTTTCTTTGCTCTGTTTCGTTTCCATGGAGTTTTTCTCAAGCCTTGTTTTTTTTTTTGTTTCAGTTTCACACAGTGTAGAGATACTTCTCGTAACGACGTTTTTTTAACAGGAAATTTTGAAATTTTCTTTTTAATTCCGTTTTCAACCTCGAAAATGAGTTTTTTCTTATCAACCTCGGGTTAACCAACATCATTTATCAATATAATTTCATAGTCACTATATCTTTCATAGTTTTTACTGAGTTATATTTTCCATTTCTCTACTATGAATATCGATCGGAAGTTTTTCAAGTTCTAAAAATGTTTCAAAAATCAAATTACACTCGGAAAAATTCCTTTTATTCAAGGGAAAACCCAGGGCGTTTCTAAGAACTCCTAGTGACTACTTTAGTGGCCTCGCCACCCCCAAGTGGTCACTAGAAAGGCAAAAACGTCCGGGGCGGGTCTGGTTTCCTTTACCGAGGTTCAAGCTTTTTTCTTTCTCTTTGAGTTTTGTGAGGAACCATAGTAATAGGTAAGTTTTTACTCGAGTATCATGATGACCAAATAAACTCAAGAGTTTTATTAAATGTTGTGAATAACGTTAGTTAGTCTTGTAAGGAGGAACCAAATATATGAAAATTCAGAAGTTTTGAATAGCCCGTCTTCTGTAAACGGCTTACACATGAACGGTCAAGACTCACTGGTGCAGCCATTGCTCACCGATCTTTATCAGGTAAAAGCTCAAATCGATCGGATGATATAAATAATGTGCTCAGCTCACCATGTGCTACGCGTACTGGAAAACCGGCACCCACAATGAGCCGGCCGTTTTCGACTTGTTCTTCCGCAAAAATCCATTCCAAGTCTTTTTCAATACTAGAAAAAGAAGTTACTTTGAAATTCAGGGCGAGTTCACAATATTCGCGGGACTGGAAGACTGTCTGCGTTTCGTCGAAAACTTCAAATTCAGTGCCAGCGGTTTTTCTTTCCTCTGTACCATTTGAAGAATGTTTCCTTCAGATATCAAGTACTTGAAGACGATCTTCCCCAAAACGACGGACGTTTGTTTCTTCGACTACCTGGAATCTCTTGATGGAAGTCAACTACGGATCGACGCGATTCGCGAAGGCAAATCGTGTTTTCCAAGTCCTTCATCAGCTCGACGTCTTCAGGCTCCGTCGTCTTCCCTAAAGTCCCGCTTCTGACGGTCGAAGGGCCGTTGGCCGTCTGCCAGCTTCTGGAAACGACTTTTCTCAATTTGATCAATTATGCCAGCCTTGTGGCTACAAATGCGGCCAGGTTCCGACAGGTATGTGAAGAATTATTGATGGAAAAGTCTTGCTGAAGCTTTTTTTACAAGGCCTGAACTTTAAGAATGATTTTATTTCGTTTCAAGATTCAGAAAAAAAAATAGCCATATTTGGAAAGTTTCGTTGAATCCATTTATTCAGCTTTCAGAAAGTTCCTGAAAAAAATAGAATAACCAATCGATTTCAGGCAGCTGGCCCAAAAATGCAGCTTCTGGAGTTCGGACTCCGCCGAGCTCAAGGACCCAATGGAGGTCTGACCGCCAGCAAGTACTGTTATGTCGGCGGTAGCTTTATTTTATTCCAAAGCCCAGTATTATCTTCTTTTTCAGGTTTCGATGGAACCAGCAACGTTCTGGCCGGAAAACTCTATGGAATTCCGGTGAAAGGAACCCAGGCCCACAGTTTCATCTCCTCTTTCACCAATGCTAATGATGTGATATAGTCCGTTTTCGTCATTGACTTCAAATTGTTTCAGTTGAAATTGCGAACTCTGAAATCAGCCGACGGTAGCCGAGAAGCCGACTTGTTCGAGTTGAGCCTGAAAATGAAGAGCTCTATCTTTTCTGATGTAAGTTTTAGTTTTTCTTATACCTTTTTGCACGGCTTTTTCGCGTAAAAGGTGTCATTTGATAAAGGAGGAAAGAAAAGTCGCTAGAGGTCGGGTGCAGATTTTCGAAGAGCCCAACAGTCAAAAAAAAAAAATAACAGGCTTCAGAAGCCAAAATGCAGTGGGGAAGTTTGCTCCATGGATAAATATGGCGCAAATTAAATTTTAACTTTTCGCGAGTCTTTTTATGATTTTTTTTTCTTCCAATATTTTTTCTTGCTTGTTTTTTCAACAATTGTAGTATGAAAATTCGTGAAATGTAAAAAATCTTGCTTTAGCGAATATTATCCACAGAGCGCGTTTTCACAAGTTTTTCCGACGAACTTAGCTCGGAAAGCAGAGCCTCCAATTTTGGGCTTGGTTTTCAGAGCCGTTTTTCCAGCAAGCTCAAATGCTTGTGGCTCGAATTTTCTGGGTTTTCTGAGCTGAATTTTCGAAAATCAAAAATCTGAATTTGCCTGAAATAAACGTATAATCATGTAGAATAATATTCAGAACAACTGGGCCGTTTCTGCGGCCGAAAGCAGCGAAGGAGAACTTGCCGCGTTCGCCGCCTACGCGATCGCCTTCCCTGAAGGATTCTTGGCTCTTATCGATACCTATGATACCTTGATGTAGGCTCTGGCAAAACTCCCTTCAACATTCCTTTATTAAAGGAGCGGCGCCATTAACTTTGTGGCGGTGGCGGCGGCGTTGAACGAGATCGGCTATCGGGCTCTGGGATGCCGGATCGACAGCGGAGATTTGTCCTACCTGTCGAAGGAAGTCCGCAACATCTTCCATAAAGTCGCCAACGCGTGCGTGTTTAAAAAAATAAGCTCAAAAATAATAGGAAAACTTGAAAAGCCCAAAGTAATCTGAATCTAATGGAAGCTTTATACTTTATTTTTTTATATAGCACTTATAGCTTGTGCGGGTAATTTTGAGCCACCCTGTATCATGGAAAATCAAAAAAATAGTTGCGAATTTTCGATTTCTCTGATATTCTAACGTCTATTTTTTAAAAAAAGTTCTTTAGTTGAAGGCAATGAAATAAGTCTTCGTAAAAAATAACCAAAGGAGTGGAATTTTTTGTTTCGGTTTTTTTCTCACCCTTTTTGATGTTTTCTGTTTCTGAGAGATGTTTTTTCAACCGCCTTCCAAAAATTTTTCTTAGAATAACCTCTTTAAGTTGATCAATTTTGAAAAATACCTATGAGAACTGGAATTTCAGTAATCCATCTCTGAAGTTCATCGAATCTTTGACAATCGTCGCTTCCAACGACATCAACGAGGAAACCATTACTTCGCTGAATGAACAAGGAGTTCGTTTTTTTTTTTTTGTGTTTTCCTCGTGTTACTCATGTTAATATATCACTTTTAACTCCTTTGTTGGCGGTTCATTGCAAGAAATACAGAGCAATATTTTTTTGAACGGCAGAAACCTTCTCACGAAAAATTTCAAAGACAAATAAACTTTTTAGTATATAAAATTTTTCGATTTATATAAGAAACTTATCAGGAGAAAAAAACCATTTTCGATTTGCGTTGAGAAATCTTTTTGCCTAAAAAAATTGCGTTTAGTAGACTCAAAGAAGCGTGAAATATACCGTGAACAAAAAAATTTCCAAAAATTAAATCAGCATGAAATCAATTCTTTCGGAGTTGGAACACACTTGGTGACTTGCCAGAAGCAGCCGGCCCTGGGATGCGTTTATAAGGTAATCTTTGCAAATATCTATAAAAAAATATATCTGCGCCAGTCGAAGTCCGTAAAACCAGAAGATGTTAGGAAAAAGAAGAGACTGAAGAAAAAGTCGCTAAAGGTCGCAATTTAGGCTCCTTAACGAGTTTCTTATAATTGCTAAAGTTATGAAGACTTAAAAAAGTGGAAAAGTGTAGAGGCAACATAAATGAACTTTTCTAAATTTTTTAAGAACATTTTTAGGAAGATTTTCAGCTTTTTTAATGTAATCTGAAACGCTTTGAAGCTGGTGGCGCAGTCTGGAATTCCGAAGATCAAACTGAGCCAAGAGGTGGCGAAAATCTCGATTCCGGGCCGCAAGAAGTGCTACCGGCTCTACGGACGAGCCGGATATGCCATCATCGATTTGCTCACTTTGGAGCACGAAGAAGCCCCCAAAGCTCACACCGAAATCTTGTGCCGACATCCTTTCCAGGTTATAATTTTTTATTTTACTCAATGAAAAAGGGGAAGCGATGAATGATTAAAAATAGAAAATTTATAAGTGATTTTTTACAAGTTGAAGCCCGAATTTAAAGCTGGCGAATTTTACAAAGGCACATGAGAAGTACTATCACAGAATTATAGTCATTAAATAGTTCCATAGAAGCATCAAAATCAGGAACTCCGTTGAACTGTATGAAATAGAAGAACTTTTTCAACTTCAAAGTTCATAAACTAAAAGGGCTGGCCGATCTTATTTTCGCTAACAACTTTCAATTTCAGAAAATAGCCAGGGGTAGGTCCATATAGATATGAAATAACTACTAACTTTGTAAGATTTTTTTTCCAGATCAAAGAAAAACTAATAGACGTTTTTCACGGATTTTTTAACTGAGAAATTTTGGATGCCGCAAAAATGGATCTGCGTAGCGTCTATCAATCTTGTTTGAGATTAGGTTGGAGTTTATTTTTTGATATCTTGTGGCTTTTTTCATGAATCTTTTGCGTCTTAGTTTTTTTTTGAATCAAAAGGCCTAAAGAAACTTTGAAAAAAATTTGACTGGAATGTGTACTAGATAGATCTGAATCAACTGAAAGGAAATTGAAAAAAATTATATATATATATTTTTTTTTCAAGGCTTCGAAAAAGAGCCATGGTCTGTGCTACTCGCGTTGAGCCGCTGCATTTGACCTACTGGGAGCAAGGAAAAATTTTGCAGGAACTCCCGAGTTTGAACGATATTCGGGTACCCCTCTCTGTTTGTAGATTTTTGAGAAATAAATTTCTTGAGGGAGTCGTGGAAACTTCGATAAAACAGCTGAGAAACGACCATCGCCGCTATCTCAACCCAACTCCCTATAAGGTTACTTTTCAAACAAATTAACCTTTACCGAGAAGTTTCTTAAGGTATCCGTTTCTGAGGCCCTTTACAACTTCCTCCACGAACTTTGGCTTAAAAGTGCTCCGATCGGAGTTCTTCACTAGTTTTTGCTTTTCGTAGTTAGTCTATTTACTATTATTTGCAGATATTATTTAAGGAGTTATAATATTCATAAGAACCAAGCTTGCTCTTCCTAGAGCTCCCATAGAATTTGTCTTGCCTTGAGTTGTCATTTTGTTATATTTTTCCAAAGCTCACTTACAATTCCATCATCCTATTCCAATGTACGTCAAACTCCAGTCGAAAACAAAGAGAAAACAAAAAAAATTTATTGTTACATTTATGTTCAATCCGAAATGAAATCTTTCCCTAGTTTCTGGTCATCAAATGATAGGGTGAAGTTTTTCGGGAGTTATCCAATGACGATGGATGCGATGGAGCTTGGCGGCAAATTGACTGGGTAGAAATTGTTGCCATCTCTTACGGTAACCGTCTTTGAGTTGCCCTGGAAAAATACGGTAAGGAAAATCGAAAAAAAGAAACAGGAATAAATAAGGGTAAAAAAAAGTACAAAATTTTTTGATATTTCAAGTAGACCGGTGGATTGGAAAACTCTAGCAGAAGTCTCATTTACCGAATTTGTTCCCACCTGGTTCTTGTTGATAATAATGACGGTGCGAGTTCCGGCGGTCTGGTCGTTGATAAAAGAGACGAGGTTGATGTCGCCGTCGTTTTCTCTCGAAAGTCCAGACGCTGTGCACCAGGAGGAACGAAGATACTGCGGAAGCTCTTAGAAGTCGTAAAAAAGTCCAGTCTCACCTGAAGTGGCCGAGGACGTACCACAGCGGATTCTTGTAGTACTCCTGGCTGTTGTCGGCGACTATGACCGGCGCGTCGACGACGTTGTTCACCCAGTTTGGTCCGCCTTGCGTGTTCAGCACAAGGTTCCAGTCCATCCAGCCCGTCACCCAGTTAAGGAAGTCCTGAAGAAATATTTCTTCCGGATTTGTCGAAATAAAGGAACATTGATGATAGAATCGGCGAAATCCTGAGCCCGAGCCCAGTCGCCCAAGTTGACGCCCCGCTCGTTTCCAGTCCATCCGGTGCAGGCCTTAGATGTTTTCGTCTTTTTTTGAGGATTTTCCTGGTCTCACCTCTGTTCCGAAAATGAAGTAGTTGGGGAAATTGTTGTGGGTCGTGGTCAGAACCGACGCCGGCGTCTAAATTTTAACAGTTATAAAAAAAATACTTTTACTTACATTTTTGTCATCGTACCAGTGGACGCCGATACCGAGGACGTACTTGGCAGCGTCGGGGTCGCTCAGAATCTGTAGAAAGGGTTTTTTTTAAAAAGGTTCCTTTTCACGATAGCTTTCAAGGATTTTCAAAAGTTCAGCAGAAATCCGAAAATTATATAATTTTGAATCTATTTTTTTGAATCACTTCAGCAAGCTGTTGTGAGCCTACACCTTCAAGAAAGTTCGGAGCCCCTAATCTAATTTTAAAAAAATAGAATAACTACCTGGTTAGCCCAGTCCGGGAGGTTGTTTCGATTGTCGTCGTTGATGATGACGCCGACATTCTTACCGACGGGAGAACTCTGGAGAGCTGGACCGAGCAAAACCTTGATAAAGTCTCTGAAACTCAGAAGTCCGTTTTATGCTTTCTTCTCTGATCACCTCTCCATTCCGGCGTTCCAATACATCGTCTGCCAGGGGAAGTAAGGATCACCCCCGGTGTCAGGCTCGTTTTGAACCGTCACGCCCCAGAAGGTGACGCCTTGCTTGTTGTACTCTTCCAGGAACCTTTATAAATTCCTTTTTTGTTTTCAGGAGAGAAGCAATTTCAGTCTGATGTTTGTTTTTTTCTAAATCTAACTCTGAAGCTTTATATGAATTCTTACTCGAACCTTGGTAACGCGAACGTGTCGGAGCGTTTCTAGTGAACACTTTAGTACCGTCAGAACTCTTAAGGGATCCCTAGAAATGCTCAGAAACGTCCGGTTTTCGTTACTGATGTCCGAGTAGTCGCTTCTTGCGCAAACTTCTAATTTTGCAGGGATTTTTGAGAAGTTGCGGAAAATTGGTTTTTAGGCCTAACTCTGTGTTGATTGCTACTTTGAAAAAAGTATTTTTTTTAAAAATAAGCCGTTAATTTTCCGGATCGTGATTTTCCGAATCGATTGTCCGAACCCAAACTTTATGGGATTATCAAAAGTATCGATTCGGAAAATCGCGGTTCGTAAAAGTTTCAGCCTGAAAATAGAATTTCGAGCAGGCTTCGGCTATGGGGAAGGAGTCCGAACAAATTTTAAAAATTTCCAAACTGGAAACACTTTTTTGTCAGTTCAGACCAACTACCTGATGAAGTACTGTGCGTAGGTTTGATAGTAAATCCCCAACAGGTCTCCTTTCATCGCGCCGCCTCCTTTCATGTTCCCCGTGCTCTTCATCCATGCTGTTTTATATTTAGATTTATAAAATTATGAAAAGAAGAAAAGAACCTGGAGCACTCCAGGGAGAAGCGAAAAGTTTCAGATTGCTGTTCACTTCTCTCGCCTTTTTCAGATAAGGTATCTGAAAGCGTGATGAAAAGTGAAAACTTGACAGGTAGAGATAACGATTTTGACGATCTTTTGGTAGTGATCTCGAAGGTTTCAAGCTAGAATATACAGAAGTATTTCAAATAGTAATTTTTTTGTTTGAGAGACAAATATCTTATGAAAAAAATTCAATACTACTGTTTTTTTAAGTATTTGAAACGTTTTTTTTAGGTATTGAAGTCTTCTAGCATCTAAACTAATTTTTGCCTCGAGACCATCATGGAAATCGTCTTTAGTTCCTTAAAAAGCCAAGCCAGAACTTCAAAGGGGTATTGTGAAATATAGAACGAAAATATTGTTATTTCAGCCTTGCCAATGATTTTAAAAACCTGACTACCATACTCACCTTGTACAAGCCGTCTTCCGGAGCCAAAGCAAACTGAGAGAGCGAAAAGTCGTTGGGAGTGTCGTCGTAGCTGTAGGGAGACGTGGAGAAGTCACAGCTGGCAATTGGGACTCGACCGTAGGTGTAGTTCAGACCTGAAGCTCTCAGTTCCTTTGGCTTGAAGCTTGAGAAGGTTCAACCATCGGAGCCGTAGTACTGCTGGATGATCTGATCTTGCAGGACCTGGGGCAGTCTTCTGAGATTGATGCCGGCGGCGTCGGTGAACGCTCCGCCGAAGCCCATCATCGTCTGCATTCTGTTCGAGCCGAGGGTCACCAGCACGTCACCGGCTTGAATCGAAGTACGTTAGTTTTTATTCGCTTTTTGTGGATTTTTCAGTACTGCTTGATAACAGTTTGAAACTGTATAATCGAAAAATTGAGCTATTTGATTTGGTAAATTAGGTCGTGGTCTGAAAATCCAGTTTTTGGGTTGGAAGGCTCACTAGGCAACTGTGAGAAGGAAACTTGAGCCAATGTTGATTTTTTGAAATTTCATAGTAGGAAATCTAGCTGCGTCTTAACAAATCAGTTTTTGATATGGAAAATTCATCCGCGGTTTTTTATTCATAATTTTGGAAATCTGAGCCGTGGGTAATTTTTTCTTCTTTTTGAACTAGAAAAATTTGGCCACAGGCTCGAAGTTTTTCAGCTGCTAACCGATTCTGAAAATTTCTCAAGTCAAGAAAATGACCTTCCTTTGTTAAAATTTTTCAAATTTTTTTATGTTTGCCTGACCGCGGTCAGAAGTTTAAGCTCAAAGAAGTTTTGATAACTATTTTTCTCTCAAAAAAATCTACATAAAAATAAAAAAAGCATGATATTTACACTGTCTCTGCGGTGCCGGATTCGTCTGGGTTCTAGCGAATCGCTTTCCCGCGGCACTGGAGATGTAAATGACGGCCTGTCCTTTGGGGACACTTCCGATGGGTTGGATCGTGTCGCAGTAGGTTGCATTGCAGACGCAGACTGAGAAGTTGTCTTTGATGACTTTCTGAGCGCACGGCTGCCAGTCGGCCCCTGAAAGGTAAGTGATCCTCGAAAAAATTAGCTCGCTTGTTCTTCGGGACTTTTTTGAGTTCTTAGACAAGTTTTAAAACATTTCCTGAGGAAAGGGTCGCCTATATTGACAGCTCGTTCATTTTTTCCTTGACGAAAAGCTTGCGTTGAACTCCGTCATGATCCTAGGCTTATGCTGCTGAAATCCCTCAAGTAATAATTTATTCAGTTCGAATGACTTAAAAAGTTCTTCGATGTCCTGGGCGCTTCTTGTCACTTTCTTAAAACTTTCCAATACTATCATTTTCTTCAAAAATAACCTGAAAAACAGAGAATTTCAATTTTTCCCTTTTATGATTAGTTGGTATAGGTTTACTGTAGTTTTCGCGAAAAGAAACTCTCGAAACTCACAGGACGTGGCCAGAAGGCCTGCCAAGAAAAGTAAGAGGATCATGGGTCGAAAGAGCGACGAAATTGCTCGCTCCGGCACTTTTTATATGTGTTTTGGACGACCACGTGTCCTGATAAGGCCGGAATTTTTACCAATCTTATCAATTTTGCACTTGTTTTTGACAAAAACGTGCAAAAGAATGAACTCGTCCGAGTTTGTTCATGTGAGTTTCGCTAGGCTATAGACCGTGAGGCCACGCCCCTAACTTGACCAAAAACCGTGAAGTTCATTGCATTTTTTAGATTATTTTGCAGTTCTCTTGAACTTTTTCGAAGAAAGAAGCCTGGAAGACGACGAATTTTCAAGAGAATTGGGAAAATCGCCAAACTTTTTTGAGAAATAATTTATCAACAAATAATATATAACATGAATTCTATACCAATCTGCGCATAAACTTATAATTCTGAACACTATTAAGAACAGTTTTGTACAAAAATAAATAATCGGTACAAAAATAGCACTTCGTCACGGTCGGCTGTCGAGCTTTGTCGAGTACTGTAACAAAAATTTTAACTTTTCAATTTCATTTCGTGGAAGTTCAAACTTGGCTTATTTTTATCACAAAAGCTAGACTTGCAGAAAATCGGGATATTTTAAGTTAGGTTCACTTGAAGAATCTTGAAATTCCTTTAAAAAAACCTGTTGACCATAACTATGGTTTCTAGGTGCTTTTCGAGCCAGTTTAAGTGAATTAAATTTTAAAAAACTAAAAAAAAATACGTTAGCCTTTAAAGTATGCTTATTATGTAGCAAATCAAATTTCAGTATTTTTCATTAAAAAACGAACCCCATAGAAAGTGGCAGCAAGAGGCGCTCTTTCTAGGATGTGGGAGTTCTCCTCGAGCCACTGGCCAAACTCGAAATCGGTGTCGGCAATTCTGGCGACTTCGCGTTGGTGGAACGCTTCTTTCTGTTCGAAAAGGCAGAGGACCATCACGTGGATTCCTGAACAACAGAAAAGCTGCAAAGATGAAAAAGGGGTCTAACTAGAGCTTATAGTTTTCAAACTTGTGTTCTAAATTTTTCCTTTTTGGTGATCATTTTTCGAACTATTAGTGGTTGGAATATTTTTGGATTTTCCTGAAAATCGGCAGAATACTAACAAATGTACCAAGTTCTGAATGAGTTAATCTAATTTTCGAGAAAAAAGTAGTTCTGAAAAAGCCTATTCACGATTCTCTTGGTTAGACGTAATCGTCCACTCTCGAAAATTATAAGTTTGAACTTTTTTTAAATTGAGTCCTGAGAAATATTCGAGCATTTCCAAAAAATCTACCGATACTGAATTACCTTCCATGTTCTGGAATTTCACTTGGTCCAACACGTATTATGGCCGATTTTTTGAAAATCCTTACCGGCAGGTTCGTCGGTCGCGTCCGGCATGACGTAACTCACGGCGGACTTGGTTCTCCGATGAACTTCCAAGGCGCCGTCGATCGACGGAATATTGGCGATGAACCAGTTGACCGACTTGGCTGTCGAATCTGGAAAAGCAATCAGAATATATTTTGGAGAAGGTATGATCCCAACCGACGAGGATCAAGGTGTAGAGGTAGTCGTCATTGAGTTCGACGCCTGACATTACTGGAGGGCTTTCTAGAAAATCCAGGTGATTGACGTCGAAAAGTTGCCCCATCGTAATGTGTTCGCCGGAGAAGTTGGCCTGTCAAAAACAATTCATAAGATTTTGAAGGATGGAGGGATTAGAAAAGTTCCTTTTCCAACATTTTTCTTGCGTTTTCTGTCAAAATTTTGCATAATGCATAGAAAAACAGTCAGAAATTTGCTGACATTATCAAATTATCAATTCGTAAGAGTTTATTGAGCGACCAAAAAAGTTCACAGGGAACTCAATGGCGCACGTGCTTTTTCGCGACAAGCTGGAGGCCAATCGAGTATATTATGGTTTTAATTTTCGCTGTCTTAAAAAACGAAGTACAGGACTGTAATGAGATAGTTTTGAGAGAAAAAAAGAGTTATTTTTTTATTGCTGCCTTCCAATATTTGTTCAGTTTCGTATTTTAAAAAATGGATTTTGAAAACGTTCAGATCTCGGAAAAGCGAGCCGGAGTGTCACAGCATTTCTAGTGACCACTTTAGTAGTTTCATCACTTTTGAGTGATTCTAGAACTGCTCAGAAACGTCCGGAGCGCGTCCGGTTTTTGTTACGAGTTTTTTTTTTGAAATTTGATACAGCGTTATTTTTGGTCATTGACGCTTAATAGAAGCTTTGATTCAATATCAAATTATCAAATTTTTTTCGAAAAAAATAAGCTTTTTCTTCTTGATTTTTTTGGCCTAAAAAGTTCGTTGGAATCCCAACTTTCCATCTTCAAAATGTTTGCACTTTGAGCCATTCTACATGCGGCCAGTAGGTTGAATTTTTGGCAAATTGAGTTTAAAAATTAGAAGAAATGAACAAAAAAAGCTTGCCCTAGTTCAGAAAGATAAAACCTACGGATAACTCGTATCGAGGCGCCACTGGCAAGACTTTCGGCACGATTCTGTTCTCGACAAAGCCTGCAAAACATTTTTGCAAGATTATTCTAACACTTTTTAATACTGACTAGCTTCAGGCTCTTTGTAAGAAATCGAGTAGTTTGGCTTGCAGCAGAGCTTGACGTTGACGTCGGCGACACTCGGCAAGCATTTGTAGCCCCGGGGACACGATCCTTCCACAGAAGACCCGCAAGAGACCAGCAACGTCTCGTGGAACTTGGGACAAGCTGCAAAGGTTCTATTGATGTAGGTCTTGAGACTTTTCCTCACAAGGAATCTCGGCGTCTTTCTTATCTTCGCAGCAGATGTACTTGAAGGACTTCAGTGAAAATTGGCAGACCGAATTGATTCCTTCTGGACAAGCCTAAATTTGTTGGGTTGAAGAAGATCTTATCATTTCAATAGAGGTATAGTCCGTTCGCCGCGACTTGACCGTTTTCGAGTGTCTGCGTCTCTCTGTTCCCTTACCCGCAAGGTCAGAAAAACATGAAAACAGCATGTCAACATGAGAGGGTCTCCGAGAGACGAGGAGGGTGCAGAGAAAACCAGCAGTTTCAAGCAGCGAAGAACGGATTCTAGTGATAGTTTCGACTGAAGGGGGCTAAAGAACAAACGCGAGCATCAGGATGACACTCGTGAGCACGAGCTGGCTGTGCGAGAGTCGCTTTTTTCATCATGGGCCGTTGCCAAGGGCGGACGCAGTCGGAGTGCGACCATTTTTGTACCAAGCCAGAATCTGAATTCAGATTTTGAGGACAAAGTCACTTTCTGTTTTCTTTTTGAAAATTGACGAATTCTTGTCAGAGCTTATGTAGAACTGTAATGCAGAAGATATCTATTGAAAAAAAATCTTTAGAATGGAATATTAATCATACAAAGAATTGCGGAAATGAAAAGAACAAAAAGACTAGGTCCGAAAACGTCTCTTCCTGGGTGTTGACCTTTAGATGCGTTTTTGATCTCAGGTCTTTGCCCAAAAAAGAGATATTTTACTTTTTCTTGTTTTTGTTCTTATTTCCTTCTTGGTTTTCACATTCTTATCAATAAATTTCAGCTCCTAATGACTTTTGGATAAAACTTTTTCGCAGAAAATCATGCTTGGCTTCAGATTCTCAACAAGGAGAAAAAGAGATTCTCGATTCGGTCGGATTCTTTTCCAGGTATCATTTTCAAGCTTTGCTGCTTTATGAGTAAATCAGAAAGATGTTTTGCAGTTTTATGCATCTTAAAAAGGCGAAAAATTAGGAAGAGCATGAAATTAAATGAACTGCAGCCATCCCAAAAATGATGACTTTTCGATTTTCACATGTGAACTGATATAGTTTTTCTCTAATCAATAAGTAAATCAGTCATTTATTTTGCTGTTTTGTTGCTTGTTCACGACTGTCTTGAGCCATCGAAAAAGGGTCCTAAAAATATAAGAAAAAAGACAGTGCCTGTATAGTGGAGAACTCAGACAAACCAAGCCTCTTCCCCAAGCGTAGATCGGCTATAGTCAGGAAATCATTCAAAGTCTTTTCTTTAGGTCAAAAAGAAACCCACCAAGCCTTGAGCGAGACTGAGCCGCGGTCCCCGTCCCAGCGAGCAGTGCCACCAGCGCCAAAGACCTGAGCATGCTCAAAAGTCGCCGAGCAAAAGCCGTGGCTCTTTTTGGCCATGCGCCATGTTTTATATGTCGCGGTTATTTGCGGAACATTTGCCGGAAAAAGGCGTCGAATCACTGTCGGCCCAACCTTTGTTTGTTTGTTCTCGTCGGGCCCGTTCTTCCGATTTCGGACCGATTAACGGATGGCAACTTTTTGGCACATTTCCCGAGGTTTAGCTGAAAAAAAAGTCTCAAAAAACGTTTTTCTATTCACCTATGTGGAAGATTGTACATGGGGAAAGACGTAGTGAATTTTAGGAAAATGAAAAATGAATGCGGACAGATTATTGACTCCCGAACAAGGTCAATTCTCTTCATAACTTAAAAAAGTTTTCCAAAAAAATTCTTTGATCAACTAAAAGAAGATTCGAAAATTGATTATAGCCTTTTATTTTTTTCAGTTTTTTCAGGAAAGATTCAGCACAATGCCAACAAATTGGATCATTGAAGGGTTTTTCTAAAAAAACGAGGTAGCTCGGAGACTGAGACTTCAGAATCTTGATCCTGAAGCTTTGACCATGTTTCAGAATATTTTTTTAAGTTAATGACAAAAATTTTTTTCAAAAAAATTTTTTTCTTTGAAACTTTTGAAAAAAATTTTTTTAATCCAGTTTTTTTACTCTCTATTCAGCACTCGATTTCAGCTGTTTTTGGAGGACGTGGTGAACCTGAAGAGGACTTGATCCAGCGACCCTGTAGACGCTAGAAATGATCCTCCTCAGCTGAGCCACACTGTCTTTCACGAAAATCAACTAAAATGTAAATTTTTTTTCAAAACTTGCTCAGATGACTTTCATCAGGGCAATCAGGATGTGCGCGATGGCAAAAAGGCGTTGTCATAGTAATTCGGAAATAATGAGGGGCTTCATTGTCAGGCGGAGATTCCTCTCAAAGTCAATTTAGACCCAAAGGATTGGGATATCAGTCATTCCACTTTTATTGATGTTCTCCATCTCTGAGTATTTTTTATTCTAGCCACTGTTTCGGTTGGATATTTGATCAAAAAATCGCTTCTGGTGTTCTGAAAGTTAAAGACTGTAGTAGGTTGAGTTAGAGACTTGTTTTAAATTTTTAAATTTTCTTTTTCTGACAAGCGTGGCGTTGAAGTTGGTGAGCACGTGCTTAAAACTTAATTTTATACAGCTCTAGGCAAAATTTCCATTGAAATAGGTCCTCTCTATTAAGTTTGTTGTGTTCTAGCTTCCGTCTGATAGGTCCTTAATTCTTAAAAATTGAGCATTACTCTTCTCATTACTTGAACGAGTTTCAGAAAATGTTCACAAACATAAAACTCGACGAAAACCCCGAAGCGGGAACCGGGAGCAGACAAAACTTGAAAACGAGAAGTCGTCACTACCTTCGAGCTGCCAATCTTGCTCAGAAACCAGCACCCACTGCAGAAGAACCGTTGGAACCGCCTCCGAAAGAGGCTCAAGAGGTTCCGAAAGAGCTGATCGAGGTCCCGCCGAAAAGCAACAGCCATTGGGAGTCTGTCAGAGCCAAGGCACCGCAGGCCGTTGCCAAAGCCAGATTCGTCAGTTTTTTATTCTGAAAGAAGGTTTATCAAATAATAAAATTTTAATAAGCGTTTTAAAAATGGTGCAAATAACTCTTTTTTTTTGCTCTAGAGAGGGCATTCGGCAAAAATCTTCAGTAAAACGTTTGATTTCAAATTTTTTTTTTCCTTTCAGTTTTAAGTTTAGGATGGGATTATGTTTTCGATTTGAAAAGAAAAGGCAAGTTCAAAGAGAAAAATCATGCAACTTTTGATTTATCAATTATTGCGCGTATGGGTGTTAGATTGCGTCGATCTGCAAACCGGCGCATTTTAATTTTAAAAATTTCGAATCAATTTTTTTTTCAAATTTAGCGTTCTCTGGAGCATGGTGGTTTGAGGTTTGTATTATTTTATCAAATGGTCTATATTTTGCCACGAAAGGTTGAAAAATAAAGAGATGCAAACTTTTTTTCTTGCTTTGAGGGTTTCATCGCATTTTCTACACTATAAGGTAACTGGAAGCTTTCAAATAAGCTTATAGTTTTGTTAATTGCGGGGACTTTATATTTATAAGTATAAAACTATTGAAAATTTGTTCAAAACTAAAGAAAAACGAGAAAAAAAGTTCCATTAATGAAAATTTCAAAACTTCGTAAAAAAAAACCGATTTTCATTTAGGACGATTTTCGCGCGAACCCTGTCGTTCTGGACTCGAACAAAGGCGAACCACCGCCAGAAGGACGACGAAATGCCGTTCTCATGATGAAGAGCAGCTTCGGAGACGTTGTCAAAACGGCAATGGTTAAAAAAAAAGATGATTGGAAAAAAGTCGAAAGAAGCGACCTCATTTCGTAATTTAGAATAAAAGCCGAAGCTTCCGCTTTAGAAATATGAAAAAATTCAGGTTCCTATGAGAACGATAACGCATGAATAAATTCTTGTTAAGAAATCCAATAAACAACTTTTTTCCAACGAAGTATTTTTCAATAAAGGCGCGCGTGAAGAAGAGTTGAGCCGGGAAAGAAAAGTGAAAAACGGCGGATAATCAAGGAGATGGGCCTGAATAGGCGCCAGATTATCTCCATGGTTATCATCATCGTTATCGTCCTCGGGCCTCGCATGGTTTTCCCGCGCTCTCCTCTTTTTCTGCGCTATTTTCCTTGTTTTTTTAGCTTCGAATAGCTTAGAAGTTTCCAGACTATTTTGTATAACTATCACTTAGAAATTGGGTTTGACAAAAAAAAAATGAAGAAATTAATAAGTTCTTTCTGTTCCTATTTGATTGCTTTCCCAGTGCCAGTTTTTACGTATTTTTTTAAATTTTGACTTGAAAAAATCGCTAGGAATTTCGATGTTAAAAAGAAAGGATAAATTATTTTAGCACTATTTTTATGGTGTTCTCAGTTTTGAATTTTTCATAAGATTTTCAACTTGATACAAGAAAGGTACAATGAAATCATTGTTACACAAATTCAGCACCAATTTTGAATTTGCCTACTTTTTCCCTTTTTTCTCGCTTTTCTAGTTTTTTTTTGTCAATTTTACCTCAGAGAACGCTGTCGAAAAACGAAATAAGTCATTATAAACCTGTTTTAAAAAATAGATTTTAGTTGGTAAGAAACTGGATGACTGCCATGGAGCACGACGAGCACGAAACAGAGCCCTGTAGAAGTTCAACTACGGCAGTTTTTGAACCGGTTTGATTTCTTTTACTATTTTTTGTCTCTTAAATTCAATATTTTTCGTTCCTCTTGGTTATTAATCACACATTGAGAAACTCTTTATAAAAAATCGGCCATTGAATAACATTGAGAATTATGTCTGTAATCTGGAGCCTCGTAGGACCCTGTGACGGACGAGGCAGCCGGCTTGTCTGAAGACAACGATCTTTTGCCGGAAAATCCTACCGGCTGGCGGATTTTCCTCGATGTCTTGGAGGACCGGATAAGGTAACGATTTTCAGAACTCTCTCCAAATTTGTCAAAATTTAAGGAAAATAATTTTCTTCTACGTCAGCACCAGTTCAAACTTGCAATATTATTGGACGGCTCTTGTTGCCACCGGCGTTTTTTATAACACTCTTGCTATGGTAGTTATAATTTTATTCATTACCCCAGTTAGGAACGCCAAAGTGGTCCTTATAGGGTCTAAGGGAAAAAGCAGCCTCTTGAGGGGTGAAAGTTAATTGGCCATGTAAGGGTTTAGAGTCTGGCCCTAAATCTCAAGTGGTCCTTTAAGGATCTTTAATTTTTTTTTTCATTTAGACTTGTAAATTAAGAAGAAAAAAATTGATATATTCATCCTCTGATGATAATTTTAATCAAATAACGCTAATTTATTGAGCTTTTCGCATGGAAATCGATTAGTATGTCCCCTATAGGGACCACTAACCAAAACCCCTATAGGGATAGATAAAGTGGTCTCTAGAGGAGGACCTTCAAGGACCTTTGATTTTGCTCCATATAGGGTCCACTCGGGAGTTCCTTAGGATTCACCATCATTTGAAACAGTCTGACTTGTCTGCGCTCTCTTTCTTTCTTTTCTCTGAATATGGAGGTCAAAGAACGTTGTTGAGGCATCAAGAGAGCGCAGACAGGCCAGATTTTTTCAATTTATCTTTTAAAATGTGATTTTTGAATAAAATCCTCTAGGTGATATTCATTTTTGACGACGTTTTCAATGGTTATTTCGGCATTTGGCTCTGGTTCAACTCTGTATTTGATGCGATTTTCGTCATCGATATTTTAGTCCAAGCAAGAACTAGTAAGGACATTCCAGTATAAATTGAGAAAATTGGAAAAGTTCCAGCTTTCTTGTTCGACGGATCTGAAGTCAAGAATACAGTGAAGATGTGGAAAAACTACGTCGAGAGGTTGTTTTTTCGCTGTTTTCTGTGGTTTTCTTTATGAATATGATCGATGGCTGGCTGTAAAAATTTAGTAAAAACTCGGTTTTTTTGAATAAATTTGTGAAGTTTCTGATTAGAGTTCACAACAAATTTCTTCTTTGTCCTGACGTTTTTTAAATTTGATTTTTTTCGAAAATTACTACTTATGCGAAAAAATTTCTGGATTTATTTCAAGTGCTTTTCAAGCGATTTTAAATACTTTCGCTTCAAGACCCACGACTTCGAGTATTAGAGTCGAAATTGAAAAAGCTAAACAATTTTTGAACTGACTATAGCTGATTCACGGCTGTCGTGAGCTATCGAAAGAAGGGTCCTGATACGAACAGAAAAGAGATAGTATCTGTTCAAAGGAGAGCGCAGACAGGCCACGCCCCTTTGAGCACCAAGCTAGCCACGAATCAGCTAAATAAAATGAACAAGTGAATTACTAAATTTTATAAAGATCAATGAAAATTGTAAGAGTTTTTTGCAGCTCAAGAATCTTCCCAGACTTACTAGCCTTGGCTCCTTTAGATTTATTACTTCTGATAAATCCGACCATTTCTATGTGCCGATCCGTCCGACTTTTCAAAGGTATCGGTAAATCAAATTTCACAAATGGGCTTTTTTCCAGCTTATCGTGTCCTGGACTTTGTTGAGACCACTCAAAAAAGGACCGTTTTCCCTCACGCGACGAAAATCGCCTTTCTAATGACGGCTTGCTATATTTTGTTCCATTGGAATGCTTGCGTCTATTTTCTCTTTTCCTTGTTTGAAGGATTGTCAGGTTTTTGAAATTTCTTAATTTTTTCTGATCTAAAAAAGTCTAGAAGACGACACGAGCGCCTTCGGATTCTCTTACTACAAAGTTTTCGATCCTCGTTTTCCACTTTGCACGGTTTATCCTTTTTGCAATTCTGAAAGAATCTCTAAATTTCAGCCTTTTCATGATGACGACTGTTGGTACGACGAAAACACGAGCGTTTTGGATTTGGACGACGAAAGACCGAAGTATATGCAGGAAATGTTCGAGTACTGGAATGTTAGGGGGTGAGATAAAAATGGGCTTCTAAAAACTGTTTTTTTTATGTTGCAACACTAATTTGAACAAGGCATAAAAAATCCCAAGAATAGTACTTTTTCACTATTTTCGATTAATCTGAGATCAGAGTGACCTTGTTAGGGTGTATTTGAAGCGAAAAACTGTGGCTTGGAAATTTTTCTTTTCAAGGTCCCATTTTAAATTAAATTATCTTGAGTCTGGAATATATTACTTAAAAAGGGAGATGTAACATTTGATGAATTTCTTGAGCTCAGAAATATTAAATTTTTGTCAAGTCTTTCAGGTTCACAAAGTTTGTGATGGGAAACTTTTCGCGAGAGTACAGCATGTCCATCTATTGGTCCTCACTCACCATCACAACTTGCGGTCAACAAGTAAGTCAATTTACTGTTTCAAGACTTTCCCAAAGCTCTTTTCGAAATACATTGTTCAGTTCGGCGAGAATACAAGGTGCTGTTTGTGAACTGGGCCGCTCGAGGAAAACTCGAAAAGCGGTCATTTTTTTTCTGTTTTTTCACGACCGGTTTTCTAAATTTTTACTCATTTTCAACTTTGCGCGTCGAGTCGCCCCGGAGCGACTGCTTCGAATTGCAGGGCGCCCCAAAATTTCATTTTGCAGCCTTGGCCCTCGACTTCGCCTCAGAATATGCTCGAAGTGATCAATACGTTGATCGGCGTTCTCGTGTTCGCTACCATCATTGGAAGTGGGGTTTCTTTCTTTTTATTATTTTTTCTTGCCCCAAAATTGGTTAAAACAAAGTCTTGGTTTCAGTGATACATATGATAGTTGGCAAAATACTTTCAGCGTGGACGGCGCTAGTCCAATCTCAAAAATCAAAATGTCTTTTTTTTAAAGTTGAATTGATTGGCAAAAAGCCGATTTTTAAATTTAAAAAATTATCGGAAAAAAAGACTTGTGTGTCGCGAGTCATGCTCATCACATGTATGGTTTCAGCTCTCAAAAAATTAAAAGATTAGACTGGTTTAAATCAGCCTAATCATTCCATAAAGATATCGGTTTCGAAACACGCTTATTATTTAATTTCCAGGCGTCGGTAACGTTGTCACCCAAATGAACCAAAGTGTATACGATTTCCGTGAAAAAATGGACGCCATCAAGTTTTATATGAAATACAGGTTGGTTTCAACTAAAAATGTCGATTTTTAATGAAAACCTCTGGATGCACGTAAAAATCTATCAGGTAAAAATTTTTAATGGCGCTCACTGTACTTTAAAAGATACCTTATAAAGGATCTTTTTATTAATTCGAACTCGGAGTTTTTGAAAACGTAAAAAAAAAACTTTAGCAGCTTTTTTTCCAACTCGGACCTTGGTAACCCAAGTCTGACGCGTCCCGGAAGTTTCTGAGAATTTGAAGTGATCACTTAAGAAAACTGACGCGGCCAGAGGGGTCACTAAAATGTTCAAAAACGTCCTGAGCGGGCCCGGTTTGCGTTACAAAGTCCGTGCACTTTCCTCTTCGAAATCTGAGAATGGGGCATCAGAACCTTTCAGAAACGTCCACGCGGCGATCCAAGAACGCGTTTTGTCCTGCTTCATGTACTTGAATACCCACAATCAGCTCAACGACGAGAAAGTGATCACTTCCATTTTGATTCCCGGCAAAATTGAAACATGCCCAGGAAGTTCTCGACGTTCTGCCGACTCGTTTCCAAGGACACATCGCTGTGAATCTTCACATGGAGACCTTGAAAAGGGTTAAGCTTTTTCAGGTATTTTTTCAATATACTTTTTTCATTTTCTTTTCTGAGAAAAAAAGTTGTTAACAGACTTGCGACGCCGGATTTCTTTACGAAGTCGTCCAGCTGGTCAAGCAGCAAGTCTATTCACCAAACGATTATTTGTGCAGGAAAGACGAGAAAGCGAAGGTAAGGTAATTATATTTCAAAAGAATGCATCTGAAAATTTGCTTTCAGATGTAGCTGTAACTTCATTTCAGACTCTTTTCCCGATTGATTCAAAAAATTGAGAATTTTAGGCCTTTTTTTGTTGAATGTTCCAAAAGAGTGTGAAAAAAACATTTGAGCTCTAATTTCGGCACTCATTCAAAAGCTGCGCCCGACCTTGCGCGACTTTCCTTATATGCTGTTGAATGCTACTTCGCGCAAGTAGTTTATCGTCGGACATGCTAAACAGTAACCACGACATTAAGCCATACTAAATGCCTTTTTTGACAAATTTGTTTGCAGGAAATGTTCATTGTGAAAAAAGGAACGCTCAGCGTTATCGATGACGACACTGGCGTTGAACTCGAGGTGATTAAACTTTTTTTGGAATAATCCCTGAAAAACTAACTAATCCAGACACTTAACGAGGGTGCAACTTTTGGAGAACTCTCAATTGTTCGGGTGCGAGGAAATCTTCTGGGGGATCGCCGGAGCGTGTCCCTCAGATCTGTTGGTAAGTCTATCAAGCCGCAAAAGTCAAAAGTAGGCTCTATCCCGACAACATTTTCGAATCGATACCTTAAAAAGGAATATTTTTTAAATTGTAAATGAAGAGGCATGAATAGCGTGAGTCTATACTTAGGACGCGCTAAAAAAAAATTTCGTTCAAAAAGTTTTTCAAACTTCACGTGTAAGATTGTATAAGTATAGGGTTGTAAGAATGAATTTTGCTGAAAAAAATATTTATTCTCGTAAAAATTACTGATTTTTCTTAAAAAGAAAAATTTAGAGAAATTTAATTTATTTAAAAAAAGCCGCATGTTTCTCACGTTCAGAAATATTTCAATGTTGAAACATTAGAAAAATTAGCTAAATTAATAGTCTTTTTCTCTTTTTTTCTATTATCACAATTTGCTGTGAAAAAAATTTCAGCCTGCGAGAAAACAGCAAAAAAGCTTGAGTGAGTTAAATTATGACGCATCATGTGTCAAAATCATTTTTCTCAACTTGAAAATGTGTTTGAAGGCTACTCTGACGTTTATGTCTTACATCAAGACGACGTCACGCGAGTTCTGCGAGAGTATCAAAAGGACCGAGAAAATCTCATTCGCAACGGTTCGAATTCTCGCCTATTTTTCATTCTAGCTGTTATCAGCACGTCAAATGCTCCACGAGCGAGGTCTTCTGGAAACTAGTGAAAACGGAGAAATCGACTACGATGATTTTGACGTCGAAGATGAGACTATGGTTGGGAAGAGGAATGAACTGGAATAAGAATATACACAAAAAAAGCGCAGATTGAACTATTATCGGTGGACGAGCAACTGACGAGACTCACCGGTGTCGTCAGGGAGCTAGAAGTGGAGTTGGGCCACATTTACGACTCTTTCACGGTTTTTGATTCTATCCTCAAGTTTTCGCGGTTTCAAACGTCGGGCTGCGGCGTTTACAGCGTGTCGAGATTCGTTTTTGGCGTCATTTCAAAAATTTCCATTTTTCCCTATTTTGGGGACATTATCTTGAATCCTTTGAAGGGTATGTAGATTGATTGACTTCATGAACAAGGACTTGGAAGAATACAGGAGACGTTAGAGTTTGAATTGGCGCCAGAAACGCTTCGCGCAGAAACTGAAATTTCCGAGTTTGAAATAAGTTTTTGAACAAAAATCACGTCCCGACGTTTCAAGCCATGCAAAATTTTTCCATTTTATTGAAAAGCTTCGCAAAAAAAGATGATTTTCCAGCACATGGCCCAGCATTGGAAACAAAGAGTGACTTCTGTGGAGGAAACTTTCACCTACAATGAAAGGCGGATTCGTCGCGACTGTATCCGCGGAATTTTGTGAGTTTTTTTTTCACTAGAACAACAAAATGAATGTACTAAGTTTTTTTTTCTGATTTCAAAGAGTTATCTTTTTTTGAAATCAACAGTACCCATCGCTCAAAACTATGAGATTTTAAAAATTTTTGATCATTTTATGAGTTTCAAATTTTTTGAAAAATTTCCAATCGTTGTGTATGAAAAATCTATCTTTTTGAAATGATTGAAAAAAATGACCCAAACGTAGATTGAGCCTATACTTATGACGCGGTGAGAAAGTTATGAAAAAAAAAGTGGTATCCTTGTAATGCCGTGTTCAAAGTAATTTCGCGAAATGCAAAATGATCTCTGACTCTCCAAAATTTAGTTATATTTATCTTTCTCTGACGGCTATTTTGCATTTCGCGAAATTACTTTGAACACGGCATAATATCGACTTGAATAGTCTTTATATGAACCAACGTTTTCTAACTTCAGCTTGATCGAGAAAAAAAACCTTGATGGGTTTTCGAAAAATTGAAAAGTGAAAAGAATATCTTCATTTTTGAGAACAAAAAAAAGTTCAGGTGCATCGCGAAAACTTTGAAAAGATTTTGAAAATTGAAAAAAATCAAGCTGTGAAGAAAATATTCATAGGACAAAAAAAAAGACAAAATCTTTGGTTGCTCATACTTTTTGCCTGATTGAAAAAATTGAAGGATAAATGATTTAATAATTTCAGCGACACAATGACTGTGAGTGCAGACATACCGAAACTACAACTGGAAAATCTTGCCGGGGCTTGAGAAAAGAATTCCTTCAAAGAGCTTCCAGAAACGTGTGCCAAAGGAACATATTTTACGGTTGTCGAATTTTTATGTCTAGACGGGAAATGAATGATTTTTTCTCTCTCCGAAAAATGAAGTTGTAAGTTTATCCAAAAGAACACGGAATTCCGCCAGTCGCTGTCAGTAATATTTTGACAAAAAGAAATCTTGCAAATGGTAGCTTTTATCATATTCAGCGAAGGAACTGGCTCTGAGCCTCGTTGTTGTTCTTGGTCATGAAAGCCGACTTGACCTCGCCGCTCGGACCGCGTTGGATTCCGGTGTTGTTGATGACTGCTTTCGCTTTAGGCTGTGCTCTGGCGAACACACTGCCACCATAGACCTGGCCACCATAGACCTGGCCACCAATGGCTACCGAGTGAGGCTCTAGAAAGCTTCACCGTCTTTTAGAATAGTGTTTCCTTCAACTTGCCTTGTTTCGAAAGCGAAGCTTGTTCTCTCGTAGCCGAAGCCGCACCGGCTCCTTGATCGCCGCCTCTGGTCATAACGAAGCCAGATTGACTGGCTTAAAAAAAAGCAAATTTTGTCTATTTTTCAGTGTCTTGATGTCTGACTTGTCTGCGCTCTCTCTTCTCTCACCAAGGTCAGAGAAGTAAACGCCGAGAGATCAAGAGAGCACAGAAAGGTCAGACATTGTAGTGACAAAAAAACCTTCGATGTTATTGGCATTGAAGCCGGAGTTCTGGAGAGCGTTGTTGATCTCCTTGTCGACCTGGTCGGGCGTCTTTCCAGTACCCTGGGCCATCGTCTTGAGCTGTTCCTGACGCATCGCCTTCGCGTGGGCCTTGAGGTTGGCCTCCGTCTTCTTGATCACCTCGGCCTGGTTCTTGCCGGCCGGCACGAACACCAGCTCCTTGTTGTTGCCCACGACGGCCTGGCCAATGACTTTCCGGCCGCCGGCGATGCCTTGCTTCACCGCCTGCATTCGTCCTTCTTCGTCGACGACCACGTCACCAAGGACGTCTCCAGTCTTCATCTTGGTCAGATCGGCAGGCGTGCATTCCGCAAGTTGGCCTGAAAAATCGTCGTTTTCCACTTGAGTGAAGAAAATAATGAAAGTATAGGAAACTGTTAAAATATCGTCTCGGGTCAGAAAAACTAGCAGTCCACAATCCGAATTTTCCCTTTTTCATTAATTTCCGGCTAGTTGGAGAGAAAATCTCATTTTTTGTTTATCTAGTGAATATTTTTATGAGAAACTCGCAACATACATGAAAAAAAAAACGCTTTTGGCCAGTAAAAATTGAAATTTGATATTTTTAAAATTCTCCTTGAATCAATTTTCATTGCGAGTCCAATCCTACATTTTTTGAGCTTGCAAAAATTAGCAATCTTGATTTTTGATTAAATTTTTTCTCTCAAGCATTCCACGTCTTTAAAAATTTGATAGACTCGCTTTGAGAGGAAACGTTTATACTTTGAAATTTACATCATATCACTGTTTTAGATTTTACATATTTTATTCTCTCGTTTTTCCTTCTCTCGTTGCACTTTGTTACTCAAAAGTCTCTAAATAAATAAAACCTCTATCATTTTCAAAAAAAAAAAAACTGCACATTCATTTTCTACGCCTCCCTAGGAAGGCAATTTCAGTCATAACTTCAAAAAAACTGGTCAAAACACTAGAAAAATATTCTGAAAGTATCAAGTTGCAAAATTCCCAAATTTTTGAAAAAAAGATCCTTCAAACTGTAATTTCTCTGTACTAAGACTTAGAAGCGGTTTATTAAGAACCTAGAACTTTTTTCATAGTTCAATATGTCTATTCAAAAAAGATAATTTTTAAACAGACAACTATTCTTTCTTTTTAACAAAACCAAGACTCACCATCCTGACCGCCAATCTTCTGGCCCATGACCTGGACAAAGTGAACTTCTTCGCCCTTCTTGATGAGGACGCCATTGGCGGCGTACTTGTCCTTCGGCTTTTCCGTCACGACTTTCATCACGGGCATTCCATTTTCTCCGACAGCGGCCTCCACGGGAACGCCCACTGTAGATCAAATAGCATTTTCAAAGAGTCCTTATGATCCTTCAGACTTCCTTCCTCGGTGTTGCCAATGAGTTTTTGCATATTCTTGTCAGTACACTGGACGGCCATGACGCCATTCAGAGCCTTTCCGTTGACTTCTTTGCCGCCGGCGATCTGATCCGGGACGAAGACCTCCTTGCCCTGGGCGTTCGTCACCAGCTGGCCCTTCACGTAGCAATCGTACTTCTTCTCCCAGTTTTTCGGCAGCTTTTCCTCCATTATAAACTGAGGAGTGCCTGGAAAACGAAAACCATCGGGAATTGTATGACGGTGTCATTATACTATTCGGATTGAATTAATTAAATTTTTTTCAGATTACTTTGTTCAGATTGTTCAGATCCTTGACGAACCTTTCTGTCACAAGGATTATTAGTCGCCGGATGAATTTTTGATAAAAGTTAGGCGCTTTGAAGCTTCATATCTTGAAAATTTTTCTTTTTCTGTTTTATGGAGGACTAAGAGTTCCCTCACACCAAGTAACAATATATTTTTTTCCCTCACCATTGTCGCCCTTGACCAAGACTCCTCGGACGCGGTCGACACCTTGGACATGAGGACCGACTTTGTCGTTTTTGGTTGTTTCGATCGGGACAAGCGCGCAAGCTCCGCCAGCGCCCTGAAAATGAGTTTTCGAAAAATAATTGAATTAAATTTTTCTGTGGCTATAGACAACGAATCCATCTCAACCTTAAAAACAACCTAAATCTCATTTTTAGCGGAAATATTCACAAATTGGCTCTTTTCATTCGAAAGGAAGCCAGAAGTTCAAAAGTAAATCTTCCACTTCCCAAACTCGATTTGAGCTTTTCAGAATTTGCCAAGCTTCACTCATTTTTGACTGCCAATGCCTTGTAAAAGATACTCGCAAATTTGCAGAGGGAAAAACTTAGGAAGTTTCAAATGAATCATTGAAAACCAAAAATTATGATCAGTAATGTCTAGTGACATATCTGTGTGACGGCTAGATTTTTTTTTCCACTACCAACACTTTCTAAACCAATTTCTCAGGTCACTGCCGGGATCGAACTTGTGACCCTGTGGACCGTAGACAGGCACAAAACCTGTTGCGCTACGGAGCGCCGCATTTTTCATTCAACCATGGGTATTCACATACCACAACCATGACGTAGTCGGGAGTGATGGCTCCGTCGGGAGCGCCACTGGCGGCGGCGGCGATCATCTTGTCGTTCATCTCCTTCTCCATCTGTGGCGGCACCTGGCCGGACGCCTTGGCCAGCTCCTTGATCTGCACCTGACGGAGAGCGTCGGCGTTTTCCTTGGCGAGCAGCTCCAGTTTCTTGGCAATGTCGGGCGTCGATCCGTTCGGGACGTAGAAAATCCGATTGTCCTGCCCGATGATGGCCTTTCCAAGAACTTTGCGTTTTCCGGCGGTTCCCGGCTTGACGCCAACAATTTTTAAGGTTTCGTCGACGACAATGTCGGCGATATGGTCGCCGGGCTTCAGTTTGTTCATATTTTCTGGCGTCATTTCTATGAGTGGAGCACCTGGAAGAGAAGATTGTGAGACAAAGGTTGACGAAAATTAAATTGAAAACCTTCTCCAGCTCCAATCCTGTGACCCAAGATTTGGGCAAAATGAATTCTTCCCTCCATTTTGATAAGCAGCGCGACGGGCGTGTTTCTGTTCTGAGGTTTTTCGTTGAGGGGAACCATCAGAGGGAGGCCGCTCTCGCCAATCGCCACCACCACAGCCAGGCCCACTGGAAAAATCGAAAAAAGTTACGGAAATTTGTCAGAGTGAGCCCATTTTGAGTTCTTCAAGATATTTATCCTCAATTTGAAATTTTGGGACCTTTAATCCGTTCTCCATATGTGGCGGCACCTGGCACCGCATTCAAGCATTTAAAAAATTTGGATAAACCGACAGAAAGACGCTTTGAAGTATAATCAAGAGACTTCGCTTATAAATTCTCATGAAACTCGTGAAAAACCGGCAGAGCTAAAAATATCAAAATCTGTTTCAGGTAACTTTGCACTGCTTTATAACTTTTAAAAACCGAGCTTTTTCCCTTAAAAATCATTTTTTTTTATTTTTCAAATAACGGCAGTTTAGCGATCATAATTTTAAACCAAACTTATGAAATTGCACTTTACTCAGTATTCATTCAATTTTTTTTTCTTCAAGTTTCAGGAAACTCAATTCAGCTAAAAACGAATTGATCAAAAAAAAAAACTCGGTACTCCATAAGTTACTCAAAAGTTACCTTTCAAACTTCATTTTTTAACTTCACCCCAAATAACTCATAAAACAAACATCCATCCGGGAATTTGGCGAAAATATCCTGGACTTTCTTCTCGGCCGGTGTCTCCGGCGAGATGAAGACCGGGATGGCTTTTCCGTCAATCTTCTTGCCGCTGCCGGCCGTTTCCGGGACGAAGATCTCCTTGCCCTGGGCGTTCAACACCAGCTCGCCCTTGACCGAGGCGTCAAACTTGACTTTGAAATCTGAGGGAATCTTGTCTTCGGGAAGGAACTGTGGGCAGTCTGAAAAAGATGGGAGATTGACGTTTGTTTTGTGATATCTTCACCGCAAGGTCCTTTAAGCAAAACGCCGCGTAAGTGGTCTTTTCCAGTAGCACGAGGGCCAGCGTTATGGTTGTTGGTCGTGTCGATAGGAACCATAACCAACGCCCCACCGGCTCCCTGAAACGTCAAATCAAGGTGTTCCTACTAAAGGTATTCTCGATATGACGCAAAGAGGGGTCCTTTTTCAAAAAAATCAGCCTTCAGATCGACCCTAATAAAGATACCAGTATGAAATCCGTTGCTTCAGAAAGTGTCTTTTCAAGTGTCTTTTGTTGGAAAAAAGAAAGTTTTTTTTGACTGTATTCATAAAAGAATTACTAAAAAAACAGCTAAAAATATTTCCATGCACTGAAAAAACTCCAGAGCGGAAAAAAATTATTTCTCGAAATATCAGAGACAAAAAAAAAAGATCTGTCTCAAAATGCGAAGCTTTTCAGAGCTTTCAACCAAGCTCTTCTAAATTGAAAAACCCCAATTTTGCTGTGAAAAATGTTTGTCCGGCTTTCTATAAAAGGAAAACTGACAATGGTAAGAACAAAGTCGGGCGTAAAGGCGTTTTCGATTTTGTCGGCGATGTCATCTTCTTCGTCGTCATCGACGTGTCGGAGGGCGTTGAGTTTGCTCAAATCAAGAATTATTCTCGATTTTCTCAAAGATTCAAACTCTCTGTCGCTGCCGTCGTCGGCGCCCTCCTTCTCCTTGGGAGCCTTTTTGATCTTCGCAGGTCGTTTTTTCTTGTGCTGAGAGCAGCGCATGACTTTCTTGTTGGGTAGTCGCTTGCATTTGTCGCACAAGATGTTAGTCACCTGCAGGTTTCACATGGAAGCTCATTTTTATTTCTTTTTTCCCATTTCCTATTCCAGAAAAATTGTGTCGAATTTATTTCAGCAAAACGGTTAACTGTAAATAGGAATAGGATATGTCACTATTTTGAAATTTCTTTGTGTCGCAGTTTTGCACTGAAACAATCTTTTCATCTTCCTCTGAAAACTATGAAAGTATTAAATAATAAAATCATTACGAAAAATCGCTCTCAGATGCATCAGATCGCCTTCTTTTGGTTTCATCGTTCTGTTTCATTTTTTTTAACCAGATCTTCTTGAATTATGAAATGTTGCAGTATTGTAAGTAACACTTAACTGAAACTTAAATTCAACTTATTTATTTTTATTTAATCACTCATTTTTTTCAAGAAAAATACTTCTCAATTTTTCTCGGTATTTTTACAAGTTATTCGAAAAAAAATAAACCTGCTCAAGAAAAGTCCCGTTAAAATCTAATAATTATTAAGCGTGAAATCTATATCATTTTTCAATAATCAAAGCGTGAAACCTTTTGACTCCAGGGGCCCAAAATTCAAAACTTGATAATTTTTTTTCTCGTGGTGTCCACTTTTTAAATTTTTTTTCGCAACGGAGACTCACCAGAAGGTACTCGACCTTATCCTTGGTCACTCGATAGACGCCGAAGCCGGGCTGGAGTTTGATGTCGGGGAGGTCGCCGGCCTTTTGCAGCTCCAGCACCTCAGCTTCTTTGAGCAGAATTCCCTCGCCGCGGTCGATCGCCGCCGCGAGTTCTTGTTGCGTCGGAGGGGGCATTTTGTTGAATCAGCTATTTCCTCTCCTCCAAATGACAATGAGGATAAGCTGCATTGAAAAAGGGAGTACTTGGATCAGAAGTGTAGAAAGGACGAGAGCCAATCGTCCAAACACTTGAAAGCAATGCCGAGCCGACGCGTACGCTCATTTCTGCGCTATAATGTTTTTCTCTTTGGGAACTATTTGAAAGTTCAACTTTAAAGTTTTATCGCGAGATCTAGAAAGATCGGTGGCTTTTATAGTTTGTTCAGATTTTTAATGTCAAGTGCAATGACGTCATTCAAAAACACTGTGGATGGCTCGCTCTCTGATTGGTTTATCGCACCATTAGGGGCGGAGCTTGAGCGACGACTTGACATTAAAAATCTGAACAGACTATATTAAAGTTAAAGGCTTACGAAATCTTGAAGAAAATGGAGCTTTACAGTAACTTAAACCTATTTTTGTAACAAGAAAATAGTAATTTGAGTATCTTGGGTATAACTTGAACCCATGACCGCAGTTGGAATGTCTTAACGCGTAGCGGTAGCGAACCAATCGCTTTGATCTTGTATCCGACTCTAAACGATTTGCGCAGAAAAGCATCGGAGACACGATTTATAGTCCAGAGTCTCAATTGAGCCATTCCAACTGCGATCACAGCTCTTATAAACGCAGAAAAAAAAACGTTTTGAGGTAACATATTCCGAAAAACTTCGAAAAAGGTGAAGAAATAATTGTCTGATCTCTCAAAATCAAACGGCATTGACGTGTTTTGATTCCCCACGAGAATACGTGTTTCGAAAGGTAACAGACACGCAATTTTTTTCTTCTTCATCATCAGAAGTTCAATTGAGAGAAAAATACAGAGAAGAACAATAGAAATTCTGAAATGCATCAGAAACCGAAAACAGTGAGAGTATGAATAACATTGATTTTCAAAGGCGGTAAATATGGGAGTGTCTTGAAAATATTATCAGAGTTTACAGTTATTCTTTGTTGCGTAAAAGGGCAAACAAATTGAGGAAGTTTAGAATAGATTTATTGAACTAATATGGTTAGAAACGGTAGATCGAAAATTCAAGCCTTTTTCGTAGTTTCTAAAGGAGAAATTGGAATGTGAAAACTTAAAGGAAAAAATAAAATACGCAAATCTGGGGAGAAAAAAGAAACTTTTTCTGTGATCTACTGGAGGATTTGACTGCCTGGGTGCGTCTAAAATTAATTTTGACCTATTTTTTTGTTGACCTAAAAGTTCTTGAAGCTTCTTTATAGTTCCATATTTGCTAAATTAAAAAGTACAAACTTTAACTTTAGAGAAGTCGGAAATGAACTTTGGAAAGGGATAGTCAAGAAAAATTAAAATTGAAAATAAACTTCCTAGGGTCAGAACAAATTTTCTTACCAAAGATCCTTAGGAAAAGAATAAAAGAAAATTTAAAAAAATATTTTGGAAGAGAGAGAGAAAGGAGAAGCCTTTTGGTTGAATTTTTGTGACTTGCCAGCTGTAAATTAAATCGAGAATGTAGACTATGAAGAAATAGCTTCGAAACTGTGAGCTTTAAAAATTCAAAAGTTGAAAGATATTAGAAGAAGAAGGAAAATTCCAGTTCGATTTCTGGAAAAATTAGACGACCTAAAAACTTTGTGTTTCGAAAAGATCTGGAAACAAATTTGAAAGCCGTCTGCAAGGTAAAGGAACATGATCAAGTTGATCAATCCAAGGTTTCACAAATTGTTTTTTTGATAGACATCAACACCGAAGAAATAGTGCGGTGAATGAGGAGAGTGTTGTTTTGCAGAAGACGTGCGGTGACGTGATGAACCTGTAGAAATGTTGCAAGTGAAACCTCGTGGTCCAAAATATTTCACCGGTATTTAAAGGAGTTTTCCGAGGTCAGTGGACCAGAATCTTTTTTCCATTTCACCTTTGTCTATGCTTTTGTCTTTTCGACTATGAAAAGCTTCAATAGACGCTTTCAGACCCCTTCAATTTTTATTTTACCTTTGAAGAACTGCATTTTTCGCAACAATCTACTTGATATTTCTATTTGTCGCGAATTGAAAAATCATTTTTGCAAATGGAATGGTCAAAAGGATCGCGGTAGTCTTTCTATTATCTAACGCGAACCTCGGTAACGCAATCCAGACGTTTCTGGGTTTTTGTAGTGAACGCTTAAGGGTGCTGATGCCGCTAAAGGGATCCCTTGCTCAGAAACGCCCGAACGCGTCCAGTTTGCATTACCGATGTCCGAGAACAGTTTCCTTCGACACCTTTTCCCCTTCGAGCGCAAGTCGTTTCGGGTCGGGCGCGCATTAAAACAACCCGCAGTCGTTCCATATGCAACCACGTTTTCTTTTTTTTTTAGCCAACGGTCAAGAATGAAATTTCAGAATGAAGGCGCTGTGTCTTCTACTTTTCATCGCGGCCAATGAGGCGACGCGTCTTCCGATCGGTATGTCTTCTTATCCTTTTTAAACTTTTAAAAACTTTGAAAGGTTAAAAAGAAGGTCGAAAATTCAAATTTTTTTTAGAGGGAGTCGGTCACACCAATCAAATGGATTCGCAGGATATCATAAGAAGAGATTCTCCTGCTCCATTGGTATTTTTCATTTTGAAAAATAATTACAATTTGAAATTCAAGGAAAAAGAAGAAGGTCACGCCCGAGTCGAGCGAATGATTGTTAGAGGCAAAAGAGACGCGGTAAGCTTCAAAATTTAATTTCGATTCGAAATTCGGATTTACAGCAAATCAACCACCGAATTGAGCGCAACACAGGAAAAGTCTCTCAAATGGACCCCGTAGATGGAGTCCCACTAATTCCACAGGCTTCTCCCATGCAAGCCCCGTTTATTGGCAGAAAGAAGAGAGAAGTAGAGGTCAGATTTTCAACTCAGAAGGTTTCTGCAAATAAATTTTTCAGCCGATCAACCACCGAATCGAGCGCGACACGGAAAAAGTCTCGCAAACGGAGCCGGTTGATGGAACTCTACTTGTTGAACAAGAGGTTAGCTTTTGATTTTAAAAGATTTTTCAAAATCCTGATTTTTAGCCAATCACCCATCGAATCAAGCGAACTGGAAAAGGCCGGAAGAGAAGAGCAACCATTGAAACTCCAGTCGCAGAACCTGTGGTCGCCGTCCCAGCCGTCAGAGTCAATCCAGGAGTGGAGCCTAGCGGTGAACCATTCAAAGAATCCATCGGAGGAATGGGTCACAGACAGAAAAGACAGGCTACCCCATCGGATGTTGGTCTCGGTTCTTCATTGAAAGGCAAAAGAGACACGGAAGCTGTTCGACAAATGAGCTCAAATGGAGAAATGAATGGAGCAAGAAGTCCACGAGATTTCGCCGAGAAGAAAGGCGGAATGGGTCAAAGAGTGAAAAGACAATTGATGCTCACACCCTCTGATATCGGTCTTGGTGCTTCTCTGAAGGGAAAGAGAGACACGGAAGCCGTCAGAATTGTTGAGACGATTAGCCCGAATGGAGAAAGAGGTGGATTCACCGAAAGAGAGAAGAGAGGATGGTTCCTCAACGCCAACTCGTTCAGAAGAGGCAGCAGAGACATCGATCGTCGTATGGAACTTCGAGACTCGCGATTGCCAGAACGACATGGACGCGAAGCTGCACCGGCGAAGAAAACTGAAGACAAACTGGAGATAACGGAAGTTCGACGACAGGAAAGGACAATCATCCCTTCAGCGATCGCTTCTCCTGTAAATGCTCCCCACACTCCTTACCAGCCAGCCGTCAAGGGAAAACGTGAAGCGGAGTCTCTTTCTGAAGACAATACCGAAAAAATGGTCCTTCACCGGGAAGATCGCTCAACCGAAGGCATTTTGCCTGTAGGAGCAGGTCTTGGACGGAAGAAGCGTGAAGCCGAAGTGAAGCACACCGAGTTGAAGGCCAAAACTACCGAAGTTCGCCCGAAAAGGACGCTTGCACCTGATGCGGATCAAGTCACGTCCAGCTCCTCGACTCAGACCGAAAAAGTAGTCAGTCTTCCTGAAGCTGACCCTCTGGCCGTCAGTAAGACGTCTCTTCACGCCGAGAAGACGTTCGATCGTGCCGACCGCAGTATCAGCGCAGAAGACTTGGGACTTGGCCGAGGTCAGTACGCTCCCGTCGGACTTGCTGCTGCTACGCCTTACGGAGGAGCCTATGGAGCTGGGCTGGCACCTGCTGTGATCGGGAAGAAGTAGTGAGTAGCAAGGAGAAACTGATAAGGTGAGGCCTATTACCTTTTTCAATTAATCTAAGAGTTAGGTTTTTTAGAAAAGCTGAGATCTTCAAAGAAGCTGAAAAATTTTGAAAAGTTAGGCATTTCTTTCACTGTTAGAGGAACAAAAAACTTCAAAAACTTCTGAATCTCCGCTTTTAGCACATTATTTTGGCAATCGGGTTAAGACCCTCAAAAAATATTCTATCAAACAAACGGTTTTTTAAAAGCTTGTTTTCACAGAAAACTTTGTTTAAAAACAAAATAAACATTTTCAGATCAATCTTCACTTCCACAATCGCTCTTTCATGTGAACGGCTCTACCATCTTCACATCCCACTATGTACAAATTATTCTTATTTTTTTTTATGTGTCATTTTTGTAAATAACTGTACAAGACTTGAAACAAAGCAAAAAACAAAGCATTGATTTTTTGTTTGTTATTTATGATTGCGATAAATTTTCTACTTTCTAAATTTTCTATCACTTACAGAAACAAGAAACCGTGAATAAAATTCAATAAAAATTCAGTGGCAAATCACATTTTCATGTTTTTTTCCCGTTGCTCAACTCATCAGATCGAAAAAGATTCGAGTTTTCAAAAAAACAAAAAAAGGTGATAGGGAAGATCAAGCCACAAATTGCGGTAGCAGGTTTGGATTCAAGTCTCGATTTTTATTTTTCATTCATAGTCAATAGTTTAGGGCTCATGATACAAAAAAATTAAATTTTCAAAAATATCTAAATATGAAGACAGATCCGCTTGTAAAAGTTTTCATATCCGCGTCTTTCAAAGTGAGTATTGTGTTCCGTGGGCAGGAACTGCGATTTTGGGATGTATCCGAGTCCATACATCACAAAAAATATTCTGGAATCTACAATTTCGATGCTCCAGATCTATCTATTAGCTTTGATAAAAGCTTCATAAACCAAAAAAGGATCTATTATGAAGATTTTCTTCTTTTCCTAGAATCAGGACTCTTAAAGTACAAGAAATGTTTCATTAAATATTCATCGGGGGCAACAAACTTCCTAGTAAGTAATTCTTTCTGATTTTTGGAAAAATTTTCTAACTCTACCTACAAGTTCAAAATCTTCAAATCATTGGAAAACTGGAGGTGAAAATTACATAACCAGCTAACGACAGTTGCGAAAAATTCCGAAAAACGAAATTTGACCTTGCCAACTTTGGAGAGATACAAATCAAGATAAAGCCTGTCCCACTAGATTTTCAACTTTTTGAGCTGTTTTCTCAAGTATAATTTTCAAATCTTCAAAAAAGAACCAACGAGGAAGTGATACTTCTTCATAGATGAAATTTATAAATACAATTTAATAAATACAGTCCAATGAAAAAACACTGTCTGTCGCGTTTGAACATGTTTACGGGAAACATCACTTACGATTCGGCGAAGGGCCGGCAACTCCAGTCTGTTTCAACGAAAAAGCGAAGGGCAGGTCCGGATGACCAAACAGCCTGGCCAACAAACATCAAGGCGTTGTTTACGAGGAACTCCCAGAGAGTCGGAAGGTCACCAAACAGATTTAAGCGAGAAGACGTGCGTATCGGCGAGAAATAGAACTGTTTCTGCTTTCGAACCGGCTTCAAATGAGGTGATATTGAACTGGAAGTCTGTTCAGTGACAAACAGACTCAGGGTCAAAAACAGAGTCGCTGGGGTATAAAAGGATTTTGAGAAACCATGTGTTCAGACCAGCCTTTTCATTCTTCATCTATTACTTACTTTTTATTTTCCGGCTACTTACTCACAATTCGTTTTCAGGATGAAGATCGTGTGTCTCCTCCTCCTCGTTGCTGCTGTTCATCAGTCTCTCCAGTTTCCCCTAGGTTTGTTACCAAAACATCATAAACTCTATTCCATTATTTCATTTTTAAGAAGAGGGAAACGCCCGTAGACTACAAGTCGAGACCAAGCATGAACAACATGCCGAAGTCAAACGTCCGGCTCGAGGAGCAGAAATGAAGACCGAGGAGCAGAGAAGCCACACCGAAGTCAAACGTCCAGCTCGTGAAGCTCAACACATGGCGGAGCAGCAGAATGATCATGCTCAAGCTAAGCGACCAGCTCGTGCGGCGGAAACCAAGACCGAAGATCACAGAAGCCACGCCGAGGTTAAGCGCCCAGCTCGTGAAGCTCAGCAAATGTCGGAGCAACAGAACAGTAACGCCGGAGCCAAGCGACCAGCTAGAGCCGCTGAGCAGATGCATGAGCAGCAGAACAACCGAGCTGAAGCCAAGCGTCCAGCTCGAGGAGCAGAAATTAAGACCGAAGAAAGAAGTCACGCCGAAGTGAAGAGACCAGCTCGTGAAGCTCAACGAATGAACGAGCAGCATAATGGCCATGCCGAGGCCAAGAGACCAGCACGAGGAGCCGAAACCAAGAATGGTCAACAAAATAACGCTGAAGCCAGGCGCCCAGCTCGTGCTGCTGAACCAACTCATCAGCAACAGAACAGTGGAGCCGCAGCCAAGAGACCAGCCCGTGAAGCTCAACAAATGAACGAACAGCAGAGTGGTCATGCCGAGGCAAAGCGTCCAGCCCGTGCTGCTGAACCAAACAATCAGCAGCAGAACAGCGGAGCCGCAGCCAAGAGACCAACTCGTGGAGCCGAAACCAAGACCGAAGAACACAGAAGCCACACCGAAGTCAAGAGACCAGCCCGTGAAGCTCAGCAAATGAATGAGCAGCAGAATGGCCATGCCGAAGCAAAGCGTCCAGCTCGTGCTGCTGAACCAAATCATCAGCAGCAGAACAGCGGAGCCGCAGCCAAGAGACCAGCTCGTGGAGCCGAAGTTAAGACCGAAGAAAGAAGTCACGCCGAAGTCAAGAGACCAGCCCGTGAAGCTCAACAAGCGTCGGACAACAATAACGCCGGAGCCAAGCGTCCAGCTCGTGCTGCTGAATCAAACCATCAGCAGCAGAACAGCGGAGCCGCAGCCAAGAGACCAGCTCGTGGTGCCGAAATCAAGACCGAAGAACACAGAAGCCACACCGAAGTTAAGAGACCAGCTCGTGAAGCTCAACAGATGAATGAGCAGCAGACTGGCCATGCCGAAGCCAAGCGTCCAGCCCGTGCCGCTGAACCAAATCATCAGCAGCAGAATAGCGAAGCCGCAGCAAAACGACCAGCTCGTGGTGCCGAAGTTAAGACCGAAGAAAGAAGTCACGCCGAAGTCAAGAGACCAGCCCGTGAAGCTCAACAAATGAATGAGCAGCATGGGCATGCCGAAGCCAAGCGACCAGCTAGAGCTGCGGAAACCAAAACCGAAGAACACCGAAGACACACCGAAGTCAAGAGACCAGCTCGTGAAGCTCAACAGATGAATGAGCAGCAGACTGGCCATGCCGAAGCCAAGCGTCCAGCCCGTGCCGCTGAACCAAATCATCAGCAGCAGAATAGCGAAGCCGCAGCAAAACGACCAGCTCGTGGTGCCGAAGTTAAGACCGAAGAAAGAAGTCACGCCGAAGTCAAGAGACCAGCCCGTGAAGCTCAACAAATGAATGAGCAGCATGGGCATGCCGAAAGCCAAGCGACCAGCTAGAGCTGCGGAAACCAAAACCGAAGAACACCGAAGCCACACCGAAGTCAAGAGACCAGCTCGTGAAGCTCAACAGATGAATGAGCAGCAGACTGGCCATGCCGAAGCCAAGCGTCCAGCCCGTGCCGCTGAACCAAATCATCAGCAGCAGAATAGCGAAGCCGCAGCAAAACGACCAGCTCGTGGTGCCGAAGTTAAGACCGAAGAAAGAAGTCACGCCGAAGTCAAGAGACCAGCCCGTGAAGCTCAACAAATGAATGAGCAGCATGGGCATGCCGAAGCCAAGCGACCAGCTAGAGCTGCGGAAACCAAAACCGAAGAACACCGAAGCCACACCGAAGTCAAGAGACCAGCTCGTGAAGCTCAACAGATGAATGAGCAGCAGTCTGGCCACGCCGAAGCCAAGCGACCAGCCAGAGAAGCTGAGATGCAAACCCAAGAACAGAGAAGCCACACCGAGGTCAAGCGCCCAGCCCGTGGCGCCGAAACCAAGAACGGCCAGCAGAACAGCAACGCCGAAGCTTCGCGTCCTAAGCGCCAAATCGGAGGTCAAGTCGGTGGCGGTGCCAACGTTGGCGGCCGCAAGAAGAGAGAATCAGACGCCAACTCTCCACAGAAACCCCAGCAAGCCGGAATTCGACAGGCGCGCCAAATCGGCGCCAACGTGGGAGGTGGAGCCCAGATCGGTGGTCGTTAAGGTAAATCACATCTCAAATATAAAATTTTTCAAATAATGATTTTCAGACAGCCGTCGTCAGCGTTCGATGGTACATATTCTCTAAAAAAAAATGTAAATTCATGTCGAATACTGTATAATAAACATTTTTCACTGCAACAGTTTTTCCTGGACGTTAAAGAAGAAAAGTTGAAAACAGCAAGAACCAGTTGGAAACTGTTAAAATTAAAGTAAATAAGAGGGGTTTTCAAACAAGGAACTAGTGTTATATCAACATGTTGTACTTCTGATCTCTTTTTTTAAGTTTGGATCAATTAAAAAAAGTCATACTTTCGGGTGAAAATAATAAAGATTTTATTAAAATGAAAAATGTCTAATAATGAAGCATCTCAAAGAGATACTTATCAATAGACGTTGAGTAATCCTCTTTCCATTTTTTTCTAGAAAAAAATAATTTCTATATAAAACAGAAAGAGCCTAAAATTAAATCTTTGAAAAAACGAATGGAGTTCAGATTTTCCGCAAGTCTGCAGAAATACCAATATGAAAAAATCAACTGGGTGTGAATTGTAATTTCAACCCTTTTTTTCAATCAAAATGTTTTATTTCTCACACAAAAGTTCTAAAATTTATGAAATAGATTTCACTTAATATCAAACTTCTCAAATGACGATTTTCAGACAGCCGTCGGACTTTTTCAGAAAAAAACTTCAAAGATAACTTTACATTCTTACGTATTGACGTTCTCCATTCTTCAATTTTTGAAGAGAAAATGAAGAGTTATTTCACAAAAGTGGTACAAGATAAAAATTCTCGAAACCAGTCAAAACGCCGTTTTTCAATTGTTTGCGAACTTGCAAAAAACATATGGTTGATTTTTTGTTGGCGACGTTTTTGAGAAACTTTTTTTCTTTATTACCTCAAAAAAATAGGCGAAAAAAATAAAAATTTTTTTCTGGAAAAAAATGACTGCTAAGAACTTCAGATCTAGTTAAATTAAACTTCAGATTAATTCAGAAAGCTCTGAAGTCCGTCACCGCCAAAAATTCGACTATTTCTCTTGAATTTTCTATTTCTTGCTAGTTAAACTTATCTGCTTCATATCCTTCAAAGATAATTTTTTTAATAAAAAAAGCCTGGAACACTTCCTTATGAAAAAAATGTTTTTCCAAAAACTAGCAATTCGAAGATTAAAAAGTTTCCACCCCACCTTGATGACCATTTTTCTGCAACGAACGTCCGCATCAGCGTGTTTTGAAAAGTTTTGGACAGTTTGTGATGGCGAGAGAAACTAAAAAAGAAGGAGAGCGAAGAGAAAGACGATGAAGATGATGTGACGATCTCTTAAATTATATAAATATACATATACTTCCTTATTGAAGTCAACATGTTGTCTTTTTTCGACTATTTAAGGATTTGGTTGGAAAGGTTCAAACAGTTCTTTCTTAACTTTGACTTTCTTTAATTTTATGCATTTTCTTCCAAACAAGGAAGGTAATTTAACTTTGCGCATAATTATTCATTCAAAATTGGTCAGAACACTCTCTGATGAACTGGTTGTTTGTTGAAAACTAAAAAATAATACAGTTTGAGTTTCAGGATAATGATAGGATACACTAAAGAGTATTTTTTATCGCGTTTCAGTGAGAATAACAACCGCAAAGTGAACTACCTTCCTCGTGGAAGCAAAAAATATCTTTGAGCTATTCTATTTGAAACCAGAATTTTCAGATGAAAGCTATCTGTCTTCTTCTGCTCCTCGTCCTTGTAGAAGTGTCCTTCCAACAACGTAAGAAAAATCGAAAATTTTCTTCAAAAAGAAGTTTTTTAGTGAACCTGATTCGCCTACGCCAACAAATGGGCTTCCCTCGAGGAAAGCGTGAAGCTGAAATAATTCGCCACGAAAGAACCATTGGATACGGTCCAGTTGTACCATCACCTGGCGTGATCATTAACCGGGCCCGACGAGAAGCCCAGGAAAATAACGAGAAAAAAGAGTCTCTTCACAGCGGAATCAGCCGTCTGATCCGGTCTCCTTTCCGCCGCTGGGGGCCGATTCATTAAAAAAAAGTGGGTTTTTTGAAAACAGTAAACTTATTAATACTTTGATATTCCAGACCACTGCACATAGCTTGAAGCCCCGTTAATCTCCCACCAACACTGTATATTGGAAATTATCAACTTTCACCGATTTTGTACAAAACTGTTATTTGTCTCAAAGCAATAAAGTGTTTGTAGTTTCGATATGTATTTCGTGTTTCAAAATCTTATTTTCAAGAGTTTCAAAGGACATTTGGGCAAACTTGAAGAGAAGACGGATGCCAAATTTAAAAAATCGAAAAAAAAAGTGAAAAAAAAATCCACTGAAGACGTATTTCTGAAAAACGCAGGAGATTTCCAAAAACATTTCTGAAAAAAAGGCGATTCTGTGCTATAAATCCGATTTTTCTTCTTCAAAAAACGCAGAAGTGATTTCTTTACTCAAGAACTACCGACTATCATAAAGGTTCAAGAAGACTTTTAGAGCCATACTAAAACTTACCAAATTGAAAATTAAAGGTGTATCAAAATTAACTGTTTGGTTTTCCGAATTTCAAAAAATATATTTAAACTTTCTCAGCCATTATCAGTACCATCTTTTCAAATATATACGTTCAAAAATTTATAGCTTTTGGTTTTAGCGGAACTACCCAAGTTCAAGGTGAAATCAATAGCTGGTCAAACAGTTTAGATAATTTTTGGTAGCACTCCTCTCCGGAAATATAAAAGTATAGAGATCTGAGAATTGTCAACGAATCGATCTTGATTTTTAACTTTTTCGAAAATTGCCGTCGTTTGAACCAAAACTTTAAAAAGTTCTAGAAAAAGATTAGAACATTTCTTGAAAATCTATTCGCCTTTCAATGGCCGTCTTTCCCGTACAGTATCTCGAAAATTGTATGTTCAACTAGTGATACTTGGCGTACTCCATATCACAAGTCAGTTTGAAAAAAGTAGAGTTCGGAGATCGAAATCTTCTACGCTACATTTCGATGATCACTACGCGACCAGCGAACGTCCGAAACAAACATCAGCGTGTTTTGAGAACTCTTGGACAGTCTGCGAAGGTTAGAAAGGTGCAAGAGAAGGCTATCGAGAAGGAGGGCGTAGAGAACGGCGTCTGAGATGACGCGGTGATCCCTTAAAGGCGTTTTTGAACCGATGGCTATTTCTCCTTGCAAGAAACGTCAACATGTTTTTACTATGGTCTCCTATAAAAGGATATCGCCAGGAAAGTTCAATCAGTTCTCTCACCTTTTCTCATTTGATCGTCTTCTTTTCTACCGATCAGATTATGAAAAATACAAATCCATGTTTTCAGATGAAGGCGATCTGTCTTCTCCTTCTCGTTGTCCTCGTCCATGAGTCTTACCAGCAACGTAAGAAAAGAAAATTGAAATCTTTTCTAAAATATCATTTTCAGTCAATCGACAGCTAGTACTACAACGGCTCAGCCTTGCTGGAAACCTTCGGAACAACCTCCGAGGAAAGCGTGATGCTGAGAAACCGCGCCAAGAGAGAACTATCGGACTCGCTCCAGTAGTTGCTTCTCCAGCTGTTGGATATCAACCAGCTGTTATCGGAAGAAAGAAGAGGGAAGCTGAGCAACTGGCGAAGGTTGAGCAGAAGACTGAGACAACTCAAGTTCGTCATGAGAGAACTATCGGTCTTGCCCCAGTGGTTGCTGCACCAGCGGTTGGCTACCAACCAGCCGTCATCGGACGTAAGAAGAGAGAAGCCGAGGTTCAGCACGTAGAGAAGACTATGCACACTGAAGTTCAACGACCTGAACGTCAGGTTGGCGCTAACCTAGGAGTCGGACTCAGCGCTGGACGCAAGAGACGAGATACCGAGGTTCAACAGAAGTCTGAGAAGACAGCGATCCGTCAGGAAAGAACCATCGGACTTGCTCCAGTCGTTGCAACTCCAGCTGTCGGTTACCAACCTGCCGTTATCGGCCGCAAGAGGCGAGAAGCCGAGGTCCAGACAAAGTTTGAACAGAAGACAGAGCAGACTCACATTCGCCCCGAACGAACAATCGGACTTGCTCCAGTTGTGGCTGCTCCAGCTGTCGGTTACCAACCTGCTGTGATAGGCCGCAAGAAGAGAGATGCTGAGGTCCATACACAAGTTGAGCAGAAGACGGAGCAAACTCACGTTCGACCTGAACGAACCATCGGTCTTGCTCCAGTCGTTGCAACTCCAGCTGTCGGTTACCAACCTGCCGTTATCGGCCGCAAGAGGCGAGAAGCCGAGGTCCAGACAAAGTTTGAACAGAAGACAGAGCAGACTCACATTCGCCCCGAACGAACAATCGGACTTGCTCCAGTTGTTGCAACTCCAGCTGTCGGTTACCAACCTGCTGTGATAGGCCGCAAGAAGAGAGATGCTGAGGTCCATACACAAGTTGAGCAGAAGACGGAGCAAACTCACGTTCGACCCGAACGAACCATCGGTCTTGCTCCAGTTGTTGCAACTCCAGCTGTCGGTTACCAACCAGCCGTTATCGGCCGCAAGAGGCGAGATGCTGAGGTCCAGACAAAGGTTGAGGAGAAGACGGAGCAGACTCACGTTCGCCCCGAACGAACCATCGGCCTCGCTCCAGTTGTGGCCGCTCCCGCAGTTGGATACCAACCTGCCGTCATAGGACGCAAGAAGAGAGAAGCCGAGATCCAGCACGTCGAGAAGACTATGCATACTGAGGTAAAACGACCTGAACGTCAAGTCAATGCCAACCTGGGAGTCGGACTCAGCGCTGGACGCAAGAGACGTGATGCCGAAGTCCAGCAGAAGTCTGAGAGGACTGAGATCCGTCAGGAAAGAACCATCGGACTCGCTCCAGTTGTGGCTGCTCCAGCTGTCGGTTACCAGCCTGCCGTTATTGGCCGCAAGAAGAGAGAAGCTGAGGTTCAGACAAAAGTTGAGGAGAAGACGGAGCAGACTCACGTTCGCCCCGAACGGACCATCGGCCTTGCTCCAGTTGTGGCTGCTCCAGCCGTCGGTTACCAGCCTACCGTTGTTGGCCGCAAGAAGAGAGAAGCCGAAGTTCAGCACGTCGAAAAGACTATGCACACGGAAGTTCAACGACAGGAACGTCAAGTTGGCGCCAACCTAGGAGTTGGACTCAGCGCTGGACGCAAGCGACGAGAAGCTGAATCTGTCGTCCACACCGAAGTGAAGAATGAAAAGACTGTCGTTCATCCCGAGCCGATTGTGACCGAAACGAAGACGGTGACCAACCTCGGCAGCCGCGCCCTCCGATCTGTCCACAACGGAGAACTCGTTCAACTCTCCACCATCGAGGAACATCATCCACATCATTAAACAAGGTAATATTTTTCCCAAAAAATTTCTTCAGTAATATGAACTTTTTAGAAAACTGTACAAAACTTGGAACTGCTTACACTGCTTCAATCAACACTTTTCCTAAAAAAATCTCAGGTCTTACCTCCCACTGTACATAACTGTTATTTATCTCGCTAAATATAAATGAACTTTTTCCGATTCATATTGAACTTTCACATTGAAATAAAAACAAGAAGACAGCGAAGCAACTCGAATTACTTAAACAGGAAAAAACGATTGAAAAAGTATGAAGAGAGCTTTGAAAACCAAAAAAATAAATTTTCTTCCATATTTTAAAAGAAGATTAAACGGAAAATATTTCGCAGACCCGTCGTTTAAAAATTATCACGGTATTTTGGAAAGGCTCACAGAGGGAAAATACAGATTCAATTTAAAAAAGCACCTTTGTTCGATAAAGAATCCAAAATTATCTGTGAAAAACTCACCATTCGTCACAAGTCGCCAAAGTTGTAGTCAATAGTAACGACGGAAAATTGTCCGGTTTGTCGAATTTCAGAACAACAACATGATCTTGTGTAGAGCTTCCTAGGAACTCCTGAGAAAAAAACCGATATGTTTTTTTAAATTTTGAAAAATAATTCCTGGATCAAACTTTTTTTTTGTTCGTTTGCTTTTCATTTTGAAAATTTGAAATGATTTTTCTCTTTGAATGTGAAGTAGTTCATACCACATTGTTGAAAAAAAGTAATTAATGATATCATAGCACCCCGATGAGATCCCAGTAGAAACTAATGAAAAAAGATGACAACCCAAAAAGTTGGCAAAATTTTTTCACCGTTTGTCCTATTAAAAAAATTAAACTTTTTTTTGAAACAGTTTTAAACAAATAAATAAAAAAAGAAAACGAACCTTATATAGATATCCTTCAAAGAGAAGCTACGCAGCGCATACATATATACTTCCTTATCTGCGCAGAGAAACAGAAATTTTCAATTGAAAATTTTGAAACTTTCGAAGTTAAATTACACCCAAGATGCGGAATGACGCAATCCTACACCAGGACGCGCAAAAAAAAAGAAAAAGATGAACCTCTGCATTTTTTTTCGCCCTTTTTAATTCTTCGATTCCTTTTTTCTGCTTGGAACTAAATTTGTATAGCTTTCTTTGTACGTTTCTAACATAATTGCGTAGAACTCGACTAGATACGATTATATTTTTGTTCTTAATTTCAGGGTTTTCCTATTTTTCAGTCTCGTTGCGATCATTTTCAAATCTGAGAATGTTGAAAATGATTTGATTCCCCCTTCAACTCTCCGACTTTTGGATATAACGTGAAAAGGGCCATTAAACGTTTGAAAAAGTACATTTGTTCTTTGATCAGCACGATTTCTGAACCCTGAAATCATTGAAATAAAGGTCGAGTGACATTTTAGAAGATCTCTGAGCATGACTGTGACTTTCGGTAATCGGCGACTCGACATTGAAAAATAAAAAATAGGAGGTCATGACAAGAGTCATCATCATCGCGATGTCGCTCGATTAACCCATGGCCGTATTATTTTTTGGCGATAAATAGGGCCCGAATCCGGATTTCAGGGTTAATTGCTCCAAAATAACCGCCAGCCGCTGTGGACATTTTTCATTTATAACCTGGCCTCAGGTGATGGTTTTTCAATTTTTGTTTCATCTTAAGTTTTTCTTTCGCCATAAAAAATAACTCATTAATCATTTTCAGAATGGCGCGAAACCCAATAATTCAGTTGTTTTTGGTAACAATTATCATCCAAAGGGCGCTGAACATGCCTATTGCTCACGGTAATTTGAGCAGATTTTTCAATTTTTTTGAACGAAAAAAATAATTTTTTTAGAAGACTCTCCGAACGAAGACGCAGAAGCCATTCTGCAGATCGATCCTGTTGAGGTATTATTAAAAAAGACATTATTTTTCTAAAGAAGTTTTTTTCAGATAGCAGAGGTTCACATCGATAACACGACTCTGAACTGTAAGTCCTTTTTCAAAATAAAAAAGACCAATCCGATCGTATGGAAAAAAAAATTCCATATGATCGGATTGGTCTTTTTTTATATCAGACTTTCCAAAGGTCACTCTGATAAAATATAGAAATTACTTGCTTTGGCTCAAAAAAAAGTTGACAGAAAAAATCAGTAGAGCAAAATTTGCGGTTGAATTCAAATACGCTAAAGTTTGTTAGAAAATCTTTGTGGCGGTTTCAAAAACACATAGGCTTTTCATGACCTAAATTGGTCTTGGAAGTAGTTTTTATCGTCCAAAAAATCTTGAAACTTTGTCTGAACTGCTTTATGAGGTTCAAGAACTATTCAAAAAAAGATTTTCAACTCATTGAAGCCTTGTTTCTCAGCGGAAGAGCACCACGACCTGGAAAAAAGAAGACTGGACAGCAATGAAAGGTCCAACGAACACATGGAGCACGACCTCCACAAGCGGAGCCATGAAGAGAATCCCGAAGATCATCATCACGCCAAAAAACGGACCGCCGATCCGGACCCGGACCATCATCATCCTCAGCCGACGCCTCATTCAGCCAGACTTCGACGGTCTCATACCGTCGGTAAGACTTTTCTTTGCCATTCTCATGAGTTTCCTTTTTTGAACTCGAAGAACCAATTTAGAATGTTATACTCAGTAAATTTATAATTAATTTTTCAAGAGCTTTTATGGTTGAATCGACAACTTCAGCATATTTCATAATTTTCAATTTTAAGCCGGAGACACCTTGAATTTTTCAGACGACGAGCACAAGGACCATCATCTTGAGAAGAGAAATCCCACGCCTGACCCAAAAAGGGGACAGAACTATCACGACGTCGAGCAATCTTTCCAAGATTTTTTGAGGGAGCGACGGAGCGCGGAGCATCATCATGAGGAGCAAGAGGTTTGCACACAGCTTACTTTGGAAAGCTGAAGTTCGCCCTTAAGGGATTTTGAGGTTAAGTGAGTCCTATATGGAGGTAAACTTGAATAACCCCCTTTAGGACCTTCATAATCCCATATAAGCTTCATTTTCTTCTTACGCTGTTGTATTGCTTGAGCGGCCTCAAGCTGATTAGCCGAGGTCCTATCCTGATATCAGAGATGATCAGTGGACTGGCTCTAGTGACCTATGCGCCCTTGTGACAGCTGGGGATTTTTGAAGTAACGGTTTTTCCAATACGAACAATATTTAAATCCCTTGGTTGGGTCGCAGTGGGGATCGAACTTGTGACCCTGTGGACCGTAGCCAGGCGCAAAACCTGTTGCGCTACGGCGCGCCAATCTCTATATAGGGATTGAATGGTTTGGGAAGAAAAGGAAATATTCTAGATCTGAAAAATAATTTTCTCAAGAAAAGTTGCGTCTCCATCATTAGGAAGCTTGAACTCTGCTTGTGAAAAAAAACGAAAAAAACTGATTTCAAGCACGAAAACCCGGATGAGTGGCTGGATTCGATCGAAAACGAGGAGCCGGAGGAGATCCGCGACCGGAGGTCGACCAGCGAATCTTCGACTGAGAAGGAGCTTCCCTTCGCCAGCGACTTCGAAAGCCCAGCTGACTCAGTAGGTATACTTCCTTTTACGCTTTTTAGTCCAGCTTAGTGCTTTCTGTAGTCGTTGAAATTTAACTTTCAATCAAGTGCTCCTTGAATATTTTTTTTAACAGTTTCGCCTATTTGAAAATTTGAACTTGGCTCGAGAAAAGTTGAGTTGAAATTAACTAGTGGGAAAGTTTGGTTCAGGAAATATTGTTCTAAAGTTCAAAATCAAGAAACTTTTAGTTGAAGCCCAATATTTGACCGTTTTGCTCGGAAAATATTGATTTGGAGATCGAAATTTGAAGATTTGGAAAATATTTTTTTGAATGCAATACTTCAAAATTCATTTTTTTTTTCTTGGTTTTCGTTCGAACAAACGTTGAAATGTTTGAAATTGACGACTTCATTGCTTTCCCAACGGCAATTTTCACATCAAACTTACGCTTCATAGGGACGATAAGTCCAACTAGACTGAGAAAGTCTGTTTCTTCTTCAATCCCATTTTCCTAATGATAAGAGATCAAAGAAAATAATTTTTCAAGGAGAAATCGAAGTCGGGCTCATCTTTTGTAATGTTTTTCCGGAAAATATTATCCTCTTCCCCATTTTATGTTTTTTTAAATCAAATATTAAAATTTTAACTTTCTAAAAGAATAGTTTTTTTCGAAGCGTCAAAATTGTTTTTCTACAAAAATCCTGCAAAGATTTTTTTTACCGAAACAATATCAATATAGCAAGGAAAATAAATCTAATCTTTGATAGAAAAATTACCATTATTTTGTCTAGGAGGATCGATTGAAAAGATTGTAGCCTCGTATAGAAAAAAACTTCAAAAAAACTTATTTGAATTCTTCGTTGAATTTTTTTAAGCTCAACACAGTTGACTGGGAATAATTCAAAAAAGAAAAATGAATAACTTAGCTTTTTATCGGCCTTTGTTTATATTCTGCTCGGAAAGGATTACTAACGCCTTTTTGAGAAGAGTTCGTCAAGCCTTCTTTAAGAAAAAAAAAACTTATAAACATCATTCACCGCAGGACCAATGTCAAAAGGAACGTCTTAGAACCTTTTTCACTCAGTTTTTTTTGGTTTTCCTTTTCTTAAGGCTGATTTGAATGAACCATACAACTTTTTCCAGTTCTAGCTCTTTTCCTAATAGAGATAGGAGGATTTGATGTACAATGCTGCCATTTTTTCAACGCCTTTTGCGAGATCCAGTCCTTTATAAGAAAGCCACCGTGAGAATCAGCCGTTTTGCAGCCATTCGAGTGAAAAGAGTGTCGCGGGCCGGCAGCAGCCACCGCGGCCGAGTCATGAACAAAAACCGCGGCGGGAACAGCCGAGCCGGCCAAACCGAAGACGCGCAACCGACTCCCGAGTAGAAACCTTGTCCAATAGCCCCAACTTTTCCTAGAATCCTCCTCCTCAAACTCACGACATGTCCTAGATACTGATTTGCTGCACCATCTCTTCCGGGTCTTTTTCTGATCCATCACCTCCTTTGAAACAAAAACACTCTATAACTTTGCACTGCGCGCTTCTCGGTGTTGTATGTATTTTTGTGATATATTTTCTGTGTTCAAATTGAACTTTGTCTTTTTTTTTCTTTGCTGAATAAACAGTTTTCCTCGAATCGATCGTGTTCCCCTGAAGGACGTCTGGCGCTTTTTACTGGTTACGCATCGCGATTTGTTTATTTTTTGACACGTCTTCCGGCTCCGCAAGATGTGACCAGACTTATACAAAAAAGACCTCTGTATACATATCCGATATAAGTTGTTTTCTAGAATCGAATTTGATCGTTAACAAGCATAAAAAGGAAACAGAAGACAGTTTTTCACTTTGGCACAGTTATATCGCGTTTGAGGATAGTTCTCGAAGTTGCTGCTTCAAATCCTGTCGAAGTCAGTTTTGTATTCTTTTTTTTTAACCCTCCATAAAATTCTGTTTTTGAGCCAGTATTTCTGAACATAGAGATCCAAATATTCTCCGAAAAGATCGCGAAATTAAAAAAAAAATGAATTATTTTATTGGAGATGAAAAAATGCAGCGAATCACTTTCAAAGCGACTGGTTCTGTGAATAAAATGACAATAATTTTTTTCAAAATTCGCAAATTTTTCTCTGAGGGGAAAAAAATGTGGACATAAAACTGCACGGATTTTCCCAAAAATCTTTGACTTCAATTTTCTAAACGATGCAGTTTTTCGATCTCTGCTAATCCTCGAGAAAATACACATTGGACGAAAAATAGAAAGAATCCAGAGTGAGTCTTAAAACTCGAATAAGGATTCAATTTCAGAAAACTGAAAAAAATACCAAATTTATACCAAAAAATACCAATTTCTGCAGTAAAAAGGGGCGGGGCACTTCTATTTTACAAATGATATTCTAAATAAAGAACTAAATTTTGAAGCCGAAAGATGATTTTTCAATACGTGATAAACCTATATGCAAAGATCTCAATCAAAGAAACACATTTGATAAAAAAGTACAGCAGTCTGTTTAAAGATATACTTTTTTCTAGGACTGTGGGTCGAGAAGTTCAAATTCTTGCTGATAAAAGTCCCAAAAGAAAGCCGTCCCGAGGAAAGTCCAAATACCTTCATGTCAAAGTGACGTACTCAACAAACAAATTAATATTACTCGACGTCCTGTCAGAACATCGGCAAGGGTGAAAAGTGACCGGCTGGAAGGAGCCGAGTAACCTCCGCAGTGTAAGGACGTTAATCACTGGAGGCTCTCGACAGCCCCTCCACATATGCTTCTCCTTTGGCATTGTTTATTACAGCCGACCTCTCTCTTCCCATTTCCTAACCGTTTGCGCAACCTGTGTGTCCCTTTTTTGTGTTATAGCTCATGATTGTCCTTTTTTCTAAAATAAGATGGTGCTCAAAATTGGACCAATTTCGCTTCAAGACATATGTTTTTTTTTGCTCTATCCTTGAAGGGACAAAAAAAAAAGGTATTTTGACGGTAGCTCTTTTTCTGCTGACTGTATGCAAGGAGGTGGTAAATCCGGTTACCGTGTCCTACCGAAAAATGTAAATGGCTCAAGCTTGCCTTTTAGAAGTAAATTTAAGTTTTTGAATGAACAGAACCTCCTATAAGAGAAAAAGGTGGTAAATGGCTTAGGAAGGTAATTTTACTTTGCAAATCTTCTTATTATTGGTCAGAAATTTCTCGATGTACAAGACGAAGATCTTGAAAGTCCTCACCTGCCGAATTTTCTAGTTTTTTTAATAGAAAAACTCATAGTCAAAGAAAGCCAATAAAAAAATATTCGAAACTAAGCATTTTCAGACTTGAGCCCCTTTTTTTCGAAAACTGGACTTAGTGGGTTGAAATTTCCAGAATCTCCTTGTAAAATTAAGATTTCACTGACCAATTTTTAGGCATTTTCCGATCAAAAAGTTATTTTTCTCTGAATACAACCTCTAGTTTTTCAAGCTCTTGAAGTCTTGGGTGACCTTCCTTCAAAAATCCCAAGGATTTTCCAACAACCTATGGAAAAAGCGGTTTGTAAACTTTTCTTTGCGATCTTCCATTGACCTTCAATTCTTTCGAGTACATTTACTTGAGAAGCGTTTCCGCCAGTTTCTTGTCGACCTAAATATCTTCTCAAGCCCACTTTTTCCCAGGTTTTGTAATTTTCATTGATTTTTTTCTATTTTAATTTTTTCGAAGAATTTTTAAGAAAAGAAGCAAACATTTTTCATTAGGAGTCAATCATTTCAATCATTTTTTTGACAATTAATAATAGTGCTTATTTCGAATCATACTCTATTTACGGTTTGCTTGTCACAGTATTGTAAAGTTAGTGCAAATTTATCGAACCCGAAACTTTCTTTTCAAATCCCATTGTCTATGACAACACTTTGATGTGAAATAATTCTACTTTTAGCGATTTTTTGAAGATTTTTTCAAAATGAAATATGCGGCGAATCCGCTAACCATTGACATATACGCTGTAATACACCTGAACACGACACTCGACGTTCTTTTTCCTGAAACTTTGCGCTTTCTGTTCACCTTTACCTGATTTACACCTCATAACAGCTTGCTGAGATTCTTTGAAGAAGATTTTTCTCGATTTATTCAAGGGCTTGAAGTTAAAATTCTTTTTCCGTGTCGTTTTTTTTATTGAGAAAAGTCGCTGGAGGGTTTTAAATGAGAAAAAAAAAGTTTTTTGCGGTTTCTTCAAAATTGGTCACAAGAATTGCCCTCAAAGTTCGAAAATTTAATTTATCGAGATATTTTCCAAATTGTAGGCCGAAAAGTCATATTTCGGCTTCGAAGTTAATATTTACGTGGTCAATTAGAATGAGAACTTTGATAGACGTTTTAATAAACCAGGTTCAAAAAAACAGGCATACTGGAAAAGTCGGCCGGTTCGGTCACTTTTTTTGACGTCTATATACAAAAAGTCACTTTTCTTTTTCGAATTTTTTTCCGTTTTCACCGAAAAATAGCTCTCTAATTTTAATGAAGGTGAAATTGAAAAAGGTTGCAATGAAATTTATTTTAAAAAAACACGAAATCTCCTAGTTTGAGCTGCCAATACAGTTTATCGAAATTTTTAATTTAACCAAAATCGAGAACTCGATGCATTTTGGACACTTAAAAAATTTAGAACAAAAAACTTTAAAAATTCTCAAAAAATGGCCACTTTGATAAAGTCACCGACCCCGACTTTCCAGCATGCCCAAAAATATTATTGAAAGTCTTTGAGCTCCAAGTTGGAAATTAACAGCGGGAAACAACAGCATCTCGAAATTTTTGATGGCCTTGGTAAAACTCGACAAGAAAAGAATCCTTTTCAGTTTTACATTTCCACACTATAACCGATTTCTGCGCCATCAAACTTCTCTGAATAAACTAGAGACGTCTACGAGAAGGAAAAAAGAAAGACAGACTGCAAAAAAGTCCACTGCAAACAACCTTATCAACTTGGCCAGAAGCGGGATTCGTCGGATTCTCGTTTGCCTTCGCGCCCGCATCCATCTTCATCATCTACGAACCCCCTATCAATCGTTATTTTGCCGCTGGCAACCAAAAAAAGATCCGCCAAATCCCCCTGGGCCCTTTGAAAACGTTGTTCCTCTCCATTGAAAGCGTTCCTCCATTGTTTAACTTTTTTCCCATTTCCGCCTCAATTTCTGTGGAAAGAAACATCCATCAGCTGACAGCCCTTTTTGAAATCGAAAACCTGTGACAGAGGCTTTCAGACTGTTGAAAAAGGGTTTTCAGAATCTGAAAAATGAGATTTGAAAAATCAAAAAAAACCGATTTTCTTCCGTTTTTCATTTCTATCTATTTCATCTTTTTCAAAAAAGTTTTGGATGTGATAGAAGCTTCAATATTTTTTATTGAATATAGTCGATTCAGGCTAGATTTGGACGCTGTCTGCGCTCTCCACCCATCAGGCGCTGTCTCTTTTTTTTCGTGTCAGGACCACTTTTTCGATGGCTCCGTGCCGTGAACTGGTCAAAAATATTCAAAAAAAAATGGGGTGGTTCAAAGGCATATTGTTACATAGATAAGATTACTCATAATAAGTTAGGAAAAGCTGTTTTTATTTTTAATTTTTTCATAAACTGCCTGAAATCGCATAAATACCGCAACTCGCAGAAGTTTTTTTTCATCCTCTGCTTCTTTTTTTCGTCTCTGAGATCAAGGGAAAACCAGAAAAAAAAAACCCAATTGCTCTTTTGTTTTTCCTCCAATCACCTTCACGAGCTGACAATTGCTGCTAATGATCAAGTTCTTAGGGGCCGAACAAGCTTTTTTTCTTCTTTTTTCTTGTCTTTGCAGTTTTACACAGCTTTCTTGAAAAACTCTTGTGTATTCGAAAAGGACCAAAAATTGATTGGTAAAGGAAAATGTAAGAAATGTCGATGACTCTTCTCATTCTCCTCGGACGAACATGAAACGCGTTTTGAACTTTCGCCTTTGTGTCGTCACGCCTTCGTTCATTTCCTTCTTCCCAGCCCATTTTTTTCTTTCCAGTTTGATTTTTCTTTTGTTAGTTGATCCGTTGTTTGACCAGCCAGCCAAAAAGTCCAGAAATTTGCTGGAAAACTGTTTTTTGCTGTGATTGCCCACGCTTTGTGATGAAATTCGATAGCCATCCATTTGATTCGTCGCTTCATTCCAGGCCTCAGGCATGGCTGAGGATCAGCTGCTCAACTTCAGCGGTGACACTCCCGATGACGTCATCGTTTTGGGGGAGACTGATCCGGAGCTGCTCCAGCTCAACGATACCCTCGCCACGACCATCAGCACCATCCTCAACACTACCGTCTTGCCAACTTCATCATTCGGTCAGTTATGAAATATATAGTAGTTTATGTTTTTTTTTTTCGCAACTCTTTTCTGTAATTTCCAGAGGCGCCTAGCCAGAATTTGAATAGGTTTCGATGCCGAAAGTCGTTTCCAGTTACTTTATGCCATGCAAAACTTTAAAAACGGCTTTAAAAGCCCAAAGAAGGGTATTCGAAAACTGAAAATAATTGAAATTTTCAACAAAAAAAACATCAAGCTTGTCGCCATGAACGCTTGAAAAAAATCCCTTCTGTCAGTTTTTTTACTGAAAAAAATCGTTTTTTTATGCGTTTCTCAATATCAGACTTTCCCAGAAAAATATTTTTGAACTTACTAAGAATTCCTTACAAAAATAAGCAGCTTTTCAATTTGTTCTGCAGTTTTCCAACGGACTTACCTCCATTGTTTATGGCGGTTATGATTTTTCTTACTCTTGGCAAAAGCGAATCTTTTCGAAAGGTTTCGAACCCCGGTCATAGGCACGGCGAGCAAGGACGCTAGCCAAAGTATAACTTCTGAAAGTCTTCTTTACTTCCAGAACCCCTTCTGCCGTACACGCCGAACCCGTTCCGGATAGGTTTTCTGGCCGTCAAATGTCTGCTGATCGTCCTTCTCTGCGCCATCTCGTGCACCATCCGACGGGACTTCCTCAAATTCTTCGCCATTTGCATCCTCATTCCTCTCTTCCTGGAAGCCGCTTTTGACGTCTTCACGGAGATCCAAGCTGGCACTGGAATCTTCGGCGTTCAGTCAGTTTCCGAAGGCAAGATGTTCAAAAAAAGGTGCTTTTCCAGGAAATTAGAATGGGCCTATCACATGGTCGAGCAGCCGGTGAATAGTACCATTTCTGACTATCCGAAGTGAGTCAGAGGGCTCGTTTCTTGATTTATTGGCTTTTTAGACACGCGATCGACATATATGGAGCCATTCTGCAGCAGTACAGTACTTATCAGCTCTACACGTTCGTTTTTTTTTTCCTTTCGTGCGGAAAATTTTTTTTTTGAAAAGCGGACTTTTAAAACTTCTGTAACGATATCGTATCGCTGTGATCTCTTCATTATTAGACTAAAATTTAAAAATTTCAAACACTATATTGTATTCGCTTTCACATTTTTGATCAGTATTGCAATCAGAAATATCATTTTCCAGCGGAGACCCTCTGTTCGCCCTGGCCTCTTTCATCATCGCCGACTTTGTCTTCTGGAGTCTCCTTTTCAGTACTGTCGTTGCATTTTACTATGCTCACAAGTCGATCGTGAGACCGGAAAGAATCGTTTTTGAACCTTTCATGTGATTTTGCAATATTTTTCTTTTGAAACCTTTCATTTTCCAGTTTATCCTTCCTGAAGGCTCAATTGATCCCTGTTCTCTTCACAGCCGTCGACACTCTTCTGGCCCTTCATCAGGTACTTGAAAACAGGAAAGAATGAAAAAAGGTATACATGCAGGTACCTGGATGGGTTTATTCTGGAGCAATGGTCGTGGTCCGACTTGGAGCTTGTCTTGTCGCCGTCGCCATCGCCACTCAGCTTTTCGCCGTAAGATACAGTTTTTTTAAAGAATGAAAAACCGTTTCAAATACAAAAAAAACTTTAAAAATGTCATTTCAGTCGCTCTTCTTGTTCTGTAGAAGCGTCGATGAGCTCTCTGTTACTTCCCCATATGAACAGGTGAGTCTTTTTCCCAAAAAATCAGAAATCAAATTGGCAAAAATCAGTGAAGCTGAACGAAAGGAGCCAATAAATATTGCTGAAAATTTTAGATTCGAAACGCAAAAATGCGATTATTTTTGTTGCTGTTGTTCACGGTCGTCGTGCACCTGCTGTCTGCTCCTTACATTGGTCAGTATTTTGAAAAATCCGACGATATGATTTTTTTCACTCAAGAAAACCCTTACAAAGATTTCTAGTTTTTGCCCTAATTAGGAACGCTAAAGTGGTCAATATAGGGGATAGGAAAAGAAGCCTCTATAGGGGTAAAATTTAGATGATCCCTATAAGAGTTAGGATCTAGAAAATTTCAATTTACACCGAAAAGACCTCCTTTTCAAATGGCTACATGATAGGATCGAGTTCAATACTTTTCAGCCTGGGCTGGAATTTCTTTGGTCCGCGACGTGATGTGGCTCCTGTCTTTCGACACGACGTCGTTGCCGCTTCGAATCGCCGCCGAAGCCTTCCCACTTCATCTGACGCTTTTCCTGATCCGTCCCTTGGTTTTCCTGGTCGCCAGTCTGTTCTTCCTGAATCCTTTCCGACGACGATTTGTTCGTCTTTTCTGCCCCTGTTGCCGTAGAAAATGAGAAACTAGATTTTGAAGCATAGTATATTGAAATAATACTTTATTCGTCACGATTGAAAGAGTCTAGCTTCTCTCCTTCATTTCTCCATTTCATTTTTCTTGTTTGAAAAGGCCAGACACGTCAGAGTTTTTCAAATAAATCGTGGCTAGCCCTTTTTATCAGATTTCTGGCTTGTTTGAAGGCGCAAAAGTCAATCTAGGAGACCTTTTCATAATTTTATCTATGCTCCTTTAAACCTTCCAGCAAGCTGTTGTTACTATCAAACTCATTAAAAAAGTAAATTTGAGATTTTTATGTTTTTTCCTTTCCCGACATAGCCCAAAGACGATCTTCACGTTAGGTTGTTTCCAAATTTTCATTCTGACCACTCAGGAACTTGTATTCTTCTGTCCTTTCTTGTCAAGACATCGTCAAACGGTTTTTCCTGTCTTAGAAGTTCTTTTTGAGTAGATTTTCGTGTCCCCCGGTGCTTCTTCAACAAAAATTTGTTGCCTCATGAAAAAACGTGATATATAGTTTCAGAGGTTTTTTCTTCATATTGCATAAATTTTTCAATTTTATTTTGTTTTCACAATTTCAATCTACACGCTGCCCGCATTTGGAATGGCTCAGAACGTTTCGATTCAAGCAAAAATTGCAAAGATTATCGTCAAGTTCAACCTATGAATTGAAAAAACAATACTACGCCTTCCAAAAGAAATCATGTTTTGAGGAATCAAATATTCAAAGAGCAGGTGAAATGGGAAGACAACCTGAAAGTGAATGTTTGGCTTTTTTCCGAGTTTTTTCTCTGTTTTTCAAAGGAAATTGCCCACTGACTACGGTAGGCGCAAAAAATACGTGGGAAAAGGCAGGAAACTGGAGAAAATGATTTTCAGGAAAAACGACCCTTGTCTCATCAAAAAGTCACATCATAGTCGGTTCTGTTACGAGTTTAGTGGAGCTTCGGAATAAATTCAAAAAATTCATTTTCTGCAATTTGGAGTTGTTTGGTATCTCTGCGCTCTCTTCCTCTAGCTTAGAAAAACTTTTTCAAAGATTCCGAATATTGATAGCGAGTTATAAAATCTATTCATCTCAGGAGTTTTCTGACCTGTCTGTGCTCTCTTGATCTCTCTGCAATTTTCCTGATTCTCCGATCTCGAAATTGAGAAAAAAGAGACGCAGAGAAGTCAGACTTTTTCGATTAGCGGTGTCATCGAAATGCTCTTTTTTAAGTTTTAAAGAATTTTAGCTTTCTTCTGACTAGTGAGACATGTTCAATTTTCCCCAAGAAAAAACTTCTTTCCCACCGTTTCCAGTGACTTTCCTTTACGTCACTCCAATTTTTCATTATTTAATTAAGAGCCGTCTCATGATTCATCGTCTCTGACCAGAAATCATGGACCTTTTCTGGAAGTTTTCCACTTCCAACGTAACTTGCTCCAGTTAATCTACGTCGTTATAGGAATAATAAAAGAAAAAAAGCTGCGCAGGATAATTCACTTTTTCAGGAGGATAACAAGGTTGGGGTCTTTGATATCTTGACTTTTGCCTCGGTTAATTGTGATTTTCGCTGTCGTCTTAATTGATACCGCAAATCTTGCTGTTTCTTAATTAAGTTAGATGATTAACCTGTTGATGTACAAAGTTTCCGCGAGTTTGAAAGCCATAAAAGTCCTTGGAATGACTCAAGAGCGCTAACACTTGGCGGAAGTTATTTTTCACTGCGCCAGACTCTGAACGGATTCTGACAAGGCTCCAGAATATCTTCACGCGGAAGTAGTTTTCAGTCCGGCGCATTTTTTCAAATCACTTCAAATCTTTAAAAATTCTGTATTCTCCATTATCTGAAAAATCCTAGCTTCTCTTTACTCTGCTTTCTCTAACACACTCTCACGTTCTGTTTTCCAATTTCTTTGACCTAGTCGGAAAGAGAAAAGAGAGCGCAGATAGATCAGACAAATTTTGAAGGTTTTTACGGTACACCTTTTTTGTCATTTGTGAATGGAAAAGGTGCCTGAAAACTTCAAAAACTCAAAAAATGACCGTTTCCAAGTTTCCAACTGAGCTTCACCTGCCCATTTCCACCTGCTTATTCTCTGATTTTCTCACTTTCCAATTTTCTGTGAGAAAAACGGCTGACATTGGTTCCTGAAATGATTTTTCGTTTCTCCAGCGAACATTTTGAAGTTCTATCTATAATTTGAGACATTCTCCATTCCGAACATTTATTTTCGCTAAAACACCAAAAACCCAACTTTTTTCTTGTTTTTCAACTCCTCCAAAAGTTTTCAAAAGAAGCTTGAAAGTATTATTTCACGTAGACGTGAGAGAACAAAAAAATAGCTAATGTGAGTCTCTCATAGGCGTTTCTACAATCATAGGGCGCCATAATTGACATGTTTCCGCTCATAACTTTTATTTCACTTCTCATTTTACCTCAAAAAGCATTTATTATACGTTATAAGTATCTTTTTTTTAATGATTCATGAGAAATATTTATTGAATTCTCATTTTTTTTAGTTTTGTCAGGGCTCATTATTACTAAAAAAATGGATTAGATTTTTTTTTTGGTTTGAAACACTTTCTAGGAAATTCTTGAAAACTATTCATATAGTCTGTTCAGATTTTAAAAGTCAGGTCCTCGCTCAAGCTCCGCCCCCTAATGGCGCGATAAACCAATCAGAGAGCGAGCAATCCACAGAGTGTTTTCGAGGCACGTCATTCTACTTGACATTGAAAATCAGAACGGACTATATTCGAAAATCCTCGTCTGTGCTCTCTTTCTCTCACCAAATCTCTTTGTCACGTGCTATTTTCACTCTTTTCCGTTTTCACGTCCCAGAGAGAGAAAAGAGAGCGCAGACACATCAAACTCTTTGAAGTCATGGCGAATGAAGAATAAAGAAAAATTTATGTGATTCCAACTTTCCCTGTGAATAAATGTAAGATTTTTAAGCCTTATTTGTTTCTATGATGCAGTGTTCGAAAAAATTCGCGAAATTCAGAATAGCCGTCAGAGAACGAGAAAGATAACTAATTTTTAGAGAGTCAGAGATGATTTCGAAAATTACTTTGAACCCGGCATGAGTTGCAGTTCCATAAGCATTTTTGACTCTTTTTTTGAATAATCGGAATTTTTCCAGGGGTAACCATCGGTATCGAATCACTACGGGCGCAAAATGGAGGCAAGTACGATGAGCGGGTCCAACTTCTCCCAACTTTTGACGACTTTGATGCCGACGACAGTACGCCGTGGTCGGCCTTATCCACTTTGTCGCGAGTGGCTTTGTGGTTCGTTTCGGATTACTTTCAATAACTCTTCTAAAAGCTTTTATCAATGAAAACATTTAGAAAATTCCTTTCTAATTGCCAAAGCTCTCTAGGAGAAAGAAAAAGTTGAATCACCCCTCTGCTTGCGTCACAATCTGAAGCCTAAAGGTTCTGACGCATTTGAAAACTTCAAAAAGTCTGAGACCTTTTAAAATGTCTTCAAGCTTCTGAGAAGTTCGAAGACTATCTTTTCAAGGTGTCACTTAAGACTCTAAGAAACTTAACTTCGACTCCTGAAATGATCACTAAACGTACAATTTCTCTATTCAAATATTCCGACTTCTACTTGGAGACTTTAAAAAAAAATTTCAAATGCGACTTTCTTTATAAGTAAAAAAAAACCGAGAATCGATTTTTTCTCAAAAAAAAAAGTTTAAAAAACATCCTCTATCAAGTTCAGATATATACTTCACACGAGACCAGATAATCTCAAACGCAATCATTCTGGGACGGATTGGGATCGGAATCATCATTCTGCTCCTTGGAACCAAAGTGGGCCCTTTAGCAGTTCCCATCAAAAAGAGCTCAATTTTTAGATGGAGAAAGATTTCATGCGATCCATAACCACCACGATTTTCCTGACCATTTTGGCGGCCGAATCGTTCACCTTGTACTGCGAGATCGTCAACTATTTGGAGTTGTTCACGGCGTCCGCCAAAGACTCCAAGCAGTTCATTGAGTATGAAATTGATCCCGAATCTCCTTCAAAATAAGGCTTGGAGGCAGTACATCCGATGGACCCGCGACTTGGTCAACGTGTTGTTCAGCTACAACGACATCAACTCGATGGTGATGCTCGTTTTGCTGCTTTATTGTTGCCGTATAGCTACACATCCCGGAAATCGCATCAATGCGTTTCCAACAAAGTGGGGAAGATACTCAAATGGGTATAAGATTCTGAGATCCAGTACAATGTGCCTGATCCTTCAAATCATCCCGTTCTTCCTCTCGATTCTGACTTTTGTGGAAGGCGTCAACAATACGACGTTTATGAGAGTTCTTGGAAGTATTTCCAGAGTCGTTACAGTCGTCAGTTTCTTGCTCATCGTCGGCCAGATCTTCTATGTGAGTTTTGAGGATTTTTGAATCTTCAAAAAACACGAGTCCTTGATGGATTTTTTGGCTCTTTTAGACTCTCTGAATTTCTCCTACTCGCTCCAATAAAGCTTTAGAACCCCCTCTATATATTTATATAACGATTACAGTCATTCGTGGTCCTGATGCGCGAACTACCGTACGAAGCGGCCACTTCACTGGATATGCAGGTCAGAGACGCCAGAAGTCGTCTGGCCTGGACCCTCGTCTACATGATCATCCCCACGTTGATGCTCGCCTTCTCAGCCGGTAGGCTTCCTAATTCCTTAAACATCAGTAAAAATCGTTCAGCCGACGCGGTAATGAACGTCCTTAACGTACAAGGAGGTCCCAATACACCTTTACGTGGGGTAATACTTTCTAAATTTAATTTTCAACTAAATCTTCAATTTCAGCTCACAATAATTGTTCAAATAGTCAAATACCTAGCAAATTTCCATCGGCCCACGTACATGGTCATCATCACTATGGCGTTCTTACCACCATACAGGTCAGTTAAAACCTTCAAAATCAAAGGAGCAGAGACAATTTTGATACAGTCTTAATGCGAAAAACGGATTTCTTTTTTGATAGATCATTCTCGACTAAAAAAATCACAGGAAAATTTTCAAAAATATTGAGTTTATGAGGGAGGTGAGAGAACAGAAGAAGTTTAAAGAGACATTAGAGAAAGATACTCTTTTCCACTCTGTCGTCTCTTCTGACTACGCTGTTCTCTCGAATTCGTTTTTATGCCGATTTTTCCTTTCAACCTATGAAAGTCCGAAATCAAACCATTTTTCAAGCCCTGCAGATTTTAACTTTGAAAACTACGTTTTCCAATGAAAACCGTGAAATTTCCATTTTTTAAACAAATGCAAGTTTTGCAGACGAGCAGTTCCTTTGCTATTCTGCTGCTGCTCCTTCTGCCCACAAATCCACGTGGAGCCGTTGCCGAGGAAACCCACGGAAATGAGTCTCATGTACCGCTACGCAGACATTTGACACCTCTTTTATCCGGTATTTCGCCAAGTTTTTGATAAAAACGTTCATCGGACATTGAAAGACCATAAAGTCATTGGGTACTAACAAAATATTGGCGACACAAAAAATTTGATATTAAGTGAATACAGTTGGTGATTCTCAACTTGAGAGTTTTTAACACAATATAATCTCTTTTCATGAATAAAATACAGAATTATGTGTTATAAGAAGAAAGAGAGGAGGGGAAGGAGGACCGCCATCCACAGGGAAGGCGACGACGTCGTGCTGATCTCCGAGTCATTGCAGAGAGGACCGCGGCATGAGCAAACGCTTAAATTTTTTTATCAGTAAAGACAATTCACTTCATAGTCCAATAATAGCAACTTTTTTTCCATTTGAAAGCTAAGAATAACCAAAAAAGACCGTTTCTCTTATATGACGCTTCAATTTCAACCAAACAACGTGAGTCAAGTCGTAAAAATTCAGAAAAATTGAGACCTTGCGAATTAAAAGTATTGGATCTGAATATTTTCACAATGAAAGATTCTAAAAGTACTGTTTAAAAATAAATGTTGTCGTACCAAATTTTTTTTAATTCTGTACAAATTTCATAGTTTCATACTTTCATGAAGGCAAATTCAACTTCAAGCGAAGCTTGATAATATCCTTAAAATGAATACTACAATGTAATCAAACCATTAACTGATAAGCGCAAGGTTCACAACTACTTTTTCCTCGCGATAATCTTGTTCAGCAGGCGGAGAGAAGTTGCCACGCGCTGCTTGTCCGTTAGATAATTAACGATGTCGCGCGATTTACACTTCAATGTTGTGTCATTTGTCAAGATATTACAATCGGCTTGTCGCATCGAAAAGAAAATTAATCACACGTCGCGGATTACGGTGGGTGTTTAAAAGACAAGGAAACTGACTGGACGGAGGACTCTTCCGGACGACCGCCGCTGACGAGTTGCGTCAGGTTGAACGTGTGGCAGAATGTATGGGCTCCGAGAGCGTAGACGGAGCCGGTGCGGTTGAATCCGAAGAGCAGGATCGAGGAATAGCATCCGCGGATGTAGCCACGCGCCCCGGTACCTGAAAAAATTTTTTAAAACCGCCCTCAAGAAATTTATATGTAACTATTGCGCTCCTACAATCTTTGCACACTCGCTTCAACATGAAGTTCAATGTAAATCAAAGAAAACCCCGAAGTTTTAACTGGGATCAGCGTTTTGGCTTTGCTGAATTTGACGAAAAAAAACAGGATGAAACAATATAACTCATAATGTTATATTTTGCTAGACAACGTAGTTGTTGAAGTAAAATATTTATTATATCCTAATACGTAGAAACGATCACATAGCTTATAGCTGTTTGCCCTTATGGTATGAACTTTAAAGAAAACCCCGAAGTTTTAACTGGGATCAGCGTTTTGGCTTTGCTGAATTTGACGAAAAAAAACAGGATGAAACAATATAACTCATAAAAACTTTATTTCCATTATTTAAGTCGGAGAAAAAGCTACACCAATTATTTCAATAAGTTACGTCCGAAAAAAATTGAAGGCCAATTATTTTTTTGAATATTTTTTTGATTCAGTAGAAAAAAATTTTGAAATTAATAATAAAAAGTTGAATTCTGGCTTATCAGTTCAACGTTAATAACTTTGAATAAATCACCTCTTTTTTTTATGAGCCCCTGTTGTCGTTTTTTTCTTTATTATTCAAGAATAAATATGAAGGTAGAGACTTCCTTATTCAGCCTTCTTCTCAAAATAATGACTATTTCTCATCCCAAATTTTCACTAAATAATCTTGAAAAACAGGCACCGATTTCCATATTTTTTTTTCGTGTCGCCGCCTCTTTTTCTAGCAGAGACAAACACTTGACCAGGAGGTCAGTATAAATCAACAAGTCAGGGGGATTGGTCGAAACAATTGTTGATTGGGCGAGCACAAATTCGATTGGCGACGGAGGGGAAATTCGTTTGAAGTGGCCTAGCGATCTGGCCAATTTCGGCGGGTGCCGGAAACAGGCCCGAGCGTCTGTAGACGACGCTGTTCCTCCACCAGGCTCAAGACATCGAGACTCGGTATTCATGATGTCAAAGTAAAGGAAAAGAAAATGACATCTTTCTTCCAACTTCATTCCAGCCATAGAATATCGAAAGTTTACTAATTGATCTACCAATAACGAATTCTCAAGCATATAACTCAAATATTTCATCTTATTTAAAAAAAGTTATGACCAAAAACTATTGAAAATAAGCGAATCCGGAAGGCTGAATAAAAAAATTAATTTTTTTAAAGGATGAATAAGATTTCTCCTGAATAATTCTTACTTTGAAAAAAAAAACTGACTTTCGATCCAGTTGCCTGTAGAGATTTTGAAATGCAAAAATTTCGCAGAAAAGTTGGAAACATTTCTAAAAAAGTACAGCCGAGTCTGCCGAGAAAAATTGTGTACTTGTTTTTTTCAAAGATCAGTAGTAAGATCCAAATAGAACGATCTAATTTTTTGGATCATTCCAAAGATTTTCCTTTCAAAAAGCGTATACAATTAAAACTAGTTTTATCGCGACATGGATCACTTTCGTCGTGAAAAAAATACTTTTTCGTGAAAAATGAATCTGAATACAAAACAAATGTATCTTGTAGTGATGAGTAAAATCAACACTACGGCTCCTTTCTGACCATTCCTGTGAAGTTACCGCGGAGATGAGATGCCACCAGGTGAGCACAGGTGTCGCTGACAGGGCCTCCTTTGTGTGTAATTCATTGTGTGTTGCGGTTTTCAAAAACTGGCAACACGTTTGACTGACACAAGCGAGGAGCGTTTTTGACATTTCTTTTTTCTCGAGTCGCTCATCTTTCGGATTTTTCCTCGCTTTAGCCGCGCTTAAGCACCAATTAGCACAGAGACTAAAAACTAACAAGAGAGGTGTCGGCAAAACTCAAAAGATTGCTCCAGAGGCACTGATGGAAAAGAAAAGTAAGAGAGCAAGGTTGCAAAATAAAGAAGAAAAGTTGGCTTTTTTCTTGATAATAGAAATTTTTTATAGCTTCTTGCTCCTTTTACATGTCTCGGAAGAGATGGCAAAAAAAAAAATCAAGAAAACAGATTCTTAGATAGATTTGATGGAAAAAAACGCCACGTTAAACCGCACCAAAGCCGTGAAAAATTAAAAAAATTCAGACGAAAAATTTTTAGATAAAAAGTTCTGGTTATTTAAAATACAAGTATAATCACAAACTACTTGTAGAAAAAAACTCGGAAAACCCACAAATTTTTAAAGAAATTTTCCTGACATAATTAACTTGATAGTGCGTGAAAACGAGAGACTTTACAGAAAAAAAAAAATGTTTTTTTAAAAAAAAAGTTTCCTCTCATTGAGAAATCCTTGAAAAAAACTCGAAAACCGAGAAATTGAAATCCATCCTTTTAAGGAACAAAATAGCGGCTATAATTTAGTGGCCTCTTTAGAAGACCTAAAACACGAAGTTTGCTAGAAATTGTGACCATTTAAGGAATATAAAAAAGCGCCAAATGATCTTCAAATGTTCAAGTTCTCGATAAAACTCACCAATCTTCAACTCCTCGATCATGGTGACGCAGCTGGTTTCCTCCTCGCAATGGACAAAGGGAATTTCGGCGTTGCGTGGATTTCTGAAGCCTTTTTCTATCATTTGGAACCCCTCGAACCAAAGAAACCGGCAGTTATCAGTGAAGGAGCGGGGCTCCTGGTAAATCCGCGAATATCCCGCAAATTGCCACGTCGCCCCGTAATACCGCGACATGCAGCTGTAGCACTTGTGCGTACCGCCGCCGATATGTCGCTTCTTTTCTGGAAAGTTCTCGTTTTTTAAGTCTACTCTAATTCTCTACGAGTCAAAACTAATGATATCCGAATAACCGCTTCTACGAATAAATTTTTTCCCGACTGCTTCAATTCTTGTCGGACACTGGGTCAGTTTCTATTCGTGGACTAGTTCCTGTTACTGTTTATTCTACTCTATTGTTTTCTTCACATTCAAGTGAGCAAAGTGGTCGCTCTCATTCGGAGGCTTTCACCTAAAGGACGTTCTCCGGGCTCCAGCACAAGATCCGCTACATGCTAAGCTCGTCAGGGCGGAAATGGATGGACTACGCGCAGAAGGACGAGACGAAGGACCGTAAGACCATGCTTTCAACTCTTTCGACTACACGCTAGGACTTCTAGTTTGCCAGAGGCAGTTGTTCGTTATAGCTCAAAAAGTTCTTTTTCACCGCCTAGTCGATTACATCTAACTAAAACAACAAAATAAATTATTTGATTTGAACAAAAACCCCTTTTTTATTAACCGGTCCCCTTCTTCTCTTCTTCAGTTACACTACGAAAAGGTCATCATTTTTTTTTGTGAAATAGTCCTTAGACGGTTTTCAAAAAGTTTATGAAATATGCTCATTGAGAAAAAGTTGAATTTCAAAAATTGAAAAAATCTACATCCATTCAAAGTTGAATATTGGGAAACTGTCCCTAGGTAACCAAATTTGCTCAATTTCTCTTCCCTGAGGATCTTAGGTCCTGTTTAATCATCAAAACTTGATTGAACAAAAATTCCGAAAATCTCAAAAAATCGTAGTTTCAAGCATTTTTCATTATACACGCTTTTCATATGAAACATTGCATGAAAAAACTCTGAATAGTTGATTTTTTCAAGAAACATTTTTTTGAATTTTCAAAAAGGCAGAGCATTTTTGAAGGCTTTTATTTCTTCCTAATAAACCATCTTGAATTAAAGCCATCACTACCTCCTTGGGGTTGAAACTAGTTCTTATTGTTGCCAGCCTACCTTCCTGAGTTTAAAAATCATTTTTACTCATTATTTTCTTAAGTTTTTGTAAGCCGACTCCTCCTCCTGGACTAATTGACTTCTGTGATGCCCATTTATGAAGTCTCCTAACTAAAGTTAGTACTACTTTTTGGAAATTTTCTTCCGGAAAAAGTACCCTAAAAGGTACCGAGGAGTGTGGTGAAGGCATCAGCAATTAGAGGAAAGTAGAAGATGGTCATCCACAGCAACATCGTCGGCGAATCATCCTCGGCCCCGTCGGATCATCAAACTTCTGGCCACCCACGTCTTCTTCCTTCGGACTGCTCTTCTGGTGCTGAAAAAACGAAAGGATGACAACACTGACAGCGGATTTAAAGGGCATTCAGCTGAACGAAAAAAAAATTGTTGATTGATAATTTGTGAAGTGAACAATTAAACGTTGCAAATTAATATCTTGTTTACGTTGTTGCTAAAAAAAATGATCAGGATTCGTGAAAATGAAGGTTAAAAACAAGGAAAAAAAGAAAATTTGAAAAAAATAGAAAAATTTTTCAACTTACAGGAGATCTTTTATAATCAATAAAGAAAAAAATAGGGAAATCCCTATGAAAAAAATTTTTGAAAAATTTATTCATACTTTGATAGTCGCTGTTTTTTTATATAAAAGTGAAATTCCAAATATTTGGTGGCATTAAAACTTCAATTTCATCTCTGTAATGCTTTAAAGCTCAGATTTTCTTAAGCAGTATTTAGGAGTAGAAAAAAATTTGACTTTTAAATTTTTTTTTTGGAAAAATTTTTAAAGCTAAATGTTGATGAGATATGAATAAAATTCCGTTCACCATACGTACAGAAAAAATGGAAAACTTATCTTCCGAATTTTAAACTTGTAGGGTTTCTGAATCAAGTAACTTCAGCCTCATAACATTTTTTTATAGAAGCCATTTTGTAATATTTCCATTTTTTTTGCTCAAAAAAACTTCTTAATCTCTGTATCACTTTTTAGTTTCTAAAGAAAAACAAAACTGACTTTCGGTTTTCTCAAAACTACAAAAATCAAAACAAAATGTGATATTAATGGACAAGAGGTGACGGAAGCAGACAGCTGGGTGGCTTCTTCTTGCAAGAAAAGGGGCGGGAAAAGAGGCGGAGCCGGGGAAAAAGACGATCCGATGCTCCAAAGCTCAGGCTCAGCCAGCAGTCCTGACAATAAACCCGAGAGCAATTATGAATTGAGAGGACAGATTGAAATTCCGCGGGGAAAACGCCAAGTCCGTGAGAATTTTTGTAGCCGCTAGCTATAAAGTGTCTTGTTATTTAGTGAGAAGTGCGCGTGTTCTGGACAAATCTGCTCAGTGATAAGCACAATCGAAGGCCTTCTGGGAGCAATTAATGAGAAATTTCTTTTTCTTTTTTTTCATAAGCAAATATGAATCGTTATAGGATGGAGCTTCTGAACTTTTCTAAAAAGAAAACTTGGATGAAAAAAAAAATCAGATCTGTATTATAAATATTGAAAAAAAAAATGGAGAACTTGAAAAAGCAGATTTGTGTGAGCTCAAACGGCATAGAGACATAAGAAAATAGGAAATTTTGCAGAATCAAAGAAAATAATTTTTTTTTTCCACTTAACAACAGATATATCAAACACCTTTATTAGCCGACGCTAGTTATGTAGTGATTTTTAGTGGCTTTTTAAAAATATATTAAAATTGAGTAAGACATTTTTTTCCTAGTAAATATTGGAGCCAAGAGAAATGAAAAAAATGCTATGGGTTTTTTTCGCACTTTCATTTCTTTTTAGCCTCATTTTCATAATGAAAAACAAGAAAAAAGAAATGCTTGTTCTCAATTTTTTTAAAGAAAAAAATGAGCCTCACTAAACCTTCTTAGAATAACGGAAGGAATGCTTCAATAAAAAGAAAAAAAATATATGAAAGACGGATCCACTTTGTAGCGATTGTCCAGAGCTTTTTTTGGTTTTGCTCGTGGGAAGAAATAATTACAAGGTTGGGGGGAAAATTAAAAAATTGCTGACCTTTTGCGTTATTGAAAAAAAAATGGAAAATTCTTTCTAAAGTTTATTTATGACCAAGGACCACTCAGATCTACTTCGAAAAAAGTTTGAAAACATTCCTGATTAAATAAAATTAAGAAAAAGGTTGGGACTGATAAGGCAAGCTTTTGCCATTTACTGACGATTTGAAGGTTTCGGGCTCAGATAGGAAAGAATTAAAGAATCAATTAACGTACTGCGATAAATAGAGAAAGAGACCTTACAAGATTCGCCGACCAATTAGTCAGCGGGGCAAAGTCAGCGCGGTATCTGTTTGCACACACACGCGTGCCAAAACGGGAAGAAAGAATAGGAAAAGCCGAGCGGAGTTCATCGAGAATTCTGAACCGAGCGTGTACCCGGAGGAAACGAAACAAATGACAACGGGCTGGCGACGTGGGAAAACCGCACAAAAAGGTGAGACTTTCTTCCTTATTTCCAGTTCTAGTACGTTTTGGCTGGGATCCAACCTCGTCTCACCGTTCAGAAATTAGCCGAAGTATGAACATCTTTGAGAAAAAGCAAGTTTATTCGTTTGGAAACTTTCATTTTTGAAATTTTCTCAGAATCGGTCTAAATCATGTTTATTTCAATAAAGAAATTTTTCGAGTTTTAACGAAATCAAGAATTGTGAGTACCGCGACATCTTTTGCTATCACAAGATGATAATTCAATTTTCCAGAAAGAAAAAAATTTTTAAATGGTAAATAGGTTAGACTTCTAAACAAGTAAGACCGACGGTTTTTGAAAATAAAAAAGGTTATTTTGCACAGAAATCTGAGCTTTATAGGCCTCTTTTTGAGTTTCATCAGCTCACAAAGTTGCCCCTGAGCCAACTTGGTTTTCTCCCTCCGTTCACTTATTTATAAAAAAATAAATAAAAAAATAAATACAATGGGAACGTCAGAGGCCCTATGGGAATGCGTTTCAACAAACAAAAAAAACAAGAGGAATAAAAGAAAATAACTAAATCTGGCGTGGATTTGAGGGAGAACTACGAAAGCTCAAGACATTAGGACGAAATGGCGTTTTTATTCCCGACAAGAATTGAAAATTGTTGGCCTCTCGGACATTTTCTTGTAATCCACTCGAAATAATTAAATTACTGGTCGATGAACGGAAAAATAATAGGAAATAGGGATGAAATGTGAAGAAGCCAGGTACATAAATTTCTTGGCCAGACTCCCACGTTTCGTCAAAACAAAACAAATATGCAAAGGAATTTGAATTCCATGCCGTCGCATTTCACAGGATACGAAGCCTCGAAAGAAATATCTTAGTTTTTCTGGTTTAGTGAAAAAAATCAAAAATCAAAAATGTTTAGTCTTTCATTTTTTTTTTCCTCATAAAGACAGAAAAAACGGGAAAAATATGCATTTCTGGAGAACGCAGTCAAAAGAGCAATAAAATGAACGAGCACAGAAAGGCGCAACATTTGTCGATGAATCATTAATCGGCGACGCTACTCGAGAATCCCTGCCACAAATTTCTTCACTTTCACCTAAGTTGTCTGTTATCGGAATATATATTTTTCAGAATTTCATTGAAACTTCTAAAACTCTCAGATAGTTGAATTATAAATTTGAGAAGGTTTCAAGGACCCAGTCTGAAATTAGGGACGAAAAAACGAAAAAGAAACAGAAACTAATAGGAAAACGAAGCTTCTCATTTTCTTTTGGCCGCCGGTTCCGGAACGTTAACAACGGATTAGAATGGAGACGTCCAGGCCAACGGCCAAATTTTGCAGAAAAAATTTATTTGAAAATGTACGAATCCTCACATTTTCTTTCTCTTCTTTTCGTAAAAAGAAGGCTTCGTTATTTGTAATAACAACTATTAACACAGGCTAAATAATTTTTTAAGCCGGAGAAACAGAAAAGGAAAACGAGGTAATTAGTGAAGGCGAAGCCTTTTAGTGCTAATAAGTTTAATCGTTTCGAGCTGCCAAAAGGACGTTTCCAAAAAGGCTTTCCTTTAACCTTCTTCGGAAGAATAGTGCAAAGCTTAGGCACGAGATTATTAAATATTTATGACATATGATTACAGAATTTGTTCTAACCTCGGAAAAACCTTCAATTTTTTTATCCAAACCTGGAAGGTAATGTCAAATTTACTTATCTGACAGAAATTATAAATTCACATTTTTTTTTAAATTTTTCTCGTGAAAATTTGGAAAAAAAGCTCATACCTGTACTTTGAACTTGAGAAGGACTTTGCCGCAATTTGAAGCATTTGAATAAAAGAATAAAAGAAGTCGGAAACATGATGAAATAGAAGAAAAATCAAAGTTTACGAATTTTGATTGAATTTTGAATTTACGCTAATCACTGGAAAAGCGCCAATCGCCATCGTTATGGTGTAAATAATTTTTCAGAAGCACCTGTTTTTTTTTATTGAAAAAAAACGATGCAAAGAAAAAAAATAGTAGAAAATTTATGAAATATTTTTATAACTTTACCGGAACTATATTATTATATATATTGTATCTATGCTTTTTAAAAATACGTACCTAAAAAGTATGCAAAAAAATCAATTTTCATTAAAAACTAAAAACTTCGGAAGGGTTTGAGTAAAATCAAATTCGAAAAAGTGCAAAATGAAAAAAACTTCAAAAAAAAAAAATTGAGTTTCATGTTTTTTTCAGTAAAATATAAAAAGGAGTTGTCAAGTATAATGAGGACCAATGAAATTGAATCTTGAATGAAAAAAACGAGGAATTGCCAGGAGATTGTTTATATAAGCTTCTAGGAGGAGGCGAAATAACAGTTGGAGTTTCCTCAAGAGGCTGAACTTACAGACCACTTCCTTTCTTGGCGACCCACTTTCTGAGCACCCGAAAGAAGCCGAAAAATTGAAGTAAAACGGAAACGTGGTCGTTTGTGCGGTGGGCGCGAATTCATCAAAAGCCGCGAAACTCCGAGTGCCTTAAGCCTCGTGATCGTTTTGACAGCGCGAACGCGACGTCTTCTAATCCCGCGAGTCGGTTGCGGAGACGCGTCATTCGTCATGCGAACACGGGAACAGACTCGAGATCATCTTTTTGTCTTCCGAGTGTTTCTTTAGTTTGTTGGAAGCATTTCCATTGGGTTCAAAGGAAGCGACACCGCACATTCACTAAACGCAAGCATCTGAGCAAAGGCGTTGTAAATTGTCGAAAATTGGCTTTTAACTCGAAGAAAGTTTTGAAAGCCTCAAAGTTTGAGGCTCAAACTGAAAAAGTTCCTATTTTTTGAGAGGACATCCGTTTCAAAGATTTTGAAACAGTTTTCAAAGAAGCGATATTGGAATCTTCAGAATTGAGCTCTTTTTGCTTTTTGGTTGAAAATTTCTGGAAAATTGTCCAGAAAGTTCCTTCATCTAACAGGAAAAAACTGGCTCTCCAAGCCCAAAAATGTCCTATTTTTCCTAATTTGTAACGATTTTTTGACTTTAAGGGGTCTTTTATCAAAACTAGGAAGTTGTGCAATCAGAAAATCCTTGCAAAATAAAAAAAAAGTTCCAGGTCAAAGTTCAACACTTTGACAGTTAGTTTTTGAGTTCTAGAGACTTTGACCTTTGCTTATTTGTAATTTCGGGTCTCTATTCTTCTCCACAACGTCCAAAATTTGATCGTTTTCATAGAATTATGTGAAAAAAATACGATTCTACACGTGAAATATAATCATTTGGATTTATTTCTATGATGTTCGGTCGTTCTTCACTTCGCACCGCTAATGAGGTTTGATTAATAAAAAATAAAAAAACAAAGTATTCTTCTCAAGATCAAACACCTTCAAAAAATTTTCAAGTAACCGACGAGTATAAATTCAGAAGCAGCTCTCTGTGATTTGCGATGAAACTGAAGCAACTGTTGACTTCCGGGACGGCTCGTTGCTTCTGAGGCCGGTGGTGGTCGACGCCCTCGACGTCTCCAGAATGTCTGTTCGCTTCTGAAACTGAAATATGAAGCAGACTTTAGGTTTTCCAAGAAAGAAGCTCTGGAGTTCCCCGACCGAGAGAATCCTCCTATACTCAACGTCCACGCTATTTCGCTGGTTCTTTGGAGGCTCGTCTCTCGCGGACACATGGTAACTGATGATCTTTTTTTAGATAGTTACCATATTTATTAACATGAGAGTTATTGATTATTCATCTTGGAATCAGATGAGAAATTTGCAACTTTTTTATTTCAGACGATGGCGGTACTGCCGGGAAACTTTCAGATGTACGTGCCGTGTTGTACGGATCAGACCGCCCTTCAGAAGCTGGTTGACTTGGAGTTGCTATTGTTCGATGATAAAGGTTGTGCATAAGTGCTCCAGAGTAGTCACTACAGGGGCCGCCTTAGGGATCTTATCCACTATAAGGGTCACTGAAGCTTGCAAAAGTGGCCCCATTAGGGGACAACATGCTAGTCGATTTTTGTTAAGAATTACATGAGAAGAAGCGTTTCCATTCAAAAAAACCCTATAAATTAGCGATTATTGATTGAAAATATCAACAGAAAATGAACTTATCTAGTTTGTCTTTTTGATTTTAAAATTTGAACAAAAATAAAAAACCCAATAGGGACTGCTTGAGCTTTAGGGGTTTAGAGGCCAGACCGTAAACCCCTATAGGGGCTACCTAATATCCACCCCTATAGAGGGCACTTTTTATCTTCTCTGAAGGCTGTTGACATGCTCTCTCCAAAATAGAGAACCCTCCATTTAAAAAAAAATGTCGGAATCTCTGTTTATCATCAAAGTGCACTATCAAGAAGTTGCTATACCTGAAATTGTAGTAGTGACCTGTAGAAAAAACTTAATTTCCAGCCAGCTCATCGAGAATGATGGATTACCACATGACCATCGCAAGCTGCGCCTTTCGGAGCAACGGCTGTCTTGTCGGATCTCGAGGATCCTACTATCCCCTTGCTCATCACCAACGTCAATTAACCGATTTCGTCGCTGAGAGGTATAGTCAATGTTTCTCGACTTGAATGGCGAGGGAGGCGGGGCAAGGGGCGGGACGCGTAGCGTGTGCGTACGCGGTACTTGGCGCCAGTTCAATTGAATTACCGCCGACTACTTGAAAAGCTCGGCAACCGCTCTTTCTCTGTATTTTCTACTAATTTTTGCTACACAAATTCACATAATCATAAAATAACTAAAAAAGAAGTGAAAAGAGCGATAAATAAGCTATCTGAATGCTCGCTGGCGGTTGAATTGAACTCATGCCAAGAACCGCGTACGCACACGCTACGCGTCCGCCCCTTGCCCCGCCTCCCTCGCCTTTCAAGTCGGGAAACATTGACTTTATGTCGATTTTTTGAAAATCCCTGTAGATTTGTTCGGCCGCTGTTCACTGCAGACGGGATGGAAGCTCATTTTGGCGACACCCATAAAGGTTGTGTAAGTTTTTCTTTTTGACAAGGGAAATATTATTCGGGCCAAGGTTGAACTATACAGGAAACTTGGTTAAAGTGCGTTTTAGGACCATCCCATTTTGAACGAAAAAAAATCCTTTTTTTAGTCGAGTTATAAATTAGTTGTAACACTTCGAAATTTTGAATATGGTTTTCTAAATTTTCGTAACTTGTCAACTTTATAACTCAAATATACTGGAAAAATCTCTAGTGGTCATTTAAGAGACTTCTCAAGAACTACTTGGAGAGGACACTAAAGGGGTCACTAAAAAAACCTCTTTAGAAGCCCCCATTTCGCGTCTTAGTGACCACTATAATAGTTTTCAATGGTCCAGTAGTACCACTTCGACTTCTGAAGAGGCCAATAAGTTTTAGCCTCTTAGATGACTACTAATTCGACCACTATGGTGGTCAATATAGTGTCAAAACCCTTAAGAGGCCACTAAAATTGTTCTCCGTGTCACGAAACAAAGTCAAGGAATTTTTCGGGGGCTCAAAAACTACCCTTGTAAGGAAAAAAGAGAACTACCCTTCAGAATCCCTTCATTGTGATGCCGGACCAAGCTGATTTCATCGGTGTCATGGATTATCAACTGAGCGCCGAAGATCAGCTCTATCTCATGATCCACATGTGCGATGTCATCAGATCTGGTCCTTTTTGTTTTTGAAAGTAGTTTTCAACCGTAAATTTCAGAAAAATCGAAGAGAATGTGCACCCAAATGCGAGAAAGTCGTATTCAGCCATCTTCGTGGTTATTTTGGGTCATTTTCAGATATTTTACCCGGTATTTCAGGCCAACGACAAACGGCTTGTCCATGCAGTTTGCTACAGTGAAGCTGAGCAATCAGAAGAAAAGGTATTCTGAATTATTTTAATGGGATAAGCTTCGCGGGTGCGCCGAGGTTAGAATAGGATAAGAAATTTATTCGAAACAAACTCGCTTCAATGTTTTTTATGTCACCATGCGCAAGTCGTTTTTGGTCGGGTGTTCCTTGAAACAGTCCTTTAGACCTTGGGTGACGATTCTTAATCATATGAAGACTGCATTAAAATGAAAAAGATCATGGTAATGTTAATTTTAGAAACTTTGAAGAGGAGAACGTTCCGACATCGAATAACGACGAAGGCCCACCGTTACCAGAATATGCACGATTTTATCCGCAGACAAAAGTGATCACTTAAGTGAAATTTATCCAAATTTTTCTCAGGTCCCAGTTGCTGAGCCAAGTTCCACAACAATCGGTTTTCCCAATTCGATCTATCGCTTTGGCAACGATCTGCTCGATCTTCAAACTGAGGTTTTTCGCCACGAAATGAAACATTCCAGCCTATCTGCGCCCTATTTTCTCTAACTTATAAGGCAATGCTAGGAGGAGGGAGGAGAGAGTACAGATAAGCTAGACTGTAGAAAGTCGCAGTAAATTGAGTATTTTTTTTATTTCTTTTTCAAAGAATGACTTCAGATCTCACCTCTAAGAATGACTTACGTGGACGCTCTCTCCGAAATTTTCGGTCGAGAAACGGTATTTAACTTTTTTTTTTTCAAAACAGAACTAAATTCAAGGCCTGGGATCTCGTGTTGAAAAACCCGGACTGTAGAAATATCAACCAGATGCTTGAAATCGGAATGTCGGAGCTGAGGCCAGAGCCCCCAAACCTTGAGAGTTCCACGACTGAAAGCTCTGTTTTGGACGATGTTCTTCTCATTGATTTTTAATTAGATCTTGCTTGATCCTGAATGCTTCATCTTCAAGTTTATTCAATTATTAAATTCAAACACTCGTAGCAAAAAAAGGTGAATAAATTTTGACCCGGTTACAGTCCACAGCGTATTACAATGTGAGTTTAGTCAAACTACCAGCGGTTGGGAAATTGGTGAGATATGTACGTTGACTATCACAAATTGAAAATTGGAATTAGAAGAAAGTCGTGAAGAGATAACAAATACAAGAATCGAAAAAAACTCAGTTTTTCACGACTGTTTTCCGATCGGAGCCACAACAGACGATCGCCTTGGGACAAAATGTTCGTTGGATGAGACGGAAGGGAAAAAAGAGCAGATTTATGGGGAAAATGATGAGGACGAAAGAAACCAGAATAAAAGCCGTGCCACCGATGAAAAACCAAGAAATGGCCACGTGCCGGAATACGATGTCGATGACTGTAAATATCGTATTTTTTATTTGTTTAAAGGCAAAGATTTTTTCTATTTCATATTTTTTTACCAAAATTTTTGCCTTATTGGCTTCGTTTTTTTTTTTGATTTTTTTTTAAATGCCTTTAATGGAGAAGAATGACGGACTAACCAACTATGAAAAAAAAACAACTTCGCAAATAATTTGATCTGGAATTTTTAAACTGTCAAATCACACGAAAGAGACCCTTCAGCTATACCTATTTCTTGAGAAATTCGCAGTTATTCCAAACTCTTTTTAGATCTTCAATATGATGAAGTTTGGCTAATGAGACTATAGTATTGCCGAAATATGACTCAAAGCCAAATTCAAGCTTTTGCTGAGGTTTTTTTTTAATTTTTAGTCATACCCAAGTCCTTTCTATAACCAAAAATTGAACCTTAAAGGCATAGGGGCAGTAAAAAACGGCGTTTCAGTTCAAAGCAGTATTTTGTAGAGCTTTTCATTGCGAATCGAACGGTGAACTTGGAAACGTACAGAAGTTCCTAGTTTTGGAGAAAAAATAATTCAAAGTCGGAGAGATGAAGGTTTGAGTTTCCGCGACATATTGAAACATTAAAAAAATTCTTTTGTTTAAAACTCATGCCTTGTTTTTTTCTGCTATCGGTTTTTTGTGAAAAAAGTTCATGTGATAATTAAAAAATTTGGATTCGTTTTTTAAAAAAAATGAAGCAAAATCAAAACTGACTGTAGTTGAGAGGTATTCCGCACAGCATTCCGACCGAAATGACCAGCGGACCGAGGTAAACTATTCCCAAGTTAATCAAGAAGTTGAACACTGCAACAGCAATTGAGCAAGAAGCATATTAAAACGACTTTTATCGAAAGGACAAAGAAGAAAAAACTCACTGAGGCTGAGAATAGCCGCTCCGATCATCGGCCACCAGGGAACATAGGCAAAGTTGATCTTTTCAACTTTGGTGAAGTAGAGAACGAGGGGCGGGATGAAGTTCAAGAAGAGGTTGAGGAATCCAAGACAAGTCATGAACAAGGAAATTTGTCCCAACAAGCCAAAGTCGCGCATGCTTTTCATGAAGAAGACCTGAAATGAGGGGGCTGCAAAGAGTTGGCATGATTTATTATATTTTTCTCATCCATTTTCCTTATTGCGTCGGTCTAGCGCGACAGGTTGTGTGCCTGTTCACGGTCCACAGGGTCACAAGTTCGACCCCCGCCTCGACCCAAACCAAGGGGTTTGAGAAACATCTTTTAATTTTGGCTTAAATCAAGGAGGAAACATGGCCTCCACATCTCCGATTTCAAGGCAAAAGGCGGAATTTTTTTTCAAAAGGAAAATGAGGAAATCTAGGAGAATTTATAAACAAGGAAACTTTTCGAAGCAAGTCAAAGTGACACAAAATTATCTTGAGAAAGGCCTAAAAAGTTGACAAGATTTTTTTGCCTGGGAAAAGTTTTATAAAGTTCTCAAGCTAAATCCATTCGCAATTTCCTTGAGAGATCGACAATTGAAACCTTGTAAGATGCTGAGAAGCAGGCCGAGGCAATGGAAAGCACGTAGCCTTGCCAATGGCCGCTGCTCATAGACTCCGTAGAAATCATGCAAACGCCGCCGATTGCGAAGATCACCGCTATCAGCTGAAACGCGAACTTTTTCGGAGAGAAAGAATCGGCCGAAAACCTTATGGATTGAGAATTTTTCGGAAAGGATGAATATGGAAAGAACGTAGATGATGGCCGTGTTGCAAGCCGTGATGGAAGTCGCCACGCTGGCGTTCACTGACGTCAGAGCTTGGGCATAGGTATAATTGGCCCCTGCCTGTAAAGTTTTTTTTTTCTCTTCGTCGTTCATTTTATGATTTTATCTTTGAAGTCTTTGAATTTACTACATTTTTATGGTACAAGTTTTTCAACTCCTGGAAGATTCTCAATGAGAAAAGCAGAAATGGAAGCTGTAGGAGAGTTTCAAATACGCTTTCAGGAGAAGAGAGCAGAAAAAGATTAAAGAGATATATTATGTGTGCCACGAGTTGAAATTTCACGGAACGACATTCCGCTGTTCCGCTGCGTGCGTTCGAGAAGCGTCTTTCGAATCTAGGTCACGCTTTCAATTGATTTTTATTGCTGTGGGATCACAGGAAAGTAGAGTACCCTAATAAAAGAAAAAAAAAATTTAAGCGCAACTAAGGATCGCGCAGCGGCACAGCGGAATGTCGTTTCGTGAAATTCCAAGTCGTGGTACACAGGCTATACTGAGCCACAAAAATTATAGGAAACTTGGATTCAGAGCAGAAAATGAAGCCAACCGTTAAAAATAGCTTCTTGGTATCTTTTTTAATAAAATATGTCATGTTTTCTGGTCTTTAAATAACACATCTTATGCTTATCTGTAGTTTCTCAAAACCCTTCTTATGTTTTTTAAACCACAACAAATTGAAAACTCACTGACCCAAAGAACTAAAAATGGTAAAACGTAGTAAAGGAGCGAAATGACAGAAAGTCCCCTCGATCGGAATATCCGTTGCGACTCGCTGAAAACGATAGTTACTCCTTGATTTGAAAGTGATAAAAACTTACTCATATATTTCACTCAGCGACTTTTTGGTTCTCACTCGCTCAATAATCACAGCAATTGGAAAGCAGGCAATCATGAAGTTTGTATTGAACCACATCATGAAGTACGGCGCGTCAAATTCTTTCTTAATTCAGACTTGTAGCAAATTCAAAAATTATTCGGTAATTCCAAATGCTAACACAAGAATCCAAAACTGACTGCATTAATTGTGAGCGCAGTTTTGCTGAATTGCGTCGCCAAACTCCAAGAAAGTGCCACAGAACCGATGAAGAGAACTTTCAGGCCTATCTGCATTCGAAGAGAATTTTTTTATTGATTTCCTTTTTTTTCACCATGTATGAAGGAGTTTTTTGATCCGTTTCAACCTCTCGCAACTTTTCTCCGCCGTTCATCTCGACGGCGCGTTCTGTTAGGTTTTGCATCCTGAAGAATACAGTTTCAAAAATACTTAAAAATTTTGAAAAATAAGACGACTCTATTCTAGATTGACTTCAAGGAATCGAACATAGTTTTCGTAACTGTGTTAGAACAAAATAAATATATGAAGACTTTTTTTTTCGAAAAAATCTGGACTTTTTCGGCAAATTTACATTTTTAATTATTTCATTTGGTGCGTCGAAAATAAGGAATCACTTGATTAGATAGAATATACCGGAAGGAATATATTGAATTTGGATCACTGTATTCGAAATTCTGTATGCACTGCGACGCATTTGCCGTGAGTTCGGTTTTCGATAAAAATTTAATTTTTTTATAAATTTTAATTTTTTTCTATTGGTTTTACAAATTTGTTTTTGCGTCCTATTTTTTTCAATTTAAAGAACTTTTTTTAAGCTGGCAACACAATTTTCACGCGTCTTGAAAAAGATGCAGTACGTTGCTTTTTTTCGAAAAAGAAGATTGATTTGATAAACCATATTTTCATTCTTGATTCTGGTCTTTTTGAGATATCTCACTCGAACGCGGAATAAAAATATGCCTGAGAATGGTCCCTATCCGTTCAGAAACAGAACTTTAATATAGGTGGGCTGTAAACCACTCTTCTAAACAACTGTTCTAAGCGAAATAATCTAAATCTAATCTCAAAATTTGTAACTACTTTTATCAATAAGAAAATCTTCTCAGTTTCGAGATTTTTTTTCAATGCGAAGTAATAAATTTTTCGAGGAAGACCAAATTTAATCGTTCAAGTCTCAATAGAGGAATTGAAATATAAAATTTCGTTCATTTTCATTGATACGAAGCCGCAAAAACAGTAATGAAATTCAAACAGGAAAAAATGAAAAAAAAAGATGACTTCCAAGGATTTGCGGTGGGAAATAGGCGGGGTAGAATCAAAATGCGCATTTGAATTTGTTTTGGCTCTCAAATTTAAATTTTTTCTGTGGGAAAATCCAGTTGTTTACTCTGATAAAACAGTTTTTCGGCCTCCAGAGGCGTCAAAAGTTTTTTTGAATTTTTAAACGATGGTATTTCAAAGTTATCTCAGACAAGTCAGAGCTAACAGACGATGGTTATGTGACCTTTTTTTACAGAAAAAAATATTTTTAAAAAATCATAAAAATCATAAAAACAACTGATTGGAACGCTAATAGTTACATAAATGTCAACGGATATGGAAGAATGAGAAACTTACGCGATGAGCGGCGTCGACACATCGGGACGCGACATTTGAGAAAACGGGCACAAAGTGATAAAGGCAAGGGACAAATGTGTGAGAACTTTTTTTTTCTTTACCTCAGCTGTCTGCGCTCCTTGTTCTCTCGCCTCGCAGCAGCTAAATGACCTTTTCGATGATCCCTTCAAGTACTTTCTCTGCGTTCTTTGGACCTTAAGGAACAATTTTCACAAAAAAAAACTGTTTTTTGAGTGCGTTCCTTGTTTGAAAAATCAAAAGAGAAGCTTTCAGGGTTGTTTGGAAATGAGAAGCGGGGTTTGGAAGCTTGAAAGCATGCATTTCGTAAAATTCATCATCGATTGACAATAGTTGAAACTTTTAGTGTAATGAGTTCAAAAATCCTTGCTGAGATTTTAGAAATCATACAGCGAGTCCCGTAATTGAAATAATAGTTTAAAAAGCGTTACGTTGAAATTAAGCCGAAGAAGTCTCAGGTTTCGCAAATATTGAATTTTCGACTTTGAAATTTCTCCCACTGTAAGTTAGTATTAAAAAGAGCTTGAAACCATTTGAAAATTTAACAACGTAAAATTTTCTCTTTCAATCATTGAGTTTTTCTAAGACGAATTCTTTTTTTAATCAATAGAAAAAGGCTCCCTCCATAGTTTTCTCGTTTTCTTCAGTTTTTATGGTTTGGTTTTTCATAAAGACCTTGATGAGACGCTTAGAGGAACATATGCAAAGTTCATCAAGCCTCCAGAAAAAGATTCGCTTTCTCTTTTTCGTGTCATTCAAGACTTTTGTGCTTATACCCCAGAAAAATGTTGAAAAAAGACTATTTTGTCTGTACAAACGCAGTGTAAGCAAGAAAGAAATTCAATTTCAAAAAATGCAGAGTTTCACTGTTCTCTATAGAACTTTTTGAGAGGTATTGAAAATTGGAGATGTACTGGTTTTTTGACGTTGAATGAAGCGGTTTCAGTCTCGTAAAAAATGTTTTTCAAAAATTTTAAAGTTCAATTTTTTTCACCTTCTTTATCATCTTTTTGGGATGTTTGTAGCGGTTTCAGTGTAGCCGGAGATATTTTATGGCCCCTTATCATCTCGCGCCATTTTTCGGAACCCAACTGATTGTTCCCCTCTGTGTTTTGTCCACAATTGACACGAACAAAGTGCATTTTTCAAAAATTGACTTTCTTGAAGGTTTTGAAAGTTTATTAGAAATGAAACCTTGAACCTGAAAAAAAGAGTAAATATGTAGAGATATCCACGAAAATTGTCCAGGCTTGAAAGGAAAACAGATAAGATTGGTTTTTGGAGCCATCTTCAAACATTTGAAACAGGAAAACTCACTTAACGATATTGAGAGAGGTGAGAAGTGATAAATACAGTAAGAGGGTGATGAAAACCTTTTAAAATTTTTCCATGGCTTCTTATCTGCAAACTATGAAGTCATGAAGTCATCAAATTGGTGTCAACGACGTGTTGAACAACTAAAAGTGAAAAAAAAAATCCTGAGCGGTGCAAAACTTCCGATTTGAAGAAAACCCGAGAGGAAATAAAGTTGTAAAAGTTTTCGCGATTTCAAACTGTTTATATGGTCGCATTTGGAATGGACCTTGGCCCTCTTTTCACATCACATCATATTTCATTTATCGCTGGTTTAAGGAATTTTAAAAGGAATTCTTTGCGGTTAAATATTGAGTGAAAAAAGAGGTTTAGACGACTTGCAGTTTCCTCCCAAGCTAGCGGTGATTTGTTTCTTTTATGATTCCAAAACGCGTAAGTAGTTTTAAGTCGGGTGCACTTTCGCGCAACCGTACCATTCCAAGCGCGACCATAAGCTTACAACTCAGGATAAATCGAGATGATAAAGGTTTAGTTTAAAATGGGATCAATGACACGATGAAGCTGAAGAAATAAGACCGACTAAATAGGTTGCTGGCGTCAGTTCAGTGTTCCGAAGAGTCTCCTCCACGATTGGCAGCCTTGAAGACGTCGTTTTGTAGAGCATGAAGGCTATGGTGCCGATCCGGAAGTAAATGAAACTGAAAATAGTCAAACTATAGACTTTCAAACAAGTCAGAAGCTACTTGTTCGGCTCAAAAGTCACGAAAGATCCGAAATGGCGGCCGCAAATGCAATGCCAGTCGGGTCCGAACTCGCGGTCAAAAGCCGTTTTCAAGTACCTCGCAATGTCGTGCTCCAGATTGTATGTCTGAAAGGTTTGAAGTATAAGAAGTTTCAAACTCTTGGAAACCTGCATGGCTTTGGCCGCGTGAGAACAGGCGAGTTCTTCCATGTGTCTTGGCATGTTGCTGTGCTGAACATCGGCGACGATGTCTTTGAGGCCCATCCTTCTACTTTCCAACTCGAATCTGGAATCTCCTTCATGGTTTTCGAAAGCAGTGGAACGATTTGAGGGGATCTCATTGTTTTCCAGTTTCAAACGAAAAATCTATTTTAACAAGGAAGATTGTTGTTTGAATTTGAGATATTGGCTAAAACACTCTTTGAAAGAGTTGCGCCCGACCCAATACGGCTAGCGCAAGAAGGTATAGAATTGAATTGGATTTAGTTCCCGTGACGCTTTTCAAGCCCGGGGTACTGTGACATTAAATGGTGATAAAACAGAGACAACACCATAATTATAGTCTAACATCTTTCAAAAGCTTTTCAATGGAAAAAAAATTAGTTTTTCTTTCAAAGTAAAAAGCAGGAGAAGGACCAAAAAAACGGAAATGAGGGCAAAGAACGAAACGAAGCGAACCGAAGAGCTTTCGCGTTGTTCATCAGCTTTTCGCGGTCCTCCAAAGAGGCGGCACTGAAAGACTGACGTCGCGTCACCATTTCGTCTGAAAAAACTCTTGTTCTACAAGATATTTCTCAAGTTTTCCGATAAAGATAAACAAGTGATTGTCGCATTTTTGATAGCGACCAGTTTGTGCTTTAAACTCAAGGTGTGGTAAGACCAAAAACTTGAGTATAGTTTTGAAAAAGAACTTACTTGATTTAAGTAGATAGTCCATTTTTAGTTAGAATGTGGAAAGGAGTTTTATTTGTAAGAAGCTGAAGTTCTGGTGATTGGAGGAAGGAAGTGATTATTTTGGGGACCTTCTGAGCAGAACTGAACAGAAGAACACATCTCCACACCCCTTTTTTCGTTTCTTAGCCACTCGACCGTTTGCCAATGAGCTGTTTGTTTTGGATGTTGTCCTGGATGTCTGCGCACTCGAGTAGAAGAGTGTTTATTTTTTTCCTCACTTGCGACACTCCCTTCCTTGAACTTTTGTAACATCACGTTTTTTCATGTTTAGTTCACAAGTTATTATTTGACTAAACTTGCGGAGAAAACTGGGAGCTTTTGATGCTCTGTGATAATTTTTCTGACGACATGAACTAAATTAAAAAGTTCTTGACTCACAAGGGAATTCACTTGACTTTGCGGTAGGGAATTTCTAAAAATTCCCGGAATTTTTCTTGATGTGCCAGAAGAATATTTTGACAGAATCAACCCGCAAAACTTCCTAGTTTTCGATGAATAAGGGCTCAAAACCCCAAAATCGCCTATTTTGCCGGGTTTGGAGCGCCTTGAGGTGTTCTCTCTCAAAAACTAGAAAGTTGTGAAGGCTAAGGTTTTCAAAAACCTTTTTCTGGTACAGAAAGAAACACTGTACTCCAATTTCCTGGAAAATCTCAACCGGAAAGGGAAATGACCTTTCTTGCCAGGCACAGATGATATTTATTTCTTGGTAGAATCGCAACTTTCCTTTGAAATTTATTTTCTAAATCGCAAAGCAAGCTGATGAAAAGATGAAACCTCACAAGTTTCAACTAAATTTAAAAATTTTTTTCGAAACCTTTTTTAGACTCTTAAGGTTTTCAAAGTTTTCCTAAAAACTACAGAAAGCTCTTTCACAAAATATTTTCAAGGAATTTTTCAAAATCTGCTGTCCTCAATGTACTCGCAGAAAAGTCAGAATCTCAAAAAAATCCTTTTTTCTCCTCGAAATTCTCACATTTTCTGCTCTGAAGCCTTATCGGCGATCGACTTATTTTCACTTACAGCTCTTCGATTTTTCTTTCGATCCTCAGAGAAAACCAATTCCAATTAGCGAATGCAAAATAATCCGAGGACAAAAAGAATGAAAAGTGTGACGAAGCGGTCGATTTTTGCGCGCAATCAACAATCAAACTGGTATCAGCGCTGCCAGTTCCTTCCAGAAGCTATAAAAGCTTGGAATGAGGCGTCGACGACGTCAGCCATGGATCTCGACGCCCGCATCAGGGCGTACAAGTTCGTCGCCTACACGGCGGTGACCTTCTCCGTCGTCGCCGTCGTCTCCATCTTCGTGACCTTGCCCATGGTGTACAACTACGTGCACAACATCAAGCGCCAGATCCACACCGACGTCAACTTCTGCAAGGTTCGTTTTTTACTTTTTTTTTTAGTGCTAGCTGAGAGTTAGTCTTTCCAGATCACTCACAAGTGAGGTCATTGTAAACACCCAGAAATTCGGAGCTTCTGAAAATTCTCAAAGAATCTTCAAAGAGCTTAAGAAATGTAATTACGCCAATTTCTAGTTATTTAGATAAAAATTTAAAGGTGTAATTCACAGGACTGTTTAGAATTACGGAGAGAGAAAGGCCTCAAGAAAAAAAAAATTTAATCTCAAAGCGGGATAAGGTAAGAACTAAAGGCCAAGAAAGGTCGAAAACGGTTTTTTTTTCCGGTTTTACTGATGGAAAACTTTTTCTAATGATCCTCATGATGTCCTTTCGAACTGGATACGTTTTCAAGTTTTGAATATCTCAAGAAAAAATTATCTGCCCATTTTATACTTTTTCTTCGTATTATGAAGCTTGGCAGGTTTTTCTTGAAGAGAATAATTTTTCTTGGGGCTACCTACGAAAGTTACCCCTACATTAAATATCGAGAAAATTCGGAACTCAAACTTTCCGTAAACTTTTCGGGATCATAATCAACCCCAGAGAAAGAAAAAACTTCAGGGATCAGCTAAGGACATCTGGTCCGAGGTGCACCAAATCAAGGACATCCAAGTCAACAGAACCCGTATCGCTCGTCAGGCTTACAACACTGGAGGCGCTGCCGCTGGCGGCGGGGGCGGAGGAGGTAAAAAAAAATTTGAAGAACTTATTTCACTTTTTTTGTTTCAGGAGAATATGGAGTCGCTGGCGGAGAGGCCACAGCTGCCGGAGGCGGAGGAGGAGGAGGCTGCTCTGGCTGCTGCAACCCTGGACCTCCTGGTCCTGGCGGAAATCCAGGAAAGCCAGGACGTCCAGGTAAGCCAGGAGCTCCCGGAGCTCCAGGAATGCCCGGAAAGGGAGCCTCAGCACCTTGCGAGCCAATGGTGAGCTTCTTTTTAGTTGATCATTTTTGAGAAATGCTACTAATTTTTTGAGAGCTTCAAGGATAGTCAGAAATTTCCAGACCCCGCCACCATGCCAGCCTTGTCCAGAAGGACCCCCAGGACCAGCAGGACCAGCCGGCCCGGCCGGAGAACCTGGACCAGATGGACCACCTGGATCACCAGCTGGACCATCTACTCCTGGACCACCAGGACCAGCCGGAGAGCCAGGACCTGCCGGAAACGACGGAACTCCTGGAGAGCCTGGAGGCCCCGGAGAACCTGGAGCTTCTGAGACGGGAGGAGCCGGAGAGCCTGGACCAGCCGGACCGGCAGGACCACCCGGACCACCAGGTCCAGACGGAGCGCCAGGATCAGGAGGAGCTGGAGCTCCAGGACCCAAGGGACCACCTGGACCAGGAGGACAGCCAGGAAGCGACGGAAACCCAGGACCGCCGGGACCAGCCGGAAAGTCTGGTGGCGACGGAGAGAAGGGAATCTGTCCCAAGTGAGTTATTTTTGGTAGGAAATGTAAATATTTTAATTTCTCAGGTACTGCGCCATCGACGGAGGTGTCTTCTTCGAAGATGGAACTCGTCGTTAATTTACCAAAGCACTCATTTTTCAATCGAAATGAAGCTGTTTTACATACATTTTGTGTAGGAACAGTATTTTCATGAGGAAAGTGGAGGAACAAGAGTTTTCATAATTTATCTGTAGAACTTGTGATGTGAAAGCCTTACGCTTCAAACTAAGTTTTCAAATTTTGCTTTTTGAGAGTCGCTGAATGATTACTTTCAAGCTTGCGGAAGTCGCTTTTGGTCGGGCGCCTTTTTTGTGACCGCGACGCAGCCGCTGCGCCTCGAATCATTCTTATTGTTCTGTTAGCTTCTTTTAGGATGAAATACGGCCGCCGCGACTTGACAGTTTTCGATTTTCTGCGTCTCTCTGTTCCTTCATCGGCGAGTACATAGAAACATGGAAATAGCTCGTAAACAGGAGAGCGTCGTCGAGAGAACAGGAGGGCACAGAAAAGTCTCGGAAGTCACGTAAAACGGACTATGAAAATTATTTCCAAAGTCTTATCATTATTCCGTTTTGAAGTCTCTCGCTAGTTGAAAAGAAGCTTTATTTTTCGAGAAAAAGTCATTTCATTAATTTACAAATAAATGCAGCTGGTTAAAAAGTTATTACGAAATACAATGATCCTCCTCCTTGGTCTTGATGATGATCTCCATGTTCAGGTTTCCCAGCTCGAACCATTTTTGGACCTGAAAACCTCTCAAAATCATTGATTTTAGCGAAATTTTGGACCTTTTCTCCTCCGTTGATGTAGTTGCTAGGAATGGTGAAGACCACCTTGCGCTTACAGAGCTGGAAGGTCAGAAGATCTTTGAAATGAAAAAAAGAACTTACAGAGAATTCATTGTGGCAAGAGTGATAGATTCGGAGCTGTGGGTCGATTTTCATGACCTAAAATTTTATTTTAATCAAATTTTACCTTCTTACACAAATTTATTTCGTATTTCATAGCCTCTTTGCAAAATTTACTTTTTTCTGAAACAAAAAAGTCGCAAAAAAGGTTTCAGTGGGTCAGAATCAACTCAAAAGGCTACTGGCTGCAAAAAAGTTGCAAATTGGCGACAAAACAATGATTTTGGTGAAGTTTTCGAGGTTCCATACTTGAGACATGAAAATTGGGAGTAAAAAGAACTTTTTTACCGAAACGGCAGTGCCCCAGATAACAAAGTTTCCATCTTCGTCCGTTTTTCCCTCGGCGATCAAGTCATCAGGATCGACTTAAATAATGAATAAATAATTTTCTTGATATTTTCCTCACAAAAGTCCTTGTCCCAAAGTTTGACGGTTGCGTTGGGAAGAACTCCAAGGCCACAGAAAAGTCGACCTCGAACTCCGACGCTTTGATACCTGCCGATGGGGCCGACCTATATAAAAACAAATTGAGCTGAAATCTTCTCATTTCATCACACCTTGTCCAACAAACGACGCCGAAGCGTACTCGAGGTGGGGCCTGTCAACTCGGATTCATCGGTAGAATAAACTGGGAATACTATCAGAAAGAAGAACAGAATGACGCCGTGGAAGAGCATTTTATTCATTTAGTTCGAGAAAATAAGATATTGAATGAATGCCGGAGGCTTGTCCGGTTGCTGTTGTTTTGTGTTGGGTTTTCTCTCTCCTCGTGACGGCTGCTCTTTGAAGCGATGTTCTTCATCTTGTCCTAGGTAGTTTAAGAAACGTCACTTGTTACAGCCAATCCAATGAAAAAAATAAAGAAAAAAATAAAGAAAATATAAATCCGATTAAAATTTACGAAAATCCCTCTTGAATTAAAAAAAAATAGGCAAAGTCGGAAGGTTAAAAAAAAAGCTCCATAAAAGTGTTCCCTTTAGCCTAAAAAGGCTCTTTTGTTGCTGTCTTTTAGCATCATTTCGACGGCCCTTATGCACCATTTTTGCTGCCTCTCCTTTTTTCCCATCATCATTCAGGCTTTCAAAGTTCTAGAAAAAATGGAAGGCTCGATAAAGGGACTTTTTTTCGCTGTCTTTCCGCCACATTTTTTTAGACCCCTTTTAGCGGCCATTATCCCACATTCCGAATTTACCTGAGAATAACCTTTTACGTCATATTTTCTCATATTTTCGCCCTATATTTTTGACCAACAACCAACATAATCCTATTGAATGCAAAATTATACATCAAAAATGGCCAAATCCAAAGAATTTCCCAATTATGTACAAAAAATTCCAAAGCTGTTTCCGGCGCCGCATTATTTTTTTCACACGATACTCGTTTTTTTGTGCATGCACCACAGTCCGCAATGTTTCGTCTATCGATGCTCGCGACGTGCTGAATTCTTTAATTTAATTTTTTTATTAACTTTTTTTAATTTATTTCTATACTAATATCAATGCTGTTTCTAACATAAGTTTATTCCGGAAAGAACAAAACTACTATTGATGGGAGAAGACCGCGGGCGGCCTATCAATCGAGCCAACAGCGATGGACTCTCGTCGTTTTATCGGTTTTTCAACTTTTACAGTGAAATCCTTCATCAATAAATTTACAGAGAGCGTTTTGGGAGCCATTCCCCCGAAGAGTACCTGAATTTACGCATTTCGGGGATCGACGAGCGGTTAGAAAGAGATGAAATCAAAATGAAGTTAACACACGAGTTTCGGCGTTTCGCTCCGTTCGAGGTAGTTTATAAACAGAAAAATGAATACTGGCTTTTACAGATAAAAGTTGTAAGGAATCCTGAGGAAGATGAGCGAATGGCATATGTGAATTTTGAAAGAAGAGATTGTGCAAGGAATATTAGGCAAGTTATTTTAAATAATAATTGTTAACCTCGAATTTTTTTTTCAAAAATCTGTCTGAAAATTTTTATAGTGTTCAAACGGGTAGAGCTTTTCAAGAAATTGAAATAATAAAAAGTTTTCCAGATATAAAATGATGGACCGTCTACGAGAAGCTCTGGGAAAAAGAGTTTTGTGTGATCCGGCTGGAATTTTGCGAGATCAGGAGGGTAAATATATACCCGATCGTTTCAACCGCTCACTACAGGTATCAGAGAAAAATTCAATAGTTTCAAAAGTTCATCAAAATTTAGACGGATCGCAGTTCTCGCGATCGGAAAGGACCAAAAGAGCCTCCTCAGTGGCGTTTGAAAAACGACGATTCTGACGCTACAAGGACTCTTTTCGTTGGAAATATGCCTGCCGATGTCAGAGAAACGGAAATTAGAAAGGTTTTTTTTTCTTGATGTTTCTTTCTGAGGATTTGAACCAATGAAAAAAAAAAGTATCTGTTGCGGACCCTTACAAGGGAAGTCATTTTAATGTGAAGTTGGGAATTTCCTGAAATTTGACCAGGACTTTGCTTGATGCGCTAGAAGATGATCAACCAATTTTCATGCTCTGCAGCTTCTTCGTTTTCGAGAAATAGGGGCTCCAAGTCCCAAAATGGCTAATTTTAACTGATTTTGAGATGTCATTTTTCAAAAACTGAAAATTTGTGTCGTGTATTTTGGAAATTCTCTCGATACTAATGGCCGTGGTTTTATGTAAGACCCCTAAAATAGACTTTTGAACAGCCTCTGTAAAGGATTAGTTTTGTTTCAGGTTTTCGAAAAGTATGGAAAAATCGAGGATATTGACATCAAAACACCAGTCAACACAGATGCAGCTTACGCTTTCGTCATGTTTCAAGTGAGTTTTCTTTTTTGGCTATTCAAGACAAAATTGCTCTCGATTAGTTTAAATACCCGTACAAAATATTTTTCCATGATTCAGCAGAGAACCTACTCTGAAGACTGAATAAAACTTTCAAACTTTCAAACTTTCAAAAACTTTCAAAACTTACAAAATATTTCCGCGAAATGAAAATTGGCTCTCTAGTTACTTATTTTTCACTCTCTAACGGTTATTTCGATTTGTTGCAGAGTTTTTAAAAGCGGTATGAACCTTTTCTTTTCACTGTCTTTTCTGTTTGTCTTGTCGAAAACGAATAATTTTCGAAACAGGGATAAATTAACTTTAAAATTTATCCTAAAATGTGATTTAAGTCTCTGGAACAAGCGATGGACGCAAAAGCTGAAGAACAAGATCGTCCGATCCGTCCAGGAAGTTCTCGGGTCAAAATTGGCTACGGGAAAAGTCAGGTCAGAAGAATCTGAGCAAGTATAATGATATCCTCAACTCGAAAATACATATCTTTCAAACAAAAAAATTTCGTCATAGACCCATTTTTTCTCAGACAAGGGCTTTCCTGAAACTTGCAAGCTAGTAATATAGTGAAAAAAAAATATATTGAAAATTAATTTCCAAAAAAAAATTGTTTAGTGTTTTTTTAAAGAGCTTCTTTGCTTCAAAACCTGTAATATAATGACTTTTTGGAAGATAATTTACTGGAAAGATTTCTTGAAATCATCAATGATGTTCTTTCCAAAATAAAGTTAAAATAAAAGTTTTCCCGAAGCAAAACTTTTTATTCAAGGTTTCACGCCGACTCTGGGTTGGTGGCCTGGGATCCTGGTGCTCCGCCGACATGCTCGCCAAGGAGTTTGACCGCTACGGGATGATCGAGAAGCTCGACTACAACGTGAGACAGCCATTGATTGGAATAATTCATCGAATGACTGAAACAGGAAGGAGACGACGTCGCCTACATCTGCTTCGAGGACACTCACGCGGCGCAGGACGCCTGTCGGGCCATGCGGAATTATCCCCTCGGCGGCAGAGATCGCAGCATTATGGTCGACTTCGCCAAGTTCGTTTACCTCATTTTGACAATTTGTTTTTATGAATATTCAGGGAAAAAAGTATAATAGTATATATTTGTCATGAAATTTTTTTTAGAAATTCTGAAAAATTAAAGGCTTTTAGCCCAGCGATACAGTTTCCAAACTTGCAAGATGAAGTTTTTCTTGGCTCCAAAAAAACTTTTTGGAGCCAAGAAAAAAACTTCCGTTTTATATAATTTTTATTTGTGTTCTTTCAGTTCGATATAACTTTTCAAAGCGTTGGTTTTCTATGGTTTTTTTACATTTTAAAAAAATCGCAAAAATGATCGGTTTTTTTCTCACGAAAAGGAATAAAAATTGGACCGTTCTAGAGTCAAACAACAAAAAAAATGTGGTCGAGTTTTTTTCTTGTCGAAATAATTTGTATTGAAACGGGATATATAATAATTAGTTCGTGGCAGCTTGGAAATCTGGAATAAAATTTTCTCTTTATTCTTAGATTTTTAGATAACCCAACTGCTCTGAATTGAAAAAAAAAGAGAAAAAGCATTTAGAGCACAAAATTCTGACAGGAAAATCTCTAAATTCCTGTTTCAAAAAGAAAAACTGCCGGATTAGATCTTTCAAATGTTCAGAGACGTGTTGGCCTCCCGAGACTCTGGTCGAAAAAGAAGGGCTTCAAGGTCGCCAAGCAGTCCTGTGGCGATACGTTCTCCACCGGGCTCCCCTCGAGCTTCTGTCCGCACTTTCGAGGATCTGGACGAAGAGTACGCGTCCACTTGGCAGGGACAAGTTTGTACTCCCAAAAATCCTTTTAAAAATCCAATATTATTATAGCTTTTCCTGAAAAAGAACGACTATCCGGTCAAACTCTACCGTGTTTACGGGGCGGAGCGTCTGCTGCAGAAATTGTTGCGTGACGATGATGGAAATCCTCTGAAAGTGCAGATCAGTCAAAGGTTTCATTATTGAAATAAAGAATTTTCAAAATAATATTTTTCAAGGCTCTCCCTGCAAAACCAAGATGCGTTACAAGAGAAATTCTTGAACCATTCGAGCAAGGAGATGTGTCTGATGGTTATTACGGCTAAAAGGGAACTCGACGATTTACGGCCTCTGATTCGATATTTGGATGAGAAGGATGCAGCAGGTTTTTCTTCAGAAAAATTTTATTTGGCTTTCAAATCTTTTCTTAGGAACTTCAGGGTGGTTCCTATAGGGTTGTAGGGTCCGCAGCTAGGCGGCTTAAGCTCAAGTGGTCACTATAGATCCTTTTTATTTTTCGTTCTGGCTTGAAAATTTAAAAAAGACAAACTTGATATATTAGTTTTTTTAGAGTTCATACCCATAAAATTCTAGCATACTCCCCTAAAGCAGTCACTTTTTGCAAGCTTTACTGGACCATTTAGTGAGAGGGCGAGAGGCCTCTTGAGAAAAATTTTAATATTTTTTTCAGGAAAAAAACAAATTCATGAATTCCTGCTATATTATTGTCTCAAACTAGCGAATAATAAAGTAACTATTCTTCAAGAAGTGCTTTTTTTTTCCGAAATCGTGTCGGAACCTTTTTTTTTTGAATGTCTATTTTTCCGCCGATTGGAGAGGGTGTACGGTGAAGCAAACTTTGCAAAAATGAAAAAAAAAATTAAAAAAGAACCTTAAAAAATAATCGAAACTTAAAGTTAGAAAATTGGACTAAATAAGTTTCCAGCGTAAATTTTGATGTGCGAAAACATAAATAAGGCAATAGTAAAAACTTTAATGAAAATGAGAATGAACCTACGTCATTTTATGCAGTCTGGTTCTCTTTCAAGCATTTTTTCTCATTCGATTTTTCTTCAGGATTTCATTTTCTGTCTTGAAATAAAAATCAGAAAGAAAGGAAGCGATGGGTTTTTTAAAAAGAGAAACTGACCTTTGCTTCGCCAATGTTGCATATGATGCAAGGTTATGAAATCTTGACCTTTGCACCAACTACTCCATTATTTTCAGGCGTGGTGTCAATAAAAGACGGCGTGTTCTACGTGATCCCGCACAGCGGAATGGTGGAAAGAGTGGTGGCGGCGAAGGCCCCGGGGGTGCGCCTCTTTTCCGGCGACTGCCCCTTCCTCCTCGGAGTTCTGTGCAACTCTTCCGCGCGCTCCCATTCCGGCGACTGATTCATTCTGGAAAAATCCAACTGACTATTTTCTGTGAATAGACTGTCTGAGAATCGTTCCTATTTCCATTTATATTCGTACTGACTGATTTGAAAACTAACCGTTCAAGGTAAGAGTGTAATAATTTCATTGCAGGAACATTCACTCAATATTTTTACTGTTTATTCAAACTTCGAACTTTTAAATTTACCGCTCGTTTGCCACAAAATAATAATTATTTGATAAAGGTCTCGCGAAGATAAGTGAGATCAAACAGTAACCTACGCATTTCTTGGGACGTGCTTGTGGTGAACTGATTATTTGCTCCATTCGCGGGAAATTGAAACGTTCTGGTCGCATGTAGAATGGCTGAAAGCGCTGCGGTTTCAGTTAAAACCTCTCGGACATCGGTGAAGCGAACCGGACGTTTCTGAGCTCTTGTAGGAATCCCTTTAGGGACGTCAGCTTTCTTTAGTGTTCACTGCAAAAGCTCAGAAACTTCCGGACATGTCTAGTTCAGGATTTAATGCCGAGGGGCGGAAGTCGCTTTTTTGTCGGCTGCACCTTTTCAAAAATCGCTTTGAGACGCTCCCCATGCGATCAAATTGTTTCAAACGGCGTTGAATTTTTAAAAATTTTGAAGAATTTCACGAATCTCTTCTCTCGAATCTTCCAGGGGTCTAACTGAACTCTGTTCTACTCTTTGATAATTCCTTACCTGCTGATCTGTATATTCAACGGCTGTACTTCGTCCCGCTCTATTCAGACGATTCCTAACGATTTTGCTATTCATTTCGATTTCCATTTATTTTCACTGACTTGCAGTTCTACATTTGATACGGAATACTCTATAGCTGGAATCGCATTATCTCATATTCATATTTCATCTCTGCTGAAACTAAATACTTCATTACTTTATTCATTGTTTTATCTGTGTTACTTTTTTTTATTAAATGAATTTATATATTTTTTACTTTTTGAAAGATAAACTGTCGTGTTTCATGACACTTTTCATAGTATTTTCCGGGTTCAATTCGCTTTTTCAGTTTTCCAATTGTTGTATAGAAAAATATGGGATCTCGTCGGGGACCGCCGCAATGCGAGTCCATTGCTGGATGTTCCAGTTACGCTAAGGCTAGTTTCAATTAAGTTTTTAAAAAAATGAGTTGATCGACTTCTGAAAATTGTTAATTGTATCAAGATAAGTAATCAAGAAAATTGATGAGTTTGATCTCAAAAAAAATTTTGAAGTTTATCAGGTTTCTGAAGTTAACCTTTTTTGAACACTTGTCGTTACATTATTAAAAATGAGTGAAAAAAGGTGTTCTATCTTTTAATTTTTTGGTCAATTCAAATACTTTGACCCTACCCATGTCTTTTGACTTACTGGAAACAATCATTTTTTTAGATATTAAAAAAAATGAGCAATTTCTTCTTACTGTTTCCAGCTTGAATCTTGAACGAGTTAGGGAGCCTAATGAGCGGGAAAAAAATAAACTAACAACTGAAAAGAATACTATCACTAAACTTTCAATCTCATTTAGAGTTTAGAAAATTTAGGGTTGGTTTCTTGATTATGCATCTTTTTGAGATTCCAGGTCGGAATTTTCAGGTAAAGAAAATGAAAGACGGCCGACAGCTGTGTGGAGACTGTTTCACTGCGAGTTTCGAGAAAGACGTTCACGAAACCATCGTTCAAAATAATCTTTTCAAGGTTGGGTCAAGGCAAAACTAGAAGTTTTGCGTTAACTCAGGACTTTTGAATAGATTCAAATAAAAGTTATGTATTTCAATTTAGACTTATCCATCCGCGTACAAACGTTAAAAAGTAAGGTCATCATACATTACGGCTAGGAATTTCATGAAAATTGCTTACAAAACTCGTTAATGTAATAGGTAAATATCATGAAACTCTAAACCACTCGAACTCCTTACTTTTTGAGAAAGAATAACTCAAATTTGAAGAAAACCGTCAAAATCCGTTGATGTAGGTCAATTTTTAGGCTTTGAGCTTCAATTTCTGAAAAACCAGGAAGCTTTACAGGTTGAGACTTTCAGGGTCTTTTTCTGAAACATCAAAGAATGTTCTGGCTATTTTTCGGAAGAATCACCAAGCCAAAAAAAATTACCTTCTTTGTGAGGATCGATGAAACAACCTCGATTTTTGAGCTGAAAATTGCTTTAATTCCATAATTTTTCATGTATACTGCCTTCCCCATTTTGATAGTGAATCTGTTTTAAGAGAGGCGAGCGGGTCGCGATCGGAGCCTCGGGTGGCAAAGATTCGACTGTTTTGGCATACGTTATGAAGGTAGGACCTTCTCAGATTTAGAAATAATATTTATCCATTTTCAAGACACTCAATGATCGGTATGACTACGGTTTGGACTTGAGGTTATTATCGATCGATGAGGGAATCAAGGGCTATCGCGACGATTCTTTACTGGTTCGTCTTTTGGGAAATTTCAGAACTTGTTTCACCGTAAATAATTCAAACAGCTTTCTCTCTACACCAAGTTGAGCAAGGCCCTTTTTTTTCAATTTGGTAGCACACTTGGGACGTTGGTATATCACTTAAACAATCTCTCACTTTGAAAAAAAAAAAATAAAAATGTCTTTTTTTAAATGAACGAACAAAATAGCTTATGAAAATGAGAACCTTTCTCTTTCGGCGAAAATGAGTCCAATTTCCAGGCGGTCGAGAAAAATAGAATAGAATACGGGCTACCGCTGACGATTCTCAGCTATCAAGACCTCTACGGATGGACAATGGACGAGATTGTCGCGAAAATCGGAAAGAAGAACAACTGCACGTTTTGCGGCGTTTTCCGACGTCAAGCTCTTGACCGGTGAGTATTGAGCACGATAAATTTGAGCCCAACTAAGGAAAGTTTAGGGGGACAAATGTGAGCCCTTGTAGGGGCCCCCGTGTGGTGCCCCTAACTCAACCCCTATCGGGGCCCCGAAAATCTAGTTTAGGGCCCCTATAGGGGTTCAATAAAAGGGGCTCCTATAGGAGGTACGATTAAATGTTCACTGGAATTCGCTTCTTCATATTCGTCCCTAACTCTTTTAAACAACGATTCTTAAACAAATTTTTTTAAAAAAACGGCGTATTCGAGGGCGGCCGCGGTCGGCTTTTTGGTAAGGGTCAACTCGGTCGACCCGTAGATACAAATTTTGTTTTGACTCCCGGTTTTTTGCGAATTATGGAAAGCGCAAGTTTTACTGAAATGAAAGTGAAACAAAAAAACATTTTTTATCGAGCACATAAAGAGAAAAAAACCGATGAAATGAGATAATAATCCAAAAAAATTCAATAGTTTCCTGAGTGGCCAGAACAATTTACAGAACTAGAGAAAAACAAATTAATAAATAAAAAAATAATTTGAAATTTTCCCATCATCAGGAATTTCATTTTTTTGCAAAAAAATTCATTCAAACCACTATTTGAAATATTATTTTATTTGTTTACAAAGAGAAAAAAACGAAAAAGATGCGAAAAAAAGTGAAATCAAAAAAAGCACGATTTCTGTCAAAAAAACAATAAAATTAAAAATTTTCATGGATCATAAATAACTTAAACATTCATTTTCAATATGAGAAACTAAAATAAAAACAAAAAATACGGAGAAAAAAATCCTCGCGCTCGCTTCGGGGGCCTGAATGAAAACCGCTTCGCGGGCCGGGGCGCTCCGGGGCGCGTCGCGGTCGGGTCGGGGCGGCCTCGGCCAGGGTCGCCCCGACTTGAGAACAGCTCTGCCTATGCCCCCCCCCCTTTTTTAGTCAAACATTTTGATGATTTAATTTTTGACTGAACTTGTAAGCTGACTTTTCTGATTCCAATTTTTAGAGTTGAAAATTTCTAAACTCATTTTGGTCTCGTTTTGAAACGATCAAAGCCATTTCTGATGTTTTTTTGAAACAGCGGTTCTCAGAGGCGCCTTCAAAATCGGAGCCAGCAAGCTGGTGACCGGCCACAACGCCGACGACATGGCGGAGACGGTGCTGATGAACGTCTTGCGAGGCGATATCGCCAGACTTCAGCGCTGCACGAACATTGTCACCGGCGAAGAGGGTGATCTACCGCGCGCCAAGCCTCTCAAGGTTTTGTGGAAAGGGGCCCCTAGAGGGTTTTTTCTTCCTACTGTGTTTCGAGGAACGTTTGCTCACATTTTGAATATCAAGCGCAATGACGTCATTCAAAATTTTTCTCTTTAGTAAACGCTCTCTGATTGGCTTATCGCGAAATCAGGGGCGGAGCTTGAGGGATGGGTTGACATTTAAAATCCGAAAAATTAGTAGATTTCAGACCAATTTTTCAGAAGATCTGCTTATTTTCGGCTTCCAACGTTCATACAATGAAAAAGGACGCGCTTTTTTTAAATGTGCAGAGTCAATTCATAAGCTTTGTTTTAGTGTTTGAAGATGTAACTCCGCCTTGAGAACTTTATAAAATCTGTCTATGCTCCTTTAAACTTTTCAAAAAAGACTCTGTGACTACCAAAGTAAAACAAGTCTCAAAGGGTGATATTAGGTCTCTCTTAGAAAGAAAACATTCCTTCTTCAAATGGGCACAGGAATGCTCCTAAAGGTACTCCAGAAGTTATGTCCCTCGAAAAAAATGTTCAGTTTCTTTTTTGAACTGATCATCATTTTAGTATTGCTACGAGAGAGACATCGTTATGTACGCCCGAATGAAGAAACTGGAATATTTCTACACCGAATGTATCTATGCCCCCAATGCCTACCGTGGCTATTCCAGGTTTTATTTGTAATTATCAACTTGATGCAACCAGCTTTTTTCAAGAATATACGTCCGCGAGTTGGAAAAGATCCAGCCCCGCGCGATTCTTGACCTGATCAGGTCTGGGGAATCCTTGGCCATTCGGAAAGAAGTCGAAATGCCCCAGATCACCACTTGCGAGAGGTTTTTTTTTCAAATTATGAGTAGCCTAAAAGTTTTTCAAGCGTCTGAAGTTTTTAAACGTAGTTTTCAAGAAAGAAGTTGATTTTTTTTTCCAGGTGCGGTTACATGACAAGCCAGAAGCTGTGCAAAGCTTGCCTACTAATCGAAGGTCTCAACTCGAATAATCCAGATTTGGGCGTCAGAAAGAAGGTATTTCATTTCTGCGACTTGAAATAGCCTTCTTGAGATCTTCAGAGTGATCCCTATAGGGGCAACCTTTGGGGCTCTCGGAGGGTCTCCTCTAGGGCCACCTTTCCGACCCCTACAGGAGCCACTAAAGCTTGCAAAAGTGGTATATAGGGGTTTTAGTTAGTGGCCTCTCTAGGAGACATACTAATTGTTATGAACTCTAAGTGCAGAAGCTTTTCCATGGGGAAAACTGAATAAATGAGCATTACCCAAAATTTTTTTACAGTTTTTGCCAACTTCCATGTATAGTTGCGAAGAGATGTCTCATTGCTAAAGACAATACTATCGTATTACAGGGCAAAAAGACAAAAATCGCCTTGAGCACCAAACCAGACGGAGAAACCGAAAAGTCTGGATGTGGCACTTCAAACGGCTGTGCTTGCGCGGCAACGTCAAACAACAATGAAACTTCTAATTCACTTTTTTAAAACATCAATAAGTTGTTATTTTCCTGTTGTTATTGTTACTTCCTCTTCAAATTTTATTATTATCCAAAGGCAATACATTTTTGAACAAAAGCTCCAAGATGAACATGATGAATTAACACTATAAGTATCTGAGGGAGAATGCCCAAATATAAGAAATAGACTCTTTTAGGAGAATTCGGAAGCTTTAAACAGTATTTACACACCCCAGCAGTAGAGCTAAGCTCTGATAAAGAGAAAATTTGATATTGGGAGGAAATTGTAGCATAAGAACGGCTTGAGTTCGAATTTTAGATGGAAAGACCCAGAAAAAGAAGAGAATTTCTAGCGAATAACTAATACGGAGAGTACATGCAAAAAAAGATAGAATTCGAGAGAAATCAGGACCAAACGGTAGATCTTTTGTCTCTTTGGCGACCGCGCACTTGATTGCGATATTTGTCCGCCGCTTCGTGAATGGCCATCTGGAAATAATCTTTTTTGAAAATAGAAATTTATTCTAAAATATTTCAGGAAACAAAATGGACCTTCAAGGCCTTGTTTTCACGTCCTGTCGTCTCCAGCGGCACCGGTCCCAGGTCGAAGACGTCCCGGAGAGCCTCGTTCTGTTGGAGTTGCCTGAGCATTCCTCCGCGTAGAACCTGTCAAAAGTTAGGTCTTCTTCTTGGAATTTAATCAGAACTTCGCGCACTGGCGGCTCTGAGGCAGCGTCCAGGCTTGCGAAGCGGTCAAAGTGTCAATACTTTTTTCTATTTTTTTTCTCAAAATGTTTCTCAAATGTCTTGATAACTTCGTACCACCGAAAATTATGATCATTTTAACTTTGACATGAACAAAAATAAAAAATGGAAGTGGCCCTGGGCTTTTTAAAGGAATTTTCAAATTACTCATTTTATTGCTTGTTTCAAAACGCTTCCTATACCTTCAAAGGTGCCAAGCTTCATATTTAATATAAGAAATTTAATATTAGAAAGTCTAAATTAAACTTTTTTTCGGTTTTGATTTAGACAATTTTAAGCAAAGTTATCACAAAGTATCGCACTTATAATTTCTTGTAGTCTTTTTCTCATTAAAAATCACCTCGCAACAAAGATCGTAGAACAGTTTTATAGAGCAGGTGTCCAAAACCAACGACTCCTTGCCAAATTTAATGCTGACCGAAGGAGCATCGTCCGACGACTTCATGAAAGCGTACACTTCTCTGAAAACCGGGAGTTCTTCCTTGTAAACTTATAATCCCCCGCCCTGAACAAGCTAAGCGCCGTACTATTCTCACATGGAGAAGCAGCTGATCTTCAGAACGCTCAAAACTCGTCTATTACTATCTCAAGAAGGCCTGGATGTTCTAGGCGCAATTACCGATCGGCTACAGTTTCGCGAACCGACAAAAATTCTTCAAAGAATCACCTGAAAGTGAGACGCTGGATCCGCTTGTCGCGTTTGGCCTTGCTCTTTGTGCTTTCCGAAACAAGGCGTTCCAGAATCTGAAAATATTCATAAATTTATTATTTTTTCTAATTCTCGTAGTAAGGCGGAATATTCAAGAATTCAAAAAAACCTCAAGGACATGTTGATGGTTGGGGAAGGTGAAGCCGGGACGGTTCTCGCCGACGAGTTCGGTGAGGAAAGCGAGAGCTTCGCCGGCGGCCACACGATTGTCTAATTGGTCGGCATCCAAATAATTGGCAACCTTGGGCTGGTCGAGAATGGCTGACGAAAGAGTCGCGTTGTCAGCGTCCTTCAAATTATCAGCAATTTTTTTTTATTTCAAAAGAACGCTATTTTTCATAGGAGGTCAGTTTGAATAATTAGGATCCCCTGAAAAATAGCTGGGAAAACATCCTGATAAATCAGATAAAGATCCTGAGAGACTTAATTTTCAAAAATTCACAATCAATCGAAAAATGACACCTCAAAATCAAAGAAAAAACCATTCGATTCTGTTGGAATAAGCCAAACTCCGATTTCAAGCCTTATTTTCAAAGACTAGGTAACTAAAGGGTTCAGAACTTTCAGGATCTTCACCTGGTACATTAAGATTCTGGTAAATTTTCTTGAAAACCCTAACCGCGAAAAATGAACTTTCTTTCAAGTCATTGTTCAATGATCAAAATTGTGACAAATGCGACTCGAGACGACCTTTTTTCCAAAGTTTTTTTTGCAACGTTTGAAACCCATAATTATTTTCAAAACTTCGAAAAAACCTTCAGGCGACCGTTGAAAAAAAAACTAAGCTCTTACCAAAAGAAGAAGACACCAGGAGGCCAAAGAAATGGTGAAAAGTCGAGAGTTGGGAGCGCCCAGCTTGACGGAAGACCACGCATGACGACAAGCCTGCAAAAATTTCATATTTCCTCGTTTTACGGTAATTTTATGGTCCTAAATCTGCAGCGGTTTTTCTTGTCATAAAAATAAGAGTAAATTTCGCGCTCCTTGAAGTTTCCATTTTTCAGATTCCCTGAATCCTCTAGCCCCGATTAAAATCAACCTCAAACAAAAAAGACACTTAAACTTTACTTCCTACTATGAAATTATCTGAAAAGTCGTTCAAACACCTAATTAAGGTCCAGATCAAAGACCGCTACCTGCACAAGTTTTTAGTTTCGGAAACATTTAGTTTCAAAGTTCTAGTATTATAGTTTCAAAAGTGGGTGCTTAAGGCATCATTTTCGATCAAATTCTTCTCCCGATTTTTAAAAATAGCTTTTGAAGAGAACCTTGACGCTGGCGGCGACAGAATCGTCGCTTTCGCAGGAGAGTCTGGTGGTGATGGCGATCGAGAGAGCGCAGACAGAGCGGAGGGCGTCAGACCGCGAGCCGTCCATCACGATCGTCCGCATCGCCGCCAATGGCTCTTCTACGTCTTCGCTCATTTCGCCTCCTGTAATAAAACTTTGTACAGCATAAAGAGAAATCTGATAAAGAGGCATATAGAAAAAGCAACCTTGAAGTTTTTTTCTGATTAATATTCTTGGGGTAAAGCGAAAAAAAAAAAAACATCGAAGATACTTTCGGAATTTTTTCCGATTCGGTCAAAATTCAAAAAAATGAATTTCTTTTTGACCATAACATTTTTTTCCGGTAAAAATTTTTTTATTGAACCTGGCTGAAAAAGTGAAACCTCCCAATTTCAAAGAAAAATATGCCCCATTAGACTTCCTTTTCAGGTTACAACGCTTCAAAATTCGCAAAATATACAAGAAATGTAGAAAAGGGATTATTTGAAGCGTCACAACTCGGAAAAGAGTTCAACTATGAGTAAACTTATTTTTCTGGAATCAAGAAAAGTACAATTTCGTCAAGTTTCGTGAAATTTTCAACCGGGAGCTAAGAATACTTCCCTTGTAAGTTTCGAATCCGATAAACTTTATAAAAATATAAAAGAAAATTTAAAAATGGAACCGAAATACATATAACTGATTAAACATTTTTTTTCTTTTTTTCTAGGACTAGGCTGATTTGAAACTGACCGATTTGAACGGCAAGTAAGGCGAGGATCACCGCCGACACAACGATTTCGTTGTCCGTTTTGTTGTGCAGATTCTTGGTGATCAAGTCAATGAGCGTCACTTTGTAGCGAGTCGAGAAATCCGGAAGATAGTGTGACGTCAGAGCCAACTGAATTCCTTGCAACGCGGCAAGCTTCACGCTGATGCTGAAAAGTTCAAATTTCCTGTTTATCCGAGATAATTAGAATAAACTTAAGAAAAAAACAATCGAAAATTATTTAAAACAAGAAAAGTGTAAGCTAAGATTTCGGAGAAGAGAATGATAAAAACATTACAAAAATTGATTGCTGGAAATCTAAAAACGCTCTTGTCTGCTATATCAATTGAGTTCATATGAAATAATAAGTCTTAAAATTTTCAACTTTTCCCCTAAAAGAGAACAGATCTAGAAACGAAAAACTTCAACTCAAATATTTCTGGACCTTTTTTTAGAAATTTAAATTTAAAAATTTTCTCAGAAGCACTACCAAAAAAATTAATCTTAAACGATATATAGATTATTTTAAACCAGTGAGTTATCTACCGAAAAAAATGAAGACTATTATAAAAATTCGAATTTCTATTAATTCCAACCTTACTGTATAATTTGTAGAAAATTTATTCAAATTTCAAGAGCTCGAGCTCAAAAAAACCAAAAATGCTCATCTCTGTTTTTTTTTAAATCGAATTTTTTTAATAATTCTTTGAAAGTTTTTTCAGTATCAGAAATTAAATTCAAAACAGATGAAAGAACTAGTGGGAGATTCTGGATAATATTTTTTATAAGCTTAAAATTTCTTACTTTTTCTTGTCTTGTGCGTGTTCGATGTGTTCTGCCAGCTTGTCCAGTATATCATCGACATTTTCGACATCGCCTAAACTATAATTTTCGAGAAAGAAATTGAGAAACATGTCTAAAACGAGTCTTCGGTGTGAAAATTGTTCCTATTACAGCTTCGCAAAAATGGGTCATCAGAAAAAAATGATAACCTTGAACACTGCGCATATCGTCGTCAAACGTTAAATGAGTTGATATCGAATCTCCACTGTCGCTGTCGTCATCATCTAAATTCAGAAAATTTTTCATTTTTATTTTTATCTTCTCGATCATGAAGAAAACTCAATTTTCTAATGGAGTACACGAATTGAATAAATAAATTTTAAGTTCAAACCAACCTCGATGGCCGCGTGGATTCGATGGGCCCGAATAGGCATCCTTGTCTTTGTTCTTATTCCTTCCTTTCCCCATTTTATTTTTGCAAACGAAGAAGACTGAAAATACAACAATTCAGTAAAAATTTTCAGGTTATTGGAGAAAATATACGCACAGAACAAAGGCCTAGTAATAAACTAGAACAAAAAAATAACTTAAAGGTAAGCAAAGATGTACTTCTCATAGCAAAAAAAAAACAGCGATTTGAGAAAATGAGAAAAAATATTGCAATGAGATAAGATTTGAAAGACCATTCTTTTTAAATATCAAGAATTTTGAAAATCGTTCGGAAATAAAAGGATTTCAATTTTTAAAGTGTTTATGTCTCAAAAACCAGAAATGCTAAATAAACCCTTTGAAAAATTATTTGGAAAAAAACCAACAATAAATGAGAAGATAATTTTTTAAAGATTTTGATACAAAGTCATTTTTAAAAACTGCTATGAGAGTAATAACTGAAGAAAAAAGTAGTGGCGTCATGACAAACAAAGCGACGCCAAATATTTGTAAAAAAAAAAAACAATACGTGCTGATGGCACTCGCATATCGAGTCCACGCCTATTTTTTCATGCGCTCAATAGATGGCGAACGCTTTTTTAAGTACAAGAAACTGCGAGATTTTCCGAGTCATTAACTTACAAATCAAGTGCTGTTGAATTCTCTTTTATGTTCTCTCAGAAGTTAATGAAGCTTTCAGTCCGTTTATGAGAAACCTCCAAAAACCTATTTTTGTCGTGTCCTTGAAATTCAAACGAGTTGCTCCTTCGACTAATAAGTATTTTACAGCATATAGTTCTTTTACCGTAGGCTTCAGACATTGAAGAACATATTTACAAGAAAAGCGGAAAAGTGTGAATTCCTTTTTATGCCTAGCGGTATTTTTCGCAAATTTCAAACAGCTATGGAAGTTATTTTTGTATTTTTTGACGCCTTCGATCTCAAATATCAAACAAAGAAGCTTTCTAAACCACATCAAATTATTTTCAAAAATGAATTTGAACGCGGCAAAGTTTTTCCACGCAAATATTTGCTACGTAAATGCAAACAGAGTGCGTCTGGGGATAATATAAGAAATCAATTCTTATAGCATCCGCCATCATTGAAGAAACTGTCATTTTCTTTCTTTTTCTTTGAAAAAAAAAGAAAAACGTTATCATTCTCCCCATCTTATCAATGTCTATCATCGAACCTATTGATTTCAGTTTTATTGTACCTCCACCTCTCCTAAACTTTCCTGTTTTGTACTTGATCCATCACTTTTATCCAATAAAAAATGTCTACAAAGTAGCTTCAGCGCTCCAAAGGTTTCAAAGTTCAGTGTCCACTAGGAGGACTTTGAACCTTTTTGAAGAACCCTCCCAAATGCGATATTTAATTTTAGGTGAATCACTCAAAAACGTCATATCGTGAAGTGAATTTTGGCGCAGCTAATTTCAGCTCTGAACCTTAAATTTTATTGTATTTATAGTTCTCAAGTACTAATTTCCCACAAGTGTTATTTTTTTTGTTCACTTTCGCTTGATTCATTTACAATTTGAAAATAAAACTATCCATAGATATCCTAAAAAAAAAATCCGCTCTTTCGATTTTTCGATTTCTTTCCGACGTTTCTTTATATTTTTGGTTTATTTTCAACCCATTTTTAGAAATGTCAACCACAACCACAACTACAACGGCAGTAAAAAATGAAAAACTTTCTTCAATGGACGGACAACTCAACAATTTCAAGAAGATGCATTTAAAGCCGGTGAGGTTTCTTGTATCTTCGAAAATTACAAAACTCATAAATCCATTTTTTTTAAATCGTTCATCAAAGACGATTCTAACTATAAAAATTTTTCACAAAAAAATGGCTTTACTTCTATTCAAACTTTTTTTAGAGAAAATTCAATTTTTTTCAATTAAAAATTTCCAGATTTCTGGACTTGAATGGTTCTATCTACAGTACATTCTGGTAACAGGTCTCTACATGCTGGAGCCTTGGGAAAGAAAACTATTCAACTCCGTACTTGGATTCTTCGTTTCATTATTTATCGCCTCTCTATATTATTTATATCACTAAAAAAACATTCCGACACATATTTTTTTCATTCTCTAAAGTATTTATTTTTCAATTCGATTCATGATCAGTATTCTTGCCAATCCATTCTTTGAAAGTATTCTTACAGGTCTATTGTGATAAAGACTATATAAATCTGCAAGTACGATAAAGAATTTTTTTAAACGTACGACTATTTTTTTTCGAGAAATTTCTAGAAACAATTGAGAAAAAAATTAGATACAAGAATCTTTTAATAGCGAATAAATACTACCGATCGTTGAAAAAAATTGAAACGAGCACTGAAAGCGATGAAAACCTCAATTGGGATTAACTTTATCCTTTCACAGTAAAAAAATAATGAAACGGAAAAATTTTCTAGATGTCGAATAAAAAAACATTTTCACGTGCAAAACGAGAACCGGTTTTAAATTTCAGATAGGTCTTGTGCGCGCTGCCGCAACTTCAAAAAGGTCATTTAAGAATTTGGAAAAAAATTGATAAAAAAATTAATTATTTTAAAAAAATTCAAAAATTAAATTTCTCAGAAGTTTATTTGCATCTATTATTTCGCACAGTATAGCTTAACGAAAGTTCCCCGGTTTTTTTGTAAAATTCTTGGCTATCATGAAAAAAATCATTCTCATATATATAATATTTATAAAAAAGAACTCGGAACGTTATAACGCTTTAGTTATGATATAATTGTTCGAATTTCGTCATATGCTCATTTTCATGGTAAAAGATGGGAAAACTCTCCTTCCGCTGACTGTGTCATTCGAACTGAGAATTTTTTGATCTCTACACTTCAACTGCCGCCAGAGGTCAAATGTCAGGTTAGTTAACTTTTCAAAGAGCTCTCAATTTTTGTGAAAGTCAGTAAAAATGTTCCTTAGCCTGCCCCGTCGTCCACATCATAATCAACATTTAGTTAATAAGAATAAGCCGCTTGAAGCAGTTTTGTTGAATCCTGATGCTCGGCTCAGGAAACTCGCGGACTCTGCCGAGTTAACAACGCTCAGTTTACAAGTCTCAATTCACAGGTTAGTTCTTAAGGTGTTTAACAGTCAACATTTGTTTCATTCAGATACTATCAGGGCGTTTTAGACCTTTATAAATTGGCAGTAAGCTATTTGGATGACAGGTTGATAGAACGGTGCTTCGTCCTGATGTACCGTTATTGCTGGTAACCTATTTTTCTTCCAATCTTTTCACGTCATCTGTTTTGAGGTTCTGCATAACTGAATTGCCGAAGCATCCGGATGACGCAGAACATGAGTCCACCGAGAAAACACAGGCGCGCGAGTTGCTCAACAACGCTGTTCCACTGGTATTCGAGCTGAAAATCTTTAAACCTTAATATGATTTCAGACGAGCGAGCTCGAAAGACAAATCTTGATCGTTTATGAAGCTCAAGCGGTTTATTACAGATTCGCCGAATCACAGCGAGTATTGTTACTAGAGGTAATACATTTTTCTGTTGTGTGCTCCTAAAGACCGCTTTTCGAGGACCCGCAAGCCTGGAGACTCCAGCAAGAAACTGCAAATAAAAGATATGAAGAGTTGTACAAAGAGGCTGAAGAAGTAACAGTTCGTGCTGGAATGGAGATGGGTCGCGTTCGTCCGCTGCAGCCTGAGTTCGTCGACTTCGGACCCAACGAGAGGCCGCTTCCGCAAGTGCCGACCGAAGTGACTCCCTCGAAATTGCTTTTGTTAGTTTTTATTCTCAGTCGTTTCTACCGGTGAAAAGAGATTTTCGAAGCGGTAGTAATAAGATTTCTACTAATAGTTGCAGTTTCGTTGGCAAAACCGCTATTACCAATGGTACCAATTCAATGGAACTATCGTCAGATAAATATCTTAGATTTAAAAAAAGAGTAAACTCATATGAAAAATGACCATCAGAGTTGAATAACGGTTGTTTTTTCTAGGACCACGAGAGAAGATGAACCAGGTCCTTCGAATAGGCATGTTTCTTCTCCGGCGGTCGCTCCCGGATCGTCGGGCTCGGCTTTCAAACCGATCAGACCAGCCGCGGATAGTCAGCCTGACGAGAGTTCCGCCAACTCTTCGCTTTCGGATGAAGCGGTGCCCGAAAAGAATTACGCGATTCCCTGTGACTTGGTTGAAAAGTTTATTACCTAGCGTCGAAACCTCTATCTAGCCTTGTTCTTTTCAAGGTTTCTAAAATGCTGCGCCGAGAATACGAAAAACAACATCCAAACTTGTGGAGTTCTGGCTGGCCGAAAGGTGGGTTTATGTGTTTCCTATGATCGCACGTGGAATGGCTTGAGGCGTGAATTTCGAGACAAGAAAGTTTTAGAGATTCCAACTTTTCAACCGCAGAGCGAACCCATTCCACGCCGTTTCAATTCATGTCTCTATATTAATTAAAATTTTGCAGCTCCGTGATCGCTACATAATCACTCATGTTTTGGTTCCTAAACAATCTGGAACAGCCGATTACTGTGTTGGACAGGGAGAAGAGGAGGTTTTTGAATCCAGATAAGACAAAGTATCAAAAAATATAAATTCGTCGAGTCTCAGTTTTTCAGCGCGTTTCTCTAGTTCTTGACACTTTTCCAGATATCCATTTAAATATATAATTAAAATAGTGAAGAATTGCAGAAAGAAGTTAAGATGAAATTTTTGTGATTCGTTCAACAAAGGTATTTTCTACTATTTTTTTAGCTCGCAAAATTTTTAAATATAATCACTGACTTTTATACAAAAATTTGATTTATTTAATTTATTTAACGTTCCTTTCCAAACTAGCCAAGTCACGCAAAGATTATTTTCGATCAATCCAAAACTTGAAACGAAAGTTTTGCAGGTGTCGTGTATTCTCGACAATGCTTCTCTGTTGACCCTCGGTTGGATCCAGACGAATCCGAAGAGTAAGGCTCATATGTCTCCCATGGACTTCCACACGCAACACGCCTATCAGAAAATCATGAAGGAATCGGTCGCAGTTATCTGTGCTCCTGCACATGATGAGTAAGTCTTTATCAATGATTTTCAAGAGTCAACACAAGAATTGGACGAAAAACTGATCACAGAATAGTGGAGGAGTGGAAATTCTTGGAACTCTGTTCAAAAACCGCAGAGAAATCTTTTTTCAGCGATTGAAACGCTCATTATCAGCTTACTTTTTTCACTCTCAAACTTCAGAAACTTTTAAAACATGCTATAGTTTACTCAGATTTTGACGTCAAGTCATCGCTCAAACTCCGCTTCTTATGCTAGATTCAACCAATCAGAGAGCGAGCCATCCACAGAGCGTTATGGGGGCGGAATTTTCTGCATAACACTCGAAATCTGAACTGAGCTTTTTTTTTTCCAAATTTTTAGTTTCCAAAAAGCTCGGAAAAAAAACATCGTCTTCGTAGGAAAAACCATTAACGATAGCAAAAATTGTTAACTCGAGAAGAAACGCGTTGAATTTTTAGGGTGACCGCGTTCACCATGACGCCAAGGGGGATGGAAGTGCTCTCGGAATGCAAGCTGACCGGAAATCATCCGCACCCGGAGACCTACGGCGAACTGTACACGACGGCTCCTCACGTCGTCTGGTCTACTGATTTCAATTCTTACATCCTCGACATTCGAGACTGACCGCTTCTGTCACCTCTCAGTCAATCTCATTGTTTATACACCACGCTCGTTCATTTAATATCTTCTCTAATCAAACTTACATATCTAACCAGGGCTTTATTCCGTAATTCCAATTGTATACTTCCGCAGAAGTGGTTGTGAACTTATCTTTTTTTTCCGTAATCAAACAACAATAATATTGAAAAAAGGGAATTAAAATCATATTTTTTGTAAGCTTTTTTCTCAACCTCAGAAAATATTGATCTTTAAAAACTAGGAAAAAATTACCTCGCTCCAAGCTGCACCCTATCAGTTGGGATATTTTGTTATGCCGTATTAATTTTTCCCTGTATCGTTTATTTTCGGAAATATGCATAAAGGAATTTCCAGACGTGCCGGATTTCATTTTCAATTGAAAGTTCGTTTGAATTCGTTGTTTATTTGTATGTTCTCTATGACAAATCGTTGCACGAAGGAATTGTTCCTCAGAATGGCTGGACGGCGGCGGTCGGCTCGGATCGCCGAACTGTCTGTGAAGGAATCTGAGCCAGCTTCCAAAAGTCAAAAGCCCAACGAACTTAAAATTAAAAGCAACAAGAAAAAAGGGCTTTCTTATAAAGAAGAGAACTTGTCTCCAAAGGTATTTTCCTATAAAAAGTACTTTCTGGGTTTTTCAAACTTGCAAAGTTTAAAATAAAGGACACTGAAACTATTTTAGTTAGAACCCTTTACGAAACGTTTCCATTCTTCTTCATACACCTAGGCGCTATTTATCACTTTTCGAGTACCTTTAAGCTTTCATGTTATTTTCTATAGGAATCGATAGACAATTCCCCGCAGAAATCAGAACTGAAACCGGCTCAAAATGTTGCACGTGAGAAGCGAAAATATCACAGAAAAAAGGAGGTTTTCATCAAAAGAATTTGTTTAATAAAAAATTTTGGTGTTTTTAGGCTTCTTCTGATGATTCTTTCTATTCGGAAAGCTGCGACCAGAACTTTGAAGTTGTGAAAAAGAAGAAAATCCTTACCAAAAAAGCGTCTACTGGAGAAAAGACAAAGAAGAGCAAGTCTACAGGTTTTTGAATTATGAAAAAGATTCAAAATCTGTGATTCAGGGAAGAATGACCTTACAAGACCGAAAGGCATGCGCGAAGCTAAAAAGGTTGATTTTGAAGGAGGTTTTTGAAAGTTCATAATTTTTTTCCAGAAAAGACCTCGTCAGCCCTGGCAGAAACTTCTTTTGAACACGAAAGGGGAACATGTCACGGTGGCGGTTGAAAAGAAGATCGCTGAATATACGTACGATCTTTTTTTCAATATTAATATTATTCATTAGTTTATAATTGTGAAGTAATATGGGAACTTTTTTCAAGTAATTTGTTTATTTTGTAGCAAAAAGGCTCCGTAACGTAGAAGTAAAAGAGCACAAAATGATTACAGAAATTTTTGTTGACTGTTATTTTTTGAAGTTCTGAAACTGTATTCAACGAAAGGTGATTGATCAGCACAGGTGCTTTTTCTTGAGATCATGAACACGAAAATTGTTGAGAATAATCTTTAAAAAAACCTCCAACCTTCTCTTCAAGTAGAAGATTATCAGTTCAGGAAATGCAAAGCAAACTATGTTTTATTGCTTCCAGAAAAGTGGCGAAACACTTGGCAAAGGGTCGCACCTTTGAAATCACTTTCGCGGAATGTGTCACCATATCGCAAGAGATCGAAAAAGCCAGCGATCGAGGTGTCGACCTTGAAGAATCCGTCAAAATGTTCTTGGAAAAAACATCGGAATCAAAGAAAAGAGAAGGTAAAGATTTTATTTTAATGGTGGTATAATATATCTTTCGAAGATGATGATGAATCCGAGGACGAGTGGGAAGAAATGGAGGATTTCGAGCCGTTGTTGGAAAGATTGGTTGGAAATTACTCGAGTGACAAATATATTTTGAAATAGGTTGAAGTGAACCTCGGCGGACAGAAAGAGGAAGAATACAGGGCCGAGTGGGGACACGCTCTACGTTCCATTGTCAATCGACTCGTTAGAGAATCTTGGGAGAACGTCCATAAGGTCGATTTTATTCTCTATTCAACACAAGGTTGTTGGATTTTTCTAACACATGAAGTTCATTGAAAGAAGATTGAAAAAAATAATTTTGAGGTAGAGCTTTTATTTGAATTTTCAATTTTCAGAAGATGAAGAATACGAATTAGTTTTAAAAATGCAGATCGAAAGAACGAAATGAAAATAATTTAACGTGAAGCGTGAAGAATTCATTTTCATCTTTCTCAAATTTTTTTACTTCTCAAAGTTCCGCTTCTTTCCTTACGTTTCAAGATTTGAGTAGTTTTTGTTTTTTCTTCAATTATCATGAAACCGAGAAATTTCGCGTGCAATTTTTTCTCTGCATGATGAATAATGATTTTTCTTCACTTTTATTTGAAAATAAGTCATTTAACGGTCCTTCCTAATGAGTACGTTTTTCAATGCTCTAATGTTATTTTATTCTGAAATCACTCTGTGTGCAATTTTTAACAGACCGTTGGAGGAAAAGACAAGAAATCTACATAGACTGGAATTCACAGCATAAGCCTAATTTTTATTGTCCATATGCCATTAGGATCTGCCACGCCTTATTTTGGGGCATTTTCAACTTCCAATAAGCCATTATATTTTTCAATTATATTTTTTGATATTTTCAATGATTCTCTTTTTACAGGCCCAGATTCTCGGTTTCATAGCTCATCTCCGTTACATTGCCGACGTGGCATTGTTCCAAAATATTCTTCCCGCTTCTCTTCTTTCTTTGGTTTGGTTATGTTCCTTCACGTTTTTCCAAAATTGTAATTTATAGGTTCCGGACAATGTTTTACGAAGATTCCAAGAAAGTAAAACTGCAGATGGAACTGCGGCTGTTCTCAAGTGGTTCAAGAAGACTTTCAAGGTATTATCGAAAAAAAAAATCAAGGAAGAGAAAATTTTTTTTCAGGAACAATCAGGTGAAAAAGATTACATCTTCAGTTTTTCAAGGTATTTTTGGAACAACTTCTCCAGGCGCTTAATTAAATCTTTCAGATTGTTCAAGTGCATCCAAAAGTGCTGCCTTTCAACGAGTCAGGATGTGTCTGTGGTATTTTTCATCAAAGAATCTGTGTTTTTATTTTTTATTCAGCTTTTCTTTTGTCTATTGCACGCTCTTGGAGCAACTGTTCGCCTTTGTGTGGCCTGTCACACGGTTTTTCGTCGCTGGGACAAGGTTCTTCATGATTTTTTGACGATTTCTGAATGAAAGCAATGTTCTAGAATGTTATCGCACAACTGGAAGCTCAAAGAGAACAGATTTCACAAGAAGGAATCAAGGCGCAAGATTCTGCCGTTTACTGGATCGAGATCTGGTCTCCTGATGAAGAAAGATGGATCTGTAATAAATTAATAATCACTCAATCCATCAACTTTGTTTTGAAGGTGTTGATCCGAAAAGCGAGGTGTTCGATGATCCGAAGGCCATCGCGAAGTCGGTCGACTGTCCCATCACCTATGTGCTCGCCATTGATAATGGTTCATTTTTTTTTTTGGGCAAAGGTTCAAAAAAGAGCGGCTAAATTGTCTAGAAGACAGTTCATTTCATTGAGGAGTTAACATATTTACAAAAAATGTCTTCGAAAATTTAGATAAAGATCCCTCGCCGTTGTCACTTGTACAAATTTTGCATTTGAAGTTTTGAAACTTCAAATTTTTATCTTTCATAAAGAGGTTTTGTTGGTGAAATTTCAAAATTCCGAGTCTTCAATACTTGGAGTTTTCTCAGAACTTTTTCTAGACCTTCAGAAAGGCTTTGAACGATCATAGTTCCATCCAATTCTGTAACTCTTTTGTCAGTTTCCTTTTGTTTAGAAAAAGGAGTATCTGAAGTGGCCCATAGGTATGCCCTGGACTATATTCAGCAGGAATTCCGTCGACGACGGACCAATTCATCATGGATATCAAAAACTTTGCATCTCCCGGTTTGAAAAAAAGTCAAAAAATCTTTGAAACCTCAAGTTGCAACTTTTTAAAGGGTCTTGTCGCGAACCAAGAACGAGCCAAATCAGAAAAACTACGATTCGAGAAGGATTTACTTGAAACTCCCGTCCCTTCAACTCTGAAAGAGCTCAAGAACCATCCTCTGTGAGTTTATCGTCTTTTGAAAATTCCTTCTTGGAAGTATTCAGTCAGGCATTTTAAACTGGAAAACGCGTTGATTCACTTCATATCAAGCTTTTGAGAGCAGCTGAAATTAGAAAAGTTTCTGGTTTTCCTCCAAATTAAAGGAAGGGGTAAAAATCCAGGAAAGACATTGTTTGCCTGTTGTCGAAATTTCAGAAGCTGAGCGAAATAAAATCGTATGATTTAATTTGCACGGAAAAAAAGCCAATTTCGACTTTCATTCTGTTCAGCTTCGTCCTGAAACGCGACCTTCTCAAGTACCAAGGCATCTACCCTCCTCCCCATAAACAGAAACCTGTGGGATGTGTTCGCGGTCACAAAGTCTATCCGAGATCGACCGTTTTCACACTACTGTCGGAGTTTGAATGGACGAGGCTCGCCAGAAGCATCAAGGTTAGATTAGGATCCAGGAAGCTTGACTACTAATTGAACAAATTTTATTTTGTTTTCGCAACGTCCAGAATTTCTTCTTGAACAGCTTTTTAGTTTCTGAGAGATAATGACTCGAAGTTTTCTCCGGCTTTGAGGGGGTTCTCGAAAACTAGAAATTTTAGGGCTTTCAGGTTTTTTATCCAATACATAAAGAATTATTCTGGCCGAATCTCAAAAAACTCCCAGCCAAACAGTAAAATTATGTTCTTTGTAAGTTGACCAGGGCGATCGAGGATATTATGTACCTGAATATGAAAATGAGACAAATTTTGATGTAACTTTTACTAATGAGATATTACTCAATACATTTTTTAAGTAAATGTTTTGCTCTTCAGGAAAGAGGAGAAGCCCTACAAAATGGCTCGTATCATCAACGACCCTCGGCTTCCGAAGGACGAAGAGCATTTCGAACCTATTTTCGGTTTCTGGCAGACGGAAACTTATCGCGCGCCTCCTCTAAAAAATGATGTAACTTGGGTCCTCAAGAAGTTTTTCAATTGGGTTTTAGGGAAGCATCCCATGCGATCATCGAGGCCGAGTTCCACTCTTTCAGCCGTTGATGTGTCCTCAAGGGACTGTACATTTGAAGTAGGTAATTTTGAATCAAATAATAGCTTTCTTAGGCTTTCTCGATGTAAAAAGTTAATTCTACAAAGCTATAATAAACCTCTGGAAAAAAGTGGGAAACTTATTTTAGTATTTTTTTTATAAAGTTATGGTTTGAAAAACCGAGGAAAAATTTTATCTGATAGGAAAAATATTGTAGAAACGTTTAGGATGTCTTTTTGAAAGGCAAAGCTCGTTTTAAGTTTCAAAACGGTGAAGGATTCCGGCTTCACCGGTGAAATTCAAAAGCTTGTTAAAGACGACTATTTGTTCCAGAAATAAAAGTTTGATTTGTTAGAAAAAAAAATTAGATTCTCAAAAATCATTTTTCAGTTTTCCCGGTTTGATCGCGGTTGCTCGACATCTAAACAAGCCATGTCGACCGGCACTTGTCGGATATGATAAACAAGCTTTTTCGAATCTTCCGGTGTATGTTTCCACTTTTTTTTTCAGCAATTTGTGATCATATCTTCAATTAATGAAGGGTCCCGAGCTAAAAGACCAGAATCTTGAATTTTTATTAAGAAGCGGGGATTTCTGTCAAGTGAAGATCTGATTGGAAGATTCTTGATTGAAATTTTGCTGATTTTTCTTTGTTTTTAGCTTGCAAGGAGCCTGTGTCTTGGCCAAAGACGCGAAAATTTTCACCAAGCACGCGAAAATCGCCATGGAAGTGATAGCAAGAAGAAACGCCAAGGTTTTCATCGATTATTGTAATTCTGTAAGAAGAGCGGCTTCCAGATATACACAGATCGAGTGTATGGCAACTGGCGGAAGCTGATACGAGGCATTTTGCGTCTCAATTATGTTCAGAAAAAGTTTGGCGCCGTTGAGGGGGGTGAAGTTGAGAAAAAGGTGAAAATCACAATGAAATCCCTCAATTTGAGTTCTTTACAGTCTGAGGAGAAGAAGCCTTTTGAATCGGAAAAAGATAAAGAGAAGAAACCTCGGGAAACTTTGCTGAAGGAAGTTCCTAATAGATTCGTCGACAATACTCCTCGTTTTGTGAATCTTGCACCCCTTGACGGCTTTTCTCATGATGATTTGATGCAATTTTGATTGTTCCATTTGACTTTTTCATCATAATTTTAGCTTGGTTTTTTTTTTACTTTTTTTTCTTGAATGATTTGACTCCAGCCGTCAATTGAATCTTTTTTCGCATGTAGAATGGCTTGACGCGTTGCGGTTGCGCTGCGGCTGGAGTTAGAATTCAAAAAAATGCGCTGAAAAGTTGTCACCGCCTTGAGGTTTTCGATGCCGCTCAGCGCAAAACAGTTTCTGGTCGGTCGCACCTCTAAAATAACCGCTTACCAAATAACCGGTTAGAAATAATTATGCCTTCAGCCATTCATTTCGAAGAAAGAGTTCCAAGTTCCATCGAAACGATTGAAGTTTCACATGTACCATTTTATAATCTTTTCGTAGACTAACATATATTTTTTTCATAACAGCTTGCTAGCGTTTCCTTTTTGAAGCATAGCTAAATTTCAAAAAGGTCTTTTTGGTGAAGAGCCTCTTCCAGTGTTGATTTAGGCTACTGCGCCTTTAAAATTTTCAAAAAAAGCTGTTATTTCATAACGTGTAACTCTTCTACTACTTATCCCGGTATCTCCCCTTACCTCATCTCACTTGTCTTTACTAGGTAATTCATGACCCCGTCGATATTTTTTTTTTCCCCGAACGTGTTTATAAAGCATTTTTGACTCTATTCCTCCATTTCATGATTTTTCGCGTTTTTATCGCTTGGTTTCCTATTTTTTGCTCACTTTCTCGCCTTTATCCATTTTTAACTGAATTATTATCAAGAAACATGACAACACGACGACGTTCGTCGCGTATCGCTAACTTATCAGAGGAGAAGCCGGAAGATGACTTCATTGCCCCGGAAACGAAGCAGACGAGAGGGAAAAGAAGCAAGAAAGAAGGTAAAGTTTAGTCGCACTTGGAATGGCTCGAAGCTGCGCGGTCGCGTCGCGGAGAGATTCAGAAGCTTGAGCTGGATTTTGTCTTTTACTGCAGGAAGTGTAGAAAGCCGGACTGGCTTTATAAAAACCGTCTCGCAGCCGTTACGCGTTGAGACCTTTCGCGTTTTGATTTGATAAAAATTGATATTTTACATCCTTAACTGTGTTGATTATTGTCTATCTAACTTTTGATGTTAAGCAACTGCTCAAAAAGATACAAACGAACATGTGAACACCCCTCGTCCAGCTCCAAAACGTCGAGGAAAAGCACCTGCGCCGATTCCAGAGATAGATCTTGATGAAGACGAAGATGAAGAGGTTTTTTTTGGATAAGAAACCTCTAAAATGCTTTTTTTCCAGGAAGTAGAAGAAAGTTCGCCACCAAAAAAGTCGAGACTGGCTAAGGCGAAGAAAGAAGAAGAGGTACTGCCTTGGAATTAATGACTTTTAGATTGAAATTTTTCTTGAAGGTTCAGGATTTTTCGCAGCCGAAAAAAACGACGCTGACCAGAAATAGGAGACAAGTTTCGAAGGTTTCTCCTCTTTAGGGGTTTTTAAAAATTAATACATCCTTTCAAGATTGACGAAAAGAACCTTCAAGCTGAGAAGAGAGATCCTGAAGATTCTGAGGACGATTCTCCGGTATTTTAAGTGAAAATTTGGCCCAATAATTGTTTTTTTTTTTTGAAGATGGAGGAAGTTTCGCCAGTCAAAAAGTCGACAAGAGCGAAAAATGGAAAAGGAACGACAGGAAATAAAAAAAATGTATTGAAGGTTGGTTTTTTTTTCAGCTGATTTCGAAGATTTTCATTCAAGAAAGAAGAAAAAAATCAAGTCTTCGAGCTGAAAAAGAAAGACCATGAATCCGAAGATGATTCTCCGGTATTTTTTTGAAAAAAATTGTTCAATAATTTTTAATTCAATAATTATAGATGGAGGAAGAAGTTTTGACTGTCGAAAAAAGCCGACAAGGGCGAAAAAAATGGGAGAGTAACCAAAGAAAAATGGGAAAGGCTCATTGAAGGTTACTTTTTTTCAAAACGATTATCAAAAAAATTACATTTTAGAAAGAAGAGAAATTGAACGTTCAACCTGAAAAGGAAGATCCTGATTCTGAGGATGATTCTCTGGTATTTTGAGTCGAAATTGGAATTAAAAATGTTTTTTTTTTGTTGAAGGATGAGGAAGTTTCGCCACCCAAAAAAGTGAAACTTGCTGATGAGGATAAAACAAATGATAATGGAAAAGTTTCGAAGGTTTTTGGCTTTTTTTTTAAATGTTTGAGTTTTTTTTTAGAAAGAGGAGAAGTCAAGTGTTCAAGTCGAGAAGAAAAGTTTGCCTGAAGTGAAAAAATCGGATACTTCTCGTCCTACAACTTCTTCAGGTATTTCTTTTTCAGGCTGTTGAAATTTTTTTTTGTAGGAAAGAAGTAAAATGATTTTACCAAACTAGAAAAATAATTATTATTGGAGAAGTCATTAAAATAATTTTTTCGAAACTTCAAATTTTTTTTTCCGAGCTCTAGGTATTTGTGTGAATTTTCTACTCTCACAATCCATTGTGTCAATAAATTTTTTGGCGATTTCAAGAAACTTAAAGCGACTCCAAAAATACCTACTTCAAAAGTGTTCCACTCAAGAATTTGGCAACGTTTCCTTTCCTAAAGGAGACTCTCAAAGTTCCTCCAGAACAAAACTTTGCAGAAAAAAAACTATTTAAGGTCGTCCTAGAAGAGCTGCTGCCGCAAAAGTTTCCTTCGGAGGAAAAGATTATGAAGAAGAAGACGGCATTATGATGCCCCTGTCTTCGTCTTCTTCGAGTTCCGAAGAAGACAGCGAAGACGAATTCGACTTCGAAGTGGAGATCGAAGGAAAAAAGAAGAAGGATCCTGATGAAAGTGACAAGAAAGGACTTACCGAAACTGTTAGGCGCAAATCAAATGTCCAGAAAAAGGTAACTCATATCTCCCCGTCCAGATAGTTCATGAAAACTATCAGAACTTCCATCCGTCTTCCGATTCTGAATCTGAATCTGAAGACTTTGACTCGGATTCTGGGGAAGAGGAAAACGAAGTTTCGGACGAAGACGTCGGAAATTCGCGTCGACGCTCCAGTGCTCCAGCTAGAAAAGGATTCGCGCGTTCAAAAAATGCCGGCTCGCGTCGCCCGAATAACCGCAAAGAAACGAATGGGAAAGACCCGATTTGTGAGTTTCTATTGGAAAAAAAGAGAGTCTGGCTTTTGGTAAGATTTTTTTACAAGTAAAACTTTCCAAGTATGATAGTCAAGACAAGGGCCCGAGGCGTTTGAATTTCGGTTTTCAGATACCTCTGATCTTGAAACTGTTACGAGAAACTTTGGTCAGAAGTCATTGCGAAAAAGTTTACTTATTTGGAAAAAAAAACGAAAATTAAGGCGGTTGTCAATAAGTTTCTGACCTAACTCGTCATCTTTTGTTTACTTATCGACATTTTGTAAGAATTTTTCTTCAGAGAAATAGGGATGAAGTCCAGGATTTGGGGAAAAACGACTTTCATAAATTCAAAGGCGAGTTGGTAAGAATTTTCAGTGAAGCCCAGTTTAGTCTCAAAAATCTTTTATAGACTTTGAACAATTTTTTTTCAAATTTGTCTGTTTCTTACTTTTTTTCTATCCGTTCAGGGCCAAAATGCAGCGGCGCAAACAAGAAACGTCAACCCACCAAAACGAAAAGCTCTGGTGGGGGCGAAAGGTCCGGTGGATCTAGAGGTCTTCGTGTGCACTCGGCGGTTCGGAGAAAGAACACTTTTTTCATAATTTTGATATCTTTCCAGGCCAAGCCAGACCAACCGTGGAAGAAAAACTTGGACAACTATCAGAAGGAACGCAAAATGGCCAAGGGTGAAAGAAGGATGCGCGAGTTTAGGTTCTCTCAAAAAAAAGCTTTTCTGTTCTTTACGGTATCACTTTCTAACATTTGAAAGCCCGCAATTTTTCGATATTTTTCCAATTAGCTTCAGGATTATGATTTATGGCCAAAGATAAGATCGTTTTTTTTTTAAATTAATTTTTATATTTATAATTTTGGCTTGAGCTTCCCCGACAACTTCCATGAACAGTATTTCTACTTGAAACTGTGAATTTCCTAAAAAGTTAGCCAGAATACTTTTAACGTAACATATGAAGGTTCTGGAAGTCTCGGTCTGCGATAAATTATTATTTTTCCAAAAAAAGAAATTCTCAAAGTTTAAAAAAATAACCAACTTGAACGGCGTTTCATCTTCTTTCTTATTAAAGATCTATTAATCGCAATATAGGAAACTTGCTAGATTAAGACCTTCTGTATTTTAATTCATAACATGAATTTCTATTCCAGTGAAGCTTGAAAAAAAATTAACGCCTCTATCAGTAAGAGTTACTGAACCAAATGTGCTTCTTTAGGATCGTCTCGCGATCTTTGGCTAAGGGACGAATCGAGGAAATCTCTTATGAAGAGTGTCATAAGGTTCTTATAAATTTAAAAAAGTGTATTAAAAAAGCTCGGTTTAAGGTTCTACAAGAACTGAAAAAAGCTTACCACGAGGGCCAGAAACTGATCAGCGTTGTTGAAAAGGAGGAGCGACGGGCTGAAGCTGAAGAAAAAGGAGAGAAAGGTTAATTTTTCGATTTTAAGAAAACTGAAAACAAAATGAAAATCTCCAGAATCTTCCTCGGAAGACGAATGGGAAGAAATGGAACATTTTCAGCCGGTGGCCAATGACCAAATGGTTTTTCCTTATTTTTGAAATGCTTCATTCTCCTCGTTTAGGTGGAAGTGACAATGGAGAAGCAAGAAGAGGAGAAAGATTGGTGGGCCATTTATCTGCGCCAAGAAACGAACAAAGCCATCCGTCAGAATTATGAGAATACCCATAAGGTTCGGCTTTTTGGAGATCTGATCTATACGGTTGTTCAAGGCTCATATTCTATGTTATTTGGCGCAGCTGAACTCTCTCACCCGTTTTTCGTTGGATGAAAGCTTGGTTCCATCTTTGCTCATTTCTCAGGTATTTTTGATTCTTTATGAATGTTTGAACAAACAAAAGAGACATTTACAAAATTTGAAGAATAAAAGTTCTTTTTTCTCGCCTTGAGTTTTTGGTGCACCAACCCTAGATCTAGGCGCACCTTCTCCACTTTTAGGTGCACTCCTCTTCAATTACCATTTTTTCTTCCCTTGTCTTGCCTTTATTCTTCACAAGACTTGCTTATATAGATTTTAAGAAAATAAAATAACATGGTATTATAAAACAAAATTAATTTGTATACTTCTATACGATTGACTAATCCATAGAAAACAACAAAGCCGTTTCCAATACGTTCCTAAATGAGTCAAATAAAATGAGAAGAAGTCTCTTCATCTTTTTTACTGGTTCACATTTTTTACTGGTTCACATCTTTTTTACTGGTTCACATTTAAAGTTAAAATCTTAAAAGCAAGTCATGTCAGGCCGACAAATGAATTTCATTTAATAATAAACGAGCTGAATCGCGTTGAGAACGAAAAAGTTGAAAACGGCTGATTTTGAAGATTTTATCAGAATGAATGAAAAAAATTGGGTTTCTTGAACTATCAGGGGACTCTATAATAGTTATGAAATTTCCAGCTTCCGTCCGGCTACCTGAAGTATATTGGAGAACCTCTGCCGATTGATGTCGCGAAAAAGTTGGTGAAATGGTACACGGACGCTTTCAGGGTTAGTTTCATATTTTTCTGAAAAGTTAGTTGGGTTTCTTGAAATCAAAATTTCTTTTCCTTTATTCTGCTTTTCTATTTTGAAGTTCTTATGCGTGAAAAAACTGTAAATTTTATGCGAAATTGATCTTTTTTCAGCCCCTCAACGGCGTCATCTCCATCACAGCATATGAAGAACAACTTCCGAAAGGCCAAGAAGCCCGTTATCCAGCTACTTCTAGGTCTTTTTTTTTCAAAAATGATAATTTTCGATTTTTTAGACTCACTGCGCTGGTTGCGGCGAAAGCTTACGAAACGGACGTCGATCGCGCTGTGGTAATTAGACTCAACGTTTCAAAATCACTGTTTTTAGCTTCTTTTCTGTCTTCTGGTTGGAATGGAATGTACGGCTCGACTTTGCGTCAATGCTCGAGTTGTTCCTCGAGTTTGGAACAAGGTAAAATCAATGAAATGTACTTATAGCTGATTGAAAAAAAGAGGCCAAACTTTCATTGATTATGTGAATTATCTAGGCGATGATCGAAGAGCTGGAGAAAGACATGGAGGTCTTCCGCGAACGGAGCAAAACTCCGCCTGCCAAGGATTCTGGGGAAACTTCGACTCCTTCCAAGGAAGATAAGACTGGCGAGGAATCGAAGAAGAAGAAAGGAAAAAATTCCAAGGCCAAGCCTTCACCCTCGAAAACCGTTGAACGGAATTACTGGGTCGAGTATTGGTGCACAAAGCAGAAGAGATGGATTTGTCAGTTTTTGGGAAAAATGATAAAATTTCAAGAGGAATATTAGGTATGGACCCACTGGAAGGGACTGTCGACGAGCCCCTGGAAATGGCCAAAAAGGCATCTTCTCCAATGACCTACGTCTTCGCCATCGACAACAGTAATTTCATCGTGATAGTCCTTTAAATTTTAATTGTGTTATCAGAGAGAGGAATCTGTGAAGTGGCTCAACGGTATGCTCTTGACTGTGTCAAGGGAGATTTCCGACGTCGTCGAACTGATCCAGTTTGGCTCACGAACACGCTGCGCTTGCCGGTAATGATCATCTCTGGCTTCAAATTCAATTTAGAAGTTATACATTAGGAAAAAGTGCTCAATCAGAAAGATTTTGAACTTAAAAAGTTCAGTAAAGTGTTTTCAAATAATTTTTTTGTTTCTGGAGCTTTAATTTTTTTCAGAAACTCACAAATTTATCTTCAAAAAAACCTTGAATTTGATTTTTCGAAATCGTTCACAATCAAAAAAACCTTTTTTTCAAGAAAAAGTCTTCAGATGTTTGCCGCAAATGAAAACCGAGTGAAACTGGAGAAAATGCAGATGCATGAGGATCTGGTCAAGCGCCCATTGCCGACGACCATTTCCGAGTTCAAGAATCATCCTTTGTAAATTTTTATCCATTTTTGAGCCTTTTTGAGTGTTTAGCGTCGATTAACATAAGAAAAAAAAATCGGGAAACCGAAAAACCGAAAAGCTCAATTTTTTTTTACTCAAGTGGAGAGTTTCAATTTTTGTTCAAAGAAAAAATATCTTCACTGTTTTTCATCATCAATCAAACTTCGTTGATTCATTTTGAGGTTGTTTAATAAGAGGAAATGAAAGTTTTTATTGTCCTATTCGAAAGATCATTTTTCAACTTTAAGATATGTTTTGGAGAAGGATCTCCTCAAGTTCGAAGCGATTTACCCACCTCCAAGCGAACAGAAGCCTTTGGGCGAGATCCGAGGCCACAAAGTCTATCCTCGTTCTACAGTCTTCACTTGCCAAGGAGAGCTCAACTGGGTGAAACTCGCTAGAAGTGTCAAGGTCCGTTTCCGAAGTTTTTTTTTAATTAGGCTGGCTTGCAGTGAATAGACTGCAAAAAGCACAACAATTCAAAAAAAAAATTTCCGATAGCTTTCTTTTTTTTTATTCTGATAGCATATGTTCGGATTTCAGAGAAAAGCTGAACATCCCTTAAAAAAAAAATTAAAATATTCGTTTCTAGAATTCAGTAATCATACATCTTCCATATGAGTCGATTTTTATTGCCGATTTCAGATTGGCGAAAAAGGGTACAAAACTGTGAAAGCGCGACCAGATCCCAGGGTTCCTGTCGAAGATCGAGTCGACCGTTTCATGGACGTTTTCGGCTTTTGGCAAACAGAGACCTACCGACGTCCGGTCGTCAAAAATGTATAAAAGAGTTCATGTGACAAGGAAATTTATTGGAAAAATAGGGGAAAATTCCGCGCAACGAGTACGGAAACGTCTACATGTTCCAGCCGAAAGTGATGTGTCCCGTTGGAGCGACTTATCTCAAGCGAGTTTTTTGAGAAGTGTACGAAAGAAAAAAATTAGTGCGGTTCAAGTTCAAGTATGAAGTTGAAAGTAAAAACTTAAAAGTAAAAAAAAAAAGTTTTATCGATTTTTTTATTCTTTCCCTCAGAGTGATAGCTTTGATTAGAATGAGGGATATCTACAGTAAACCAATTTTTTGTGAAAAAAAGGAAATTTAGGAAAATATGTGTTGAAAGTGAAGTGTTGTAATGAACTGAATTCGAAAAATTAGCTCTTTCGTTTTGAAAAAAATCTTCAATCTTAAAAAGTTAAATAAGATTTTTAAGGATAGGATAAGTAAGATTCTTGATTTTATTGAAATGCAGCTGTTAATAATTCTTTTTGATTTCACCATTGGAACTAAAGAATAAAAGAAGAAATAAATTTTAAATAAAAATCAGCGTCTTTTTCAGTTCTTCCTGATTCGAACACATTTTTTTTCAATTTTTTTCGTTTCTCATCTCTGAATTTCAGGCTTCCCGGCCTGATGCGGATCGCCAGCCGCTTGAACAAAGAATGTGTGAATTGTGTGGTCGGCTGGGATTTCAGTGGCGGAGCTACTCATCCTGTGTGAGTTTTTGTCTCTTTTTTTGAATCTATTTATTTTTCATTGGATTGTTTTTAGGATCGAAGGCGCTTGTGTTCTTGACAAGGACGTTGAACTTTTCAAATCGGAATGGAATCGTCTTGAGGCCGGTAGAGCCGCCAGGGAAGAGAAGGTTAGGATGAGTCAAAATTTTTCTTTCTCATTTCCTTTCTGTTGAGTTCAGTAAATTTGTGAAGTAGTTTTGGCAGTATAATAAAGTAGAGCATGTAGCAGAATTTATATTTAAAAAGATTTTCCGAAGTTTCGTTGATCAAACATCAAAATACTTCCACGAACCAGAATCCCAGAGCTTTCTGGGCAGAATCATGGAGAAATGAGCCAGATACAATCCGAGAACGAAGTAAATTGTCTGAAATTACTTGAAAAAAATTTTCTCGATCAAAAAAATGAGTACGTTTTTAGAAGCGCATTGACCGTATCTATGAGAACTGGCGGAAGCTGATCCGCGGCGCGCTTCGCTTGAACTACGTCCGAAAAAGATTCGGCGCCGACGCGAAGTTGGAACAAGCTCCGGAGGCCGAAGGGGCCAAGGGCAAAACCAAGAAGGGACAGGTAAAAATTTAGATTTTAACCTAGCGTATAATTCATGAAGTTTTTTTCGAGTACAAGCCAAGGAGATGTATATTTTATGAAAAAATCGGAAAAAAAAACTGAAGGTTGATAAATTTTGAAAGTGCTTTTCGAACGACAAAGAGTTGTTAAAAATCAAAAACTCTTTTTGAATATTTTTAGAAAAGCCTTGAAGAATTCCAAGAGAATTGTTAAAAAATCTATCAAGCCCTTCATTAATTTTGAAAAAGTGAGAAAGAAACTTTCTGCAACTTTTTTCCTATTTTCTTTCATTTGATTACATGAACTTTCTTTTTCCAGGGAAAGAAAAAGAAAGACGAAGCGGCTACGAAGAACGAGTCAGCGAACGAATCTTCGTCGTCTTCTGGAAATATCGTCGACAACACGGCCCAAGCTCGTCCAATGGAAGGATTTTCCCTCGATGACCTCATGAAATTTTAATTTTTTTGTTTGTTGTTCTTTTGTTTTCATGCAATTAACCTGTTATTTTTGTCTCACGTTCATTTTTTTTTCTCGTTCTCACACTCTTTATTAACTACCGGTAACTCCGTGCAAAGTCATAATACTTTCATCGGGAAACTGCCTCACTGTATCTCAAAATCTCCTCTTTACTTGTATTTTGAGCTCATAATATTTTTTTTTCGGATTTCAAAGCTGTTATTAGAAAGTTTTCGAAGCATGTATAAAGTGTTTATTCCGGTTCTTTGTAAATTGGTCGCCTAATTTCGTTTTGATCGGTTGATACTTCTTTATCATTTTTGGAAATTATGAGAAAAAATCGCACTTGGAATGGCTCAATGCGTCGTGGTCGCGTGCCGGATTTCAGCGACCTGGTCTAAATTTGCAGGTTATCCCAGACGGGAGTCGTTTTTAGTCTGGCGCAAAAGATAGAGCCGTTACACAGTGAGCCATTCTGTGTGCGACCAAAGGCGAAAAATATGATCGAATTATTTTTCAGAGCACAAGCCAACGCCAACACGACATCCAGAGGTAAGAATCGAACTTTATTCATTTTTTGTACAATATTTTGAAAACTGGATATACATTCAAAGGATAAATGATGCAATGGATTTTTGATTTTGAATACGCGAAAATTTCTTTGTAAAAGTTGAGAAAAAGATGAGTCGATTCACAAACGCTGCCCGGCTTTTTTTAGACGAATTTTTACCTCGATTCGGACTGAAAAACCTTTTCGCTGCGGGACCTTGATACATTTGAGCTGAGCTTCTTTAAAAACTTTAGTAGATCGTTGTGAATGAACTTGAAGTAGTTTGAATGGAAATCCATGATGGGAGGAGTGAGAATAATGTACCTGCTTATGAATGGCGGCTATTTCAATGAAGGATAAGTTTAGAAAAAATCAAGTTAAAACGTATTTGACATTAGGACAAACTAATTTTCTAAGAAAACTCAACAATTATTTCGAATAACTCGGAAAAATAAACTTGAAATTTTTGTAACAATCGCCTTTGAGAGGTGTTGAAAAAATATCTATAAATCTAAGAATAAGTTTGGGCTTTTTTGACTTATTTACAAATAATGAAAGGTATAATCTCCTTTCTCGAAATGGAGTGCTTTTGATATTTTTTGAGGATGGGAGCATTAGACTTACCGTTCCGTTTTTGGGTTTGATTTACTGAAACTTGATTTTTTTGCATTTCAAGCGTGGCTCGCAAAAATATGAAATCAGTGAAACGTCTTGTATGCTGATAGTGTTGATTAATAAACAAACTCGATAAGTTTCAGTTTTCAAACCCATATACGGACCGTAAAAGCTCTTGGAAATGAAATTTCAAGTGGGATTACTGGAGGGACGGGACCAATTGTTCATCAGTTGCCCGAAGTAGATGTCGGTTTCCTTCTTCCTCTCGGGGATCATGATCTGGCCGGTCGTTGTGCGTACTCTTCTCTCTGATCGTTCTCTGAGGTCGCGGCTGCTTTTTTCGCAGTACACTATCTGAACGTTCCACCTCTTGCACTGTTCTATGAGTTTTCCCCTTCTTTGTCTTAAAATATCGTTTTTTCTTCATTTGAAAAGCCATCATCTTTGTTTAGCATGACGATTAGATCAAAACGTTTCTTCATAGTTTTTGCTTCTTTCATTTGCTTCTCATTCTGCGGACGTCAAAATCAAACTTTCAACCTTTTGAACTATTTCGATTGAAATCGTTGATTTCGAAAAACCAATCAAAAAATGTTTTCAACTTTTGACCGGTTGAAAATCAACTGCTGAGCATGTATGAAACCAGATCAACTGTTGAAAAAGATTGAAAGGTTGAAATTGAGGACACACAGTAGATTATCTGAAACTATCCGCCTCTTTCACTGTTCTTGACTATTAGATTAGACAACGTTTCTAAATTTGCTAAACTTTCCATTCTTCAGTTCATTTTTCTGTTTATCGGAACTTTCAGTGATTACCTATAAGCCAGACATGAAGAAAAAGGAAAACAGTAGGTTATTTTTTAATTTCGGAAAAAGAAAATTTGAAAAGTATATCAAGTTAACCTAGAAGAAATGGAGTTTTTCAAGTTTCAATTAAACGGTAAGTTGTTTGAACTTTTGATATTCCAGTTTTTTGAGAAAACTTGAACTTTTTTTCAATATTTAATCATTAATAGAATGAGATATCGGCCTAAAGTATTGTTGACTCAAGACAAAAAAAAAAGATGGAGGAATAATTAAAATAGACTCACTTTTCGAAATATCCTCAAAAGCTCCTTCTGCCATTGATCACTGTAGTAATACATTGCTGCTGGAAGTCCTACCCCGTATCTAAAAATCCCGAACTCTTTTAAAACTCCAAATTCTGAGATTACAATATTGCCGTATAATTGAAGCCAACGTGCAACCAGTTGACAACCGTTTCTTGATTTCCTATCGCTTCTGCGCTGATAAAAGAGCTGCAAGTGATGCTGAAGAATATGATGAACAGAATGCCTTTTTTGAAGAACTGAAAAAAAATCGCATTTTTTAAAAGTTATCATTAAAAGTACCAGTGCGGTTTTGACATTTTCGGCGATTTGGTAGCGCTCGCTTAGAGAGTATCCGTAGTTGTAACTGGGCATAAGAGTCGTTCGATTATTCAGGAAACGCATGTGATTGTAGTGGCCATTTAAGAGGCATATCTGTAAAAAAAAATTCGTTAACATGGACTTTTTTTAAAATTACTTCATTCGGTCTCTTAAGAGAATTTTTTTTTTTTTTGAAATCAAAGAAAAACCCATTTTAGAAAAGATAATAATAAATTAATTTTAATAACCTCACCAGTAAGGCCAATATATTGGCTGTTATGAACGAAGCGATGTGAGCATATACCGGAACCAGTTCTGAAAATTTAAATTTCATTTTTGTTGAAAATAAAACTTGGAGGAAGGTTTCAAAATGCGCATTTAAGCATTCTTCATTTGCCACGACTTGGAACAGTCTGACTTGTCTGTGCTCTCGTTTCTCTCATCGGAGCTTTTTTTCATATTTTCTCGACCATAACGAGAGAAAAGAATCCACAGACAAGCCAAACTTTTCTGATTATGAGAAGTGATGAAATATTTAAATCTTTAAGACAAAGAAAATGATTATGAATTTATATTTTGAATCCCTTGCTACAATTTTGCTAATTTTTGAACTTTTCCATTTTTTATTTTTATCTTTTCTGACTTCTCATAGGAAAAGCTTTGTGGTCGTCAGAAAAGATCCACTCATTGAAAAATTTTTTTGATGTTGTCTATTTATTATTTTCCAATTTTGGAATCACTCACCATAAACGAAGAGCGTCGCGGATAAGAAACACCAAGAATGCATGAGAAAAGCGATAGTGTAGCCAATATATCGCCTCTGGTTCTTCTCATAGTCATGCATGTGAATCGTAGCAAAGGTCCTTTCGATCATCGCAAATGGTGCGAAATAAAAAGCGATGAATGTCAAGAAGTTCCGGACTACTGTAGCCGCTGTGAATATCCACACAGCCCGTAAATCTGCTACAATTCCGGTACTATGACAGTAATTGGGAGAATAAAATGCTCACTGTTCTCGTCACGATGATATTGGTAGAATATCTGGATGAGTCGAGCGGCCATAGAGAAAAAATATTGGAAGACAAGATTTTTGAGAAGATAGGCTAGATTGGGATGATACTGCTCTGTTGCGAACAGCATGTAGAACATTGATCCGCATTCTATGTAACTGAAACGTTATTTTTTTTGTAAGGAAAGGCTTCTAATTGCTCTAATTATTGTCAAACTCCGGGTCAGTGACTAGAGTGGACTAATCCTCGTTATTGGTTATTCTTTTTCTTTTTCATCTTCTTTCTACCTTATGTAGTGAATGAACCTATTATTATCAAAAAAGAAAGTATTGAATAAAAATGTGTAAAAAAAATTTTTCTTCATTTCTTTTTGCATTGGTTTCACCCCCATTTTTCTCCCTTTCTGCAGTCTTTGCTCTCTCAAAACGGTCAATATCAAGAATAGTTGAAAAAACGAAAATTAAAGGTCAAAAGACGTGAAACAGCTGCTCGAAGAAGGACAAGGGAATTTCTTCAACTTTGTTGAAATTTTCCTTTTTCAAAACATCAAACTATACTATATGAAGTTCAAAAAGGATTGAGTGTCTGGAAAAAAATTATTTTGATAGACCTTCCTATCGTTAATTACAATATTTTGACAGACAAGTCCCTTAATAACTAGAAAGAAGATGTTAGAATAAAGAAAAAAAGCATCAAAAAAATTTTTTTTTGAAAGGAGCTTTTCTGATAATTTTTTTAAATGATTTTTTTAAAGGAATTTCTCCAATTTCTTAACTCTTTTTGAAATATTTTTTTGACTTTTTTTCATAATGAAAGAATCGAAATCACATATCTTACCTCCATATGATTAGAATGACTTCTAATTCAAAAAGAACGGTCGATCCACTCTTCGCTGCCGTCCAACCGCGCCACTGTTCTGTTGATCAGCGTTAAATAATGCATATTGTGGAAGATTTTCAGCTCCTGGAAAAAAGATCTTTCTAAGAAAGCTATGCAAGATGAAGTAGAGCTAATTGGACACATTCAAGATATTATATTACACAAAAAACAGCAGAGAGAAATTTCGAAAAAATTATTGGAGGAAATGACTGTTAGCTATTCTAGCTTCCATGATGTTTTATTGAAGCTGTCTTTTGAAAAAAATAGTGAGTTATGGATCACAAGTGGGAAATCGAGTAAAGAAAACTTTTTAAAAGTCTCGCCCATACGTCGGCTGGATCCCACCCCGGGGTGCGGCCTACCTCAGTACATTTTCAAATTTTTTTTTCGCGCGCAAAAGGCGGGGGTTAGATTCAGCTGATGTATGAACTCACCCTTCAGATAATATCAACTATTTAATGACCGTAGGGAAATTTTATATTATGAAAAAAATTCGAAAAATAACAAGGGGATCGGCTACTTAATCTTGAAAGAGTTTAGTCTAGCTATTTTTTTAATGATTCCTTTATTTTCAAGATCATTTCGAGTTGACCTTAATTTTTTTTTGAATGGATTAAACGTTAACAAAAAGAAGGAAGGGTTCAAATAATGGTTCTGGGGCTCTAACAGTTAACAAATAATTTTTTTCAAAAAAATAAGAAAAAAATTAGAAACGTCCCTGTAGTACTTTTTGTCCCAGCTAAGTCGGGAAAGAAATCTCAAACAAAATATCACGAGATTATCCAATAAAAAGTTTTTTTTTTCACACATCTTTTGAGTGATAGATTTTCATCTAAATTTGTAGAAAAAAACTGTTGATGATTTTTTTTGCAGAGGTTCGACGCGAATCTTCTCTGAGAAGATCTGAGGACGATTTGGATGTCTTCGAATCCTAGCTGGTGGCCCTACCGTCTGCCCATAGAAGAGGCCTTGAAAAAATCTATCGTTCTTGTGGTCGGCGTCGTCGTCGGCGCCAATGCTATCGAGTACTTTTGGAAGCCTATGCAGGTCTCCGCAGAGAGTTTTTAGAAGTATAAGTTCAAAAAAAGACTCTCAAATTTGTAGAGACGATCAAAGTCAGTGAGAATTTATAAGAAAACGTAAGAGTGTAACAAATCTAGGGATTTGGAACAAAAGGAAGTACATGAGTTCCTTGCTGGACCTTCCTATGTTGGCTTTGAGTTTTTATGAAAGTCTGCTGATACAAAATAAAAATATTACACATATTTCCCGATCTCATCCAAGGAGGAGTTTATTTAATCGAAGTTTTTGGAGAATTTCGCCGAAAATCGAAATCCTTTATTTTATGAAGAGTCAGAGGTCAGAGTATTGACAAAAAATGATTGGAATAAAGCCAAGCCAAAAAAAAAAATCAAATTAGGACAAATAGAGTTGACGAACAAGTATCAGCAAGTCTCATTGAGATAACTCGAAGAACGTTGATATCCAAAAAATGACTTTAGATGTCTCACTTTTTTCCCACCCTGTAGAAAAAAAAAGTTGGACGATTTTTTTTTCACCGAAATTACTTGGTTTCTTAGAAAGAATCTAATCTTTTTTTTACGTAGATGCTAAGTAGAATCCTTCTGAAAAAGTTCTTCTCGAGAATAAGAACGAAAACAACGGCTAGGAAGTGAGGGAAATCGCAAAATTGTATGTTTTTCTGTTCGAGGCACGAGTAGAATTGGCTTTGTCAGTACAGGTCTATGCGGAAATAAGAAGAAATACACAAAAAAATAAATCGAATATTGCCGGAATCATCCCCACCAAATGCCTCGTTTTATGTAATTTAGCTTCTCCGCTAAAAAGGAAGAAATTAGGTTTTCACGTAATATCGAGATTAAATGGTCGGAAGTGTTGAACAGAGTACATTTAAGAAAATCAGGCTTTTTAAAGTAATACAATAACTTTCAGAATATCAGTTCAAGAGCTTCCAACTTTAAGCTGATAAACTCTGAATTGTAGTAATTCAGTCTCAATTTCAAAAAAATTATACTCTTACCAGTTAGTTCGAAATTTTTTTGAGCCTGACTCACTAGAAAAGCAATCTATCAAAGTTTTTTATTTCTGTGATAGTAATTCAAGCGTAAAATCAGACTTAAAGAAGCTTCTGAAGAAGTTTAGCTAATAAAAAGTCAAATTCCAAGTTGAAAATGTTTTCAACAGGATATATTTTTACATTCAAATATATAGACTTGGTTCAAAAAGAAACCCTTCTTGAAAGTAGGAAGAACAGAAAGAAACAAGTAAAAAAATGTTATTTTGAACAGGAATCGGTCCCGAAAAAAATAGATTTTTTTTTGTTCAAGAGGGAAAACTTTTCCATTAGATGTGAAAAAAAAGTTGTTTTTTCGCTCTATTCTTGAAACAAGGGTTTAGAAAGTTTTTTTGATCTAAAAAAAAAAATCTTATGACCTGAAGCAATTTAAAAAAAGATGGTGATATATTGAACTTTTCTTGCAACCTTTAAGATGAAATCTGTGGGTTTTCTGGATTAAAAGAGATGTGGATACCAGTTCAAAGAAAAAAATTTTTCAGAACTACGAAACGGAGCTTGACAAAGGAAAATTCGAACTTCTGCAAAAATATAAGAAAATACACGATGAGCGCGCCGCCAAAGAAGCGAGACAATAGTCTTTCTTCTTCGGATATTCAATATTCCGGTCGAGGAACTGAGGTATGAAATTAGATTAGAAGCGGTTCTCTGACACTGAGGAAATATAATTGAAAACAAGTAGTTTTCTAAAAGTTATTCGCCGGTCAATCTAATAACTTTTTTGTTGATCTCCGGTTGTCATAAATTATACTCCCTCACGGCGGTTAAAATCTTTTCAAAAATAAATGGATGACAAATAATATTTACAGAAAAAAACTAGTTACAAGATTCGAAATCAACGAGAAAAATTTAAAATCCGAGTTGTCCTTATTTTGCTAGCCCTTGTCTTTTCGAAATGGGAAGTGGTTCAGAAAATGAATTACTTAAAAGGATTAGTTATAAGCCTCATTAACAACAGACACCCCTCATACTCGAAATTTTGGAGTTCTGGAAAATGGCTGGGAAATTTTTGATGCTCCTGAAACTCCCTAGTTTTCGGGAAGACAGCGACCGAGTTCCAGGAAGTGGCGCCATTTTGAGGCGGTTTTGATTTCTCTTTTCTTAAAAATGGAACTTCCTTGAACTAAGGCGGAAGGTCACCAAAGCATTTTGGAACTATCTGGAAGTTTTTTTTGAAAGATTCTTTATATAATAAAGAATATTCTAAAATCTTAAAACTCATCAATTTTTTTGAGAATGGACTTTTTTTCGAATACTCTAGGCGATACAAAGAGCATCTCTGAGGCATATGTTCTCAAAAAAAGGAAAAATTTCTGTAAGCTGCGACTTCCTAGCTTGCCATCTAATGCATGAATGAATCTTCTGACCAAGTTTAAGAGAATTTTTAAAATTTCGAATAGTTGACTTTTTCCTGTCAAAAAGGAATTTTCACAATAAACAACTTGAGAGAAATTATCACACTAAATTTCATAGAGCTTTAAATTTTATACTTCACGGTTCGATTGCTGCAACGAATCAAAAATTTTCAAAAAAGCCTAATTGTTTTTATGAATGCTTAGTCGATCAGCTTTGAAATATGATGACGTCATTAAAAATTTATTAGACTGAAAAATGATACTGGCGAAAATAGAAAATGCCTTGGTCTACCCATGAGGATGTTTTCCGGATTGATAGAGTTAGGATTCAGGGAGAAATCGAACTGTATCATTCCCAAGTGTTACAGTTTTGTTGGAAAATACTTTGATGAGTGTTCAAATGACCATATGGATTAGATAAACTCGAAAAAAAATATAGGAGAAGAACAGTTTTTTTTCCAGTTTTTTCAGGTTATGCACTAGTTAGGGACTTCTAAGAAGTACAACAAGGATTTTGAAACAGATGAAAATGAAAAAAAAAAAGACGAGGAACACATTTTGAACACCTCCATGCTCTTTATTTTTTTGTTTTTAACAATTTTTTCGCTGCAAGCCGTAGACATGTAAATGAATTTCTTTGGCGCGAATGCTAATGCTTTTTTCGGGACGCAATGAAAATGGCACGAGACAGCTGGAACTCTTCAAGACTTTGTGAAGTGTTTAGCATTCAGCTCACTAACCTTTCGTTTCAAAGTTGACTTAGTTTAATTAGAAAAAACGGGAGAGTTCAAAGCCTGAAAAAATATCCTTATTTGCTACAGGCAATTTCGCGTTGACGTAGAACAATTTGAACGTATCCCATGGGGTACTTAGTATAACCGTGATGACTCGTATTTTCGAGGGTTCTGCAAGATAACATATGGTGTCTGGAGAATACCATAGACTTCGCAGGAAGTTTTCAAATAAATACCAAAGGAATAATTGTATTTTGCGCTTGGAAAACTTTTTGGAATTGACTCAGACACTTCTTGATAACCCAGATGATGCTCCTGAAGATCATAATCACCACAAATTATTTTTTTTTTGGTTTGGACACTTCAAAGCCGAAGAAAATCAGGAAAAATATTTGGTTTCATATTTGAGGAAAATTCTTAAAAGCTGGCGAAACAGGCCTTCTTTTTTATAATAAAAGAAGTTTCGAAAGTTGAGAATAACAGGATCTTTATCTGCAACATCAAGGATTATTCTAGCAAGTTTTGAAAAACTCTCAAGTGCAAATTAAAGTTAGCTTTCTTTCTTGAAGATCAAATTTTCTTTTGATCTTTTGAACACGGTATAACTGTCTAAACAGGTTTTTTTTTAATTTTTGTGAAAAAAATTTACAGTTTTTATATAAGAAAATTTTTTTACAATACACAATGACATGCAAGAGTAGAATGAGAACTTTGAAAAACTTCAAAAAAATTTGTTCAAAATTACGAAAACTTCAATTTGGTAGTGTTAAGCAAACGTGGAAATTTTAAAAAAGGTGTATCTTTTTTAACTCGTTTGATGCTTCAAGTTTCAAAACTCGTTCCTTTGGAACATGCCTCAAAATAGAAATTTAGTCTAATGGGCGATCAAAAAAAAGTGGAAAAAGCAATCTTTGCTGAGTTTTGATACTTTGCTGCTACTTGTGCAGACAAAAAAGTCGTTGTATAAAAAATTTTTTCCACGGAAAGCTCAAAATAGTACCTTTTATACTTTGGGGCCTTTTTGCCTCGACCTTTATTGTGTTGAAAAAAATTATCGAAGATTTTATAAATGAGTTAAAGAAAAAAAAATTGTATTTGATTTATTCAGAACTTGGACGCCTACTCGACGGAGGCGGATTTGAACTCCGACACGGAAGAAAATGCATTCAGACCCATCTTCAAAAAGTATAAAAAACGCGTTCCTCCACCGGATTTCCGAAACGTCATAGGTTTTTAGATATGTGTTCTTTTACTGCTGCCTTGGAACGGAATTCAATAAGAGTTAATGCAAAAATAAAGTTGGAAAGGGAAGTCTAAATCTACAAATTTTGAGAATTTGCTGAAACTTGGCTCAGGTGTAATCATTCTGAGAAACATTCTTATTTGAGTCTCAATTAATGAGGAAAACTTGTCTGATTGCACTTTCCTCGTCATACTTCCCTGTGTTAATTTCTTTCCAAGTCAACAACGAATGGATTATGAGATAATCAGTTAATTGAGGCTTCAGAAGTGAGAGAGCCAAATGAAAAGGTCGGTCTTCGGTCGAGACTCGTCCGAGAAACTTATTCATTCGATGACGAAGACATACGGATATGTAACGAATTAGGTTGGGAATCGCCTATGTTCCTTTAATTCATATTACTTTTAATTGACAGGTCTTCGACCAATCGATGAATGGCGGCTCTGCGAGTTTTCAGACCGGCCTGGACTCTACATTTTGCCCGACATCCTAAGGTATTTGAGGGACGCGAAAATAGGAGAAAAGTCGGAGTAGATGTCCTCCGCGACTTGTGAGAAACGGAGATGTGAAAATGTATTCGGCAGTTTCTTTTTTCGCCTATTTCTCTCGAGACGATTGTATCGAGAAAGATGCAATAATGTACTAGTCGGGCGGACAAAAAAGACCTCTGCATTTTGTGTATTCCGAGAATCGGAAGAATTTTTTATGGGCGAGGACACAAAGAGGACATTAAGATTTGAAATAAGAGAACATTCCGAAAAAAAATAGAGGAAGCTGACAAGTCGGCGGATAAACTATGTCACGCAAGTTTTTCTGATTTTGCAACTCTAGGCGGTGAGCGAACGGAGTAAAGCTCAAAACATTTCGAAATTCTTATGGATTTTCCTGAAAATCTACTACATTTATGGCCAAGCTTGGTTCGAAAAGTTTCAAAAATAGGTAGCAAAAATACGGAGTTTCATTTGATTTTTCTGAAGATGTATTTTCTATAAAGCTTGCAGTTCGTTCAAAGCATCTTGATAAGTTGATAATCAGAAGAAAAAAAAGCCTAACTTGTTTCTGTTTTGAATGAGAGCCAGCCGAAAACGTTGTTTCACTTTTTAGGTGTCAAAAGAATGGAATAGTTCGGGAAGAGGCTGTTTGAAAACTTCTTTAATGATGTAAAAATTATCTCCTGACTTTCCTAAAAAAAAATGATCATGTGAGTAAGCTTTGGTATAGATGAGGAAAAAGCTAATTTTTATCTTATTTTTTTGAAAGAAGTAATAATTTATAACACTATCATTTCCAGTTGACCCTAAGATTCACGAGTAAATTACATCAAAAGAAAAAAAAAACCCAAAAAAGATGTTATATTTGTATCGCCGGGTTCATTCCAAGCTACTCCAACCCGAACTGGGGATTTCTGAGTTTCTAACTTGTAATTTGAATTGAGAGCTTGGAATAAGAATAGAGATGTCAATTTTGCATATAAGTTCGTTCGAAATTTTCTGAGACTAGTATTTACGAAGATAACAATATTACTTATCAGTTAACCAGTGTTTAGCTTGCAAGTTCATTTTCTGCGCTTTGTAAAAGCTTCGCGCCTGTAAGATATAGTCTGTGTACCACGACTTGGAATTTCACCAAACGACATTCCGCTGTGCCGCTGCGCGCCTTTGCGAACCTTGGTCGCGCTTTTAATTTTTTTTTCTTCTTTTATTGAGGTACTCTACTTTCATGGGCTCCCACATCAATAATAATCAATTCAAAGCGTGACCTAGATTCGATAGACGCTTCGCGAACGCACGCAGCGGAACAGCGGAATGTCGTTCGGTGAAATTTCAAGTCGTGGCACACAGACTATATGAAGAAGTGTCGTTTTTTAGTCTGAATTTCAAAAATTCTCAAAATGTTCTAATTTATTAGAAAAAGTGTTCAGCCAAATTCCATTAGTCAATCGGCGTATCCACCAAAATAGCTAACGGAGTGCACTTCCGATTTCAGTCGGAGTTTGCACGCGATCAATCAATAGATAGCATACAGAGGCTGACCCTTTTTTTTCTTTTTATTTGTCTTTCATTTTTAAGTAGAAATATTCAGAGCGGAAGAATCTCCCAGGTGGCTTGGCAACACTTTCAAGTTCGCTGAGCCTCCGAACACTACTAACCTCACGGCTCATGGTACCAGTCCAGCTAGGTAATTTTTTGCACTTTTCAAGAGTAAATCGAACACTAGACCTCGATTTTTTTGGAATTACTTCCAAGTAAATCAAATCAGACATTCCTCAAAGATGGCTATTTTTGCCGCTTGAGTGACTACTAGTGAAGTGGAACTTTCAGCGACCTTCTGAGAAGTTTCTATTTTCAGAAGATTTTCAAAATTTTCCCAAATCCGATTCTTTTTTTTTTGCTCTTTAGTATCAGAGAAACCTCTCAGCGGCTAGATCTATCCCAATCTTGCCATGGTTTTTTTTTCGAAAAGAGCGAAAAAAAAATTTCTCACAAAGAAGTTTTTTTGACCTTGGGTCAGAAGTTTTCTGAAAATCGGTCATAATATTTCTTGATTCACCGGAGACAACCCCTGAAAGTCTTAACCTACCCAACTTCCTGGTTATTCAAAGATGAGAATACAAAAAGCTTCAAAATAGCCTGTTCAGACGTATCATTATGGTTTTTGTTGCCTTTAAGATTTTCCTTATCAAAAAGTGGTAAGTTGTCCAGATTTAGACTTTCTTGATCTTTATCTGGTGAGTCAGGGAGTTTTCTGGCCTAGTTTCAGGAAGTCCGCGACCGCAAAGTATAATGACCATGATTGTCAAGCTAGCGGTGATTAGACTGTTCAAATGTCGCATACCATAGAGAAGAGTTGCAGTGACGTTCTGGCGACTGCCGGTAAGACTTTGCGATGGACGACGCTTGGAGTGGAGTACGACTGGGTAACCAAGGAATATCCGCCGACTGGGCGGCCTTTGCCTCGTGAACTTCGACTTCTCTCACAGGTCTTGTGGTAGATTAGCTAATTAATCAATCAGAGAACGTTGTAGTGAAGCTCGAAACCTCTTTGTTCGTTAATTGGAACTTATCAATTATGACTCTTTCGTATTCGTACCTCGTGATAGTGTAGACTTTGCTCTAGAGTTTGAAAAGATCAAGGGATAAAAATAGATTTTTTAGCTTAGAAACAAGAACTTTTCAAGATATTCTCATGGCTGAAACATCATTCGCCACGGCTTCGATATTTCTAGCTCGCCTGAGCTCTCTTTTCTCTCACCTTTACTAAAACGCTACTGAGAGATCAAGAGAGCGCAGACAGGTCAGAATGTTTCATGCCGTGACGCATGAGGTATACGGACGAAGAATAAAAGAAACAGATAAAAATGGGGCTTGAGTAAGTTGAATTCCTCAAGCCAGGAACTCAACTTTTCAAAAACGTCCAAAAACAAGGAAGAAAGATGAACTTGGAAGAATCCTAACTCAATTAAAATTTGCAGTGTTTCAATAATAACGAAGCTTCTTACGTCGAAATTGCTCTTTTTAGGTTGTCTGCCGCAGTTTGGGCCTGGGTAAAATTGAGCCGGACGCTGCAATTATCAACTATTATCCTCCCAAGTCTACGCTCTCGCCTCATGTAGATAGGTCGGAATATCAGATTTTTCATGAATTGAAATGGATCAAAGCGTCGCGGTTGCGCTGCGTTTGGGAAGTCCCGAATTGTATCTAAACTCAAGCTGTGCCCGACCATGAGCGACTTTTAACTTGTGCTATCAGATTTCTAGCTCTGAAGAAATGATTGACCGCTTCGCAACCGCAGCGCTTTTGGCAGTTCTCAGTGACAAAAAGGGAAAAATGAGCAATCAAAGCTGTGTCTGCATTCATTTACATGGTGAAAGGATAACAGATTCGTCCTTTCTTGGAATATCCTAGGAATTTCAAATGCTCTTCATAAATACCTTCCAAAAGCTTGTTCTCATTTTTCTTACGAGATCGTTAAAATCTTTTTTTTTTTTTGAACTCAAAATAAAAACAAGAGAATGAAATTATTCGCAATAAAAAGGGTAATATGCGAAAAAAATATAGAACTTGAGGCTACGTAAATAAAGTTATAGTCAAACCGATCCAATCAACTTTTTTATTAAATTCCAGCAAGCCGTTTAGAGCCTCTTTTATAGAATTATGGGACGACTAGAAGGTTCTTTGAAATGGAGGGAAAATGGAAGTGGAGTCTGTTTTTCACTGAACGTTTCGGTATTTGTTTTCTTGCATGAGAACGCCTGGTAATCGGAATATCGGTTAGTCAGCCAATTAATTTGAGATCTTATCAAATATTTTTCGTTATCTGGATGCAATTAGTGGAGAAACCACGTTTAGAGATATTCTCAATAGGATATCATCTTATTATTTCACTGCATACGTTTCCAAGAAGATTTTAAAAGAAGCGGATTGAAAATTTGTGAATATAAAGTTGTAAATAGGTTTACCAACCATCTTTCTCGGAATTTCTACAAGGAAACTGGGAAGCTTTGTTTATTGGGTATGATTGCTGGAAGTTAAAGCTTCTTTTGGAATTGGGACAAGCCTCATTTGATGCAACTGAAATATTTTCAAATATCCGTGTAGCTTTCAACTAGAATAACCCCTAGGCGCAACAAAAAAATTTTTATAATCAAAAAAAGTTGATAAAGTTCATAGTTTTTTTCTTTTTATTTTTTTGTTTCCAACATTTTTTTGGTTTCCTTCTTCTACCCAAAAGTCAAGCTTGGACCTTGATGATTTACAGCTTTTCATGAATATCATTAATTTAACCATCCAGAAGGCTGGTATTTATAATTCAGAGAAAAATTTCCTCCTGTACCATAAGAAAACTAATCTCAGGTCGGAGAGATCAAAAGCTCCCCTGGTTTCTCTGTCGCTTGGTCAAGCTGCAGTCTATCTTACTGGAGGTCGACGACTCTCGGACCCGCCATTGCCGCTCTGGCTTCGCAACGGCGACGTGCTCGTGATGCACGGCGAGCAGCGACTCGTCTACCACGCAGTCGCCTGCGTCGGCGTCGCGTCGCAGAAGCAGTCGTTCGTCTGCGCGACCGATCCGCTCGTCGAAGACTATCTTAACAACTGTCGCGTCAATATTACCATGCGCCAGGTCAACCCGTCATCTTTGAATGAATCTCAGCAATAACTTTTTAGGGGTTTATTTGATATGATGTGATTTTTATGGTTCATTTTTCAAATGGTTAGTCTTTTTTCAGATTCTTCACTTTTTTGATATTTTGTCCATCTGAAAGTATACTTTTTTTCGTTTTTCTTTCATCGGGGTTTTTTTTCAACAGTTTCTTGTTTAGGTCCTGTAAATGAAGTCCTTAGAAGAATTTTTTTGTGTTGCTTTTTAAGTTTTATCGCCTCCGTTGTTGTTGGCGTTTTCGAAGAGATTCGCAGATTCAAATATCTGAACTAAAGAGTTCAATCAAGGTGTGTTAAGTGTGCTCTAGTGATAACTTGGTTTGTTTTTGCAAAATCCTTTCGAACGCACCGTTATTTTGTTACAAATCAGTTATGAATGAAATAAAGATGAGTTTTAAATTTATCTCTAGCTTGAACTTTTTTTTTCGTTTTTACTCTGTTGAAACCGAGAATTTATCTTTAACCAACCTCCGATTTTTTCTTATTACCAATTTTTTTTTGAGATGTTGCGTTTCTCTTCACTTTTGGCTCGAAACGTCCAGCTGGCCGCTTCCAAGCAGGTCGCCGCCCTGTCAACCGCGCCGGAGATGATCAAGGTGGAACACGTCGGCGAGAAGAAGAACGTCGCTCTCGTCACTCTCAACAGGCCCAAAGGTAGGCCAGGGGTATAATTTATGATTTTCAGCAAGTTATTTTTCTAAATCTTCTACTTATTTTTGTCTAAATATGAGACTATAGTTTTTATTTTTCGCATAGATTTGCGGTGAAGTTTTACATAGGCATAAAAGAAAAGCTCTTCCTGTGTTTCGAGAGATTTTTTTTAATCTTTGATAACGTATATGATTCATTAAAAATCTACAAGGCATTCAAAAAGAAAAATCTAAAAAAATAGTCAAAAAAATTCAAGCATCTTTTTCGAAAGTTTCAAACATAATTTTTTTCATTTTAAATTCATTCATTCATTCTGAAAAATCTCGAAAGAGACTAGGAAAAATTTTCTTGAACTTTCCTTCAAAAATAGCAGCGAACAGCTTTTTCAGACCTCATTACTTTTCTCTCTTCACAAAATAAGAAGCAGGAGTCCTGGTAAACTTTTCTTTTTTATAGTAGCTCTTTTTTCAATAATTTTTGACTTTTTTCTGATTTTAACTGACTAGCCCTAAATTTAGAAAAGAACACGTCAAGTACTTTTTTTTCAGTCAAACTCATTTTTAGCGGCCTATTTTTATTTGGAAAGAAGTCTTGTCTTGCATAGACGAACAATATCTCCATGACATTTTTCTTCCTCGTTACCATGGCGCGTAACTCAAATTTTCTTTTGAAAGAGGCATATACGAGTAATTATCAAGGGAACAGACATAACACGCCGGCTGATACCTGGAACATCCACCTGCTTTCTATCGATTTGCAGCGTTGAATGCGCTCTGCAACCAGTTGATGTCGGAGCTGGCGACGGCTCTGAAGTCGCTCGACGACGACAAGAAGATCGGCGCCATCGTCATTACGGGCAACGAACGAGCCTTCGCCGCCGGCGCCGACATCAAGGAGATGGTGAGAATTGTCAGACGTAATTGAGCATCCCAATAAAGCTTTTCCATTTTTAACGAATTGAGCCAACTCTGTCAAAAACGTTCAAAATTTCTAGATAAGAGCCGTTTCTACCACATAAGCATTTTTGAGTAGCTTTGCTTCTTTTTGTTGTCCTAATTTTTTCATTACTTTAGGCTTTCTTTCAAGCATGAACTTCATAAGAAAGTTTTCCCTTTTATCAAGCCTTTCTTTTTGGAAATTTTCTCCACATGGGGCTTGTAGGTGAACCGCGAGTTCTCCGAAACCCTCGGCAACAACTTCTTGGGTGACTGGACGGCCGTCAGCGACGTCCGCAAGCCAGTCATCGCCGCCGTCAACGGGTTCGCCCTCGGCGGAGGCAACGAACTCGCCATGATGTGCGACATCATCTACGCCGGCGACAAGGCTCAGTTCGGACAGCCGGAGATCAACATCGGCACTATCCCTGGCGCAGGTATCAACTAGTGTGATCTAAGCTTTCTGAGTATGAGTCCTATGAGTTTGAGTTTGAAGCTTGAGATGCTAGAATTAGATTTTCAAGTCTGAAGCCAAAAGTTATTGGGAAACGATAAGTCTCTGAAAAATTCTCCCATCGTGGTAAAACCAACTGTTTGAGCTTTCTGAGCATGAGCTCTTTCTTGATAATCCAAGTTTGAAGCATAAAAGTCTATTTGAAGTGAAAGAAATCGATCTTCAAAGCCAAATAAACTTGAAAAACTTTCAAAAAAAAAAACCTAAAAAGTCTACAAAATGTTCTCATTGGGGAAAAACTGACTGTTATAACTTTCTGACCATGATTCCTTCCATAAAATAAATTGAAGGAGGCACTCAGCGCTGGCCTCGGTACACCGGAAAGTCGTTGGCGATGGAGTTGGTCCTGACTGGAAACAAAGTCTCCGCCCAAGAAGCCAAGGATGCCGGTCTCGTCAGCAAAGTCTTCCCAGCTGACAAGGTGGGTTAAATCTGAATCAATGAAATTATTCGAAAAAATAAAATATAACACGAGGAAGAAACCCCTGAATTGAAGAGACGCCAGAGAAGTAGAGGTCTCTTTTTCTCTGGCCTCTCTTCGACTCGCTTTTTTTCTTTTCAGTGAATTTTTTCACTGACTCTCTCTGAACAGCTCACCGAGTATTTGAAAAAAAGTTCAGAGGATTCCAAAGTATAAAAAAAGCACCTGCCCCTTAGGAAAATTAGCAAACCAAGAGCCTTGCTTTTTCAGTTCTTTCGGCCAATTCGGAGACTTGATTTTTTGATTTTCTCTAATTTTAGCTTGTTGGTGAGGCCGTCAAGCTCGGAGAGAAGATCGCCGAGCAATCGCCGCTGATCGTGCAACTCGCGAAAGAAGCCGTCAACAAAGCCTACGAGACGACTTTGGCTGAAGGCGTCCATCTCGAACGACGCCTCTTCCACGCCACTTTTGCCACCAAAGACCGAAAGGTTCTTTTTCCACTTTCTCAGTCCTTCTGATCATTTTGAAATTTTCAGGAGGGCATGAGCGCGTTTGCGGAGAAGCGCAAGCCGACCTGGACTTCTTCGTAATAGGAATATAATTCAAACTACATTTTGATTGTTTTTTCATGTCTATAATTAGTTTCTTGAAGTCGTGCCTTTGTGATAATACTTGTTCATAAATCTTTTTGAAACCGAGTTTTGAAATTTTGAAGTGATAGCGGATGTATCGCTGTGATTTTTGTCGAAATTTCAAGGTGCAAAAATCGAAAAAAAGGTTCTCAACAGGAATGTTGGTGGTCGGTCTGAGCGGCGGCGTGGCAACCGGAAAAAGTACGGTAAGCGCTGTTTTCCGGCAAAACGGCATTCCGGTCATTGACGCCGATTTGGTGGCTCGACAAGGTTATTTTTCACACTTGCATAACCGAATTTCAGTTTGAATTGAGATTTTTAGATTCTCGAGAAACAGTCATCTCTGTGAGGAATTTTTTGAACTTACTTTTACCCCCAAGTTTTCATCCAAAAGTTTGAGTTTCAGCTAAAAATTCAAATTCCGATATCAAGTTTTTGTTTTAAAAAAGGAAAAAATATGTTTTAAACGGATTCCTATGATTTCAGGTACTCCTAAGCCCTTACGGTTCTCAAAAAAACTGGAAACTTTATTGATTTTCTGAATTCAAAGCACCTTTTCAAAGGTATTAAACATAAAGCTCAAAAGAAAGAAGTTTCAAACTAATATAAGATTCATGAAACAAAAAAATGTTTGGAGTTCGGGTTTAAAATGAGCGATTTCATGACAGACTCGCGAAATCCATTTTTATTTTGGACTACAGTCTGTTTCGATTTTGAGGGTGAAATTCTTAGCTCAAGCTCCGCCCCTAATTTCCTGATAAACCAATCAGAGAGCGAGCCATACACAGAGCGTTTTCAAATGACGTCATTGTACTTGACATTCAAAATATAAACAGACCATATCAAGACAATTAAAAAAAACTGTCTCTTATCAAAAAAGAGAAGATACAATATTTTCTCTCTAAAGGAACCTTAAAAAAGTTCGGCTTTCTCATGTTTTAATTTCCAGTCGTACAACCTGGTCATCCAACGTATGTCAAGCTGCGGGCGGCCTTTGGCGAGGAATTCTTCGACGATGCCAGCGGCGGCGTTTTGCGCAGGGAGAAGCTCGGAAAGGCGGTCTTCACCGACTTGGAGATGCGGAAGAAGTTGAACGCGATCACGCATCCCTCGATCCGCTACGAGATGCTCAAACAGCTTCTTTATCACCTGTTCACTGGCACCAGGTTGGGTTATGTTGTAAGAAAAGAAAGGGAGGCCTGAGACATATGAAAATGTGTAAAATGATCTTTCTTCTTTTTCCTGTAGGGTCTGAAATGGTCGGAAAAACTTCAAATTCAATAATTCAGATCTTTTCCTTCAAGTCCTTATTTAAAAACAGAAATATGACTCACAAAGTGTATTTAAAGGTACATCGTCTTCGACACACCTCTTCTTTTCGAAGTTGGATACGACAAATGGATCCGCACGACTATTGTTGTTTGGTGGTTGGTTTATCTCCTATTAAAAAAATAATCATAAAAAAAGTTTTTGGATTAGAAAGACTTTCAACTAACTCCCAAGCTGCTCAGTATTTTATTTGGTTTTTTTCATTTACTCCTTATTTTTCTAAGAAACCTTTTTTTTATTTTTCAATCATCCTTGAGTATGGTTCGTTTTCCGTAACTCAAAAGGGCGGGATTTCTCGGCGCCCTCTCGTCTTTAAGTACTATTTTCCTGTTTCTCCGGCGTCCCTGAAGAGGGAACAGAGAGACGCAGACACTCTAAAATCCCATAGTCGCGGAGATTTGGAGAAGTCTCTTCTTGCAGCGAAGAAGAAATCGAACTGAAAAGAATGATGACTCGGGACGGATTCTCGCGAGAAGATGCCCTGACTCGAATCGCAGCTCAAATGAGCATCGGTTTGTTTATTTATTTATTTTTTCTTTCTGATCGTGGATAACGGTAAAGATAAAGTCAGTGGTTTCGCTGCGGGGATAGAACTTGTGACCCTTTTTACCTTAGACAGGCAGACAACCTGTTGCCCTACGGTGCGCCGCTCCTCAAAAAGTATCATAATTATTAAATATCACTCAAACCGAGAGTAGAAGTCAAATTCAGTGAATTAAAAACTCACTGTAATAAGATTTTTCTGCACAGTACGAATCTTCGGGAATTTTCTGAAAATTGCAGATAATAAAGTTTATTTTAAAAGAAAAATAGTATTTTATTTGAACTGCTGGAAAAGTTTTTCTTCTTTTTCATTCATCGAGCGTTCAGAGGAGAAGAAAAAAAGCGGGCCAAGATCCTCATTGACAACAATGGAACGCGGGACGAATTATTGATCCAGGTGATACTTAATTGATGGACGAGTTGAAAAGCTGAAACCAGGTAGAAGAGGTGATCCGGAAGCTGAATTCCTCGTGGTCGCCCATCCTGGTTCGCGTCGTCATCGCCGTCCTCTTCGGCCTTCTTTCTTCCTGGATCATCGGCTTCTTCCGATAATTCTATTGACCCCAGTAAGCTTCTTTTTTCGTTCAATGCAAGTGAATAACAAGAACACAAGACTCGAAAAGCTGGTTCCGAAAAGAATTTAACTTTAAACTTGGAAAAAAAAAACCATTTCTCGATATCTCCCTCGTTTTGGGGCATGCTGGAAAAAGCGATCAAATCTTAGAGTCTTTGGTTTTTGATATGTCTAAAGTTTTTTTAGTTCAAAAACCTTTTTTTCCCTCAGAAGTATACTTGAAATTGTCAAAAAAATCAAATACTGGCGGTACAGAAATTGATGATTTGTTTTTTTGACTAATTTTCAGGCCAAACTTTTTTATTCGACCTGCAAGGGAATCATTTTAATGTACAAAATAGATTCCAATCACACTTGAGAGCACTTTTTGATGAAAAATCAGAGGAAAAAAAGAAAATCTTCGAAAATATTATGACCTTTTTCGGAAAAGAAACAGACTTGAAATTCATTTTATAAAGGAATGTGTACTTTTCAATCGTAATGATCTTGATACTCCTTTTTTGAACATTGAAAAGCTCAAAAATACCCATTAAAAAAATACCTCAGAACCCTCAGACTTCTTCAGCATTTTTGGATGTATTTTTTTCTAATACTCCGATTTTGCAGCGACCGTCGCTTCATAAACAAATATGACGGTTGAAACAACATTCCAAATTACGCAAGCAACTGTATAAATACTGTCTCAGATTTTATCATCTATTCGAATTCAACCTGGAAATCATAATTGACTACTACACTTGGTTAGTTTTGAAGCAGCTTTCAATAAGTTCAAGCAACATATGTAGTGTGAAATTCAATCATAACTCACATATCAAAATGCGCCATGTGATGAAATTTATATTTTCCTTTTCTCGAAATTCGTTACTTACTTCACTGTGATTCCGTTTTACACAAAGTATATATTTGGTGACAAAATAAAAACTCTTTTTTTACTCTTGATTTTTTTGCTTTTGGAAGAATTCACAACTGAAGGACGTTTATCGCTTTGATGAGCATAACGCGACGAACACAAGAAAATGATCCTCTCTAACTGAGTTTCACAACAAAAAATCAGCGGGATAAAAAAAATAAAAAGTGAATTTCCCGCACAAAAAGAAGGTCCCATCTTTCATACAATATATAATAAGATTTATGCGGTTAGTTTGAAAAATTGTCGTTTGCCGCGGATTTCGGGTCACTTGTAGTAGTCGAAAACCGACGATCTCTGCAATTTTTATATGTTTTGCATGTTTTTTCAGTAATTTATTCGATTACTGTTCTCTCTTAACACCTTTTTTTCAAGAAGCTTGACTTCAAAAAATGGCCTATTTTTTCTGGAAGGCTTTTGTGAACTTTTAAAAAAACTTTCAAGCTTCTACAAGCAAATTATAAGTTTAGGACATGTTCAAAAAATTTTACTGACGTTTTTTAAGAAAAGAAGTTATTATTGATCAAAATAACACAGAAAACGGTTTTTCGCTTCAGGACCTTTTCATAAATTTACCCCATGCCCCTCTGAAAACCCCAATCAGCTTTTATGAACGCAGTAGATTTCTACAGAAAAATCACGAGATTTCATGACGCAATAGCATTAAAGAAACTCCATCCTTTTCCTCCATTTTTTCGTGTTTTTTGCAAGTACGCAAGCGAGCGGATTTGTATCGCATTTCACTGCAAACTAATCAAGGGTTTTTGAACGAAATAGGCGACCAGATGCGCTCAAACGAACTTTTTTTTGGGAGGTCTCGAAAATAAGAGCCAGTGAGGACTGATTTCGAAACTGTAGTTCATTCATAGCTTTGAAGGTGTTTTTTACACGATTTGAGAAGGGGGTGTAGATTTATTTTCAGTAATTTTTCCCAACCTAATGAAGTGTATTGAACTTCCCAAAACTCGAAGAATATAATTTTTCGATCTCAAAAATCACCTTGACAAAGTTAGGTTCAGCTAGAGCGGCGTGCCAGTTTCTGCTGAAGAATCCAGGACGGAAGCCTCCTCGGCCTGAGACGAGGCTTCCGCCTGTCGGCCCCATCTGGCTCCATTTTGCGCTCCTTCGGAAGTATTCACCTAAAAAAATATATTCATTATCAGAATGATTTTTTAAAGTTCTAGAAGCTGCTAGAGACTATGGATGACGAATAGGAGACCTTTGGACTTTATTTGTAACAAAAAAGTATTGCTCCTTCGTTTCAAAATTAGGAAATCGCTTGGCATTAGAGTGTGCCTTTTGAATGAGACTACGGGCGGTAGATGACGTTTTTTTTTCTCCAATTTCGAATTTCCGAGGCCCAAGAACCGAGGAAGTGAGTAGAAAAAGTTGTGAATTCACAAATTTGAATTTTTTTTTTCTCCGAGAAGAAAAGCTGGATTTTTTTCAGCTCTGAGCCGCCGTTACTTTTTTCACAGACCTTCGCTGCAATTCTCGAGCTCATGGTCAGGTTGGAAATCAGCGTAAAAAATTACATCTGACGATCTCAGTAGTTTTAAGATGCTTTGGGCTTGATCATTAAAAAACCCTTTTCAGTTTTTTTTTTCAGTCGTTTTTCATAATAGATGAAAGACGCAGTATCCTCGTTGTGCGTCACGAAATCGAGACCTTTCTCCGAGTTGAAAAGAAAACGCAAATTCAAATCACATGCTCGACTTGGCCCCGAGGCTTATTCGTACATGCAACACCACACAGCGAAAGTTCCTTTCCGCACACGGCTCATTTCATTTCGAGTCGTTTGATTTGGTGACCGAGAAAGACCCAAAATCCAGTTAGAGGTGTCAGATTTCCAATTTTGGGGCAGTTCAAATCGGGTTTTCGCAATTTGCGGTGATATTTTACATCAGATTCAAGAATGACGTTAGAAATGATCCTACTGGAATCATGACCCGCGTCCAAATTCGCGAAAAAAAAAAATGAAACAAGGTTTTTCTTACATCATTTACTTTGGTTTGTTTGGAAATCTAAAAGCGTCGCGGTCGCGTTGCGGTTGGAGGGGAGGGTATAACTGTCTTTACAGAGCTTCTTCTAATGCTTCGCGATGGAAAATCGCGCAACTCCCTCAAGATCGGACGCGTTTCGTAGCAAATTAGAACCATTTCAAGTGCAACCAAACTGTTCAAGCCACTCGGACCTTGGTTCTGTGAACGGGTCGAGAATTGTACGTTTCGGCGCCGTTTTAGTGACCACTTTAGTGACGTCAGCGCCTTTAAGTGGTCACTGAAATTGCTCTGACACGTCCGGTTCGCGTTACCAATGCCCGAGCCATGGCGAATGAAATATGAAGAAAAATTACCGTCATCAGGCCATGCCAGAGCGCAGACTGCGAGTACTACGGCGACGATTAAGCTCAGAAAATTCATCTTCCACTTCGACAAAACAGCCGAAGTTTTACCTTCAAATTCGATATTTATAGAAAGAAATGAAAAGGTGAATAGTAGTGAAAATGTATATCAGGTGGTTTTTTTTTTTGAAAAATAAACTTTGAAGATTGTGACGAAAAAGTCTGGAGGAAGTTAGGATAGGAAAAATATTTGACGTCTTCGAAGGAGAAAATTTGAAAAAAATTGTAGAAAAAAATTTTTGTAAGGAAAGGGGGACAAAGAAGGAATATTTGAATTTTGAAAAATAGTTTTTATTTCATCCTTTTTTTCAGCCAATTTTTCATTTTTTACTTGGGATGAAGCGCCTATTTCCAGCTTTTCAGAACTTCATTGTCTCTTCTCCTACTAAATAGTTTAAGAATGAATATAAATTGAACTGTCTGACTAGTCTGTGCCCTCGTGATCTCTCACCGATGGACGCAGATAGGTCAGAAAATTTGAGGGTGATAAACAAGAAAGTGAAATAGTTTATCAAAAAAATCAAAGCACAAATATTAGCTACAATTATTTAGATTATAGGCAGATTCAAAAGAACAAAATATCTGGATTAACATGAGAGAAAGACAAAAAAGGCGACGGATGAACGGAAAAGGGCGGTATATCTCGAAATTCGAAACCACAATCTTTTTTGTTTCAAATTCAATAAAAAAGAACAAAGAAAGAAATTGGAGACGAATGAAATCGACCAAAGTTTGTCATGCAAAATGAAATGGATAACCATTGAGCTGAACACTTTTAAAGGGTTTCGAGTTGGGGTCGGATCTAAATAGGATGTGGGCGGAGCCTGTGGAGCTCTTGCGGTTTGAAAATTTCAAGTAGAGTTGGTACTGGTCCGTGGGCGGTTCTCTTAGAGTAGAATTTCGAAATATTTGTTTATTTTCTGTGTTGCAAGCTTTAAGAATGAAGGGGAGAGTGTATCACTTTACATTTTTACAGTTTATTTGTTAATATAAAAGATATTGGTCACCTGTACTCAGCAGTAGGTGTAACGGCTGCAAAATGATTGTTTAAAAGGTGCATCGGACTTGAAACGACTTACGCACTGTTGCAATGATATAAGAAATCTTCTTTCGGTCTCAACGCGGCGCGACTGCAACGCTTCAGCCATTCCCTTTACGACGAAAAAAGGGAGAAAATCTTGAAGTTATTTTTATTTTTTATACCTTCTTTCACAAGTTCAGAACACATTTAAAAAACGTACTTCATTGAAAAAAAATTGAATGTTGCGAAATTTCGATCAGAATTGGCCTGAGCACAATTTTCTCTAGTGCTTCCTCCTTTGGACACAAGTACCATTGAAAAATATCGCATTTCAAATCAACTTGACCACTTCAAATTGGAACATAACGTATGTTTCAACCTTGCAAAAAATGAAAACGAGCATGACTTTTGAACTCAAATAAACGGCTGCAAAAGTGTTCTTCTTGTTCATTTTGGTTCTCTGATTTAGTTATTTCGAGCTGATATCATTTTTAGTAGGTTTACACGGAACATTTTTTGTTTATTAAAAAAGTTTTTCTAAAAATTTCAAAGTTAGGAGCTCGACATCATTTTTTTCTACAACTGAAGTTAGCCTATTTTAAAACTTTTTTTTTGTATGATTTAGTTTTCGGATACTTTTGAAAAAAATCATCTGGAAGTCAGAATAATCCGAAGCATTTGGAACAATGGCCCAACTTGATGAGACTGGAACTTTTTTGGGCCTCGGCCAAAGAAAGGAAGCTGGAGTAGACGTATTTACGGTGCAGCTGCAACGGAAGTAATTCAAATCGAATTTTCGCTAACGACGTCTGGAAAGCTCATAAAGTGTGATCATCGTGACGTCATGGGAAATGAGGTGTTCCAAAAAAAGACTTTGAACCGACAAAAGAAGGCGTGCGCCACGCGGAATAAATCATTTTTCAGCAAGCTTTTATTTTTCACAGACGGCGGGGGTGGCGAATTCTCGAGGGGAACCAAACACCTTGAACAAATCGGATTGAACAAGACTTCAGATTTGTTATGGAGGAGAGTTGAAACTAAACGATTATGAGTCTTGCTTTCCTGGCCGCTTGAGCAGCAACAAATTTTGGGGTTATACATATCAGCTTGTAGAACTTTTCATTGCGATTTTTACGGTATGCTTAAAAAACGCAGAGAAATCTGTACTAACAACGGAAAATAAACTCAAAATTGTAAGGAAAACATCAAATAACTCACGCGAAATTTGCGACTGCAGCAAAGCTGCTCCATTGGACGTCACCATCAAAACTTTTTTATTTTTTTTTGCAAATATTTTCTTTTTTCTTTCTACTTTTCAATTGTGTCTATTGATATTATGTGGTTGAAGAATTTCTCTTGATAGCTCTTGTAGACTGTTTTCATTATTTTTTTATGAAAAATGCAAAAAAAGAAAAAAATCCCAGAAAAAAATTCCTTAACAAATTTTTTTTATTTTTTTGTTTTTCCAAATTTCATTCTGTACTAAAATTTAAAGATTTTATTTTTAGTTTGAGGGTTTTTTTCTGGCTTTCTATTGGTCACTAAAAAGTGTGTTAAGGGATCGATCAAGATCTTTTAAAAATAATCATAACTTCAAATTAAAGAAGAGTTTTTTTATGAACGCCTAGTAAAAGTCCTTTTTTTTGACCTCGTTTATCAAAAAAAGCAAAAATTTTATTTCATCTTGTTGTTTTGAAATTTTAGGCTTATTCCTGCGAAATAACAACTTTTTTTAAACGGTTTTTTACAGTAAATTGTTATGGTCCCTAGAAGTTTTTGACTCTATCTTTCTTTTCTTTGAAAAAAATGGACGCCTTTTTTACATTTCGAATGAATCACTTCCTTTTCGCTGATTTTTGCTTTTTTTTTGTATTTCTCCTCACACGCTTCGTGATTCTTTATACTCGTAGGCTCAAAATATTCAGGAATATCTTCTCGGAATCGTGGATTTGTGTCGTTCAACGTGGATCTGCTTCGTCAAAGTGCCATGTAAACCGCCATAGTTGATGTTGATCAGTTTTTCGAGGTAATGATCGTCGACCTCGCCCATTGTCTTGAATGAATTGAATAAAGTTCAGAAAGGGTCAGATGAAGAGGGAAAATTACCACGATGCCGTGCTGGAGCTGGAGAAGGTCTTGCAGTCGGGATAGAACCAGTTCATGTCGTTGTGATTCTTGTAAGGTCGGATAGTTTTGCTCCACGTACTCCTTGACCAAGTTCGCAAGCGCGTAGCGGTACTTATTGCAGACTTTGTTCGCCATTTCGATTCCTCCATCGGAAAGGCCAATAAACTGTGCTGAAATATTCTTGAAATCCATAAAAACGTTCAAATAATAACAGGTTGGCTGTAACGTTTATAAAATTCAGGTTCATGTGATTTTTTTTTTTGCGAAAAAGAGCTTTGGAAAAGATCTAATAAGTTCAATTTTTAAAAAAACTTATCGTGAAAGATTCAAAGCTTTCCAAGTTTTTGAAGTTTATTCGTTCTAAAAATTGACCCAACACACTGTCTACTCATTATTAGTTTAAGCTTATGAAAAATTACGAAAAATTAAAGATTTGCCTTAAAGATTCAAAAAAGTCCTGATTAGTCAAATAATTTTTTTCTGTTGAAGTGAACCCAAAATATAAGCAAACTCACAAGTATTGAAAAATGTGATGACTTTGAGTAGGACGTACTCTTCATGGGTAATTCTGAGCTTTCTCATCACTGGAAGAATCGCTTCGCCCATTACTGAAGTTATCGCTCCGGCAAAGGTCTTGATTCTGAAATAGAAAGTTTGAGATGTTTGAAAATCAGATCATATTTTTGATCCAATAATTCTGATAGGAATTTACAGATGTAACTTTATTCGGAAAGTGTGAGCCTTCTGAAATTTTGCTTTAAGACTCATTCATTCATCAGATGGAAATAAAAGTAAAAATTTCTGGTTTTTGAGAAAAGAGGCTTCAAAAAAGAACATTTTGGTGAAAATTGGAGTATTAGATGCAAAACTCGGCTGGTTCAAGTCTTCGCAACATTCTTCGAAAAAAATAATTTCCGGGCTGGCCTAGGCTTCCCAAGCTGACGGAAAAGCCTGCTTGAAACGCATAATTTACAATTTGCAATCAAAGCGGTTACAATGCGTTTTTAGGAGAAATTCTAATACCGGATAGATCAGAGAAAGTATTTTAACAGTACAAGAAACCTACAGTCCAGTAGGGCACAGGGCCGGATCGAAGTAAATGCCGCCACCAAAGTCAAGAACGCCGTCGACGCCTCCGAGGTAAGTGAAGTAGGAGACGACAAAACAGAGAATTCTGCAGAGTTGTCCGGTACACAAGAACACCTGAACTTGATAGATGATAATTCTGAGGACTGTGATATGAAACGTAACCTTGTCTTCCTCGAGAAAAGATCTTATTTCTCCAATGCCGGTGAGCCATTCAAAGTAGTAGGCCACAAGTCGGCACCACATTCTTTTTATCGTCCCTTCGCAAATTTGCTTCTCCATTTTCTCGGCTAACTGAAAAAAAATTACCTCAAAATTTGAATCGTAATCAAGCCTTTTCTATGAATTTTAAACTGAAAGTCGATTAAATAGAATAATTTATCTGTTAGAAAGGCTTTAGCAAAACCGTGAAAGACGATTTTTTTTTTCGAGTATTTCTTTTAATCGACTTTTCTAAAAAAGTTATTCTGATCAAGTTTCTCATCGGAAGAGAGATGCTTGCACAGTAAAAAAAGCGAATTTCAACCCGAATTTTCAAAAAAAAAAATAGCCGAAACTCATTTCCTAACAAGTCTATACGCTAAGAAAAAGATCAAGTTACCTCTAATTTTTTTCAGAAAATTCGAAAAAAATAACTGACAAACTATTAGAATTTGAATAATATTAAACGAAAAACGAAGAAACTACATTTAATTTTTTTCCAAACTGTTTTTTTAACTTTAAATTATTATGAATCGATCTGTGTGTGAGCGAAATAAAAATTTCAATATATAAAAAGCTAACCGCATAGCGCTGCGAAATTCTGGTTGGGTAGTGAAAAGCCTGAAAAAGGTCGACGTCGATGTCAGAGTTCGGCTTCATTAATATACGCTCATGACCAGTGCAATAACTGTAAACATAGAGTTCAAGGCTTCTAGATGCACCTCCATTCTTGAAAACCTAGGGTGCGTTAAAAGCTGATTTTGGGCGCGCAGCGAAACAGTTTTTCTGATTCCTCAGACCGCGGTAATGCAAACCGGACGCGCCCCGGACGTTTCTAGGTAAAAATGTAGCGGCTTCAGCGCTCATACACGTTAAGTGATTACTTGAAATGCTCAAAAGAAACCGTCCGATTCGCTTTACCGAGGTCTGAGTCAACAGCCGAAATGCATCGGTTTCCCCCAGGGTGATTGGACGGCTACGCCTTTTGGCAAAAGTCCAATTTTTTTCAAGTGGCCATCTAGCCAAAAAACCGACAACGTGGCATTACAGTAAAAATAGAAACTTCACTGTGAATTTATCAAATTTTCGAGGTACAGTTGAAGGAGTCAGGAGCTTATTGTTTTTTTCGCTCCAAAATACTGCGTTAGTGGTAGCCATGATCCTTTTAATTTAAACAGAAGTTTTTGAAGGGAAAAAGAGTACTGTGTTCTAAAAAAGGTGTCAAGCTTGAAATGAATTGACGATAAAGAAAAGCAAAAAAAAAACTTTTCCAGGTGAAGAAAACGGCCGAGTAGGTTTTTGGGATCTTCGGAAGGGAAGAGAAGGTCCAGGAATATTCCAAACTGCTTTGAAGGCTAGAAAAAGTTTTGTTTTTTTCCTTATAAAAAGAAACAATTACAAAGCGAATGCAGTTCTGAGCGGCAACGGCGAGTTCCAGGGCAGGTTTGCTGGAGACGCTCGGGATCTCTTCTTCGATTTCGTCTTCCGAACACGACATTTCACTGAATTGAGCTCAAAGATTTATAGAAAAATGTGCAGGGGAAACGATAAAGAATTCCTGGTTTTTTCACTGTTTTTGAAGGAGTCAGGACATCAGAGATGAATCGATATATTAGGAAATTTAATAAAGTTGAAGATGAATTTTCAGCGTAAGAAGTCATTTTCCAGTTGCATATTTCTCTTTTTCGTTTTAATATAGCCGTGTAAGAACTATAATTGACATGCAGTCTATTTAAAAATCAACCTTTTCAACTAACTTTTTTTTGAACATTAACTTCACTTGATAAAAATTTCCAGGTTGATTCAGGCTCGTAATTGTTACTTAGCTCACGTTCTTCGAAGAAGATCTTCACAGAAAAAAAAAACATTCAATTGTTGACTGCGACTTTGAGAAGCCATAAACGAGATTTTTTTTTTCTTCTTTCAGTGAGAAAAACAGTTGGAAAATAAGTGAGGCGAATTATCAATTAATCTTTCAAATACAATTTATGAGGTTTATTTTTTATTACCAGTTGAAAAATATGTTCTGAAGGAATCTAATTTTTTTGTGATTCATCGCGTTCTTCAGGCATTAATTAAGAATCAATGAATTTTCGCAAAAAATAAGTGAGAAATTGAGTGGAATTGAATAAGAAAAAAAGCGCATTACAGTAATTTTTCAGTGGAATTTTGCCTCTTTTCATGATATTATAGCCGTGAATGTAGTATAGTTGCCCTAGAGAGTTTCAGAGAATCATTTTTAAAAGAAAATGGGCAGTAAGAAACGTGAATATGGTATGAATTTATTCAGTCTTCAGAGTAAGATGGAGAAAATGAATAGGGTATTGAAATTGTGAGCCGAAGGCGGGGCAAAGAAGACGCTTTCAAACTTCTTTTATCAAGCTTTATAGCCCCGAAGAACGTATAGCAACCACCTACGCCATGGGAAGACAGGAAAGGTAAGAGCTTGGAGTGTGAGTAAAATTGCGGACGGCCAAGCTTAAATCTGTTATCAGGCCTCTCGCAATCCGCGCTCCTCGCTGCCAGGGGCGACTCTGACGCCTGCCGCGCGGGTGGGAACATTTCGCGTTTTCCTGAAAATCGGCGAAACAAATCGCGTTCCTTTCGGGAATGCGTGTCGTACCCGCGGCCGCAGTGCGTATCAACTTGGGCAAAGTCCCCGAGGCCTTTCGAGAGACCCACGTAAGGTCCTCCACCACTTGTTGATGGTCTCCCGATTCCTTCTCCTGGTGATTCGTTATCACGAGATCCGAAAAGGCTTGAAACCTTCTGAATGACGCGTTCGGAAAGATTTTTGAGCACTGAAATTGTATCATGTAGAGTGTTCACTAGAGGGTACTAAACAGCTCTTCAACAAAAGACGCCTTTTTTCGATTTCGTCGAGATCTCATTTTTTTTTTCCTGATAAAGCTTATAAAAAAACATTTTCCCACCTTTTTTTGGTCTTTAATTTTTATCATTTTTCGAGAACGAAATCCAATTTTTTTTTTGAAAAAGAATATCTGAAACTCTCACGCTATATGTATCCGAGTGAAATAGAAATTTGAAAAATTCAAAAGACAAAAAAATATGAATGAAACTACGAAATAAGAAAAAAATTTTTTTCTCACTTGTAGATTTTTTTCGGGATTTTTTTTTCTCAATTTTTGATACTTTTCCTACTTTGAAAAAAATTTTTCAAACGGTGAAATTCGAACTCAAAATGCAATCTAATAAAAAAATAAAAAAATAGAAAAAAATTCATTAAAAAAACATAAAAACAAATCGGCAAGACTAACGTGTAACACAGTTTCAACTAGGAAGTTAGATGATTAGATAAGTGAAAAATATTGAAACAGGAATGCAAATAACAACAAAAAAAAATTCATTCGTTGCATTTGGCAAAACGATTGAGGCACAAACAGAGCTGAGCGAGTTGAAAAATGAGAAATACGTAATTTTTGAGAAAAAGGGTCACCGAATCCAAAATAGGGTCCCTTGTTTCGAAGAAGCAGATAATACTAGCGAACCTGTTTCCCTAAAAGTCAACAAAAAAGATAGAAATGCAATATAATTGAGTAATTCAAACAGAAATGGATCCTTCACGGAAATCCGTTTTGCCAATGAGAACATTGATGAGAGCCGACTGTTTCTCGCGACTTTTCTCCAAGGCCTCGTGCATAATTTCCTTGATTTGCGACGAGTTTTCGGCCTCGATTGTACTTCCCCAAGCTCCGAGAGCCTTGGCCACGTTGTCGTACCGCGTTCTCTGAAAATCGAGTTTTTGACCTCAAGTTTTATTAGAAAAAACAAAACATTTTTTCATCATGACAAGTCTACGTCTACAACCAATTACTCATCGCTTTTTTTATAAATTCGAATCAAACGTTTTCTTTATCAGAAACGAGCATTCTAACGATTTCTATTAAGATTTCAGTGAAGCGGCAATACAGTACCGCTCAAAAAGTCTATTAAGTTTTGGTTTTTTTGGGGATATCTCAGCGAGTACTTATCCGATTTATATATAACTTTCAGGGATAATGTAAAAATATACTTTGAAACGTATACGGTATACAAAGACATGTCCGCAATGACTGTGACGCGTTTTAGGCATTTTTTATTGAATTCCATTTTTTTTGGTTTTTTATGCTTTTATTTTTTTATTTATTTTTTTATTAAATTTTTTAAAATTAATAATGTCGCCATATGATTTTTTTCATGTTTTCAGACATGGGAAGAATCTCTGGAAAAAAGAATTTGACTGATAACGACAAAAGAGCCATCGTTGTGGGTCGTCAAAATGGACTGACCATGATGACGTTGGCAGGAATGTTCGGCGTGACAGAGGCGTGCATTTCTCAGTCCCTAAAGCGTTGGAAAGCTCAAGATGGCTCTACTAAGAGCCAACGCACTAGAAGACCACGTGTCACTGATCGTAATGACGATAGGAACATTTTGAAGACGTCTAGAACCAATCCAAGACTCACCGCCCCTGCGATCAGACGGGAAGTTTTCTTGAATTCGCCATCTCCGCCATCCGTCTCGACCGTGAAACGACGTCTGAATGCTGCTGGAATCATGGGAAGACGTCCAGTGAAAAAACCGCTGATTTCTGAAAAGAATCGAGCCGCCAGGGTGAAGTGGGCGAAGGAGCATCACAACTGGACCCGTCAAGACTGGAACAAGATTCTGTGGTCCGACGAAAGCAAGTTCCTCCTCTTCGGGAGTGACGGAATTCAGTGGGTTCGTAGACCAATTGGGTCCCGATATCATCCGAAATACCAATTACCCACCGTGAAACATGGTGGAGGTTCCTGCATGGTGTGGGGCGCCTTCTCTGGAAGTGGCATCGGACCGCTTCATCGCGTGAACGGCATCATGGACAAGCACGTCTACAAAGACATTCTCCAGAACCAGATGTTGCCGCACTTGAGAGCCATGGGTCGTGGGAGTGTTTATCAACAGGATAACGATCCCAAGCACACTTCACTGTTCGTCAAGGGGAGAAAATTGACAAGTAATTCGTATGGTTTTGAAACTCAGGACTGGTTCAAGAGCCGTCGGGTCAATGTCATGGGGTGACCAAGTCAATCTCCGGACCTGAACCCGATCGAACATCTCTGGGAAGAGTTGGAGCGACGTTGTGCCAACAAAAGAGCCAAGAATTGCAACGAGAAGTTTGCTCAACTGCTGTCTGAATGGAATCAGATCCCCATGTCTACCATCGACACTTTGCTCAATTCTATGCAGAGAAGATGCCAGGCAGTGATTGACGCCAGGGGCTTCGCAACCAAGTACTAGGTCCCGAATATTGTTTTAACAATGTTTTGTGTTGATAAAAAAATTTTTTGTTGAGCTATGATTTTTTTAATTGAAAAATAGCAAAAAAATTCGATTTTTTTCGAAAAATTCGTTTTTTTCTCGAAAAAAATTATTATTCTTTGAGCTAGCAACTTGAAATTTTGCCAGAACACGTATGTCTCTCTCAGAAAAACTATGAAAAAAATTTGAATCGATATCGCACTTCAAAAAAATTTATCCCCAAAAAAACCAAAAACTTAATAGACTTTTGAGCGGTACTGTAAATGGTTAATTTCGAATTTTATTCTCTCTCGCCGTCTTTTTTTTTAGATTCGTTTCGATTATGAGCAATAATTATTAAGATGAGAAGAATACTTTTTTCACTATTTCACATAATTTTGGAAACTAGAAATAGAGGGGCGTTCTGAAGTTTTGTCAAGTGAAAAGGACTATAATCCCGAATGAAGTTTTGAACTTTTTTGAAAAGAATCCCGAATGAAGAATGAACACAGAAGTTCATATTTTCTTAATTTTAATCTCTCTACGGACCTATCTATAATAATTTAAAAAAAAACTGACAGCCAAATCGACGGCGACAGAACTGTTGAACATGGGGATCTGTTCTCGAGCGATCTGAGTCCAGCAGGCGTCGTTTCCGACGACTCCGATGACTGGAAGTCGATGGCGCGCAAATGTGTCGAATTCCATCAGGGAGTATCCGCAGGAGCCGTCGCCCCAGATGATGTAGACCGGTCGGTCTGGGTGAACAACCTGAAACTTCCAATTTGTAATGAAATTCGAAGGAAAATCATTTTCTAACTTCATGCCTATGAGGAAAAATGATTGAAATCGAGGAAATGAGAGAAAATTGAAAGAAGTAGGATCCTATCCCACAGTGATATGATTGTAAAAAGATTTTCGAGAAAAAAAAAGTCATCTTACAACTTGAAACTACTTTGAAAACGGCATTATTATCACTTTCCAAAAAAAAAAGTTCGTTGTAGCAACCTTGGCTCCGAGAGCAAAGCCGCCGCCAACTCCGAGGGTTCCGAAGGCTCCAGGATCCAGCCACTGGAGAGGTCCGCGGGGCCTGACGATGTACGCGGCTGAGCCGACGAAATCGCCGCCGTCCGCCACGAGAATCGCGTCATCGGGAAGAGTCTGAAAAATTGGAAGGCGTTTGAAAAAGTCGAAAGTAACATCAAAAATTCTCATTTTCTTGACAGGAAATCTCATCTTGTCTTTTTTTCTACCACAGTTTTTTTAGAGCATTTTTTTATTAAAAAAATTTATTTTGATGTCGTTTTATAGTAGACTGTGGATACTTTGAAAAAAAGTTCGAAAAAAATGGTTTTTCCTTTTCAAAAATACTTTTGTTTTACATACTTTTTTTTAAAAAAATTGAATTTTTGAATTTGAATTTTTCTTTTTTTCCTAATCTTCCTTCGCATTTTTTTCAAATTTCAACACTAGAAAGAAAAAAAGGATCTAAAAATATTTTCTTTTTTTGAGGTTTGGAAATTTACTGAGAGAAAAAGATACCTTATCAAACTTGGAGAGAAAACTGAGGGGATTCAAGTAGCCGTTGACGAGTTCTTCCGACATTTTCTTCTCGTTCGCCGCCTCTTTTTCGTTGTCTTTCTGTCGCAATTGAGTGATCCATTCTTCTGGCTTGTTGCGGCCCGACTGAAATATGTAAATGAGAAGATGAAAGCTGAAAAAAGCGTAGAGGATGGAAAAGCTCAGTAAAAATAGGTACTGAAGCAAGAATAAAAAAATAATAAAAAAACATTTTTTTCTACTTTAGAAAAATATTATAACCGTATCATGATTTCGAACTCTAAAAAAAGTCTTTTTTTTTCGAATATTCAACCTTTTACGGCGTCGTTTTCATACTCTATCATATGAACAAGAGAAAAAAGTCCTGCAAAAATTACAATTTCAAATTATTCGATCTACCCTTGGAGCAAACATTCATTCGCTAAATGCAAGCTCATTTTCTGTCCAGACTATTTTTCTTATGGGTCCTGTTCTGTCTCAAACCCGAGAAATCGCCACAAAACTCACGCCAACGCTAGAAGCGACATTGACGAGCGTCGTGGCGACGTCGGCCTGGACGGAGACGTCGGCATTCCAGAAGGCCTTCTCGTTCTTGGTCAGCTGCTGTCGGTTTCGGTTGATCGCCACGATCTTCGACTTCTTCGACAAGGTCCTTCCGTAGGAGAGTCGGAAGTCGGCGACGGTTCCTAAAGGGGAAAGCTCATTTTGATGCAAAACTTGTAAAAATATTACTCGAAAATTCTCTGAAGGTCTAAAAAAAACCGGTCATAGTAGCTACCTTTGAAAACTTTTAGTTTTGGGGATTTTCCAAGTTGTAAAATGATGGTTTTAGCACATATTCTGTGATGAATACGAATTTGAGAAAGCATATTTCAAAATAGATAATTTAGCAGCTAGCGACTATGATCCATTCTAATCTGACCCCTTAAGTGAAATTACAGCGAATTTTCAAAAAAAAAAATTTACACGAAAATAATATCCTTGTAAGAAAAAATTCCATAAATAAATCAATATTTTTCAGGTGATAAACAAGATATTTCAAAGACATATCCAACGATTTAGCATGCTCAAGAAAGAGAAAAGTGAAAAACCGGCAAGAATAGTGAGGTCAGCGTCCTTCAGGGCGTCACGACGAACGTGACGGAACTGCAAGGGATGATCCTTGCCCAGAAGCCCGCGGCACATTCCTCCAAGGAACACGGGAATGCCCAGGGACTGAATAAATTGTTCAGGTTTTTTTCGGAGTGTTTCTCAACCTCAACAGCCTTGGCGAGGTCTTCGCACTTGATTGGCGGCAAAGTTGCCTGACTTCCGAGAAGCAGAACGGGTCGCTTTGCTTGGCGAACCAGCTCCACGATTTTCATCACCTAAAGTTTCAATTATTGAACTTTTTGCGATCGTGAATGAATTCTTCAAACTTTATACGGTCATAACTTTTTTCCTCACCTCGGTAACGGTAATTTTAAAAGAAACTTGCAACTTTGAAAATTCAGAAAGATAGAAAAAATGATCAGAAAGGGTTCAAAAACATTTTTTTAAGTTTTTTAAGGAGCTTTTAGCGGAACCTTTCGGTTCCTCTTTGGCCCTCAGATGAAAATTTTCTAGCCGATTCCTTCGTTTGAGCAAAAAAAAACCAACATCTTCTGATTTTGGCATAGGAATCGAAGACGGAATCGGAGTGATATCCTGTGGGAACCAGGCGGAACCGAACTGACGAGAAACGTGGCAACGAAGGTAGTAATTCAGGGCTTTCTGAAAAATGATTATTTTTTCTTTATATTTTTTCTTCAATTTACCTGGATGAAACCTTTGGCGTTGGGATTGAACCCAATTTCTTTGACGACGAGTTCATAAGGATAAAGGACGTCGACTGGGAATTCCACAAAAACTGGTCCAGGGCAGCCGGACTTCGCCGCCTGGATTTAGTATAAGATAGAGATTTTGCGTGTTTTTTGAGACCTTGATGGCTTCCTTCAAAGTTGGAACGATATCGCGAAGGCGTTCGACGCGCGCCGCGTACTTGCAAAGCGGCTTGAAAAGGACCATTTGGTCAATATCCTGCAAAATTATAGGTTTTTTTTTGTGGGAAATCCAGAAATCTACTGCTGCTAACAAATTGCAACACTCGCCTTTGAATTTTTTCGTACTTGAAATGAAATAGTGAAACAGTAAAATTCTCTTTTATCATTCTTATTAAAAAGTGATTTCATTTTATATGCAGTTGGAATTTTCCGCTTAAAGTTTAAGTTTACCGAAAAAGTTGTGCTTATGATTTTAATTCTGAAAGGCTCTGGCAGCAAAACTCCCGAGTTTCCAAAAAAAAAATTGGAATCAAAAAAAGTTTTTTTCAGCTAAATAAGCCTTTTTGAGGATTTCAGCTTCAGTCTTAGAGGCAGCAAAATTTTTTTAAGCCAAAAAATTAAAAAAAATCTCGTTCTATTCACTAAATATTTTGGACTGTATTCCAGAAGTTCTCAGCCTCAAATAAACTTTAATTCAACTGAAAATCTAGAGAAGATATCGAAAATCTGAAAATTTCTTCCATACCAAAAAAAGTATCATCGGGTAACAAATTCCGTTGCACACAGAAGCCATGAAAAGACGTTTTTTACCTAGTAAATGAAAGGAAAAAACTATTTCAGTTTAAAAAATTCCTATGAAAATAGGAAAATCTTGAAAAATGGTGCACACGTTCTGAGGATATCTTCAAGTGAAGGCTTGACCGTCTTCTGGCCTCATTTACTAGAAAGTGCAAATTTTACAAGGGTCATCTACACGTCGATGTACAAACCTGGAGCGCTCCTCTGCCCTTGAGGAGAGTTGGAGCAGCTCCGCCAATGAGCAGAAGCGGGCTCTCAGCCATCTGGGCGTTCTTGACGGCCGTGATTGTGTTGGTGAGGCCGGGTCCGGCCGTCACGGCGGCCACTCCGATGGATTGACGGAGACGCGCCACGGCGTCTGCTGCGAAAACAGCGGTCACCTCAAGAAAAGAAGTTTTTAAAGACTCTGAGGCCGCATAAAGTAGAAAAAGGTTTTTCTTTCTCCTTTTTTTTTCAAAACTGATTCTAATATGAAATATGATATGCTTCAGACTTAACAACATGAACCACCAAAAATTTTCAAATCCTTTCTCGGCAAGTAATAATTACATGGAAATTATTCAATTTCCAATTAAGATTATGTTTTTTGTAGCTTTTTAATTTTGTAACCATCATTTTAACTTGATTCAACATGTATCAGAAAATCCTTGAGCGTTTTTCTGAACTTCTATTAACCGATAAAGTGCCTGGCATTTTGTAAGATACCTCATGACGAGTATCGAAAATCTTGATTCCGAGCTTCTCGGCAGCAACCAAAATCGGTGAAATGTGGCCGCCGCACAAAACGAAAATCTCTTGAACTCCATGCGACTGGAATCAAATTTTTTTAAAATTCAGATATCTTTATAAATTTTCTGACCTTCAAAACCGATGCGACGAGCTCTCCTCCATGTCTTTTTGACTTTTCATCAACCTAAATGAGTTTAGTTAGTATTCTGCATAGTTTTTACTACATAAAAAGAGCCAAAAAAAAACATTTAAAAAATCTGATTACCTGGAACAAATTAGAGATGATATGTTGTCCGTTGCCGCTGAGGACAGATTTAACAGAACCTTGAACTTCCTCCAATGAACGATAATCAAGCCATTTCCAGAAAAGCAGCACCACTACGGCGATGAAAAATATTAGGAAGAGCATGTCTTCCGATTACCCTAAAAACCTTTTTCATAGCTTAATTTAATACTTTTTTGCAAGAATTGTTGAGGGAAAAACATCAACAAATCAAAAAAAAAAACTATTCTAAGAAACTTAAACTTTCTGATAACTTTGAAAATGGAATTGGGGTCTTAAGTCTTCGAAAAAAAAAATTAGCGTATTTGTGAACAAAATGAACAGCGTTTTAAAAATAAGTTCTGCGCGACTAAAGATTGGTAGACCTACAATTCAAACCTCTTTTTCGCGATCAAACTTTTCAAAAAAGGTTTAACTTAGCATAAGAGCAATAAAACCTGATTAAACAATGAAAAAAAGGAAAAAAATTTATTTTTTTTGAATTTGGCGCGTGAAATATGATGCTTCTGACGAAATGCACAATATGCTCAATGAGACGCGCAAACATTTAAAATAGTTTTTTAATTTGAATTTCAATTAATTTTAAAATTAAAGGTGCGAAAATTTGAACGCGTTTAAATTATTCTTTTAGCAGCAAAAACTGTAGAGGCGAGATTTCACTGAAAGTTAGTTAGAAAAATTAAATTTAAATCCGCTGATCTCGATCACTTGGAATAGAAAAAAAACTTCCAAAATTCAGGGAAAAGAAATAACTTTGGTCTAACGAGCGAATATCGGGACAATGTGGCGGAGAGTCGCCACGAGCGCAAAATTTGATAGATAACCAGGTGAAAGGACTTGATAAACAGAGAGAATTTGAAAACGAAAGATGAACGTAGAGACATCGGTTTCGCCGCGTATCTCCTCCGATTTGAAGAGAAACTAGAGGCAGCCGGGTCGCACTTTGACCTTTTTATCAAGAAAAGTGAGGCAGAACTCACAAACGGCAGCCTGGGGCCAATCTTTCTGGGAGAAAAAAACGTGGTTCGATCTTTGGATGGAGCCATGTTGTGTAGCGAAAAAGACTACAGATAAAAATAAACTTTGATGTTAAAAAAATATTGATAACATAATAAAAAAATGTATAGTCTATTGTCTATTGCTGTGTTCAAAGAAACGCATAAAATCGAGACCGAAATTTTTTTAAAAGAATATTTTAGCTCATACAGGCTTTTTACGCCTTCAAAAAAAAAAAATAATAATAAACCGAAAGAAGTTTTTTTTTTCAATTTTTCTGTGCAATATGTATAGTCTCTCTTCCGGGAGCTCCCGCTAGTTTTCTGAAAAATCTGTCAAACTTTCAAGGATCAAAGTTTTTGCGGAAAATCCTCGAAAAATACAGTATTTCGCCGAAAAAAACCACTTACAGTAACGAATTAAAAATAGTGTAAGTTTAAACTCCCATGATTCCAGATTAAACTCGAAAAAAGCTTTTAAAAGGCGTTTCAAACCATTTTTCAGAATGTCAATGCCTTTCTGTTTGTGGAATGACTCTTTGCCGGCTGTTTGTCTGCGTCTCCGCGGCCTCGCACGTTCTCTCACCGATGGGAAGGGGAGTATAGCACGAACAAGGCAGCAAAAACACCGGGCGTCGTGGCGGGCGCCTGTAAGCCAGCTTCTAGGCGGTAGACCGGAGTGGATGGAGTGAGGGGAGGAGTCCTGCGAGAGTTGCTGGCGACGGCGACCGGGCGTCCGCGCCAAGCGCCGCGTCGCCAAGGGCCATCCGACGGAGGTTGGAAGGTCCTGGGCGTATAAGGAGAGGCGTACGGCTCAGGGCCGAAAGGCAGCAGGTAAAAGCTTCCGCGCGGTGCAGTGGCCGGACCGCGCCTGTGAGTCGTCACTCTCTCGCAGCCTCCCCGACACCTTCAGACCTTCGGTCGCCTTTTGCCATTTTCGGAATAGTTTTGGGAAAAGAAAGGTTACGTAGAAAGGTTATGTACAGTTGATCAACCTCACAATGAAAATGACAATGTTTAAATTCTTCACACTAACAGCAGAAATATGATTATTTTCAACATTTTTGAAGCATGGAGAAGTAAAAGGTTTAAGAAAATTTATGAACAAACAATAAATAAATTAACATACAGAACATCAATTAATTAACACACAAAACAGCAAAAAAAAAAGGAGAAAACTCTAGTTTTTATCCTCCTCAGAAAAAAACAAAAATTATTTCAAAGAAAATTCTTTCTTCATCAGCACTTCCTTTTGAAAAAAATAACTTTTGAAGATTCCGAATTCCTATATTTCCTGAGTTTTTTTTTTCACAAGAGAAATCACATATATTTCTATTTCCTTACCTTCTTGGAACTCCACTAGACTACCGTAGCGAAAAATTCAAAAGTTCGAATTTCCTATCTGAAAGCCTAATTTCCTTTCGCCGTTCCCGGTTGAAAAAGTCAACCAGGTGGCCAAAAAAGCAAATAGGAACTTTTTTTCAAACTTCCTGTCGGTAATAGAAACCTAGAACTCCTGAACAATGGAAACTATGCTCATTTCAAAAAGAACTCAGCAAAAAAAATTTTTGAGGAAAACTATTTTCTATTCCGAAATTCTGCATTTTCTCCAATTGCGGCAGAAAGAATTGCCGAAATTGCAGGTACTTAGGAGCGCCAGAGTAGTCCCTATAGGGTTTGGAGTCAGACTCCTGGGCCTAAAGTTTTGTGGTCCCTCTAGGGGCGCTTCTTCTCATGGCAATACAATAAAGTATAGCAATAAACAAAAAAATCTCCCCTAGAGTGGCCACTAACTAAAGATCTAAAGGGACTACTTTTGCAAGCTTATTGGTCTCTATAGTGGGAGGTAAACTGCTCACTAGAGGGGAATCTTCACGGGCCCTTAAGGTTGCCACTCTAGAGGCCACTAGGGCGTTCTTAAACACCCTTTGAACTTTTTGAAATTTGCAACTATCACTCGAACATTAGTAACGCAAAACGGAGGTGTTCTGGACGTTTCTGGGCAGTTCAAGGGATCACTTAAGAGCGCTCACTCTACTAAAAGTGGCCACTAGAAATACCCCAACACGTCCAATTTGCATCCGTTTCGCGTTAACAGTGTCCGAGCAGCATCAGCCAAATTTTTTTCTTCAAGGTCACAGTATACTGTATACACGATTAACACCTGTTTGAACATAGTACACGATAAAATGTATTTTGCGGTCTTTTCAAATCCTCGGGTCACGTCTCAAACACCTCCAGAACTATCGTTGCAAAGTCGAAAAACAGCAGTACGCCGAGGAGCGGCTTTTCTACGCAATTTTTAATCGCACAGATTTTCAAATCCCCAAAAATGGAAAAGCCCAACAAGCAGCTCAGAGCTCGTCGTCACGAAACAATCCCCGCCGAAAGTCTTTTCGGCTTTTCGGTCATCAAGCCGCTTTTTGGCGAAAGCTCTCGTTCCATTGATGTTGCGGCTGATAGCGGATGTGACCAAGATGAAGATAGAAACGTTGATTTTCAATGAAAGAAAGAGTAGTCATGATTGACTTGATTAGATATCACAATGAATTTATCGCCAGCTTATCAGAAAGGTTGACTTTTTCAAGTGTTTCTCAAGATAATGGTCCTGAAAGGAATCATACAGTAATCTGTGCATATTTGGCTGTCCTGAAATCACTCAAGAATTAATATGGTAAGTATGGCTTTCTTGGTCCATTAGCCACGTTTCGTCTTACGATTTCGGCTTTCCTAGGACCTTTAAGGTAAAAAGCTCTTTTCAGACGTTTCAGGACAAAATTGAAATAAAATTAGTTTTCTTAGTTTTTCCGAGATACTGTATGATACTGCGGCTGATTGTCAAACGGTTTTTTGAAGGGGAATTTGAATTTTTTCGAGAGTCCATTCCAATCTTCAGCCTAAAAATCTTGTAAAGTTCGATCCAACAAACAATATTTTTGGTGGCCTGCAAAGTCGGACTTCAAATTCTAGGAGCCTGAAAAGCTGGAAACTATCCTCAATCAAAAACTGTTCCGAGTTGACTTTAAATCTACCTCTGATTAATCAAGAAAGACAGTTTTTGAGTTTATAGTTTCTCCATATAAAATTTTGAAAAGCGTAAAACCCTTTTTTAAACTCAGATGAAATAGAAAAATGCTCTTCACCTAAAACCTTATTGGTCCTTTAACTTATAGGTAACGGTTTTTGGAACATACTTTCCTGTTCTTAGAACTCAATCACAAACAAAGTGTAGGTGGAGATTCTCTAGGAAGTTCGCTCTCTTGTTCTTTGAAACGTCATGAAGGCGAGAGGTTAGGTCGTCGGGCTCATTCTACGTCAAAACGGAGTTTTCCGTTTTGTTGGCTCAGAAACAATCTGAAAAGCCGTCGCAACGTCACAACGGCAGGGCAAAACAGAAGGCTCCGCCCCTTGGATTTTGCGGTCATCAAATCCCTCCTGGTTAATCACTACACTGAGCCGCCGACTTTTTTCTTCTTCTTCTTCGCTTCCTGAGACGAAGCTCCGCCCATTTGGTGTCGTCGTAGCGGCTCATCCCAAAAAGATATATAAGGTAGCTGCAGAAGCCAGCGGGAGCCTCAACTTCTGTTCTTTTTTCTGATTTCTTCTGATTCTGATTCCTAAGATGATCGGAAACGTTATCGATGTGAACGACTGCGGTGCCAAGAAAAGCAGTGAGTTTTTTATTTTAATCTTTTAAAGCCAAAATTTATCTTTTAAAGCCAGTTTCTGCTTTTTAAAGGATCCTGTACTATTTTAAAGAACTATTAAAGAAAAAATAATCGTTTTTACTGTTGATTTGCGTCGATCCAAGACAATATTTTGAACCAATTATGAAACTTTTAAACAAAATGCACTTTTTTTTTTAGTGAATTCGACCTGAATTTCTGCAAAAGTAAGCAATATTTAGGATTTCTTTGCGAATTAATTATTTGTTTTTCATTATTGGTTTAAACAAAATTTCTCTAATTTCACTACAAAATTTTCAAATTTGTAGTCTCTTTTGCATGATCGTTAATTGTTAATTATCTGCAGCAAAAAGAAAAGATTTGTAGTATTATTTATAAACCTTTATAAGTCTTCCCCATAGAAAGTATTGAAAGCGCGCCAAAAGATAAGCCTAACAAAAAGAGAAATAAATAATCCGCAGCGGATTACGGTGACAAGTTATAAATGTACATAGTTTTCATTATCCCGGATTTTCAGTGAAACGACTTACTTGCCGAAAATGCGAAGGTCACGGCGTCGTTTCGATACTCAAAGGTCATGCCGTCGACTGCGCCTTTAAAAATTGCCAGTGTGGCACGGTAAGTCTTTTTTGAGCTCTGAAAATTATTTTTAGTACAAAAAAACTTTAACTTGCTCTCCATGAGTTCAAATTAAGAAAAAGCCCACCAGAGGCATATTTTGGTAGTTGAGTTTGATCAGACTTGCCAAGTCAAAAAAGGAAAGATTTGAGTTAACATTACCGCTTCAAGTTCTGAAATAAAGATGTCCCAAGCCCATCAAAAACTGCTGCGTCTAGAAAAAATTTTGGTGCAGTTTGAAAAGATAGACCTAATCAAACTATATCTCAAAACATCTTTTCCACACCAAAATACATTACTAAGTCGCAAATTTGCAGTGCACTTCCGTGATGAGCATGCGAGCAAACGCGCTAATTCGCCGCTTCCGACACCGACGGCCAGACCAATCGACGGCCGTTCTGAAGACGATCCGCTCGAAGAACGGAAACATGCGTCTGCGGATAGTTCCGAAGGCGGGCAAGGCCGACGAACTCAGTGGAACCACCATCACCTACGACGAGATCCGCGGCCGAGCCTACGCCGCCGCGACGACGACGACGCCTGCGACAGCTCTGGACGCCTACTCGAATGCCTCGTCACCGGCCTCGTTCGCCACGACTTCCACGCCTTCTTCTTCTCTCTCGCAGTCGCCAGCTCTACAGATGCCGTTGGCGTCGCCGACGTTGGCAGTGGAGCCGGTCTCACACATCCTTTCCACCGACTACTACACCTTGCTTCAGACTGCGTGAGTCTTACAAGGAATTCTGAATGAAACTAGAAATATTAGGCTAGGATTTTGACGCTGATTCAGAACCTGTGTTCAAAAACTGACTAGGAAAAAGTTAAGATGGTACAAATTATGAAAAACCAAGGCCTTGCTGAAAAACCTTGACTTAATGCTATAAAAAAACGCTTTTTTGGATATTTAAAAGCGTTAAACGCTCTAAGATACCTTTTTTCCTGACATGGATTCTCTTAAGCTCTCACTTAACGAGTTTAAAAAAGATAAATCTTGAAAAAATGGCCTTTCCGTATCAAAAATCTCAGAGTAGATTCAAAACGTCAGATTGTTAAAAAAAAATAGGTCTGACAAAATGAAAACCTACTTCCAGACGTTTTCGAAAAGACGAGAGTGATCTTTATTTTCTGTTCCTAGAGCAATTCCCATCCCATATGACTAAGAAGAACGAAAATAGACACGAAAAAGCCCGAAGAAAATGAGTTCAGAAAAACAACGAAGCCAATTTTCAGGCTTCTGGCGCAGTTGATCTCGGCGCAGACGACGTCAACCGTTTTGCCGTCCACGTGGCTTCAACTAAACCCTTTGAATCTGCTCGGCCTGAACGGCCAGGTCGTCTGAAGTCCGATTGGTCGCTCTCTATCTCAAACTTCCTCATGATCCCAACTCCCTGCCAAAATAGCCACTTGTTCAAATCCAATGCAACAATCCCAGTTAGGAGCCAATTCCCGAGATTGAGAGTCCCAAGTATATTTGTTCGTTTACCTGTCTTGGCCAGTAGGTCATGACACTGAGAATTTGTAACCCCAATGGGGAATTTTTTGTTCTTTTCAGCCATAAACGTATATATTTTGTTGAACTGAATGCATATCACGTTATCTACCTTGTCTAGTTTCGATATTTGTGTTTCGAATCTATTTATTTGTTACATAAGCTACACGAAATAAAGGTGTGAATATATTCTTTGAAAACGTATGGCAAGCCATGGAAAATCTGGGGGAAACTAGAAAACAAGTCACGTATTTGGTTTGAGCAAATCTTCGAAAAAAAAAACTATACATTATTAACTAGAAGCTTCAAAGTTTATGAGATTATGGGCACAGGGAAGATTCAAGAAGCAATTAAAACTGAAAAATGTACATTTGAAGAATGAAAAAAAATTTTAAAAAACACTCTTCGACCTACGAGGGAGGTAAACTTCCTATATTTTCATAAATTTATAAAATTCGGCCAACTAGCTTTTCAAAATTTTTTTTAACAGTAAGTTGAAAGTCAAATATCAGAAAACTCTGAAATCACCAGTAAAACTATCTATTTTCTATGCAAAAAGCTAAAAGAGCCTTTCAAGTAAAATCCAACTTCGCTTTCCAAAAAAGAACCTATTGGACATTGCAATCATCAGTCGGAGTTGAGGCTCTTTTCGTGGTATTCGGCGTCACAGTTCCACTGGAGCCAGGTCCGCTCTTGTTGTAGCTGAAGTTGGAGGAACGTTCTCGGAAGCGCTCTTCGGCGTTGACGTTCGGCCCGAAGATGTTGATCATCTGCGAGAAGTGTCGGCCACTCAGAATCAACTCGACAACGGTCTGAAACCGGGTTCAATAGCTTGGACTGCTGTAAAGGTTTTTTTCAGCTTTTCGCTTTAGTGAGAATACATTTTAAGAAGTAATTTTATAAAAATAGCACTGAATCGAGTATTGAACTTATTTTTACAGGATAAAGTGTTAAGGTATTGAAAAACTCCAAAAAAATTCAGTGTGATGTTTTGGATTTTGAAAATTTACTACCTTTTTCTTTCTTCGCAGGTATGTGACGTTTTTCATGCTTTGAAGGTTAATTAATCCCTGAGAGAATCGGAAGAATCACTAGCGTTTCAAAAATCACCACAGAAACATCTAATTTTCTAGTCTTTTTGCAACAATTTTCAAAAAAAGGCTGCAAAGTGGAATAAAAAGATGTAAAATGGCTTCCCGAAAGAAACCATTTTTTCAAGATAATCTTTCAAGTTCCATTCTGCAGCCTTCCAGTTTCGCCTATGACACTGATACGAAGAAGCCCTTAAAGATCCTCCACTGTCATAAGAAAGTTTTTGTTCTTCTTAGAACGAAAGATCTTAATCTTCGCCCTAATGAAGCCTCACAAAACAGAAAAAAAAAAACAGAACGTCAGGTAAAACTCTTTTTCCGTGAAGCCTTCAAATCTTTTGGAAGAAAAGAGAGGCCACGTGTGCGCGTGACGTATTCTCAACTCACAATGTCAATGGAAGCTTTAGAAAATATACGGGTTACGGTAACAGGAAGCTTTAGAGGCCTTCGCAAAGTTATGAATAGGAAGAGAGTCCGAAATTGATTTGAAATTAGCCTGAGCATCGTTTTTGAGCCCAGAAATATCCAATTTAAAAATATGATCTTTGCCTCTCATAATCAAAAAAGATGTTATTACCACCAGTCCTAGCCTTTGAAAGTTTTCAACCCTAGGAAAACCAACTCTGGTGAGATAAGTAGCCGTGGAGGTGGTGAGAGCCTGGTTCTCAAGTTGGTAGAACGGAGTGAGGTCCGTCTTGTCCTTGATGCCTTCCTGCGTCGCGTACAGCTCGAACGCCCGTTTTATCAACTGGAAAATGAAACTGACTAGTATTTCAAAGCACTTTTTCTTTTCATTATTGTTAACTTTCTCTCTCATCAATCTAGAAACAATTTACATCGTTCAGTAGAGCTTTGAAAGTAATTTTATTCAAAATTATGATAAATTGATTATCTTCCCCCTCATGATTGCAGGGCATCCAAGAAATTTTAGAACCTGTTTTTTTCAGAATATCACAGTTTATCTAAACAATACCAAAGCTTATTCTCTAAATATAATCAACTTTTTTTAAAAATCTTCAACCCTCACATCATCGCAATCGATCTTCGCGCTCTTGAACATGATCTCGTGGTTGCGTTCCAGAATCGTCGCCACAATCGACAAAAGCTTAAAGAAGACGTTTTAACTTAAAATAGTGGATTTTAACCTCCACAAGCAGCTGACGATACTCAGGATGGCTAATCAAACTGAGCATCGACTCGATTTTGTAGGAGAACGTGAGCTCGAAACGCGTCATGTCACTCAACGTCGGTTGCTACAAGAAAATTATTTTCATTTTCAGCCTTTCCTCTTATTCAATTTTGAATCTTATTCAATTTTGAATAAAATTGAATAGCAAACTTGACATTCTCTCTTGAAATAACTGCTTTATAAACTTTGAAAAAAGAAAGAAAAAAAAAACTCGGAAATTCGCTTTAACGGTTTATTGCTTGGGCGCAGTTGCTCGAATAATTCAAAAGATTTTTTTAGTTTGACAGATACTCGGACCACGGTACCACGAATCGAAAGCGCCCCGGACGTTTCTGAAAATTTCTAGTGACCACTTTAGTAGCGTCAGTAATCTTAAGTGATCCTATATTGCTCAAAAAGTCTGGCGCGGATCTCGTTACCGAGGTCCGAAAACGAAGAAAAACTCAAACCGTGGACATTTTTAGGCAGTTCTAGGGATCGCTTTAGCGGCGTTAGCACTCTTAAGTGATTACTTGAAATGCTCAGAAAGGCAGGGGCGCGTCAGGTTCGCCCTAGCTCGAGAAAAAAGTTTTCTCTCCAAGTTTTGTTCGTTTTTTGTGAAATTAAGTTGTACCAACACCTCGTTTCTTTATTATTATTTTTGAAATCCATTTTTTTTTTTGGCTCGAATTACAGCATTTGGCTCTTTTAAATCTCAATTGAATCATCATTGAAAGGTGAGCAAATTTGTTTTCGGCCGAGGCCCACGTGTCTGACGCCAGCAGGCTATTCATCGGAAGCTCTGACGATGTCAGAAACAAAATAAGGTGAAATAAAGAGTTAATCTTTCTGGGGTGTCTGGTGACATGCGGAAATGTGGTCAAATTATCGAGTTACTTGACATTTATCTTCGAAATTTCCTCCTGCTTCAGGAATTCTTTGGAGAATTTCTTGTCGAGCTGTCTCAAAAGTTCAAAGCTTACAATATGTCGCCTACTCAAAATAGTATTTAGGGCGATCCAACGGATAATCTTCTTATTATCAAATGTATGAAATGCCATTCGGGGATTATCTCACATCACTAATTGTAGAAGAAGCGGATTAATAAATGAGTTCATGCAACCTTTCAACAGAAAAAGACTCCAGAAGAACTCTCATCCAACTAAATAGATAAATGGCTAGAAGTTCAAAGACTCATCTTTTTGATGAGAAGATTATGAAAGTCGAAGGTATATGGGCAGTGAAAATTGGGATTTGAGAAAAATGGGCTATTTGTAGAACTCTTCACTGAGTGTCAAACGGTATACTTGTAAACGTGCAACATTTTCTATTTTCAAAAACTAAAAAAAAATTCGAAATGAAAGAGCAAAAAGCGTGTTTTGCAGTAAAGTTGCTCTATGGACAAAGCGTATCGCCAATTTTCATTTTTTTTTCTGTTTTCACCAAAGTTTTTTATTTGTCATGAAAGGGCTGATATGTTTGGACTAAATCCTTAAAAACAATAATATTTAAAAATTCTCATGTTTTTTTTTGAATTTGCTACGATTGATTGCGTTATGAAACCTTGAAATCGCTCAGAAATAGGATGTTTCGCTGCTTTTAAACCGATAAAAACAGGACTAACTTTTTGATTTTTTGAACCAAAATTTCCTCCTTTTCCAACTTATAGAACAAAAATCATTCAAAAGCGTGTTCAAAATTCCATACATTTTTAGACGAAGCCAAAAACTGGTACGTCAAACTGAGAATCGAAAAAAGAATCCTAATTTTAACTTTCTTAAAGCCCCAAAACGAAAAAAGCTTCAATTTGATTGAAAAGCTAAAAGAAGTCACATTCGAGACATTCTATATTGAGACACAATTGAGAAAAAAGGTAGGTTTTCACTGGAAAATGGGGAAAAATGGCCAGAATTTAGAAATTGTTTTTTTCTTCAATGCTATGTTTTTAAAACGCGCTCGTGTTGTAAAATCAAGTTTTCCATCGGAATAAAGTTTAGTTGAAATTCTTCAAAGAAAATGAGTTATTTCGATGAGAAGCTCCTTTTTGCTTCTATTTCACTTTTAACTTGATTTCCAGGAACCTAAAAATTTTGTCCATTCATCGCTTGCCTAAAAATAATTCACAGACTTCTCTTCTTTTCATACTCTCAAACATTTTCTGTAGCCAGTGGTTGATCCAAAGATAATTCAAAGCTACAAAGACCTGTGGAAGGAACTGTCCAGCGATGATAATTCCATGTTTGGATCGCTCCAAAATCATCCAGACGCGGTCGTAGAAATTGACGGGCATCCGGTTCAAGGCACCATTCAAGCGTCGAGTTTGGAGGGGGGTCCTCAAAAGGCCAGAGTTTTCATTTCTGGTATCGAAACTAACAGAAGATGCCAGTTGTGGCGGGTCATGAGGGCTCTGACGACGTCTTTGACGACCGTCGGCGAGAGGTCGTAGATGCACGTCTTCTTGAATTCTGGAAAAAGCAGCAAATCTAGTTGATTGGGAAGTAGATGAAATATGGGAAAGCCTAATAATTTATTATCTTCTTTCTCGGATTTGAAAAAAAAAACCCTTGACTTCTAGGATCTGTGATCGTCGGGTCACTATAACCATTCTTTCAACTTTGAAAAATTCATCGATATTCAGATTTTTCACATGATTTCTTATATAATAGACCCGTTTATTTGAAGTTTTTCGCCTACCAGACTGAGGAATTCCAGTAGTATGTGGAGTCGGCGGCGTAGCGCCAATACCGCCAATTTTCATCGCGCCAGTGGTCCGGACGTAGTTAAGAAGCATGGCGATCGCCTCAGAGAGCCACGAAAGTCGAATGGTGAGGACTCCATCAAAGGCAGCGGGGTCGTGGGACATCTGAAGAGCGATGACTCCTTGGATTACTCTGAGCCAACCAAGTCGGAGCAGGCGCTGATGAGTTCCTGATGGAAAACGGCGACCTGAGGCTTGTCAGAAGGACAACACTCGAAAAGCAGAGAGACGAGTTCTGCTGGGGCAATCGGACGGAGAAGACTCACTTCTCGGGTACCTTTTCCTCGTTCGCCCAAGGTTACCTGAGTTAAAAATTGGGGGTCTGAAGTGCAGAAAAGAGCTTCAGAAGGGCTTCTTATCGCTACCAATCCTATGACAGATCTTTCAATTTTGACAAGGACATGAAAAAAAGCGAGCCTTTCAAAATTAGTTTCGTTTGAAATACGCTACGACTTTCAGGGACCCTCAAAGAGAAAAATAGTGATTTAAAAAGTTTTTTAAAGTTATAAAAGCCTCAAAGCTCATATTGTACCATTGCTGTAGAGAAAATCACGTTTTCAAGCGTTTTTGAAGCTTAAAAACTCGGTTAAACGGCAGAACGTGGTAATTATTTTTAACACCCCAGGTTTACGAACTTTCAGTCCATTTTAGCAAACTTCCAGCAGATGCTCAAAACTTGTCCTTTTGGGTTTTTATTTGGAATACTGGAATCCGAAGTCACTTAGAACTTTGTTATGAAATAAGAAAAAAACGGCAAATTGAAAAATTCGTCTTAATGAGATAGATAGCGTACTAGGTTGACAAATTCTAGATAGTAGTGCCCAAGGTTCGACCGACATTTACCTGTTTTCCGCGGACCAGCATGTTGGTGATGGCCGGCGCCAAGGAGTTCATAGCCTTGCGAAGGCGTCCAGCACAGTAACGGACCAAGAACCAGAGATGGAGCTGGCAGGATCGACGGTAGACCTTTTCCATCCTTTCGCGGAGGGTAACTGAAATTCCAGTAATTTACTGGAAAGAGCAGGAATCCTACAATTATGGACGAGCAAGTCGGCATTGGTCCGCGACCAGAGCTGCCAGATGGCGAAGGCGAGCAGCCGCGGGTGTTCCATGTCGTCTTTGGAGATGATCTCGTAGAGTTCGTGGTCAGACTTGGCGGCAACGTCCGTCTGTAGCGCATTGAACGTTCTTTTGAAGGTAATTGTATGGAGCTTTTGAAGGAAAGCCATATTTTAACTACAGAAAATAATACAATAGATAGAAGGACTTCTCCTGGCGTCAAAACAAAATTCACAAGAACTTGTTTCAAACTTCAAACTCAATTTCTCTACATTATCAGGGAGGATTATCGAAGAACCATAATATCAATTACAAAAAGTACCGTATCTCGAAAAACCCACAGTAACCCATGATGTAACGTACTTGGAGAAACCTAAAATTGCTCTGAAAATCGGTTGTTCTATGGACAAGAAAAACCAATTAATAAATAGTTACACAGGTCTACCCTGCCTACAGTAACCCGACTACGGTAAGAGGAAATGGATCAAAAATTGCGTTTCCATTTCTGACGTCATAAAACTGAGTTCATCGGAATCAAAAATTAAAAACCTGCTTTTTTTTGGGAAATCTTCAAAATTACAGAGACGGGTTGTAAAATTGCTTACCGTCGATTAAAACTTTAAAAACGGAAATTTTTGAAGGGAAGTTCAAGAAATAGGTTTAGAATTAAAGAACAATTCTTAACAAGCCTAAAAATACCTCAAGAGTCTGTTCATCGTCGATGCCATCTTTCAAACTAAGTCTGGACAAAATTTGATGATTCTCCTGGTTTTCCTCCAGAATATCCACGTCGAATTCGACGTCGTCAGAAGACGCAAAGTCGATGTGTTCGATGCAGCAAGAGTTGAGCAATTGCTGAAGCTCAAAAATGAATGAATAGTTAATTTGGAAGAATTACGTGAACGCGGCCAAGACGGACGCGGATGCCGTTGACGTGGCCATTTTTGAGTTGCACCAGAAGGTCGAGAATGTGGTCGAAATACTCGCCGGCGACGTTTTCCTCCCTCAGGACGATGCACATCGTCGGTCTTCCAGCCAACTTCCATCTTTTCGCCACAAACTCGATGTCGCGCTGAGAATCAAGTACAATGGCAAAAATTAGTGAGCGAACTCTCTTCGCGCTATTTTTCTTTATACAAAAAAGTTCAAAAAAAAGATTTATTTAAACTTTTTTGCGATTATTGATTTGTGACCATTATTTCAACCAATCAATAACTATTTTGGCAACATCGGGATAATATTGCAGCTTATTTTTCAATAGTTCTCAAAACTCTTCTCACTTTGATGTCGTCAATGAGAACCGCCGGATCCGAACTGACGTAGAAGTCCTTGACTTCAAAGAGTAGCGGAAAACATAGAACAGTATCGCCGAAAACGCGGAAAACCTAGAAAAATGTCTTCAAGGAGCTAAAAAAAAATGAAAAGTTTCTACTTTCGAGGTGCTCAAAGGACCAAATGGACGCGTCGGTCGGCCGCTCAACCCCAGTTTCTTGTCCCTTCCAAGGCATTCAAAGACCTGAGAATACAAAAAGTAAAACTCAAGGAGAAGATATGAAGAAAGGACCTTGACCATGCGCCAGCTGGGCCAGATCTGAATGGGTTCGACTTCGTGGGGAGTCTGAGTTGTGATGCCGTAGGTGGAGAGCATCATTTGGAGACGAGAAGATTCGGAAATCAGGGCAACCTGGACCACCGGGTCTCCTTCCATGCTACCCTTAAGATTATCTTTGAAACTTGCAGGTAGCTAGGGTCATTTTTCAGAAATGAAAATTCTGTTCAGTGCAGCTACAGTCTTGCTAGAGTTTGGTAAGTCTGGACAGAACCTGAGGTTTCGTTTTTTTTTCTACAGTTTCTTACATGATTCTCAGTGTGGTCTTGGTAAGGCTGTAACATATTTATCTTAATATTTGGGATTTTCCTACCGCACATTACTTCCATTTTTCCAAACCTGAAAAGCCGAATGCCGGTTGAAAAGCTTGGGTCGCTGGCTGGCGGGTAGATGTCGACTGATCGGATCGATGTCGCCGCTGTGGATAAGTCCGCCACCTGAGGAAACACTGAGAAAACGAGGAGAAGGGCCAAAAACGTTTGAGCATGAGGATGATATAAATGGCGTTGGTCCACAGGTGGTGACCAAATTCCTGGTGGTCGAGCGCGTAAAGATCTGTTGAGTTGGGACTCGAGCGCTCTTTCTCGATCAGAAGCTCGTCGACGCAGTAGCACTCGGGCACCACGAAACCTCCGGGTACTGTAATGTCGAGGAAATGGACTTTTTCCTTCATTAAGATGAAATCGATTTTTCCAAATTCAAAAATCTTAACTGGGGATGCAAAGTGTCCTTCGAACTCTACTAGAGCTAATTAGTGCTCAAAAACTTATCTCTATGTCGTTAAGGTGGGCTTCTATACAGCGTATAATCGGGTTATACAGGTGTTCAAAAAAAAAAAAATTAAAAGTGATTCCTCAAGGTTTCCCTCTAGGGACCACCTAACCTACCCCCATAGGGGTCACTAAAGTTCACAAAAGTGGCCACACTAGAGGGCCAGCTAGTCGTTTATTGTAAAAAAAAAAAAACTATATGAGTCTTTAAATAAAAAGCTTACTTTTCACAAAAATTAACGTTTATACTCAAAGATTATCTCATAAGATAAACTTTTTAAAAATCTCCGACTCCTCCAGAATTTTCGTTCCATTTTTTGGCTCAAGAATCCCCAACCAAACTAACCGCTCTCATCAGAAACAAGCAGATTCTGCAGCTTGTTCCAGTAGACTTCTCCATAATCGGAATTCCCACGGATGTAAGCTGAGATTCGGAACTTGGATTAATTCACTATTGAGCTACAAACCAGTGAGACTAATTATGGCGAGAAACATGGGAAACTGCGATTCGACGCCTTGAAATTGGGCAGTTTCGTGTTCGTCGTAGAAACACCGAGAATTGTCCTCCAATTCGCTTCGATAGCCGTCGCGGTGGAATCTAAGGGCAAGAAATACTTATTATTACATCTTCAATAATTAAATAACTATCTTTAAAAATTTCCTAGGAACCCCAGAGTGGTCCTCAGAGGGACAGCCTTGACAGCCATTAAAGGTTCCCTCTAGGGACTATCTTACCTACAATTTAGAGGACACTAAAGCTTGCAGAAGTGGACACTTTAGGGCTACATTTTAGTGGTCTTATATTTATTTTTCATACGTATTTTTAACTTTCAAAACAGAGCAAAAACGATTGAAAGACCACTGTAGGGGTCACTTAAGACTTAGAGGCTTAGAAGTCAGGCCTTAGACCCCTATAGGAACCAACTGAATTTTACCCCTCTAGGGAACACTCTTTCGTCACTTGTAATCATGCTTTTTTTTCCCAACCACTAAAAAGACCACTCAGGCGTTCCTAAGTTAGTACTGAAGAAATGTTCTAAAAAAGCTCGATATTGCACATTCCACACTTCAAATTTTTTTTTCAATAAAAAAGACCTTCTGAGTCCAAATCTTCCCTCTAATCGTCGGATACACTTTTTGACAGTCTTTTCGAATAATTGTTCGTCGTGTGTAGCGAATGAAGGCCAGCCCAAAGTCAGTAGTAAAGAAGCATCCGTATTCTGGAATAATGAATTTGCGATCTCAAAATTTTTTCTCTTCGACCTCGAAGCAAAATTGGTAGTAGTTTTTTTTTTTCACTATTTGGCTTTAGAATCTATGAATAGCACAAAAAATCATTACAAAAAAGCGCTAGAAACACTTACCAAAGTTTAATAATGCAGTGAAAAATAAAAATTGTTTAAATTTGCGCGATATTTTTCTTGAAACGCATTGCTATAGACAAAAGGAATAATTTCACAAAAAAATTTCTCTTTTCCATTTTACCTTCGAGTTACTCTCGCGCGGTAGAATTGTCTCAAAAGTGGTCCGATTTCTGTTGTGGCCATCAATATCGACGTAGATCACCGAGGCGCTCGTCCCATTACTTCCGTACAGGTTGAAGCCGTTGATGGCTTCCAGAGCCGCCTAACAAATATAATTTACCCCAAAAAATCAGCTTGATCCACGAACTTTGACCATTCCCAAGCTGCTGGCGTGCAGTTCAGGCTTGCCATTATTGTAGCGAGTCCCGCGCTCCCACATTCCAAAGTCCGGCGTTCGGTAAGTCCTTTCGATGTAGAAAACCAAGTTTTGAACGAAGTTCACCTCGTGATGCGTGTAAATGACCTGGAAAGAGCGTCTTGAATGTTTTTCCAAGACTATACTTCGATAATTCGAGGAGAAATCTATGATAAAGAAGCATCTCATGATGATTTTTTGTTAATAAAAAATTTCCCCTAGCAGTTGTATGTAACTTTCGGAAAACTAAACTCTTAATGGTACGAATATCAAAGCTAGAATTTTTTCAGCTTGGTTGATCGGTAAGTTTTTCGCTTAGCGCTGTGATCAACGACAGTTTCGGGTATCGACTAAAAATTCTTCATTTATTCGACGATTCAGCAGAAAACCTTTTCTGAAACATACTTGGGAAGACCATTTTTCAGGCTGCCAACCGTGCCTATCAAATCTTCATGTTTCAAAGTCAATATTTACCTCCTTGAGATCCAAACTAGACCATTCATCGATCTTGAATCATTTTTTACCTGTTTTTGGTAAATCTTGTAAGTCAACCCCTACTCCTAGGATAATTTAGTTCGACCCTTGTTCCTTCTCTATAGTTTTCAATTTTCCACCGGCTTGTTTTCCGGAGCTTTCTTGTCATCTACTCCTTCTTGGAAACCTTGACGCCGGCGGAGATCATCTGGACCAAGGTGAGGAGGTACAAGGCGATGAGGTCCATCTGAAGGTGTCCGTAGCGTTTGTCGGTCGGCGTCGTCAGGGACATGCCCGTGTGAAGGTCGAACCTCGCATGCAGGGCGAACTCGTTGGAATTGTTGGTTTTGAAGCCGTCCAGCTGGAAAGAAAAACCTTTCTATTCAGTCCAGCACAAAGCTCCACTCACGGTGCTGCTCTGCTGCATCCAACAGAACAGAATGCCCCGCATGGTTTTGACGGCCGACTGCCGGAGTTCTGTCTGACGACCGCGGTCATCGTCGAGCCTTCTGAAAAGGCTTGATTTTGCACATTTTGCACGGCTACTACAGACTTGTAGGCTACAGAACAGGCCCAGCAAGCCATGGCGCAGTAGATGCTGTCCTTGACGCAGCCGACGTCTTGGTCCTTCGAATAGCGAGGAAAAAGTCCGCTCGTCACGCTTTGATACTTCAGAATCAGCTCTTGCGCTGGAATAAAAGCTGAGTTTTGTTATAGTTCATTCCGCCGCAGTTTTTCATGGGTTTTTCTGGCTCGAATGCCATAGACTTTTAGGTCGCAGGTCTTGAAGCGAAGAGCTCGAAAATGATATATATACTGTGATTTTTCCTACTTTTTTCCTTTTTTCGTGCAAAGATGGCTATAAGGCAGAAAAATTGGGACGCGAAGGGGCGTGGCCTATCTGTGCTCTCCGCCAACCAACTATTGTCTCTTTTTTTATCGTGTCAGGACCTTTTTGATGGCTCAAGTCCGCCGTGAATCAACTATAAATCTGCTCTTCTCTTATTGCTTTTTTGAAATAATTTTTTATATCGGAACCTGGAGTTACTTCAAAAAGAAAGCCATCATAATTTAAGAGTATTGAAAAGCCCTTTTTCGACGCAAAAATGATAATTCTAATGAAAAATTCTTTGTGAATTTTTTCTTTACATTTTATTCCGCAACCCATTAAATTCGGGTTTTTCTTTTCGAAAAGGGAGCTTATTCTGGAGAAAAACCGCCATCTACACTAAGATTAGACAAACTTGTTGCATAAACGGCGTCGATTTTGGAGACAAGAGTTGTGTTTTCCGGGTGCTCAAAGGGTTGAAGGTAAGCCTGGGTGAGCCTCCGGAGCCTCAAAGTCCCTGGCATATGTTTGGCCCGACGACGCAGCAGGGAAGAGCCGTGTTGGCTCTGTTTCCCAGACATCTGAAATGTTCGAGAAAATAATAAATCCCGTTAAAAAATCTTTGTTTCGGTGTTTAAAGGAGCATAGACAAATTTGATAAAGGTCTCGAGACGAAGAGCCGTTTTTGAGGTATTTTTGGTTGTGTGTGCCTTTAAAAAAACTCAGCAGGGATTTTTTGAAGAAACTATGATACGGTTCAGTTCAAAGAATCCTACAAAACTAGTTCGGAACAAAGTCAAAAATTAAATTATTGGGACGATCCGAACACTAAGAATAACTGACGAGATAAATGCGAGCTCGGTGGCGGTACATTGACTAACTCGCAAAAATGTCGCTTTTTTTCTCGCGCCGGTCTCGCATTTCTCTCGGCGCGACCTCGCATTTTTCACGGCGCCATCTCGCATTTATCTTGCATTTCGGAAATTTTCAAATTGCGAGAGAAATGCGAGCTCGCGCCTAGAAAAATGCGAGACCGGCGCGAGAAAAAAAGCGAGATGTTTGCGAGCTCGTCAATATACCGCCAGTGTCTCGCGTTTATCTCGGCAGTTATTCTTAGTGAAGTCAGGTGAAATTAACGAAAAACGGCAAAACATGAACATTTTCTTCAAAAACCGACCCAAAAATCAATTTTCTGTGAAAAAATTGAAAAAAAAAGCAAATTCATACTCCTCGTTCAATATGAAATGTTAAATTAACACCTTCAGAGGAAAAAAACCATTTAATGCCAAAAAAATTTATTATTGATAAACATGAAAGATTATAACAGTACTGGCGATATTCCGTATTTTGTGAGTAAGTAGAATCTGATGTGAGGATATTAATTATTAAATAGTACAAATTCAACAAAAATTTCAGGATAAAAAAACAATAAATTACATATAATGATATGAAATATACGAAAAACAAGGGCTGAGATCGGAAGAGTGAAAAAGAAAATGGAATGACTAGGTGTTTTTCTTCGATCGAATGAAGATCAATCGATTTTCACGACACCCCAGCGACCGGGCGGCTCTGAAAAAAATCAGATTATTGATGAAAAATGATGAGAATTCGATTAAAAAAATACTCTGAAGAACAATTTTTTTGAACTTATAGTTCAATGGTAACGAGAAAATTTCGGATTCCACTAGCTTATAAATTCGTAAGAAGTCTTTCAAGTTTTGGAACAAACTGGAAAAATTAGAAACTTATGAATTATCAGGACTCAATATACGTGGGTCAGATCAAATTGTACCTCAAACTTGGGTAATTAAACCAACAGAGAGCTGCGCCCGACCTGAACGAGGTACGACGCCCCCTATCTTTTTCCACCTTCTAGTCCAATTTTTCACGCCTTACAATTTTGAAAGTTGAAAAACTCACGGAAAAGAACCATTGAGGCTTCGAAGGTTTTTCCTCGCATCGACTTAACCTCACAAATGATTTCACAGGCCACGTTCGAGTCTCCATACAAAAGGTCGGACTGAAGAATGAAATTAAAAAAAGGAAATAAAAGGGTCACAAAAGGCTTTAAAAAATTGAGAAGCCAAATAAATCAGAGTTCAAGGTTATTGCTGATTTTTTCAAAGGCTTCTGAGTTCTGAGGTGTAGCACGACTAGCTTGGAACACAAAGGGGCGTGGCGCTCTCCACCCATCAGGTAATGTCTTTTTTTTTAATTGTTAAAGGACCTTTCTTATTCGATTAATGAATCCAGCTACACACTTTTTACAGTATGCGAAAAAAAAAAACGGACCTTGAACTCTAAGAAAGAGTCGTAGACACTCCAGGTGCTTTTTTGGTTTTTGATGATGTAGTTGGTGTCGTCTGTTATATTGACTCGTGTCTCTGGATTATTCGCTTGTTGGCGGAACCAAGAAACCTGAATACTTTCATTTATTTAGTGGAAACATGAAGTTTTGAAAAAATAATAAACGTAGAAGGCATATGGCCAGTAAAACATGAAAATTAAATTATTATTGCCAAACTTCTCATTTTGAATCAAAAACGATTTTTTGAAAGTTTCATGCCCCAACATTTGTAAGATAGAGAGCCCTGGTGAATAAGAGTGCTTATAGAAAAAATCTTGCCTCTCAGTCTTCGACACTCTCTAGCTTGTGCAAAGTGAAAGACCGAAGGTTCAGAAAAAAATGTCAAGAAAAAAAAATTCAAAGGCAGAAAAAAAAATCTTTGAATTTTCAAGCAAAGTTGCTCCATGGACAAAACGGTTCGTTTTCGTTTTTTCCGCTCTCCTTTTTAACTTCCTCTGTTACTCGTACAAAATTGCTCGCTTGAGTCTTGAAAAATTTTGAAAAATTTGCCCCGAAGTTCTGCCTCTGTGAAAAACTCTTTATAACTGCAATTTCAGTAATTATTCGGAAATGCGACCAAAAGCTCTACAAGACTCATTTTCTACCGACCATTTTTTTCGAAAAAAAAAGACATACGGTGAAATTTGGAGAGTGCGATAGAAAGCGCAAACTCAGTTCAATAAACTCCTCTCCATCGTCTTTTTCGTCGACTTTGAGGACCATTTTGTCCAGTTGATACAGGACTAGGTCAGCTGAAAAAAAAGTCAGTGAAAAAAAGCTACAAAAAACTTTGTTGAAGAACTTTGAGAGCATGCTTTAACTACAGTACTGGCTAGAAATATACCTGAGAAAATCTTTCAAGATTTCTCTATTGAAATTTTGACTTTCATCGCTTTTTACAGCTCACTAACGTCGTTATTTGTAATTGAAACCACCAATTTTAATTAATTTTTGAATAAATAGACTTTATCAACTTCTTTTTTGAAATTGTGTTATGCGGACTGAAGAGGATGTGTAGCTTGAAACAGGAAAAAAGACTACCAAACAGAAAAAGAAAAGAAAAAAACCCACAGGAATCAATTTTGAAGTCAACGTTGACTACGCCAGCCTTATTCCTAATTACACACCGATAATGGTCGACACCGTGACTCATATCCTGAAATTCAAGGATAAATTTCCTGATTTGACTACCGTTTCTCTTGCCTTAATCAAAAGCCCGACATAGTAGTTCAGTCGGTAAATTTCCTTCTTCAGGTAAATGAAATAGTCGCCGGTTTCGATTTGAGCTCCATTCTGAACATTGACAATGAGAAATAAGAAAATTCATTGTTCACTATCTCAAAGAAAAGTTATAAAAAAACTGATTTAATATGAGCAATTATGAGCGAAAACTCACCCTAGGTTTTTTAAAAATGAAGATTCAAGTGCAAATTTTTGGATAAGTTTCAAGGGCTTTTTTCCATAAATCTACTCAGAGCGTGAGACAAACGGACTAGTTGGCTTTCTTTGATCGTACACTAAAGATGTTTAAAAAAATTAACTCAAGTAGAAATTTTTTTCTTTAAAGTTTAATTTCAAAAAGATTCGGCTACTGTTTGTCCATTAGGTCTGACTACAGCCCAGCTTGAAAATTTGAAGGCGCAGCTCAAATTATCAAAAAAACTAGAAACGACTCGTTGCCACGAGACCAAAATTTTCTCTATGCGCCTTCAAATACCTTAGTGAGGCCATTAAAAACGGATTGTAACTCACCTTATACCAGATAATAATCGAGTTTTCATTGATATTCGTAACTCCGAACTCTAGGCGCATCATGTGATTTTTCGGGTTTCTCACAACTCTAGGACCCAGAACAACTTTCGGTGGACATAATCCTGAAACAGATTTTGGATGAATCAACTAAAAAATTCTACCGTATAGGGACACTCTGCGAGAGGCGACACAAGAACCAGATTCTGTCACTATTCTGACTTCATAAAGGCCGCTATCTTGCCCCCAAGAAACGTTCTTAAAAATAATAACCCTACAAAATCAACCGATGTAAACTGACCTTTCTTTTTAATCGCGCTTTGTACGTTGAAACTTCAGCGGAAAGCGGGAAAAACTCAACCTGATCTCGCGAATCTTCGGTTGGCTCGATCTTGTTCTGAAAATAATTGATATTTACCCAATATTAACTTGTTGCAAACCTTCTCAAAATACCATATGACGTTTAGTAAAGCGTCACAGGTAAAAACACATTCGAGGACGAAGGAATTGCACGGTTGGGAGTCCACACTGTTCTCAGTTGTGACATTCGCATTAAATGTCTAAAATTTCTATTAGATATCTTCACCTGGGCTCATTTCTAAAGTTAATTACTAACTGACCTTCACGATGACAGTGTTGACAGCCATTCAGGGCCTTCTGAAATGGAAGACGGCTTGCATCGAAAAATTAATGAAAAACAGAAAATAAATTGAACGAAAAAAAAACAAGCAAGTGCGCCCCAGGCAAACTTTGCAACATCACTTAAGCAATCTCTTCCTTCTTTGATTCGAAATTTTTCTTCAAAAGTTCAAAAGTTGTTTCTGTTTTTCATTAGAAACTTGTTTTATCCGTCGTTTTTTGTTTTTGTCTACGACTTGCGAAAAATATGGTTGTTATGAACAATCTTTTCAGAATTTTGCACAATGGATGCTTTAAAAAAGCTTAAGGAAGAAATGGCGAGGAAAAGAAAGCAGGTGGAAGAAATACAAGGCGAGGTTGGATTCAACTTATGAATTTTTGAAATTGAGATTTTCAGGCTGGTGGTACAAACAAGTTTTTCAAGAGAGCTGATCTTCTCGCGAAAAATGAAAAAGAATACTATGAGAAAAGTGAAGCCAAGCAGAAGATCAAAGACGTTTGTTTTTATTCTTTTCAATTTGAATAACCTCATATTTTTTTCAGGAGGCGAAGCAATCAGGATCTTCAACAGCAGAAGTACAAACTCAGAAAACGGAAGTGAAGCGGGTATTTGATGAAAGAATTCCCATGTCAGAAGTTCGCCGTCGGCTACGTTTACGTGGAAAACCTATCCTTCTTTTCGGTAATTTTTGCTACAAATTTATGAAAATTTTGAGATCGAAAAATATTTGAAATTTGGTGTTTCTAGGAGAAGTTGACTTCGATGTTAGAGAAAGATTATTCAAATTGGAGCTGGAACAACCAGACAGTGAAGGATCTCAAAACGAATTGGCGGCAGCAATGCAGGTCGTTGGCAACGAGTTGGATAAGGTTTTAGAAACCAAAGAAAGGGAAAACGATGAATTCGATTTCCAGGAAGTGATAGAAGGAACATCCGGGAAAGCAAGGCACGACGTTGCGCTTCCTTCTCAATTTGACGAAAATTGGGAGAAAATCGAAAAGAGCTCTTCTTTGTTGGGAATCGGTACTTATAATCCATCCTGTTTAAAGTTCACGCTATGGTGTTTTAACGATCATAGAAAGCGTTAAAAAAAGGCTTGAAGAGAAGAAATTTTTTCAGTGTTTCAGGACAGGGCTCCTACGCCTTTGAAAACCGAAAAAATTTTTTTATCTGCTTCTTTTTTTCCAAAGCAAGAAAAGAAAATTTTCAGGTGATGACAAAAAAAGAGATTGCGATATCGTGGCTTCCATATTGAATTATCTGCTTGCGCGATGGGGAAAAGTTCTGAATGATCGGCCGGCTGACGTGAAGAAAACCCCGCAAGGTTTCTGGCCGATTTTCACTCTATTTACCATACGCTTGTGTAGAAAAAAGCCAATATTTACTTTTTTAAGTATTTTCGGTTTGAATCCATCCTGAATATCGTACAGTGACGCCATTCGAAAACGCTCTCTGATCGATTAATCGTGCTATCAGGGGGCGGACCTTGACATTCAAAATCTGAACTTTAGGCCAGCTCGTTAAAAATTTTTTTCTTAGCTCTTCATCAACTTTCTGTTAAGGTCTCCACGAAGCGTCGGTTCACAAACAGACGAACATGCATTTGAAGCCGTTACTCACAAGTTTAGAGTCTTATAACGTGAACAACGATATAAGACATCACTTGGCCAAGATTTGCAAGTGAGTTTTTTCTAATTATTCAGGACACCTTCTGCACTATATTTTTTTTTAGGACCTTGGTCATTGAACGAAATTACATCGAAGCCAACAATTTCTACATGGAAATGGCAATTGGAAACGCTCCATGGCCCGTGGGAGTCACGCGATCAGGTAAGAAGTTTGAAAAAATTGGATAGACAAAGGAAAATGTAAGAAAAAAGGAGAATTTGAGGGCAAAACTGTAATAAACGGCGGAGAAAGCCTCTTAGAGATTGTACTGATAAAAAGATGTAATGTTGTAATGTTGAAGGTTTTTCCGCCCATCGCGAATGGTCCATCTATCTTTAGATTTTAATGGATGGTACCGCCGCGTTGGCGGATAGACTTTGCTTGAGTCATCGTGTCTCGAAATAAAAGTTTATGGGGCTTCCTAAAAAAAAATAAAAAAAAAAAAAGAAAAAATTTGTCTAACATGTTCACAGTTTACGCAAATAACATGATCTGAAGGCCAAACAAAAACTTCTTAATTTTGCTTTTAAAAGCTAATAAAAAATTGAAAATATTGTACCTGCAATCTGTATAAGTGGGCAAAACAAATCAAATCTTTATAGTGTTTAAAAAAGTCGAAATTTCAAAGAAACAAGTGTTTTCAAAAGATCGTTGGTGAGAAAAACAGTTGCATTGTTTTTTTAGGTCTCTATGCCAAGAATTCTGCGCCTTCCAAAATTTCAAATAGTTTCGGAGTATCTTATTGCTGGTTCTATGGGCTGAATTTTTTTTCAGAAAGAACTTATTTTGAAGCGATTCAATTGATGAAAATGAACAGAGTATAATCAATTTTAGTTGAGTTTTGTATTTTCAGGTATCCATCAACGCCCCGGATCTGCGAAAGCTTACGTCTCGAACGTCGCCCACGTTCTGAACGATGAAACTCAACGAAAGTACATTCAGGTTGCCTCTTTTTCCGGTAGTTTTGTCACAGCACACTCAATTTTCAGGCGTTCAAAAGACTGATGACAAAAATGCAAGAATATTTTCCGACCGATCCTTCGAAATGCGTCGAGTTCGTCAAACGGCAATGAAGATTTCTTCTTTGTACATACTCAAATTTTTTATTGAAGAATAAATTTGATTTTATTGGTTTTGTGGTTGAATTTTTTTCTTGTTTCCGCTCGTGTCGGTTTTGATCTTTATTTGATTTGATTATTTGAATCGTCTTTTTCCAAATATAATCTCAATTTCTCTATTTATAGGTTTGTTATGCTTTTTTTTAACAGCTTGAGCTCTATTTATTTATTCTCTTTGGATATAGCTTTATCTTTCGCGAAACCGTAATGACGAGATTTTTTTCCCAATTTTTGGCCTCAAAACCAAATTTTTATGTCGTGCGGACGAAATCAGTTTTCGGAATAGTTAATTGAGAAAGAGAGCTGATTGACTACAATTAAATTGAATACAATCTTGAAAATTGTTTCAACTTCTTCTCTGCATTGTTTTTGTAACATTTCAAATTGAAATTCAGTTTCATTTTCATGGTCAAAGTCATTTTAAAAGTTTGAAAATAAGAAGTTTTCTTTTCACAGTGAAAAATTACCTTTACAATTTTTACTCAATAACTTGTTGGATTTTTGTGTTGTTTTTTTCAATTTGAAGATTTTCGATTCTTTTTTGTGTTGACGCCCACGTCTTTGAATCAGAAAAAAATAAAGCAAGAAAATCAAAAATTGGAAAAGAACGAGTGAAAAATGGTTCCTATCGTCCTCACCACTTTGCTCATCTTCTAGTCTGTTCAGAAATCATTACTTCGGTCACGGCTCAAGCTCCGCCCCTAATTGCGCGAAAAACCAATCAGAGTGGGAGCCATCCACAGAGCGCTTTCGAATGACGTCATTTTACTTGAAATTCCGAATCTGAATATACTATATCTCTTCCGAATTCGCCATTTTTTCAGGCTAACTAAGATGTCGGAGTTTGACGGAGGTGGAGAAGTAGATGAGGTCGAGATGGTCGACTTGGACGAGGAAATCGCCAAAACCAAGAAAAGGGTGATTAATTATTTGGAGAATCATTTTCAAACTTTTATTTTTCAGCTCACGAAGAATTCCTATGACATCAGAGCGAGTAATATACTGATCGATTTATTGAGGAAAAATGGCGACTTTGAGGAGGTTTTTCCTGGAATTTAAACCTTTTGAAATGAATTTTTCAGTTGCACGAGTTCCGCAAGAAGTTCGTCGAATGGGGTCCTCTCAGTTCCAAACTTTGGATCGACTGGATCAAGTTTTTAAAATCCATAGAAAATTATAAATTTGAGTGTTCAGGGATTTGCGAGACAGCGACGCTTCAAAGGAAACCATTGAGGAGCATTTTGAACGCGCCATTCTGGACAACAATTGCTTGAACTTGTGGGTCGAGCGGATTTGTTGGGCCAGCAGCATTGGATCGGATTTCGCGCGAGAGGTTTTCATGAAACGGAAAAACAAATGAGAGTTTATCTTTTTCAGAAATGTGAAGAAGCAATTTCGGCAATCGGAGCGCGGTTCGACGTCGGCGGAGCTGTGTGGCAGGCTTATATCGACATCGAAAGCGTTCTTTATTCAAGTTGGTTTTTATCGGGATAATATCGGGCATTTTGTGGGACATCAAACATAACCTTCGTTAATTAAGATTAAGTGTACTAAAAATCTGATTTCACAAGGTTTTTAGTAGCAAGTTGTGTTTTTAGTAACCCAAGGCTTTGTCACTTCAAAATAAAGAAAATTTTTACGAATTTTCTAAAAAAAAATGAACTTATGTTCAGTATCGATCGGTTTGAACTATAACCTAATCACAACTTTTTCATCGTGATGTTTTTTTAGTGGTAGTATCATTTTTTAAGGGAATAGGTGCTTTGTTGAAATCACAACTCCGAGATATTCAAAAAAAATTTTTCAATTTTGAGTGGTCTTGCAGGCTTTTCATTTTTTTTAATATTGTACCTTGTTTCGAAACGCAAATAGTATTTTTTTGAAGTCTATTGTTAGCCACTTTATCCGTAAAAAAACATAGTTAACGTCAAAAATTCCTGGTTTTTACTTTCTAATCCGGATTCATTCTAGAATCCTTTTCTGAAAAGTTATAAAACTTTTGAAATCAAAAATTACAGAACTTCGATCTCTTTTTTCACTCAATTTTTTTTTCTATGCGAGTTTTCCATATTTTTTTTCACGAATTTTGATCTCTCTATTTTCAGATGAACCATCGGAAGCTCAGAAGGCGCGCCTTTTTTCTGTGATCCTGAGAGCCCTCCGCGTTCCGACCGTCGACATCAAAGACATTTTTCACAGCGCGATTCCGCTTTTTGAAGGTTGAAAATATTATGATAGGTCATTATAAAGTTAGAAAAATAGTACAAGTCTAAAGGAAATTTGAGCCACAATTTTGTCGAACCGTATTTTTTTTACCTAAAGTATAGTCAAAAAAATTGTTTCATTATATTTTTCAGAAATGGGAATGACGGCGGAAGAATTCGAGAAGTATCAGAACGCCTACGACGCAACCTGGAAAATTGTGCACCTTCTGAAGCCGTACGAAATGAAAATCGCCGATTCTGAAAACGATAAAATGGCGGCCAAAGCTTTCAGCGAGTATATGGAGTTTGAACTCGGTAAAGGAAATTTTCAAGACCAAAGAATAAATTTTTGTGTAGGAAACGGTGACCCAACACGCATTCAAACTCTTCATGAGAGAATCGTCGAAACTTTTCCCGACAACGAAGATTCCTGGCTTCAGTATGGACTCTGGTGTGAACAGCACTTGAAAATCCACAAGGTATACATTTTTTTTTTTTTTGAAAGTTTAGTCTAATCTATGCGTTGAAGTTAGAAAAATTTATATTCTTATCGGATCCTTAGTTTTTCTTGGCGGCTGTGAAAAATGGAAAAATATACATTTTTTTCCAGCCTTGTGTGAGCCTTATTTCTTTTATCATGGAAAAAAACTTTTCAGAAAAATCCTGTTATAAATCCTGTTCATTCCATTTTTTTGCAACTGTGATTTATAAAGATGATTTTTGAATTCATAATTGAATGTTTTAAAAAAAGTTGTCTTTTTGAATTTTCCCTTCTTAACTTCATTCTTAGCGTCTCGGAAGGTCTCGATTTTTTTAAAGCGAAAACTTTGGAAAGAAAATGGGGAAATTTATCAAACCAGATAAGAAATTGAATTTGTAAAAAAGAGTGCTTGCGATTTTTTGAATTAATCTTTAAAAGTTCCTAACACCGTTCCGATTTTTAATGGAGTATCTGTTTTAAGGTCGACCCTGCATACACAGGCAAAGTCCAATTGATCTCAAAAAGGCCTTAAAAAGATTAGTCTGAATCTCTTTTTTGAGTTCCTATAAAGGTGTCAAATATTTCTCGGGATCTCCTTTCTTTCGTCTTTTTTCCGCCTTATTCTTTTTTACTCCTCAAAGGGTCATTTTCATAAAAAAGATTTCGAAAAAAAGGTACCTTTGAGACCTTTTGGACTTTGCCCGTGCAATGCTATCGGTTGTAAATAAATATATCAGATTGGTTTTTCAGGAATGAGAAGTGAGATTTCAATTTAAAAAGTAGCTTTGAAGAAAAATGACAAAGTAACGAGTTTTCTTAAGGTCACCTGCCGCACCTACGAAAGAGCCGTCAGACAGTGTGCCTACAGCTGCGCTCTCTATCAACAGGCTTTGCTGGCCTTTGAAAGAGCCGGCGAATCCGCGGAACGGATCGACGCCCTCTGGAAAAGCGCCAAGACCAACGCCATAGTGTACATTTTCTCCGAAACTATTCTGAGCTCATTTTTGGTCTTCAGGTGCGCCGACTACGGTAGAGCCCTCTACCGTACCTACATTTACCTGGTCCGACGTCGAGTCACCCTTTCTGGAAGTGATGATCATTCTGCAGTCAAGAAACTTTTCGAAGAGGGCGTCACGGTAATTTATAGATTTAGGCCTAAATAAATTTTCTTTTTCAGCTGCTACGCGAGTATTTCCCAAGAGATTGGGACCTGAAAGGAGAGTTCCGACGAAATATGGCTCGGTTCTACGCGACTTATGGCCGTGATTACCCTACTGTTCGTAATTAGTTGTTTCATTACTGTGGGCAGATTTTTCAGATTGCGCATTTTAGTTAACCTCATTTTATTACCCACGCCAATCAATCAATTGCCGAGACGCTTCTTAAGAACGGGCCCTTAAAGGTTCCCCTCCAGGGGCAACTTTAGTTACCCCTTTAGTTAGTGGGCTCTCTAGGATGTTTGTTAGTCGTCTCTTTTTATAAAATCTATGAGAAGAATAATTTTAATGCAAAAAAATTATCAAGTTAGCGCTTTTAAAATGAAAAGGATATCAACAGAGGGTTAAAGTTTCATTGAATGCGTCTTTTACATATTTCAAAAAAAAAAAAATAAAGTTAACAGATTCTCTTGTAGAAACCACCTAAATTTTACCACTATAGAGAGCATTTTTTTCGCCCTTTATTGGGTTTGTTTTTCCTCTTGAATACTATAGCGATCACTCTGGCGTTCCTATTTTTTTATGATTTTATGATGGAAGAACCTTTTTAAGGTTTCATAGCAGCATTCAATACTTTGATTATATTTTATTAATAACTGTTAGAAATCTGCTTCTCTGTCTGCGTCATTCAATCCCTAGCTGAAATTGGATATATAATAAAGCCTAATTTAATAATGATAACAATCATTATTATTGCAGGCGCGTAAGATTTGGGAAGACATTTTGGCATCCGGTTTCGGGGCCAACGCCGAAAAGTGGATCGAAGCGATCACTTTTGAGCGACAGTTTGGGGACAACGAGCACGCGAGAAAATTGCTCAACAAGGTTAATTTCTTTTTCCTCTTTTAAAAAATTTTCAAAATCTTTCAGGCTTTGAACTCTGTCGCTGATCATCCCCACGATATCTACGAGTACTACGTTCAGTTCGAGCGCGAAGAGGGTTCTCTTGAAGAACTGGACAAGGTTCTTGAAAAGGTTTGAAGGAAAATAGTGGAGGATCTGGAAAAAAAACCGATTTTTTTAGGTTTCATCTCAAATCGCTCACCGAGCCGCCCGTCCGCAGAAAAAAGAACAGCCGAAGGCTGTCGGCAAGAAAGACAAGGTTTCTATTTTTTTTCGAATTTGAAGGGAAATATTTTCTATATCCGTATAAACGTTTGAAAAAAATGATAATCGCATCTAAAAAAATTTATAGAAAAATTTTAAAGTTTTATAAAGTTATTCCCATGTCGAAGAGACCTTCAAGCCTTCCTAAAAACGGGAGCAGAAATTTCGGAAAAAAACGCTAATTGTTTGATTTTCCTTCTATAGTTTACTCTACTCAACGTTAGATTAATTATCATATAGTCTGTTATTCGCGACTTGAAAGGGCGAGACTTCTCTGCGCCCTCCTTATCTCTCGAGGTCTTTCTCCTGTTTACGTGCTTTTTCCATGTTTCTCTGACCTCGCCGGTGAGGGAACAGAGAGACGCAGACACGCGAAAACTGTCAAGTTGCCGCGGACAGACTATAGAAACAATCATCTAGCTTTTGAAATGCAAGAAAGGACATGGGAATGAAATTCGTCTCAAGAGATATTATTATTAAAATTCGGTTATTATTCCATAACTTCCTCAGTTTAATTGGAATTTTGACAATTATCTTAGACTTTTCAAAAAGCGTTTATTCCTTGTATGATTTTATACTTTTGCAGGTAAAGACGCCAATAGGAAAGGCGACGGCGAAGAGAGACTCGCCTTCGATTTCCGACGAATCCATCAGAGTTTCCGTCGCGAAAAAGATGCGAATTGATACGCCAGAAGAGCGACAGACACCCGCGACGCCTCCTCTCGTCATTGACGCCGACGGATTCGCCATGCCCACTTTGCCGGCCATCAGAAAGGTTAGTACCTTCTAGGAACGAAAATAAACGAGAGCATGATTCTCATCTTACACCTTGAATCTCATTTTGGGGCTCCGAAATCTAGAAAGTTTGAAAGTTGACCCCTTATTTCGATCTACAGCGGCTCGCATAAAACTTTAAAATTCATCAAAATGTTTTCTGCGAATGTTTTTTTCAGACATTATGAAGTTTTTTTATCATTCCAAAAAAAGCATGAAAGTAGTGTTCAAAAATATTAACAAAAAGTTAATAAAGTTGGAAAGAAAAATAATAAGATTTTTGAGCGTATTTAATGAAGATGTATGTCTTGAAATCCAAAGTTTTTTTCATTCCACCCGCCATGAAAAAATACAAATATTTGAGTGAATGAAGAAAGTTTGCAAGCCATGAGATTTGATTTTTTACAAAGTTTTCTCTGAAAATCAACAAATAAAAAAACGTGTTGATTATCATAGAGTTGATGCCACAGTAAAAAGTATTTAGGCGCAGACTTGTTCTGTGCCATTTGGATTTAGGCTGGGTTGGAAAAAAAAGGCGTTATGATAACTTTTTCCCTAAATGAAATATGTTGTAAAATTATCTTTTGTTTCTGACCACTTCGAAAATGTTCAGATCAAGGAATGATCATCATTTTCAGTCTTCTTCCGGCTCGAGCAGTCCAGTCGCGTCGCCGTCTTCTCCCGGCCGTGCCGCCCTTCCTCATTCGCCAAACCATTCGCCGAAAATCGCCACCGCCGCGAATACTGCGGTCCCTTCGCGTCGCCTTGAGCCCGACGACAAGGGGCAGTACACTGTCTTTATTTCGAACCTCGACTTCAAGGCTACCGAAGAGGATATCAAGAGTGTAAGTTTTTCAGAGTGTTTTCAAAAAATTAATCGACAATTCACAGATCAAAGAACGGTTTCTAGGGATTGAAAGGTATCTAGAAAAATTAGATAAGTTTTTTTTATTTTGCTGCTCGATGCTTATTTTTTTACAAGTACGTGTTGCTTTCTCAAATATTTAGGAGTTTTAGATCTCTGAAAAGTGAAATTGCCCTAAACATTTTCAAAAAAAAGTTCTTTAAAAAAACTTTAGTTTTCTGCTCCTCTTTCATTTACTTTTTAACAGTGGGAGTAATTTTTTTAAAATAAGCTTGAGTGTAAAAAAAAACAAACCTAAAAAAAATTTTCAATGAATAATATTGTGTAAAGGGGGTAAGGTTTGAGGCCCGACATAAGAGATTTGAAAAAAATTTAATGTTTTCACGAAAAAAAAAATTCCCTAATGAATATTTTGGCTCAAAAAGGAAAATTTCACATTTTTAGGTACTGGATGGTGTGGTCGAAGTTCGGTTCGCGATGCGTCCAGGTTCAAAAGTCCCAAACATGCACCGCGGATTCGCCTATGTCGCTTTCGAAAAAGAGCAAAAAGCTATCGAGGCTCTCGACCGTGATCGCGCCCCATTGAATGGACGTCCCATGTTTGTGAGTTCATAAATAATTAACTTTTTGGCTTGAAAATCTTTAAACACCTTTTCCAGATCTCGGAGAACAACCCAGAAAAACGTGTCGGCTTCAAGTACGCGACTGGCTTGGAGAAGAACAAGCTCTTTATCCGCAATTTACACCTGAGCGCTACGGAGGATGATGTCAAGGTATTTTTTAAGAAAAAGTGTTTTTGGGTCTCATAAAGTACCAGAAGAGAGGAAAACCTGGTAGTTTTTTTCAAAAAAAAAATCGAATTTTAAAAATAGAGAAGTCGAGTGATTTTCTGCAATTTTAATCAAAATGCAAGTGAAATATTGTCATAGAGAACTATTTTGATGGATTTTCAAAAAATTAAAGATGAATAAAAGCAAAGAAAACTGCTTTCAGGGACTTTTTGCGAACTTCGGAACGGTGACCAGCGTTCGCCTGGTCAAACACAAGTCAGGACAGCCGAAAGGAGTCGGATACGTCGATTTCGAGACGAACGAAGCCGCCGAGAAAGCCCTGAAAGCTGAACAAATCGAACTGATGGGTAAGTTTGAGGAATGGATATATCCTCGGAAAATTTAGGTTTTAGCGCAGAAATAGAAGGACTCTAGTAGGACCTTCAGTGAAATTCTGAATAGCATCTTAGAAATCGACTTCTTGAAGTGTTAGAAAAATTTTAACTTCAGAGAAGGTAACTTTTTGAGTCAGATTTTGCTAATAGACGGTTTCCCACGATTTTTAAATTTTATCCCATTCTTAAGTTCAAGCTTTTTGACCCAAGAAACAGTAGAGTGATTTGTATACTTCATACGTAACTTTTGGTACTATTAAGATCACTCGGACATGAAAAAAGGACTTTTTTTGTCGTGAAAAGAGCGATTTTTGGCGTTTTTTTTTCCTGGCCGCTTCTGAATAATGTTTTCTGCAAAACTGAGTTATTACTGAAAAGAAAATTTTGCAATTTTTCACTTTCCCTCAATTTCAGCTTTAAATTGATGAGTTTTTTCAGGCAGAAAGTTGACAGTGGCTCTCTCGAATCCGCCGAAGAAGGGCGAAAAACGTGAGCCCCCGGCATCGCTGGGCGCTGGAAACGCAGAGACGGCGGCGGCGATGTCGCGGAAGCCGCACAGCAGCGTCATCTCGTTGGTTCCCAGGAACGCGCGGCCCTCCGTCGTCAAAGGTTCAGCGATATCGCCATCTAGATCTCATAGCTTTATTTTTACAGGAGCCAAGGCCAAAGGAAACGTTGTATCAGACATTGAGATCACCGAAGAAATCATGACGCCAATGTCCAACGCCGACTTCCGCAAATTCATGGGGAAATGAATGTTTTGTCCATTTTTCGGACCTGTTTGTAAATATTCATGACCTTGTTGGTCTTATTCTTGTTTGTTTCTCGTACAAGCCGCTGGCTTGATAATGTTGATGAAATATTTAATTTTCGAATAGCGTTTCTTGTTCCGAACTAGCAGTACCTATTTGTTCACAGGCTGAGGCATGGATAGTGAAAGTTTGTATGGAAAATTTTGATGAATAAGTATATTTTGGATTTAAATCTCGTCTTGAGTCAGGAAAAAATCAAGAATTTTTCCTCGTGGTGTATGTAGTGTGCTCTTAGAAATCGAAATTATTCGTAGCAATCGCTTCAAAATCCCATAACTATGTGCCCTTGAAAAAGTATCAGAATTCTCATAAATTATCCGATTTTCACTATCCACGTCTCAGCCTGTCGTCCCCTAGTTTCGCACTATTTTTTGCTTCTTTTTTTTTCGAATTCCCGGTTTTCCACCCATGAGAAAATTTCGAAATGAGTGAATCATCACGCTGAGTCTTACTCGCATGCTGAGCAGGGTAACCCCGCCGTGCTAACACGGGGTCTCCGCGGGTGCCCCCGTATTAAACCCGTAAAAGCCCAGCTGATAGAACTTTTGGCAATTTTTAGCCCAACTGAGACCCCGCTTTAGCCCAGCTGGGTTACATATTTTTCTTACACCCGTTGTTCCCCCGTTTTAGCCCAACTGAGACTAAAATAACCTCAGAAACACGGGTTAAATACGGGTACACCCGTTGAGACACCTGATCAGCATGCGAGTACCCGCCTCTCCTTCCCCCACCCCTATTCCATATTTTCTTGCTCTCAACTGCTTCAAAACTATCTTTTACTTCGATTTGCGAATGAGTTGGTACTTTGTCGATATTTATTTGAACATCACCAGTTGCGATATTCTTTTCTACGTGGTTACTTTCCCTACATCCCGTTGGAACCAATATTTAATCACATTTCTCCCTCTTTTTTCGGTTATCTTATCCCCGTACCCTTTCTTGAAAACCTCACGTGTTGAGCATACGAATGATGGGCAAAACCTGCATATGGGTGAAATGCCGATGTTTCTGATCGTTTGTACCTTTTTTGCCGTTCTTCAACTTTTCCTATCTTCATCTTTTGTTAAGTTTTATCCAACACTTACCTGTGTATTGCACGACTTCGTACCAATAAAAGTGATATTCGATGAGAGAATTTTTCGGGTTTTGGATGTTTCTTTCAAACTGACTTATCTAAATTTGTACCTTTTTTTCTGCAAGAATGTTGTTAAATAACATCATTCTTGATAGTTTGAAACTCTGACTTTTCTGTGCTCTCGTTTGAAGGTGCTATTTTCATTTTGACCGCGGTGGTTAGAGAAAAGATAGCACAGACAAGTTAGAAAGTTTCGTTGTGGAATTTTTTTCATTTCTTCATCAACTTTTCATGCCGTGTTCAAAGTAATTTCCGCGAAATGCAAAATGATCTCTGACTCTCCACAATTTAGTGATCTTTTCCTTTCTCTAACGGGTATTTTGCATTTCGCGGAATCAAATTGAACACGGCATCAGTGTTTATAGTTCTTTCTACAGATATATTTTCCATTTTAACTCTTTAAAAATATGAGAAAAAATGAACAGCTGAAAAGTATGGACTTTTTTGGAGTGTCCAAAATAATTTTTGATTTTTAACTTGACATATTTCTATTTTCCCGTTTCATCATCATAATTCTTCGCGACTTGAAAAGTCTGACCTGTCTGTGACCTCTTGATCTCTATCAACATCGCTCACTTGCTCAAGCACTGTTTTCATTTTCCAAAAAAACTGCGGGAAAAGAGAGCGCAGGCAAGTCAGAAACCGTGGCGTATGATGGTTGGATTTGTCTAGAGCAACGCTTGAATTGCGAATTTCGAAACAGGTGGTGGAACGTTGTGAGATTCGCCAAGAAAAGATGGACTACACGAACGGCGGAGGGGACAGCGTTCCGCCTGGAGCGACGACGTCATCGGCCGGAGAAGACGACCACTTGCTCGCCCCCTTCGAGTACATCCGATCCATGCCCGGAAAACAAGTTTGCTTGGGAATATGTCGATTTAGGGAGATAGTTTTGAGGGAAATCCATAGCAAAGTGAGTTCTAAAGGTCTGGATACAAGTTTTCTTGAAAGAAGAACAGGGAAAAATAAATAAAAGGGAGATTTTGCGAGTTTGTAACACTAAGCCGACCATTTCGAACAATGATGTGAATTTAAACAATATTTGAAAATCAGTTAAACTTTAGAAAACCGTAAGAAATAGGGGAAAGATTGAGAGATTTTCTGGAAATTTTTTTTTTTCGAAAAACCATTCATCGGACTATTTTTTCAAAGTTCTGTTACCCCAAAACTTACTTCTTTTCTAGATCAGGAGCAAGCTGGCGATCGCGTTCAACTTGTGGCTCAGAATCGAAGAAAGCAAACTTCATCAAATTTTAGGTATCCATTCTATTGATCTTTATTTTTATGAATGAACTCAGAAATCGTTGAAATGCTCCACAACGCCTCTTTGCTCATTGACGACATAGAGGACAACTCTGTGCTACGGAGAGGTCTCCCAGTCACTCACCGGATTTTCGGTTCGTTCCGAGTTTATTTTTCGTTTTTCATATAATTGCTTTCTTCTGTGCAAATGAGTGAGAATAAAAGTGTTGATAAATTTGCGGATACTGTAAAATCTGAGGCCGCACTTGGAATGGCTCAGAGCGGCGCGGTCGCGTTGTTATTTAAGTGAGTCTATAGCCAGCTTGACATCCGCAGCTTGCTCCATTGTTTAAAAAAAAGTCTCAAGCCGACCAAAATTAAAGGCCGCCTTTATAGTCAATTTTTCCCGATTTTGTGCGTTACGTACGCGACGCGGCTTCTTGGCGGGAAGCTCAAGGTCAAACGTAATCTTAAATGAAATTAAAAAAAAAAGTTTTCCGTTATTCTTATATTTGTATTCGTTAAACGAAGCTTTTTCAAAAATCATAAAACATTAAAATTTTTTTTGAAAACCTGTTTAAAAAAAGGTGGCTCTTGTTTGACTCCGAAATCCGCGCAAAAAGCCGCATCGCGTACGCAACGCTTCACCCTTGCCAATCTACCTTCTTACCTTTCAAGTCGGAAAAGATACTCTACCCCTCCAAAGTTATTTTAGCTTATAATCAGAACTATTTGAGTTTGAAGGGATTCAGTTTTCATCTCAAAACTTTCGTAAGTCAAATGCGTCGCAGCTGCTTAGCCATTCCACGTGCGACCATGGTCTTTTTGACTGCCTTGAACACATTACAAACATCAAAAGAAGTAATAAGAGAATGAGATTTTTTCCTTCAGGAACGCCGCGAACGATAAACTCGGCCAACTATGTATATTTTATCGCTCTGGAGAAGTGCATCGGTTTAGGAAGCGACCAAGCGATTCGTGTATTTACAGGTTAGTTTTTCAGAGAATTTTGGAGGTCAAAAAAGATCTTGTTTGAAAATAAACCAGATTTTTCGAATCCGCATTCGGACCATTTTCTGAGGTTCAGGCGAGAGGAAAAAATCACGTTTTTATCATATCCAAAATTCTCATAACCAGAAAATTTAGAAACTGGGTAGACGTAGCTAAATTTTGCACCATTGACTCAGATCTGCTACTTTTTTTTGGCTTTTTAAAGGATAGAAAAATTTTCCTTTCTATCAAATCTCATGTTCTGTTCTTCCCAGAGAATTCGATATTTTTACGATTTCAGAACAACTCCTGGAGCTTCATCGCGGTCAAGGAAAGGAACTTTTTTGGCGCGACACGGTTTCCTGTCCCACCGAAGCTCAGTACGAGGACATGGTTGTACAAAGTACAGATTTTGGAAAAAAATTTACGAGGTTCAAGTTTTGCTTCAGAAACCGGAGGTCTCTTCTTCCTGGCGGTCCGTCTGATGCAGGGCTTCAGCGAGAATGTTCATGGCTTTGAACGTCTTCTTCGGTTGATGGCGCTCTTCTTCCAGATCCGGTCAGTTTATCTTTCTTGGCAGGAGCTTTTGGTTCAAAAAAAAAGCAAAAAAAAAATCTTCTCGAAAATGTATTTCAAATGGATACTTGCTTTTTTAGTTTTAAGTTAGTTTTGGCTTCCTTGACCGAGAGGACTAGGGTCTAGGAATGGCAGGAATTTCGGGTCAGAATTTTCATTGATAGTTTGTAGGCTTCTTGGAAAGCTTCTAACAGAGTTTTGTGTCTTATTCCTATGTTTCTCGTTTATTTTCTTTTTAAAAAATAAAAGAAAAATTTGATGTGGAGTTTAATCTTCAGATCTTCCGAAAATGACTTGCTGATTTTTATGGTCTGGGGTATTGTCAAAAAAAACCTCGACAGAATAAATGAGAAGATTTGTGAAGAGGAAACACTCAGATGATGCTAGGGCTTTTTAATGTCTCCAAGCACTTTCAATAAGGTCCAATCTTCACCAGCAAATCTAAGTTGTCCTTTTTATCAGAGTTTTGAAGAATTCGTTCGCGAAAGTTATACTAAATCTGGAAGAGTTTGAAAAGCCGCGGTTCTTCGCAGGTGTCAGTTCTGACTCATTATAAAAAAATTATGAAAGGGAAGGTCCCATTTTTCGTTTTGATCTTGCATCAATTCAAACTCGCCTTTTGAAACCGTTTTTTCATAATCGTTCCGAGTTGTCACAAGTCGGGTATATTTTTGTTGAATTCCTGCAGCGATGACTACCTGAACCTGGTGTCGGATGAGATGGCGCAGCAGAAGACGTTCGCCGAAGATCTCACCGAGGGCAAATTCTCGTTTCCCATCATCCACGCCGTCCACAACTTCTCCGGCTCACGGAACGACGATCCCGTTATAAGTCCGTCCGCAAAGGCTTCGTCTTGGCTTCAAAGGACTTTTTCCAGACATTTTACGGCAAAGGACGCAGGACGTCGAGGTCAAGCGGTTCTGCATTCTCCTTTTGCAGAAGCGAGGATCTTTTCAGTCAGTTTTGTAAATCTGCTGTTCTCGGCTTGAAACGGGGAGGCATGACATGTTTTGTGCAATGCGCTCTGACGCCAATTCAAAAATACGTGAATTTCAAATTGGCGTCAAAAACGCATTACGAGGGCTTTACAAACACACTCTAAATGCCAAATTCTGCCCCATCAAGCCGAGAAAAAAAAATGCGTTACAGTGATAGTTCTGATGATAATCAGCTTATTGGTAGGCACACGGTGACGCGGCTCCAACAGCTGAGCAACGAGCTCAAGGCTGAGGTTGAGGCTTTAGGCGGCAACAAGAGACTGACCGAGGTTTTTTCTCTACTCGACGAGGCCATTCCCTACCAGGAGATCTGATTTCAAGACTCCATCTTCCCCTTTTTGCTTCACTAATTTTGATGGTAGTCCCGGAGTGAGAGAAAAATGGATACATGAAGAGACGCCAGAGAAGCTGGAACTCTCTCTTTCTCTGCCGCTTCTTCAACCCGCCGTTTCTCTCTCCCTTTCGCTCGTAAACTCTATCAACTAATTTTAACCTAAGCAATTTTTCGTCCTAATTATCATTAATCATTTTTGATCACCCGAGTTACCTTTTTTCTGCTCTTCCTGTGATTACTACCAACCCGATCGCATCCGATAATCGTATCTCTCTTCGTTGTCATTTTCATATGCAATCCCAGATACTTTTTTTCGTCGTTGTTGTCAAATAATAATACAGTAATACTCATATTTGTAAGATATTAATTTGTTCGCTGTGCGGTCCCTTTAGAAATGTTCGGTTTTTCTTTTTAGGGTTTGTTTCTGGTTTAAGATCCATATGCACGTTTTATCAGGCTTACCCAATTTTTTTTTCTTGCTGTCTAATGTGAAATGGCAAAAATTGTCCAAAAATGGCACTTTCTTTTTTTATTTTCCAATCTTTTCAATAAACCTTTATCTTGGAGGCTTAACCTTTTTTCTCTCTTTTTTAAAGTTTTTTTAAGCCACTGAAAGCTCACAGACTTTTCAGTAAAGCCTAGAAAGTTATTACAAGGTTCCCTGCTTTTCTAAAACCTCTGAAAAAGAAGAAAACTATAGTAGCGGTTAAAACTTCACTTTCAGGGATTTCAGTTACTTTCTAGCTTGCCGCGGCGTTTTTCGAGTGGAAAATCGTCTCGTTTCGGACGGCTTCTCCGCTTTTTTCCCCCTTCTATGGTCAGTTGTCGATTTTTTTTACTAATATTGGTTTCGTTTCAAAACTTTTCTGTTTCAAAATTATTTTAAACAGAACGAAAAATATAGTAGTTTTGTTTAGCTTTTTTTTCTGTGGCGAAAGTGATTTCCGGGGGCATGTTCTAAAACACGAGCGGTTGTGGGGCACGAGCGGCACGACCGTTACTAAATCACGAGCGGTTTCATTTTCGCTCCTTCGCGAACGCTTCTAAATCACGAGCGTTTTTGGCTTATCGTTCTGTTCGAGCGTTTCTAAATCGCGAGCGTTTCATTTTAATCATTTTCTTTATTACCATCCAAGTGTGTTTTTTTTTTTTCATATTTCTACCTTCTTTTTCTCCTTGAATACAAATTTTGACGATCTTATATGCACATTTTTTCGCTCAATTTGTTGATTGATTCACATTTGAGGTTCATATAATGGATTTTTTCTAAGTTTTTTTGCGGTCTCTATAATTTCACAGATTCTGCGTATGGCAAATTTTTTTTCTAATAATTTCATCTGATTTTCATATTCAATATTTCAGATTTTGCGTATGATAAACTAATATTTCACAGATGTCTCGCATGAAAGTCAATATTTCTCAGATTTTGCTTATGACAAATTAAAAAAATATGAACTTTTTCTCTGATTCTCATCTGTGTTTTTCTTGCAAAAATCTAGCTAGTATAGTCATTTTATAAGCGCTGTTTGGGCGGAATTATAATACGAAATTATAAAATTTAGTAACAGGCCGCTTGCTGCATTTTCTGGAACAACGGGAGCTTGCTGCATTTTCTGGTTATCGTCCGAAGCCCACTATGTCGTAAGTTTCTTCCCTGCCTTCTCACTGATAGTTTTTTAAAGCAATTACACACCGCCCGAAGATTTTCCGGATGATTTTTTGGAGCCAATGGATGGTATATTGAGGTTTTTTCTCATATAATTTGGATGTTTCAGATTCCATTGTCGAACTTTCATACCTGAGTCTTGAAGAAGGTGGGTTACTAATTACAAGTTTTTTTAACATGTATCAAAAAAATCACTTTAAGGGGAAATCCGCGACACGAGTATGAATTCCACACGATCTACAACTGAATTAAAAAGAAAAAAATCGACTGATGGTAATCGAAAAATTATAGAAAAATTTAACGGATGCGGAAAAATTATTATTATCTTTCAGAGAACCAAAAACATCATCGGTGTTCACCTCGATGAGATTAATTCTTTTTCGGATCAGCCATATGATGAGGGCGAATTTTTTTCGGATGTTAGAAAAAGTTCCCCTGAACGTTCTGCGCGGGATCCAGTGAGGAGAATTATTTTTTTCAATTTCACCTGCTTACAGGAAGCCCCCTGTTATTGCATATAAACTCTGATTTATACATTGATTTCCTTTTTTTCTATATTTTCATTTTTCCAATCTGTTTCGTTATACGGCTGTCATTCACCGATGAACCACCAGACGCTTATGGCATTTATTTCATTCATTCGCTACGGTTATTAATTTATTTTTTTGATACTTCGTAAATTTCGTATCTCGTTTCATGATAAATATTTTTCAAAGCTTGGAAACGAATAAATTTTTTTGGTAGTATCTCCAAAAACTATTCTAGCGGGTAAGAGGAGAATAAAATATGAATGGCATCAATTCGAATATGAGATTCTATTACCAGAAAAAAATTTTTGAGAGAAAGTATTAGAAAAATTTGCTATACGCAAAAATTTGAGAAATATTGACTTTCATGCGAGACGTCTGTGAAATATTAGTTTATCATACGCAAAATCTGTGAAATATTGAATATGAAAAATCAGATGAAATTATTAGAAAAAAATTTGCCATACGCAGAATCTGTGAAATTATAGAGACCGCAAAAAAACTTAGAAAAAAATCCATTATATGAACCTCAAATGTGAATCAATCAACAAATTGAGCGAAAAAAATGTGCATATAAGATCGTCAAAATTTGTATTCAAGGAGAAAAAGAAGGTAGAAATATGAAAAAAAAAAAACACACTTGGATGGTAATAAAGAAAATGATTAAAATGAAACGCTCGCGATTTAGAAACGCTCGAACAGAACGATAAGCCAAAAACGCTCGTGATTTAGAAGCGTTCGCGAAGGAGCGAAAATGAAACCGCTTGTGATTTAGTAACGGTCGTGCCGCTCGTGCCCCACAACCGCTCGTGTTTTAGAACATGCCATTTCCGGGAGATCTAAAAAAGAAAGTTTGACTCTCCAAAATTTAGTTATCTTTCTCACTCTCTGACGGTTACTTTGAGTTTCGCAGAATCACTTTTAACACGGAATTCAGAACAGTTGATTTTCTTCTGAATAAAGTTTTTTTCTTTTTGAGACTTCGAAGTTTTTTTAAAATTTATCAAAAAAACTTTTTTTGGAAGAACTACGTGGTAGTTTTGAAGACTTCAACTCAAAAATACTTCGTAATTTTCGAAAAAAACTACCTCCAAAGTTGATTTTTTTCTCAACATTGTGATATAAAAAAATTATTAATTTGAAATTTTTAGTCCACCTAACACGTATAACAGATTAGGGAACCCTTTAGTGAGCAAAAAAAAAAATCAAAAATTTAATTTTTGCCTTTACATTTCTGCGATTCTTGATAGTTGATTGAGAAAGGTGCAATGTTCCGTTTTTTGTACGAAACCAGGAAAACCAGAACAATCGAGTAGACGATCAACAAGGCAGACGATCTTCTTGAAACGGGAAACGTGTGTCAGCCTCACTTTTGTGTCGAAATGACGTTTCGCCGTGTTATGAATCTTTCACTTTACTTTTTTGAACTATTTTAAGCTCACTTACTCAATTTTTCAATTTTGATCTAGTCGAATTTGAGGAGAAGCTTCTCCAAATTTATCTTTTTATCATAACAAGTCTAAAAATCAGTTCATTCATCTAAAAAAAAGTCGAAAAAATAGAAAGTGTTAATCAATCGGAAGACGTCGCGCTTCCACAGCTGGGATCTTCCGCGCGGCTTCATCTCCTTGTAGGGCTGATCTTCTCTCGTCGTCTGCGACCTCCAAGATCCGCACACTCTCCCCCCGTCGGCTGGTCTCTTTATCGTTCCGCGAGACTTTTGCCCCCAGGCGTCGGCGAAAGCTGCCCAACCCTGAAATGTGTTGCTTTCGTCTGTAACCTTTCCCTTTCCGATCGTTACTTTTCTCGGCTTTTGAACCGGAACACCGTTCTGAAACCTTTTTTCAATGGTTTTTTGACTCTTTTCTTCAAATCGTACCATTTTTTGGTTCTACCAAGCTTCTTTTTTCATTATCATCTAATGGAGTCAATTTTTTAGTGAACTGAAGCAAAAAAAAAGTTAGACATCAAGCTAAAATAATTTTTTTTTTCCAACTTCTGTGTTGATTTCACTTTTTTTTACTGATAGGTAGCTGACACCAAAAAATTTCCTCATCCTCGTTTTTTCTCGCCTTTCTTTCTGATTTAATTGATCTGTCCGAGCTTCGATTTGATTCTGGATCTTTCGAAGGAGAATCGAAAATTGGAAAGAATGCGTCCGAAGCTGAAACTTTTGCTGTTCGTCTTTTCTGTGCTCCAAACGGCATCGTGTCAGAAGAGCGAACGCGACTATTCTCCACTTCTTGACGTTGGTTTTTGAAAATCATTTGATCTTCGGTATGAATTCGGCTGCAAAGATACTGAAAATCTCCTTTTTGCACATCTAAGCTTGAAAAAACTTTCAGCAAAACACATCCCCATCGAATCCGGGAATCTACCTTCGGCTGATGCCGACTGGGCTCGCATACATGCGCGAAATCGGCATGAAAGTGAGTCATTCGCCTAGAATCTGACCTGTCTGCGCCCTCTTTATCTCTCTTTTCTCTGTTTTTTACCCACGATTTTTGGCTCGGACGGGTCGTCACAGCTCTTAAGTGATCCCTAGGATGCTCAGAAACGTCTGGAACACGTCCGAGTATTTTTTATCACCGCTTTGGCGAGGAAAAAGAGAGCGCAGACATTCCAGAAAGTTACAAATCATTTTTTCCAGTCATCTCGGACAACTTTTCAAAGATCTATCAAAAAAATTGTTTTTGAAAAGCAAGCCCATCAACTTCTATGATTCTGAATTTTTCCAAACCACGTCACTTTTTTGTACAGCGTTTCCTATAGGGAGTTTCTTTTGCCACTTATTGTTCCACGGTGGAAAACCGGGTGCCAATCCGCCGTAATTAAGCGATTTGGGCAAAAGCCGCGGTTTGGTTGTAAAATCTTTTTGGGTTGGCGACGCGTAAAACTGGAAAGTTTTCGATGAATCTAAGCTTGGAAGTGAGTATGTAGAGAAAGTAGCAAAATGATTTCAGGTTGTGAATGATGAGATTTTGAAGCTCCAGCTTCCGACTATCCGGGAGCAGATTGAGAATGGAGAGGTAGTTTTGAAAACTGATTTCGAAGTTTGAAGAAAAACCGATTACTCGATTTTTCATAGTTTTCCTAGAAATTTTGAAAAAATGGATCTTCTCAAATAAAATTTCAGATATCTTCGAAGTCGAAAAAAAGGATATAAATTTCAAAAAGTATTTTAATAGTTTATAAGAAAAACAAAAGATTTCCTATCTTTTTTTCAATGTAGTTTTGCCGAGAAAAATCAGTTATTGGAATCCAAAAAAAGGGACTGTGTTTGACGCTTTTGAGCGCAAGTAGTTTTTGGTCGGGTGCAATCGCCGTTTGAGTACAAGTTAAAAAAAAAAAGCTTTGCTCATAGAGAATAAGAGATTCAAGAAGATTTCCAAAAATTATTAGATTTTTCCTTGAGTTTTTGGACATATTTGATTTCAAAACTTGAATCAACTTTTAATCTGAAAACCTGAAAAATGAAATAAACTGTCAGGTCGCAATCACCAACGCCTACATCTCGAAGTACTGGGCTCCGCAAGAATATTCGCTAGATCTGATTGAACCGAGCATGTTCTCCTGGAGCATGAGCAAGATGCACATCAGGTCAGATCATATCCTTTTTTTGCAAAGACTTGGAACAATATGACTTGTCTGCGCTCTCCTTTTTCTCCAAAAGCATCTTTGATTTCGGTTATAGTTTATCTATGACCTTTCTGGAGCGCAGATAGGTCAGACTGTCCTAACATTTGATAAAGAAATTATTTATGATTTAAAAACTACTTCAGAGCCGCCGGCGACTTCCAAGCGAGTCTTCACACACCTTTGCTCCTTCCGACGGTCCCCATAACCGGCCATTTCGAAGCCCTTCTTGGCCACGTCGCCTTGACCATGACGGTCCACATGTCTAGGTTTCCGGCTCCAGAAAGATTTCTGGAAAAGCGTTTTTTTCTCATTTTCAGAGGCCCGAACGGAGCTCCGCAGGTTCGATCGGCGCTGTGTCAGTCCTCCATTGGTTACGTCGATTTAAACGTTCGAAATACTGGAGTCATCACTGACTTCTTCATCAATGCATTCAAAGGTATTTTTTTCAAACTAGGACATTTTTCCTACGAATATTTGTGCTCCGGTCATATATGGATCGGATATAGTTCATTCATTAAGATTTTGAACCGTCTGACTTGTCTGTGCTCTCTATTTTCTCACTTGTCATTGAGGGCACCACTGACGAGGAAGAAAATTTCACTTTGTGGCTGGAAAAGTCCTAAAATTGACCAGAACACTTATTGGAGTACCAAATGTAGAGAGAAAACCCTCAAAATTTGTAAAAATAAGCTAGTTTTGGACTTTGAGCCCTACTTTCTCGAAAACTAGGTGTTTGAGGTTTTTTGGCTTGAGCCATCAAAATAGGAGTCCTATCAGGATGAGAAAAGAGAGAATGCCTGGTTGGTGGAGAGCGCAGACACGCCACGCCCCCTCAGCCTTCCAAGTTAGCCGTGAATAGACTATACAAATCTAGACTTTCAGAATCTTCTTTTGGTACACCAAATAGTTTGCTGGCCAGTTTTCATGAAGATCCGAACTGCGAAGTAAAATTTCTTTTCTTGTGAAAGGGTTCTATAAAACAAACAAGCCAGACAGTTTCAAGAAATATAATTCATCAGGAACATGAAGCCGGAAACTGGTTTTGAAGCCTTCTTTATCAGAAAAAAAATGTGGTTATCTAATTTTCTCAGCAGTTTTTGTATCAATTTGTCCATCTTTGGAAAATTTACTTCGAAATTAACTTGCTGAATTTTCAGCTTTCCTCATCGCTCATTTCAAGCCCCAAGTCGAACAGAGAATGTGCAAAATGATCGAGAATATCGTTGATCGCGATATGAACATGCTCTTGTCCACAATGCCACTGAAGGTTTTTTCATTGAAGGAAAGAAATCTTATTTTCTAGGTTACAGGTCCGAATCAACGAGCAAAGCATCGACATTATCGGGGAAACGTTTGGATTAAGTCCAAAAGTTTGTTTTTTCTTTGAAAAATATCATTTCACCTTGTTTTTCAAGAACTTTCGGTTATTTGCAAGAAACCTTTCAAGTGCCATCATAAGGAATTTCAAAGGGGTCCCTATGGGGGAAATTTAGACGGTGAAATCCCTACAGGGGCCCCTCCAAAGTTGTACTGTGACTGCGGATTTTTTCAAATTTCGAAAATTTCTAGGTTTTGAGAAAAATTTGTGGGTCGAGAAGGAGAATAATATTAATTGAGAGGATCTAGAAAATTTCCTCTTTCGAAAAAAAACTTCCATAAAATCCTTTAGAGTTCTGAAAAGATTAATAATAATAATTTATTCATCCACAAGGTAAAAAAAGAATAAATAACTTTTTTTCTGAAAAAAATATAACCGATTCTGAAAAAAATTTTTCTGGAGACTTTCAGAAAAAGTCGAAATAATTTTTCCTTGTCAGGAGAAATTTTCAAAACATTTTTTAGTCCACTTCACAGCCTCGAAGCAAGCTCGGACAGAAAGGACTGAAAAACTTCACCCTCGTGCATTTTGTGCAAAACCTGAGGGACCAAGACCTCGTCCTCGACTATCAGCTCATGTCGAACCCGTTCATCCAGTCGGGAGCTGTGGCTATGATGGCCAAAGGAGAGATTTCTTGGTAGTTCTGAAGTGAATGCAGATCTGAAAAGTTCTTTGATTTTCAGGCGTGGCTTGGGAGGAACACCTTTCCATGCGCCGAACATCGTTGTTCCGCCGCCTCACGGTATATTTTCTCTTTTTTGTTCGAAATATAAGATCATGAGAGTACACAACTCCGTCTGAAATTCAGATCAAAAACCCTTTTAAGATAAGAAATTTATTTCAATTAGAAACACTTTTGAACTCGCAAAGAAAATTCTTCAAATCGACTAATACCTCTTTTTTTCTGTCCAACGTTTTCGAAAAGAGTCCTTTAAGGAGTTCACATGGTTGAGTTCTACGCCAGCGACTACCTTGCCAACTCGATGCTTTATCACGCCTACCGACAGAAGTTCCTCGACGTGATTGTCGGTCCCGAGAGCAGTCCGCAGCTGAAGGTTTCCCGCAAAAATAAAGCTTATCAGATAATGGATCAGTTATTTTTTGATTTGCTCAAAGATGGGGTCGGGAAAAATAGTATTATGTGCTTTTCCTGCTTCATTTTGCTCGTATAAACCGTGAACCTTTCTTTTACAGTTGAATTGTCGAGTTTTGATTATCGGGGATAAATTTCTCTTGAAAACCACTTAAGTAACTACCCTAACTGAATGAAAAGAAGTAACTGAGAACTTTTTTAAATTTCCATCGAAGCCTCTTTTTGAATAGACGGGTATTTTTGGGATTTTTTCTACGCTATTTTCAAATTTTTAAACGGATTTACTATCGATCTTGCGGTGAAAATGAAGTTTGAAACTTCAGAAGCAAGTCTTTGATGTTTTTGGTTTTCATAAAGAAAAAATTACTTGGATAAGGATATTTTGAAAATTTATATTTTACAAAGGTTATTTTTGATCCGCCATAGGAATGATTTTCTGAAAAAGCTATGAGTCTCGACTCTTGATTTTAAACGTTGGGTACAAATTTAATCCCACTTTTCCAGGATTTGTTACTGACAAGCTGTGGAGCGGCTGGTTTTTGCATCGGCGAGTTTTTGGGAACACTTGGGGAGCAATACCCGGATCGACAAGTCGAAGTTGTTTTCACGGCCAGAAAGGTTCTTATTTTATTTCTTCTAGAAGAATATGAATAATTGAAGAAAAAATGCAATCGAATTTAGGCTCCTCTAATTGTTTTTATTGAAAATCGAGCTCGCTTCCGACTTCATGGACGGATGAACATGTTTGTGAGGCCTGGAAATGCGACTCAAGTCAAACAAATGGTAAATTACTTCATAAATATTATCTGCGTTAAATCGAACCGTAACGAGAATGCGTAGCGCCTACAAATCAAGTTGCGCCCGACCGCAAACTACTTTCGCACGATCGCTTAAAATCAGTGAAACTTGGAAATTTCGCTGTTAGCTTGAGACGCGATTAGTGTTCGCCTGTCTGCGCACTCCACCAATCAAACGCTGTCTACTTTTTATCGTGTCAGGACCTTTTTTTTCTCGAGCCAGCCTTGACTAACTTGAACCGCAGCGCGACCGCAACGCATTGAACCCTCCTAAAAAACAACCAGATTGTTTCATATTACCCCGAATAAACTGTATAAAGTTTTTCGAGCCTTTTTTTAATTTTTTAGGTAATTCGATCCGACACCACGATGACGGCCAACGTCAATTTGTGGATCAACAACACGCTCATCGTCGGGAACGCCACCATCGAAAATCTTGATTTCAAGGTTTTCGCATATCAATTAGAGAGAAGAAAATATGATTTCCAGCTCCTCGAGACGAAAATCGAAGACGTCGATCAAGCTTCTTTCGGAGATCTCGGCCTATTTGGAGCCGAGTTCTTGGAAAAACTGCTGACGGAGATCCTGCAGATGGGCATCGCCATGCCGACCATGCAGGGCGTCATTTTGAAGAGTCCCAAGTTTGTTTGCTGATGGTTCTGAAAAAAATTATTAGCTTCTGATATTTCTGAAAAAAAGGATTACTAGAAAATTCAGATTTTTTTGAAAAAAATTAACAACCTTATATTGGCCTCGTATGAGGGAAGCTTCCAAAGTTTTAAAAATTTTTGCTTTCTAAATTTTGTAAAATACTTCTCCCAATCGATGAGCTAACATTGAGGAGATAAAAAAAAAGCCATATAGAGTAGTTTTACTCGATAAAATATCAGATTGTCCTTCCACGAACGGTTCATGAGGGTCCAGACGTACTTCAAGCTCGACGAGCAGTACGCCGGAAGCATCGTCCGTGGAGCAGTTCGGCAGAGTCTCAGCAGGCCTTATTTCCAAGGCTAGCAACTTTTCCTCACCTCTTAGTTTTTGTATATAAGCCTCTTCTTGCCTCCTGAATTCCCAGAAAATCGCCAACTTGATTTTCCAAATGCCGGTGATTCCAACTGTACTTGCCAAACGGGTTTTTTTCTCATCACTCCAATAAAATTATTTGCGAAAAAGGCAACAGAAGTCTTTTATTTAAAAAGAGTCGTTGAACGCTTCGAAATAAGAAAAAGGATAAAGCGGGGGACGCAGAATTGCAGATACTTTTGAAACCGGGAAGAAGACAGGAGGAAAAACAAAACGGACCACTCGAGATCAATTGCCGTGAAATACTGCGGGTTTTCCGGTATAATAAAGTACCTTTTTGTTGAGTAAGGCTCCGACTAGGGTGCTAGGAGAACGGGGGTTGATGCAATTTGAAATGAAACGATATATAGTCCATTTGTAACGATTCGAATCATTCTGACCTCTCTGCGCCCTTTTTCTCTCGCCGGTGAGACGCAGAGAAGTCAGACTATTTGAATCTGTAGCGAATGGAGTATATCTTTTTCTTTTTCAAAATGTTGAGCATCAACCAAAGGACCGTCTCATAAAGTTAGGTTTTCATAGTGGCTTTGAAAGTCGTAGAGAAATATGGCAAGGTGAAGAGCGTCTGTCGATGATGAGGGGATCAGGAGTGCGTCAGATGAGGAGCTGGTCGAGGTAGAGCAGCTCGGCGTTCGGGTCGACCCGCTTCCCGAAGCGGATGTAGCCGGGTCGCGCCTTCGGCTGTCGTTTCTCCGAGTCTCGTCGCAGGCGGCCTGGAAATGAAATTTAAGATGGCAAGTTAGTTGAAGTTCCTTCATAACAAAAGTTAGAGGGTCAGAAAGAAGTGTAACAAAAGTTCCAAATTCAGAAATTCATCCCGTAAAAATCAAAACAATATGACGTGTCTTCATTTCCGCTCTCGCCTGAGATATAATCCGACGCCCGCCAGCCCTGGACAAGCTGGGCGCCGTACTGTTCCTACATGGAGAAGCAGTGATCGTGGGAAACGCTCGAAAATCGTCTACTACTAGCACAAGAGAGGCGAGATGCTCTACGCGCCTACGCTTGATCAACGACATTATCGCGAACCGACAAACAACTCTTCAATTATTCCATGATTCAGCAGAGAACTTACTCTGAAGACTGAATAAAAATTTCAAATTTCAAATTTCAAAAAATTTCAAAAAAAAATGACGTGTCTGCACTCTCTTTCTTTGCAAATGCGCCTATATGATGTTTTCGAAAGGATGAACAAAAAAATGGAAATTAAAAAAATTTTTTTTTGAAGCTTCCGATTTGGAAAGTTAGGCCTCCGACTTGGAAAAATTAGACCTTCGATTTGGAAATTTAGGCCTTCGATTTGGAAAGTTAGGCCTTCGATTTGGAAAGTTAGGCCTTCGATTTGGAAATTTAGGCCTTCTATTTGGAAAACTAGGCCGTCGATTTGAAAAATTAGGTTAGGTCTCCGAGTTTTTTCTTTTTTTTTATTCCTTTCGTTTTTACAGTTTTATTTTTGAATTTCGTTTTTCTTAATTATTCGTTCAGGTCAAAAAGAATGAAAAAAATTCTTGAATAGATAAAACTTCTAGAAAAAAAAAGCCGCGGCCTGAAATTCCAAATCGCACCTCGTGCTTGAAACGCTGTTTCCCGCCAAAAAGTGACACGAAATTTGTGAAAATCATGCTGTTTTTTACTTCCATAACTTTTCTGACAGCTCGAAGTGTACAGTCATTTTTTAAAATCGATAAAATTCAACTGTTTTTGAATACTTTTATTATGGAATTAAGCTTTTTTGAATAGACCGATATAAGTCAAAGTGAAGTAGTTTGACTAACCATCGGAAGGCTTGGCAAGGACGACGGTGAAGCAGATGACGACGAGGAAGAGGACCGCAAAAAGTCGCATCGTGCCAAATTTACCTTCAAAAGTTTACAGTTTTATTCAAAAAATGTGGTGAAATACACGAGCGAGCGACAAAACAAAAAAAGTATAAGGAACCCCATTTTGGAAGATATTTTTTTGAACTCTTTGAACTGGAATATGAAATGCTGAAGAGTTCTCAAATTACTGTGAGCTTGGCAACGCTTTGTTTATCAAATTTCTCAATTTTTGTGGTTTTGGAAATGTTTGGAAAGAGGTAACATAAAAAATAAGTTCTAGAAATCAAAAAAGTGAGTTTGGAATGACCGAACTCTAAAAAGATGTTGGGAGAGTCTGAGAAGGCCAAAAAAGGAAGGCCACAAAATGACTGGGTGGCCGAAGGTCTTGGCAAGTTGCCTAATAATTAGTCTCACAGAAACTGCTTGCAAATTTTCCGAACCTCTAGTAAATTTCTTTTTGATTGGGAACTAGACATCAAAAGAAATCGGCAAGTGTTTCAAAATGAATAATTAAGATGAGCTTATTGTGAAAGACACTAGACGCTCCACTTTTTGAAATTGCTTTTTGGAAAAAAAAATTAAGGCTCATAGTCTATTCACCACAGCTTTCTGAGTCCGAAAAAGGGCAAAAAAGATGTTTCGTTCCAGGACCTGTTTTAATTTAAACCTTCTTTCTTGAAGACCTCACAAGGAAGATACATTTTGTTCAGGAGTTGAAAATTGGTCGAAAATTTTTTTAGTTTATCAGATTAACATCTCAAAAACCTAAACCGGTGAAATATTTTCCGTTTTTGAGAAGGGTTCTCTGGAATGCCTCTTTGACCGGTTTCTGTTGATTTTCTTTGACTACGAAGAATTTTTTCTCGAAAAATGAGGTATTTTATATGTGGAGGTTGTTGGAACTTTCATCTGGTACATCAAACAATGTCCTAGCCAAACTTCAGATGATTCCCGAAGTAAAATGACCTTCTAGTAGGTGTTCCGGGTTTTCGTAACTATAAAGGGGATTTTTCTCAAAACAATGGGAAATTTTACAGGCCAAGAAGTTTCTCCTACTACATCAAACACTATCCTAACCAAATTTGAGAAGACTCTCAAGCAATGAATAAAGTGACCTCCTTGTAGGAAAGCCAGTATGAATCAAGCGTAGGATCTACGACTCATTAGTAGCTCTACGGCATTTCAGGTAATCCGGCAAGAGAAAACAAAGCAGAACAAAAGGGTGACGCGACAATGGAAGATTAGGCAGCTACTATGTTTTTACAAGGTTGACCTTTCTTTTTTCGAAGAACCGAACTTTCGGCAAAACCAGGAAGTTCGAGGCAAAAAGTATTGGAACAGGCTGAACTCATTGAAAAAACGAAGAAGAACATCGATACAGATGTTCTGAGTTTAGAAAGAAAGCCGAGAACGTCGTGGCCAAAATAAACAGACGTGTTTTTGCTCAAAAAACTTCTGTTTTCAAAACTTTCCAAGATTTTTAATCAGAAAAACAGTGTGCTTCATTGTATTTCGAAAAAAAGTGATGTAACATGTTTTGGATTTTTTTTTAATAGAAAACTAGAATTTTTTTGGCGAAATGGTAAAATCGAAAATCTTTGACAGGCTTCTGGGAGAATCTTTTTGTTTGAAATTTTGTAGGCTTTGGAAAATAGTTCCTGGCTCCGCCCTGCGCCTTTAAACTTTATTTGCCCTTGAGCCTTCAAAAAACCAAATCGAGCCCTCATGATCAGACTACAAACGTCTGTACCAAAAAAAGGCGGAGTGAATCGAAAAAAATTTGAAAAAGCGCCTTCCTGGAAGGAAAACTTTTGGGCTCCGCCCTGTTTCTCCAAAAATTCATTCAAGCCGTTCATGAACAGACTACAGACATCTGAATGCAAACTCTCAAAGAATCAACGAAACTTGAACAAACTTCCCCAAATTCATAGAGAAAGCCGTTTTTTAATGAGTCTTTAAAATCTGACCCAAGAGTAGATTTGAAATATTTTGAGGGAAAAAAGAGAAATTATTCAAGATGGAGTTCGTTTAGAAAGTCGAAAAAAAGCGCTTGACTGATAGCACTCAAAGAAGCCGCGTCTCGCAACTCATTGTTTTTGGCTCCGCCCTGCGCCTTTAAAAAATGATCAAAGACGTTTATGAATAAACTACACACATCTGAAATGGGAAGTGAGCGCATTTATTGAAAAAAGTGAGCAAACTCACCTATTGTAAAAGCCGCGTCTCAAGATTTTTCTTTTTGGCTCCGCCCTGCGCCTTTAAAAAATGAACGGAGCCATTTATGAATTAACTACACACATCTGGATGCGCAAAAAAGCGCGATTTACCGAAGAAAGTTGGAAAAAATCTAAAATCGTTGAAAAATCCACTTTCCGAGACGATGATTTCAGGCTCCGCCCCTGGATCTTCGAATCCCCTCCTGAACCGTTCCTGAATAGACTACACACATCTGGATGGGGAAATGTATCGAAGAAAGTTGAAAGAAACGAACGGCCACACGTGTCCCAGCGCTGCTACAAAAGAGTTATTGGCAGCGTCAGGAGCCCCGATATAAACATTCGGATTGCGCCTCCCCCACGCGTCACGGCGACCATCCAACCAAGTCGGAATCGGCAAAAAAGAGCTCACATGCATAGTTGAGAAACTAAGGGATGTTTCTTGGAAAAAAAAAGCCTTAAAACTGTGAGAATGAGCCCGGCTGTATGCATAGCAGGAACGAATGAGCAATCGTAAATGGGTTTACGATGGGAATTTGATCCGATTCCAACTCGTACCTATCGCTACCAGCAGTAGAAAGTAGAAAACTTTCTTAGGAATGCCAGAGGGATCCCTAGAGGGGTATGATGATAAACAGGCCCTATAGGGGACAAAAAATTCAAGGGTAATGTAGGTGACTTCTAGAGCAGTTTAGGTTTGACCCCTAACCAGCCCTAAAGCTGAAGTGACCCCTATAGTGTTCAAATTGCGGCGCTTTATTTGTGGACAGAAAATGGCTGAAGATTTTCTTGAGAAACCCGAAATTCCAATTTTTGAAAATTTGAAAGGACTTTCAAAAACCTGAAAGAAAGGAGAAATTAGAATCCGCCCTACGTAGGCTTCAACTAAAAATCT